TTTAGACGGAAAAAAATATTTTCCGCCAACTAGATCGCTAATCTGCTTTTCTAACCCACAAGGAACCCATACAGAAATATAGTTCTGAGTCTCTTCTTTGCCTTTTCTGCTCGGATTTGTTTTTGAGGCTTCTAATTGGGCTGTAGTTGTTTTCGGGGGTCGTTCAAAGAATCACTACATCTGGATGGAAAGGAAAGCCGCTCATCCACCCGATTTGCCGATTTGCTTCGCTTTTCTACGAAAATCTTAAATATTCTTTTTTTTTATAAAGATTAAATTGGCTCTGGAAAATTCTATATTTCTACATTTGCAGAGTTTTAATGAAATTGAGATCAAGTTAAGAAATGATCAAGTTAAGAAATGATCAAGTTAAGAAATGATCAAGTTAAGAAATGATCAAGTTAAGAATGATCAAGTTCACTTGATCATTCTTTTTCTTTTGATTTGGTTGTTTCATCGATATCGATTGGTTTCAAGGATTCTTTTTTAAGCTCACTTGTCCAATATGGTGCTTGTTGTGAAATCAAAACATTTTAAAGCTTTGTTTTTTTGAATTTTCGGCTATTGCGTAGTTTTCGGGTATTTTGAAAGAATCCGTTTCTTTTGAAAAAAATCCAGATATTTTGAACGAATCGTCACACTTTGAAAGCCTATAACTTTGTCTAGAGATCATATTTTTATGAACTTTTTATATCATTGTACAGAGGACATTTCAAGCTTTCAAATGATATCAAATTGAGCATGTTTGAAATAATCGAGTCCAAGAAAATCAAAGCCAACTCCGAGCAAATGAGACCTATCCAACTCCAGTATTTCATTCCCTTACATGGGAATGAAAAATCCAATCGAGCTCAATTTGATATCATTTGAAAGCTTGAAATGTCCTCTGTACAATGATATAAAAAGTTCATAAAAATATGATCTCTGGACAAAGTTATAGGCTTTCAAAGTGAGCGACCCATTGAAATTACCTGGATTCTTTCAAACAATCCGGAAACACAAGAGCGGAATTTTTCGAATTCAAGAATTCAAGAGCCGAATTTTCTTCTGGCTTATTGTATTTTAGCTTAAGAAAGGCCGTGAAACTTTCGTATAAAGTTGAATGGAAAGTTTTGATCTCAAAAATGCACAAATTTTTGCATAACTTATAAGATTTTCAAGTAAATTCTTACAATAACAGTTTTTCTTTAAAATAAAATCTTGTACTATTGTTTTATTTTGTACATTTGTACTCTTGTACTATGTTTTTTTTCTCAATAAACTTATTGTCAGCAAATTTCTTGAGCTCATTTAACGAATTGGAGGGGGAAATGGGTGATAGGGTCATAGGCGGGCCGCTGGCTTTTTGCACGGGTTCAATTCCTCGCACGGGTTCAATTCCTTCGATTCCTCAAATTTTTTTTTCTTTTCGCAGCCAAGTCAATCGGCGCAAAATAATTAAAGAAACGAAAAATAATTCAAATTCTTTCATCAACAAACAATTTCTTCATAGAAAACATTTTGTTTAGTTGTTTGTGTAGTTGCACAAAAAAATGTTCACACGCACTCAGAGGAATCGGCTAATTTCCCTTTCTCTTCACAAAGTATAAATCTTTCGTCTACTAGCAAAAATTTGAGACAAATTTTTCTATATTCTTCTATAAAATTCGATAAAAGTAGCATATTTTGAATAGACTTTTACTTTCGCTTTAAATTTTTAACAGCCTACTTTACCTGAAATCTAGTTTTTGTTCAACTACAGCGTAAACGACTTTCAATTCATTTTTATCATTTTAATTTTTTTTTGATCTGTTTTATTTGCGCAGATCACAACCTGCTTCCACATTTCTCTATCCCTTGCTATTGTCATCCAGTGTTTCCTAGCTTGATTGTTCCTGGTTCGAAGTCTTCGACTTGCTGGTGCTGGTGGTGGTTGCACTCTAGCCATCTTTTCTCTGACTCTGCCACTCTTGTGCTCCACCTCGTTATCATTTTACTAAATACCGTATTTTCTGTAATAGTAGTGCGCAATACTATTTTCTCAACTCCCCCTCCAGCCTGCACTACTATTACAGACTGCACTACTATTACAGACTACACTACTATTACAGAAAATACGGTATCTTAAAACCTTTACCGTATTCTCATTTTGTTTTAATGAAATTTTCATCAAAAATTTTTCCGCGTTCATTCCGAGTTTTGCCTTTTTCCGATCTTCAATGGATCAACGCCCATCTTTTCCATTTCAATTCCATTCTTTTCCATCTTCTCAATAAATAACTTTTCTCGTTCATAGAAAATTACTTTTTCTACTTTTCTCTTTCAATTTCTTTTGTTTACTTATAACAAAAAAGTCTTCTAAAATTCAGATATTTCACATTTAATGGGTAACGAAGGATCTTCACTTTTAAAAAAGCATCACGTGCTACGATTTACAAAAAGGTTTGTTTTTAGAGAAATGTTTGGAAAGGGATTTTTTTTTATTTTAAAAGCTCTTTTACTCAATCTCTTACTTTCTAAATCTTTTAATAAACAAAAAACTATCATAAAAAGCGCTTATTACTTTAGGGTGTTTGTTTTTGAAAGCAATTTTCATCAAATTTTATTCAACAACTCGAGAAAGAGGAGGGATGAAAACTGGAAATTCGGCTTTTTCCTCATCAAAAATCCTAGAGCTTATGAAATTGAAGGGGGGAATGGGGAAGAGATAGAAGATGTGAAAGGGGGGATAGGGAAGGAGTGATCACTTCATTTCGCATGCCCACTTTACCCAAATTTCTTCTCCATCTAACACCTTGCAGCTCTTCTTTCTTCCCACCACTCTAGCTCCGACTTTATATATCAAAAATCATCAACTACCCACGTTTTAAGCTCTGCGTTCAGCGATTTCGAGAGAAAAACTTTTACGCCAGTTTTGTGCACTGAAAGTGACAATTGTCGCCAGTTTTATCAGTTATAACTTACCGTAAATACTGTAATAGTACCCCACCCCCCTCGTACAGTCGCGTAGTCGCAAAAGTTTTTTAGTATTTCATTTTTTTCAAAGCGCCCGTACTTTCAAAAAATGCGTCTTTGGTATCAAAAAATAGCCCTGAATTTCAGCTATTTTTTGATACCTAAGCGCGCATTGTAGCATAAACCAGTGTCGAGAAAAACTCGTTCAAAGCTAGACTACGCAACGCTCCGCGCCGTCATTATGGGGGTGGGGTACTATTACAGTATTTACGGTAGTAAACTTTCAGCTAGCCATGTCAGCCAACAAGGAAATCCCACGAGATCCCCCACATTGTTTGGCGGGACACAGAGTGTTTCTGATGCAGAATTTCACGGTGATTCCGAATCTGTAATCAGAATTTCCTAAAGCCTCAAGCAAAAAAGATATTCAACTTTTTCTTTTCGTCACATCTTTTCGCGGCCAAGCCAACATCGGCGCGCAACAAGGTCCTTTTTCACGTAGCTCTTCTAACTAGCTTGGTGGTCTAGTCGTTAGTGCGCTTGAGTCATTGGCGAGCCGAGAAAAAGAAATTAAGTAAGAATTTTAATCTTAATTAATTATTAAAATATTCATTATATTATACGTTATAATCTACATTTATACATTATAAAGAAAGTGAATGTGTTTAATTAAAAACCAATTTGACCCAAAAAAATCAAGAAAGCAAAAAATGATGGCGGCACGAGGAATTGAACCCGTGCAAAAAAGCAGAGGTTCGCCTCTGACGCAAGTGCACTAATGACTAGGCCACCGGACTAGTCGGAACGGGTACGTGAAAAAGGATCTTATTGCGCGAAAAGACGTGACGGAAAGAAAAAGTTGAATATCTTTTTTGCTTGAGGCTTTAGGAAATTCTGATTACAGATTCGGAATCACCGTGAAATTCTGCGTCAAAAAACACTCTGTTTCCAGCTAAACAATGTCGGGGATCTCGTGGGATTCCCTTGTTGGCTGACATAGCTAGCTGAAAGATTACTACCGTAAATACTGTAATAGTTTATGCTACAATAGCAATAGAATTATCAAAAAATAGCCCTGAATTTCAGCTATTTTTTGATACCAAAGACGCATTTTTTGAAAGTACGGGCGCTTTGAAAAAAATGAAATACTAAAAAACTTTTGCGACTACGCGACTGTACGAGGGGGTGGGGTACTATTACAGTATTTACGGTAAGTTATAACCGATAAAACTGGCGACAGTTGTCACTTTCACTGCACAAAGCTGGCGTAAAAGTTTTTCTCTCAAAATCGCTGAACGCAGAGCTTAAAGAACGTGGGTAGTTGATGATTTTTGATATATAAAGTCGGAGCTAGAGTGGTGGGAAGAAAGAAGAGCTGCAAGGTGTTAGATGGAGAAGAGATTTGGGTAAAGTGGGCATGCGAAATGAAGTGATCACTCCTTCTCTATCCCCCCTTTCACATCTTCTATCTCTTCCCCATTTCCCCCCTTCAATTTCATAAGCTCTAGGATTTTTGATGAGGATGATCTCTGTTTCCAGCTAAACAATGTCGGGGATCTCGTGGGATTCCCGTGCAAGCTTTCAGCTTCAGCTTTAGCTTAAAAATAATCAAAAATAATTCAGAATCATTTAGAAATCTCATACTTTTTGTTCTCAAGCTTTTGGATTAGGGTTTCGTTTCATAAATTCAAATCAGAACTCACATAGAATCGATAATCGATGGAACTCAAAATCGATCGAATCTATTTCTGAGATTTTATTGCTTATTTATGCGAAAACCCTAGTCGATTAGTGTGGCAAAATGCTGGCTGGTGGTAACGTCATAGAAATAATTCCATTACGACTCCATCCAGAAGTGTCCCCTCTACTCTCTTTCCCTTTTTTCTGAATATGAGACCTCTATCTAGTGGCAAGATCTCCCCCCTTCAATCAACGCTCCAATTCCATATTTTCTATTTTGATCGATTACTTAACAACAACAAGCGTCTTCTCGTATAATTAAGCGCAAATCTAAACGTCTAAAAGCGTTCCATCTTAACCTTAACACTAATTTTAGCAGTGTTCCGATGTATTCAAAGAATCGCCGAACCTCTAGTCAAACTACAAGACAAAAGCAAAAAGGTGGGCTTTGTTTTGTTGAATTCAATTTGACTTTTTGACTTTTTGACTTTCTAGAAGTGATCAAACGATCGCCGACGAGTGATACTCCGTCAGAGACGAGCTCAATTGTGCAGACGACCGTCACACCGCCGATCTTCAACGAAAGTAGGACATTTTTTTTTTGGATAAAGATAGATTTGTCTATAATATACATAACTATTTTTAGCCAGTACTACATTGGGATCGGTCCCAGTGACCCCTTCCACGAGCGGTAATCGACTACTAACTCCACAGCCGGCTCGACCTCGAAGCCGATCTTTGTGTGCTCAGCAGATTGAGGCCGATGTTCAAGTAGTATTTTTGTATTGTTTTTTTTGTATTTCTATAGTATCTTTTTGTCAATTGTATTTCTGATATTTATGATTATTTTGAAGAAACAATTGCTTACAAAATGTGTCAAAAAAAGCCTGCGCCTGCGCCTGCGCCATTTCTAACACTTGACTATTGCCCAATGAAAGCTTTTGTAATCCAATGCATTTAAACAGCCAATAGTCAAAAGGATTCCTTTTTTCTATACTCAATTTACTCAAAAATCAATTTTAGACGGTAAATGCGAACTCTCCCCTTCTCTCACCGCAGGTGAATCGGGAAAATGGCCGCGAAACGCGAAAGCACTCGACTGGCGTTGTACCCTCTCTGAATCGAATCCGAATAACATCTGCCTTCAAAATTGCAAAGTTTGTGCCAAGAAAGAATTTTCATTGCAAGAATTTCATTGCAAGAAATTGGAGCTTACAGATCTTCGATGGGTGAAGCAATTTTGAAAAGAGCTTCCGCGTCTCGACCCGAGATTCGATTATTTCTCGTAAAGTTGAAGTAATATATTTTTAGACTAGATTTCACTTTTAGATTAGATTTTTCGTCTTTAAACTAGGACTAGATTTATTTTAGAATATATTACAATATTTAAGACTAGATTCTAAACTATTGGGTTGGTGAATTGAAAACGGTGGGATATTGTCATATGTCAAACTTTGAGCACTTTCTTCAAAAGAAACCCATTTTGGTGTCAATGGAAAAGTTGTAGAGAATCAAAAATCAAGCTTATATCCAAATTTTCAGAACGATTCAAAAACTGGTTTTCAAGAAATGCCAAATTTACGAATCTTTCACAAAACTTGCATTTTAAGCGAAACTACTAAGTGTATCTTTTTAGAAATTTGGCTATAAGCCTCATTTTTGATTCTCTACAACTTTTCCATTGACACCAAAATGGGTTTCTTTTGAAGAAAGTGCTCAAATGCTCAAACTGGGACATCTCCAGTCCTCCATTTTTGAGTCTCACACTTGTCTCACACACAAACCAAAATCCTACCACGAAAGAGGAATCCGCAAATTGCCTGTAAAATGGGCAGAAGTCCTCATTAATAATGGAAATTATTTAGAATGAATTTATGGTTTTATGTTGAATAAATTTTAGTTCAAAGTCCCGCAGTTTTCAATTCACCAACCCAATAGTTTCTTAACGTAGCTTCTCAAAAAAAATTTGAAACTTTCAGTGAAGAGCAAATGAGCGAACTTGGACGAGTGCTTTTCGAGATGATCGGCGAAGGGGTGGCGAGACTTGACTCAGCTGATCATGTAGGTGAAACCCTGTACGTTTGGCTAAGTGGTTAGCGCGCTCGCGTCGAGTTCTAGTGGTCAAGAGTTCGAATCCACCTCCGGTCAAAACTCTTGCTTTCTCACTAAAAGATCAACGATAATAGAAAACACCTTTTGAAGTAAAACCGCAAAATTTTATAACTAAAACTTCTAGGTTCAAAATGCGGGTAAATCGGCAGGAGCAGCTTTCGCCGTTTTGTCGCCAATGGGCTTTCGGCCTGACTTCTTTGCGCCACTCGCCGACGCAGCCATTGCTGAGTGCGTAAAGTTGGATGCTGGTTCGCATAAGGTATTTTGAAAAAAAATATATATATAAAGCTTACAAATAAGTCAAGAGAATTGAGTTTTATGTTTGAATTTTTTCAGCGCTGCGAAACACTGCTCGCCTGGTCGCAACTCGTTTCAGCGCTCTTCTCGGCGGTTCGCGACGGTTATTACTCAAGAATTCGATATCAAAGGAGGTAAAGAAGTTGAGATTTTGAAACAATCTTTAGTAGATCTTTACTAGATCGTTATTAGATCTTTATTAGATCTTTATTAGATCTTTACTAGATCTTTATTAGATCTCTATTAGATTGTTATTAGATCGTGATTAGATCTTTATTAGATCTTTATTAGATCAAAATCTAGTTTAAACATCATTTTTTTTAGATCCTCTTTACCCCAAGGACAACTTCAAATCCAGCGCGTGCCCAGTTTGGATTTATGTAAAAATGCGATCTCTGAAAGTCCTTAAACATTTCATTTTTCTTTGAATGATCATGATTTTTTATCTCAAAACTTTTCTTCTTTACACTACTAAATCTTTCATAGAATTTCTAAGGTATTAATGATTTTTTTTTCCTTTTCTTGACGAGCTTTCTAATATTGATTTCTTCTCAAAAGTGCCATCAAGTTTCTTTTATCGCTTCTTCTATCCCTTTTTTTTGTGTGTATTATTTTGATTGTTTTTTTTTGTATAATATAAATGTTTATAAACAGTACCAGTATTTTTTAAGGTTTAAAGCCTTTCAAGAGCTCATGTTTGTAGAGACCGAATGTTGTCCATCGATGGGTGACTGGAGGAAATTCCCATCGAGTTGGTTGGCCTTCATGTGGTACAGTTTTGCTAGAAATTTGAAAAAATTCATACCGTAAATACTGTAATAGTACCCCACCCCCCTCGTACAGTCACGTAGTCACAAAAGTTTTTTAGTATTTCATTTTTTTCAAAGCGCTCGTACTTTCAAAAAGTGCGTCTTTGGTATCAAAAAATAGCTGAAATTCAGGGCTATTTTTTGATAATTGTATTGCTATTGTAGCATAAACCAGTGTCGAGAAAAACTCGTTCAAAGCTAGACTACGCAACGCTCCGCACCGTCATTATGGGGGTGGGGTACTATTACAGTATTTACGGTAAATTGTTTTCATAAGTTGAATGATTCTATTGTTCTATTGTTAAATAAACTTATTGAAATGAAACCTTAAATCCGAAGTGCTCCAATCGAAGACTGGGACGGAGTCGGAGGTTGGTCCGGAGATCGCTTGAAAGCGCAACTTTTTGTGAAGGCGATAGTTCGTTAACTGAAATAATTGAAATAGATAATCGAAATAGATTGAGAAGATATGTTTGAAATTTAATTTTCAAATAGAAAACAAAGTTTGAGTTTCTTTGCGAGCAGTGGAATGAAGTTTCTTTTAATGAAGTTGCACCTTCATGTCAGTTGCGCCGTGATCTCGATGCCCAAGAGCATCAAATGGATAAGTGCCAGTGCGTGGATTCAACTCGGATCTAGAAAAATTGTTTATATTTTGGGAACTCGACCTTCATATCCAATCCGCCTTGATCCCTGTGGCCCAAGTTGGGGAATGGATAGCGACCTGTGGCCGGGTTCAGATCGTTTCTAATTTTTTTTATTTATGTTTAGGGTTTAAGGTTTAAAGCTTCTAACAGGTTTAAGTTTTCGAAATTTTTTAAAAACTTTCTAAATTACCTGCAAGAGATTGCGTTTTCCGCTGAATATGGTGGATCGCAGTCACAACGTGAAAGTGGATCATTGGTGTAATCGTTTGATCTGAAAAAGCTTGATCGTTTGATCTCGGTTTGTCCGTTTGTCCCGTTTGTCTCGACGTTTGTCCGCGTTTGCGCGTTGTCTGTCTTTGTCGTCGTTGCGTCGTTTGCTTGTCTTGCTGCTTTGATCTTGATCGTTTAATGTCAGCATCAAGATTAAGTATCTTTTGGCTTTAACACATTAACGATGAAGCTATTTTTCGCTTCATTGCTCTTTTCTGGTTACTGGTTTTCACTTTACTTCACTCATCTTTTAGATTGACTTTGGTCTGACTCTGAATCTGATTCTTTCGATTCGATTCGATTCGATTCGATTAAACATAATTATAGAAAAAGGTTTATAAAAGATCTATAAAATTATATCTATTGTTATCTTTTATATATATAATATTATAATATTCGATTCGAATTCTCCATTCGAAAAACCCCAGGTATCTCCATATCAATTTTCAGATTGTTTGGGGAATCAATAAATTGATCCGGAGCCATGACTGTGTGAAATAAAATCTTGTTCTTGTTCTTGTTCTTGTTCTTGATCTTGTTCTTGATCTTATTCTTGATCTTTTTACCTCATCAATCTCCTCATACTCTCCATATCTTCCACTTTTTCATAATCTCTCTTGAAGATCAAAGCTCTCGGCGTTTTGTCATACGTGAACCAATCACCGTACTTTTCCGCGAAACTCGCCGTCATGCTGTCATTGTAAACATCAGGGAAATAGCTAAAGAGCTTTTTAAATTCTAAAAAAATTTCCTCAACTCACGGCATATTATAGCTAGGCCAATAAAGCTGATCAATCAAATATTCACTCAAATCTTTGTGCTGAATGTAGCCACTAAAATTGATTGATTCTTTCTTCCCCTCTTTCTTGATTGATTCTTTCTTCGCATTGATTCTTTCTTTGTTTTCTTTCAACTTACGGCAATTGCTCAAGAATATGAATGAGTCCTTGTTTTGGGAGTTTTTTTAAGCCAGGTTTGAATTTCTTGTAGTCAACAATCACCCTGAAACAAAAGTACATAAAATAATTTTTGCTATAAAAAGGTAAAACCATTGATTGTTGTAAGTGCCAGAGTTGTATTTGGCAAAAATCTCAGCCCATTGAGCATTTCCCGTTGAAAGTCTTGTTGCAATCTATAAAATTCGAAAAGATAAGCATTCTAATTTTCATTATTTACTTGTGCCCGAATGAAGCAGAGAACCGTTTCCGGTTTTATAAAATCTTTCATGATTTTCTTGTTATAGTTGCTGATCGTTGTCTCGAGAATGGCCAAGCCAGAAGAGGAAAGCATAAAATCGTCTGTCGATGGAATGGCGCCTAAACTTGGAATGTCGATGGAATGGAGCCTAAACTTGGAATGTCAATGGAATAGCGCCTAAACTTGGAATGTCGATGGAATGGCGCCTAAACTTGGAATGTCAATGGAATAGCGCCTAAACTTGAAATGTCGATGGAATGGCGCCTAAACCGCCTAAACGCTTAAATTTTTTTCATAATTACATCACACAAAACCTACCAGGATAGCTCGAGAAAGAGTACGAATTTCCCGGCACAACTTTTGAGTTCATTTTCCACGTGATTTTCTTCAACACTCTTAACATTGTCGAATAGCTTGACCAAGTGACATGCGAGAAGTAGAGATCCGAGTGATCGGGTAGTAGACTGAAAGTGAAATTGACAAGTGACATTTCTGATAAGTGAAAGAAGTAAGTGAGCCTTCTTTCTTTAATCTTTAATCTCAAAATTCTTTTTAAATTCTCTACCGAACAAGTGCTGAGCAGTGTTGACCTTTCCAAGCAGAGCGGAGATGCTCTGGACGCTTAAAGAGAAGCGCTAAATCCTCGCCATCACCGGCTAACTGGATATTGCTAAAATTTTTGCAGGTAAAAGCCTTTAAATCAATTCTTTTTTTACAAAATCGGATGAGCAACGAGTTCCTCTGTGGTCCGATAGCCGTTCAATTTCCCCTCATATCCGTCAATGATTCCATTCAATTGATTGAGCGTCACATTCACCTGATTACATTATATTTACAGAGTACATCTAATTATTTACATTTTATGTAGTACAAACAATACACAAGTAGAACTTTTAGCCTTTAGAATACCTAAGCCTTTAGAATACCTAAGCCTTTAGAATACCTAAGCCTTTAGAATACCTAAGCCTTTAGAATACCTAAGCTCTAAGAAAGAAAAAATCCATCTACGCTAATCAGAGAACCAAAAAGGCATCCGACGGGATTGATCCCTTAATCTCTCGACTAAGATACAAGACCCTTAGCCACTCAGCCATGAGGTAATAAAATCGCCGGCTCAAAACTTGAATATAAACTTGAGCTTTTTAATTTAAGAAAAAAGAACTTGTTTCCAATAGATGTCCTCTGGGTTTTGCGCAATCATATGCTCCATCCAGAGCATGTTCTCCAATAGAAAAGTGTAGAGTTTCTTGCAATATTCCTCAGCTCCATCACAGTAGCCGTCGACAGTGTTTCGGATGTGCATTCCGATGAGCTTTCTCGTCGCTCGGCCTAAAGTTTTACTTGAGTTGGTCGTATTTTGGTAGAACAATCAAGTAATCTAATCATCTATAATAAACTAATCATCAAGTAATTTAATAAATCAGTCATTTAATAATCTAGTCATCTAAATCTACAAGTTTTTCCCCCAAATCTTCTCCACCTTCCACAAATCCAGCCGCATATCCCTGTAGCCAAAGTGGAAGAGCTTGATCGTGCACCTCTACCTCCAAATGAGCCCATCTAAAGTGATTTTTTGAAATTTAGATGTCGTAGCCGATTATGAATAAAATTTTTTGGCAAATCTTTCTAGTAGAGCAACCCTTTAATGTATGGGGACAATATTATATCATTTTGTAGCGAATTAAATTCTGCGTCGATTGGTACCAAATTTGTGTGTTTAGGTTAAAAATTGCCGGCGCTACAACGTTTCATTCAAAAATCGGCGGGACCCCCCGTAGACGATTATGAATGAGTGGGTTTAGAAGCGTCCAACCATCAAGTATTTAGTATCATTCAACGCAGAATCATTAATAATTATGTTAAATTTTTAAAATTAGCAAAATTTGATAAAAAGAAAAAAAATTAGAGCAAAAAACTGTTTTTTTCAAGAGAAAACTTTGAAGCCCCATAATTTTTTTTCTTTTTATCCAATCTTGCTAATTTTAAAAATTTAACATAATTATTAATGATTCTGCGTTGAATGATACTAAATACTTGATGGTTGGACGCTCCTAGACCCACTCATTCATAATCGGCTACAACATATACTTTAAAAAGCTTGAAACTTTAATTTTATGTATTTATTTTATCAGTAAATACTTATTTTATCAGTAAATATTTATTTAATCAGTAAATATTTATTTTATCGTTTATTTTATCGTTTATTTCTTAATCTTTTCCGAATCGAGTATTCTTTTTTGATTTAAAAACCCTTTTCGGCAACTGGAAACCGTAAACAAGTATTGAAATGTACTACTAAAGCAATGTACTACTAAACAAAAGCATGAATACTATGAGCTTATGTATTTGAACACTTTTTCTTTACTTTAAGTCAACTTTTCAAATTTTAAAAACCCAGTCTCGTTGATGGCGTTTGTCGTCTTGGCGAGCGCGATCTCTCGCTCGCATTCGTCATCGGTGTGATGATGATGATGGCGAATTTTGTACGCGTGTAGCTCTCCGTTTCTTTTCGAGCATAAACCGTACTAAAATCTTAGTACTATAATACTTTCAAATAAATCATCTAATCGATCAAAAATCGATCGATTCTCCTTTTACCTGTCTCGTTTTCATTGCTTCTGGCGTCAAAATCCACTCATTTGTCGCCTCGGCGTTTTTCCATGTAAAAGCATGGATTTGTGTGAAGAATATAGAAAATATGAGAAATAGATTCATTTCTGAAATCACTTTTTTTACAGATAAAAGTAAAAAATTCGAAAAAAAAAATGCTCGGAAACGCGAAATCGCTAATTCGATTAGCAATGGATCCAGCCTTCGAGACCCGATTTTCTGGACCGCTTGAAGTTCAACAGGTTTCTTTTCTCTCAAAAACATTTAGTAGACATTATAGTAGACAAAATATTAAATATTAAATAATATTTCAATCAATCAATAACCGCAAATCACTTTTTGAATGTTTTTGTTTTGGCGGGAATCTCAGAATTATTTTTTTCCTCTCTCTCTTGCAAAAAGCCAAACAACGTGTTCTAAAGAAAAGAAAAACAAATAGCAATAGAAAAATGGAAAAAAAAACAACACTTGAGATAAAGATAAACACTGATTTTATGAAATTTCAACTCTATTTTTTTTAAATGGCAAATTTTTGGGTTTTTTCTATTTTCAAAATTCAAGAGTGTCTGTCTGTGACCGATTCATTTCAATCAACTGATAAGACTGTTTTGAGTGATGCTGGAAAGCGAATAGAAATCCTTTTCCTTGAAATTCTCTCGAATTGAAAAGAGAACAAGAAAAATTATGCAAAAAGTGGGCTTTTTTAGGAGTTCAAATGGCGTTCCGGATGGGGAGTGTTGAAAGCGAATATGCTCTTCGTTTTTAATCGGTAAATGTTTAGGAAAAGATCTGAATTTTGGCAAAAAAAAATGAATTAATATTTGAGTCATTTATTAAGCCATTCAAAAAATCATTTATTAAGCCATTTTTCAGTTCTAAATTCAGGATTGGCAATCACAAAGTGGAAAGCGAGCCACCGTTTCTTCTGCTGATCATCGAGGATTGCTTTGTGGAGCTCGGCGATGACAATCAGCTTGGCAAAGAGTTCACTTTCAAAATCAATTTTAAGACGTAGGTTTTTTGGAAAAAAAGTCATTGATTGATTTGAATTTATTTAAATGTGTTAGATTATGAAAAGAAATAGCAGTTATTGTTGAAACAGAAATGGCTATTGATTCGCTAAATGATCAGCAGAAGAAACGGTGGCTCGCTTTCCACTTTGTGATTGCCAATCCTGAATTTAGAACTGAGCTAGCTACCGTATTTCTTCGAATAGAAGACCGGGTAAAGAGTATCACCGCGTACTCCTGCGTAGAAGCCCTTTTTAAAATTTCTTTTCTGCATAAAAGCTTTCAATCAAGTGCTATAGAGCTGGAAAATGACTCAAAAATACCACATGAGCTAACAGATTTTTGAGCCATTTTTCAGCTCTATAGCACTTGATTGAAAGCTTTTATGCAGAAAAGAAATTTTAAAAAGGGCTGCTACGCAGGAGTACGCGATCATACTCTTTACCCGGTCTTCTATTCGAAGAAATACGGTATTTGCTGAAGCTTTTGTAAACGAAGTCTTATTGAGAATCTAAAAAAAAGTGCGAAAATCAATAGGTTACTGTAATAAAGGTTTCGTTTTTTTTGTTAATTGAATATCTTATTGCAAAAATGTTCAGAACCAGACGAGTGTACGTGCTGGGTGCCGAATCGTTCAAATCGCTCGGGAAATGGGTTTCCTTGTTGACGATCACCCCAACTGAGTACATCAAAATCACCACACAATCGTTTCAGGTAAGCCACAAAATAAGTTTATCTTAAAGAAAAGAATGAAATGTATATGTTACGTCCGAATCTGAGGAGACGTCCATCTCTAATCCGGACGTCCGAATCTGAGGAGATTCATTCTCCTCTGTTACGTCCATCTCTGAGTCGGACGTCCATCTCTGAGTCGGACGTCCATCTCTGAGTCGGACGTCCATCTCTGAGTCGGACGTCCATCTCTGAGTCGGACGTCCATCTCTGAGTCGGACGTCCGTTTCAGAGGAGAATGAATCTCCTCAGATTCGGACGTCCGGATCGGAGATGGACGTCTCCTCAGATTCGGACGTGACATATATATTACACATCTTACACAAAAATTTCAGGCTCAAATCGATGAAAGAGAGGCAAACGATGAGAAAAAATCCTCTTGATTTTGAGAAATTTTTCTCTTTTCCTCTAGCGGTTTAGATTTAAGGCAAAACTTCGTTTTTTTAAATTTGTGCCTTTTTAATCCGAAATTCCAATGATCCGTGACTGTAAACAAACTGTGATTGAGTGCGTTCGTCTATGACAAATACGGCTAGACTTTTTTACATATGCGTTGTGATGTGCCAAGAAAAATGGTGAGCTACTTTGTTTTCCATATCTGATAGATTCTTTGCTTTAAGATGTATAAATGTTTTTTGTGAAAATATAAAAGTCGTCGGTTCTTCTCATGGATCCGAGTCTCCATTGTGAAAAGCTATTGACATTCTATAAAATTCATAAAAAAGTACAGCAAAAGTTGTTCCCAAATTTTTGGGCATAGTGAGACCGGACGGGGGGGGGGCGGCACGGGCCAACTGATTCACTCATCGTTCCTGATGGGCCCCAGAAGGGAACACCTATCCATCGGGGCCCTGTGCCAGATGAAGCGCGATTACGGGGCCACACAAAGAACGCCAGTCATTTACACAGATATTTTTCTTTTGCATTGTAGCTGATTCCTAAATGAGATTTGGTGTTTAAAATTTGTGCCCCGGGGTTTTCAAGGTCATCAAATCTATTGACAGAGTTTATTTTAACTCTTTGTCTCAAGAAAACTCCCAAAAGAATCGAATTGGCTTTTGAGTTTTGTATAAGCTAGCATTTCACAATGAAAAGATCTGTATTTTGTTAAAAGATTTGGAGAAGAGAGAGATTAAAAAGATTTCAAGAAGAGTCATTACAAATAAACATTCGAAACAAGGGATTATACATTAAAATCGAACATAATTTGAATGGAGTGATGTTTCCAGTGACACTGACATTAACAAATTGTCAATACATGATCTCAAAGTGTACATAGAGTTTATTTATAATAGTTTATTTATCATAGTTCATTTATTATTTCTCCCACTATACCTAAATTCTTTTTTTTTTCTTTTCAACCCTTTTTTTCCCGTGCAATCTTTTTCTTTCTCATATCTCTCTCAAATTCTCTTGTTATTTATGTGATGAGTAATGGTGAAACGAAGAAGAAAAAGAAAGATGACACACTCATTTTCCTCTATTTTCTATTAAAAATTGACATTACTTTTCTATTTTTTTGAAATGACTGAGTTTGATACGATTAAAACGGTAAAGCCTTGTTTTTTATTTATATTGATGAGAGCTTTGAATAGGAGTTTTTATGTTTGAAAACAGGGTTCAAAAGCGTCACTTGAGCTTTTGAATGAATTTTTGCAGAGTTGAAAAGAGATTTCATTTGGACAAATTTACATAAAACTGCTTTTATTGTAGTAGAAAATAGTTTAGTATGACTGAATTTTGAAAAAGTATTAAAGCTAAAACTCTAGAGCTGTAAGAAGTATGAAATGTTTAAATATTGGGTTGGTGAATTGAAAACTGCCGGACTTTGAACTAAAATTTATTCAACATAAAACCATAAATTCATTCTAAATAATTTCCATTATTAATGAGGACTTCTGCCCATTTTACAGGCAATTTGCGGGGTTACAGGCATCCTCTTTCGTAGTAGGATTTTGGTTTGTGTGTGAGACAAGTGTGAGACTCAAAAATGGAGGACTGGAGATGTCCCAGTTTGAGCACTTTCTTCAAAAGAAACCCATTTTGGTGTCAATAGAAAAGTTGTAGAGAATCAAAAATGAGGCTTATAGCCAAATTTCCAAAAAGATACACTTAGTAGTTTCGCTTAAAATGCAAGTTTTGTGAAAGTTTCGTAAATTTGGCATTTCTTGAAAACCAGTTTTTGAATCGTTCTGAAAATTTGGATATAAGCTTGATTTTTGATTCTCTACAACTTTTCCATTGACACCAAAATGGATTTCTTTTGAAGGAAGTGCTCAAACTGTCACATATGACAATAGCCGGCAGTTTTTAATTCACCAACCCAATAGTTTTAGAGTTGTCATTCGAAATTTCCATCATCACAACAAATCGGGAATTTTGGATTGCTTCCTTTAAGAACCGCATTCAAAGGACCGGCTCCCAGTAAATCTTTGCTTTTTCTTTTAAATTATATTCAGATATTAGTTTGAAAATAGTATTTAAATGTTTAGTTGCCTATTTCACTAATAAAATGATAATCTTTAACTATTCAACTGATCAAACAATTCAACTCAATTCAATTCAACTTACTATTAGCTGATAGAATGATAGAATGGATCAGTTTGATAGAATGAACCAGTTCAGTCAAACAATTCATTAAGGAAAAAATGATATCCAGCTTAAATAAATAAATTTAGAAATCGATGGTGAAGATATAATCGATGAAGCGCTTGCTTTCTTTAAAGTAAACATTTTTTTTCGCGAGTACAAAATCGAGAGTAAGTTTTGAATATTGGCTGAAAAGGGGAGTGGGACAAATGCGACCTTTTTTTGCGCACCCGGACATTTGCGCACCTTTTTTTCCGCACCTTGCCCATTAGCGCACCTTTTTTCGCGTTTTAAAAAAAGCTCTAAAAGCTAATATTAACCAATTTCTATTCGAAAAGTTGTTTTTCTAGGTAATTTTAGGGCGTAGTATCGAAATTTTGGCATATCAGAGCTTGTGGAAACAAACGGACGGAGTTATACAAAGAGGAAAAATCAACAATTTTCTGTAATTTGACCTAGCCGTTTTGTCTTTCAAATTGGTTCCACACGCTCTGTTATGTCAAAATTAGAATTCGACACCCTCAAATTACCTAGAAAAACAACTTTTGGAATAGAAATTGGTTAATATTAGCTTTTAGAGCTTTTTTAAAACGCGAAAAAAGGTGCGCTAATGGGCTAAGTGCGGAAAAAAAGGTGCGCAAATGTCGGGGTGCGCAAAAAAAAGGTCGCATTTGTCCCACTCCCTTGAAAAGAATTTCAGCTTCAATTTCAGATTCTTCTGATCGAACACTCATTTATTTGACATTTTATATAAGTGAATGTTTAAGAAAATTGCAAAAGGTTTGTAAAAAATATTAAAAGATTAAAAAGATTGAAAAAAGATTTTAGAGTACCAACAAAACGGCTGGTCAAAAAGATTTGGCAATGCTTGCATTGTCGACACAATTACCGATCCCTGGAGAAGCGGCATTTCCGCTTAACAGTATGTACAAGGTTTGAAATGGAAAATCAAATCAAATCAAATCAAATTCATTAAAGGCACCGAAAAGCAAAATGGAGGAAGAGCAGATGCGTGGATACTTACAACAATTGAGGCAAGAGTTGGGACAACGATTGTGTGAGCTAGCGTTTCCCGATCCGGCTGCAAAACCCACAAAGGTACTTACAAACAAATACTTGAAATGATTGATACTATAAATATTTTCCTCTCTTCCTTTCTTTCTTCTTCCTTATCTTTCCTATTTCTTCTTGAGCAAGAAGAATAGGTCAGTGTTAGATCATCTGTTCGGTAAGCAGAAGATCTCCCGGTAAGGTCGAGGGTTCAATTCCTCTTCGGCCCAAAATTCTTTACCATTAATTTCTTTAATTTACAAAAAAATACTTGAATTGATCGATATAATATAGTTTTATCGTAGATAAACATTCAAAAAGGATATTTTCAGTGGTGGATGTGCTTTGCGAGAAAGCGCTTCTTGGACAAAAGCCTTGTTTCACCAGGAGTGACTTTGTAAACTTTTTTTCCAAATCATCTTTAAACTTTTAAAAAGCCTTTGTTGAGTCTTTTGACTTTCTTTATATAATAATTAAACTTTCAAAATGTTTCTTATATTTTGTATAATAAATATTTTCATGAAGAAATTGAAGAAGAAATTTTCATGAAGAAATTTCGACTCCACACAGTTAGATCCTGGTTGATCAACTTGGAGCCACTTGACCGATCTTTCAACAAAACAAAACGCCCATTATTTTGCTTAGTTTCTAAAATTATTGTTTTTAAAAAAAAATTATTTTAACTTAAAAGAATTGCAAAAAAAGAAGGAAATTCCTAAAGAAGGAAATTCCTAAAGAAGGTAATTCTTAAAGAAGGTAGTTCCTAAAGAAGGTAATTCCTAAAGAAGGAAATTCCTAAAGAAGGTAATTCCTATAGAAAGTAATTCTTATAGAAGGTAATTCCTAAAGAAGGTAATTTCTGATTTCATCCTTAAAACATTTTTCTCAAGTGCACTTCAAGCAAAAAGTTACCGTAGTCTTGCTAACTTTTCTTAGCGGTAATCATGAAAGGATTTGATTGTAAGAACTTTTTTTTGCACGAGACACAAAGCAAATTTCATTTTTAATGAATTAATTCAATCAATAAACGATATGAGACGAAATTTTTATTGTTCATTTATCAGTTATTTACCAATTGATTTTTTCACAATTATTGTGCATCCAAATGAAAGCAGATAAGCAGATGAAATCAGAAATTACCTTCTTTAGGAATTACCTTCTTTAGGAGTTACCTTCTTTAGGAATTACCCTCTTTAGGAATTACCTTCTTTAGGAATTACCTTCTTTAGGAATTACCTTCTTTAGGAATTACCCTCTTTAGGAATTACCTTCTTTAAGAATTACCCTCTTTAGGAATTGCCTTCTTTAGGAGTTACCTTCTTTAGGAATTACCTTCTTTAAAAATTACCTTCTTTTTTTGCAATTCTTTTAAGTTAAAATCATTTTTTTTGAAAACAATCATTTTAGAAACTATGCAAAATAATGGGCGTTTTGTTTTGTTGAAAGATCGGCCAAGTGGCTCCAAGTTGATCAGCCAGGCATTAAAAGTAAGTACGCTAAACAATTTCATTTTTATTTGAAATACTGGAAAACAAATTTAGATTGAATCTGATGCTCAGCAACAGTCAAATAAAAGTTTTTCGGTTAGAGGTTGATAAAATTCAGGAAAATTTTTGAATTATATCTTTAGGTTTTTCACGGGTCCCTGCAAGTGTTGACCCGAATCGCACGGTGAAGTCGTACCTACGGGAGAACAAAATCGAGTGCTCATCGTCGAGTTTTGAGGCAAGTCTAGAATCGATATGGGATCGGTCGGTCGTCCTTTGCGCTCCAACGTAAACTAAAGCGATCTAGTACACGCAAATCCCAATTTTTCTCGCAGCAGTAGTTTGGTATCGTGAGAAAAGTTGGGATTTGCGTGTGCTAGAGCGATTTAGTTTACCTCGGAGCGCAAAGGACGACCGACCGATCCCATGTCTATTCTAGAATATTCAAGTATTTGACTGTAAAACAAATATATTTTCTTTTTTCTTTTTTCTCTTTTTTTTTTTTCCTTTTTTATTTTTTCTTTTTTTTTTTTTTTTTTTTTTTTTTTTTTTTTTTTTTTTTTTTTTTTTTTTTTTTTTCTTTTTTTTTTTTTTTTTATTTATTTTAAAAAAAACCTTTTTTTTTTTTTTTTTATTAAAATTTTTTAAAATTTTTTTTTTTTTTTTTTTTTTTTTTTTTTTTATTTTTTTTAAAATTTTTTTCCCCCTTTTTTTTTTTTTTTTTTTTTTTTTTTTTTTTTTTTTTTTTTTTTTTTTTTATTTTTTTTTAAAAATCTTTTTTTTTTTTTCCTTTTTCCTCTTTTTAATAAAAATAATAAATAAATTATTTTTTTTTTTTTTTTTATTTTTTTTTTTTTTTTTTTTTTTTTTTTTTTTTTTTTTTTTTTTTTATTTTTTTTTTTTTTTTTTTTTTTTTTTTTTTTTTTTTTTAAAAAAAAAAAAAAAAAAAAATTAAAAAAAAAATTATTAATATATGATAGATATAGATAGATATAGATAGATATAGACAGATAGATATAGACAGATATAGACAGATATAAGTTTTGAAAATCATATCAACTCCTCGCATGGGAACTCTTTAAAACAAGACTTGTTAAGCTCCAAATTTCAACAAGTTTTGATTGAATTTTGATCAAAAATCAAGACTATATAGATACGGTTTTGCTAAAAAAACAAGAGATATAGAGATTCATTGCAAATAGATACAAAGTCTTCTTCAAATAAAGGCTTATCAGAAGCTGTTCAGCCTGAAGGAGCTAACGATTTCGAGTACGATGGCGACTGCGGAGACCGAGATGGTTTCGATTTTGGTTTTGGTGATTCACGAAAAGGACGGGGTATAAAAATTTTCTCAATCAATAATCAACTTTATTCTATAGTTTATTCTTTACAGTCCTTAAAAGTACAATGTACATTGTACTTTTAAGGCTGACTGTAAAGTTGTAAGAACTCTTGTTCGGGTGATTTTGTTCGGGTGATCAAACTCTTTATAATTGCAGGTCGTGTCGCAATCGATCGCGATGGATCGAAAAGTTTGCGCTTTTTCTCGCATCGTGTTTGTGATAAAGTGAAACAGAAACGACAAACCACGTATAATGAGGTGATTAAGATTTGGTATAATATTTATATTGAAAATGAATCATTACAAATGGAACAGCCTTGTTCTTCTATCATCAAACTACTCAAAATTAGAGTTCAGCAAACAAAACCAAAACCAAAACCAAAACACCAAAACAAACCAAAACTTAATTTGATTTGCATATAAATTAACATGTAAATTTGAAATTGTAAAATGCAAATTTGCCTTTCACTTTTTCTCACTCCCCAAAATCTCGCGGCCGAAAAAAGGACCAAAGCACGATCTCGAAATTTCGAAACAAAAAATAGCCTATGGGATAGATTTTTGGACGCTGATTTCAAATCTGCAAACAGATTTTCGCTAGCTCCTCCCAATCGCGAGATATTGTCGAGTTTTGGTTAGTTTTGGTTTTGGTTTTGGGCTTGTTTTGGTTTTGGTCTGTTTTGGTTTTGGTGGTTTTGGTTTTGGTTAAGTTTTGTTTTCCGAAGTCTACTCAAAATCATATTTGAAAGATAATTTGTTCAAATTTCCATAGAAAAATCGTCAAAACTGTTTAGATTTCCAAATTTTCAGGTTGCTGAAGAGCTTGTTCAAGAATATTTCGATTCGATGCCTCCACAGAGTGCCGACAAACAACAACACGATGTGAAAAACATTCGGCGACGAGTTTACGATGCTCTCAATGTACTCATCGCGTTGAATATTGTAGCAAAAGAGAAAAAGGTAATTTATGCAAATAAATTCACAAGATTTCAATGCTAATTCGAAAATGAACTCTTTAACGATAATAGGATTTCAATGCTAATTCACAAATCAACTTTTTAGACGATCCATTGGGTTGGACCGGCTACGGAAGCTGACGAGGATTTAGATGACGAAATGATAGATGGTTAGCAAGTTTATTCAACTTTTAATTGAATTTCATCTAATTTAAGATTCAATAACTTTATTGTAGATGACAATGAGGCAATTGAGAGAAAGGAGGCTCGAATTCGTGAGCTTCTCGGCGAACTCGTCGGGTTTAAGAGTCTTGTCGAGAAAAATCGGTGCGTTAGGTCAAATTATCTGACAACAGATACGTTTACTAGTTTTAATTTCATCTGATTTAATCAAACTTCATTGCCTTTCTAGGAATGACGAGCAAAAGCTTGGTCGACCACACGAGGACGCGATCACTTACATGCCTTTCGTCGTCATTGGCACCGATAAAAAGTATGATCGGCTAGATTTTAAGAGAAATTTTCAAATTTTTTATAGCACTTATGTAAACTGCAGCATTTCGCATGATAAATCGGAGCTACTTTGCGATTTCAACGAAACATATCAGGTGAAGAATGGAAATTAAGGCTAAAGAAGGCTAAAGGCTTATAATGGCCTAAGAATGGCTTAAGAAGGCTTTAAAAGGCTTTAAAAGGCTTAAAAATGGGTTAAGAAGGCTTAAGATGGCTTATGAATGGTTTAAGAATGGCTTAGGAATGGAAATGAAGGCTAAAGAAGGCTTATAAAGGCTTCTGAAGGCTTATGAAGGCTTATGAAGGCTTAAGAAGGCTTAAGAAGGCTTATGAAGACTTAAGAATAGCTTATGTAGGCTTAAGAATAGCTTAAGAATGCTTATGTAGGCTTAAGAATAGCTTAAGAATCCGAATCTGAAGGCTAAAGGCTTAAGAATATCTTGAAAGAATTCAGCTTACGTCATATTTTAGAATCATAAAACCAACATTTTCTAAGAAACAACGATTTTCAGGTAACCGAAGATCAAAAAGTCCTCGAGCAACTCGGTCACACGTATGGAGTTCAAACGGGAGTGGTTAGTCATAAGCTTTTTATGTGTTAGCTCTGATTAATTTCCTTCTAATAGTTCCAAAACTTATCATTTATCGTTAAACTTATGAATTCCTAGGTGGAAGCAAGTAATATTATGCGAGTAAGATCTTTGGTACCAAAAGGTCTCCGTCACTATCTTCCCTCGTTGCCTGAAGGAGCTGCTGATGTGCAACAAGGCGAATTGCAACCATTTTACGGTCAGCTTTCAAAGAACAAGTTGTAGTTGGGATTTGAAAACGCTTTTGTTTCAGTTTTACAAAGTACATCTTCAATAAGTTTCAAGTGAAATTTTTCAGCTGGCTTCGACTACTAAACGTGCTCAGCTTTCGAATCAGTCCATTACATCAATCCATTCCATCAATCCATTACATCAATCCATTACATCAATCCATTCCATCAATCCATTCCATCAATCCATTCACTTACCTACTTACCTCATTTGTTCACTTAATTCAATTGTTTTTTGTGATAGTTCTTTTAGCTAATCAAATTCATTTACAATTGCTTATATTTTTAATAAACGTTGTCATAAGATGTTGAAAAAAAGAGTAAGAGATCAATTTGATTGAGCTGATTCAATGTTCGGTCATTAGATCTCTTCTTATTGTCAAAATTAATTCAAAAGCAATAAAGCATTGAAAAGTAATGCAATTTTTGATTATCTGTATCACTTGTGTACTTTGACGAGTGAATTCTTTGAGCTATTTTAGCATCAAGTAAAGCAGATCCAAGCTTAAACTATGCAAAACTATAGTGTTAAGATCTAAAGACAGACAAATATTCGGGAGCTGATCAAAACAGTGCCGTGTACAAACAGCGCCGGTCAAAATAGTGCGCTTGCAGTCAAGTTTATTTGTGTTTCTTATTTTCATTGAATATAGAAAAAAAATTAGCTATCTGCTGAATTTTTTAGAACCGTTTAGAACAAATCTGGAATGAGAAAATGCTAAAAAAAAACGAAAAAGAGGTTAATTGAGCTTTTCTCAACATCATTTCTGTTTTAAGTGACCCCAAAGTATGCAAAATGTAGATCATTTTATTCTGCATTCAATAAGAATAGGAAACACAGAGAAACTTAACCGTGGAGGGGCTATTTTTGCCGTGGCGCTGTTTTAATCAGCTTCCCTTTTTTGCAATAATTTAGTACGATAATTTTTTCTAAGTTTACGTTTTAAAAAACGCATTAGACACTCTCTAGTATCACATTAGTTCTATTCGAACAATGGTACACTACACTTTGATCTCTAGCCTTGGGAACACGAGCTGCGAAATCCCTTGGGTGAAATATTCTTGACAAATGCGTCTATGGATTCTATATGAAATAGGAGATTCTTTTGCTTGTATAATTTGAAAATTATATTACTGTTTTGATCAGCTCCCAAATATTCTTAGTTTGATCACTTTAAAATTATCAAATGCTTTTCTTAGCTTTAATGCGCTTTCTCCAGCCTTTAGACGAGTTAAATTCTTCAAGAAATTAGCCAAAATTAGACTAAAATTGGTAAAATTGTAGCAAAAATGTTTAATTGGCCTACAATAAACCTTTTTTTTCCCTTTTTCTGCCTTATAATTACAATTTTCAAAGATTTTCAATCACTTTATTCACCCCTAAAGTCTAATCAGCGCCCTTTCCACCGTAATCTCTCATCCATTTAGATTTTATGTGTTGATTTGAAAGAAGAACGGCTGATCCATCGTTTTGATTCATCGTTTTGATATTCTGAATTTGTTATTTCTGATATTTTTGATTTCATTTCTTTATTTACATTTTACCATTGTACTTTTATGATTTCAGAATGGCTCCCGCATATCGGGAAGAAGCTGACCGACTAAAAATCGCTGAAAAATTGGTGATTCTTAACGGCAGAGCCGTCGGTCTTCTCACGAGGATTTATAATATCAAAAAAGTGAGTGAAATTTGTAATATTTATTGTAAAGATACTTATAAAGATATTTACTATTTACATTTTAATTTTAGGCATGTGCTGAGCCAAAATCAAAACCCACATTTCTCGGTGACAAAACGATGGAAAGCGCCATTAAGCACATCGTCAAGAAATTTCCAGTCATCGATTTACGCAGTAATCAGGTAAGAATTTTTTTTTAAAAGAAGAAAAAGCTTATTGTAGTTTAAAAAGTTTTATTGTAGCTTATTGTAGTTTAAAAATTTGTGTATAAAGAATACAGATTTCAACGGTTCATTTCTACAATAACTAACAAACTTTTGAATGTTTTAAAGAAAGAAAACCCCATTTCAGTCGACTTTCTCAAATGTGGCCAATCAGAAAGAGGAGATTGTTAAATCGCTTTCTCTTTACTATTACACATTCGTCGATTTGCTTGAGTTTAAAGAGCACACTCTTCAATTTCTCACCACCATGGATGTAGCTCGTTGTCATCTGGATATCGTAAGTTACTCTAGCTGATAGAGTTTTGTAAAAAATATTCTTTAACTTGCAGACGTTGAACTATGAGTTAACAGCCGGTTACTTGAATCTAATCACGAACTTTATCTCGCTGATGATCTTACTCTCAAGGGTTGATGATCGAAAAGCGGTAAGAATTTGACAAATATGATCTGCAGTATGTTATGCAGTATGTTATGCAGTATGATATGCAGTATGATATGCAGTATGATATGCAGTATGTTATGCAAATTGCTTTTAAAAATGATATGCAACTTGCAAAGGTATCGTATTTTGAGATGAAATTTGTTAGAGGAGTTAGAGAGATGGTCTCCTATTGGAGATTGATCTTCTATTAGAATATTAGAATAACGCGATTAGAATAGTACTATTAGAATCGGTATTCTTTTTAGGTACTTGGAATCTTCAATGCCGCTTATGACCTCTCAAATGGCCACGGTGACTACTCGTTTCCGCGACTCGGTCAAATGATCATCGACTACGAGAATCCATGGAGGAAATTATCAGAAGAGCTAGGCCCATTGAACAGAGTGAGCCATTCACATTTTCAACAATTTCCCATAATTACATTTTAGCTCATTCACTCGGCCATTCACTCTCTATGCGCTGTCTATCATCGCAGGAATGTGACCGCAGAGATGTGGCGATCAGCGCAAATCCTTTCACTCTCTGCGAACTCTCAGCAATTACTTTATGCGGCTCAAACGGATACGGTAAGTAGCAAAGTTTATTGTTAAACTTATTAGAAAAACAATAATTTAGATAGCTTGTGAGTACCTGTCGTTGGACGTGATGGATCGGTGGATAATCCGTTTGTCTAAGCGTAGTTTTTTAATATTAAAAAGAAATTTTAGTGCCTTCAATAGTTTGCCATAATTTCTTGCTCAGTGATGCGTTGATTTTACGAATGTGGACCTTGGCATTGCAGATGGGATTGGCGTTGCGAATATTTCGAGATGAGGTTGGGGAAAGAGTAGAAATCGAGAACAATTGTAAAAATTGTTAAATTAAAATTTTTCAAAGTAGAGATCGATAGTTGATTTTAAAAATTGTTGCTTTAGATCCTCCTATTGCACCCAACAATTTTGGGATTTTTCGAGGGAAATAAAGGCCTAGGAAAACGGATTCAAGAGGTGAAAGAAGCGCACGCCGTTGCTCTTCAACAGAGGTAAAGAAACAGTAAACAACTCAATATTATACGTAAAAGATATGTTTTGAATTCTTGATTTTGTTTTGAGTTGATTGATTTGATTGATTTGATTGAGTTGATTTGTTTTTTTCAGCCCAGCCATTCACGCGGATCGAAGACGATTTCTCCGAAGCGCTTTGCGTGAGTTGCTCTACTTTTTCCGTGATGAGCCCGGGCTACTTGGACCGAAAATCCTCTTCGTTTGGATGGGTCTTTCGTTTAGTCGAGATGAGGTAAGGGAACTTTTTGTAAATATTTGATCTTTTTTCAATCCTATATTTTTTTAGGTTTTATGGCTGATTCGACACAGCGAAATTTGGCCTTCCTCAAAGAAAACTGGCTCCTCAGCAAAGGTAAATAATTTGAATTATGCTAAAATTGGTTCTGTTCAAGGATTCAGTTAGATAAGTAAATAGTGATTTATTCAGTATAATTTAAATTACGGATAGACGAACGGACCCTGCTTTTATATAATAGATCATTTAGGCTGGTGATAAAACCGAGGAGTTGAGCGACAAGCAACTTCCCGAACTCTTGTACTATATTGAGGAGTTGAGAGATCTTGTCAGAAAACATGCGCAAGTCATTCAACGATATCATGAGCAGGTTAGATATCTTCAACTCATAGAATCACTCTAGAAAACACAGTCACATTTGAATTCATATGTTTCTCTTTTCAGTACGTCGTCAGCTATGACGCGATTGCTCTCGGGGAGTTACTGGATCAAGTAAGGTTTTATAAAAGTGCAAAAAGATTAACAATTACAGGCAAGAACAAAGGGTCTACAAAATGATGAAGCTCAACTGTTGCAATCTTTTGTAAGAGACATTTCGTTGCCCGGCTCTCTAGTCGAGCAAATGCTTGCCTTGCGCGCGAAACGACTTGACTGGTTCCGCTTTCAGGTAATCGATATTAGAAATTCAATCCTCTTAAAATAAATTTCTAAGCTTCAATGAAATAGTACAATTTTAGGCGCTCACTTCAATGGCCAAGTTCTCTTTCGATCTCTCGCTTTGTCGCCCATTGGCCGACATGATGAACACCACGGTTTTCCATCTGAGAATGATCGATCAACAAGAGGAAATGCTGAAGGAAACATCGGATTTATCTATTTATTGGTAATTTGCAGAAAATAATCAGAAAATGTTTCTTTTTAGCTTCTATGTTCGGACATTGGAAAGACATTGGCGACAGTGCCTCTCGTTGCCGACGTCTTGTCGATATACGCTCGCTTTCGCCCGTCTTTGCTCACATTTCGCCTCATCACTTCACGAAATGTGTCCGGAAGAGAAAAGTCATGTCATTGAGAGGGTTTGTTGCTGACAAAATGCTTAGTAGTTCTCTAAAATCCTTTAAAACCCAAATCTCTATAGTAAAAGGCTTTTAGAGCAATCTAATCTCTTTAGTAAACCAAATTTCATTGTGAATAAAACTAATAATGGATTAAATGAATTGTAAATAGCTTAGTAATAGCTCAGTAACTGTATTAATAAAGTAAAAAAATGTATGGCAAAGACTTGGGACCAAGGGAACAAGTCGAACCCTCGTCCTTCTGTCCTCTCGGCCTCGACTGGGCAAATGCACTACCACTGAGCTATCGCCGCCTTTTCTACTAAGGAGAAATGAATCTATAATTTAGAGTCTGGCCATGTGCAACTCGGTTTTGGATGAGCTCTGTGAGACGATTGGTGGAGTGATTATACATTTATGGGAGCACGAGCTTCAACTCGCCGATCAAACATCGGCCACACAGGTCTAGGCTTTATCAAGACAAAACTGAACAGTTTTAGGTGGCTCAACAAATCGTTAGTCAAGTGCTGCGCGATCGGGTGAAAGCATCAAAATCGTCGGCCAACTTACCACAAACGGATTTCATTTTGGCTGGAGAGGAGAGTCAACGATTGGATCGACACGAGTTAACGTATCAAGATCGACGACAAACGACTTTGAGTTAGTGCTAGAAACAATGTAAATGGAAAATTATAGTGCTTAGACTTTAGAAAATCATTCAAGAATTATAAGAGCTAACTCTTAGTCGAGTTTAGTCGAATTGTGTTGTGCGATCTCTTCCGTCAAACAGGTTGTCGTCGCTGAGCACATCTTTGCTCCACGAGAATATCTCTATCAACATCTTGAAAATCGTTTCTCTGAGATGGTCATCAGTGGGTTTTTAAATGTAAAATCTATTCTTGAAACTCTTAAAAGCTTCTTTGAGCATTTTGAACATTTTACGGCAAACTTAAACCTTAAATGTTATAGGAGCTGTTTCTGAAGATGGCTCCACTCCTCGTCGTCCCTCGCAACTCCTAACGATCATCTATTCTTATATGACTGTACTTCAAAACCTTGATGCTGCAGGTTTTAAAATTTGGAAGCAAGATAGTTCAAATTTTTAGTGACTATTGATGTGACACGGCTCTTCAGCTCGGTTCTCTTGCAACAGACACAACCAGTTGATGGACGAAATCGGGAAACGATCACAGCTATCTACACAAAATGGTTGGTTTGAAAACAAGCCTCAATTGTGAATTGTAAAGCCTTTTAGCTTTCTTTATATAATAATATAAAGAAATTATATAATTTAGGTACCTCGAAGTGGTGCTTCGACGCGCAGCCACTGGGCAAATGGTTTGGAGTGATCATTTGCAGGCCATGATCGGAAATGGAGAAAATAACGTTTTTGCGCCTGAACAATACACGGATCCTTCTGGTTTGTCGTCAGAGTTAGTCTTTAAAATCAAAATTTAGAAATGAGAGCCTTAGTGCAAATTTTGGGCCCATACGGAGTGAAACATCTCTCGGAAAGACTCATTTGGCATGTTGCGAGTCAAATCGGAGAGCTGAACAAGGTTTTAGGAGTATTTTCAATAAAGCTGAATATGTTTTTATTGTTTTTATTTATGCTAAATCAAATTTTCAGCTGGTAATCTCCAATAAGGAAATTTTACTCCTCGCTCGATCGCATTTCGATCAAGCTGACAAGATGCGTGAAGTGGCCTCCGTTCTATCGTTTGAGCCAAAGGATAGCAAAAAGGTGTGGATCTATATAAAAGAGCAATGTTTGTCTGTCTTTCTGTCTGTCTGTCTGTCTGTCTGTCTGTACAAACATTTCCCGGGCCGTGTTTTGACCAATAAAGCAAAAAGTTCTTTAGAAAACCTTAGAATATATTGTAGTTGTATATTAAAATATATAAATTAAAAAAGCCAAGATTGAGTGAATACTACGGGGGTCGAACCCGGGCCGTGTGGGCTTTAGACAAGCGCGCTACCGACTGCACCACCGTAACAATGCGCTCTAGCCAGAAAATATTCACCTAAAACATTCAGCCAGAAAAACCTGTATAACGACGGATTTTTCTGGCTAGGCCGTATTGTTGCCGTGGCGCAGTCGGGAGCGCGCTTGTCTACGACCCACACGATCCGGGTCCGACTTCCGGCCGTGTCGTGGGTTTTGCTTTTTAAAAAACGAAATGTGAGATGCACAACTACAGTCGAACTTCTCTATAACGACCTTCTATATAATGATTTTGAAATTCGAAAAGGTACCCCTAATTTCTGCGTAGCTGCCCAATTAGGTGCAATCGTTGCCCGCACAGGGCAGCTACACAGAAAATGTGGGCGCTTTTTAGAAGCGTTATATAGAAAGTCCCTTCGATATCGTTATAGAGAAGTTCGACTGTACATAGAATTCTAAGCCTAATGAACTAAAAATCATGTAAATCGGCCTACGGGGAGCCGAGAACTCACACGTACAGACAGACAGACGAACATACACTTTCCTTTTATATATAGTAGATAAACAATACAATTTTTACATATATCTTTTAAAAAAAGCGGCAATTTCAGAACCCTGGCGCCATCTCTTCCACAACGGATGCAATTCTGCAGCGAACCTCCATTATTGGACAGATTTTCTCTTTCCGCGATGCTATCCATCATGCGTTGAGGTAAAGAGGTTGAGATTTAAATCAAATAGACGAACTTTGGATTCAAAATATAATCAAGTACAATATTGTAATATTTAAACTCTTAACTCTTGTAATATCAACTACTTAAACACAGCAACTTTCTAGACACGTCTTGGCTCGACGATTGCCTTTTTTGATTTCTTCTTATCGAAATCTCTATGAAAGTGTTTGTGATGACACGAAAGTGGTAAACTTTATTTAAATAATAGAATATTTATTTAATAGATTATTTATTATTGTTTTAAAATTATAGAATATTAAGTTAATATGTTATTTATATTCTTTTTAGATAATGGCTGAGTTGGGCGCTTCGATGGGTGAAGAGACTTTGGTTGACACGGCTCTCGTGAATGCCGTTAGAGCACAGGTTGGCTGAAAAATGAAAAGAAACTTGAATAAAGCACAATAGCACAATCATTTCATGGTATTATTGAGTCGATTTTCTTACAATATTTTAGACGAATTCCATTTCACCCGAAGAACACTATCAAATATCGTGTCTTCTCATGGTGGCCATCGCCATTTCCCTGCCCCGTCTTGCTGATATGTCGATGAGCATTTACAAGCCAAGTATACAAGGTATCTAAATAATAATATAGCTAAATATACTATAGCTAATATAGACAATACATTACATAAAATTTCCAGCTGCTTTAAACAACTCGCACTGTGTCCCGTTGGCAATCTCCACTCTCGGCTCAGCTCTTTTCCAGCTACACGGGAAAAAAGATATTATTCAAAGAATGAAAGAATTTCTAGCGGTATGGTAAATATAAATTGTAAATGAAATTGCTTTTTAGCTGGCTTCATCAGCGATTCTTCGTTGTGGACATGAGTCTGATGTGACTGGTGGAGAGAAAAGACCGTTAAACTTCTTAGCGATTCTTCTTGATCAAGTAAGTGATTTAAAGTAGAGTTCGGCAAACAAAACCAAAACAGACCAGAACCAAAACCAAAACACCAAAACAAACCAAAACCAAAACAAACCAAAACTCAATTTGCATATTATTTAACATGTAATTTAAAATTGTAAAATGCAAATTTGCCTTTCACTTTTTCTCACTCCACAAAATCTCGCGGCCGAAAAAAGGACCAAAACACGACCTCGAAATTTCGAAACAAAAAATAGCCTATGGGATAGATTTTTGGACGCTGATTTCAAATCTGCAAACAGATTTTCGCTAGCTCCTCCCAGTCGCGAGATATTGGCGAGTTTTGGTTAGTTTTGGTTTTGGTTTTGGTTTGTTTTGGTTTTGGTTTTGTTATGGTTTTGGTTTTGGTAGTTTTGGTTTTGGTTAAGTTTTGTTTTCCGAAGTCTAATTTAAAGTCAATAAAAATAGTGAAAAGTGTGAAGAGTTGTAAGAAAGAGTTTAGGTTATCTTCAGTTAAATCCTAAAACATTTTCAGATTGTCACAAAATCGCGATATTTAACGGCCGACGTGCTGGAGACTTGTTTCCCATACACTCTCGTTCGAACCGCCTACTTGGAATGCTATCATAAAGAGTTGACCTTTGTAAATAGTTAATTTATTTCAAATGTTTATTATTGTATTCTTATTGTATTTTTATTGTATTTTTATTATATTTTTATTGTATTCTTATTCTATTATTGTATCAATATTATTCAGTTAAGTTAGTTTTTTCAACTCTTTCCCTTCTTCAACTTTGTACTACACAAAGAAAACTTCTTGTGCTTTTTCCTTGTGCTTTAACTTTCCACCAAAAAAAACATTCCCCATATGTCAAAAAAAAAGCTCTTTTGTACATAGAAATTAGGTGCATTTTGACAATTTCAATTTTGATTTTGAATTGATAGCTTTAAATACGTATTGCTCCATGGCTCACTCTCGCATTTGTGCTAAATTCAACTTATCCGGGCTAATCAGTCAATTATTAGGTTGAGGAAAAAAGTTCTGACTCAGCTGCGAAAAATTAAATTTTTATGCATTTTTTTGCTGGTTTTTCGCGCTTGTTGTACCAATGTTGATCTTTGTATTTCAGATGAGTTTCCAAGAAAAAGAGCTTCGAGTTTTGATCCGCTATTGCTGGAAACGGAAACATTTGAAGAAGTTGAAGAAACTTGCCAAGAGTTCTTTGAACCGAAACCGAAGGAGTGGTACTTTAAGTAGATCCTAAAGCTTGCAGATCGATGACAGAAAGTCGTGGATAATGTTGGGTAGATACTTTGAGGAATAATTCTTCTTATTTTTGTTATTAAAGTGCGCATAAAAAAAAATTGAATTTTGTCGCAGTTGAGTCAGAACTTTTTCCTTAACCTAGTATTTCCGTAAATTTGATTAAATTACCTTAAATTACATTAAATTTCATTAAATTTCATTAAATTTCCTTAAATTTCCTTAAATTTCATTAAATTTTATTAAATTTCCTTAAATTACATTAAATTATTAAGTTTATTAAGGTTTATTAAGGTTTATTAAATGATTACCAAATGATTATCACTAACTGCACTCTTCCCTTTGATAATAAGCGCTCAATTTTCTTTTAAACAACTTTATCTCTGTTTTTGATGTTATAAAGTTTGATAAATTATTATTCTAATGATGATTTGGTGCAAAAAATTTATTGTAATAAGGCTATGATTTTAAAAAAAGCAATTAAAATTACATAAAAATAATATAAGTAGAGGAAAAGCCATCGAAATTGGTAAAGAAACGTAATCCATGTACAAATGCTTGATTTTCGGCATCTACTCGAGCTCACTAAAAGGAAATATTGGTAGTGTTGTAAAAGAGTATAAAGTTAAAACAATTCTCAAAAAAAAATCGAAACTCACGAGCTCTCAATGAAGCCATTCGTGTAGACTCGAACCATGAACTCAGCCTCTTCATTTGGCTCGTATGTTGAGGGTACGACGAGATACCGGCCTGGGGGGACACGGTATCGAGCAGTCATCTAGAGATGTTGGCTTTAAACTGTGAAATATTGGGTTGGTGAATTGAAAAACTAAAGAACTAAAGAACTAAAGAACTAAAGAACTAAGAACTAAAGAGATAATCTTCAGACTTTTTGATAGATAAGAAAATTTTTTTTGGAACTTTTATGTTAAACCTTTTCAAGATCTTATATATTGGGTTGGTGAATTGAAAACTGCGGGATATTGTCATATGTCAAAGTTTGAGGACTTTCTTCAAAAGAAATTTGGAGGAACACGGTATCGAGCAGTCATCTAGAGATATTGGCTTTGGATCTAACTGCCGGATATTGTCATATGTCAAAGTTAGTTTGAGGACTTTCTTCAAAAGAAACCCATTTTGGTGTCAATGGAAAAGTTGTAGAGAATCAAAAATCAAGCTTATATCCAAATTTTCAGAACGATTCAAAAACTAGTTTTCAAGAAATGCCAAATTTATGAAATTTTCACAAAACTTGCATTTTAAGCGAAACTACTAAGTGTATCTTTTTGGAAATTTGGCTATAAGCCTAATTTTTGATTCTCTACAACTTTTCCATTGACACCAAAATGGGTTTCTTTTGAAGAAAGTGCTCAAACTGGGACATCTCCAGTCCTTGATTTTTGAGTCTCACGCACAAACCAAAATCCTACCACGAAAGAGGAATCCGTACATTGCCTGTAAAATGGGTAGAAGTCGTCAATAATAATGGGAATTATTTGGAATGAATTCATGGTTTTATGTTGAATAAATTTTAGTTCAAAGTCCCGCAGTTTTCAATTCACCAACCCAATATATTGCAATAGATTTGTTTATTTTATTTACATTTACCAGACAGACATAGTAGACTTTAAAGGTAAATAAATCTCAGATAAAAGTCTTTACTTTTAAAACAATGACTAGAGAAACAATCTCTAAGTGTAAACTCAAGAATTGGCATCCATTTCATCATCTCGATTTCTATTCTTTCACCTACTTCGCGCAAGTTGATGAATGCTGGACTTCGCATGCTGGATTTTGTTGCCTGGAAGAACTGCTTTCCCAATTTTTCGCGCACATTTTGATTCTAAATTCATTAAACCTTTTTTTTCAATCTCTTTTTGTTACCGAAACATCGTACACAGCAAAACCAATCGGCACATTGTCAAAGCCCTCAGCTTTCAGATTTCGACGATATTTTTGTAAAACGGCAAAGATTACCTGAAAACTTTGTCACTTGTTGTACTCATTTTCTTACCGTGCACAACTCGTCATCATCATCGGGATCCGAGTCTTTCAGCTCGATGAGGAATTGCGGATTGTTCGCAAAAGTGTCTAAAGTTTATCTGTTTTTTTTGAGAAAAAGGTTACCGTATTTTTCATCGTCGAGCCGAGCTAATGCCTATTTGAAAGTTTCCAAGTTTTCCCAGAAGCTCAACACTCTAATCACCCACAAGATCTCATCATAAGCTACATTTTCCGACCCCACATCGATAGGTTCTCATAAGCGCTTTTCGAGATTTCGAGGAATTTAGCCGTGCACTACTATTAGAGGAAATACGATATTTGAATTGGAATATAAGATAAAAATCCAACTAATGTAATTCCTGCATCCGCCGGCGGTCTGATTGCGAACCCAGGTTCCATCATGATTGTTGGTTGCCCAAGTGTTTGCCGCCGCTCGCACTCCGGTCATTTGGTAGACCTGAAATTCAATTTGAACGTTTCTTTTTTCTGAGTTTAGCTTTTCTTCAAGTTAAAGGCTTAATTTAGCCCATAGCCTTGTCCCACCTCATCCATGACATCTGGTCCCAAATTACAAATCTCCATCTTCTCGAAGTTCTTCATAAAATCATCAAACGAAATCCTGACAATTGATTTGTTTTTTTTTGCAATTTGTTTAGTTATTTTACCAGAATTCTCCATCATGATCGAATTTCAAACCCATTTCTTCTTTAACGTTGTCAGGCACAGATTTCCATTCACGAGAATTATCCGACCTGCAAGTTAGGTTCTCAAATAAATCACAACTAAATCACTAAACCTTTTCACTAAACATTTACTAAGTTCTTTATTTAGTTTACAACAATCATTGTATAATATTTTTAGTTGTTTTACCATCGTCCATTCCATTCCGCTTCGTTTCCCCATGGGTTGCGAACACGGAGGATACACTCTTGACCGTCTGGTCCATCAACACTGCGAATTCCAGTGATCGAGTAAGCGTGACCCTGAAGTAAAATCGTATTATAAAATCGTATCATAAAATCGTATCGTAAAATCGTATCGTAAAATTGAAACTAGATTCAATTCAAGATTAAAATTCACTTACACGAACAAGTCCATTAGACAAGCGAGCTTCCCATTGATTTGGATCAGCCTCGATCGAGCAGCCCATCAACGAGCCCATCTCCATGCCTCTAGAAAAGAAAGTCGATGATTTTTTTTTATTGAGAAATTTAACCTCATCATCATTTGCATGACATTCTGTGGTGGATCTTTCAAATCGATAAACTCTGTTAAACCTAGAAATGACGATAAAAGTGATTTGAAATATCGGCATCACCTCCAGTCATATCTTCGAGAGCTTCCGAAGTCGTTCCACCCTTCAACGCTTCATACGATCCAACTAATCTAAAGATTTTTTTTGTTATAAATACAAATTCTAAATTCTAAATTCCATTATCATATTTTAAAATCTTAAATCACACTTGGCGTATGCTTTCTCAAGTAATGCACTCCAGAATTCACTCTTTGAGCGCGAATGCATATAGAGAAGCTCTCCATTTGATGTTGGAAGGCTAAAAAGTTAATTTGCTTTTGTTTTTTATTGATTCTTACCGATCATCAATCACCACATCAACCCATTTACCGTATTGCCAGAATTGGAAATGGAAAATCCCTGAAAAAAAGAGATTTGACAGATTTGACAAAAACTTTTTATCCTTACCAGCATAGTTCTCTGTAAACGATTGATCTGGTGGAACGACACGGTAGAAAAGCTCATCACGAAGAGTCAAATTCGCAGCTGCTGCAAGCAACCAACAATCGCCAAGCTCTCCCTAACAAATCTTTAAAAGTTATTGTAGAAATTCTCACTTGAATGACGTCAAAACGAGAGTGTCCCTCATCGAGAAGTTGGGGATCTTTGCAAATCTCCCCTGGCCTCAACCAAGTGATTCTCTTTGGAGGGCTTTTTGGAGAAAAAAGTGACGAGTCAGCGGCAGCAAAGTGCGGATCTTCAAAAAGACGACGTTCCTAAAAGAGCTCAATGAATGAAGAAACAAAGAGCTTCACCTGGATACACTTGTCTCGTTCTTCATAGAAGTCGATCGGCTCAAAGCCTTGAGCTGGCCTCACTGGACCACCACCGCCTACAAGTATCGAGCTTTTATTTGATATAGTTGATGATATTACCTCCACCAGCATCACCTCCACCTGATGGAAAGGGTGAGGGTTCTGGCTTCACAAATGGATTCACATCTCTTCGAAATTTCCCAGAGATAATGTTATCGAGAATGATTTTTCCAATATTTCCAAGATTATTGTCTTTTCCTCCAAGCGAGAAGATCACATTGCCAGCAATCGCTCCTAAAAAGAAATCTTGCTGAAAAAGAAAGAAGATTGTGGGACATTTGATTTCCCCATTGACAATCTAACTTTGAGCTCAAATTTCTTCGTGTTAAGTTGTTCAATTTAAATAGTTTTTCTACCAATCGACAGAGAAAGACTTGGCGCATCTAATGATACAAAGCAAATTTCAATTGAACAGCCCAGCCCCAAGATATTTGAGCTCAAAGTTAGGCAAATTTTTTGTTCATTTTGGCTTTTCTATTTCAATACTTTCTACCAATCGACAGAGAAAGACTTGGTGCATTCAATTTGACAAAAAATATTTCAGTTCAACAGCCCGACACCAAGAAATTTAAGCTCAAAGTTGGTTTGCTAATGGGAAAAGGGGAGCGCGTGTCAAGTGTTCGATAATCTGCTGGAAATGATTCAAGTTGAAATACCAATGATTTTTCCCGTCGACGGATCAACGCCAAGGAAACGATGAGCCGCCTCGCCGATAAGATTCCCAATGATATTCACCATTCCTCCATTCAAACTGTTTGGATTAATGTTTCCTCCTGAAAATTTTATACAAATAATGGTATTTAATAGTGTTGCACTCACTAGAAATCACTAGAAATCACTAGATATCACTAGAAATCACTAGAAGCCACTAGAAATCACTAGAAATCACTAGATATCACTAGAAATCACTAGAAGCCACTAGAAATCACTAGAAATCACTAGAAAAAAACTCCAACCCGAACCTAATTCCACCTTCGTTTTCTCAACCGTCTTTTGGCCGATTGTTTGGAAATTTTGTTTACAAATCGAAATTGATATTCTCTGCTTGTAGACAAAATTTCTAAGAGACGGAGAAAACGATGGTGGAATTAGGTTCGGATCGGAATTTCCCATGTCTAGCACTCACCTCCACCGCCGTATTGATCCTGTTTTCGTCCACCGCCGCCAATTAACGATCCGATAAGGCTGCCAACACCAGAGCCTAAATTTTTGAATAATGGTTTTTGTTTAAGGTTTAGATAAATAGATAATGATTAGTGAATGGACCTCCTCCACCGCCGCCGCCACCGCCTTGAATCGAGTTGATGACTCCGGCGATGTCGTTGAAGTTGAAACCTCCTCCACCGCCTCCTCCACCTCCTCCATCTAAATTTCTTTCTTAAACATATACAGAAATAAATTACTAAAGTATTCAGATATACAGAGATAGATCATTAAAGTATTCAGATATAGAGATAGATCATTAAAGTATTCAGCTACAGAGATAGATCACTAAAATTTACTGCCTCCTCGATTCCCTCCACCTCCAGAATTATCAAATCCTCCATCGCCTCCACGATTTCCTAGATAATTAGTAAGTAAATATATTTCAACTACTCAACCTCCTCCACCGCCTCCTCCACCCAGAAATCCACCAATCAAGTCGCCGAAACCATTGCCTAAAATATTATTCAAAAATTAGTCCATTAGGAGCCCGCGGATTAAAATTAGTGCTTGGATAGCTAGAAGAGAATTGGAAGTTCCCCAAAGGAAAAGATTATATGTTAGTGTTTGGAGTTGAAAAAAGCTTGGAGAGCCCATGCTAGGCACCGTTCGCTTTTTGCTGTTTCTTCTTGCCAAACAGGCCGCCGAGAATCCCACCGATGCCACCGCTCTTCTCACGGAAATCACCGCCATTCCCTTCTCCATTACCCCAATCTATTCTATTATTTTATGCTTAAAAAAATCGTTGATGAATAAATCTAGATTTCAATTTGATTTGCTGACGTTTACCTCCTCTTCCACCTCCTCCACCTCCTCCACCTCCTCCTCCACTTCCAGATAAGACATTGTCGGCAAGTCCAGCCAAAATATTCCCAGCGTTTCCACCAACCTAATTCGTTTTTTTTCAGTAATAAACAGTAAACATATAAAGATATAAACAAATTAAATAAAACAAATTAAATAAAACAATTACTTCTTTAAAACAAGAAAGATTCAAGAAGAAGATCATAAGTTCACCTTGTCTTTAATGAAATTCCCAGCAATATTGCCGATAAGACCGCTGAATTCGTCATCTTTCAAAGTAATCTAGAAATTTTTTGAGTTTAAGTGTTTTTTAGTGAAAGAAATCAATAAACAAATAGTTTTATTTATATATTTTTTTTTCTGTAAATCAAACCTTTTTAATTTCCTCTTCTTCACCCATTCTTGCTCCGTGATTTCCGTGTCGACTAGTCGCTTTTTGGTAATGATCACCGTTCGATTGATTTACTACCCGATCTGTGTCTGAAAGAGGGAAAATATGAAATGATTTGTATTGTTTTTGAATTTGAAATAATCGAATTGGATTTAATGAGGAAAGATCTTAGAGAAAGATGTTGATTTTTTTTTACGAAAGATCTCAAGACCAAAGACTCAAATAGGTGATTGGGTAGTTGAGAGAATTTGGAAAGATCTAGAATTGAATCTAGAATGGATGGATTTAATGACGGTCGAAGCGTCGCGTAGTCTAACTTTAAACGGAAAGGTTGGATTTAATGAGGAAAGATCTTAAAGAAAGATGTTGATTTTGTTTACAAAATAGGTGATTGGGTAGTTGAGAGAATTAGGAAAGATCTAGAATTGGATCTAGAATTGGATCTATGTTAGATCTAGAATTGAGTCTAGAATTGAGTTTAGAATTAGATCTAGAATTAGATCTAGAATTAGATCTAGAATTGGAAAGTATTGGAAATCTCTAAATAACTTTTCAGTAGGTTCAAATTCAAAGTGAACAAATCCAGATTTTCTGTCTACTGCGCTTTGCGTTTTGCTTTTATACTTTTTTTTTCTTACTGTAAGCCACTGCTCTACTTTATTACAGTATTCTGGATTGAAAAATCCAATAAACTAAATATTGTAATACCTGTAATAGTAGCGCCCCCCCCGCCCATAATGACGGTCGAAGCGTCGCGTAGTCTAACTTTAAACGCATTTTCCTCGCCACCCGTTTATGCTACAGTGTGCGCTTAGGTATCAAATGAAAGCTGAAATTCAGTGCTATTTTTTTTTATATAAAACATTCATTTTTAAGAATTATGGGTGCTTAGAAAAAAATGATTTTAGGCAATGGCAATGGTAGTAGCGCCCATAATGACGGTCGAAGCGTCGCGTAGTCTAACTTTAAACGGAAAGGTTGGATTTAATGAGGAAAGATGTTGGTTTTGTTTACGAAAGATCTCAAGACTAAAGACTCAAATAGGTGATTGGTTAGTTGAGATGTTGATGGGGGAAATTTGGAGAAAAAGGAATCGGAGAAATCGTGGTGATACTGATAAGATTGAAAGGGAAAAATGGAGATATGGAGAATTGGTGGATGCGCTTTTCTTTTCACTTACGAAACTATAATCAGTTATCTATATTGTAAAGATTTAAAAAATGAAGAGGATAAGCGACTGATTTGATCTTAGACTAATTTTTCTTCAACTACATCCAATCATTGTTGTATTTAAAGAAAAGTCAAATCTTTAGGGAAAATTGATGCTTATTTTAGAATAAGATTGATTGATTAGTAAAGAAATTGGTAAGATATAGAATTTTCAAGTAAATTGGGTGAAAAGATTGGCAAGTGTTTAACTTTTTGCTTAACTTTGTGCTTAACTTTGTCCTTAACTTTGTCCTTAACTTTGTGCTTAACTTTGTTCTTAACTTTGTTCTTAACTTTGTTCTTAACTTTATTCTTTACTTTGTTTTCATTTAAAGTTAAAGCAAGAAAGCTAAAGATAGATTTTACAAAAGGATTACAAAAGAAATCTCTATTTTTGATAGCATAAAAAGCAAGGAAGGAGTGGACGATCAATGGCGGGTCGGCTGGCACAAACATCAAGAAAAAAACCAGCGGGCGCTCGCATAAAAGGGGCACACAAACAGGCGCTGCGAAGAAGGAGAGAAAGTGTGGGGGAGAGAGTGGGGAACAAGCGGAGACACAGACTTTTCCCCAATTCTTTCAACCCGACTACCCCCAACACCCCCAACACAAAAACAATTGCAGAAACATTTGAATCACTTCCTTGAACTGATATTTATCAAAAAAGCATGACATTAAACATGAAAACTTATGGTTTTCTTGCTAAAACATTTCAAAGCCTTGCTACTCAAATCTGTTGTTAAATCAAAGCCATTATCAGATCAAATCTCAAATAAGAAAAAGACTGTTTTAAGGAGAAATTGAGCTTTTGATTGGTTTACGAATAAACATTGAGGTTAGAAGAGTAAACTTTTTGATAAACTCATTAAACTTTGCATAACTTTCTCTAATGTTTACCCAATGACTGTTGAACTGATTGATAGCGAAAAATTTTAAGCAATTTTAACCAAAAATCAATCAAAATAGCTTTTTTGATAAACTATTAAGTGTTTTTTGTTTTGTTTTTACTTTAAAAAAACTAGTTAACAACTTTGAAAGCCGTAAAAGTCAGCTTTAGACTTTAGCTTTAAAGCTGAAAGCCGTAAAAATCAGCTTTAGACTTTAGCTTTAAAGCTGAAAGCCGTAAAAATCAGCTTTAGACTTTAGCTTTAAAGCTGAAAGCCGTAAAAATCAGCTTAAACTCTGTAACTCGGTAATTTTTAATGCCTTACTTTCAATAGAAATTGATTACAAATTAATTACAAATTAATTACAAATTGATTACAAATTGATTACAAATTAATTACAAATTCAATAAATTCATTACAAATTCAATACATTCAATACAAATTCATTAAAGATTTCAATACAATTACAGATTTTTGATAGCATAAAAAGCAAGGAAGGAGTGGACGATAAATAAATTCCAATTCAGTGAATCAAAGTGAAACAATATAAAGAAAAGAAATGGGACTATAAAGTGACAGTCATCTGGAATGAATGATTTCAGTAGAAAGAAGTGTTGTTGTTTTTTTCACAAAAAAAAGAGCAACCAAGTAGTTGCAGTGTGCCAGTTTTTTCAGAGAAATGGGAAAAAGTGAGCGCAATTTTGTGTGCACATTTGGGAAAGGAAAAGAAAAGAAAAGAAAAGTGAAAGGCAAGTAAAGGCGAGAATTTTTATGGAACCCCTTTTTAAACCCACAAATTACTATTGACTTTTCACATTACCCAATTCAATTTTCCTTTGATTTTATAAAGTTATTAATATCGTAACCTTTTTGAAAATGATCCGTAAACTATTGTACTTTCAGCTATTGTACTTTTAGCTATTGTACTTTCAGCTATTGTACTTTCAGCTATTGTACTTTTAGCTATTGTACTTTCAGATTAACTTTTTAGATTAAGTTTTCTAACAAAGAAATTTCTCTGGTTATTAATTTTGGATTAGTTTTAAGGATTGTACGATAAAATTTGATCTTTACTTACCAGTTATACAGCAATTCCAGAGACTCATAGCCGAATTAGCAGTAGTAAAACGTTCTTTTTTTGTGCTCCTCTAATGGTGAATAGATTGGTGAATGCGAGAGGAGATGAAGATGAGAGTGGGAAACAGTTGAGCTTTTTGGGGAGTTCAAAGAGGGGGAATAGAGATCGGAACACCAATGGGGCACAGAGTGTCACATTGAGAGGGCACAGCAGTAGCAGCAGCAGCGAGTGATTCCCCCTTCTCACCCTCGAGGCCTATCCCTCGTAGACGGGCTAGCTCTGGAGGCCAAAAACCGATGGCCGCTCCCTGTGTCGCCTCGAATGGGCTTCTCCTTTTCCTCCAGAGAGCCACATAACGGCAATCAAGCAGAGAAGGAGACCCATTTTTGGGAGAGTGGAGGGACACTTTGAGTCTCCATCTTTGCGTGACTCAATCCTCTATCTATTTCCAAGAATCTCTTTGGTTACTTGGGCTTGATCTGGTTCTGATTCATGTAAAACTCAGTTACTTTACTATCAGTTTACTTGTTTAAAAAAACGAATTAACAGTTACAATAAGCCAGCTACAGTACTCATTATGAAGAATCATGTGCAGGATTTGTGCTATTATATAAATTTCTCTTTTTTAAAAGGCTAGCAGATTAGCTAGCAATTTCAAATTGAAGATATTTAAAGCCTTCTATTGCATAAAGACTGTAACTATCCAATTGGTTCGACTTTTTGCAAAAACTGACTTGAAATTTGCACCGACCAATTTATAGGCAATCAGGCAGAAAAACCCGCCTAACGGCGGGTTTTTCTGGCTTCGTGCAGACAGATTTTATTTTCTTCACCCCTAGAGGAATTGGACCCGTGACCTTTCTTACTCAAAAAGTGTAAAAACAAAAAAAGCAAAAAAGATTGCATCGGACCAGGACCGAACCCGAGACTAAACGGCAGATCGGACGCCGTGACGCATTACCACTCGGCCGCGCGGTAGCATGTATTTTTTAATTTCGCTTTTTAGGAAAATGGTCAAATTATGTGTGAAATAAAATTAGATTTTTGGGAACTACGTAAAAAGTTAGGTTTGTAATGTCAAACTTTCAGATCGATTGGTTCAGCCGTTTTTTCTAAAACAGCGGAACAGACATATTAGTTATTATTAGACATAAAACACTATTGTATGACAGACAGACAGACAGACAGACAGACAGACAGAGAGACAGAGAGACAGACAGACAGAGAGACACCCATACTCTCTCGCTTATAATAAGTAGGATATAAAAGTGCAATGCATTTTTGATGTTCGGAGATTTTGGCGGAGAAGAAAAAAAATGCGACCGGAAACCGCTTGAAAGCCGTAAATAATCGTTGGCAATTTTTTAGAGAAAATTCTTGGCTTTTTGAGCAAAAACGGATTTAGATACTTGTGAAAGATACAGCCAGATTTCAGGGAGAAATTGCTCCTAAGAATTTGAGCATAGTAATGTCTAAGGTGACAACGCCGGTTCATCCGCACCTTTCTCTTTCGTACTTGCAAAACGGGACACCTATCTATCGGGAAGATGTGCCAGATGGAGAGCGATTACGCGACCGCACAAAGAACACATCGTCAGTGATTGGTGCTCTAAACGATCTAAACAGTTTAAAGCTTGGATAACGAACAAGAGCTAAAAGAGCTAAAAATTTTATTTACAAAAACGATTCAGCATTTTCTAGGGTATTAAATTTCTCTGTTTACCTCGTTTCTCCTTGTAAATAAGCTTAAAAAAAATTAGACTATATATCACAATGTTGTTTTGGGTACGTAGATATGCAAAAGGAAAAGAAAAAAAGAAAATAGATTCTAATTAAAGATAAGAAAATGATAAATAACTTCAAATACCCATTAAAATTAAAAAAAAAGTGATCTATGATCTTTTTAAAGTTCTAAATCGATCTCATCATCATCGTCGGCCATTAAATTTCGCTCGAATGGACGCGGTAGACGACGACGGGGCTGAAAATGCCAAAAATTTTACTTTGATTTTAACTAAATGCAAAAACTACCGCAATACCCATAAATAGTAGCACCCGCCTCCCCATATAGTCGCGCGGTCGCAAAAAATTTTTACTAAATCACTTTTTTCTAAGCACCCATAATTCTTAAAAATGAATGTTTTATATAAAAAAAATAGCACTGAATTTCAGCTTTCATTTGATACCTAAGCGCACACTGTAGCATAAACGGGTGGCGAGAAAAATGCGTTTAAAGTTAGACTACGCGACGCTTCGACCGTCATTATGGGCGGGGGGGGGCGCTACTATTACAGGTATTACAGTATTTAGTTTATTGGATTTTTCAATCCAGAATACTGTAATAAAGTAGAGCAGTGGCTTACAGTAAGAAAAAAAAGTATAAAAGCAAAACGCAAAGCGCAGTAGACAGAAAATATGGATTTGTTCATTTTACTTTGAATTTGAGCCTACTGAAAAGTTATTTAGAGACTTCCAATACTTTCCAATTCTAGATCTAATTCTAGATCTTACATAGATCTAATTCTAGATCTAATATAGATCTAACATTGATCCAATTCTAGATCTAATTCTAGACTCAATTCTAGACTCAATTCTAGATCTAACAAAGATCCAATTCTAGATCTAACATAGATCTATTTCTAGATTCTATTCTAGATCTATTTCTAGATCCAATTCTAGATCTAATTCTAGATCTAATTCTAGATCTAACATAGATCTAATTCTAGATCTAATTCTAGATCTAACATAGATCTATTTCTAGATCCAATTCTAGATCTATTTCTAGATCTAATTCTAGATCTAATTCTAGATCATTGATTGATTTTTAATAATATCATAACAAAAAAACCAAATTTGAACTTAATTTGATTAGTACAAAAGCTTTTTTCAAACTTAAATATGACTTTAAATATAGAATTACCTGTTTTGCGTAGGATAGCGCTATAATTTTGCCGAATTTCCCTTCTTTAAAAAGAAATTAACCTTTAACTGCTTTCGAATGACAATGTCGACGCAAATCACTGACAAACACACGATATTCATCAATGCCAAAATCGCAATGATAACTGAAAAGTGTTTATGAAGACAAATAATGTTTATACTAATGTTTATGAAGAAATGCTCACCCCAAAGTGAGGTGTTCGAGGTGGCAATTGGACGACCGCACTCTGAGTACCAATCGATCGGAAATAAGCTGCAATTTATTATTAGATTCAATTCTGCTTAATCTAATTAAGATAATTTAGATAATTTAGATAATTAAGATAATTAAGATATTAAGATAATTCTTAAACTCTTAAGTTTATTTTTAAATATTTAAACCTTTCAAGTTGAGCATGAAGCGCCTCCACCTCGCATAAACCTGAACATCCTGGGATCTCCATTTGGTATAATGCTTCCGAATCAGTCACATTTTTATAATAAATCTGAAAAGCTATTAAAATAAAAGTAATAAACAAAAGAAAAGTAAAGAAAAGTAAAGAAAAGTAAAGAAAAGTAAAGAAAAGTAAAGAAAACTGAAGAAAAGCCAAGAAAAGCCAAGAAAACTAAAGAAAAGCCAAGAAAACTAAAGAAAACTGAAGAAAAGCCAAGAAAAGCCAAGAAAACTAAAGAAAAGCCAAGAAAACTAAAGAAAAGCCAAGAAAAGCCAAGAAAACTGAAGAAAAGCCAAGAAAAGCCAAGAAAACTAAAGAAAAGCCAAAGAAAAGCCAAGAAAAGCCAAGAAAACTAATCAATTATTCTTCTTAAATTTACCTCAATAACATCTTTTCCATCAATTTTGTGTAACTCGATGAGGACAGCGGTGGCGTAAAGGGGGAAAACGTGAGGCACAATCCCGAATGTCGAGAGGCAAGCGGCTAATGTTGTGTCGTGCTTAAATTTCGATTATAGAAACAAATTTGAAATTTTGTTTAACAAACCGCTGAATAGATATAGGCTTTTTTTGGGCCATCAATTTCAAGGGATCCGTTGATCTTTGATCGCAATCTCTCAAAGATCTCAGCCACCAAAGCACCTAAAGATTCAACGATTGTTTAGAGCAGATTTTACATCTAAAAGTTTCCACTTGAAATTCACCGCCACGCAATCGTCGTAGCTGCTTGTTGTGAAAAGAAAACTGCGCGCTTTGATCGTAAAGTTGCTGAACGCGTTTCCAAACACTTTCGTTTATCCAAGATGGCCATTTATGCGTTTCCCGATGATGAAACTGAATTCAGCTTTTATTTATTTTATTATTATTTTATTTACATCAATTCATTTACATCAATTCATTTTCATCAATTCATTTTCATCATTTTCTTCCCAACCTCACAGTTAAGTGCATCAAAAATCCACCACATTTCGCGTAAACGCAGCGGCTTCTTCACACCTTCATTCATTTTAATTCATTCAAAAATTCGACATTTTTAAAAACCTGATTTCTCTTCTAAATGCTTTAACAAGTCTTCATGAGCTTTTTCAATCTTAATCACCTAAAGTTTGAATTAAAGTTTGAATTAAAAAGTTTGAATTAAAGTTTGAATTAAAATTTCAATTAAAGTTCCAAAAAAGTTTAAAAAGTCTTTACATTTGGATCCGAGTTAATCGAGTCGATTGCAGCGGTAGCCATTGGGCAAGAAAGTTGTTCATTTAGTTGCTGAAAAGAAAAATATATTCCAGATTCCAGAAAGACTTTTTATCTTTTAGATCAGGTCTTATTTCTTCTAAGATCTATTGATAGATCTTAGAAGAGCTACCGTAAATACTGTAATAGTACCCCACCCCCCTCGTACAGGCGCGTAGTCGCAAAAGTTTTTTAGTAATTCATTTTTTTCAAAGTGCCCGTACTTTCAAAAAAGACGTCTTTGGTATCAAAAAATAGCCCCGAATTTCAGCTATTTTTTGATACCTAAGCGCACATTGTAGCATAAACCAGTGTCGAGCAAAACTCACTCAAAGCTATACTACGCAACACTCCGCACCGTCATTATGGGGGTAGGGTACTATTACAGTATTTACGGTAAGAGCTAATCTAAAAGATAAAAGATCAATAGATTAGATCTTAGTTCCTTGCTCAATGGCCATTAGCCATTGGGCAAGAAAGTTGTTCCTTTAGTTGTTCCTTTAGTTGTTCATTTAGTTGTTCATTTAGTTGCTAAAAATATTCCAGATTCCATAAAGACTTTTTATCTTTTAGATTAGATCTTAGTCTCCTTTCTTCAATCTTTAAAATTTAAGCTTACAGCTCTCAGAAAGGATAGAGAGAGTGACGACAAATTGATGAAATTGAGTCGAATTTACAATAAAACAACGAGCTGCTGCTTTCCTTTTTTCATCCTTTTTCAGCACCTTATTCATGGTTATGTGCATACCAATGAGAGCCAATTTGAAAATTAAAGCTTACAAAATCTCGTTCTTTGTCAACAGTGTGTACGGGAATCGGTACCCAATCGAGAGACGTTTCCCATTTCTCTGTGATATTCGCTGGGAACATTCCTGGATAAGTTTTTTGTTTTAAAATCTCTTTCATTTTCTTTTCTTCAACCTGCCAAATTCGCAAGAGCTGACATAATAGTGCGTGAGTAATCAGAGCTGCGAACATAAATCTAAAAAGTTTCTAGACCTTTGAACATCAAGACTAACATTTGAACATCAAGACGTAAGTCTTGATGTTCAAATGTAAGTCCTTAGCTTTTTTCCTTAGCTTCCTTAGCTACTTTTGATCAATTATTTTCATGTTTAGTATTGTATAAACAATATTAAATCTATATTAAATCTATATTAAATCTATATTAAATCTTAAATAAATCTATTCTTAACATTTTTAAAAGTTTAAACTTGATTTTACATCTTTTCGGGAGAAATCGTTGCCCAAAAATTCTCCATATCTTTTCCTTAACCATTGCCCGAGACGATATTGTTGTTGAAGGCCCTGAAATTATAAAAATTGATTGATTTAGACTTATATTCTATGATTTTCTTGTTTAGATAGATAATAGATAATAGATAATATTAGGGTGGTGCAAAAGAAGCTGCCGATTTGACGGTAAATTAAAAAAAAAGATGGCGTTCGATGGTGACATGATCACAATGGAATATTTTCGCAAGATCTCGAGCAGATTGGCATGGATAACGTCCCTCAGCTTGGCTTCGTTCACGACTTCTGGCCTCGAGCCGTGCTCGTAACCTTCCAAAGTCTCGTCTCCCTCTCGGAATCGTTGAAACCAAGTCTGACACTGTCTGAGAGACAAACTGCCATCTCCGAAAGCAGCACAGAGAGAACGATGCGATTCGGCAGCAGACTTTCCAATTTTGAAGTTAAACAGTAATGCTGCTCGTAGTAATGATAACTGGCTTGGCTTCGTTCACGACTTCTGGCCTCGAATCGTGCTCGTAATCTTCCAAAGTCTCGTCTCCCTCTCGGAATCGTCGAAACCAAGTCTGACACTGACAAACTGCCAAACTTTTGCTCGACCATGATCTAAATAAAAAAATATAAGCAATTTTAAACAAAATAAACAACAACCAAAAAATTCAAATGTCGAAATAAATAGCAAACAAATATGCGAACAAAACATTAAAAAAAAATAATGCCATTAGCATCGCTCGTTTCTGATAAATGAGAGCTGATACCCATCGGCAGTTTCTTTTGCACCACCCTAATATTACATTGGATTGAGTATTTTGATACAGGGTGGAGCCTCAAAACTCCAACTCAAAAACCAAGCCTCAAAACTGCAAAGTTGCGATCCGCGTTTCCTGCGACGGAAGCGCGATTTTCTGGTTTTCTGGTTTTTGTGTCGAACTCCCTAGTCTGGTTAAGGGTTCGATCCCGGCGGCTAGAAAGATTGCTTCTTTTGCACCACCCTAATAGATAATAGATAACAGATAATAGATAATAGATAATTCATATTTTTGACCTTAACAGTAATCTCGCCAAGTCCCTCTTTCCATGTGCTTTCGCCATTCTCGGGATCATTTGGCAGCAATGTTGACGGATTTCGATCACCATGTCGATATAACTAAAAAGTTTTAGAGAAATTTTGCAAAGCAAAACCCATTCCTTACGATATGTAAATATTTCAAAGTGTTTTTGCATTGTTTCTCGTGAATTTGAACGGCTTTCGGCGCTTCTAGGTAGAATTTGGCCTCCTCCGGAAGATCTGGAGGCTCTGCCGGGCTAAATATCGTTACAGTTTTCAAGCCATTATAAAAACATTATTCTTTCTTTAAAAAAACAACAAACTCGTATCCATTTTGTGCATAGATGTTACAAATGAGTAAAGCAATGCATACTTCTTTCATCACCCATCAGTTGGAATCATAAAATGATTGCTACCTTTTTTTTTATCAAATGGCTTTCACAAAAAGGCTTTTTCTCTTCTCGTGGATTCATAAATGCCTCTCTGGCTCTGGCTCTCTGGCAGAAAAAGAACTCTGGCTGTCTAACGAGATTGTCTTTTAGAATGACAAAAAGGAAAAGAGGCAACAATTGCATCAAAAAGTTTTGCTTTAATTTTTTAGACGAAAATTTGAACTGGATTTCGGGAGTGGGCTCAATGATGAGGTTTTTTGTAGCTTTTGAGGCAGGTTAATTTTGCGAATCATTGAGCTTCACAGACAAAAAAGAAACACGTAATTTTTTTTGTACAAAATATGATAGAATAAAGGTACCAGTCGTTTTTCTCTCACAAATCTCTAGAGCGCATTGAAAGATATAAAAAGAACGGGAGTCGGACAAATGCGACCTTTTTTTTGCGCACCCGGACATTTGCGCACCTTTTTTTCCGCACCTTGCCCATTAGCGCATTTTTTTCCCGTTTTAAAAACGCTCTAAAAAGCTAATATTAACCAATTTCTATTCCAAAAGTTCTTTTTCTAGGTAATTTTAGGGCGTAGAATCGAAATTTTGACATAACAGAGCTTGTGGAAGCGAACGGACGGAGTTATACAAAGAGAAAAATCAACAATTTTCTGTAATTTGATCTAGTCGTTTTGTCGTTCAAATTGGTTCCACACGCTCTGTTATGTCAAAATTTCGATTCTACGCCCTAAAATTACCTAGAAAAACAACTTTTGGAATAGAAATTGGTTAATATTAGCTTTTTAGAGCTTTTTTTAAAACGCGAAAAAAGGTGCGCTAATGGGCAAGGTGCGGAAAAAAGGTGCGCAAATGTCCGGGTGCGCAAAAAAAAAGGTCGCATTTGTCCCACTCCCCCGGATTTCGTCTTTAAAGTTTATCTACTGTAGCCAGAAGGAATCTTAAGCTGCTTATAAAAGTAAAACTTTAAAATCGTCTTTTAAAGGCTTATTGACTTTGGAAAGAATTTCAAAATTGCCTTTCAAAGACTTAAATTGACTTCTTGTGACTTTTGACTCCTACGAACTGACTCTTACTTTAGCTACAAGTATGTATTTATAACAGAGCATTTTATACCTTATCGGAAAGGCTCCAACCCGTATTTTACACGAAATGGACCCTTTCCGATCATCACAGATCCCAATTCTAGAGTTGGACAACGTTCTTTTACTGGTTGAGGCTGGAAAAACAAAAAATCAGGGAAAAACCAGGATTCGAACCCACGACCACTAGGCCTCAAGCTGTGTTACCAGACGACCACTCAACCACTGAGCTACACAACCCGGTTTTCGGTTGCCATCAGGGTAGGGTCTTATACCTTAATCTAAACTAGGAACAAAACAGCACTTTAGCACTTCCCTTGATGCATTTGCATCGCCTCAAAATCTCCATTCTTTCACTTCCAGTGAGATTTATTCAAAGGCCTTTCCGAGATTGAGATGATGAAGGATTGGGGTTTTTTTTTGTTGGAAACACGATTTGGGATTCAAATTTGAAGAAAGGGGGACAGGTGGGAAGGATCTAGGGAAGAGAGGGAATCTGCTCGACCCTCATCGTTCCCTCCTCAGGGGAATCCCGTCATTTTCCCATATCCACTCTCCTTTGGGACACCTCACTTTCCAAACTGGACTTTACTTTTTCTGGAACCAATATACCCAAAATTTGGAACAAATCCTGGCTTCTAGATTTTAAAAACCTTTTCCTCTTCAACTTTTCCATAGTCAATAACTATTTACAGGGCTGTAGATCTTGACAGAGCTTGTCAAAGCATTGGATTGCTTTGACAACCTTGTTGACACTCCTTGTTTTCCCAAAATCCTCTAAAATTTCATCACAATCTTTCCAGAAAAACAGCGAATCTTCTAGAGTGATCATTATTTATTTTTCTTTTACAAACCCTTGGGATTTCACTCTTCACTTCACTAGAAGAGTCTTTTGTTTTTCGTGATCTTTTCTAAACAAAGAACATGTTTATTAGGACGACTGGGGGAGGAAAAACACGACAAAGTCAAGAAACGCGTATCAGAATTGGGCAAAATGAATGGAATTCAAGGAGAAGTTTCTATTTTATATGAAAATGAAAATTCTATTTGATGAAACTATTTTCGTTCAGATGAGTCGGGCAATTGGACGGGGAAAGATCGAGCCCCGCCTCGACGAGTTCGTCCTGAAATCTTTTTTTGTTTTGTTTTAACATCATTAGTTAGTATTAGTTAGTTATCAAGTTGAGCTTTACTTTACAACACCGTAGCCAAATAAACTTTAAAGATTTAAAGGTAGGTACAGTAAAGAATAAAAAAAAAATGGGATTTAGAATCGAGTACAATTACTGTACAATTACTGTACAGTTACAATCTTTAAAGTACAATTACCATTATATTACTCTTAATTCTCTTAAGTTAATGGCAAAATCTTAACTCTTAACCTTTCAAAACTTATAAACTAAGAAAAACGGATAAAATGCAAAGTTGAATCTTTTCAGAATCAAATTCTATTCATTTCCCTCTGGCTACGGATCAAAAAGAAAGGTTAATTGCACATTAATCATACGAGAAATTACAAGCAATTACTATTTAAAACAAAGCAAACTTTGAGAAGAAAGTTTTGAAAAAAAAGCGTTTTGAGGAAAGAAAGCGACAGCACTCACATCGACACACGTGAAGGGGGACGCCTCACAAACCAGGGAACGCTCGCGCACCGCCGCGCTTCTCCATCGATCCCAATCTCATCATCTGAACAAATATTGATTAAGAAATCTAAGTGGTCTTAAACTAGATAATTTTTGATTTCTTGAATACGTGTGCTTTGGCAATAAACCATAGTGCCAAAGCACAGTTTAAGACATCTTTCAGACTTTGAAACCCATTAGGCAATTATTAAGATATTTTAAAGATTTAACTTGCCTCAACTGGCTCGTAGAAGCTTCTTGCACCTCCTCGCGGATCAACCTATAATGAGAAATCAAAAGCTTGGCACCCATTCACTCACTGAATGAGCGTCATCATGATCGCCAAATTGGAAAACTCGAGCACCGCCTCTCATATTACGATCCTGGAATTTCTTTTGTCAATCTGACAAGGGAATGATCAGAAGTGAATGTAAGATCTTGGGGTTAAGATTAGATCCAAACATTTATCGAATACTTTTGAGCCTCTATGTTATATCAAAATTCACAAGGAAATGATCAGAACTGATCGTGAGATTTTGGGGCCAAAATGAGATCCAAACACTTATCGAATACGGCGAAAAACTAAAGTTTAACTTTAAAAGTTCTACAACCTTTGAAATACAATTTTGGAAAAAAGCAAAAGAAATGGCGTAGATCGGGAGCAAACCAGGATCGCAAGAGTGTGAGGCGAGAGCTCTACTGACCACGAAGATACACGTCGATTGCCCAAAAGAAATCTTTTTATAGAAGCGTGGCTCGTTTTCGAGAAATTTCAAAAAAATAGGGATTCTTAGCAAAATTCGAAAGCAACATCGACTATTCTTTGAAATTTTCCGAAAACGAGCCAAGCTTCTATAAAAAGATTTCTTTTGGAGAAACGAAATGTCTCTTCGTGGTCAGCGGATAAAGCTCTCGCCTCGCACTCTTGCGATCCTGGTTGGCTCCCGGCCCACGCTTTTTTTTTTGCTTTTTTCCAAAATTGTATTTCAAGGGTTGTAGAACTTTTAAACTTTAGTCTTTCGCCGTTTTCGATAAATGTTTGCATCTAATTTTGGCGCCGAAATCTCACGATCAGTTCTGACCATTTCCTTGTGAGTTTTGATATAATATAGAGGCTCAAAAGTTAAATTTCACTATCAATCTGAGTTTTGATAGGCAATGCTCTTGGTTTGAACACTGGTTGCCCATTGAATCCGGCTAGAGAGCTCGGGCCACGAATAGCCGCCACATTACTTGGCTTGGGAAACCATTTCTTTAGGTGAACTTTGAAAGCCTTTTTGGTCAATTCCTTTGTATAATCGATTACTTTATATAATCAATTACTTTCAATACTTTCTGAAAACTTATTTTAAATCTTAATTTTTAGAACTCGTGTATATTTAGCGATTAAAAAAAGTTGTTTAGTGGGTGTTTTTTCTCACCAAAAACACTCGACCACCGCCTCGTTTCTCTTCTCCAATAAAAGCACGAGCGCCACCTCGTGTTTCAAGGTTGAAGCCTGAAAGTTTATAGTTTAAAAAGGCTAAATCTATTGCTAAATATTATATTTCTATATTCTAGCCATAAATTCTCGCTATATAAACCTTTAACTTGTGATAAAACTTTTTCCAAAACTCATCCCTTCCTCCTCCTCTTTTAATCTTTTAAAAAAATGGCGGATCGCTGGAGAGAGGCTGACTTAAGCTCATTCGAGAGCTTTTAAAATGAGTTGTATAAGTCCAATTGGGTAACATTAAAGAGAAAAATGTAGCCAAGATTAAGAGCTTTCGTTTTCTATATGAGGCTTGGCACTTTGGTAATAAGTCAGGCGTTTGACGGCAACTTTTCAAAGGCGTCCCCATAATTCGCCCTGTATTTTGGTATCATCGAATCCTCAGAATCAGATCCAATGGTAGATAGATTGAGACAAGATTACTGTATCTTTCAAAGCTGTGATAAAACTTTGTTCCAAAACTCACCCCTTCCTCCTCCTCTTTTATCCACAGGCATGAACACTCGTGCACCGCCTCGCTTCTCCTAAAATCATAAATCTATTTGATCATTCATTATCCGAACTCTCAAATCATTTATTGAAAATCTTTTCCTTCTTTTCCTTCATTCAATGAATATTAATAAGCTCACCAGGAACCGCGAGAACATCTCGGAATCTGGGGAATGCTCGGCGATACTGATGAGAAACACTGAAAAAATAATGAGCTATATTTCAAGATATTTCAAGATATTTTAAGATATTTCAAGATATTTTAAGATCTTTCCAAGCATAAATTCTCTTAATCCACCCACGAGTGTCTCTTTTTTTTTCTCTTTTTTAAGGTACCTGTTGTCGTTCAGTTGAGCGACAAACAAGTTTTAGAGTAATGTGATTTCTTTTCCCGAGCATCGGGACTTTATGCGGGACCTCTATGCGAGGTTCTTCAAAATAAATTCTATTTAGAGTAACACTTTCGAAAATGTCAAAATCTAAATGAATAAAGAATGCTTAAAAGATTTTCTTAGAGCTTTCTTTTCTTTGCTAAATCTAAACTTTGCTTTGGGTTAGAATTCTTCAATTCTTGTCCCCAATTTTTGCAAGGACGACTGGTCACTTTTTCTTGAGCTCACCATTTTTCTTTCTTTCCGAATTCGGAAGCAACAAGGCCATTGAAAAAAAGTTTTTGCTCGTTTTCTGGGAAAAAAAACGAAAAAGATCGAGGCTTGTCACATGTAAATGCTGTTCTTTTTGAATGAGAGAGGCTCTAGAAGAAGCCCAAGGGATAACTGAAGGGAAAGATGTGGGGGAAGACCTATCCACCTCATCATGACTCTTCGCCCATCTCTCGTTTTTTTCCTTAACCCTAAACGTGCACCGTTTTTCCTCAAAAAGCATTCAATTAACATAAAACGAGGTTAACTTAGGAGTTTGATCGTTTTGAAGTAAAAGGGAAAAAAGAATTGATGTTAAAAGAGTTTTGGGGTAGGCTAGTTTCCGCAACTAGGCTAGTTTCCGCAACTAGGCTAGTTTCCGCAACTAGGCTAGTTTCCGCAATTAGGCCGTTTGCGCAGCTTGCCATAACTTTCTTCTAAGTGGACCAATCTTTATGATTTTGGTTTCATTTTGTAGATCTAAATAAGTGCAACAAAATGAAACCAAAAATCATAAAGCTTGGTCCACTTAGAAGAAAGTTATGGCAAGCTGCGCAAATGACCCTGTCGCGCAAATAACCCAGTTGCTCAAATAACGCTGTTGCGTAAAAAAAGTATTGCGTATTGCGGAAACTAGCTTACCCCAGAGTTTTGAATAGTTTAAAGCTTATTAGCTAATGAATGAGGCTTTGATTATGCATTGCTGGGAGGAATTTGAACTAGATTTGAACAGATTCTGAAAATGGCAAGAATTCTCAAGGAAAAAGGTGATTACATATTCATATTCATGATCTTTTACATATAATCACAGAAAGAATTCGACGAAATCTCGATAAACGAAATGAACGAAAATGAACTCAAAAGATGAAACTTTTAACCGCCAAAATAGTTTTAAGAAATTTCCAAAAGCTATAGGCAATTTCTAATTTACTTCAACTCCTTTAACGATTGAGTTTTTAGCTTTCAACTTTGACCAAATCCAAATTCATAATGTAAAACTTGTAAGTAAAAGCCAAGAAACCTGAGGAAATCAAGATCACAACGCTGCCAATCCACATTTCGATGTGATCGTTGATTGTGAAGTGTGAGAATATGAAGTGATGTTCTTCGGCTCTCAAAAAAGGAGTCCCTATGGATGAGGGGCGTGCCCTATTTACATCTCTCTCTCTCTCCTTCTTTTTCTCTTTTCTCTTTTCAAGAAATATCTCTCCTCTCCACCTAGCCGTCATAATGATGTGAGACCAATCCTGAGAGCCTTTCTCGATTCCAGAATAAAACCCACTTATGTTTTTTCCCTGATAACGCTATTTATTCGTAATCAAAAACTCTTGAAACTCGTTGACTTTTCGAAAACCGCACACAGAGCACTCTTTCAATGGAGCGGTGGTGTCAATGACAGCGATCTGGTAGAGCAACACACCAAGCACTGAGCCGACTAGTGGACCGACTACCAGCACCCACACATAATACTCGTCATGACTAGAAAGAAGTATTGAAAGTCATGATGATATAAAGTAATTGATTATATAAAGTAATTGATTATACAAAGTAATCGATTATATAAAGTAATCGATTATATAAAGTAATTGATTATACAAAGTAATTGATTATATAGCGTAATCGATTATAAAAAGGAATTGATCAAAAAAAGCTTTCAAAGTTCACCTAAAGAAATCGTTTCCCAAGCCAAGTAATGTGGCGGCTATTCGTGGCCCGAGCTCTCTAGCCGGATTCAATGGGCAACCGGTGTTCAAACCAAGAGCATTGCCTGTAAATTTTCCTTTTTTTTTAAAAGAGAATTTATTCTATCCTTGCTTTATGTTGAGTAAATTCTAAATTATTTCGTACCTAGCATAACAGCGTTGAGTCCAAAGAGTAATGGTACAGCTGAATCAGGGATTGGTGAGTTTCTGCGAGAGGTCATACAGACAAACATTCCAAGAAATGAGGTGCCAATGATCTGACTTTATTTTAGAGGACATGAAAACCTTTATCACTTGATCGATGAAGCCTCCAAAATGTGTGGTGTGCGGGGCTGGAAGAGAGACAAACAGAGTTTTCAGATCAAAGTCCCCAGTGCTGCGCTTGTCTTGGAAGGCTTCTAAAAATGTTTTGTTGTTGTTGTTGTTGTTGCTGTTGTTGTTGTTGTTGATGTTGTTGTTGTTGCTGTTGTTGTTGTTGTTGCTGTTGTTGTTGTTGCTGTTGTTGTTGTTGTTGTTGTTGTTGATGTTGTTGTTGTTGTTCTTTGTTGTTCTTTGTTTGTTTGTTATGTTCATTTGTACCTCGATAGACGAAAAGTGCGAGAATTGTCCCAAGCACAGCGCCAACGGTTTGAGCAAGAAAATAGAGAACGAAATCGATCGCCGAAAGCTTTCCAAGCCACCATCTCGCTACACTAATTGATGGATTGATGTGACCACCTCAAATAATATCAAATAATAATCAAATATATATTATAGCTGAAATACTATAGTTAAATATAAAAGATTATAGTTTAAATAAGTTTAAATAAGCCGCTTGCTAATTAATGCTAAGGCCAATAGCATAGCTACAGTACTGGACAATGAAATATGATATTTGAAAACGATCGTCACTTTCGCGCGTCTGTAACCCCCTTGTCTTTGAGTTTAAACTATTAGTGTTATACATTTTCTGAAAGCTCTTTTCAAGGGCTACACAATGGTAATATTAGTATTTAGAAATACGGTAAAGACAAGGGAGCTACAGACGCGCGAAAGTGACGATCTTTTTTCAAATATGATATTTCATTGTCCAGTAGTGTACCTATCATTTACAACAACAACATTTGAACACAATCATGATGATGTGAAGAACGAAAACGAAAATCGAATATCTTAACTACACTACTGGACAATGAAATATCATATTTGAAAAACGATCGTCACTTTCGCGCGTCTGTAGCTCTCTTGTCTTTACCGTATTTCTAAATACTAATATTACCATTGTGTAGCCCTTGAAAAGAGCTTTCAGAAAATGTATAACACTAATACTTAGACTCAAAGACAAGGGAGTTACAGACGCGCGAAAGTGACGATCTTTTTTCAAATATGATATTTCATTGTCCAGTAGTGTAGCTTCTTGATTATCAAACTCGTTTATCAAATACAAGAATCGATAAATATCAATTAATTGCTAAATACTAGCTCAAGTTCGGCACAAGTACAATGGTATTAAAGCGATTAAGAAATCAAAAGCTATTTCACCTGATACATTGTATGCTGAGTAAATCGCAAAAGTGATTGCAAAACCCCAAGCAAGACCGAGATCCGTTGTTGAAGAGGCCATTCCATTCGAGAAAAATCGCTGCTCGGTGGCCGCAATTCCAATAAACTTCAAAATTTCGACAATAGATATTGATAAATTATATAATAGGATAGAAATTACAATAGAAAAAACGGCTCTTTCCCTGAATCGTGGTCTTTTGAAAGTTTCGTGGTCTTTTGGAAGTTCCGTGGTCTTTTGAAAGTTTCGTGGTCTTTTGAAAGTTTCGTGGTCTTTTAAAAGTTTCGTGGTCTTTTCCAATTTGTTTTTTACCAAAAATTCTTTTGAAATTGTTTTAACGTATTTTATTAAGTTCCACATGCACCAGTTTATTTAATCAGAATTTAAAGAACAAGCGTAAGAACAACAATTTTAGCCGAGACGGCCAGCTAGCCGTCGATCGGCGAACAGTCGAGCCACCACCAATCGCCGTCACAACCAAAAAAGAAGCTACCGGCAATAATGTGAACACTGATGACGAGATAGACGCTGAAGCCGATAACGATGTCGTTCTAGCTCTAAGGGCTCGAGTTGAAGAGGCACTAAGGTAGATCAAACGTCAGGCCAATAAATGGGACCTGTAACTCGATGGCCGGAAACATCTTACGGCAAATATCCACTCAAAAAAGAAAGCCTCTCGTTTGTGCCTTGACCACTTCCAGGGGCCGACGTTGGACGACATCGCACAGAATTTCTCGTGGCCTCAACAGAATCTCAACGGCAAAAATTGCAAAAGATCACGAAATGGACTTTTTTGACAAAAAAACTAGCTAGACTAGCTAAACAAAAGACTAGCTAAACAAAAGACTAGCTAAACAAAAGACTAGCTAGACAAAAGACTAGCTAGACAAAAGACAAAAGCTAATCCAGGTAATCAAAAGACTAGCTAGGCTGAATCTCTTTTTCATGAACTTTCAAAAGATCACGATACAGGGAAAAAGCCGAAAAAACTGTTTTTTTTTTGTTATATCGCAAGATCAGTTTCGTTGCACACCAGTAATAGATAGTTCTTTCTGAATTTTTGAAAGTCTAGCAGCTTATCGTAATTATCGTAAGTATTTCAAAAACTATTATTACTACCAACCACCATAAATCCCGTTGAGTAGACCTCTGCAATCAATCGTCTCCATAAAGGAATCAGCTTCATCACTAAAAACCCCCCAAAAAAAAAAGATTAAATTGAAGCACAAAGTAAATTGAAAAAAAGTTCAACTAACACTATTGTGTTCACTTTTCTCTTTCAATTTTGTATTCTTTTTTTCATCTGGCCGATTACATGCGATTAGCGAAAGAGGGTTGATGGTCGGCAGCGAGAGAGACGTCATTCTTCTTCTCATTCCTCGCTCACATACATGAGCACATCGACGCGAAATAAGGCAAAAATGCGTTTTCTATAGGATTTTTCTGGGAGTACCTTTTTTAGATGCGGAAAATTGTGCTGATTCCGAATTTGAAGGAATTTTCCAAATCCCTCTGACAGAAAATTTTGAAATTTAGTTTTAGCAGTTTTAGCAGTTTAGCAGCAAGCGACTTATTTAAACTTATTTAAACTATAATCTTTTATATTTAACTATAGTATTTAGTTATATTATTTAAGCTATAATATATATTTGATTATTATTTGATATTATTTGAGGTGGTCACATCAATCCATCAATCAGTGTAGCGAGATGGTGGCTTGGAAAGCTTTCAACGATCGATTTCCTTCTCTATTTTCTTGCTCAAACCGACGATCATTTTTCAAATATGATATTCCATTGTCCAGTACTGTATTTAACTAGTTTTGTGTTTAATATTAGTTGTTTAACTAAGTTTTTGTTCAATTTTAAAGAGAAAGTTAGCATTTCAAGTTCTAGATCTGTTCTAGATCTGTTTTCAGAAGCGATCCCATCTCGTAACATCAAAAAAAGAAAAAGCTCTTTTCAAGGGCTACACAATGGTAATATTAATATTTAGAAATACGGTAAAGGTAAGGGAGCTACAGACGCGCGAAAGTGACGATCGTTTTTCAAATATCATATTTCATTGTCCAGTACTGTAGCTATGCTATTGGCCTTAGCATTAATTAGCAAGCGACTTATTTAAACTTATTCAAACTATAATCTTTTATATTTAACTATAGTATTTCAACTATAATATATATTTGATTATTATTTGATATTATTTGAGGTGGTCACATCAATCCATCAATCAGTGTAGCGAGATGGTGGCTTGGAAAGCTTTCAGCGATCGATTTCCTTCTCTATTTTCTTGCATTATTTTGCATATTCCTTAATTGTTTTGAGTGAATATGATACATAGCTACATTGTTCTTTTGAACAAAACAATTGTGCAATAGAGAATTTTTAAAATTTTCTCATTTCTTTTTTAAAAAATGTTATAACTTTTTGTAGAGTTGAGCAAATCGAGTTGAGTTGATGATTTTTGCATCAAAATGTTCGTAAGAGTCTCTAGAATAAAACTTATCCCTTCGTTTTTGTACTCCCAGAAAAATCCTATTGAAAACGCATTTTCGCGCCGATGTGATGAGTGTTTTTTTTTTGCTTCTTTCCCATTTTCACTCAAAACTTATCATTTCCGATGATTTGGGTCTAGAAAAGGGCTCGCTTGACGTAGCTTCTTTTCTCGGAAAAATCGGATTTTAGCATTCGAAATTTGGATGTATTCGTCGAGGAGCCGCCTTGGGGATACAATGATGTGAAAAATGGAAAGGAAATGTCAAAATCTATTTCAAATTCGTTCAGAAAAGTTTTCATTTTAGCTGTTTTTAGCTGTTTTTAGCTGTTTTTAGCTATTTTTTTAGTTGTTTTGAACTGTTTTGAACTGTTTTTAGTTGTTTTTAGCTCTTTTTTAGCTCTTTTTAGCTCTTTTTAGCTGTTTTCCTCATTTTCCTTTAGTTTTGCTCTTTTTCTTTTATCCATTTTACTTTTGAAATTACTTTTTCATAAATCAAGAGTCTCGTTGTTGGTGGAGAAGCCGCCTAATATCATGAAAGCGAATGAGTGAAGGCTAAAGAGGAAAAAAAAGAGAAATAAAGAGAAATAAAGAGAAATAAAGAGAAATAAAGAAGTGTAAACGAAAGAGAAATGAAGAGAAATGAAGGATATGAACTCAAAAATATGAATAGCGAGTGAGTGAAAGAATCCAATTAGAGTCCTTTCCACTCATTCACTCTCCCCCCTTTTCTCTTCTTTTCATTTCTCGATTATCCCCACTAAACTTTTTAACTCATTTGGCAACATTTGCTTTGCAGAAATTTACCTCTATTAAAGTTATATAGGCTTCAAAATTTCTTATACTTTTTCTCTAAGCAATAGTTTTTTTGATTGAAAAACTAACGATTTTAAAAATTCAGATATTTTTTTTTACATATGCCCATTTTCATAAAAACATTTCAACTCTAAAGAACTTTTTTTTCGCCTTCTATTCGCTTCTATTCGCCCCCTGAATAAAGCATATATATATATAAAAAAGTTGTTGTTACCATTTGCTAGATCTAAGTTTCTTGAAAGCAATTTACAAATGAAGTTTATATCTTAAAAATAAAAGATTTTCAAGGCACCCAAATCTAAAGCGCCAAACGACAAAGGGCACCCAAATCTCAAAAGCAAAAAAAAAGCGCTGTGACGACTTTTAAAAATTCTCATCAAAAAGTTTAGTTTAGAGTTGAAACTTTTCTGAAAAACAAAGCATAGTAGAGGTAAAAATACCAGAATTTACATAATCCGTGTTTTTTTGAGTTAGACTGTCCGTTTACAAAAAGTATAAGAGCTTTTCAAACACCCTGTATTTCTCGTTTATATTGAAACATTAACAAGCCAATCTGGCTTTTGGTAACTTTGATTTTGGTAACCTTGCTTTTGCTAACCTTGCTTTTGGTAACCTTGCTTTTACCAACCTTGCTTTTACCAACCTTGCTTTTGCCAACCTTGCTTTTGCCAACCATGCTTTTACCAACCTTGCTTTTGCTAACCTTGCTTTTACCCATCTTGATTTTGCCAACCTTGCTTTTGCCAACCATGCTTTTACCAAACTTGCTTTTACCAACCTTGCTTTTGCTAACCTTGCTTTTACCCATCTTGCTTTTACCAACCTTGCTTTTACCAACCTTGTTTTTGCCAACCTTGCTTTTGCTAACCTTGCTTTTACCCATCTTGCTTTTACCAACCTTGCTTTTACCAACCATGCTTTTACCAATCTTGCTTTTACCAACCATGCTTCATACCATTTTTTAAAACAATCTCAAGAATTTCTTTACGCCAATAATCCCTTGATACAATTTAATCGCCAAATTGCTTGATGAGGTTAGTCTGAATTCAGTTCTTCACTTGTTCACCTTTTATCATTGTTGCGAAGGGATAAATCTGGAAAAGCCGTGTCTCCCCTAGGAACGAGGGGGAATTTCCGCTCAAAGTGGAATTTCCGCTCAAAGTGGGGTGAGGCCAAGGTGAGAATGGGCAGTGGAGATAATCAGAGGGCGGCCGTGTAATTGTAAAATGGGGGATTTGCTCGGATTAGTGCAAGGGGATCGATTGTGGTAGAGTTGAAGTGAGGATTCAGGATGGGATACAGCCACCTCAGTCACATCTTTTTCATCTCCACTTTCCGCTTTTTTTAAAGCCTCTCAAAATCGCTCAACGATAATGTTTTATAGTTTCGTTAAATTTCGGAATTTGTTTCCATTTCAATCCGTTTTCTGTATAGACTTCAAGTGGATTTACTTACAGCTTTACTTATTGACTTACAGCATTGATGATTCGATAAGATGGACGCTTTGTCACTACTTGGACCACCAACTTCTAAACAACTCACACAAGTAAGCTCAAAGTCCAAAAGTCTGGCCAAAAGAAGCCAGATGTAGCTTTTTGAGAGTCGTCATTAAATGACGATCTGTTTCTAGGACGAGTTCGACTTGAGATACAGCTTTGTCAGCAGTGAGTCTCAACCACGTGAGGAAACAAAGTCGACAATTCAATGGATTGGAGACTCACTTCGAGAGCAGGCTTACTGTAGCCGAAACAGGGTTTGTAAGGTTTTGTTATTTATTTTTAGTTATTCTTAGTTATTCGATGTTTTCCCATCGCTTCGTTGGCTTACAAGATACGGTCTAAAAAGCGATTTCCCAAGAGATATGCTGGGATCGCTTCTGATAGCATCACTTCTTTTACCGCACGGTAGAACGATCTATCAAACGTTTTCAAAATACGAATTGAATACTTTAATCAAAATACTTTAATCAAAATACTTTAATCAAAATACTTTAATAGGTCTTGTATCCGGTCATTTGGCTATCGATGATCCAGTGAAAGGTCTTTATGCGATTTTCTTCCCGCAATTGCTTTATATTCTTCTCGGATCTTCGCGACACTCGTCAATTGGTAAAGAACTTTAAACTATTAGGTTGGTGAATTGAAAACTGCCGGACTTTGAACTAAAATTTATTCAACATAAAACCATCAATTCATTCCAAATAATTTCCATTACTATTGACGACTTCTGTCCATTTTACAGGCAATTTGCGGATTCCTCTTTCGTGGTAGGATTTTGGTTTGTGTGTGAGACAAGTGTGAGACTCAAAAATCGAGAACTGGAGATGTCCCAGTTTGAGCATTTGAGCACTTTCTTCAAAAGAAACCCATTTTGGAGTCAATAGAAAAGTTGTAGAGAATCAAAAATGAGGCTTATAGCCAAATTTTCAAAAAGATACGCTTAGTAGTTTCGCTTAAAATGCAAGTTTTGTGAAAGTTTCATAAATTTGGCATTTCTTGAAAACTAGTTTTTGAATCGTTCTGAAAATTTGGATATAAGCTTAATTTGTGATTCTCTACAACTTTTCTATTGACACCAAAATGGGTTTCTTTTGAAGAAAGTCCTCAAACTGTCACATATGACAATGGCCCGCAGTTTTCAATTCACCAATCCAATAGTTATAGTTTCAAAAGACAAAAAACAAACTCAAACAAACTCAAACAAATCAAAGAACTTTAGGCGGGATTTCATTTGTCTCTTTGCTAGTTGCTTCCTCTTTAAGTAATTCGAATTCTGATGTCGCCACGATTACGCTACTTTCTTCTTTCTTTCATGTAAGTTTTTCTAAAAAAGAAAGGACAAAAAAAACTTGTTTTCTTTACAATTAGATAATCTATTCTTTCATTGAGATTCTTTGAAACAACTTACTAGCTTTTAAGTCGTAAAATCGAGCTTCAAGCTTGTTAAGTAAAGAATCTTTAAGTAAAGAAGCTTTAAGGCGCTTTCAAGGCGCTAATTTGTTCTCAGTTTTCATATTAAACTTTAAAAAGCTTTAAGATTAAGCAAAGATTAAACAAATTTTATATTTTTCTAGATAATTCTGTGGGCAATGCCACCTAATTGGGTTCTTCCACTCATCCCCGATTTCCTTCTCAATGGCGCTTATCTGGGGCTGCTGATTCGCCTCGTTTTCACCCAAATCCCCCACTTTATCGTTTTCAAAGACCCACACTGTCAACAACAGCTCAGTGAATGGGTAAGTTTTAAAAAAAAAATGATGATAATACTAAAACCGAAATAACTTAAATCAACTTAAACTATAAAAGCTTACAAGCATGTCTATCAAAAAATTTCCCCGTTGTGTCGTTGTTTTTGTGCGTCGTTTTTCGGTGAATAAACGCAGTGTCTTCGGTGGGTGTGGAGATGTTTCGGCTCGGTGGATCCATGGACTGGTCTCCTCTCATTATGCACTCTTCTCCTCTCGGCTCTCATCCATCATGTCATCAATCCAGCGGCGCTTGATCGGCTCCAATTCACTCTCCCACACGAACTCTTTTTGGTCAGTTTTTATTACCATGAACTCTGTAAGAAGATCTTTTGATTTGCTTTTGGGAGACGTTAAGTAAAATAGCTTCTAAAGTCTTTAAAGTTCTTAAAACCTAATCCTTAAAGCCTAGTCCTTAAAGCCTAGTTCTTAAAGTCTAATCCTTAAAGCCTAGTCCTTAAAGTCTAATCCTTAAAGCCCAGTTCTTAAAGTCTAATCCTTAAAGTCTAGTCCTTAAAGTCTAATCCTTAAAGCCCAGTTCTTAAAGCCCAGTTCTTAAAGCCTAGTCCTTAAAGCCTAGTTCTTAAAGCCTGAGCTTAATCCTTAAAGCCCAGTTCTTAAAATCTAACCCTAAAGCCTAATCCTTAAAGTCTAATCCTTAAAGTCTAATCCTTAAAGTCTAATCCTTAAAGTCTAATCCTTAAAGTCTAATCCTTAAAGTCTAATCCTTAAAGTCTAATCCTTAAAGTCTAATCCTTAAAGTCTAATCCTTAAAGTCTAATCCTTAAAGCAACTTCTCTCCTCTTAAAGATAAGCTAATGTTTCCAAGTTTGAGAGTGATTGAGCGTCTTATTTCTTGATTTTGATAGAATTATAGAAAAATCATTTAGATCCTAATCAGCATCTTGCTCTCCTACGTCTTCGATTTCGAAATTCAAGGCATTGCGGTGTTGTCAAAGGAAAAGATCGCAAAGTAATCGAAAATCCTCTTCTCAAAACCCAAAATCCAGAACCCCATCCGTCGAAGTCCCACACCTCTTCACAAATCTCGGAAACTCTTTACTTGACTCAATCTCGATCTCTCTTTTTCTCCTCGCTTCCCACCTGAAAACAACTCGAGCAGTGGCCATGGAGAAAATGCATAAAGTTGATCGAAAGCAGGTAGGGGAAAAGAAACCCGAAAGGAAACTCGAAAAAGGAACTAAAAATCAACGAATTCAAGAAATCAAGAAATCAAGAATTCAAGAAATCAAGAAAATCAAGATCAAGTTGAAAACTGAATTCAGGAAGCTGCTGCTTTTGCTCTAATAGAGTTTCCGCTGTCTTTTCTGGGTTTTCCACCAGTAGCCACTTCGATTGGTCATTCTCAAATCAACGTTGAAACAGCAAGATTCTCATTGGTAGATCACTGATCACTTGACCTATATAATATTGTTTAATTTCCAGGTGGCCAATACACTTGCTTGTGGCTGGTTGATGGTTTTCATCGTTTTCTGTCTTCCGATTTTAGAATATCTACCAAAAGTAGAATCTCTCAGATCTAGTTAAACGCCTTTTTTGTTTTAGGCAGTACTTGGCGGGATCTTGGTGCTTTCCTTTCCAGCGATTCCATGCGAGATCTTGCATCTTCGTCGAGTTTACAAGATTTCGAAACAAGATTGTGTACTTTTAAAGAAGATTTTCCTTATAAAGAACAATTTAAAACCTATTTATAGCTTCATTGACCTCTTCACCCTATTTCTAGATTCCTCCTGCTTTTTTGTTTCATTTGAGATTTATTTTCGCTTAATCGCATACCATTTGGTGTACGGAATTCAAAGCAAAAGAATCATTTAATCTTAATTTTCGGTTTTTCGAAAGAATTTCCACAACTGACAAAACTTTAGATTTGCTACATTCTGACAGCGCTTTCGTTGTTGTTGACACCGAATTTGTGTCGGGGTTTCTTATTTGCAATCGGTCTCAACATCTTCCTAGCAGCACATCGAATATTTTGGTTTGTCTGCTTTTCTGTCTGATTTTCTAAACACTAGTGAAACTCACAGAAATTTCTGAATTTCTGAATTTCTGAATTTCTGAATTTCTGAACTTTCTTAAATTACAGGCCAGAAAGATGGGCTTTAGCTAGATTGGATGGTGATGGGCGATTTGCTGAAGAAAGCAGGTATAAAATGACTGTGCATCTATTCGTGTATGTTTCATCTATTCGTTTATCAGGTACGAGGGTGAACCCTGCGATGCTCCGGCTCGAATTCTTCGTTTCAACGCACCATTGGTATCGAAAAGTGAAAGAATTTCGGTTTAAATGAATTCTAGATTTTTGGCAACACTGATTTATTCCATGACGCTGTTCACGAGCAGGTGAAACTGATAAAAGGGTAAGTGGCATTGAAATCACTTTTATTTTTAAAGTGGCATTGAAATCACTTTTATTTTTAAAGTGGCATTGAAATCACTTTTATTTTTGGTCGCGGCACAGTACGGAGGCTTACTGTATCACTAAATACGACGTAAATATTTTAGACAAGTGCCACTGGGCATTGGAACGAGAACGGGCAGTTTGCGGAGTCAAGTGGGTGTAATGGGTGATTGTTTCCCGATCGGTCCACACAAAGCGGTGCGAGAATTCTCACCACGAGACAAGGGGGAGGGATTCCAAGCATTCCAATGCTTGGAAATTCCAAGCAAAACCAAATACCATCATCGTTTTCTCAGCCGTCTTAACCGATTGCTTTAAAATTTGATTAAAATGCTACAAATAGAGACAGTTTGTAGAGAAAAATTTCAGCAATTACCTACAAAAAAAAAACGGTTGAGAAAACGAAGATGGAATTCGATTCGCGACGGAATTTTCTTGTCGATAGCCTATGCTTTCAAAAACTAACATCACTTTTTGCATATTGTTTTTTTCTTAAAGCAGTACTAATCTTTTACTATTCGATTGGAAAGAAATTTCTCGGGAAAATCATTTTTTTTTTTTTTTTTGGTGTCATCTTCTTGGCACTGGAGGGTTTTTGCTAAAATAGGTGATTCTGAAAAGTTAAAAAGCATTAGATCAAAAGTTCCCTTAATCACAAGGCTTTCCGTATTTTAAATACTTCATTTTAGGTTTTGGATGTCTCAGGCTCAGGCTTAGGCTCAGGCTTAGGCTTAGGCTTAGTGCGAAGGCTAGCGGCTAGCGCCTAGCACTAAGTCTATTTGGGTTTGGGCTGAACCCCCATTTTCTGGATCTCAGCCGGTTTAGACTTAGGCTTAGGCTTAGGCTCAGGCTTAGGCTCAGGCTTAGGCTTAGGCTTAGGTTTAGGCTCAGGCTTAGGCTTAGGCTTAGGCTTAGGCTTAGGCTCAGGCTCAGGTTAGTCTGCTTTGGTTAGTCTGCTATCAAGAAATAGCCCTTCAATTAGGCTACACAATGGTAGAAAAACTCTTGTTTAGTACAAGAAAAATGGGCGCAAAGTGAGAGCTACACACCTAAAATGACGGCAAAGTGAGAGTACTGACTGTACATCGCAATACGAAAAACGACGTACCATCTTTTGTATAGGTGTGTAGTGTTGATGCTCTCACTTTGCGGTCATTTTTTTTATTAACCCATTAAACTGGCTGGTCACTCAAAAAAGTGACCAAGTCCAGCTGAAGAAATCTCTTATTTTTTTTTTACCTAAAGCTCCCTCTGATTTTTTTTTGTTTATCAAAAAATTTGAGACGAATTTATGGCTTTGATTTTTGAGAAATCACTGTGCAAACTTTTTCCGAGAACTTTCTTTCCAACCTAATAAATCCAGCTCTGTTAAAGCTTTACTATTCTTAACACACACCGCAACAATGGCGATAACTTTTAAACTAATAATTTCGTGTAAATTCAACGATAATCTAAACGATTAGAATCATTTGTCAGCTTTGAATCTCCTCTTAAAAACTAGTTGGTTGAGGTTCGGCTCTCGGCTCCACTTGAGGCACGTTTATCATTGGTTCAAAGCAAAACAAGCCCCCATACGTTTTGTCATCAACGATAAACTAAAAGATTAAAATCATTTGCTAGCTTTGAATCTCCTCTTAAAAAAGCTAGTAGAAAGTTATAGAGATGAAAGTAAAATAAATAACAAAAGTGTTTAAAAGCACTGAAAACTATTCGCACCAGATTATCGTGAATGTGTTAAATGCTTAAAATCTAATAAAAAAACAAAAATTCTAGGTGGAGGTTCGACTCTCAGCTCCGCTTGAGGCACGCTTATCATTGGCTCAAAGTAAAACAAATCTCACAAATTTTGTCATCAACGATCCATCGGTTTAAGTGGTTTAAGAGAACGTTCTATAACGATTTACAGATGATTATACAAGGTGATCAGCCATTAATCCGTTGTCTTATCGTCGATTTCTCCGCGATTTCAGCCGTTGATACAACTGGAATGTACATTCTCAATCAAGTTTTGTTTTCTGGAAAATGAAAAACCTTTTTTTTCTTTCCAGGTTTATTTCGAGCTTCACGAAGATAACGTGAAATTTCTGTTTGCTGCTGTGAATGGTAATTGATCTTTGAATTGATCTTTGAATTGATCTTTGAACGCTGAATGACGCGGTGTTAGCCAGTCGAGCTATGGTCATTGATGATTAATAAGTTCTTTGTTTCAGCCAACGTACGAGACTCAATGCAAGCGGCTGGGTTGTTCTCATTGTTACCGAGAAATTGTTTCTATCCAACGCTGAATGACGCGGTGTTAGCCACTCGAGCGATGGTCATGCCAATTCATACCAGGCATAAAATTTATGATAATTTATAATAATAATATTTAATATAAACATTGAAAAACGATTTCTAAACATTTCTAAACATTTCTAAACATTAAAAAACGATTTCTAAACATTCTAAACATTGAAAACCGATTTCTAAACATTCAAAACATTTCTAAACATTTCTAAACATTTTAAACATTTCTAGTGTTTCTTTGAATGGTTGCCGAGATGTGATCGCTGTTTCGGCTTGTGGCTCACACTTTGATGTGGCCACGATTGGTACAAATCGTGACAACGACTCGAAAGGCGAACCAGCTCAAGTCTAGCCCTCATCTTTTGATCTCTATTCTCTGAATCTCTATTTCTCTATTCCTCATTTTTCTAGATTGACAACTTGTCAAAGAAAAAACAAAAGTTTAAGTAAATCTTGTCAACACGAGGTATTCAAATCCTTCCAATTTCTTTTTTTTTCAATTTTTACAGAATAAAAGTTTTGTGTTTTTCCTTTAAATCGAACACAAATAGGGATAGATTGCAGAAAATAGAAATTGCAGAAAATAGACAAAAGCTTTAGTCAACATGAACTCGGGTAATAGGATTTGAAGCGTTTTGGGGGAAAGGGGAAAGCTGGCCGCAAAACCGAGAGATTGAAGGGAAACCGATTCCCTCGATTGCCCTCCAACAAATCTCTTTTTGCTCATCCCGTATAAAAGCAATACTCTTTTCACCTCTTAATTCACCATTATCTAAGTCGTTAGCCAACTCAAGGCATCTTAAAGTGGATTTGAAAAGATTCAGTTTTAAGCATCATGCTGTTCTTTAGAGCTTTGGCTTCAAGGCTTTTGATATGAAAATGCGCTGAGTTGAAGTGATTTTCAAAACCGAATACCAAGAAAATCATCTATTGGGTTGGTGAATTGAAAACTGCCGGACTTTGAACTAAAATTTATTCAACATAAAACCATCAATTCACTCCAAATAATTTCCATTATTATTGACGACTTCTGCCCATTTTACAGGCAATTTTCGTCTTCTCTTTCGTAGTAGGATTTTGGTTTGTGTATGAGACAAGTGTGAGACTCAAAAATGGAGGACTGGAGATGTCCCAGTTTGAGCACTTTCTTCAAAAGAAACCCATTTTGGTGTCAATAGAAAAGTTGTAGAGAATCAAAAATGAGGCTTATAGCCAAATTTTCAAAAAGATACACTTAGTAGTTTCGCTTAAAATGCAAGTTTTGTGAAAGTTTCGTAAATTTGGCATTTCTTGAAAACCAATTTTTGAATCGTTCTGAAAATTTGGATATAAGCCTCATTTTTGATTCTCTACAACTTTTCCATTGACACCAAAATGAGTTTCTTTTGAAGAAAGTGCTCAAACTGTCACATATGACAATAGCCCGCAGTTTTCAATTCACCAACCCAATTCAAATAAACATTTCTATTTTCTTATTTTATTTATTGAATTTTTTTGCTAGAGTTATTTGAAGTCTTTTTACAGTATCAAATGTTTCCCCAGCTGAGCAAATGATGAGATCAGAGAGAGCCAAAATGAACTATTCACCGATTCCACAAGGAGATCCCTGGGATCTCGCCTTGCTCGACCATGAACAAGTAGAATCTTTTTTTCTTTCTTGTTTAATCAGAAATTGTTTAAAAAATAAAGGGTTAACGAATTGGCTTCAAGTTTTTTGTGCCTTTTTGTGACTTTTATTCCAAATTTAACCTACAGTCTAACAGTTTTTCTTAGTCTTTTTGTGAGTCTTTGTTTTCAAAACTTGCACTTGCACTACTCCCTTTTACCATGTCAAACATTAATATCACTATAGAAAACAAAAAAAAGGGTTATGAGAAAGTTGAGGGATTGAGTGGGTGGCTTTGCAAGAGATGGGAACCAGAATTATGGGTGCCGTTAGACGATTGCAGTGCTTCTGAAACCCTTTCCTTTTTTTTGCGCTCTTTCCCCCTCAACACTCAAAAAGTCGTTTCGATTCTCTTATAAATTTCACTATGTTTTAACAAAGAAAAAGATGCAATTTCACATTGTGCACACTTTCGATGAGCAAAGCTTTATTGTAAGTTTATTTTAATGGTTATCGTATAGTCTTTTTTTCTGTGTTTGACCATTTGCAAAGCTTAGAAGCAGGGATGTTCAGATCCGGATTCGAATCTCTAAACAAACATACAAAAAAACGAAAAGACAACTACGCGACACTCCAATAGATAGTTCATAGTACTGTCGCGTAGTCATCTTTTCGTTCTTTGTATGCTTGCGTAGAGATCTGAATCCGGATAGAACAAAAAGAGGGGGAAACTCTCTGTCCAATCTTTTTTTCATTACTGAGAGTGGAGGAGACGATGAACAGTTCATAGTACTGTCGCGTAGTCATCTGTTTGTTCTTTGTATGCTTGCGTAGAGATCTGGATCCGGATATCTCTGCTTAGAAGAGAGGACTTGAATACATCACTTGAACTATTGTAGCTGAGCTTTTTTTGGTTAAGGTTTTTTTGGTTTTAGAAGCCACTCCTGTTTTTTCAGATCTAAGTTTTCCTCAGTGCTTCTGTTTTTTCGATTTTTTTTCTCCCCCAAAGCTTTCTTTGGGTGATAAAAGTAGAGTGCAATTTGGGGTGGACAAAAGAGAAAAAGAAGCTCATCAGAAATAGAACAAAAAGAGGGGGGAAACTCTTCTGTCCAATCCTTTTTTTTTCATTACTGAGAGTGGAGACGATGGACATGGAGATAAGGGAGGAGAGGATGGAGTGATTTCTCTAGGAGAATCAAGAGAAGAGGTGATGAGAAGTGGCCCACACTCACTTTTTGGGACAAGTTTCTGGATTTGTTTTTTTTTTTATCCTTTCTCTTAAAACCCACCATCATCCAATTTATGGTGATTTTCTGAAATTCGTTTTCAATGCCCGATTGGTGTTTGATTTTCTATGTACACGGATCATAGAGATGTGAGTTTTTTTTTCTGCTTCTTTAAGGTTTCAATATTGATTTAAATTCATGACTCTTGCGTAGTTTGAATTGAAAAAATTGAATTGAATTGACGTCCGGGTATTTTGAAAAAAATTCAGGTATTTTCAATGGGTCGCCCACTTTGAAAGCTTATAACTTTGTCTAGAGGTCATATTTTTATGAACTTTTTATATCATTGTACAGAGGACATTTCAAGCTTTCAAATGATACCAAATTGAGCTTGATTGGATAATTGAGTTCAAGAAAATCAGAGCCAACTCTGAGCAAATGCTGTCTATCCAACTTGGGTGTTGTGTCGCTTTGTTTGCATGGGAATGAAAAATCGAGTCAAGCTTTATTTGGTATCATTTGAAAGCCTGAAATGTTCTTTGTATAATGATATAAAAAGTTCATAAAAATATGATCTCTAGACAAAGTTATAAGCTTTCAAAGTGGGCGACCCATTGAAAATACCTGGAAACTACGCAAACGAAAGAGTCAAATTTACAAGGCGTATAAGGGTTTTTGATTGATGATACCTAATCAAGTTAGGTTTTTATTGTCACCTATAAGCCTTAAAGCTTTTCTTAGCTTTCTTAGCTTACTTAGCTACTTAGCTTTCTTAGTTTTAAAGCTTTAAAGCTAAGAAAACTAGATAACTATTAGCTCTAAATTTAGTAAAATTTAAAACAAAATAATCTCTAGTAAAGTTTAAGAAATCTATAATAAAATAATTTCAAAACAAATCCCAACTAGCTCTCGAATTTGATGAGCGACAAGTGGAAAAGATATTTTTTTTTAAACCTAACAGAAAAGGCGAATTCTTTTCTGATTCAAGGAGCAAAAAGTGGAAAAGAAACAAAAAAAAAAGCAAAGAAAAAGAAAGCCAGAAAGCTTTCTAAAGCCAGAAAAAGAAGCAAAACAGTGTTTGGTGGTGGTGAAAAATGAGCGGTTGGAAAGAACGGCTCCCCAGGGGCTAAGCGCTGGAGGCTTGTGTCAATGCTTGATTCTCTCATGTCAAACATACCAACACATCTCTTTCCCGCCTCGCCTCTAACCATCATCATCCATAAAATCCCCCTCAGCAATTTCCCGGTTTTTATCGTTTCACCAATAAACGCAAATCAACGGCCTTCAATTTGGGATTATCCCGCTCATTCAACCCGAAACCTGATGAGTTTTCCATTCTTTTCCGTTCCTTAGCCCCATTCGACTAAAATGGCATTCATTTCGTCGCATTTACCCTTTATCGGTCATAAAGCTTATCGACAATCGATTTTGCAAGCGAATCGACTTCTAGAGGCGAATAACGCCGGCAATGATGATAATAATAATGAAGCCGATGAGGAGGAGGTTTTCTTGTTTTATTAAATGCTAATAATATTTTAGCTAAACCATTTCCAATCGAGGTTTTCTCAATTTCAGTTCACTGAGAAAGAGTTGCCGGCATGGAGAACGTATGCGAAGATGATTTTGCCTCATGTGGGTCTCATCTTGCTCTCATTCGTCTACATCGTTGGCGGAGCTTTCGCCTTTTATCACCTCGAAGGGCCAAATGAGGTTCGTGAAATCAAAAATCAAAATGGTAAAGTGTTTCAGGTATCGATCCGTGACTCGAACCTTCGACAGATCGCGATCTATAAAGAGCAAATGCTGAACGATATGTGGAATCTGGTGAACAGTGACACACCTAAGGGTTGGTCAGCGATCGGTTTCTTTTTTTTTGATCCCTTTACTTAGCAATCTATAAATTTTGTTTGTACCTTAGCTGGTTTTATTTGTAAACTGTTGTTGAATGTTGAATTTACTCTCATTAGATAGAAAATTTGATTTCGAGTTGAATGAATGAAAATTCAACGTTTTTTGAAAAAAATCCGACAAAGATACGATTAAAATTCGTAGATTGATAAAAATAAACGGCAAAAAGAACAAAAAGGCAAAGTTAACATGCCTGCGGTTAGGTTTAATGCTCAATGAAAAGCTGAATGAAATTTTTTTGTTTAGCGGTGATCGAAGCAACCGCGGCTGCACACGTGGACAACGTGACGCGAATGCTTTTCGACGCCTTTGACACGCATTTCATCACAGCAAAGCATTTAAGAGCGGTGATTTTTTTTAGAGATTATTTAAATAGAAACAATTATAAAGTATCAATATGTTATTATATAGTGAATTTGATTAATATTAGGTAAATGCATAAGAAATGCGAATTTCAACATTTTCATGAAATTTCCAACGATAGAAATGTGATATCGATGAATGTTATAAACTATTTGAATGTTGTAAATCTCCTCTACAAAATAGACTAAAACGTGTTTCAATTGATCGAAGAAATTGAAGAATTGAAGAAATTTCGAGGGCGAAATGCGAGTGACCAAAAAAAGGGCACTTTTTGAAAGCCCCACTTTCACAAGAGTTCCGTATTGACTAAAAATCGTTTCAGAAATGTTAGTCTATTGAAATTTATTGAACATAACTTTAAAACTATACATTTCTGTAAATGCATTTCCGTTAGACTTTTTAGTGAATTGATATATAGTTATCGTTTTTCTTCTTAAATCTTCAATTTCGGGAAGCTAACTCCATTTTGAGCACACTAAACTTGTCCCTAAAGTGACTCGATTCCTCGTTTTTTGGTCACTCGCATTTCGCCCTCGAAATTTCTTCAATGGTTCGATCAATTGAAACACATTTTAGTCTATTTTGTAGAGGAGATTTGCAACTTTCAAATAGTTTATAACATTCATCGATATTAGATTTCTATCGAAAATGTTGAAATTCGCATTTCTTATGCATTTACCTAATACAATTGATAGGAAAATGGAGGCGAGGATGAGCACAGTTGGACGTACACCACGGCGCTTTTCTTCACCGCGACTCTGCTCACCACCATTGGTTTATTTTGTCAGAATATCTAATTTATCTTCTTTAATTTCAAAAATTCTAATAATAATTTTTTTCAGGCTACGGTAATTTGGTGCCAGTGACGTTGTGGGGTCGAATGTTTTGTGTGCTCTACGCACTTTTCGGTGTCCCACTCATTTTGATTACTGTAGCTGATATTGGAAAGGTATTTTTTGTTTCTTTTGTTAGCTGAATTTTAGCTTGTTTGTTAGCTGAATTTTATCAAATTTCTTTCAAAATCTCTTTTTTAGTTTATGTCTGAGCAAATCTCGAAGCTTTATGAGCGTTATAAGAAGGCCAGATTGCGGTGGCTCGAGCAAAGCGATTCAAAACGAGAATTTCTTTTTCAAGAGAATCAAAACAATCAAAACAATAATCTAGTTTGTTTTAAAATTGGATCTATTTGAAAAGAACTTTAGAATAACTATAGAATAACTTTAGAATAACTATAGAATAACTTTAGAATAAACTTTAGAATAAACTTTAGAATAACTATAGAATAACTATAGAATAACTATAGAATAACTATAGAATAACTATAGAATAACTATAGAATAACTTTAGAATTCAAAGAATATTACATTTTTAGATGAGTGGATTGGAGGAAAGCTCAGGAATCCCAATGTCTTTGATCACGATCATTCTCCTTGGCTATATAGCAATAGGTTCAAGTGTTTTACGATTAAATTTTTTTAAAAACTACAATTTAAGCAATTTATTATTATTTTGAGATTAAGATTGATAAGATTGAGTATTCATTTTCAAATAAAACCAAGATTCTAGGAGCTGTTTTACTTGGTCTTTGGGAGAAATGGGATTTCTTCACCGGTTTCTACTTTACTTTTATCACAATGACTACGGTAAGTAGCTGAAGAAAATAAGTAAAACAAAATAAAAGAAATAAAACAAAAGAAATAAAACAAAACAATTAAAACAAAAGAAATAAAACAAAACAAAATTAAAGCTAAAAAGCAAAACATAAAATCAATAAAATCAATAAATCAATCAATAAAATCAAATTATTTTCAGGTTGGCTTTGGCGATATTGTGCCCTTGAACAAGAGTTTCTTTGTCGTTGATTTACTTTATATCATTATTGGTTTAGCGATCACGTGAGTGTAAAGAAAGAAGAAAGGATCATAAAGATTTCGCCGTATGGAATTGCGATTTCCCAGCGCTTTCGCTTTGTTAATTTGCTATCAAAATATAGCCCTTCAATTAGGCTACACGATGGTAGAAAAAACTTTTAGAAAAACTCTTGTTTAGTATAAGAAAAAATGGCCGTAAAGTGAGAGTACCGACTGTACATCGCCATACGAACAACGACGTACCGTCTTTTGTATAGGTGTGTAGTGTTGATGCTCTCACCTTGAGGCCACTTTGCGGCCATTTTTCTTGTACTAAACAAGAGTTTTTCTAAAAGCTTTTTCTACCATCGTGTAGCCTAATTGAAGGGCTATATTTTGATAGCATACTGACAAAGCGAAAGCGCTGCGAAATTGCAATTCCATACGGCGCAATCTTCATCGTCCCGAAATCTCTGACCAAAAAAAGAGCTTTTCTAGTACAATGTGCATCGATTTGGTCGGCATTCAGTACATTCACAAGATTCATTATGTAGGACGAGCAATGAAGGTTACAAAAGTTCAAGAAATCTTAAAGATTCTGTTCCAGGATGCTCGTTTTGCGATCGTGAACGTTGGCGGGAAAATGGTGCATGTGCCGGATATCATGAGATACGCGAGTGTTTTGCAACAGGTTTTCTTATCGAATTTTTAATAGACATGGCGATATTTTGGAATCACTCGCATTCAAACAGTCAGATCTTTTCACTAGTAGCGTCTAGCAATTTGAAACTTTTTCTATTGGAAAGCTTAGATTCTGAGCTTCGTTTTGGTAACTAATATTTTAAAAAGGTTCTTTAAATAACAGGCTAAAAGCTTCATTAACCGTTGGGATGTCGATCTTAACGAGGCCTCGTTAAGATCTCGATAAGGAATTGTTAAAAATCTTAACGATATTGCTAAATATCGTTAAGATTTTTTAAATTTTAGTATTTAAAAGAATTTTGCCAAATGCTGGGCACCAAAATGAAGCAAAGAATCTAGACTTTTGATAGAAAAAGTTTCAGATCGCTAGAAGTTACTGGTGCACAGTTATGGCTATTTTAAACGCGGGGCCTCGTTAAGCCTCGTTAACAAGTCTGGTTTTTAAGCTTTTTAAGCTTTTAAGGTTTTTAAGCTACCTGATCACTGTGAGAATTGTTTAATATATAAAATTTTGAGCTACTAAAAAGAAAAACTTTTTAGAAATACGGTAAAAAGCCAGCCGAACAAACGGATGAGTACGTGAAAGGGAGCTTTATTCCTCAAGACATACATCTAATCAAATATATCGACTATACGTGAGTTTAAAAAAGAGAAAACCAAAAAAAAAAAGCTATTGATAACCAAAAAGAAACCGTTGATGGATGTTTACGGTTAACGGCGGGGGGGGGTTAGCGATTAGAAAATCTACTATGCTATTAGAAAATCTACTATGCTATTAGAAAATCTACTATGCTACTAGAAAATCTACTATGCTATTAGAAAATCTACTACGTAGATTTCCTCTAGCAATCTCTAGATTTATCATAGAATTTATGAATTTCAGTTTTTAAATAAAAACTAGCTAAAGCTCTTACAGGTTACGTTTACAGTTTGAATGCTGGAAAGATTCTTATACCCATTTCTGGTATTTCAATGATATCTCCAACTGGTGGACTCATTTGCTAAGCGTTCTTGCCCTCTTCTGGATAAGATTCTTCTGCTAGAGAAATTATTTGTTTATTTAAAACAGAGGATCTTTACGGTTAACGGCGGGGGGTTAGCGATTATCGACGGGGCGAATTTTTTGCCCCAACTTGCAGCTCATTTTTAAGCACCTTAAACTTGTCAGATCAAAAAGTTTTAATAAGATTTCGATAGCTTAAAACGTCAGCTTTCAGAAACTATTTGTTTTATCAAAATTAATTAACATAAACTTATATAAAATCTGGTTGAAAGTGCAGGTCAAAAACTTGGCCGCCGCCGATAATCGTTACCCATTGATAACCAATAAAAAGCCATTAGTAACCAAAAAAAAAAAACGATTGATATTCAAAAGAAAAGAGTTTTGTTTAAATTAAATTGTTTTTCAGGGAAAATCTTTCGATTTAACCATCCCTAAAGGCGAAATTTTCTTTTGAAAATTTCATTCTATTCTAAAATTTCAAAATCAATTCGAAAATGATTTAAAGATGCTAAAAATGAGTTGAAATTAAAGAAATTTTACTTTAAATTTAGACATGGACATTAAAAAGTACAAATGTAAACTATAAAAGCTTTTAATTTGCTTTAAATCTACTGGATTGATATGATCTATAGCTCAAAAAAATAGAGTACTTCAAGAGCTTTCGAATGGACTAAAGTACACTGAAAAATAGGAATTCGAAAGAAATTTATAGTGGTTTATAGTCTTAACTCAAAACAGACCGTATTTGCGCGTAGTCAAAGCGATCAAACCACTGTAATTTTCTTTCGAATTCCTATTTTTCAGTGTACTTTAGTCCATTCGAAAGCTCTTGAGATACTCTATTTTTTGAGCTATAGATCATATCAATTCAGTAGATTTGAAGCAAGCTAAAAGCTTTTTTTGGTTTACATTTGTATTTTTTAATGTCCATGTCTAAATTTAAAGCAAAATTTCTTTAATTTCAACTCATTTTTAGCATCTTTAAATCATTTTCGAATATCATATCAATCCAGTAGCTTTGAAGCAAGTTAGAAGTGTTTGTAATGTGACAGATCGTCACTTTTATAGTCTATAGTGCTCATTTCTACTCAAAATGTCTTTTCAGGTCTCTCTGCAGCGCGTTGACTTCAGTAGAAAGCATTCACACTCTCCTCAGCAACGTTTTCGCCTCCAAACACCCACCTGCCCACGTTTAAAATATAAAAAAAAAGCTACCGTAAATACTGTAATAGTACCCCACCCCCGTCGTACAGTCGCGTAGTCGCAAAAGTTTTTTAGTATTTCATTTTTTGCAAAGCACCCGTACTTTCAAAAAATGCGTCTTTGGTATCAAAAAATAGCCCTGAATTTCAGCTATTTTTTGATACCTAAGCGCGCACTGTAGCATAAACCAGTGTCGAGAAAAACGCGTCCAAAGCTAGACTACGCAACGCTCCGCACCGTCATTATGGGCGTGGGGTACTATTACAGTATTTACGGTATATTATTTATCAATGTTACTCGTTTTTTTAAATTACTAAAGAAAAATGACGTTAAATTTGCGGTAAAAGAGACGTGATTCAAGCCATTTCATGAATTTTCGAGTAGATATGTGCTGCTTTTTGTGGGAAGACATTGCTTTACCCCCTTTTTTTCTTTTACCTTTTCTTCTTGTGATTCTTTTATATTAGTTTTTTTTTGCGATAAATCTTTCTACATCTTGAAAAGAAGAAAATGCATATGAGACTCTATTTTGGAGACTCATCTTTAGTTAGAAAAGTTGTCACTAGATTTGATAGTTTGTTCTACTTTACTACAGTTGACTCTCGATATAACGACTCATACTTACTTCTATATAATGACTTGTTCGATATAACGACCCGTACTTACGGTCCAGGACTTACTTACTTCTATCTAACGACTTGTTCGATATAGCGACTCGTACTTACAGTCCAGGTCTTACTTACTTCTATAAAATGACTTGTTCGATATAACAACTCCATGTTGCGGTCCCGACAGCGTCGTTATATCGAGAGTCGATTGTTCTTCATTTCTTTCGACAATTCTACAAGTGAAAAAGTTCAAATCACTTCTAATCTAATCTTTGAATTTACGAAAATATCAACGTTATAAAGTACCAAAGCTTTGACTTTTCTACAATGTTTTTGAGAAACAGAGACTCTTTGATAAGCATTATTTTAAGAGAAACGAATCTCACTAGTCAGCTAATGCTTAGAACTTATACATCGTTACTTTAGTTTTCTTTTATAACTTGTTTTACTAGAGATTCAGATTCTACAAAGGAAAAGGTTCAAATCACTTCTAATCTTTATATATATATATAACGATGTTCGACATAACAACATACGACTAATGACCATTTCGGGCTCCCGACAGAGTCATTATATCGAGAGTCGATTGTTCTTCATTTCTTTCGACAATTCTACAAGTGAAAAAGTTCAAATCACTTCTAATCTAATCTTTGAATTTACCAAAATATCAACGTTATAGAGTACCAAAGCTTTGACTTTTCTACAATGTTTTTGAGAAACAGAGACTCTTTGATAAGCATTATTTTAAGAGAAACGAATCTCACTAGTCAGCTAATGCTTAGAACTTATAGTTTGTTACTTTAGTTTTCTTTTATAACTTGTTTTACTTGAGATTCAGATTCTTTACTAGAAAAAAAAACTCATTCTTCGCATCACTTTGTGAGTCCACATCGATTTGAGAGTCCTTTTTTTTCAATAGAATCCAAGCTTTTAGTGGCTTTTTATGTGCATTTAGGCGAAAGGCGACAAACGGGCACCCTGACGGCTTTTCGTGTAATTGCTCGGTGCCTGTGTGCTCCCTTTCCTTTGCTTTCTCGCTCAACGTCGAACTTCTCTTCGAGTTGTTGAGGTGACTTTTTGACTCACAGAAGACCCTTCTTTTTTTTTTTCTACAAGTGCCTAGGTGAACTCAGGCGACGAAAATTGCCCTCCCCTCCAGGCCGTCAAATGGCTTAAGCGCAATTTCTCCACTTACCACCAGCTATCCTAGTAAAGAAAACAGCTTTAATCTTTAATCACTTTTTTAAAAGCTTTTATTTACTGCTTTAGTTTCAATTTCGTTTCTGAAACTAATGAATAGGCAAAACTAATTTAAGCACTGTCGCGAGGCAACTTTTTTCTTTCATTGATTTACTGCCGAAAATTTTATTTACTGGTTAAGTAAAAAGAAAGGGATAGGAAGAAAATTGTAATGATATTGTAGAAAATGTTAATAGTTGATAGAAGAAAATAGAGTGCTTTGAAAAGATTGGTCGATTTGGAGAGCTTGGGACAGAGTTTTGGTAAGCTAAGTAAGCTAAGTAGCTAAGTAAGCTAAGTAGCTAAGTAAGCTAAGTAAGCTAAGTAGCTAAGCAGCTAAGTAGCTAAGTAGCTAAGTAGCTAAGTAGCTAAGTAGCTAAGTAGCTAAGTAGCTAAGTAAACCCTTCTTGGTCAAGAAATGAATTCATAGAAATGGACAACTAACAGTTTTCAGCTTTGAAAAGCACCTGTCTTCGAGATCGTTCTCTCAGACTTTTCTTTCACAATTCCGTCATCTCACATTCGATTAGGCGGGGCCTCGGCAAGCAATTTCTCCTCTCCAGATCTCCTCGCCGCCAACTTCTAATCAAAAGTCTTCTCTTTAGTCGAAAGAAAAACTCCATCTCTTTAATATCCCTTTTCTCGATTATTGAATTAGTCAAAAGCACATACACACAGCAAAAAAAAAGAGCTGAGTCTCACAAAACCTAGAACTTAAGCTATACTTACTTATTACTACTTATACAAATAGTTATTAAACTAGTCTAGCTAGATCTAAATCATTATTTGATAAAAAATTATTAGAAGACAGAACATAGAAAAGAATTAGATTAGCCTAAAAAATTGAATTCTATATCATTCTATCTGAAGCTATTTCACTCAAGCATCCCCTGCGCTCTTTTTCAGCTAAGTAAGCTAAGTATTTCACTCAAGCATCCCCTAAGCGTCCCCTAAGCGAACTTTTCGATGCCAAAACGCTTGAGTTAACTTTCATTTCTTTTTTTCTTCTAATGCCCATCTATGGCTTTTTGAATTATCATGGGGCACTCAAAGAGATGGTGTAATCTGAGTCCCATCCTTTCCCCTCTTCACCGCCATCGCGAATTCCTCTTTTTCAACTCCGACTCCCCGGCGGCGATCACAAATTTCCGGTGCTGGTGCCGCCAAAAAGTCTCGTATTTTTGTCGATTTTTTTTTTCTTAAATTCAATTCTCTTCTCGTGTGCAAAGAAATCCATTTGTCTGTCGTGTTACCGTGCAATTTTTCCTGTGTCCCCAGGAACTACCTTCCGTTGTCCACCAATTCAAATTTATAAATTCTTTTTTTTTTGCAAAGTGTTTTAGTGCTTTTTAGGAAGTTATTTAAGAGTTTAATAGATTTAAAGCTACCGTAAATACTGTAATAGTACCCCACCGTCCTCGTACAGTCGCGTAGTCGCAAAAGTTTTTTAGTAATTCATTTTTTTAAAGCGCCCGTACTTTCAAAAAATGCGTATTTGGTATCAAAAAATAGCCCTGAATTTCAGCTATTTTTTGATACATAAACGAGCATTGTAGCATAAACCAGTGTCGAGAAAAACTCGTTCAAAGCTAGACTACACAACACCCCGCACTGTCATTATGGGGGTGGGGTACTATTACAGTATTTACGGTAGATATCTTTCAAGAGAAAGAGAAAGAGGTAGATAAGAAAGAGCTTGTCTGTTCTCTGTCTGTCTGTCTGTCTATCTGCTTATCTATTAGGTTGACCCATAAGTCTTGGTAACACTTTATTCTACTAGCGTTTATAAATGACAAATTCATCAATTGACCTACGTTTTGCTCTAAACAGAAGATGTTTAGCATTCACTTTTCTATCATTTCAAGCCGATTTCGGTCTATTTCCAAGTAAATTCAAGTGCAAAAACTTGTTTTTCTTTTGTAGAATTCGATAAAAAGCTCTACAAAGAAATCGTTTGAATAGATTATCCCTGAAAATTCGGCTATATACTTAACTTTTTGCGCTTTATCTTTTATCCATTGACAGAAACATAGATTTCTGTGGACCAAAACACCTAAATTGCGTCTTCGGGTTGTCGCCTTTTTTGACTTCGCGCCGACTTCGCGCGCCCATAAAAAAGCATAGACAAAAGATTTTTATAAGATTCAAACGTTATTTTGTAGAAAGATAGTAGGCCTTTCTAATGGATCCAGTTGTAAATCAATTGGTAAATTTGACATTTATAAAACCTAGTAAAACAGAGTGTTAACCAAGACTTATGAGCCAACCCAATATTTGGCGCAAAGCTGGCTGATATGCAAGTAGGTAAATAGTACTGTAGGGTACTGAAAAGTACTGTAGGGTACGTAAATAGTACTGTAGGGTACTAAAAGGAAATCGATATTGAAAGATAAAGCTAAAAGGTAATCGATATTTTCTTGATTTTGAACAATGAAAAGAAATCGAAAAGCTAGATTAGAGAAATCACTTTTATAAAGCGGTGAAACCAATTAGGAGATTTTCCTCGAGTCAGTCGAGCTTTTTTCTTTACGCATTCATTCAAATAATCCGAGAGATATCAGAAAGAGTCACCGCTTTCCCCTCCATTTTTTTTTCCTTTCATCTACACAGATCCAGATTAAGAATCCCTCAATACTTGGAGATCTTCTCCTCATCTCTAACCACACATTTCTCAAAATCAATTCTCTCCGACAAATCTCCATAATGTATAATATCATTCAGTCGTTTTTCTTTACATTGTCTTTTTCTTTTCTTATCTTTTTTTGATGTTACGAGATGGGATCGCTTCTGAAAATAGATCTAGAACAGATCTAGAACTTGAAATGCTAACTTTCTCTTTAAAATTGAACAGAAACTTAGTTAAACAACTAATATTAAACACAAAACTAGTTAAATACAGTACTGGACAATGAAATATCCTATTTGAAAAACGATCGTCACTTTCGCGCGTCTGTAACCCCCTTGTCTTTGAGTTTAAACTATTAGTGTTATACATTTTCTGAAAGCTCTTTTCAAGGGCTACACAATGGTAATATTAATATTTAGAAATACGGTAAGGACAAGGGAGCTACGGACGCGCGAAAGTGACGATCTTTTTTCAAATATGATATTTCATTGTCCAGTAGTGTAGCTAACATTAAACACAAATTTAGTTAAACAGCTAACATTAAACACAAACTTTGTCTTAAGCAGCTAACATTAAACACAAATCTAGTTAAACAGCTAACATTAAACACAAACTTTGTCTTAAACAGCTAACATTAAACACAAACTTTGTTTTAAACAGCTAATATTAAACACAAACTTTGTCTTAAACAGCTAACATTAAACACAAATCTAGTTAAACAGCTAAACATTCCTTCATTTACTACAAGATTTTCTAAATTTATGTTGCGTTTTTAAAAAATTATTGCTTGTTGAATGAATGGCGCCGGAAGTTCTTTTTTGGGACTCTTATTCAGAATCACTCAAAAGTTTCTTAACAAAGGTCTAAGCTTTAACTCTCATATTTTCAGTTGCTTGCAAAGTTGAATTTCATTTTTTTAAATACATATAGTACCGAGCAAAAGCCTTGTAACATCACTTTTTCAAAAAAAATGTATGAAAATTTTTTTATATAAAATGCCTCAGGGTTTTCAGGGTTCCTTTTGCTTTTGATTAGATTAATATATGTACTATTTATACGTTTCTATTTAAAAACAAATTCAAAGTTCAGCGTAAAACAAAAAGTAAATGAGAAAATCACTTAAGAAAATACCCCAGAAACTGGGTGCAACATTACATTAAAAACGTTAAAATCAATATTCAATTGGTTCACCTCTTACCAAAATCACTTCATTGAGCCGATTAATTCGTGATGAATCGTTGCTCGAATTGTGCTCCAAACTTTTTGCATGTAAAACCATAATTCAACTTTTGTGTGGAAGTCGTAACTTTGTCCATATAAGAAATAAGCCCATAGATTCTCAATAACGTTCAAATCAGGCGACTTGAGGGCACGTTGATCAACGAAACATTATTAAGAGTAAACCATCCAAGAAGATGAGTTTTTCCTCCATTCAAGAGATTTACTGTGCGACCCGTCATGAGCTTGCTCTTGTGGACCGGCGAATTGTCCTGGTAGAGAAACCATCCAGGAGCCATGTGATCCTGAGGAAATGAAAGTAGACATCCTTCTAGTATTTCCATATACTGGCGAGCATTCATGGTTGACTGGATGAGGATGAGCGGACCTGCCACATTTTTTGTCATCGCCCCTAGAAAAAGTCAAATTAATGCATGTATTAGAAATGAGGCTTACCAAAACACATGATTGATCCAGCTCGCATTGTAGATCGCACATATTTAAAGAGTATTTGCTTCCCAATGGGTCGTCTGCTCAAGTGGTTGCATTTTGGAGAAAAGATATCCACTTTTGTTTCATTGACAAAAATCACGTTGGCCCAATCCTGCTTTGTCCAACTTTGGTACGCCCTGGCGAATAGAAGCCGTTGTTTCCTGTAGCCGGCGGTCATCGAAGGCTTTCGTACAGCCCTCCGGCTATACAGTCCTGCTTGAGTCAATCGTCGAGAAACGATCCATCGAGAGATATCCTTGTTTGCAAAATCCTTGATCAGCCGAGCTCCCTCAGTTGATGTCATTTTCGGATCCTTCTTGGAAAGCCTCATGAGTATTCGATCCTTTTCCTTCTTTTGCTGTTGTTCTACTTGACCGTCCTTTCTTCTCTCTTCGGTGTATACGTCCAGTTGTTTTTGCTTTTGAAACAATGCGAGAAACAGTCGAAGGATCGCGTTTGAAGAGATCGAAGACAACGGCTCGTTTTTCTCTTGCTTGCACGATTTTTTTCTTTTTCGGGAGTCGTCAAGTAGGTACCTGGCATCTTGAAAAACAACAAAAATTAGTGTAAATTAATAAATTTGAAAACAATTAGAATAAGAAACAGAAAATGTTGCAAGACTTTTGCACTCAGTTTTTAGGTTATTTTTTATTAGTTTTCTCATTTACTTTTTTTGCTTAATGCTGAACTTTAAATTTGTTTTTGTAAATAAAGTGTAAATATATTAATCTAATCGAATCTAATTAATCAAAAACAAAAGAAACCCTACGAACGGGAGGCATTTTATATAAAAAATATTCATAAATTTTTTTTGAACAAGTGATGCTACAAGACTTTTGCTCGGTACTGTGAAGTAATTCTTAAATTCTAGATGTCCGGGAATCTGCCGAGATCTCTCAACGACGTTTGGGAGCCGAGCAAGAACCTCTTCAACGAGTATAAACAGCCAATATCTAAGTAAGAGATCAAAAAAATTTCATTGAAATATTCTATCTTATTTTATAGTACTATAATAATTTATATGTCGTAGCCGATTATGAATGAAATTTTTTGGCAAATCTTTCTAGTAGAGCAACCCTTTAATGTATGAGGACAATATTATATCATCTTGTAGCGAATTCAATTCTGCGTCGATTGGTACCACATTTGTGAGTTTAGGTTAAAAATTTCCGGCGCTACAACGTTTCATTCAAAATCGGCGGGACCCCCGTAGCCGATTATGAATTTCAGCCGATTATGAATGAGTGGGTCTAGGAGCGTCCAACCATCAAGTATTTAGTATCATTCAACGCAGAATCATTAATAATTATGTTAAATTTTTTAAATTAGAAAGCTTGGATAAAAAGAAAAAAAATTATGGGGCTTCAAAGTTTGCTCTTGAACAAACAGTTTTTTTGCTCTAATTTTTTTTCTTTTTATTTAATCTTTCCAATTTAAAAAATTTAACATAATTATTAATGATTCTGCGTTGAATGAGATCAAATACTTGATGGTTGGACGCTCCTAGACCCACTCATTAAGCATAATCGGCTGAAATTCATAATCGGCTACGGGGGTCCCGTCGATTTTGAATGAAACGTTGTAGCGCCGGTAATTTTTAACCTAAACTCACAAATTTGGTACCAATCGACGCAGAATTGAATTCGCTACAAGATGATATAATATTGTCCTCATACATTAAAGGGTTTCTCTACTAGAAAGATTTACCAAAAAATTTCATTCATAATCGGCTACGACATATATAATCTAAATATTTTTCAGCTTTTTCTCAAAAGATGACAAACAAAAGTTGGAAAATGAGGGTGAGGGTGTACTGGACAGCTACCAAGCGCAAGGGTTTGTTAGCTTTCAGAGATTTTTAATAACGAAATTCTATGAATATCGATAAATATTTTATTGTCCTTTAGTTTTAAAAGTTTTTTTTTTAAAAAGATTTCTGTTTGTAGACATGAGAAAACATCACATAAAGCGAGCACAACAGAGACTTTTGCCTTTGAAGACGATCGCCGAGATGCAAAGCGACCAAACAGAATTCTAATGGTTTGTTATAGGTTTTTAAAGTATTAAAAACAATAATAGTTAATAAATTTGATTTATGATATAGAATTTAATTTCAGTTTTTTGAACAATATAAGATAATGAATTGGAGAAAGCGGTGGCAGTTGGCAATTCTCGCAAATATTGGTAAGTATCAAGAAATTATGATCTGATTAAAGCTTTAAAAGCTTTAATCATCATAAAGCTTTCAAATCCTTTGTTGAACTTGAATTTCCAGGTTTTTTGATAGTGTTTGGGATTCGGTGTAACCTTGGTGCAGCCAAGAATCACATGTTTCGCAACTACACCGATCCATATGGGCATAAACATGTGAGTTTTAAGATTGAAAGTAAATGGAAAGTAAATGGAAAGAAAAATGGTTAAAGTAAACTGCTAAAAGAAATGAAAAGGATAAGAAATTTCGATCTTTTTTAATCTTTTTAATCTTTTTAATCTTTTTAATCTTTTTAATGTTTTAGATGCACGATTTTAACTGGACGACTACCGAGTTGGAAGTGATGGAATCCTCGTTTTTCTATGGCTATTTGATCACTCAAATCCCGGCCGGTTTTCTGGCAGCAAAATTTCCGCCAAACAGGTAAACAGCTACAGTTGTCAGCTTTTTCTTTTAGCTTTTAAGTCAGCTTTTAAAAGACCATTTCCAGACTATTTGGCTTGGGCGTTGGAATGGTTTCTTTGCTGAACTTTTTGCTTCCATTCGGCTTCAATAGCAAATCCGATTTCCTTGTCGTCATCATGCAAATTTTGCAAGGGCTTTTTCAGGTGATTTTTTTAAAAATTATTTTTGAAATTTTATAGAATTACTAACGAGTTTTCGATTAAGAGAATCGAATTTTTAAATTACATTAACACATTCGCGACGAGGCGTTTTTTTGCGTTACTGCCCCAGTGGACGAGGCATATTAGCTATTTCGCATATTAGCATATTAGCATATTAGCTATCTCGCAAAGCTATTAGCCGGCATTAGCCCCGAAATACACCTCCTATATGTAAAATTGCATGTTGAATCCGAATCTCTAACCAGATTTTGAAAATATTGCTGCCTCAAAAAGATATCGGCTCTTTTTGGCTCGTGAGACAAAACGCCGCATTTCTCTTTCTCCAATGGTCTGTTTTCCACGACTTTTGTTTTAATGGATGGAGCTCAGCTAGATGAACATTTCATATCAACATCATTTTTTGCTAAGACTTTATCCCTAAAAGGTCGTTTTACTGGGATACGCGCAATAGAGGTCTTCTATAGAGCCGCAGTCGGTAGAGCGTCTGTCTCTGGGGCGGGAGGGGTTTTGTCCGGTGGACCGAACCGTCCCAGGGGCCAGACGGCCTTTGTCCACCGATGGACCGAATTGTCCCAGGGGCCAGACGGCCTTCGTCCACCGATGGACCGAACCGTCCCGAACGTGTTAATTAATTTGAATGAAAAAAAATTAAGGGAATCGCCTATCCATCGATGCACGGAGTGTGGAGATATTGGGCGCCACCGCTCGAACGATCGAAATTAGCTACAACAGCGTTTACAGGTTCAGCTTTTATATCAAAAACTAGTTATGCTTTTTATAATTTACTTTTAACTGGATAAGTATAGCAAATATTGATTCGAAATCGAATTCAATTCAGGCTCATACGCGGGAGCAGTGCTGGGCATTCCCGTGAGTGCTTTCCTTGTCGCTTATGTCAACTGGTCAGCTCCGTTCTATCTTTATGGTAAAGATTTAATAATAAAAGCTAATAGAATCCTTTCAGGAGTTGTTGGCTGTATATGGACGATTTTCTGGTTTGCGCTCACTTTCGAAAAACCCGCCAACCATCCAACGATATCGCTCGAGGAGAGAAAGTATATCGAGGAATCGCTTGGACACGTTTCCTACAAAATGCCAACGGTTAGTCTCACTTGACTTGATAATGAAAATAACTTACCGTAAATACTGTAATAGGGTTCCTTTTGCTTTTGATTAATTAGATTAGATTACCGTAAATACTGTAATAGTACCCCACGCCCCATAATGACGGTGCGGAGCGTTGCGTAGTCTAGCTTTGGGCGCGTTTTTCTCGACACTGGTTTATGCTACAATAGCAATACAGGTATCAAAAAATAGCTGAAATTCAGGGCTATTTTTTGATACCAAAGACGCATTTTTTGAAAGTACGGGCGCTTTAAAAAAATAAAATACTAAAAAACTTTTGCGACTACGCGACTGTACGAGGACGGTGGGGTCCAATTACAGTATTTACGGTACATATCTTTTCATAAGTTATCTGACATTTGAGACGCGTTCCTTTCCGACAATCCAACTTTGAGCTCAAATTTCTTGGTGTTGGGCTATGCAATTGAAATAGTTTTTGTACGAATCGATAGAGAAAAACTTGGCGCATCTAATGATATCAAGAATCTTTAAATTCGATAGCCCAACACCAAGAAATTTGAGCTCAACGTTAGATTGCTAATGGCAAAAGCAGCGATATCAAATGTCCGACAAGCTTTCAGCTAGCCTCAATACCCTGGAAAGCCATGCTAACATCGAAGCCTGTTTGGGCGATCATTGTCGCGAATTTCGCTCGATCTTGGACTTTCTATCTACTTTTGCAAAATCAGCTCACTTATATGCGAGATGTGTTTGGTTTAAAAATGAATGAGGTAAGTATAGAATACAAAATTAGGCAAAACCTAATCGGATTCTCTAGTCGGGTCTCTTGGCGGCTTTACCCCATTTGGTGATGGGTATCGTTGTGTTGCTCGGCGGTCAGCTAGCCGATTACCTACGTACGAATAAAATCCTTTCCACGACGGCTGTTCGAAAGATTTTCAATTGCGGAGGTAATGCAATTGCCTAAATTCGTATGGATTTTTTTTTGAGGATTCGGCGGTGAGGCGTTCTTCATGCTCTTTGTCGCCTACACAAGGAAAGAATCGATTGCAGTGATTTGTTTGATTCTTGCCGTTGGTTCCTCAGGATTTGCCATCTCAGGTATGGAAATGAAGTGAAGCGCTTTTCTTGTCCTCCAGAAACCATGCGTTTACCAAAGCACAAAGCACATCGAGTCCAAAAATCAGAAACTTATCCAACTTATCCAACTTGTTTCAGGCTACAACGTAAACCACCTTGACATTGCCCCACGGTATGCTGCAATCCTAATGGGTAACAAAATCAACAAGGAATCCGTATAGAATTCCCCATTTTAGGCTTTTCAAATGGTGTGGGAACACTGGCTGGCCTCTTTTGCCCAATCATTACCGAAATATTGACTTCTCGTGGATCTCATGGATGGACTACGGTATCAAAAATGATGTAAACAGTTAAATTTTGTAAAATTCTAGGTCTTTCTACTTGCCTCAATGATTCATTTCACTGGCATCACTTTCTATGGAGTTTTTGCCTCGGGAGAGTTACAGGTGCATAAGTTTTGAGCTTTTGAACTTTGAGCATAAGCATAAGTTTCTGGAATCTGTTGTTAAGTGAAAAAAAAAATCAAGAAAACTTTGTAAAGGATTGGGCTGAGCCAAAAGAAGAAGAGGAATCGTGGAATGAGTCGAATTTGGGACAACGAGCCGTCGGAAATCCGAACTATGGTAGTACAACGACGGCCGCGAATGAGCGTAAGTGGAATGCTCGATGAATGAAAAAAAATAAGACTTTAAGAGCCTTCAAGAAAAGTGACATGTCAAAGCTAATATTATGTCGTAAAAGTCCGTTGTTCTTTCCACTGAAATCTTCTGTTCATAAAACTATGATCACGCTTTCACTCTTTAACTCTTTGAGGGATTACTTATCAGTAAACTCATCAGTAAGCTCATCAGTAGGTAAAGCGATGATCAGTAAACTTTTTACAGTTACTGTAAGTTCAGTATAGTTTATCCATGTTTTTGGATAACACTTTCGATACAAACGACTCTCGATACAACGATTTTGAAATCCTAGAGCATCCCCTGGCTTCTGCATAGCTGCCCAGCCAAACGAAATCAGGGCAGCTACACAAGAAAGTTGAGGCACATTTTAGAATCGTTAAATTGAGAGTCGACTGTATCTAAGTGTAAGTGTAAAGAAGGCTAGGGAACTAGAAAAAAACTCGATTATATTTAAAATTCAGCCACAACCTCAGCCCCACCCCGTCCTCAGCAACCAGCTCAAAATCGAACCGATGATTCCCGTGGTGGCTACGATCCGATGAATCCGGATTGGTAACCATTTTTTATTTATTTTTACCAATTTTATTTTTAACTTATCTGTTCCATTATGTTTTTTATATAACTTTCATAGGATTTTTTTTTTCGTAAAACATTTTATTGCACATATGTACTAGCTTTTTTTTTTCATAAAACAGCAATAAATCTAGACAAATTATCATATTTATTTTCATTATTTATTATGCTATTATTTTTGTATTATGTTTAGGGAAAGATAAATTTTGAAAGTTGAACTGATCATGGGGTAAATGCAAGGAGAAAAGGAAGAAGATTGTTTCTAAAGTAATGTACACGTAAAGAGAAGATCTCGAAAAGAATAGTTCAAATAGAAAACAAATTTAGAGTTAATTAGCTGAATAGCTGAATAGCTGAATAGCTGAATAGCTCAATAGCTGAATAGCTGAATAGCTGAATAGCTGAATAGCTTTAAATTTTAAAAATGAACTTTCATTGATCGTTTCCTATTTGATTTCATTAAGTAGAGGAAAGCTGGAAGGGAAATTCTTTTCAATCAAAATCAATCGTTTTCTTTCGTGCATTCGGAGATCTGAAAATGAAGTTATTCTATTAGGTTGATGCATAAGTGTTTTTGTTCCTTTTCGTCTGCCGTTTCAAGCCAACAAATGCACCAATTAAACTACGGTTGATTTCATTAGAAAAACCAATTATTTTTCTGCAAAATAACATTAAAACGGGTTTAAAAATATTTAATGCCTGGATTTTCTTGAGAGTATGAAGTCGGGTAGTCAAAAAGGGCTAACTCGATGATGCGGTTTAGACACCTTAGCTAAAGAAAACCTATCTTCGTGTCAATAGATAAAAGATAGAGAAAAAAAACGTTTGATATTTCGCCAAAATTTCAGAGAAATTCATTCAGCCAATTTTTCCGTAGAGTTTTTTATAGATTTTTACGAAAAAGGCGTTTTTCACTCTCGAATTTGCTTCAAAGTGAACCGAAATTCATTTTAAAAGATGCAAATTGAACAAAAAAACACTTTTTTTATAGAGCAAACTATAGATTAATTCGTGAATTTGTTACTTTTTAACAGAAGTACGAAAAAAACGAAAAGACTTATGCATCAACCTATTAAATAAAACTGGCAGTAAACAGTAAACAGTAAACAATCTTGTAAACTGATGTAAACTTGTAAACTTGTAAACTTGTAAACTAAAGTAATCCTAAAGCAATATAGTAATCTTGTAACTTTCCCGCCGTACCTTCTCCAAGAGAGTCTTCGCCTCGTGCAGCTCGGAGAGCTCAGTGAAACCGCCGATGAATTTCCCGCAAATAAAGATCTAAACTTTATAAATTAACTAGAAACTTTCATTTCATTGGTAAATTTTCAATTCAAAGTCTACCTGAGGCACGCCAGTGATTTTCGTCATATAGACAAGCCCGTTGACAAGCCCTTGATGCTCATTCGGGTTCTGCTGCTTAAGAGCATCGAAATCGATTTCTTTATACTGAAATTTAAAAAAAAATCAATTCATAGATTTAAATAGAACTTATAAGTAAATTCGTTTGTGCAACACATACATCGACTTTTTGCTCGTTAAGGAGATTTTTAGCCTTTACACAATAGCTGCAAGCACTCTTCGTGAACATCACAACGGATTGAGAATCGACCTAGGCCATTGGAAATAGATTAAAACTTTAAATAAAAAATACTAAATATTCAAAAATTCAAAATTCAAAAGCCACATTTTCCTATATTCTTTGTTTTTAAGCTTACCGCTTTCCGAACACCTTCCTCGTCAACTCGTGACTGAAACGCGCCCATCTAGGGTAGCATCGTTAAAATTTCAAATCTATTTTACTTTCTAAAATAATTAATTGCACATTGCTTGCCTTGTAATAGAAAATTTTTATGTAAAAATTTATTGAAACAACTAATAAAATATCTACTTTGAGTTCAGAGTTATTGTAACTGATAGCGTGAACTGTACAACCAAAAAAAAGCTCTAGCTGTAAGATTTTTTTTAGGGTAAAAACACTGGATGAAGGAGAAGACACCTTTAAATAAGACTCTGAAAGAGGAAGGGTAATGAATTTAAAAACAATTTCTATTCTACCGAAGCATACACTTAGAATAGCTCTCGATGACTAAAGATTGGAAGAAAGTTGACTGAAGCAATCAAAAAAAACGTGTAACAAGAACTAGCTAGCGAACTACGATGACTAATATAGCTGATAAGGTTTAGAAAACAACAACAAATTAGCAACTAGGTAAGTAGAGTGAAGAACGAATGTATAGCTACATCACAAAAGAAATAACAACGAGCTGATGATCTGTTTTTTCTGCTCACATCAAGTTGCACGCGCCAGCCGCTTGGTTCATATCTTCAACCTGGAATTGATTCTTTTACCGTTTTTCTATTGAACTTTTATCTACAGAAAAATTTTTAGTACTTTTAACAAATCTAAAGTTAGAATTGACACAAGTAGCTCGATTTTCTATGCACTATAATATTTTTGAAATCTATATTCATGATTATTTCAAATCCAATTCCTGTCCACAAACCTTTGGCATTCCCGTGTCATCGGTGGCCCATCCAGGCGGCAAAGTTCCAACAAGCTCTTTTGGTGGATATCCCAAAGCTTGTAACTCAATCTAAACAAATAACCGTTGAAACTTTCTCACTTTTTCTCAAACCAAGAGTTTTCCAATTTCTTCGAAGCCCTTTTCCCCTTCAATGTGTTCGTCGGTGTGAGCAGGTTGATCGGGTTTATCAGCTGCCTCTGCTTCATCAGCGCCCGACGAATTCGGCTCTTTCTCGAACTCTTCGCATATCCGGCCGAGAATCTAGAAATTTCGTTGATGATAGGAATGAGTTTAGAAATTCTTGCAAAATGTCTAATTGTCTCTAATTGTGTCTAATCTAAATCTAGATATCTAATTTCTCAGCAATACATAGCAAACTTCAATCAACTTCACGTACTTCACGTTGTTTCTCATAGCGCTCTTTTGTTGGCGCATCAATCTCAGCGCTGTGCTCCTCAAAGTATTTTGGATACGCATCGAAGATTTCTTTCAATGACGGATACATGACTTCTTTAGAAGCAAGAGTCTATAATTTCATTATGATTAGATCAAGGTTAACAGTTCTCAAACCTGCATCAACATGGCCATAAAAGGCTCAAGCTCGGAATCGGGTCCACGAAGGGCCTCAAGGCCCTGGAAATATTTTTTGAAAATAAATCAATTTGATAATTACTTTAAAAAAATTAAGAGATCAGTTAACGTTGAGTACGGTACCTCGACCATTTCTTGAGTATTTTGGGCGTTCGCCACAGCACCACTTCGTTCAATCAGTTGCTCCATTGCGTTGAAAAACATTCGCGCATCTTCTGGCATCTAGAAACTGTTTTTCTATACTTTACGGAAACCTCATTGAGCTACTCTACGGATCTGGATGGCTGACTATTATGAGAACACTCGATACTTTCAAAAAACAGAGCAACTACAATATTTCAGGCAGCTAATACAATGATAATGCTCAAAAAAATTGTTTATAGATTACTTATAGCTACAATTATAATTGTGGGAGAGAACTTTACATTGTTAGTTTTAAACAGATATTTAAGATTTTACCTCTTGTGACGCTCCGTCAACCTCGCCTTCCCCTTGAGCTTTCATCGCCTCTTCTTGAACTGACATCATTTGTTGTAGCATCATCTTTAATATAGTTTTTCACAATTGGCCTTTTGTCAAAAGTTTTGAAACTTTTTTTCACACTTTTCCACCTGAAAATCGGAAGCTGCTCGCTTGGCAGCTTCTTGATCGTGTGAGGCCATCATTTCATCCAATTCATCATCGGTGGTACGCGTTCTAAATAGTTTATTGGGAAATTTGATTAATTTTGATCTAAGTAAAACTCACTTTCCAAAGTCTTTCAATGAACTATCAAGTAGATCGGCAAGTTCTTTATCATTTTGATGATCGTTCGTTTGTTTTTCTTCAGACATTTCGATTTCTGAAACCGGGTTTACATTAATGGAAAAAAAAGATAAAATTAGGTACATCAAAACGGATAAACGGATATATTAAGGCTTTATATAAACCCAGATAGGCAGGCAGAGGTAATTAATTTGAGAAAATCGTCCATAGATAAACGAGTAATTTTCCTTATATTGATTAAAAGTATAGGTAGATTTTGTGACCGATATAATCGGTATAATTTTCATCGACAACTCGTCTAGAGAAAAATAGATATCGTTCGCAATATTAATAATGTTTTTAGATAGTCTTTTAAACAGCAAATATTCAAATTTTCCAACAATTATGAAGCCAACTTCTACAAATCGTCAAAAACTTTATTGAATAATTTACAAAAAATGCACAAATATCTCAAGCAATTTTTGCAAGACAATACTAGATCATGACTACAGAGACACCGAAAAAGTGAAACTAGTGTGGCATTATCCTAAAAAGGCTCATATGAAAAAAAATTTCGAAGCATCATACTGGCTCCAAGAAGCAGGCCGCTCTAAAATGCTTCCAATTAAAAATAAAAAAAGCAAGAGACCAACCTATTATCTTTAAAAATATTTCTTTTGCAGAGCTTGTTGAATAGTCACTCCCAATTGTGCAGGCGAATTGGTAACGTAAACCCCAGCAGCACGCAATGCTTCGATCTTATCGGTGGCTGTTCCTTTACCGCCGGCAATGATTGCACCAGCGTGACCCATACGACGACCTAAAAGATGAAAAGTTTGAATGCGAGAACAAATTTTCAAAACTAAAGTCTATAAACACACCTGGAGGAGCAGTAACTCCGGCAATAAACGAGGTGACCGGTTTTGAGTCAGGTCCACTGTTGTGTTCTTTCAAGTAAGCAGCAGCCTGTTCTTCGGCTTGTCCTCCAATTTCTCCAATCAAAATAATTCCCTTTGTCTCTGGATCTTGCAAGAACACCTAAAACAAAGTTATTTAGTTCATACGACATACAAAACCTCAAGACAATCGATGAAGTTGGTTCCGTTGAAAGGGTCGCCACCAATACCGACACACAAAGTTTGTCCCAATCCAACGGCGGAAGTTTGATGAACCGCTTCGTAAGTAAGAGTGCCCGATCTATATTAGCCCGGTTAAAAAATTAAAAACTAAAAAAATCAAACCTGGAGACAATTCCAATGCAACCGCGCCTATGAATGTGTCCTGGCATAATTCCAATCTTGCATTGCTCTGCAGCGATAATTCCAGGGCAGTTGGGGCCGATAAGACGTGAATGCGATTGTTTAAGGAGCTTGGCCTTGACACGAACCATGTCCTGTTGAGGAACGCCTTCTGTGATGCACACAATCAATGGAACCTAAAATTTAAAGAGTAGGTATATTGTAGATAAAAATAGGTATGACATAAGAAGGTATGTGGTAGATCAAAATATAAAACCTCTGCATCAATAGCTTCCTCAATGGCAGCACCGCATCCCGAAGGTGGAACGTAAATGACAGTGGCATCACAACCAGTCTTGTTCCTGGCTTCGGCAACAGTTCTAAAAACATTGAAATCAATCATGAATTAAATCTATCATTAACTCTTGATTATAAAATGTTATAGACAAAAGCAATTTGCCAGTGAATACTTTTACAAAAAACACAATATGCCTTTCAATCTTCGTTTAAAATCTTTATCTTTACATAAACTCTTCAACAAAAAAAAGCTTTACCCGAAAACTGGAAGACCAAGATGCGTTTGTCCGGCTTTATTCGGTGAAACGCCGCCCACAACTCTCGTGTTGTACTCAATCATTTGCTTGCCATGGAAAGTTCCTTGTTTGCCCGTAAACCCTTGTACAAGAACCTAAAAATAGAGAAATTTAATAAGAAAATCACAACCCTGTTACCTTTGTGTTCTTTCCGATTTTCAAATTGTTTCGCGAGCCATCATAAACAAGCGTTCGAATCGTCGGCTGAGCAAGTCGAGACACATCACGTAGGGATTTCACGCTCGGGAGCGTCATTACCTGAAAAAAAACACACCATGAAATGAGTTATTAAGGCCCAAATAAGCAAAAACAAAGATCATTGGAAATCTAACGGTGGTTTTATCCCGTGTTATTTGTGCACAAAATTCTCGAGATGTAAAGGTAAAGAAGAGGGAGAATATAAGCGTACTTTGAAGCGAACGTACTTTAATAAAAAATTACGCTTTCTCTTTTGATCTTTTAGAAAAAGTTGGAGCAAAGATTTATGTTAGACATCTAAAAAGATAAATGCAAGGATAAAACCTTATTAAAGCAAAAAAAATTTGATAAAAACAAAACTATTTACATTTTGAATGCACCTCAACAAAAATTAATCACAAAAACACATAATCCGGGTAAATAAATGTATTGAGTTAGGGAGTATGAAATGGCGCCGACTTTCAAAGAAACTTCTATAAAATCGAGTAGTCTTTATCAAATGACACGAGGGTAGCATCCTTAGAAAGGTCACTTATTTCTCTACAAAATCATATTTGAAATAGAACGCAAAAAGCGCCCCTAACTAGTAAGGACCGTCAAATAGCAGACCATAGGAAAATGAGGCCTTTTACATTGAAATAAGTAAGTCGTTTTTCTTCGTGTTCATTTTTGGGGGGTGGGACCTTTTTTGACCTTTTTTGCGCACCCGGTCAAAAGCGCACCTTTTTTTTCGCTAGAAAAGGCCTTAGGAAAGGCCGTAGAGTTTCAAAAATGTTTCCCGAGTAAGGGACTCGCATGCGTAAATTCCGAATTTTGACAAATCAGCCCTCGCTGACACGTCAAATTTGAGCTAAAAAGCAAACACTACGCAACTTAACGCTATTCCACAGTTTTGCCTTTTAGCCAAAATTTGATGTGTCAGCGAGGTCTAATTTTTCGAAATTCGGAATCTACGCATACGATTCCCTTACAGGGAACATTTTTGAAGCTCTACGGCCTTTCCTAAGGCCTTTTCCAGCGAAAAAAAGGTCGCATTTGTCCCACCCCCCCCCCCCGCGCCCATTTTTTTACTAAACACCAGAGTGGATCCAATCATTCTGATTTTTTTATATGTTGTTCTGAGCATTTAGAGCTTGTTGAAAACTTGTTGTTGACACCATGAGCCAAAAAGGTTTTGTTTTTGAAAAATTTTGAATACTTTTCTGTCCATGACTATGTCACTGAACACCATTTCGGAGCATCGGCTACCTCTTCATAAAAAACGGGAATAAAGGCATTTATTGAAGTCTGCAATGCTGATCAGCAATACAATGAGTTTATTAGTGTAGCCTATATCGATCCGTTGAAGCTAAAATTGATCTTTTTAGGCAAGATATTCTTGTCTTACACAATTCGGTCATTATCGAAAGCGATCGTAAACGACGCCAGCATAATATCGGGGAACATAAGCAGTGAATTTGGTATCCTTGTATCCGGACACTGAAATCGAATAAAGTTTGCTTGTTCGATTTATTCCCATTACAGGGTGTCCCAAAATTATGGAGCGGTTACGAAAACGATTACGAAAATGTATTTAAGCTAAAGGAGGCCACTTCGAAGAATAATGTTATATTTTTGTTATACTCAATGATTGTTAAATGATTTTTAAGGTATCTATAAAAATTTCTTGAAAATTAACAAAATGATCGAATTAGCCTAAAATGGTTTTCTGACAATAAACTACTAATTTAAGATCTTGTTCATCTATTACTTTTTTTACTTTTTTTTTACGTTCATATAATACTTCATACTTTACTTTTTTGTTTAAATTGTTTAAATTAAATTAAATTGCAATTTAAATTGCCAAACCGTACATATTACCAAATTATTTGTGAAGAAAAAAAGTAAATTGAGAGAATTTCCATTTTAACTTTTTTTTTTCATTTCTTTTGTTCAAAACATTGGATTTTGCATTTAAACAATTTGTTCTCAAGATCGGACGTCCGATTCCGAGAAGAATGATCATTCTCCTCCGAAACGGACGTCCGACTCAGAGGAGAATGAATCTCCTCAGATTCGGACGTAACACATACATTTCCAACATAAAGCTATGAACCATTTTGTGGTATTAAGTACAGAGATTTTATCGCATTTCGATAAAACGCTGTAATTTGTTATTCATTGTCAGTAACAGTCATTTAGATTTACTATGATTTGAGGCTTGAAATTTCCATTTTTATCAAAATTGGACTATGTTCCTCAAGTAAAGTATCTTCTGAATGCTTTTAAAAAAACCGTACTCTGAATACTTTTTAAAAGTTAAGCCAGCTTGACAGATTTATTGATATGTTTTATGAGAGATGGATAGATTTTTGAAAAGAAACATAAGTGAAGCTAAAATTAGTAGGGTTTATGCGTTCCAATATGATATCCACAGTGATGACAACGATGCTCAACGTTTTTGCACGAGTCCACGCAGCAAGCCCATAAACCGAAAAGGAAGCAACATAGCCAATTCATCTCCAGACTGACATCAGTCATTCCATTCTGAAAACTTCTGAATGAAGGAAAGTCCGTAAAATTGGTGCAATCTCAGTGAAATTTAAAATGGGTTAAAGTTAAAGTGAAAGTTATTTTTAAATAGTTTAACTTTAAAGTTAAAGTTGGAATAAAAATATTCATTCTGTCGATAGGATTGAAAGCTCTTTTCATTAAAAAGATATTCAATTTTGACTGTAGAAAGATTTTGTTGATAATGAGACAAAAAGTGAACTTGAAAAGATGCATTTAAAATAGGTAAACTGTTTTTAGACTACTTCCACTTTAAATTTAATGTTAAAGTGTAATTTATTTTTAAATAGTTAAACTTTAAACTTTAAACTTTAAAATCTTTAAAAGTGAAAGTCGTCTACAAACCGATTTTAAACTACAGTTTACCTATTTTAAATTCATCTTTTCAAGTTCATCTTTTGTCTCATTATCAACAAAATCTTTCTACATTCAAAATTGAATAACTTTTTCATGAAAGGAACTTTCAGTCCTATCGACAGAATGAATATTTTATTCCAACTTTAACTTTAAAGTTAAACTATTTAAAAATAACTTTCACTTCAACCCATTTTCATTTTCCCTGAGATTGCACTTTCAATCCTATCGACAGAATGAATATTTTTATTCCAAAATATTGTAGTTGAACAGAAGTTTCAATTTTAAAGTTTCACTACTTCACTCAAAATATTTCAGCTTACAAAGTGTTGAGTCAAAAAATGTCAATGATTTCAAAAACCCTAGAAAAGTCAAAAACCAGTTAAAAACCAGTTAAAAACCAGTTAAAACCAGTCAAAAGCCAGTCAAAAGCCAGTCAAAAGCCAGTCAAAACCCAGTCAAAACCCAGTCAAAAGCCAGTCAAAAGCCAGTCAAAAGCCAGTCAAAAACCAGTCAAAAACCAGTCAAAAACCAGTCAAAAACCAGTCAAAAACCAGTCAAAAACCCTAGAAAATCTTAGTAAGAAAGCTAAAATTTTCTGTATAAAGTTTAAAATTTCTTTTCAAAGTCTCAACCAACTTTGTGACAATTCGGGCACACAATATTGCACGGATCTTTGCCGAGTTGAACAAAAGCTGTCGTTGGCTGAGTGGTGATCACCGTCACTTGGGTGGGCGCTTGAGCCATTATAATCGAAAATCTAGAGTAAAATTTCGTTCTAATAGAATCTAATGGTGTTAAATAGTATCAAGGAGATTAGAAAAGTTTGCAAAAGAAAATTTATTTAAAAAGATGAATCATCGTGATGATATCAAAACAATGAGAAATGACAAAGATTTCAAAATGTTTCCGGGGAAAGGTCAAAAAATTTTGAGGTGATAAGCAAGATTTTATTAAAAAAGAAATGATTGCCTAAATAAAGATTTTGTTAAAATGATACTTTTTGAGAATTCACAACCTTTATTAATTTTGATTTTCTCAAAAATCACTTTGAAACCAATTTTAGAAACATCGTCAATTCAGCCTTTTTTCCTCAAAATTACAACTTTCAAAAGTATTAATTTTGGAAACGATTTGCAATTCTTTTCCTTTCCGAGAAAGGTCAACAATAAATTTTCAACCGTCTTGGGGAAAGTAAAAAAAAGCTACAATCAAAAAAAATGGCAAATGTCAAAGTTTTAGATAAAAAGACTATTGATCTAGAACCTTTTTCAGTCAACTCTTATCAGATATTTGGGCCTAAATCTTTAAATTTTTGAAATAAGAGTCTTCTCGCCCACGGAGGTGGTGAAAAAACTGATATCTGAAAGTCGTAAATGAAATATCGATTCGAATAGGAAAATTTGTTTGAATTTCTCAGTGATTTGTAGATAAATTTGTTTTGATTTGTCACAAATTTGTTACAAATAAAAATTGAAGGCTTGCAAAGAAGATCAAAATAATTTTACACATACCGTAAATGCTGTATTAGAACGACACTGTCAAATAGAATGTCACCTGGAGGGGGTATTGAAAAACAGAATGACACCCTCTAATAGAATGTCACCCGAAGGGGGTATTCAAAAATAGAATGACACATGGACAGGGTATTGAGAAATAGAATGACACTGTCAAATAGAATGACACCTGGAGGGGGTATTGAAGAATAGAATGACACCCTCTAATATAATGACACCCTCTAATAGAATGACATGTCATTCTCTTACAGCATTTACGGTAATTCCAAATTACAAAGAACAAAAAACAAATTTATCTTACTATATTAGGCTAAAACTGGTTTTGAAAAAATGGATACTAATTGTAAGTCGTTTTTTTTAGAAAACTATGCTTAAAGAGGAAAATTTTCGACCTGAAATTTACGTTTTTGCAGAAATGAGTTACTAGAAAGTTTTCTGCACAAATTATTCTTTATCACTGACGTGGTGAACCTTTAGTTCACCACGTCAGTGACTTCCGTTATCAGATGAGTAACGGATCACTTTTCGACTATAAATCGCAGGCTACACGTTTTACAATGTTTTATTAGGTTGAATAGCTAAGTCTAGTTTGAGAGTCGTTCATTTCGATAATGAAATGAAGAGTGCAAGACTTAGTACAAAACCTAATACAAAGTCTATGGGAAACGCTCATTTCGCCTAAATTAGCTGTGTCCTTCAGAAAGGAAAACGACTCCAGGGACAGCGGATGGAACCTGGGAAATTGAGCACTAAAGGGTTATTGGATTTACTACGTGCATTCCCCCTTTCCCTTTGACTCATCGAATTTCCGCCACAAAACTTTCCTACACAAAATCGCTTTTTTTTCATTATTGAAAGCGAATTTAAGCCTAAGCCCAAGCTCGTCGACAATCAATTTTTTTCAAAATCTAAGATCTGCGAGAATCATGGCAAAATAACAATGAATAGAATTAAAAGCGATAAAAATATATTTCCTCTTTCCTATTTCCTTCTATCACTTTCAGATCCGTCAATGCTATCAACTTATGGAGGAATGTTTGAGGATATCACCGCACCAGAGAACCCACCAATCATTGGTGACACATTTGAACAGATTTTGCTCGGTGACACGATGATCTCTGAAATGACAACCTTCTAAATATCTATAAAACTTTTGAAAAAACATGACTAAAAGACGAGAGTGAAATCTATCGCTACTAAAGATCATTCTAAAGAGATGGGAATAAATTTAATAGGCGTGGTTGGCAACGAAGAGTGATTGAGCAAAGACCGCGTCTCCAGTCTCATCACCTGTGTACTTTCCGACAGACGCCAATGTATAGAATGTATAGAATGTATAGAAATGTATAGAAAAATAAATACGAAAAACATAAAACATTGTAATACTATCAAAAAAAGACTAGATTGGGATATTTTTATGAAAATGGGAATGCAAGTAGTTTGCAAACGTTAGTAAAGCACGAGCAATTAGCGCTGATTTTATTTCAAAAGAATTTTCAAAAGAATTTCAAAACGTTAAGCAATTATTATGAAGAGTCATTTAGGAATTTTATTTACTGAATATTTTAAATTTGGAATACAAGTAGTAAAATATTCCGTGAGAGCATTTCAAAAACAATTTTACATTTGTATTTAAATATTTAGACAAAATGATCGTAAACCAAGGTTTATCGATAACTAGAAATTCGACTTAAATTAGAAAAGATAAATTTTTGACTGGAAACCTTGAAAATTCTAATTTAGTTGTCCTATCTATAGTTTCAGAAGTAGAATGTTTACGTTCTCAGTTTCAAATTCTAGACCTTGGATTTTTGATTGAACGCTTGAGCTTTGCTTTGGGCTTGAGCTTTACTTTAAGCTTGAGCTTTGCTTTAAGCTTGAGCTTTGTTTTGAGCTTGAGCTTTGCTTTAAGCTTGAGCTTTGCTTTGAGCTTGAGCTTTGCTTTGAGCTTGATCTTTGCTTTAAGCTTGAGCTTTGCTTTAAGCTTGAGCTTTGCTTTAAGCTTGAGCCTCCTGAGATTTTATAAATCCAAATTTTCAAGGCTAAACCATTTTTTTCCTTTTTGTATTGTAGAACCATTGTACACTTTGGTTTACAATGCATTTCATGAATGTTTTTTTTTGAACGCTGCTCATTTTTATTGGCTTGACACGTAAAGCTTTATAAAGTAAACAACGGGTCTCTCTCGACAACTCACAGCAATAATCGAGAAAAGGAAAACGAAGAAAAGATACAACTCAATGACACAATATAAATTAATAATAAACTAGCGATTTCGTAGAATGAAAGTTGAAACAGAAGAAATTTTACGTCATTTACTTTTTAAGGGCAAATCTTTTCGCCTCAATGAGGCGCTCCTTTTCGCGTGCCTCGTTCGCCAAAGTCAGCGGGTCGTCTGAAAGAGTTTTTTTTAGAATTTCACAAAAGTTTCTCTTCTATCATTTAAATCGATTCTAATTTCGGTACTTGTGGAGTATCCGGGGGGTCTTTCAATATCGGGGGGGTAAAATTTTAAGATCCGGTGGGGTAAAATTTTATATACGTTATACACGACCCCTTTTAAAGATATTCAGCCGCTTAAGTGATTTGGTGGCAAATTCCCTTCAAATGTAAAGATATTCAATTTATTGAGGTTGGTTTTTGAAAGTTTACCCCGGATCTTAAAATTTTACCCCCCCCCCCTCAGGATATTGAAAGACCCCTCCCCCCGGATACTCCACAAGTACCCTAATTTCAATTCATTCTCAAAAGCTCACTCTGAATCCCGTTCTCGAGTATCCTCTTGCACAGCTCTTCGATTGTGGCCTCACTAAATCGAGGAATTTTGAGGGAAATCAATTTTGTTGAGGAAATGCGTTGAACACATTCGCAAACTTTAGTGTTGCCATTTTTTTTTTTGCACTTTTTCTCTCACTCACCCATCATTCGCCATTCCAAGTTTATGAGCAGACATCATTGAGCGAACGAACTCGGAAAGAGCTTTTTGATCGAACACAGCTCCGTAGGCTTTCGGCGGAGGCATTCCCATTTTTGGGGTGCTGAAATAGAAGTGTTTTTTTTAGCAAAATTCAATTCTTTTAAAGCATTTTATTCTATTTATTCTATATTTCTATTTCTAAAAGCATTTTATTCTATTTTTAAGTTTTTCGGCTATTTTTACCTTATAATACTAATCATTAGCTCAAATTTTTTTTTTGATTTAAAGTTAAAGAACCATGGAAATGTCTAGATTCTGATGATTCCTATTGCAAAGAGCTTCAATTTTAAACCTCCACTTTTCTATTTTATTTTACTTCGCTTTTCTTGTCTATCAATCTGTTTTTGGGCGAAAAAGTCACAAAAAAAACCCCTTGGGGTCCGCAAAAAAAAAAAAGGAAAAAGAGTCACGCAGCTGGTAAGGTTAAAGTAAAAGAAAAAACAGGAACAAAGATTTGGAAACTCTTAGGATTGAAAGAAAAACAAAAAAACAAACCAAAAAACAATGTTTAAAAAGAAAATTTTCTAGAAAATAACCTACACAATCGGTCGAGCACCCGCTGAACAACTATCCGAGAATTGCACGCCCGCATTGTTGCCCGAGATCTTCTTGCGGATTACTAAAGTTCATTTGAAAGTTGAAATGTTTTTTCTGTTTAAAAACTTACAATCACACTCTTGCTGAAGATCTTGAAGTTCCTTTGACGATTTCTCGACAAAGTTCTTCATCGAAAGTTTACTTTCGTTTACCTGAAGGGCGAAATGAAATTGTGATTTTTCTTGAAAAAACAAACCAGTTGTTCTGCTTTAAGAAGACAATCGGTATGTGCTTTGAAACCAACGAGAATCTCACCGTATTTCTCACAAACCTAAAATCGTATGTAATTTTAAAATTTTAATGTAATTTTTTTGGTACAACCTTGTAGTCAAGTTCGACAAGACGACGAAACTCGGCACCGAATTTCTCATCTTGATCTCCCAGGTTGTCTTCGGTGAATTTTAGCTGAAATTTTAGAGGATTAACTTGATAATCGATAAGTTGATAATTGATAATTGATAATTGATAATTGATAATTGATAATTGATAATTGATAAGTTGATAAACTAATTGTAAAGTTTTATTAGAATTTACCTTATTCAACAGAACACCCGACAACAATTTCGTTGCCTCTTGCGCTTCTTCTGGGGAAAGCATTTTGTTAGTGAGCTCGGGGGATCGGGGGAAAAGTTCGCTTTCTAAAAATAGCAAAATGGATTTTCAAAGTGTTTACATTTTGGTCAAAAACGAGACCCAAATTCCTAATCACAAAGGCTCATCAAGAAAATTCGAGAAGTCAGAGAAAAGGAAAAGAAAAGAGAACGCGGAGGAAAATTAAGTCAAGTCAACAAAGTTTGGAAAAGTTTTGAAAGAAAAATTTGCTTTCACAGAGTAACATATTAGATTGAAAGAAATTGGTGTTGTTTTGAAAAAAGAAAGGAGGAACTAAAATAGAAAGAATCTAGTACGGAGTCTGGAGAGAAGGGTGGTCATTTTGGGGCAATGGGCAGTGATTTGTGGCTTTAAACGATTTGACTCTCGTCGGAGCACGGCTAAAGCGTTTTAGGCACTTTTTGAATTGACTGGAGTGAATAGCTTTACACTTTTTGAAAGTTTTGATGTTGAAGGATAGAAAGAGAGCTGATAGTAAGGATTTTGCAATTTGGCAAGCATAAACGGGAACCTAAAGAAACAATTCAAGATCTGAAGCTTAGAGTAAACAACTCCTGTTAAATAAACGACCTACCATAATATCTGTAATAGTTATAAGTGTCCAGTGCTTAGTATAAAGCAAGCAAGGAGCAAACTTGCAATACAAAGCAAGGAATCTAGGATTGTAAAGACAACTTTAAAAGATTTTTGATTCAGAATTCAGAAGTTTCTTTCAAAAGATGTTTGATTCAGAAGTCAGTTTAAAGCTGAACAACCCATTGAAGGATTTAAAATATTCGGGAGAGTTGAAAAAAGCGACAAGATTGAAGAGGAGACTGTTGATGTGGATAGAGTTTTTACCCGTGTCGATGAATCTCCGAAGAGTGTCCCCTGGGGTCTCTTCAAGTGGCCATCCCACCCCAGCGACCCCCACAAAACATGACTTCAAATGGCGGCACCGCCCCGATCTCCACCCATCCTCTAGTTTGAAGAAACACGCACACACAAAGCACCCAACAATTCTCCCTTCAGTTCCTCAAATCCATCCCTTTTACCCTGCCCTTTTTTCACCCCTTTTACCCACTTCCTCCCTTGTTCTTTTTCGAAATCGTCACATTTTTTATCCTAAGCCAAAGTCTTCCCGTCACACAAAAAGCAGGAACTTCCTTGCCATGGCCTTTAATTTCTTTTATCCCACAAAAACTAAAAGATAAATCAAAATATTTGCAAAAATTTCGAAAATCGTGTTTATTTTCGAGGAAAACATCCTGGAATTGCTAACCACAAAGCCAACAAGAGGCAGAGGATAAAAAAAAGTTGACGAATGGGAGACGAAAACAACAAGCTATTTTGGTCAAGAAGTGGGATTAAAGAAAGTTGATATAAAAGGATAAAAGTTAAAAAGAAATTAAATCTAACTTTAATGAGAAGCTAGATCTTCTGAAGATTTCTGATTCTTTTAAATATTAATTTCTTTAAAAAGTAACTGGCAATGCAAACGGATTAATGAAAAAGAAAAAAGAAAACTTATGAAGATTGCACCAAAAAAAAAAAAAACTTCGAAATAGTGTCGAATTTCAGATTTTCCAGTGAAGCGATGAAATTTTTTTAGATGTGATGAGAAAAGGAGCGTTCGTTGTTTCATTTCCTTCGTCGACTTCCTCGGGCAGCTTTCTCCTTTCCTCGAAACATTGAATTTGAAAAGAAAAATTCCCATTTCAAATTCCTTTTTCCACCTTTTCAGCTTTTTTTGTGAAAGGCGATACGAATCCTCGGCGATATTTTTTTTTGTTTCTAAAGCTCGCCCACATAAGTCTCCACCAACACTTTTGTGAGAAAGAATTCAAAATCTTCTTTTCTTAATGATGATTGAATTCTTTTTTATGTTGCGCTATTTGGGAAAACTGAATGAAATGGAATGAATGAAATTCGGAACCAATGAATGAAATTCGGAACCAAGGAAAACTTTATGAAGTAAACGTCAAAATCAACAAGAAAATTCAACAATAACAGAAAAACCCTAAAGAAAAAAAGTTTAGCAAGAAAATATTATTCTGCTTGAGTGAAATTTCGATTCTCCAAATCTCTCTGTATCTGCGCGGAGTCCATTCCGCCGAAATCGATGACAAGAGAAGGTCTAAAGGTTTTTGTTTGGAAAACTTTTACAAAAAGGTTTGATATGTTTTAAAAACATTAACCTTTCTGATAAAATTGAACCTACTTATGCAAATTTGTGTCCGAATCGATGAGTGGCAATAGATGACGGATATGAGGAGAAGATTGGCGTCTTTCCACGAAAGCCTCCTCGATTCGCTCTCTCAAAGCAGCGCTTGAGCCACCGATCTTAAATTTAGATTTTTATTTCATAGTTTTTATAGATTTCATAGATATTTCATAGATTTCATAGTTTTTAGATTTTTAAAAATTATTTAATCAAAGATATTTAATTAAATTCAATCTAGCGAAATTTTAATATTAGATTGGCAACTTGAAAGTTGGTACACTTCTTCATTGCACCTTTTTAGAAAAAACTAGTGCACCAATTAATTTACAGTTTTTTCTAATAAAAAGGCTTTACTCTTTAAAACAGGTTTCTTGTTGCTTTTAACAGATTTAGAAAAGCTTCGGTTTTGTAGGTTTCTAGGGGGCAAGAAGTTGAGGAACCAAAAATGATGAACACTCGGTGAAGCGATTTGAGCACTTTCTTCTATATAGAGCATGAAAAGTTAAGCATATAGCCAAATTCTCAGCTCGATTTGTCTAATTGCTTTAGTATATGTCTGTTTGACAAAAATTTGGATTTCTGCTCAAATTCATTTCAAAAGTTGCTCAAATTTGCTTAAGCATGTCTTAAAATAGATAATATATAACTTTTATTTAGAGAAGTCTAATTCAATTAGCGTATTAAAAAAGTTTTCTGGGAAATAGTGTGCCAACTTTCAAGTGTGCCAATCTAATAAATACCGAAATTCAATGAACCAACCAAAAGTGAGAAGTTCGGTTTATCGTTGGAGAGTCCGCGTGAGGCGAACTGCCGCCATCTCATTTCGTGCAGGCCACCTTCAGCTGAAACTTGGGACTTTGTTATGTTAAGTATACTTGTACAACATACAATACCATATACTAAGATAATTTATACTAGAAGCTGTTCTGATAAACACTCACCTAACAGTCTTGCAATCTCGCCAGTGGCTGCTTTCGTATCAGGGCATGGCGTATACGCAATAATGGCAAAAGCTTCCAAATTTCTAAAAAAAACTATCATAAATTTGCTTGCTATGACTCTTACTTTGTGAGATCTACCAATTGTTTAACGATTTTCTTCGTTCGCTCATCAATCATCACTCCCGGATCAACGACACTCCAGTCAAAGATCAGCGCTTCAAGTGACGGGAATTTTTGCGTCAAAATTGAAAGAAGCTAAATGTTGATCTTTTTTATTAACAGTTTTTTAAAATTTAAGTTTAACCAACCTTTTCTGCGTCTGTATCCGACTCATCCAGTAACTCGGAGACAGCTAGAACTCTGACGGTCGGGAAAATCGAAGAAGATTTCTAGAATTTTGAACTTTTGTGATTTAGCTATACTTCTCGATTGTTTGGCTACCTGAAATTCTGAAACTCGAAAACCCGGATTGCCAGATAAGCGCAAAAGAGAAATATCGACTTTAGCGAGTAGATCATCAACGACCCCTCGACCACCTGAGGCATCAAGCGCTCGAAGTTGCAGCGTTGATAATTCCTAGACACAATAATCTTCACCTTTTTTAACATTATAATATTTTTGTACTTATTTTGCTTATCAAAGCCTACTTGTGCCAATCTCGTCCAATCTCCGTCCTCTGGATAAAAATCCGAATAGGAAAATGCAGCCAGTAGCGAAAGGTTTTTGAAGAATGATGTCAAATCGGCTGCTTTTATGTCGGCTCCAAAAATTGACACGGTTCGTAAACGGGAAAAGAATTTGATTAGCTAAAATATTCTTAATTACAATTGTTGAATCTTCTTTCACCTCTTCACTTTGCCCATTGAGTAACTTTTGTAGCAGCTCGGGGAAAGGATTGCGGGAGTGATTTATCTGAAATTGTTTAGAAATTTTAATGTTTAAACTTATGAGTCAGATCTTACAAAAAATATCAAAAAGTTAAAACCTCAAGACAAGTCGGTGCCAGCGATATAAGATTTTCCCATTTCAGCTCACTAACCACTCCTTCGCCATCGGAAAATCCTAAACCAACCAAATTATATAAAAATATAAAACAAATAACTAGATTTTTGTGGTTTTTATTAATTCATTGAATAGTTTTGATATCCCAAGGCCAACCTCGAACAGTTTCGCCGAATTTCGTCGACGCTTTGACGCGAAAAGTGACATTGGGGACTGAGGCCACATAAGTTTTTCGACTCTTTACCCAGCAAAGTACTGACTTTAAGTCAGAATTCATCTGGAATTCCAAATTTTAAAAGTTTATATAATGATCCTTATTCAGGTGATAAAGTGAAACCCAATAAATCAGAGAAATACACAGCGAGTCATAAGTGTAGAGACAAAAGAAAGGTACGAAAATACAAGATATAATGAATATGCAAATAATCAAATTACCTACGAGAGAGAGCCGTTAGATCTAGAGCATCGCTTCGTTTCTTAAAAATGGAAATTTACCGAATTTCTCGTATGTCATTTGGGAGCAAATTCTATAATCTAGCGGCTCTAACGGGAAATGTGTTTGATAAATAAGCATTAGACGCAAAGGGAAATCTGCAAAAGGAATGAACCACTTCTGGACTCTGACCTCGTGAAAGCAGCTTCGATGTCGCTGGCTCTAAGGAGAAAATTCTGTGGTGGGATCTATTTAGGTGGAAAAGCCGGAAAAGATTCGTTAGTTTTCTGGTTATTGTAAACGTTGAAGAATTTAACAAACTCAAGAACAATTTTCTTGGGGTCTAAAAAGGTTTCACTAGGATTGGATGGATAAAAGAAAGAATTTGGAGCTTGGTTCGGGTCCTTAGTTTTAGAATTAATATATGTGTAAAAAGGCTTCCCGTTTTTGGATTTAGTGGCATTTCTTTCAATATTTCCCTCAAATTTACGACAATACTTGGAGAACTCATTCAGTTCTTTACTAACTAGAGGGTCGTTTAAGGATTTTGAATAATAAGAACGACGGAAAAAATGGGCTAGTATACTTTTAGCTCTCAAGATGTGCGGCGGGATCATTAAAGGATAATGACCACACGTTAATTCTATCGATTTTAAAAGATTAGCGCAAAAGTCTTTGCCAATAGAATTTGAGGAGGCACAAAAATCTGATCGATTAAGAGAATCTAGTATACACACCGCCGCTTTGTAATAGTCAAAATCAAAATGCAAACAGACTTGATCCCTTTCCTTTGGAGTAAACTAAAGGTTGAACCAATTTTGAAGCTGATTGCGAGGTGGTCAGAGCCTAGGAGAGGCGGCAAACTTTGTAGATCGATTACATCGTCCAAACAGTCACAAATCACCATATCTAAAATAGAAAATGAGTGGCAGAAAGTAGGAAATATATTTAAAATGAAAAGAGAGCTCGTAGTAAGGAAACTTTCAAGTGAACTTTCGTGGGGTGATGATACTTATCGAATGCAAAAGAATCATTGAAAAAGCTTACACGGAAATTAAAATCACCTAGTAGAATGTTTAACTCAGCAGGATTTAAAAACGTCGATAGATGGTCAAAAAGAGAAGATGTGTCTGCTAAATTTACATCAGGAAGGCAATAAATAATGAAAAAGCGGATCTTTTTGACGATAAAAACATCTACTATAATAATTTCACAGTTAAACTTAGATACAGAGCAAATCCGGGAGTGTTTAAAAGATTTTAGAATCAAGAAAATCGCACCACCACCATAAGTCTAGAGTCAGATCTGTCACAACGCAAAATAGAATAATTATTTCCGTGATCTAGAATAGAGAAAACAAAAGATTCATTAAGCCACGTCTCTGTAATAGCAAGAAAAGAATCATAGTTTGAAGTTTTCGAGCGAGTCATAGTTTGAAAGAGATTAAGTCGCTTATTACTACTAGAGGCAAGACTATGTGCATGAGAAAAACACTAGGTAAAAACGAAGAATCTAACGTAAAAGCTTTTGTGCGAGTCATTGTTTGAAATGTGTTCAAACGATTATTGCTATTTGAAACGAAACTGTGGGAATTAGATAAATAAACGCTGGGGAAACAACTAAAATCAAACTTTTTCTGGAGAGATGAGATGATCCTTTGGCGTAGGTTGAGAGCTTGATTGATTCTTCTGCGAATTGTTGTGCTTCTTGTCGATTCTTCGTTGAGAAGGATCGGCAAATGAGTCGATTCCTTCCGAATCCCGGAAAGTTTTGGCTGCCGGCTCGTTCTGTTCTGACGTCGAGTGGGCTTTCTTGCGTTGAATTCCTTTAGGGGAGATGATAGCGGTGTTTGTCCATTTTGGTGGTCGTCTTCGTCTAACTTTTGGTTTTGGCGAAAAGATGGGCGGTGGCTTCATAGCTAGGTTTAACGGCTTTGTGTCCTTCACAACTCCAATCACGGCCATCTCGATGTCCTTTGTGTTCCGAGTTGAGATGCTTTCGAATTGGCTTGCTTCTTTCGCTTTGTCACCAATAATAATGTTTTTTCCTTTGAATTGAGAAGGGTCCGAGCGACAAATATTGATCAGACGAGCGTACCACGGTAGAACATCCCTGCGACGACGGTGAAAAGAAGACAGCAATTGGAAGCACCGTGGGTAGAGGCAAAAATCACTTTCATCGCACGTGGATGTTGTATAAAGTAGACGCCCATTCGATACGATTGAACAATCATTGCGTCCAATCCATAGCCGGCCAAGATCAAGTCGATGAGGTGGCGATCTGCTGCCCTCGAGCCCGAGTGGCGGCAGTGGATGGGGTAAGTGACGCACACTCCTCATCTTCGTCACTGTCAAATTGTAGCCGTACCTCAAACTTGGGTAATTAAACCATACGCTCGAATGGGCCCCATTGCTAATTAAACCAACCCCAATGTCACTTTTCACGTCGATCGTCGACGCTTTGACGCGAAAAGTGACACTGGGGACTGAGGCCACATAAATTTTTCGACTCTTTACCTAGCAAAGTACTGCTTTTAAGTCAGAATCCATCTGAAATTCCAAATTTTAAAAGTTTATAAAATAAAATAACAGAGTTGAAAGAAGAAAGTCTCACAAAAAAAAGTAAGGCAAAAACTCCAAACTACACGAATACCTTAGCCACTGTAAAAAGGCTGTGTCGGTGTGGAAAATGAGCGCTGTGTTGAAAAGTGTAAATTAATTTATCCAAAAATAAAATTTTATTTAAAATCTAGGAAACTCCTTAAGCTTCTTTGCTCTGCACAACATTTTTCTGCTCTCTCGTGTCGACAATTAATTTGAAGATATCATTTCTGGCATAATGTCCGACGACATCCAGATCAAATTTCCCTTGTGTAATCTGAAACCGTTGTTAAATAATTTTTCTAAATATATCCAACATCTCAAAAGTCAAAATACCAGATTCAAATCAATATCGGCGTATTTTATCGCTTGACCATCAAACTCGGGCGCCACAAGTACTTTCCCAAGCGGGTCGACGATGCAAGAGCCGCCTCGGATAAAGACCTAAAACTTTCTGTTCTTTGTTGTACTCTGTGATTAAAAAGAAAAAGCATATTGTCCGGTGCACTGAGTTCTTCATTTTTACAGAAACAATTTGATCATCTTTGAGCATAAAATGCGCTTAAAAAGCATTTCTCCCTACCGTTTCATCTCCATGCTTTAACCGAACCGAGTGTCCTTTTCCATGCTTTAACCGAATCATTTCTCCCTACCGTTTCATCTCCATGCTTTAACCGAACCGAGTGTCCTTCTCCATGCTTTAACCGAATCATTTCTCCCTACCTTTTCATCTCCATGCTTTAACCGAACCGAGTGTCCTTCTGGATAATTGGAACCTTTCATATATTGAACCGCTGAGATAACAAAACATCTACAATCACCGTTTTCAAATATCTTTTATTTTTAAAACCCTCACCTTCCCTCCAAAGCGATCGTTTGCATTGTGGGCAACCAGACTGGACGATCGTCTACTGTTGGAGCCAGATATAATTGGATACCTGAAAATTTATCGTTTAAAACGATCTTATATAACGATACTATTATATTTTCGACAAAAATTTGTTTGTCTTTACCTTGTGAGTACAGATAAGTACGATAGAGTGGCATGTAGTTCTCCCAACAAATCGCGGTCCCCAGTTTTCCAATCTCGGTGTCAAAGGTCTAAAAAATGCTATCCATAAAACTCTAGAATACCCTATAAATCCCTATAAATCCCTATAAATACCCTATAAATCCCTATAAATCCCTATAAATCCCTATAAATACCCTATAAAACTACCTATAAATCTATCTATAAAACTCTAAAATAATCTGTTGCTTTATTTTATCTAAAATTCTATTTTGCTTTTTTTTTGAAATCATGTCAAAATTTCAATTCACCTTCATCGTCGACCCATCTCCATTGCCCCAAACGCAACGCTCGAGCGCGGTTGGCAACAATTTTCGATGTTTTCCCAAATAGCCAGTTGGTGAATAGAAAAAAACCTAAACGAAATATATTTAAGCTTTAGAATTTTAACAAAACCGAGCAATAAAGCGTTCCCCCGTCCCGTTCGACAACACCGGTGACAAGGAAAACTTGCAACTCTTTGGCTAAAGCCTCAACTCGTGCAGCCTCTGATCCATTCTCCGTGATTGCTGAATCATAATATCTAAATTTTATTGTTAACAAAATAAAGCTTTATAAGTTTTCACCTCTGAAACTCTTCTCGTCCTTCTTGACTCCGTGAACCCAGCAGAATCCCGAAATCGTTCCATTTTGGATATCCACCAATGAAAGCTTCTGAAAACAATAAAAGTACTAAAATTTTGAATTTTACAATACCCGGAAACAAAATTAGTTCAGCTTTCTCGTTTGCTGCTTCTCTGGTCAATTTTTCGAGAAGGTCCAATGTTCTTGGAGTATCGTAGATAAAACTACCCGCTTGTACAATAGAGACTTTCATTGTTTAAAAGTCAAATGAAATAGAAAACAAAAAAAGAGAATGAAAATATCAAGTTGAACGAAGCGAAAAATGTGCTTGCTTTAAATTGTCTTGTTGATTTGGTTGTCTTGTTGATCACAAAAGAGAGATCTCTAGTCTTTATAGTCTATCGTTGTGCCGATTAGAGTGTTGGGTGTGTTTCTTTTCTAGTTATTGAGACAGACACTCCGATTTTACAATGATAAAAGATGTGATTAACAAAATAGGTTATAATTCTTTATGGAAATTCTTTCAATATTCAATTTCAAAAAACAAAAAGTCATTTTTGCAGACTTTGAGAAAATTTTTGCTAGACTTCAAAGAGAAAGAGAATAAAAAACGTTTCTGTTTTATAAAAATTAATTGTTTTTATTATGTGCTTTGAGCTTAGAAAGTAGAAACACATCTTTTCTGGAATACAAATCAAAAGGCAAACAGCAGATGTGCCAGGTTTTAGAGTCACGAAAGGTACGCACAACAAAACTCTTCTACTCGATGGCTACAGATTTATTTTCTCAATCTTATGCTTTCAGATATCTCATAGGGTTGATTTTATTAAAGAACAACTTGAAAACTTTTATAGATTATAGTAGATTATAACTTGAAAGATCTGAAATCATTCCATTTTCTAATCATCTTCATCTTCCAATCTTTCCATTTCCTAATCATGTTCATCTTCCAATCTTTCCATTTCCTAATCATCTTTATCTTCCAATCTTTCCATTTCCTAATCATCTTTATCTTCCGATCTTTCCAAGTAAACCTCCTTTCGTACAAAGCATCGAAACACTTGAATATAGCTTTTAAGCGACAATCAATTTCAATACAATTCTCCAAGTTCATTCAAGTCAAATATGCCCATTCCACCTCAATCTCTGCTCTTCAAAGCTTCCCGAACACCAAAAATTCAAAGAAAAAAAACCCAGTAGGTAATTATGTGTTTCAAAAGGTTTTTCCAAGAATAAGAAAGGGTTACCCAGGGTCACCATCCATTTTTTTTCCTCCTTTATGTGTATTTATATCCCATGTGTGTTAGTGGGAGTTCTTCTGAATCGCGATAATTGCACTTTTCCCCAACCTATTCTCCTCACCTGCAATTTCAAACAATGCAAAACGTTTTTCCGTCGAAACTCCCACAAATATCCCACTTTGTCCCCATTTATCTATATTTTATTAATCTTTTCGTTTTAAAATTCAAATTTTTCAAAAAAAAATCCAAGAATGGTGGCGAAAAAGAAGGGAAAAGCGAGGTCCTCATCGTCGGGAGTCACCAACACCACGGATCTCATTCGACGCTATTGCACTGTTGATCCGAATGTGTTTCTCGGGCTGAATAGGTTCGTGAAATGAGCATTGTAATATACTAAAATCTTTAGAGATTTCTAACAAGATAAAGTGGCATAAGTTTCTAGATTTCAATTAAGACAAAAAGCTATTAAAATCGGCAGCAAAAAGGGCGACTTTAACCTAGAGTTAGAACAAAAACTAGTGGCTTTTCTTGTACCATTGTTATCTGATAATGTTTATCAAAGGTTTATCGAATAGAAGTCCATCGCTGCAGCTCATCGTATCAAAATACTAGATTCATTTTAAATTTCAAAGTGCTTCTCCATATCTACTCAATCTTGTCTAGATTTAGAGCCTTTCTCCTCTCTCTGCTCTTCAAGCTAATGCATTTAATTATCTCTACAAGATCTTTTTTCTCTTTCATTTATATTATTCAATACAAGAAGCTCATAATTTCCAAGATTACAATTGTTTGCAAAATTCGAAAGTGTGTGAAGTGGGATTGGAAAAAAGAGGTTGAGGAAACGTGTTCCCGAGAGACGTCGGCTATGGCCATGGTGTCGACGGCTTGCTCAAATATGGGGAAAGGGACAAGTGAAAAGCAGATGGGGGAAAGCATGAAATGGAAAGAGTGCTTGAGGTTTGCCTTCGCCTCTCCCACAAGCCATGGAGCCATGTCCATTCGTCACTCAGTGTGTGCCTCCTTTCCATCGATCCCCTTTCTTTCTCCCTTCCCCAGGCTGCATTTTCCGCTTAGACTCCTTCGTATCTCTTCTCTTCTGAACCCTGTTCACCAATCACTCCTCCTTCATCATGCTCTTCCACAGCTCGATGTTTTTTCTTTAAATCATGTTTTCTTGAGCCTCATCGCATTCAACAGCTTTGAATATTCGACTTTTATAGTAAACTTTTGTTTCGACTTTTGTTTCGACTTTTGTTTTAACCAGCCTTTTGCTTTAACGACATCGATAACGTTTTTAGTGGCTGCTTGTCTTTTGGGCAGAAGGATTGCTTGTAGACATAGTGGTGACATCTTGTAGACATCGGATCGAAGCACAGGATGGGTGGTGGGAGGGATGTGGACGAGTGTCGGCCTCGAGGCTAGGGCATGCTTGGGCTAAGGACGGGCTCAATGAGCTCCTCTCAACCGTCCACTTCTTCTCACGGCAGCAGTCTCGTCCCATTTCCCCATCCTCCACCGCCTCCACATGGAGTCGCCGCGAATTCCTCCAACAACTTGCCCAGGTTCTCAGGGATTTTTTGATTCTCACACGGGCTCAACTTTCTAAGTATTCCGGAAAACAATTTAGTGTTTAATTTAAAAAAATATCTTAATTTTTTAGAGAACCATCTCCCAGTTTGTCTTCGCTTGAGTTAAAGCTCTTTCCACCGCTAGCTGAATTTATTGGTTTTGGCGGTGCCTCTAAACATGTGATTACAAATTGTGGATCTCATCGATTAGTGTTCAAGGTTGTGATAGGGAAAGGATTTGATGAAAAGTTCAATTTTCAGGTGAAATGTAGCAACAATGCGCTTTTTAAGGTGGCTCCCGTCTACTCATTTCTCGATCCAGGCATGAGCATGGATTTACAGGTTATTGATTGAAGAAAACCTTTACCATAGCCTTTGCCATAGCCTTTATCATAGCCGATTGGCTAAGAGCCTTTTATCTTCAGTCGGTCATCATTCAGTCAGTTCAATCTCGCTTCAACTTTATTCATTCATACATTAGGGCTTAGTGGTTATGCTTGTTTATTGTTTGTATCACATTATTCGTGTAAATGTATTTGTTACATTTAGGTGGTTCGGCTAGAAGGGCCAATTCGCAAGGATAAACTACTCATTATGTTTAAAGAAGCAAAGGTGAGACATGTCTAGATATTTACTAACCATTTACTAATCATTTACTAATCATTTGCTAATCATTTACTAATCATTTACTAATCATTTACTAATCAAATTACAAATCATTTACTAATCATTTGCTAATCATTTACTAATCATTTACTAATCATTTACTAATCATTTACTAACCATTTACAAATCATTTCCTAATCATTTACTAATCATTTACTAATCATTTACTAATCATTTACTAATCATTTACTAATCATTTACTAATCATTTACTAATCATTTACTAATCATTTACTAATCATTTACTAACCATTTACTAATCATTTACAAATCAAATTACTATCTAATAGACTAATTACTAAACTTATAGCTGATAAATTCTTTAAAATTTTAAACATATTTCATCGAATTGCGTTCAAAACAATTTCTCTCTCTCTGAAGCAGCGCTTTTCTTTCAGAAAATCTCTTTCCTTTCCAAATCCTTTCCAAATCCTTTCCAAATCAAATTCTCCTAGAAATTCGATATTAATTTTGTTTGGAAGAAGAAATCAAATCATTTTCAGATACTAAACTATTGCATATAGATATATTAATATTAAAAAAGAAATCTTTTTATTTAGATAGGCGAAAGAGATGCGCGAATAGCTTTTGAAGCTGAGGGAGTCACCGGGAAAACGATTCTACCACTAATCACTGTCAGTTTATTTTAAAACACAAAAATCTTTCGATAGATACTAAATCTTTAAGCTTTTAAACGAATTTCTTTGAAAAAAAAGAAAGTAGATAAGAATAGTTGTAAAGAAATATTGTTCGCGTGCTTGGTACTCTCCACACAAGACACGTTATTTCTTGTTTCCAGATATCTGATCTCACTTGTACTAAAAACACTTTATTCAATAGCCGACTGACTTGGAATCTTTGGGCTCTCACTTGAGCAATTTTCACACAAGATCGACAATTGAATTGATCGACAATTGATCGACAAAAGCGACGATAAAAAACAAAAACAATTTCGTTCTAATTAGGACACAACTTTCACACAATGAGAGGAAAGCAGAAAGAAAATGAAAGATAACAAAAAACAAAATGAACAACAGTTGCCTTATATAGGCTTTAACACAGGATACTCAGCTAACAAGCTACAAAACAATAAATGATTTGGGGCGCGAAATAGAATGAAGGCGCACCGATTTCCTCGATATTTTTCCAATTTTTAGGCTGCCAGAGTTAGGTAACTAGGTAGTTAGGTAACTTTTTAGTGGCTATTTTAGTGGCACAATAGTGATGTAGGTTGAGGGAATTTTTGAGAATTTCTCAACTCTGAAATTTCTCAAAACTCAAATTTCTCAAAATCATTTAAGAAACAAAATTGATCAAAGGAAAAACTCGAATTTCTTTAAGATTCTCAGATATTTACAGTAAATATCGTATTGCCTCTAATAGTAGTGCACCATGAGCGTCACCTAAATTCCTCGAAATCTCGAGAACCGCTTAACAGAACCTATCGATTTGGGGTCGGAAAATGTAACTTATGATTAGATCTTGTGGGGGTTTAGAGTGTTGAGCTTCCGCAAAAGCTTGGAAACCGTAAAATCGTCACCAACTCGGCTCGCCGGGGTGCACTACTATTAGAGAAAATACGGTACTTGATTTTAAGGATAGATTATTCAAAAATCGTGAAGAAAATCGAATTTTACAGCGTGAAATCGACGAGTACCCTCCGTGAGAGCAAGCTGCCAGTTTTTTTTGTTCAACTCAACAAAGTTCTTCTCTAGATTTTATGACGAATTTTTTTTCTTCTTTTACTTTATCGGGTATTTTTGTACATTGTGAACTCATCCTTTTTTTTTTCGATTTTCTTGTAAATAGCGCTCATTTTTATCAAATAAATGATTGAAAAGAGTGAAATTCAGCAAAATTCAGCAAAATTCAGCAAAAAGTGGGCACAGATCTACTGAAAAGAGAAAGAAAGTAGAGGAGATTAAAGGAAAATGATGCGATTATTTGAAGCGATTATTTGAAGGAGAATTTCTCAGGGTGTGGTTTTGTGAGGGAAATTTTGATGACAAGCGCTTATCACAAAAATAAGCAGAAAGAGACGGAATTTTGTGTAAAACATATTTTCTATTCAATTAAAATCGAAAAACTTTCACGACAATGCTCCTCTATTTGGGGCTTTTTGCCTTAGCTTTGCCATTGTATGCGAAAATTTACGTTGGGAAAGTTGAAGATACACCAGTTTGCACTCAGGGATGGGAGGAATATTTCGAATCGAATCAGTGTATCAAGGTTGATCGAACAAAGCTTTTTTTTCTACTACAGTAAACCTTTTTAAATCCATCTTATGGGTTTAAAAAGGTTTAAACCCATCTTATGGGATCCCATCTTTTAACAAAATGCTCCAGTCTTTAATCAAAGTATAGAAAGTATTAATGAATAGCTCCAATCGATTCGACAGTCAGCTAAAGAGCAATGCGATTTTATTTGATCGTTTTTTCTTCTGATTCTCAGCATAAGAAAAGAATCTTCAGGCGTATACCTCAAAAGTCGACTATTTCGAGGCAGAGATCTTCTGTGGGAAACAGGGTGGACACCTCGTTTCTGTTCACAATGGTTTTCAGAATCAACAAGTATTAGGTGGTAAAAAAATCTTCGCAAATCATTTACAATCAATTTCAGCCACCGCGCAAACAGTTTTCACTCAATGTCGCTATTGGATTGGCGCAAATCGTTTCGGTGATTTTGCAAAGAAAAAGTAGAAAGATTTTTGAAAGCTTTTGAAAATGATTTTTAGCACTCGTGGATCTCGAAGAGACTCGGATTACCCGTGGGCTTGGTTGGACAAATCGACGTTCGACTTTCAGAGCTGGAAATCGGGTATTAGAAAGCAAAACGTTATTGATTTTGTTAGCACAATAGTAAAACGAATAGCCCTACATAAGTACTATAATGAATAGTACTTCATAAGTACTATAATGAATATTATTTCATAAGTACTATAATGAATAGTCCTACATAAGTACTATTCTATTCATAAGTACTATTCTATTCATAAGTACTATTCTATTCATAAGTATTATTGTAAAACCAGGCTAGAATCCATATTTTGACTATCTTTCCCCAGTTCTGGCTTGGATTTACTACAGTTTTGTCCCTGAACCAACCAGAATCTAAACATGAGCTTTGACCTTGCCTAAAAGACCTATCTTTTAATGAACTTTATTTTCTAAACCCTAGGATTCCCGGACTCGAGCTCAACCTCGCCTGATTGCGCGTTTATGGATGTAGAAAATGGAGCTCGATGGGCGAATAATGGCTCTTGTGCCGAACAGAATTGCTTCGTTTGCCAGAAACCCCAGGCCAACATTGGGACCACGGTAAGTTAACAAGTACAAGTACAAGTACAAGTATCATTAAACATTATAACTTCAACTCAAAACTGTAAATTTCAGCCTCAACCCGTCACAAATTGGCCAACACCCACGACGGTAGCTAAGATTATATTTCATTTCTTTATTTGAAGTTTGAAGATTTCTTTATTTCTTTTTAGAGAAATCCTTGGACTACTGCCTGGGGCAGAACGACACAAAATGGGTGGACCACGCAAGACTCGTGGACTAACACTCCGTGTCCTAGTGCTGACCCATCGGCGACTAGCTGGCAACCGTGGACTTCTAAGTCGCCAAATGGTAAAAAGTTTCACTTCAAGGGGGATTATTTCAGCTTCTTCAATACTGGAAAAATAAAAGCCAATCTTTTGTAGGAGATTTTTCTATAGGCCCAACTTGGTGGACCGTTGCTCCGGGTAAGCCAGCTCCGACTTCCGCTCTCCGAGCATCCGTCTTCTCAACTCGAGGGTAAATTACATTCTATGCATATATCTATATTAATTTAACACATAGACGACCGCGTGACTCAATGCTGAGTCACGCTTGGCTACCCGTTTGAACCACGTGACTCAATGCTGAGTCACGCTTGGCTACCCGTTTGGACCACGTGACTCAATGCTGAGTCACGTACCTGGACCACGTGACTCATGCGGTCACCTTCCTTTGGACCACGTACTCAATCTGGTCGCCCCGTTTGGCCATTGCTCAATGCTGAGTCACGGCTGTTTCTCGTGAATGGCTAGGCCAAATGAGCTCAAAATTTGCAAGAGCCTGTAATTTTGAGTCCTCTTTCCGAATCCGACGTTAGTTTTATTAGGAAGTTGTGTTATTTTTCGTAAAAAGTGGAAGAACCGGGTGTTACCTCGGATTCCATGGCCGAGTTGTCTAAGGCATACGGGGTCAATCTGAGGCTCCAATAGGGAGTTGTTGGTTCGACTCCCCTGGAGCGAGAACATTTTGCAAAAAATATTTTCTAATAGTTTCAGATACTTTAATGAAGTAGCTCCAAAAATCAAGTGTTGGAACACAAAGAAGATTTGAAAAAGAGTATTTTTGAATTTTCTGAAAAAAGCGTTTTCTAAAGGAGAATTTGTATGTTATTTTCGTGTCGCTTGTAGGAAAAAAACGACGTCTGGCACACTGCCCGGATATGAAGTCGAGACTTGGGTAATTAAACCGGTTTTCCTAAGGTAACTAATAATTTTTTTGAAGGCTCAAAACAATTCTAAAGGAAATTCTGATCCGGGAACCTATAGCATAGATTTTTAGTTCCTATTTAGTTCCTATATTTGGAGAAGTTAATCGAGAAGTTAATCAAGAAGTTAATCAAGAAGTTAATCGAGAAGTTAACTACTAGAAATTAGCGTATATAAATAAAATAATTAAAACTGTGAAAATAAACTATTTGGAGCTTGTTGGCCTAAATTTAAGGCCAGATTCGGATGCTAAAGTCTAAAGCTAAGAATAACCGAAAATCCTGGAAGTACCATGGTCTATAGGTTACTTTGAGGATCTTATCTAGGAATGTGTCCAGATCCTCGAAGTATCATGGTCTATAGGTTACTTTGAGGATCTTATCTAAGAATGAGTCCAGATCCTGAAAGTGCCATGGTCTATAAGGTACTTTGAGGATCATAGCTAAGAATGACTCGTCTTTTAAAGCCTTATATGCAAATTTCTAGGATTTGGTTATTCAGTTTGATCCCGTTTTGCAAAAGATGCGCGGTCGTCAATGTGTTAAATTACTAATCTATTAATCTATTGACTTTTGATAGTTGAATAAAGCTTTCTTCTAGAATTTCGGATCAGTCATCCACGAGAAGAGATGATTGGGTAACAACGCCATACTGGTTTGGTTCCACCTACAATCCATGTGGCTGGATGCAGCAAAAGGTTGATTTAATGTAAACAAAAATAGCAATTTAATTTATATAACAAGTTAATTTTTAACATTTTATATCAGTTTATATATTAAAGTCTTTTTTAAACTAATTATTTCGTTTAGAAAACGCGAAATACTTGGAAAGCGGCGAATTTTAAACTCTTTGGACTTTCTTCAAATCATAAAAGCACAAAGAATTAAAAATTCTCAGGAAAAAATAAATAATTTATGCAAAAAAGGGTATATCTTTTACATATGAAAACATTTTATTTAACATTTAATATATGAAAAGAGTATACATGATGGGGATATTCATCGTTCCTTCAAAATCTTATGAGTATATTAAATTGAGTACTTGATAATACTTGATAGTACTTGATATTCTAATTCTTGATACTACTTTTTGTTTTATCAAAGCAAAGCAACTTTTTAGAAATTTTAATGATAATTTAATATGATATTGGGCTGGTCAATTGAAAACTGACGGACTTTGAACTAAAATTTATCCAACATAAAACCATCAATTCACTCCAAATAATTTCCATTATTATTGACGACTTCTGCCCATTTTACAGGCAATTTGCGGATTCTTCTTTCGTGGTAGGATTTTGGTTTGTGTGTGAGACAAGTGTGAGACTCAAAAGTGGAGAACTGGAGATGTTTCAGTTTGAGCACTTTCTTCAAAAGAAACCCATTTTGGTGTCAATAGAAAAGTTGTAGAGAATCAAAAATGAGGCTTATAGCCAAATTTCCAAAAAGATACACTTAGTAGTTTCGCTTAAAATGCAAGTTTTGTGAAAATTCGTAAATTTGGCATTTCTTGAAAACCAGTTTTTGAATCGTTCCGAAAATTTGGATATAGGCTTCATTTTTGATTCTCTACAACTTTTCCATTGACACCAAAATGGGTTTCTTTTGAAGAAAGTGCTCAAACTGTCACATATGACAATAGCCCGCAGTTTTCAATTCACCAACCCAATAATTGCACGGACAACTTTGGACAAGCATTGCTTAGCTTTGGGCAAAGTTTCATCCCGATCTAATGGCTGGCCTTAAACACAGAAAGCTTTTCTTTGCAATTTGTTTATGATAAACAAATTCTAAAATGTCTAAAAGTTTATGTGGTAATGTTAGAAAGTTGACGATTTTATCTAGACATTCATAAAGAATACTGGTAAAAAACTCTCTGACTTGAATTCTTTTCTGAAAAATTTTCTAGAGAATCTATTTTGTAAATCACTTTTTTTTTCGCTCTTTTGTTTATGGCTTAACTTTTATTCAAAACAAGATAAAAACTTACCGCTTAATAGACAATATTTTAAAAGTTCTACATAAAAAACATTAGACTTTGAGAAATTCCAAAAACAAAAACACTTGTTATGCGATGTGGCCTAGATCAGAATCGATTAGTTTCAAATAAAAGCCTTCTGCTTGAAGTCCAGTGATTAGATCGGGATGAAACTTTGCCGAAAGCTAGACAATGTCTGATTATCATAATAAATTATCATTAAAATGTCTGATTATCATATCATATTAGAGTACAAGCGATTTACTATGATACCAAACCATTTTCTAAGCCATTAAAAACCTTTAGCCATCACAAATTCTAAGGGATTTCGGTTTGAAAACGTTTGTTTTTGGACAGTCTTTACAATTTTGCACAACTTTTAAACCCGTTGTCATTCTTTTTGTGCAAGCATCGATCGCTTCATCAAAACAAAATGACCTTCGGTTTTGTGATTGAGCCTTTTCCGAATCGAATTCTTCTATTACATAATAAGACATAACGGTCTAAATACACAATTTTTATGGCACTGCGGCCGTTACCCCTATTATCCCTATTACCCAAATGTTGTGAAAGAAAAAACCCACTTGGTGGGAAAAAGAAACATTTTTATCTTGCCAGCGTGATTGAACCCTCGACCTTCGGCTTAAAAGACAAGACTTCTAACCGGTCGGCCATCTGGCCTATTAACGATTGAAATCGAAAATATTAAGCTTTATATGGAGCCATTAAGCCATATTTATAAATATATTAAGCCATATTTATATCCGTATTTATTTATATCCATATTTATATTTATATCCGGATCCGTTTTCTAGAAATTGTTAATCTAAAGATCTAAACGAAAATTCTAGTTTTCACTTAATAGAAAAAGATTTTTCCTTGAAATCAGAATGTCGACTCGTTCATTCAGTTTGTTTTATGCAATTTCCTAGCTTTAGCTTTCAATTCTTTTCATTTCTTTTTAATTCTTTTTCATTCTTTTCAATTCTTTTCAATTCTTTTTTCTTTGTTTGCTTTATTTCCCTCAAATTTAAGCAATGAAACTCAAACACATTTACCTCTTTTTTTTCTTTTGTTTTACAGAAAACTTTTCAAACTTCTCTATTGTCAATCTTTTCTACTATCAATCTTTAGCTGTTCAACTTTAGCTGTTCAACTTTAGCTGTTCAACTTTAGCTGTCAATCTTTAGCTGTCAATCTTTAGCTGTTCAACTTTAGCTGTTCAACTTTAGCTGTCAATCTTTAGCTGTTCAACTTTAGCTGTTCAACTTTAGCTGTCAATCTTTAGCTGTTCAACTTTAGCTGTTCAACTTTAGCTGTTCAACTTTAGCTGTCAATCTTTAGCAAATTGTTTTTGATACACGGTGAGTCAAGTCAGTAAAGTGATGCATTTAAATCGGGATAGTGCTCAATTTTCAATGTTCAATGTTCACATGTTCACAAAGTTCACAACTTTCAATGTTCACAAAGTTCAAACTTTCTCTAGTTCTTTGTTTGACTTATGTTTTGCTTTATTATTCAGGATCTGATCTTATCATTTTCTTTAACTCTTATTGTCTAGCACAATATCAAAGTTTAATAGTAAGCTCAGCATTTATTGAAGCTCAAAATTTCAACCAAAAATCATTCCTTCCTCTGCCAAGCAATTATCAAGATTTTAAAATTTCAATGTTCAAAATCAAATCAATGAAGCTTTAAAAAGCTTTTGACAAGATCTCGCTTTGATTCTGTTCTTCTTTTCACTCTAAATTTCAGTACTACCATCGTAGGATGGTAGTACTAAATCTAAAGATAATTTAGATAATATAAAATAATAAAAGATAGTTGCAAGAGGTGAATTTGTTCAAAAAGTCAGAAAGGAGAGTTTTTCAAAAAGGAGAGTCAAACGAGAGTTCACAGTGTTATCAATTGACGGTTTCTCTCCGTCTTTTTCACCGATTTTTTTTTCTCATTCTCTTTTCGATTTGCATTTTCTATTTATTTACACAAAATTTCGATTAAAGAACCCACAAGAATCGTGTGATTTTTTTTTCTGATTTTCAAATGTTTTTCTCTTTAATTTTTCTCTTTAATGCATCGTCATTATAAACGAGGTGTTCATTGTGTGTTTTTTTTTGTTTTTTTTTTTGCGAAATCTCTTATCTCAAAAAACTATATGTATCAATACACTTTGACTTTGTATTTTCTATAAAATAATTCATTTCTTTCATTTCTTTCATTTCTTTCATTTCTTTCATTTTTCTTTCAGTGTTTGAAGTGATTTGTGATGAACGATGTCTTCGATCATCCTCCACATAGCCGTTCTCATTTTTTCCATGTCCTCATGGCTAAGCGTTAACGCCATTTTCACTCAATTGCCGATTTTGGCGAATGTTGTAAGTTATTTTTATTGATATGTTGTGTCCGATTTAGATTGAATCTAAATCGGACGCCCGATATAGACTGTAATCTAAATCGGACGTCCGCGATAAGTTCAATCTAAATCGGACGGAAATCGAAATCGGACACAACATATAGATAGATCTATTTAAAGTATTTACAATCTCTTGTTAAATCAAGATTTTTTTCATTTAGGCACCCGAATCGTGGAACATTGCTTCATATTTGGTGCTGATCATTCAAATCTCTTGTGTAATCCCGCTCTTGTACGGGATTGTTAAGCACCGTTTTCCACAATTAGTTAGTTGAGATTTTTTTTGAGTTCTTTTCCGTTATACATCCGCAAAAATTTAATCATTTAACCGCAATCATTTAATAATCAAAAAAATAAACATCAAAATAAGATTAATGAGGAATCGATGTCGTGGTAATTCGTCACGCAGAAATCGTCCTTTCCCACTTCTTGTCAAAACATGGATTCAGCGAGGTAGCTTAATGGGAAATGATGTGCCATGCCACGATGCTACTTGTTTCTCCAATTAGCAGATCCCCATAAACGCTCGATCGTCTGCGTGTGAATGGGTCATCCGGATTCGAGGAAGTTGTACTTGTGGTTGAATTGAGCGTGGGTAAAACCGGCTTCCTACATCTGTTGAGTGTTGCATCCTCGCCAACAAATTTGAAGTTCGGAGTGTTGCATCCTCGCCAACAAATTTGAAGTTTCTGTGTGTTGCTCCTTGCCAACCAATTTGAAGTTCGGAGTGTTGCATCCTCGCCAACAAATTTGAAGTTCGGAGTGTTGCATCCTCGCCAACAAATTTGAAGTTCGGCATGTTGCATCCTCGCCAACAAATTTGAAGTTCGGGTGTTGCATCCTCGCCAACAAATTTGAAGTTCGGGTGTTGCGATCCTCGCCAACAAATTTGAAGTTCGGAGTGTTGCATCCTCGCCAACAAATTTGAAGTTCGGAGTGTTGCATCCTCGCCAACAAATTTGAAGTTCGGAGTGTTGCATCCTCGCCAACAAATTTGAAGTTCGGAGTGTTGCATCCTCGCCAACAAATTTGGGTTCCCGGCTCGATGTATTCAATCATCGATTCATTTCATTTTCGTGGAAAAGGATGTAAATCAAATTTAGCGGAATGCAAATTTTTGCGAATTTATAACGGAAAAGAATCATTTTTTTTGTTTGTTTAAAAGATTAACTTTAGATAAAAACTTATGAGAATTACTTGATTTTGTTCCTGCTTTTGGTAACAGTGCTTGGACTTTTCCTAACGACGCTCACGTTTAAAGAAAGATGGGAGCTTTTTCAGGCAAAGGTCAGCAAAAAGATTTTACCAAAAAAAAAATTGTACAGTAAACTAGGAAAAAGAAACGAAAAATTGTAGTCTTTTCTAGCACGCAGTCCCATTGTTGCTTGTGCTTTTGCTCGTCTCAATCCCCTGCACAACATCCGACGTCTTATTCTTGCCGTATATGTCGCATTTTCATGATCCACACCTACTAACAACTTTCTTCGTTGGAATGGGCCTCGGTGCACTCATTCCAAGTGCTCTTTCTTTTGTGCAGGGTTTGTTTTTCCTAAATTTTTAATCCTTTAAGCTTTTCAACTTTAAATATTGGGTTGGTGCATTCAAAACTGCGGGCTATTGTTATCTGTGACAGTTTGAGTACCACTTTTCTACCAGTATTCTTTATGAATGTCTAGATAAAATCGTCAACTCTCTAACATTACCACATAAACTTTTAGCCATTTCAGAATTTGTTTATCATAAACAAATTGCAAAGAAAAGTTTTCTGTTGAAAGCCCAGCCATTAGATCGGGATGAAACTTTGCCCAAAGCTAAGCAACGCTTGTCCAAAGCTAAACAATGCAATTATTGGGTTGGTGAATTGAAAACTGCGGGCTATTGTCATATGTGACAATTTGAGCACTTTCTTCAAAAGAAACCCATTTTGGTGTCAATGGAAAAGTTGTAGAGAATCAAAAATCAAGCTTATATCCAAATTTTCAGAACGATTCAAAAACTGGTTTTCAAGAAATGCCAAATTTACGAATTTTCACAAAACTTGCATTTTAAACGAAACTACTAAGTGTATCTTTTTGGAGATTTGGCTATAAGCCTCATTTTCGATTCTCTACAACATTTCCATTGACACCAAAATAGGTTTCTTTTGAAGAAAGTGCTCGAACTGGGACATCTCCAGTTCTCCACTTTTGAGTCTCACACACAAACCAGGTATCGTTAGGTTCGTGGTAGGATCCTACTACGAAAGAGGAATCCGCAAATTGCCTGTAAAATGGGCAGAAGTCGTCAATAATAATGGAAATTATTTGGAGTGAATTGATGGTTTTATGTTGGAGAAATTTTAGTTCAAAGCCCGGCAGTTTTCAACTCACCAACCCAATACTTTAAGGTAACCAGGCACAGAATTACTCAATCAATACAAGAGTTGAAAACCCCTTTAAAACTTTGGCTTTGAAAAGAGTTTTTCTTTTAGGATCACCTACTGTTACATCAATCACAGACAACTCAACCGGACGAATCACATTTAATATTGACGCTCGACTCTCGTTCGAGCATTTTATGTATATAATGGCTGCTTGCTGTGTTTTGTCGATTCTCGGTTTGGACTTAAAATAAGACAAATAAAAACCCTATTCAGCTTTTTTCTATTTGATTCATTGGGTACGGTACAATTCGGGTGATCACACGCCGGCAAAGTTTGCTCCTGTAGAAACGGTTGACACGGAAAAGGTTTGATTAGATATCGACAAGCGAATTCTAGCGACAACTTTAGAAAAGTAGCTGGGAAATTGTCTATTTGTTTTTAGAAGTGTCAATTGTTATAAAGAATTGTAGCCTTAATTCTCGGCAATATTTATCTACCAAAAATTTCCTGGACTTATAGTCTTGGACTTATAGTCCTGGACTCATTAAACAAGCGCTTGAGTGAGCTCTAGTCGACACAGTCGACATTCCACTGATGGTCGTTGTTGAGAGGGGAAGGCTTGGTAATCCATGTTTTAAAATAAGGAAATTAAGGACATTTAAGGAAAATTAAGGACATTTTTTCCGGTAATCTGCCATTTTTCACGATTTTCTTTATTAAAAATTGTTAATTAAAAGTTTTGAATGCAAAATTTAATTCAATAGCGTTTAAAATCACTGAATAACATTAAGAATCACACTTAACTGTTACCGTATTTTCTCTAATAGTAGTGCACCCCAGCGAGCCGAGTTGATGACTATTTTACGGTTTCCAAGCTTTTGCAGAAGCTCAACGCTCAAACCGCCCACTAGATCTCATCGTCAGCTACATTTTCCGATCCCACATCGATAGGTTCTGATAAGCGGCTTTTGAGATTTCGAGTACCCTAAAGTCGCGAGTATAAGTTCTGTTTGGTTTTCGCATTCAAATTGACGGCTGTCTCCGGTGCGGTGTGTCGAGGGTTCGAACCCCGCTGCAGCATAACTTTTTTTGCTTTTTAAGAACAATAATAGAAGTAAATTTATTGAGGGTTATAGCAATTTTATGCTGTTATTTGTTGCTCCGGGCGTGGCTCGGCGCGTCCGCCCTGCTCCTCTCCGGTGCTCAGTCTTATGGATCCCTCCCTGGCTTTAGAGTTCCTATGGAGTTCCTTTAGAGCCCTTTAAATGTAAATTAAGGCAGAACTTATACTCGAGACTTTAGGGTAATTTAGACGAAAACCAGGGTCCACTACTATTAGAGAAAATACGGTAATCTAAAGTTATGCAAAGCATGAAGATAAACGTTTATTTGATGGATTTGTAAAATGCTGCAAAAATGTCTGTATAAGTCTGTAAAAGTAGTCATTTAGCGTAAGAACGGAGGGGGAGAAATGGGACTCCGAAAGAGCCAGCGAAAGAGCGAATCCAAACAGAAAAATGCCACTTATTCTTTATGAAAATCAACAGAATTATCTTGGATTAATCATTAGAGCAAAAAAAAACATTAAGAATCACACTTAAATGTTAACTGAACTCTCAATCATACATTCAAATCAGTTGAACATCTTTATTTTATAGAAAACGAAGAAAACTTTGCAATCTCTTTAAACAATTGAAATCTCAAAACTTTAGAAACCAATCATTCTTGGCACAAAGATGCTTGTCTTGTTGGCGCTGAGTTTTTGTGTTGGAGCTCTGCAGAACTCGCTGTTGCCCGTACTCTTGCAGTATGCTGCTCAAGCTTATGGTCAAGAGGTCGCTTTTTAAGTCGTCAATGAATATTTTCATCCATTTAGACTTACCATCTTGCGAACACGTTATTTGTGATGACGAATCCGGTGTTTTGCTTGGCGCAACTATTCATCACCATTCAACGAATACACTTTTTCTTGGCGCTTTTCTCAGGTAAAAGAAGTTGAGAATGACAACAAGCATCAATTTATTTCTTATGTAATAGTTTTAAGAAAGAACTTTAGCCAGCATGGTGCCAACGATTTTCATCGCAGTGTTAGCTTGCTTAAGTGAACGATTGGCATGGGCTGGAGCTGAAGCAATGCTATGTGTAAGTAGCATTGGGCTGGAGCTGAAGCAATGCTATGTGTAAGTAGCATTGGGCTGGAGCTGAAGCAATGCTATGTGTAAGTAGCATTGGGCTGGAGCTGAAGCAATGCTATGTGTAAGTAGCATTGGGCTGGAGCTGAAGCAATGCTATGTGTAAGTAGCATTGGGCTGGAGCTGAAGCAATGCTATGTGTAAGTAGCATTAGGCTGGAGCTGAAGCAATGCTTAGAACTCTCTAGATTATCATTGAATCCGAAATCTGAAATCTCTTGAATCTAAAATTTCTAAAATCTCTGCATCTCGGATATTGAACTCTCAACTACTTTCAGATAAGTGCCGGTTTGGGCGCTGGTCTATTATCATGGTCGAAAACAGCTCTAGCACAATCATTACGAGCCACCGAGCATCCAAGAGCTTTATTCTGGTGTGGAGCCGCGATTCAAGTAAGTCTAGAGTTCAAAAATAATATCAAAACAAGTCTTAACAAATCTTCAAATTATTAAGCTTAAAAATAATCTTATAAAGGATTAAGTTAACGGAGTTTCCAGAGAAAGTAAACTTTTTTAAAAAAATGCCTAAAAATGATAAGCAAACTTTCAACTTGCACTCAATTTTTATAAATCTACAAATTTGACTTTAAGTGACTTTGACTTTAAGACTTTAAGAAATGACTTTAAGTTTAAAATCCGAATTTCAGACTGGATCCTGTGTTGGTGCTCTGGTGATGTTCTGCTTAGCCAATTTGCTTCACGTTTTCCCAGCATCTTAGCATTTGAAATCCCCTTAGCTCTAACCAAATATAGATAATTTATTGAGTGAATAAAAATCTCGATATCTCAAATGAAAAAAAAAAAAAAAAAAAGAATTTTGCACACACATTTCACAACACATTTGCCTCACCTTTCACAACTCATTTTTTCTCTGATATGTTGCACAAAAAGAAAGATTTGCTAGGAAATTAACAAAGTAACAATAACCATTTTAGTGGTAATAAAGTTAATAAAGTTAAAGAAAAGGTCAGTGGTGCTTTTAGAAATGCAATAATCACAGTGTGAAAAGAAAGAAATGGGAAAAAAGCGAATTGCTGAGTTGAGCAAGAGAAAAGAAATCATGCTAAAAAAAGCTTTGGTCTAGTTTTTAAAAAAAACTCTTGATTTTCACCAATCGGGAATAAAGAAAAAGATAAATAATGAGAAAGATTGGAAAACATGGAGAAACTGAAAGAAAAGGCCCGTTTTTCTTGCATGATTTTCGGGAAAGCAGACTGACGCTCAAGAGAGGAAATACCCATATTGGAGAGCAAGAGAAAGAAAAAGAAATAAATAAATCGGTTTTTTGATTGCTCATCTACATCTCACTCCATTGCTCTCGTTCGTGGCGCAGTTGGGCCTGCAAAATGTTTTCGTGCAAAAAAAAATTCCCTGCTTTCCCTGCTTACTAGATTGAATCAGCTTCTTACAATTCAAAGCTCTAAAGAATGTCTTTAGTTTAAAGAATGTCTAAAGAATCTAAAGAACGTCTAAAGAAAGTCTAAAGAAAGTCTAAAGAAAGTCTAAAGAGTGTCTAAAGAATGTCTAAAGGATCTATAGTCTAAAGAACGTCTAAAGAACGTCTAAAGAAAGTCTAAAGGATCTATAGTCTAAAGAACGTCTAAAGAAAGTCTAAAGGATCTATAGTCTAAAGAACGTCTAAAGAACGTCTAAAGAAAGTCTAAAGAATGTCTAAAGAATGTCTAAAGAATGTCTAAAGAATGTCTAAAGAATGTCTAAAGAACGTCTAAAGAAAGTCTAAAGAAAGTCTAAAGAATGTCTAAAGAATGTCTAAAGGATCTATAGTCTAAAGAACGTCTAAAGAACGTCTAAAGAATCTAAAGTCTAAAGTATGTCTAAAGAATGTCTAAATAATGTCTAAAGAATGTCTAAAGAATCTAAAGGCTAAAGAACGTCTAAATAATGTCTAAAGAATTTCAATCTCTAAAGAATGAGCTTAAAATTGCGCTTAATTTTCAATCGAATCATCAATTTACTAGTTAAAACTGAAATCTACCTGATACAACGATGGCTGATTGACTCTATTTCGCTTAAAGAAACCGCATCGCCAGCAAATCAAAACGATCACCGCCAATATCAGCAAACCGACCAACACAGCCAATACGATTATCCACCAAGGCACGGATCGAGTATCATCTAGAAAAACGTATTGAAACTTGACTTTTTCTTCTCACAAACCAAGCGCTGGCCGATCTGGATAAGCCAACGTGGCTACTTGAGCTCGATTGTTCGTCGGATCGTCTGCGATTCCTTGTGATTCATCCAATTCAATCCATCCGTGTGAAAGCAATTCAACATATTCCACATCGGAATAGTCCTAAATTATAAAATTAAGCGAAACTTCATTCATTCATTCACCTCAATGAAAGTGGCGTTCCAAAGACGAGCACGGAAATCGATTACAGGAGCCGACCCAGCGTCGATAAAATCAAAATGACAAGAGACTCGGAAGCATTTCGCTGATCCTTTTTCGCAACTCTGGAAAAAATTCATCTACTATAGAAAAAATGAGCTGTTTCTGTCTGTCTGCAAATAGTGGACTCTTTCAAATAACTTATAGTTAGTTTGGCTTAGAATTCCAGGTAGTGGTGAAATATGTTTTTAAATTTTTAAAAAACCAAGAATGCCGACAAGGGCAGGAGTCGGACCAGGATCGTATGGGCTAGAGACAAGCGCCCTCGCACTGCGCCATCTAACGCTTAACCTTGCCGGCTCTCAAACGAATGAAAACGAAGTCGCGAGTTCGACTCCTCTCGCCGCCAATTCTTTTGCTTTTTATTCTGCTTTGTGTTTCCTATTTCTTCTCAGGAGAAGAAGGCACGGATAGCGTAGTGGTAGAGCATCAGCACGGTAAGCGAGAGGGCGAGGGTTCGACTCCCCCCTAGGTTCCTTTCCCATTCGTCTCCTTTTTTTTTACCTCACTTCTTTACTTAAATTTTTGTTCAATAAGGTATTGATAACTTACAATTGAAACAACGTTCACTTCAACGTCTCCCTCTTTTCTCTTTTCTGATGAGATTCGATCAAAGAAGAAACCGGCTGAAGCGGGTTGTTGTTCGGGCTCGTTTTGTGGCTCAGCCGATCTCTGTAATGTTCATAGTAATAAATAATAAATACATTTAAATAATAAATAAATGTATACAATAAATAAACTTGTCTTTTATCTACCTTAACTTTCAAAGCGCCTCTAGCCGACGGGAGGGTAATTTGAACGGAATGGCGGGTGTTCAACGGGATTTCTTCTGGATTTATATGCTCAACAGGTCGTTCAACAGAACATCTAAAAACATAAATAATCGAATGATTTCTTCACTTATTTCTTCAAACCTTTTCACATCAGTGACGCCAGTTTGAACGTTGTAAGTGACGACTGTTGGCACATCCAATAAATACAATGCGTATTTCCCTCTCCGAAATCTTGAGGCAACTTGATAAGGCCATTCAAACTGAAAATTCAATTTAAATTTCAAAAATTTCATGCATTATATTAATTTCAAATTTTTATTTATTAAAAAAATGACCTTTGCGTAAACATTTCTAACTGTCCAAGGACCCTTGTTGTGCAGAGTATAGTTGTGCCTCAACATCACTCCAATATCCTCTTCCATTTGCATCGCCGAAACTCCTAAGAATATGAAAAAGATAAAAAGATATTCAGTTATTTAGCTTCGATTCTTTACATTCAATAGACTTTAGACTAAGATTCAATAGACTCACCCTTAACAGCTCCACCAAAGCGCACGATTCCCGGATCACTTGTCCCAATCAATTCCAACTCGGCTTTTTTGATTAATCGAACTTGAGCCTCCCAGGTGTTGTCCTAAATTATGTATCTTATAAAATATCATATTGGCTTTTTGGCTAGATTTATTGGCTAGAATTATTGGCTAGATTTATTGGTTAGATTTATTGGCTAGATTTATTGGCTAGATTTATTGGCTAGATCTATTGGCTAGAATTATTGGCTAGATTTATTGGCTAGACTTATTGTCTAGATTTATTGGCTAACCAATGGATTTGTCTCATCACTGGTGCTGTTAACATGAGCTTTAAATCGAAGCGGTCTTCCAATTCCCTCCGTTCGACCACGCACTAATTTAAAGCGAACATCAAACGTCAACTGAAAAGAATCAAATAGATTTTAAACCTTTCATTTCACCTTGGATCTTCCATCCATCGGATTCCCAAGTTGCACGAGAAGTGAGTTCTTTCCCAGAGTCTCAAGAATCAAACCACGAACATTTTTACCCTAAAAACTTGTTTAAAGAAGAAAAAGAAGAAGAAATATGATGATACTTGTAATGAAGGTAACTCGAGTTCTTCTGGATCAAAGGTGAGATTAAGATGTGCTTGATAGGCTTTCTCTCCATTGTTATCAACTTCGAATTGAATGTCCAAATGCTCTTTCTCACCAACATTCGATACATAGCCGTCCTCGGTACTAAAATATCATTAAAATGAAATCGTTTTCTTTTGAAATCACTTTGGAATGCCAGCAAATGTAGCGCGAAGAGCGAGATCCGTTTGACAAACATGATCATCTCCACATCGAGTATTGAAAGGAATCTGAAAGGTTTCTCTTTTCTTCAGCAATCAAAAAATATTGTACTGTAAAATCGTAAGTGGATCCAAATTTGTTGAGAATCGGGTAATCGTTTAAGTCGACAAGAGGAGCGCCTTGTTTAGGTAGAATTGGTTTCTTCTCATTCTGTAGTTAAAGATATAAAGCTAGATCTTTTTTCTATACCAAACCTTAATCCTTACAGTGAATCGGAATTTCAATGGATTCACCCAATCTTGAGAAGCGGCGTTATTCTAAAAATTTGCTAGATTAATGTTTCTTAGATCTTTGTCATATCGATTTGTTACCGGGATATCGATTTGTTGAAAGTACTCTTGAGTGCTGAGATGTGCGTTCTTTCCGCATGGCCACGTATAATTTTGTGGATTGTTGGCGCCTCGAACATGTGCTCTCAATGGGACACCTTTAGCCATTGGAAGAACCTCAATTTGTTGGATATGTTTTTTTTGTGTTGGGTTATCCAGTTATGAATGCGCGTTTTTTACTTTTTTTTAAATTTCTCAAGATATCGAACAGATTTATAGGAGTGTTATATATCATTCGAAAGCTGAAAATCTCCTCTACATTTTGATATAAAAAGTTTTTGAATTTGTCCAGCTTTTGGGCAAATTGACTGCACAGAAGAAGAGGTGGCCAAAAAAAAAAATGGAAGGGTGCCTTTGGATCAAGTTTTGGCTCCGCTCAAATTGAGTTAACCGTTTGATGTTTGGCCAATAGATATATCAATATAACTTTTTTTAAATATAACAATTTCAGAGCATCTTTACTTTTCTTTTCTTTTCTGGGCGGTTATTTTACACCATAAAACTTGAGGAATAGCTAAGTTGAAGTGGATTTTTTCGAAAACGACCTCTCCCTTTGTGCAGTCAATATCCCAAAAGCTGGACAAATTCAAAAACTTTTTATATCAAAATGTAGAGGAGATTTTCAGCTTTCGAATGATATATAACACTCATATAAATCTGTTCGATATCGTGAGAAATTTAAAAAAAAGTAAAAACGCGCATTCATAACTGGACAACCCAATACATTGTACACCATAAACTATTGTAAAAACTCTGTGTGCCCGTGATAGATGTAAACGGCTCCAGCACCTTCATAGGCATTGAAGCTTCATCCATTTGCCTATGAAGGTGCTCCTAAGCCCAGCACCTTCATAGGCAAATGGAGCTCCAACAGCGAACATTTCCCTCATCTTTTCTTCAGAAAAAGAACTACCTCTAGATTGCAGATAAACACATCACTTTTGTAGTCGACGAGTTGTTTTCGAGCACCGTTTCCTTCCACCATTAATGTTAATTTTAAATCAAAGCTAAACGAAATGAAAAGTGAATTGTGTTTAAGTACAAAAGAAAACCAACCAAGTTGCTTGACCAGATGGGCATCGTGATTTCCCATCAATGTCTATGTAGGGTTTAACTGTTGAATGAGTTGTACCCACCGAGATCACTGGTCGAGCTCTAAATTGAAGTTGATTGAAGATGAATGACCGAAAATCACCTGAGAATTGTGACCAAGCTGCTATTATATGCGCCAACAACAAGATCTGGATAACCATTTCCATCCAAATCACTGCCACCCGATAACGAGAAACCGAAAGAGCGAACAGCACGAGCTTGAGCAATTGATGGAAGAGTTGAGCCGATAATAATCTAGAAATTTTTTTTTTTAAGTTGTTTAGATTTACTATACTTGAGCAGGTTTTCTTCGAAAATTTGCACGTTCTGTGTGCCCGTGATAGATGTAAACAGCTCCAGCACCTTCATAGGCAAATGGAGCTCCAACAGCGAAATCTAGAACGGAAATCGGATTGGAAATCGAAAAGGAAACAGAATTTAAACTTACAGCCTGTAATTTTCAAACTATTTACAATTGCAACTTACATTTCCAATCTATTAGGTTGTTCGGATATAAACAAGCGTTACTAAACTTATTGTTATGAGAGAAGCTTTTAAAAAATGTCTTTCTTTATTTAAAAGTACGTTATCTTGTGTAGATTTGGAATCTTTTTAAACGGATAATTTCTTATTTTTAAGAACTTTTTTCTTGCTTTAGATGACCGACTTCAAACATCAAGTTCGCGTCTGCCTACTCTACGACTTCAGCTTTAGATGACCGACTTCAAACATCAAGTTCGCGTCTGCCTACTCTACGACTTCAGCTTTAGATGACCGACTTCAAACATCAAGTTCGCGTCTGCCTACTTTACGACTTTAAATTGGGCAAAATAAATAGCTGCCTACTTTACGACCTCAAATATCAGGTTCGCATTTGCCTACTTTACGACTTCAAACTGGGCAAAACAGAATCCCATTTGGTCAAAGATTTGGTCAAAGATTTTGTCAAAGCATTTGGGAATGATGTATTGTTTGAAAGCCGATGCCGAGCCTGGTTCCAACGCTTTCGGAACGGTGATCAAAGTCTCGAGAATCATGAACACTCTCGTCGACCTCAAGCGGTAGACAACGATATTTTGAGGGCTGCAATCGAATCGGATCCATGTCAAACGACGCGTGAACTTGCTCAACAGTTTCTATGTTCAAATTCTACCATTGATGAGCATCTTCACGCCATTGGAAAGGCGATCAGATGCGGGAAATGGCTTCCTCACGAGTTAAGCAGCAGCAAGCGCTCGTTTATATCCGAACAATCTAATAAAACTAAACCTGAAGTCGGTTTCCGATTCCCATGAATGTTTCCAAGTCGAGTGATTGCTAGACCAAACTGTGAAAAGTAACCAGCATGCTAAAGATATCTCAGTAAGAAAACCTTTTTTTTCACTAGCTTACCTTGAGAATTATTGGTTTCTCAAAAACAAATTTGCTTTCTCCTTTCGCTCGTTCAACTCCCGAAGAGAAATACACATAAACAACACCTCCAAATTGACCATCTTTATCATTTCGATGCTCGAAAGGAGATCCAACAATAAGATCATCAAATCTAATAATTCATTTATCAATAAATCTCCAGCTTACTTCGAAGAACTTACTTGTTTCCATCAAGATCAACAACTGCAACAGAATAGCCGAAACCAGAGCCAAAACTTTTCCCCTGAAATTGCGTTGACTAAAATACAGTACTGGACAATGAAATATAATATTTGAAAAACGATCGTCACTTTCGCGCGTCTGTAACCCCCTTGTCTTTGAGTTTAAACTATTATTGTTATACATTTTCTGAAAGCTCTTTTCAAGGGCTACACAGATTTCTTGACGAGATTTCTTCACTCATCTAGTTACTAGGTTTTCTCGACGAAACAAATTACCCACTCGAATCCTTTTGAATGATTCTTTGTCAACTTAAAGATTGTTCAGTATTGTCAACTCATTGTGAATTCATTCATTCATTTCAGAATACTGTACACTTGAATATCTTTATCTTTAAACAATCTTCTTGACGATCTTCTTCTTTAAACAATCTTCTTCTTGACAATCTTCTTCTTCACTCATCTAGTTACTACAGTACTGGACAACGAAATATCATATTTGAAAAAAGATCGTCACTTTTGCGCGTCTGTAACCCCCTTGTCTTTGAGTTTAAACTATTAGTGTTATACATTTCCTGAAAGCTCTTTTCAATGGCTACACAATGGTAATATTAATATTTAGAAATACGGTAAAGACAAGGGAGTTACAGACGCGCGAGAGTGACGATCTTTTTTCAAATATCATATTTCATTGTCCAGTAGTGTATATTAGACTTCTATTAATAAAATGAGCACAATTCCTAAAAATTCCTATATCTGTGAGTGATTCATGCTTAAATTCTTAATGTAAAATTTACGTCACATTACACCGAAAATTCATACTCTCAACCAAACAGTTGGAATTAGGGCAGATCAAAAACTTGTGCGCCACCCGGACTCGAACCCGCGACCCTACTGGGCACTTCCGCTTACTGGTCGAGTGTGCTAACCTTCTGAAAGCTCTTTTCAATGGCTACACAATGGTAATATTAGTATTTAGAAATACGGTAAAGACAAGGGAGTTACAGACGCGCGAAAGTGACGACCTTTTTTCAAATATGATATTTCATTGTCCAGTAGGTGTACCTAATATAAACTAACCTCAAGACTGAATTTCTCATCGTTTAACGCTAAATGATGATCATTTTTGTTCTCTTTGTTGAAAGGTAAGAAATGAACGGCTCCAGTCTGGCAAAAAGAGTTATAAATTTTGAAAAATTATTTTAAAATCAAATTTTTACTTGATTATGTCGAGTAGCTCCAGAGACAATTGTTAATTTTTGTCCTTTTTCATACCTGATATATAATTATTTTTTAAAAAAGAAATGCCTCTTTTACCAAAATCCAAATCTTCCAGCTGATACAGAGAAACCGAGATAATCATGGGAAAGCAAATGTGGTCGAATTGATTCTTCTAAATGTTTAAAACAATTAGATTCGATCGAATTCTTGTTCTTGAATTAAAGAAGGACACGGGAATAGTTATAGTTATAGAGATTAATGGATAGTGATTGGGGGAAAGGGCGGGAGAGCGGGAGAGTGGGAGAAGTCAAGCAGATGCATTTGCTCAATGTCAAACAGACTAGACTTGCTCAATGTTTTGCGGAACTTTTATCATTGAATGTAAACATTTTGAATCTAGCAGAGTTCTAGAAAGCTTAGAATTTAGATTTAGAAAGTTCTACATAGTTTAGAAACTTCTAGAAAGTTCTAGAAAGTTTAGAATTCAGATTTAGAAAGTTCTTCAATTAAACAATGACATGGGAATAGTTATATTTATAGAGATTAATGGATAGTGATTGGGGGAAAGGGCGGGAGAGTGGGAGAAGTCAAGCAGATGCATTTGCTCAATGTCAAGCAGATTAGACTTGCTCAATGTTTTGCGGAACTTTTATCATTGAATGTAAACATTTTGCATCTAGCAGAGTAACGATTTTAGCTAGATACTAAAAGTTTACACCAAACGAAGTTCACGGTAACATTAGCCAAGTCTAATTGAATTCCAAAGGAGCGGTTTTCAAAATTCACTCTCACATACCTGCTGATGACTCAATTGTCGTTCCTGAGTGGTGTCGATGAGTAATTTGATAAGAAAACCTCATTTTTAACAAACCTTGACTCATCGTGTACTTTTCGATAATCGTTTCGAAAGCGTTTTCGACATTTGTTCGCACGTACACTCCGCCAGTCCACATTCGAGCACCCAACACGCCAGTTATCAGCATTTCCTACAATAGATTCATTTAGAAAGTTCTACAAAGTTCTAGAAGGCTTAGAATTTAGATTTCGAAAGTTCTAGAAAGTTCTAGAAAGTTCTAGAAAGTTCTAGAAAGTTCTACAAAGTTTAGAAAGTTCTAGAAAGTTCTACAAAGTTTAGAAAGCTCTAGAAAGTTCAGAATTTAGATTTAGAAAGTTCTAGAAAGTTTGGAAAGTTCATTTTCTACAATCGTTATTGATTTAGTTTTAAAGAATTCTTTAAAAACCCTAACACTACTCAAACCTTGTCCAAGTGTGCCGAAAGTCCTTGCATACAAGCGCCATAAGTGTTGTGTCTGCCTGGCTTGTCCAGATTTTTCGTCTCACAAGTGACCAGGGTGTTTGTGTACTAAATTGTTCATGTTATAATATCACTTATATGAACAATATTTTCTTCTTTCTTTTTCCCCTGTCTTCTTTCCCCGTCTTTCCCTTTCTTCTTCTTCTTCTTTCCTTTCTTCTTCTTCTTCTTCTTTTCTGCTTCTTCTGCCTTTCTTCTTCTTCTTCTTCCCTTTCTTCTTCTTCTCCCCTTTCTTCTTCTTCCTTTTCTGCTTCTTCTTCTTCCCTTTCTTCTTCCCTTTCTTCTTCTTTCCTCTTTCTCATGACAAGTTAAGCACCGAATAGCTCAGTAGTTAGAGCAATTGCAAAGCAAAAGATCAAGAGTTCAATCCCCTCCAGAAATCTACTTTTTCTTGCCAATTCCTTCACTTTTTTATTAACTGAATATCATTTGCCATTTACCAACCTCGAGTCGATCGTTTAGAGTATAACAAGCTCCCTGCAGGCGAGCTGACGCGTTACGGTACCTCGTCAATGGGGCACAGACCTAAGATTATATAGAAACTGTTAAAGTTAAAAAAATTATCAATAATATTATAGCTTTGTATAAAACGTACCACAGCGCCTCCTCCCGGTCTCCCTTCAGATGCCAGAGCTGCTCCCAGTTGTTGCCCATCTTTTCCCAAATAATCTACGGGATCTGGTCCTATCCTTGCCGCAAAATCCGGCCTCAAGTCATAATTCTAAAATCTCAGTTGATAGCATAGAGTTTTAGCTTTAGCTTTGGCTTTAGCTTTGGCTTTGGCTTTGGCTTTAGCTTTGGCTTTAGCTTTAGCTTTAGCTTTAGAACTTACATCTTTACTCGCATACTCGATAAAGAGCTTCTCACACCAAGAGTTGTCCTCTCCTTGATATCTTGTATTCAATGGACAAGCATAGACAGCACCAGTCTAAATTTGAATTTTCAAGAATTTCAATAACTGTTTATTCAAATCTCTTGTTTACCTTGTTCGTTTCTTTCTGACCATTTTCGTCTTTCGGTGCACCAATTAGAACACTAAAGGATTTTGGTATGATGATCGAAATTTGGAAAGGATTTAGAAAGAAATCTATTATCATTCTAGCTTTCAACGTACACAGGTTGATTTCCTCGAAAGTGTTCAGCCACTGAATATCCAAAATAAGTGCCAGGGATGCCAAATTTGTAGATTGGAGCCGAGTCGTCGAGATTGAAAGCGCTGATGAGGGGTAAAATGAGAGCAAAAAGTGAGCAAAAGCTCAACCCTATCCCACTCATTGATGGAGGCCGTCCCCGGCACAACGGCCGTCTCCGTCGCATCTAATCGTTCTCTAAAATTGACTTTTTCTTTGAAATTTGTATAGAAAAGTACAAAATATCATGTGCAAAGCTTTAAAGACACTTCTATTAGCTTTGGTTATTTAGGAAATCTGGGTTTTGGTGGAATTGTTTGATGATGATAAATATGTATAGGAAGTGGAGGAGAAAAGGGAGTAAAGGAAAAGAGAATTCCATGAAAAGAGAACAAATTGAAACCCGAGACACCAAAGTCTTTGCTCGACCGCCTTTAGGGGTTGAGAATGGTTCTCACTAGACTCACTGCGAGATGGAAGTTGGCTTGAGCTTGTATCTAGCTATTGGTCAAAAAACTTCAAGTTATTAGTACTAGAAAGTCTTTGAGAAAAAGGAAAGCTTAAAATTTCTTGTAATAATATTGTAGATCAGACTTTTCTAAGTGTTAAAAATCTTAAAGCTATATATTTTTTAGCTTACTTACTTACATACTTACTTACATACTTACTTACTTACTTACTTACTTACTTACTTACTTACTTACTTACTTACTTACTTACTTACTTACTTACTTACTTACTTACTTACTTACTTACTTACTTACTTAATTACTTACTTACTTACTTAATTACTTACTTACTAGTCTAGAATATGGGATGCCACTTCGAGATAAATGACTTTTTTTATTTAAATGTAATTATGCATTGATTATATCTAAGGTTAAGTGTTAATAAATAGCTTATGATGAACTCTCTTCCACCTATTCGAACTGTAGCTCTTCCTAAATCTCTTGACCCTCTCTAACGCAATTCTTCTTTTTAAACTCTACATCTTGTCCTAAAAAGACATTGGTAATTGTGAACTATAAAGCAGAAAAGACGTCTGTCCGTCTGTTCGTCTGTGCGCAGCCATTAGCAAAAAGGGGCGAGGCTTAGATTGCACGGAAGACTTGGATCTCTCGGTGCGGAAGACTTGTCCCTCTCCTCCTCTCCGGAAGACTTGTCCCTCTCCTCCTCTCCGGAAGACTTGGAAAACGTGAACGTTATATTTTTCCGCTGGTTTAAATCATAAAGATAGTGCTAAACCCTAATTTAAATCTCTTGAGCTTTTAAGATCAAGATTTTTGAAGCGAAAGTAGAAAATCTGAAAACAGATTCCAATCACAAATATGGTAGCAATTATAATTAAGAGAATTTCAGAAAAATTGATCAATTGAAAAGCTGAGAAAAGCTACTCACTTCAAGCGTTACGTTAAACAACTATTGTTGTTGTTAAACAACAACAACAACAGCAACAAATAACTTTGCTATGAAACTACTAAAGCTTTTGCTTAAACGAAGAAGTTTCAAAGAAACATAAAAACTCTAGCTTTAGTCAAAAATCAGATTCTATATGTTGTTTAAAGAAAAAGTCGTCTTTTAAAGAAGAACGATTTAAAAAGAACGATTTTCGACAACAGAAATAGCCAAATGATTCATTGAAGATTGGTTTTAGACAGAAAAAGACAGAAAAATGAAGGCGATTTCCCGGCTACCAACACTTTTGTTGATAAAAAGGGAAGATGGGGCGGAAAAAATGAATCACGGATTGCTGTCGAAATGAAAAACGATTTGGAAAGAAAATGGAGGGGAAAAAATGGTGATGTGTGTTCGACTTCATGGCTGCAGATGGGCACTTTGATCGAAGTCGAGGAGGACAACCATCTGTCCCCCCCCTTCACTCTTCCTCTTCATTCACACCCGCATCCTTTTTTGTTTCACGAAAACTCATGCTCAAGTTGTTATCCTGCGCTTGTGGATTTTACAAGTACATTTTAGAATACTAGACTGACTTACTTACTTACTTACTTACATACTTACTTACTTAGTTACTTAGTTACTTACTTAGTTACTTAGTTACTTAGTTACTTACTTAGTTACTTACTTAGATAACCATCTGTCCCCCCCCCTCTTCACTCTTCCTCTTCATTCACACCCGCATCCTTTTTTGTTTCACAAAAACTCATGCTCAAGTTGTTATCCTGCGCTTTTGGATTTTACAAGTACATTTTAGACTAATGATTTTGAATTAAGAAAAAGAAATGAATCAAGTTTTTTTTGCTTATTGGCAATCTAGGCAATGTTACAATAAGAGTCTGCAAAAAAAGGAATAGAAAAAAGGAATTAAAAAAAAGGAATTAAAAAAAAAGGAATAGAAAACAAAAGAATATAAAACTCAATTTCAAAATCTCAACTAGAAACTTCAAAATATAATAACACTATTAACAATTAACTATATTGAGGCTTTATAATGAGAATAATGCGCGTTAAAAAGGGATGAAAACACCATCCATAAATCTAGCCAAGCGAGACTTCACTAGCGCATTCATGCAACGGAATTCCCGTCGCTTTCCACACAACAGAAGAGAAACTAAAAATGGGATGGGCAGGGGTGAAAAAGAGGAGAGAGAGCCTCTAGCTCTAGCTCTAGGGCTCTTCCACAAGGGTCCCCCAAAAAGGGCTGGCAGTCGGTCGTTTGAATCGCGTGTAATTTGTCGCCTCTCCTTTTTCCCCCCTTTTACGGGAGCACAAAGCCCCTTCACCCTCCAAAATCTTGCTCAACACTCTTTATCTACGCTAAACACTATATTAAATCGTTTTGACTTGGCTTGATTTTAAAGAAGGATAGAATTTGTCTAAAAAAATCCAGCATTTATCTGAAAACTAACTACTATTAAATAGAAAGAAATAAAGTAAGAATAAAAGAAGTGAATCTGATCAAAAACAGTTTATGACAAAAGAAATGATTAGATAACAGTTACAGATAACAGTTATAGACAACAGTTATAGACAACCGTTATAGATAACAGTTATAGACAACAGTTATAGATAACATTTATAGATAACAGTTACATATAACAGTTACATATAACAGTTATAGATAACAGTTACAGGTAACAGTTACAGATAACAGTTACATATAACAGTTACAGATAACAGTTATAGACAACAGTTATAGACAACAGTTATAGACAACAGTTACAGGTAACAGTTACAGATAACAGTTTTAGACAACAGTTATAGATAACAGTAACAGATAACAGATAACAAGATAGGAAACATTTTTCACATAAACATGTGGCTAGTGAATTGGTGGTCGAGAATGGTGATGAGAGGGGGGAAAGCTTTCGAGAGATGTGGTCCCTTCAGGCAAATGGCCTGTAGGCAATGGACGTGTGTGTGTGTGTGTGTTTGTACCAAATTGTGTACACGGCCGATCGTCTCGGTGAGTGTTGGGATGATTTGGGGAGGGGTGAGGGGGTCGAGTGGATAGGACTGGGTGAGGGGATGGTTGTGTTCGCTGTCACAGGGACTCTGTCCTTTTTTCCCCGTCTCTCGCATCCCCTATCTCCCCCACCCGACAGTCACAAATCGATATATTGCACTGTTCTTTTCCCCTCCTACAATGGCCGATTTCCAAGGCCTTATTTCTAACGGGTCACCCATTCTTCTTTCCCATTTGCATAGAAGATCTTGAGAGACAAATATCGGTAAATAGTCTTTAGAAATTAGCGGAAAGATTTGAATAAAGGCTTTTTTTTCTTTTGTTTATTCAATAAACGAAAAAAGTTTACGATCTTTACGATCTTTACGATTTTACGGTCGTTTTTACAATGTTACAATCAAAATTTTTGCATTTTTTTTTATTAGAAATAGAAAACAAAGAATAAAGAACATTATAAATAAGTTGATTCTACAAAAAATTTCATTCTAGCTTCAGGAAACAGTCGTAAAGTCGACATTTACTCGAACAAAGCCATCAAAAACGTTGAGCACTGTAGAATCTACGAATTTGAATAATATATCAGATTCTATATTCCGTATATATCTTAAAACCCGTTTGTTATTGGGGGTGGGACAAATGCGACCTTTTTTTGCGCACCTGGACATTTGCGCACCTTTTTTTTGCTGGAAAAGGCCTTAGGCAAGGTCATAGAGCTTCAAAAATGTTTCCATAGAAGGGAATCGTATGCGTAGATTCAGAATTTTGACAAATCAGACCTCGCTGACACGTCAAATTTGGGCTAAAAGGCAAAAACTACGCAACTTAACGCTTTTCCGCAGTTTTTGCCTTTTAGCCCAAATTTGACGTGTCAGCGAGGTCTGATTTGTCGAAATTCGGAATGTACGCATACGATTCCCTTATATGGAAATATTTTCGAAGCTCTACGACCTTTCCTAAGGCCTTTTCCAGCAAAAAAGGTGCGCAAATGTCCAGGTGCGCAAAAAAAGGTCGCATTTGTCCCACCCCCTTTGTTATTTAATAAACTCACTAGCGATTGTCACATTATCGTATATTGGCAATGGAACACCCTTCTTCAACAAGATATTCACCAAAATCTCATCCGAGACAATAAACAACTTTTGAAACACGCTCAAGAAGCTGAAAAAAAAAACTGTGAGAAACTATCTTTTTGAAATTTTTTTTTACGTTGATGAAACATCGCCAATAGTTGAGAATATTTCTTTGGCTTCAGCGGTTGTTCCATTCAAAGTGCCGACTAGTCGATTGCCTTCAATGTATGGTACGATTGATGATGTTGTGATCAATTCTGTAATTTCATAATTTCAAATTTCACTAGGAAAATCAAAATCAAAATAACCTAATTCATATTTCTAGTTAATTCTAATTCTAATTCTAATTCTAATTCTAATTCTATTTCTAATTCTAATTCTCTAACGAAAGCTCCTACCCAGTCGAGCCAACGGTTTCGTCTTGATTCCTTTCGGGTTGATGTAGAAATCAACCGCTAGTGTCACATTGAGAGTCGCCAAATCTTTTTTAAATGTCAACTAAAGTCAAGAGTCAAGACAAGTCAAGAGTTTCTAAGTTCAAAGTACTTCTGGTGGAGTAAGTGAATGGAAATGAAGATCGATGTACTGATTGGGGTAATCGTTGCGCAATTTTTTAAAGAACTTTCCCATGCAAATTGAGAGGAACGAGCAGCTGAATCATTTTGAATGAATCTTTAATTTCTTCAATTTTCTATACCTTGTTTTCAAGTAATTCCCAACTGAAGAAGTGTCCTTGTTGATGAGAATTTGGATTAAACCACCATCATGAGCACTGGGATTAGAATGAAAATGAAAATGAAAAGATTTCAAGCTGTGAACCAGCTTGGACATCCTTTTACAAGAAAAACCGGAGGCGGGATTCGAACCCGCGACCTTTCGGTTATCAGGCCCGCCTGCCAAACAAACGCTCTATCAATGAGCTACATCGGGACCTGTCGTTGCCGCCAGGCTAAGGTCTTACAAACCTGTTCAAGAGACAATTTGGCACTTGTGAAGACAACCAAAAAGTAATCATTCCCAGATGAGTGCCAGCATCTAGATTTTGCATCAGTTCATACAATCATCTATTTATTTTTTTACTATCCTTTTACTAAGACCCTCTTCTATATATTTAATATAGTTTTTCAATAGATTTCAATAGAATCTCTTACCATCACCCAATTGAGTGGCTGGGAGTGCACACTTTTTCTCACTGTACACAACATCGGCTTTCAAATCAGCTTGAATATAAGAACTAAAGAAAATAAAGAAAATCAAATTTTCAATGAAATTCAAATTTCACTTGGTAAAGAGTGGGCTTTCAAGAAGATAGTAGTTTACAAAGAAATCGTTTCCAATAGCAAAATGAAGTGGAAGAGAATGGAGGAAAGCGTTTGCTTCGTCCAGAAGAAGTGTTCGAGCTGTTCGACAAGCCTGATTTATTGGTAAAAGTTGTAAATTGAAAGTAAATCTTAGCATTCTCATTTTCCCTTTTTAACTTTTGACTTACTTGTGCATGGATTTCCTTTTTGAGAACAATGGAGAGCGGTCCGCGGAATAGATTGACAAACCATGGGAGAAAGCTTCCGCCAAGGCTGTTTTTAGAGATGTTTTTGTTAATTTATAAACTAAAATAAAGATAAGTAATAAGATAAGTAACCAGATAAGTAACCAGATAAGTAACAAGATAAGTAACCAGATAAGTAATAAGATAAGTAACCAGATAAGTAATAAGATAAGTAACCAGATAAGTAATAAGATAAGTAACAAGATAAGTAGCCAGATAAGTAACAAGATAAGTAACAAGATCAGTCTTAGCATGAGTATTAAACTCTTTAAAATCTAATGGATAAGTTGATAAAGATAACTCACGAGACATCAACGTGGGTGATGTCGGCCTCGCAGCTTTGCACTTCTACCTAAAATCAGAACAATCAAATTTCTATATAAACACAAAATATTATATTAGGAAAATATTGTATCTTCCTAATACTATATTATCATCCAATTTTTCCCACCTGAGGTCGTCCATCAAGAGCTGTGGCTATAGCGGTGACATTCATATGGATATCGGCTACAACGATCTCCACCCATCCACTTGCTTCTACCTAAAGACAAAATTGTTAAACTTTTAATTGAATATTTTAAAAATCTATTAACTTCTTAATATTAAAAGATGAAAATAAAGAAATAAAGATAATTGGAAATAAAGATAACTGGTAAAATCAAAGTGTACTCAGCGGACCAATCCCCGGCGAGTTTAGCCGAGCCTTTGCGTGATTGCCAAGAGATTCCATTTGATGATAGTTGAAAATCAAAGCTGAATATCATTTTTGTAAACTGAATCTCTTTTCTAAACCATTAAATTACCTTGGAGTTCGGAATTTGTTGATTTTTAATCGTTCAACTTTCACCCATCCTTTACCCGGACCACCAGTAATCGGAATTTCAATAGTTGGGATCTCAATTTTTGGAATCTCTTCATCAATCTAAAGAAATAATTCTAATTACCGTATTTCTTCGAATAGAAGACCGGGTAAAGAGTATCATCGCGTACTCCTGCGTAGCAACCCTTTTTAAAATTACTTTTCTGCATAAAAGCTTTCAATGAAGTGCTATAGGGCTGGAAAATGACTCAAAAATACCACATGAGCTAACAGATTTTTGAGCCATTTGTCCAGCTCTATAGCACTTGATTGAAAGCTTTTATGCAGAAAAGAAATTTTAAAAAGGGCTGCTACGCAGGAGTACGCGATCATACTCTTTACCCGGCCTTCTATTCGAAGAAATATGGTAATTATAGCTTTATTTCGTTATTTAACTATTTTTATTATTATCTAAAGCTATTCTATTGAAATAACCAAAAACAAAAACAAATTTTTATCACTTGGACGTCATTTGGCGCATTTGGCACTGGAAAATGGGTTTGATTTGATTTTTCAGTTCAAAAATCACAAGTACAAAAGAAAGAAACTAACAAATGAATAGAATAGTATAAGGAAACAAAAATAAAACCAACCAGATGATGCCCAGATCCGCTGAAGAATTCAAGACCAGTTGGATTGATCCGGGCTCGCAAAGTCGTCTCTGTAGCCGCTAGGGTTATCCCCAAAAAAATCCCAAAAACTATCAGCATCAGGAAGATAATTTTCATCTGAAATCAAAGAAACATTCATATTTTGATTAAAGCCTATGTTTTGACTGAGAAAAAAGAAAACAAAAAGCAACAGTGAAAGCGAATGATTCGGAGAATGCCTTCTGGGTCTATTACCCCTTTTTCTCTGCCCTTTCTATCAACTATATCAAATTTCCAAAAAGAATTATAAACAACAGATTTGCACAGTTAAAAGTGTTACGATTTTGATGTTTTTTTCTCAGATATTTTCTTTTGAAACACTTTAAACGATCGTTAAATTCAATTATTTCTGCTTGACTTGTCAGCAGTCAATCAGCTGATTGAAAACATCGATTTTAACGATTTTAGAAAAAAATTAATGTTTATAAACATGCTTTATTATTATTATACTTTTACATTTGTTTAGCTTTTTTTATTCCATTGGTCTTGGAGAAGAGCCGGTGGGAGCTCCAGTGGGTTCGCTTGACATCGGTTCGCTCACGGATCGGCGTTGGTTGATATGGGCAACCTGATAAACAATATATAGATCTTAGAATATGATCTAAATATGCAAAAGATTACTGTAGATATAGAAATATTCAAAAAGCTTCTACGCTTTGATTCTAAGCGTTGTAGAGAGCATTAAAAGAGTTACCCTAAAGTCTCGAGTATAAGTTCTGCCTTAATTTACATTTAAAGGGCTCTAAAGGAACTATAAAGGAACTCCATAGGAACTCTAAAGCCAGGGAGGGATCCATAAGACTGAGCACCGGAGAGGAGCAGGGCGGACGCGCCGAGCCACGCCCGGAGCAACAAATAACAGCATAAAATTGCTATAACCCTCAAGAAATTTACTTCTATTATTGTTCTTAAAAAGCAAAAAAGTTATGCTGCAGCGGGGTTCAAACCCTCGACACACCGCACCGGAGACAGCCGTCAATTTGAATGCGAAAACCAAACAGAACTTATACTCGCGACTTTAGGGTAATTTTAAAAAAAATCAAAAAGATCTTTTCATTACAATTTCTATTTTATATATTTGTAAATAGATTTTAAAAGTTAATCTTCTTTAAAGTTGAATGTAATCTTCTTTGAATCTTCTTTGAATCTTCTTTAAATTCTACCTTTGAACCTGGCTGACAATTTCCACAAGTAAGCGAACAGTTGACGACCATATTGTAATGGCCGGTTGGATCAGTTGGCTAAAGTTTTTTTTAAAATGATTTTGATAGAAAGATTAGTTCTATTTTAATATGTATAGTTATAAAAATGTCTGTAAAAATCAAAAAAAACTACCGTGCAAGCCGACGAGCTGCACGTGGCGCCGGGTGCATCGGCACAACCGCGATAGTTTGCTGAAAAGAACTTCCCAAATGTAAAAGTAAAAGTAAACATGTAAAAGTAAACAAAGAATTTTAAATAATTTTTCAATATTTATGCAAATCTTTATAAACAAAAAGCTGAACTCACAATCGCATGCGAATCCGCAACTCTCGACACAGTAGACTTTCATCAGCGCTCCGTACATATTGTTGCCGCACATCTGGAAAGGATTTGAATTTGATTTGAATGCTTGATAATAAGAATTTAATCTAAATTTGGTTTAGATCTAAGTCTAAATCTTAATCTAATTAGCTTTTTTAAAAATTTAAACAAACCATCGTATTCTTTGGGCACATCACAGCGAGATCCGGGCAGCTGCTCGTCGAGAAGACCTGAATTCCAGAAATTCTTTCAAATCCCAGATAGCTTTTCTGCCCGCCAACGTGGATTTTGTGAAAGAATTTCAGAGAGTTATTCTATGCGATAAGCTTTTAAGGTTTTTATTTTACTATTCTGTCTTTCCAATAGATCTGGAAACATTGGTCACTTTCTGATGGCAGATAAATGCGTAAAAGCTGGGAAAATTGCAAGACTAACTGGTTCTGTAATAGAAAGACAATGAGAAGTAAAACTGTGACTCATTTTTGGCTTTCAAAATTCAATATGCAATCCCAAATCACTCGTTTACAACGTAATATGTATCGTTTCAAATTTGCCAACATTCCGCCAACGATTCGTTTTGAAAGTTCTGCATGGATTTTGAATATCTGTGATTCTTATTGTTAGTTGAATTAAAGTAATCAAAAGGGATTGTTAGTTGATAGGAATTGATGTTAATTGATGTTATTTGATGTTAATTGATGGTAAATTATAGGAAATTCAATTGATGGTAGAGTAATAAACAAACCACGGCGATGGCGACACTCGAAAGGGTGATGAGGAGACGATGCATGACAGAAGTGGGATGAAAATGGATGAAATTCAGTCAAGTGATTGCACGAGTGGAATGCGAATGCGAATGCTTCGATGAAGAAGTGTGCCGGGATCGAAATGGGCGTGGAGATGTTGATGTGGAGGGGTTGACCCCATCGGATGCACTTCGCAAACTGTGCAACTTCAGAGGCAATACATCCAGCTGTGCTAACATCACTCCGTTCCCATCCCATCCCCTCCGCTTCTTGCAAACCTTTGGCAAACCTTGGGCTCAATATCTTTTTTAGAACAACGCTTCTTTCAACATCCACTACAGTTTTGTCATTTTTTTCCCTTGACTTGGGATTCATTTTTTTGTTCAGATCAACTTTTTGTGTCAAAAGCCTACACAAATCAGGAAATAATTTGGGATTTTAAGAGCTTAAAGCTCTTAAATTTTAAGGGCTTTTAGTCTCTTTTAATCTATTTGCTTTTAAGAATAACAAAAGTCGTTTTCAAGGGATGACTTTCAGTTATTGTTTTCGATGTGAAAACAGAGAGAGTGACGACTCTATTTGTCGTCTCTCTGTTGCTCGTTTAAATCCATTTAAAACTACCGTAAATACTATAATAGTACCCCAGCCCCCTCGTACAGTCGCGTAGTCGCAAAAGTTTTTTAGTATTTCATTTTTTTCAAAGCGCCCGTACTTTCAAAAATGCGTCTTTGGTATCAAAAAATAGCTGAAATTCAGGGCTATTTTTTGATATCTAAGCGCGCATTGTAGCATAAACCAGTGTCGAGAAAAACTCGTTTGAAGCTCGACTGCGCAACACTCCGCACCGTCATTATGGGTGTGGGGTCCAATTACAGTATTTACGGTATGAATCCAATTTATTCAGACTCTGAAACTGACTGAAATAGACAGTGAATCAGACATTACTTTACTAAAACAGGCTTATTAGTCAATAAGACGGGGGTGGGACAAAGGTGCACCTTTTTTTTGCGCACCCGACCAAAAGCGCACCTTTTTTTTCGCTGGAAAAGGCCTTAGAAAAGGCCGTAGAGCTTTAAAAATGTTTCCACGTAGGGGAATCATATGCTTAGATTCCGAATTTCGACAAATCAGACCTCGCTGACACGTCAAATTTGGGCTAAAAGGCAAAAACTGCGGAAAAACGTTAAGTTGCGTAGTTTTTGCCTCTTAGCCCAAATTTGACGTGTCAGTGTCAGACGTGTCAGCGAGTTCTAATTTGTCGAAATTCGGAATCTACGCATATGATTCCCCTATGTGGAAACATTTTTAAAGCTCTACGGCCTTTTCTAAGGCCTTTTCCAGCGAAAAAAACGGTGCGCTTTTGGTCGGGTGCGCAAAACAAAGGTGCGCCTTTGTCCCACCCTCAATAAGAAATTACTGTAGTTATTGTTCAATCATTTTTGCTTCACAATTCTATCTACTGATGAATCTCTTCAAATTCTTTGTGTCTTTCCAAAAGAAGAGCTGAAAGGGCAAAAAATGGCATCGAAGCTCTTCAAAAAGCCCTGAGGGGAAAAAGACAGAATGGGAAAAGAAGAAGAAGAAGAAGGAGAGAAATAGATCGATGCAGCATGGAGCATGAAAAGGAAGGAGAACCAAAGGGGTTTTTCCACACACGAAAATATTGGGACGAATTTGGAAAGAAAGGGAAAATGGTGGAGAGAGAAAGACCCCACATAGGCCTCAATGAGCCCATCCGCCAGCTCCTTGCTCCCTCCGCGTTTCCCTTTCCCATTTATAATTTGCACACTGAAATGCTTTTCCTTTTCTCTATCATATTCGTCTTCATTTTCATAGCTTTCCTTATGTCAAACTAACGATTTTTTTCAAATTTCTAAATTTCTAGGCACTTCAGATGAGCCGCAAGTAAATGGGTGATAAAGTCCTCTTAACTGAGGTTTAGAAAAGATTTTTAAAAGCTTATGTGATTTTTTTTTAGGTACTAGAAGCCTCACGGCTCACCGATACCTATGCTGATCTCACCGCTAAACAAATCATCAATGAGTAAGTAAACAAGCTATAGAATAATTTCTATAGCTTGAAATAATGTCATTAAAGAATGTAAAGAATGTAAAGAACTTAATTTTCTAGATTACGACATGTTTCTCACGAGCCATCTGTTCGATATGAATCGATGGATAATGATCGAGCCGAGTTGGGTCAACCGGAAGATGCTCGGTGAATTCTAAGATAAAAATCGAAAAGAAAAGCTGTGTCAGGATTTGTTGGGAGCTGGAATTTGCTTTAGAGCTCAAGAGCTGAGATGAGCTTTAGAGCGGAACTAGACTACCGTATCCAGACAGGCTTACTGTAGTAATTGGTCTAGCTTCTGTTATTGTAAGCGAGACATTGGTTAGGTAGACTTTACAGCCAATCTATGACACAGTAAAAGGTTTTCAAATAGTTCTAGAATAGTTTCTATAGTTTAAAATAGATTTAAAAACATTTAAAATCAAATTAAATCAAATTAAATCAAAATCCATTTAGACAAAGGGAGGCTAGCGATGAAGGAGTGAAACAATACACAGTTGACGACGCGGTCGAGCACCTTGGCTTCGGGAAATTTCAATTAAAGCTCTCGATTTTGACTGGAATTGCTTGGGTGAGAAGTTTTGAGAATAATTTATTCAATAATTAGAATAACAATTAGATGGCTGATGCAATGGAGATGATGTTATTGTCATTGTTGTCTCCAGCGCTCGCTTGTGAGTGGGGCGTTACGCCCGTTCAACAGGTATTTACAATGATCGATTTATTGAAAAGATTAAATCAGATTCGATTCAGATTCGATTCAGATTTGAGTCAGATTCGAGTCAGATTCGATTCAGATTCGATTCAAATTTGAATCAACTTCAAATCAACTTTGAATCAACTTCAAATCAACTTCAAATCAACTTCGAATCAGATCCAAAACTGAAAACTTTCAGGCTCTAGTGACGACTTGTGTCTTCTCCGGGATGATGCTCTCGTCAACGTTTTGGGGAAAAATTTGCGACACTTTCGGGAGAAGAACGGTAAAATTCTGGTCTTCTTTAAGAAAATTTGGTGACAGATTGTTTTAAAAATGTTTTAAATGTCTTTTTTTAAAATTGAAAACATTTAGGGACTTACCGCATCAGCGATTGTGGCCTTTTCAATGGGTGCAATGTCGGGATTGAGTCCGCACTTCTATGTGCTCCTCTTTCTCCGCGGTCTCACCGGTTTTGGCATCGGCGGTGTGCCTCAATCGTTTGTTTTTTCAAATTCTAGTTATTTTTTTGGATATAATGTTAGTAGATTTAGTAAAAAAATTAGCCAATTCAGAGTCACTCTCTACGCTGAGTTCCTTCCAACAGCACAACGTGCCAAATGTGTTGTACTCATTGAATCCTTTTGGGCAATAGGTGAGAATTGTACGAGATCAACTGACCAGTAAGGTGGCCTGGGGTTTTAAAAGGCATCCTTTCCTGCTCTAGCCAGATGCGGTGATGGCCGAGGGTGGCTGACTAGAAATCAACTAGGTTCAAATCCTGCGTAGGTTCGAATCCTGCTCGCTGCAGGATTCTAGTTCTTCTTTTTTCATTTAAAAGAAATAAAAATATCTTTAAATAACAAAGAAATCTCTAGGAGCCGTTTTCGAGGCTTTGTTGGCGTTCACTGTGATGGGAACATATGGGTGGAGAGCTTTGGTGCTTCTGAGCAGCTGTCCCTTGGCTTTCTTTGCCATTTGCAGCATGGTAGGTATTCTCTCAATGATCTCTCGAAAATGAATTCATTTCTAAAACCGGCGCTAAAGCTAAGCCAAATTCGAAAGCTTTTGATTTCTAGTGGCTTCCCGAGTCGGCTCGATACGATATGGCTTCAGGTCATCCGGAAAAAGCGTTAGCTACACTTATGAAAGTTTGCAAAAATTGAATTCACAAGAGAATATTGAAAAATAGGTTGCTAAAGAAAATGGTCGAAGTCTACCCGCTGGAGAACTCGTGGCTTCAAAGGTTCAGACAAGTGGCCCAATTGTAAGTTGAGCTCTAGGTAGGATCTCCAGTTCTGATTTGAGTTGAACTTGAAAAATCTGCTATATATAAAAGTGTCTGTCGTCCGTCTTTCAGCGAGAAAACTGAAATTTACTTAAAAAGACTGAAAATCTAATCTAGTTGTGCTATTTGAAATCAAAAAATTCAGAGATTCAAAATACGGGAACCACGGTGGGTCGAACCAGGGTGGTGTGGGTTGTAGACAAGCTCGCTCCTGAGACTAGAAACCTCACCTTGGTGTCTCCTGAGACACCACGGTGAGACTAGAAACCTCGGGGAAATTTCAGGGTGAAACCCGAGGTCATTTGTCGAATCTTCTGAGCCCAGATCTTCGCAAGACAACCCTTTTACTTTGGGTCATTTGGTGATTGATTATATCGAATTTTAAGACGAAAAGAATTCAGGATGGTAAACGCTTTCTCATACTATGGAATGGTTCTCTATACAACGGTGCTTTTCCAATCTCATGACGAGTGTCATGGCGGACTTTTCTCTAATGGAACTGAATTGAGGTTGTTTAACACTACCATTTTTCTTTGTTACATTGTTAAATGTTACATTTTTAAGTGTTTAAATGTTCTATTAGATGTTTAAATGTTCCATTAAACGTTTAAATGTTCAGCAAATGTCAGCCACTTACGCAGAAAGATTACCTCGACTTGTTGTTTGCTACGTTGGCTGAATTTCCAGGTTTGTAAAGATCTCTGTAATAGTAAGTTTCTCTGTAATTTGAAAATGTTACTAAATTATGCAATAATTTGTAAAAAAGGTCTTATTATCACCGTCTTTTCTAGGTCTTATTATCACCGTCTTTATCATCGAATGGTTGGGCAGAAAGCGAACAATGGCCGTTGAATTTGCCATTTTCTCGATTTTCACATATCTTTTATACTTGTGCTTGGATAGGTGATTTCGAATATTCAAAATCTAATCTATATGTCGTAGCCGATTATGAATTTCAGCCGATTATGAATGAGCTGGTCCGGACGCGTCCAACCATCAAGTATTTGGTATCATTCAACGCAGAATCATTAATAATTATGTTAAATTTTTTAAATTAGAAAGATTGGATAAAAAGAAAAAAAATTATGGGGCCTCAAAGTTTTCTCTTGAACAAACAGTTTTTTTGCTCTAATTTTTTTTCTTTTTATCAAATCTTTCTAATTTTAAAAATTTGACATAATTATTAATGGTTCTGCGTTGAATGATACCAAATACTTGATGGTTGGACGCTCCTAGACCCACTCATTCATAATCGGCTTCAAATTCATAATCGGCTACGGGGGTCCCGTCGATTTTGAATGAAACGTTGTAGCGCCGGTAATTTTTAACCTAAACTCACAAATTTGGTACCAATCGACGCAGAATTGAATTCGCTACAAGATGATATAATATTGTCCTCATACATTAAAGGGTTTCTCTACTAGAAAGATTTACCAAAAAATTTCATTCATAATCGGCTACGACATATATATTGAAATCTAAATGAAATCAAATCTAAATCAATTGTTAGATTCACCTCTTTAGATTCACCGTCACCACTTTCATCTTCATCGCTAGAGCTTTCATTTCAGGCGCTTTCCAATGTGCATACGTCTACACACCAGAGGTACTCTAGTTGAAAACGAAGAGAAACCAAATAGATAACCATGACCAATAGATAATGACCAATAGATAATGACCAATAAAGTATTCAATTTATTTATTTTAGGTTTACCCAACGACGCTAAGAGCGGTGGGTTTGGGAGCTTCGTCAGGGATGGCTCGAGTCGGTGCAATTGTGACACCATTTGTGGCACAGGTTTATTTCAGATTAATACATTTGTGATTTTTTTCAAAAAAAAGGTTTACAGGTGGCATCAGGAAGTAATCTTTCACTTCCGATCGGCATTTATGGAACGGCTGCTTTGTGTGGCCTCATTGCAGCCCTTTCACTGCCTATTGAAACAAAAGGTCGACAAATGGCGGTGAGTTTTGTAAGATTGGTTTCGAAATGGAAACACTTTCTAGTGCATAGTTTATGCCGGAAAGAACTTCTGTTTTCTTTTTCAGAAGTCCGTGGCTTCAGAAGAAGTCCGTGGCTTCAGAAGAAGTCCGTGGCTTCAGAAGAAGTCCGTGGCTTCAGAAGAAGTCCGTGGCTTCAGAAGAAGTCCGTGGCTTCAGAAGAAGTCCGTGGCTTCAGAAGAAGTCCGTGGCTTCAGAAGAAGTCCGTGGCTTCAGAAGAAGTCCGTGGCTTCAGAAGAAGTCCGTGCTCTCCGATTAATAGCGCGCCTCAGCTACCGTAACCTCGCCACCGTCAAGCAATGCAGTCATTTCACTCATTTTTTTTCTTTTAATTGCGCGAAGTGGGATTGTTTTATTTTGTACGTTTATTTTTTTATTTTTCTAATAAAAATAAAAAATAAACATACAAAACAAAAAGTTTCGGCTCTACTTATTATTTAGTTCAGTGGTATTCGGTTGTCAGTTTATTGAGAAAAGAAGAAAAGTATTTAAAGAAACGACCTAAGCAACGAACGACCTAAGCAATGGTGTTATATACGCGCATTGCTTGACGGTGGCAAGAGTACGGTAGCTGGGGCAAGCTATTAATCGGAGAGCAGCGACGGATTTCTGAAAAAGAACGGAAGTCCGGAAAAAGTGTGTTTTCATTTTAAAGCAAAAACCTAATGTAGATTTCATTTGAAATCATAAATGTTCAAATTCAGGACACACACTAGATGCTTGAGCGACGATCAATTCATACATATTTCTCAGCCTTAATCACTGCTCGCATATCTGTAAATAGTATAGTATAGTACTTTCAAGTTCACGAAAAGCTAATTCCCGATCGATCTCTTATCTTCTTTTAGATCTAATCTAACTCGATTTGCTGTTTTTCTTTGTGATATCTAGAAACTTTTTCAAATAATTTACGGCCAAATTGTTGCATGAAAACTATTTAGTGAATAAAAAGTTTTAAAAGTTTTAAAAAAAAGGCATAAAACGGAAAGCAAAGATTACAAAGATTACAAAGAAAAAGAAAGAAAAGAAAAAGAAAGAAAAGAAAAAGAAAAAAAGAAGAGAAAAATTTCTTCAAAAGTCTTATCATTTTACAAGTCGTGGATCCATTTTTATCAAATCAATCGGTTTATTTTTTTAAATAATTTGTAAGTTTTGAAATTTCTTGTAGATTTACCGATAAAAATAGACAATTTTATTAAAAAAAATTTAAAGTAAGCATTTCTTTTAGTCATTTCATTTCTTTCAATGGATTTATTAGAGCAATGGGGTTTTGTTTGGTCATCGATCATTCTCTTGCTTTCTGATAAAAAAGAGAAGAAGAAGAGAAGAAGTGCTATAAAAAGAGACAATTTTTTTTAAAAAATTAATTTGAAATAAGCATTTCTTTTAGTCATTCTCAATGGATTTATCAGAGCAATGGGGTTTTGTTTGGTCATCGATCATTCTCTTGCTTTCTGATACGATTTCTTTTCTCTGGCGATTCACTCTTTTTCTCTACTACTTGAGAAAAGAAAAAAAGGTATAAAAATAGAAAACAAAAATATAAAAACAACAATTTTTGTCAACAATTTTTTGTCAACAATTTTTGTCAAACAATTTCAACAAATTTTCAAGATAGTAAGCCGAATTTCAAATGATATTTTGCTTAAAAGTGCTCGAGAGCTTGGTGCAAAGATTCGCAGTGGAGAGGTTTTTATCAAGATCTCAAAATTTTTCAAAAATTCTTTTAGCTTACAAGCTCGGAGATTGTTAAAGCTTATGTGGAGAGATTGAGAGAAGTATTTCATGAAAATGAATCCAATTTCCCCAAACAATACAGGTGAATTCACTCTTGAATGCTGTAGCTGATGACTACACGGATGATGCTTTGAATAAAGCCAAAGAAATTGATGAACAAATCAAGAACTCATCGGAAGAAGAAAAGAAAAAAGTTTGCATTTTGACTTTTACTTTTCATTTAGAATACTTTTACAGCTTTTTGATGAGAAACCATTGCTTGGAATCCCATTTACATGCAAAGATCTTTACGATATCAAAGGTGAATTTGAAATATTGGATTGGTGAATTGAAAACTGCTGGCTATTGTCATATGTGACAGTTTGAGCACTTTCTTTCTTCAAAAGAAACCCATTTTGGTGTCAATGGAAAAGTTGTAGAGAATCAAAAATCAAGCTTATATCCAAATTTTCAGAACGCTTCTAAATTTGGTTTTCAAGAAATGCCAAATTTACGAAACTTTCACAAAATTTGCATTTTAGCGAAACTACTAAGTGTATCTTTTTGGAAATTTGGCTATAAGCCTTATTTTTGATTCTCTACAACTTTTCTATTGACACCAAAATGGGTTTCTTTTGAAGAAAGTGCTCAAACTGGGACATCTCCAGTCCTCCATTTTTGAGTCTCACACTTGACTCACACACAAACCAAAATCCTACTACGAAAGAGGAATCCGCAAATTGCCTGTAAAATGAGCAGAAGTCGTCAATAATAATGGAAATTATTTGGAATGAATTCATGGTTTTATGTTGAATAAATTTTAGTTCAAAGTCCGGCAGTTTTCAATTCACCAACCCAAGAGATTTCTAACGAAAAAATCGGTACTCTTTGGCGTTAACAATTTAAGGTTTTTCTCAACATCAACCCTTCAATTTTGACTATTTTGACTATCATTCGATAAAGAAGAAAATTGCGCATCGAATGAAATCAAAATTTATTCAAAATGTAATATCCACGCAAAGTTGTTGGTTATAAACCTAAACTTCGCCCATTATGGACAGGACTTAACCTTTTGCCTCATAAGTTTTCATGGAAATCATATTTTGAGTTAATTTTGGTATTATTTAACGCGCAATTTTCTTTTGTATCGAATGATAGTCAAAATCAAAGGGTTGATGCTGAGAAAAATCTTAAATTGTTAGCGAGAAAAAGGATCGACAGATTTCAGATGTTACAAGTCTAGTTTTACAAAACCGTAAAGGAAGATTTTAGGAACAAAAACAACATGGGGTACTTGGAAGCTAAAAGAGAACGTTTCTGAGAGCACGCACATTGTGATACAAATGTAAATTTTGAGTTAATTGTCAAAAGTTTAACTTCATTAAACTTTTTCCTTATTTTTCAACAAAATATTTTGTGCATTTGGTTAGGTTTATTGTTAGCAATCACTCTACTAAACATTAAAAACTTGTCACAATTAAACCACGAATCTTTTGACTTTTGTCTTTTGACAATTTCTCCTTTTTAAACCACAAACGACAGTACTTTGACGTAAAACAGGGCGCAAAATCAAATGCACAAAGTTATATTTTGGAGTTAATTACAAGACGTTAATTACAAGACGTTAATTACAAGATGTTAATTACAAGATGTTAATTATAAGATGTTAATTATAAGATGTTAATTATAAGATCTTAATTATAAGATGTTAATTATAAGATGTTAATTATAAGATCTTAATTATAAGATGTTAATTATAAGATGTTAATTCTAAGATGTTAATTCTAAGACGTTGATTCTAAGATGTTAATTATAAGATGTTAATTATAAGATGTTAATTAGTTTAAAGGATGTTGGATGCAGGCGGGATCCCGTTCGTGAAAACCACTGTCCCAGAGGGGTGTGTCTTTATCGAATCAGTGAATCCGATTCAAGGGATCACGAATAATCCATATGATTCAAGGTAAGTTTAAGAAAAATAAAAACTATAGAATAAAATCAGCTTGAAACTACAATAATTGTGATTTTAACTCCAATACAAGTGAGCTAAACTTTCAGACGAAACGCTGGTGGTTCGAGTGGCGGTGAAGGAGCTCTGATCGGTGCTGGGGCTTCCATTGTAAGTTATAAAACAATATTGTGTTTAATATAAAGCAATTTCACTATTTTAAAAGTTTTCTTATATGTTTAATCTGATTTTCAAATATTCTCATTGTAGATTGGGTTGGGAAGTGATTTGGGTGGCTCGATTCGCGTCCCTGCCGCTCTTAATGGTGTTTATGGTTTAAAACCAAGCGTTGGTAAGCTATTGTAAGAAAATTTCACAACTTTTATTGTTTAGGAACTTTTCCTATTGTTGATCTTGTTGGAAATCCGGTTGAACCACTTTGGAATTGCTTTGGTCCTTTGTGTCGCTACGTAGACGACATTGAACTTCTATTGAATGTAGTGAAAGCTGATTACCGTATTCTCTCTAATAGTAGTGCACTCTTTAATAGTAGTGCACCCTCTAATAGTATTGCGGTCCAGGAGGGGGTTCAAAAAATAGTAGTGCACCCCCGAAAATTTGAATTTCTGGTGCTTCTTTTTCATCTAAACCTTTTTGACTTTATGTTTATGTGACATTCTAAAGCTATTCAAGCAAGCAAAAGTGAGGCTTTTTTTATTCAATTTTTAACTATTCTTCACATGAAAAAGTTAGCAAAAAATCTAAAATTGTTGTGCAAAGTGCAAAAACATCTTTTTGTTGTTTGTCAAGACACAAATTGTCAACTCGCCGGCCCACAACTGTATGTCAAAAGGAGTCAAAGGAGTACGTGAAAGAGTTGCAAGAATTTTTGGAACAAATCTTATATCTGTCTTACTTTGGTAAATGATAAAACTCTTTAATAGTAGTGCACTCTCCAATAGTATTGCGGTCCAGGAGGGGGTTCAAAAAATAGTAGAGAGAATACTATTAGAGAGAATACGGTAGATTAGATTTAGATTTAGATTTCACTAAATTTTAGATATTCTGTCATGGAGATCGGGCAAAACATGTTAAAGAAGCAAATGAATATCCAGTGGAAAAGATTTTTATTCCAACCGATACACCCACTCCTTGGATGCCAAGAGTTAAACAAGAGAATCAAGCGGCTACTTTGAAAGTACGCTTGCTAGAGTTCTAGCAAGAGTACTAGAAAATCTTCTAGAAAATCTAGGTAGCTGAATTTCTTTGCGAAGAATATGCGAGCTCATGCATTGATTCGATTGATCTGTCACCAATAAAATCGCAATATGTTGACATCTATATTGCTAATTATGATGAGTTTCCGATAAAGCAGAAAAATTTGGAAGGGCTAAAGTCGAGAATGCTGGCGGCTGGGAATGTGAGTTGAAGAAAGAAGTGTCGTTTTATATTACCCAAATCAATAATTGCATTGCAATTGCAAATTTTAAAATTTAGAAATCATTTCACGCTCTCACTGAGCTCCCGAAATGGATCTTCGGAAAGTCAAAGCACTACCTAGCTGCCATTGTGCTTTTTCACTTTTTTAAGAGAAGCTACACACTCGAACAAAGGGAAAAGGTTGCAAAAGAAACAATAAAATAAAAAAAACAATTAAATCAAAAAACAATTAAATCAAAAAACAATTAAATCAAAAAAACAATTAAATCAAAAAACAATTAAATCAAAAACAATCAAATTCTATATCAAAGAGATTTAGTATTTGAAACTATTGCCCGAGTTGAAAGCGAGATATGACAAAATTCTCTCTAACACAAACTTTATCGTGCAATCCGGCTGGCCACATTGTGCTGAATTTCATCACACCGAGGTGGCGACACCAAGCCTTGCGCATACGGGTTGGCTTCAGCAGTCTTTCTAAAGGATGTCATTTAAGAAAAGTTACCATACTCTAGCTGATCTTTGCTGATAGTTCCTGAGTTTCACTCTAAGAGCTCTAATCAATCATTTCAGTTCAAAATATTTGTTTTAAAAAGAGACTTGATTACGATAGTTTTCCCCAAACCTTTTAGAAAACAAAATCTTTTCAGCGATTTACAATCTACTCGATCTACCAGTGATTATGTGTCCAGTGGGAATGAATGAAGAAGGTTTACCACTATCCGTTTCGGTTAGTTGAAGAAATTTTAGCAAATACAGTATGAATTGTGAACATGAAAATGTGAACTGTGAAAATTCAGATTCAATTCAATTGATCTATCAAACGGATTGGATACGATCCAATTAATCTGTCAATTGGATTCGATCCGATTCAATTGATCTATCAAATAGATCCGATACAATTGATCTACCAATTAGATCCGATTCAATTGATCTATCAATTAGATCCGATTCAATTGATCTATCAATTAAATCCAATACAATTGATCTATCAATTAGATCCAATACAATAGACTCAGCAAGCGAATCTATTCGATTCAATCCGACTCTAGGTCTAGTTCACAGCAATAGTTTTTAGATAATTGGACCAAGAGGCAGTGAATATAAACTCGTCGAAATCGCTCGTAAAATCGATAAAAAATTCGGTGGATGGGTTGCACCTGGAAACGAAAATTTGTGAACCCAATTTTGAAACGAATAAACTTTTGCCAACAATTACGATCATTCAATAAGTCAAAAGATATCGATTGAGATATCGATATTTTTTCAGTTTTTCATTTATCTATTTATCGATTTATTTTACCGTCTTCACCGGATCTGAAATAAGATTGATATAGAGAGTAAAAAGCCCAATCGGGGATACAAAAATGACTGTTTTTGGGGTCTGTATAGGTATTTAAACGTGTTTTCTAATTGAAAACAGTGAGAACTAAAACTTTGAAGCAGAAAACTGAAAAAAGTTGGTTAGAAGTTGGAGAAAAGTGATTTGTTACGGTGATTTCATAAGCGTAAATTTGGTGCAAATAATATGCGGCACAAAAATTTTTGGCGCAGATGAAACGTGGCGCAGATGAAATTGGCGCAAAGGATCTTGGCGCAAAAAAACGCGGCGCTTTTGCTAGCACCCCGAAGAAGCCTTAAAGTGTCGAAGGAAGGCGTGGGCTAAGTTAAGATATGGCCTAGTATTGTGTGTGTTGTGAATTGTGATTGGTGTATTTCGTGTATGCAATAAATCCACCACTGGTAAACCCAGTCGGTATATATCTGACTCGAGCAGATCAGAGAAATGCCAGAGTCGAGACAATTCATCGATCGAACGGGAAAATGGAAATCGATCTAGCCTGCTAGAATATCAAGATCATATTTTACTTTCAGACACTTCCTTCACTATCAATTTTATTTTTAACCCTTCTATTTTTAAAGAGCTAGAGTTAGATTCCTATTGACGTGCGGTTTAAAAGGGACTGGCGCAAAAGCCGCGTCGTGCGCTTTCTAAAGCCTGGATGCGCTACCGTACCCCACACCAAAATTCCCATTTTGTTATCCTTTTCATTTTTCTTCGTTCCCTCATGGAGTCCTGAATGTTGCTCAGTTTTTTTAATATTGAGTCCCTAATAATTTGTCCGGGTTTTATGCCGAGTCCCGTTAAGTTTTCTTCAGCCCTTCGTAAAATCTATTATGTTTTTATAGCGCGTGCGCGTTTTTAGAGTACTCTCTCTTCCCTCGTTCGTTCTCTCCTTTTTTTGTATTGTTTGCCCGTAGCTTGTTGTTTAAAATTCTAATACAGTTTTATTTCGTTTTCTTTTCGGCTCCTTCCACTCCATTATTTTGAATCCGTTCACACATGCCGTATAAACTTAACTTAACCAATTCCTTTTAACTAAAACGCAAATATAAATAATCTGCCATGGCGCGAACTTTTTGTTACTTTTCTTGGGTTTCGTGTCAAGTCCTTTTAGAAAAGGGTTGGTAAATCTAAAAGTTAGTAAGGGAGTTAGTTACTAACGCTAGAGCTACACAGCTTTGTTTTGCTTGGAACTTTGGGGATTTTAAGTTTACAGTACTATTAGCGTTATTCTCAAGTTTTTATCTTTAAAGTTTAAGGTTTGCCGTTTGAAAGTTCTAAGCCTGATATTCGCCAATATCCTGCCCAAGTTTTCAAACCAAGATCAATCGAAAAATTCTTTGGTGATCGAAATGAGGGTGAAAAGTCTTAGGAAAATCGTGTTCCACTCTTTTCCTTTTCTTTTCTTGTTCCCACTTTTTGCCGAGAGGAAGAAAAAGCCGAGAAAAGGCTGGCCACCGGGTTGAGAGAATCGAGAGAAAGGGGAGGGAAGGGGGCAGCCGTGTGGGCCGTGTCCATCCACATTCCCTCCACATTCCCTCCTCTCCCCGCTTTTCCGTGTCTATCCTTCTTCCTAGGCCAACTCCCAACATCCCCATCCAACTCAATTCGTTTCCCCATTGCTTTCTTATCACTTGACTTTTCTTTTTTTTGTAAATATTTCTTTATAAATTGTTTATTTTAAGAAACACTTCCCCTTCTCAACCATGGCCTCTTATTCGCAATTCTTGACGAAAGAGAAAGAGGATGAGCTTCGCGCCATCGCAAATGTGAGTTTGGAGATTGGCATTTGATTCTTAAGGAATTTTAGTCTTATATCATACTGTAGCTTAAGCTTTGAACTGGCAAGGTATTCTTTTAGAAATCTCAATAGAGAGATTCTAAATTGAAATTTTGATTGCCAATAAGTCAGTATCCAAATTTCAAAACATAAAAACTTTTGTGAGCAAAACAATCCAAAGTTTCTTTGCGGCTGTTGGGGTTTGTTTTTTTCTGGGTAGATCAATGAGTTCAAGCGGAGGTGAAAAAAAACCTTTTGGGTCATCGACTCTTTCTCTTTACCCTTCTTTTCTTTCTTTACACTATAATACCTTTCTGTTGGATATTCATTGAACTTCTAGAAAATCCTAAAAGAATTTCTTTGATGATGCAACCCCCAAAAAGGAATTCCCATTGCAAAATTCAATGATGAAATTAGGAATTGGGCTTTGCATCATTGGGATATTCAAATTTCTGATTGAGTCATGAAAAAAGTATTGCGTAATGCCAAAAAAAGGCAATTTTGGTTCTGATAAGGTTACAAGTTATTTTTTTGACGAGTAGAATCAAAATACCAAACGGGCATTAAGAATGTTGATATGTAGAATGAAAAAAAACACTGATCTTTTTTCATTTAGGCGATCGTTGCTCCGGGAAAAGGAATTTTGGCAGCAGATGAATCGACCGGTTCGATGGACAAAAGAATGGCATCGATTGGATTGGAGAATACCGAGGAGAATCGACGCAAATACCGACAAACTCTTTTCACGGGCAGGTGCGAAGTTCAATGTTTGGAGAATTCTTGTCAATCGGCTGTGAAAACTATCAACATCATTTCATTTGACTTCCAGCCTAACCTTGGGTTTAATACTCACAAAATTCATCAATGCGATTGACTTTTAAACTAACCTTATTGTTAGGGCCAGTACGTTCAGTAAGAATCACCTTTTTTTATATTAGCAGCTTTAAAACCCTTTTTTTACCTTTCTAATTTGCCTCAAAATTATCTAACATTTCAGTGACGAACTTGGGAAACACATTTCGGGAGTGATTTTCTTCCACGAGACTTTCTACCAGAAAACCGATGATGGAACACCATTTGTCGAAGTTCTCAAAAAGAAGGGGATTATCCCTGGAATCAAGGTAATGAAAATATTTAATATCAGAAGGTAAAACATAATACTTGTAAAGTAATATCAATTTCAGGTGGACAAGGGTGTGATCCCATTGGCCGGCTCTGTTGGCGAAGGCACCACCCAAGGACTTGATGATCTCAATGCTCGTTGTGCTCAATACAAAAAGGTGATTTCATTTCAAGTTTAAATTCGATTTCAAAATTCTATCTGTTATTAGCCTACATATTATTCAAATTTCCTCTAGGATGGTGCTCAATTCGCGAAATGGCGCTGTGTGCACAGGATCTCGGCCACCACCCCATCGCAACAAGCACTCGTCGAAGTCGCCCAGGTTCGGCATTGCTTCTGTAAATAGACTTTTACCATGATAATATGATTTACTGTACTTTTATCTGCACGTCAAATTTAGGTTTTGGCTCGCTATGCCTCGATTTGCCAACAAAATGGCTTGGTGCCCATTGTCGAGCCGGAAACTCTTTGTGATGGAGAGCACGATCTTGCTCGGTAGTTTATTTTGCTTATTTCAAAATTATCTTGCACTTACAGTTGCCAGAAAATCACCGAGACCGTGCTTTCGTACACATACAGGGCTTTGAATGAGCACCATGTCTTCTTGGAGGGAACTCTCCTCAAGCCAAACATGGTCACCGCTGGTTGGTTCATGAAAAATATAGAGTTTTGAAAATATGACTAATTTCCTACTAGTTTTAAACCAAATCTCTGTTATCTTTATTTGGTCTTGTTCAGGTATGTCATGCGCCACTCGGCCAACAAACGCTGAAATCGGTCTTGCCACTGTCACCGCTCTTCAACGAACTGTTTGTCAAATAAATCAATAGCCTTTTTATTTCTCAATTTTCTAGGTTCCATCCGCCGTCCCTGGAGTCGTTTTCCTTTCTGGAGGACAGAGCGAAGAAGATGCCACTCTCAATCTCAATGAGATCAACAAGGTAAGATAATAAATATTAGATAGATAATATATTATGATAAATATTAAGTTGAGTACTAAGTCTTGCACCCTTCATTTCATTATCTAAATGAACAAGTCTCAAACTACCAAATACCAAACGGTTGCCATCATTATAAATGTTTATCGTTTTTTTTTTCTGCGGGAACGAAAACTGGTATTTTTAAAAATATTGAAAAATGAGCACATAAAGAAAACTGCTAAACGGATTATTCTAAATTTTGGTTATAGACCTAATTTGTTATGCGCTATCTTTTTGATTTTTTCATCAAAATAAGCTTCATTGGAAGAAATCATATTTCATCTGGTAACCGACTTATTCAATTAGAAAATTAATTTGGGTGAAAAACTTAGTACTCAACCTAATATCTAAGGAATTAGCTTTTATCTATTATAAAACTATAAATCTTTTGCAAGTTACAATGATACTCTCGAGTGTTTCGATTTTTCCCTCCAATTCTTTTTGTTGTCCAATCATCGAGTCCTCGATTTCATGCATTTCTAAGTTTTTTTGTGAAAATTGTGTTTCTTTTGTTTTTACGTAAAGCTTTCAGGTTGCGGGCAAAAAGCCTTGGGCGTTGACTTTCTCGTACGGACGCGCCCTCCAGGCATCGGTTTTGGCTAAATGGGCTGGTCAAGATGAGAATGTTGCCGCTGCACAGGTTGGTTATTTGGAATCAAATTAAGTAGCACTTTAAACAAAGATTTACTAATATATGATCTAATAGAATGAAAACATAATATAAAGTTGATTTGTTTAAACGAAATCGTAATTTTCAGGATGTTCTCCTTCACCGTGCTCGCATGAACTCGTTGGCGTCCGTCGGAAAGTACACAGGTGATGAGACTGGAGACACGGCCGCTGCCCAATCACTCTTCGTTGCCAACCACGCCTATTAAATTTATTCCCATCTTTTTAGAATCATCTTTAGTAGCGATAGATTCAATTCCGTGTTTTAGTCATGTTTTTCCGACAAAAGTTTTATAGGTATTTATAAGCTGGTATGTGGTTATCGCTTTTAGTGCTATTCATTGTTATTTTGCCATGATTCTCACAGATCTTTTTTTAGATTTTGAATAAAAGTGATTGTATACGAGCTTAGCCTTGGACCCCCTTTCAATAATGGACAAAAGTGATTTTGTGTAGGAAAGTTTTGTGGCGGAAATTCGATGAGTCAAAGGGTGAAAGAAACGAGAAAAGGAAAGGGGGGAATGCGCGTAGTAAATATATCGTTGAGGATGGCGGCGTTGTAAATGGCGAACAGACGACGATGGTGAAATGGCACCCTCTTGCCCCTTTCTCCCACAATACACACATTTCATTCATATTTATTTATTCAAAATCCTATCAGCTTTTGAAAATTTCTTAAACTCCAGCGATTACAAAATATTTTAAATTTTAATCACTTTTTTTTAGATTTTTTGGGCACATTCTTATCCTTTGAGTCACAATTGATCAGCTGTGGATTTAGAGCTGGACTGTAAAGTAATTTGTTCTGAATTGTTCATACTGAACCGGCTACTTGAGGGAGAGGCACGAATTCAACTGGAATTGGACTGTCCTTTACGGATTCCAAAAGGAAACCCCTATACCAAAGTGGTTTACCAGATGGAGAGCGATTACGCGACCGTAAAAAGAACATTTTGGCAGTCATTTACAGGGATTCTTCTTTTGCTTTGTAGATGACATAAATAGAAGATATTTAGCTGTAAATTTGTACCCAGGGGTTTTCGGGGTCGACGAATCGATTAGAGAGCTATTCATTTTATTGATTCTACCAATTGAAACTCGGATTTAATTGTTCTAAACTTTTAGAAGAGGTCAGAAACTATTAGCTTATTAGCCTATCTTGGAAAGGAGATTCGTAGCTTTAAAATGATATATAATAATCATAGATTCATCTCATCTACTTAAGAAAAAAATTTCATTTAAGAACAAATCAAAATTTGGAATCATCGTCTTTATTTAGTACTTTTGAATGAGTAGTCACGCTTTGAAGGTCCTTAGCTTTCCGGGTACCATTCGGAGAAAAAGTTATCGAAGTATCGTAGAGTTCTTTTCATCATACACGAGTATAGCAGCACACTTGACGCTTTTTGCACAATCACTAGCTGGCGTGCCAGTCAATTTCCTTCGTTTTACCCTTTCCCCTTTCGCTCACTCACCGTTTCACTTTCAATTCTATTTCCCCATACTCGATCTTTCAACTTCTTTTGTTTCCTCCAAAAAAAAGTCTCGTTTCTCATCACAAAAAACTAGAAAAATGCCTTCACGTATCGCTTTACAAGCCGGATGGAATTCTCACGTCCACTTGTGCGACGGCTGTCCTTTTCTATTTTAAATTCATAGCATTTCTTTCCGAAATGTGGAGTGTGATGTTGTCTGTCAAATGGGGAAATGTATTTAGCTTTTACGCTTAATCTTATTACTTTTACTCTTATTTCACGTTTATTTTTTTGTTTTGTCGTTTTGTCAGCGTTTTTTATGCTTTATGACGAGAAATTTGTATATTTTGAGAGAGTGTAGTGAGAGAATGGATTAAGAAAAAGGTTTTGGGGGGGGATGAAAATAAGGGATGAGAGGATGATGGTGTGCCAGCTGGCCCGCACGACAAATGCGGTAGAGGGGGATGGGGAAGAGGGTGGTGCGCGCGCGGGAAAGAGGAATGACGAATGGACAAGGGGTACACTACCACCCCCAACCCCACGAGAAGGCCCTATTTGTGCCTATTTGTGCTTTTCTGCCACCAGCATTCAGCCACACTTGAGCTCCTTTCCCAATATCAATCTTGCCTTCTTATCCCCGACCCTCATTTGTGTATTGCTAGATATAATGAAGCCCTAGGCTTTCGATCACTATCCTTGTTTTCATAGTTCTAATATTTTTACAAGATAGATTTCAATTACATTTCTTTTTTTTTACAAGATTTCAATTACATTTCTTTTCATCATCTCACATGACGCTTATATAAATTGTTTACACTAAAGCCTTTCAACCTTAAGCAAAAAAAAATTATGTTTAAGTTTACTTGAGCTCACTTTTGCAATATTCCAACTGTCGGATAGTCTTTTTTTCTTATAGCCGGGTGTTCCCAGAGTTCTCTTTGTATTGATCTAAAGAAAACCAAGTTTTGCCGTACGTTTACTCTTTTTTTTCAAGTGACTCATCATTTTTTTTGCTCTCTCCCATTCCCACTCGTCATTTCGAGTCCCCCCACCGGAAAGCCGCTTATCTCACTCTTCTCCAGAAAATGGTCGTGTTCTAGAAATATGCCATCTTCCAAATGCATTCTAGCAAACGACTTTTGTTTTCTAAAACGTGGATACAAGGTGATTTTACGCTTTAGAAAACAAGTCGTTTGCTAAAATGCATTTGGCGACCTGATGGTGCATGACTATCGTGTCCGTTTCCTTCAAAAATTACGTTTCTATTTGCATTTAATTTACGTCGCTTTTTCGTCTCATTCTCTCCCCCTAATTTTTTTTAGCTTTTCATCAGAACTTGTATTTGGGGCTTCTCGCCCTTTTAAGTTTCGAGTTTTGCCCTCGTTCTTTCAGGATTTGTTGTTTCTCTCCACGCGCGTGCTGTTTTTGTAATACGTATCGTTGCCTTTTTTTTTCCGTACTAATAAACCATGAAATTATAAATCCTATCTACTTTAAACTACCCTTAAGGTTCTAAATTCTGTTTAGATAGCTGGTATAACATTAGAATTAGCTAATATTTGTGTTGCCATCGACGAAGCGTCAATCTTGTTTACCCGTATCATGAGTGTTAACTTTAAACAATGTTTTTTGAATGCGTTTTCTTTTTATATTGTGGGCGTTTTGGGGAAACCCGTTTAACTTTTTGTGCTACTTGGCTATTTTGAAACAAAATCATCTCTAATGATAAACGAAACATTTTAAAAAGTGCCAGGTGGTTCAAAAATGTTCGAACCTTTTACCGATTTTCATAGCTTTTGAGTTTGTTAAATGTTACTAGCTGTTTAAAGCAAAACTTGTACTTTATACTTCTTAAAAGTTTAAGTACAACAAAAGAAACTTTTTTCTGAAAGCCTTTTTTGAAAAACTTAACACCCTTAATGCTTTGCAAAAATTCGTAGGATGATCAGGTGTTTTCCCCTAAAAAACGAGTCGCAGGCATTTCGTAGTCTGTCGTCTTTTGGCTCGCATGGACACTGTTTGTCGTGTCCATACCCATTCCCATTTTTTTTTCTCTACTCCATCGCATCCACCATTGTGTTCACCGCCATTTTCCTCTCTTTTTGTCCTTTCTCCTGCTTTTCTCTTCTCGAAATTCCCGGCTCGTTTTCACACAGTTCTCAGGACGGTCCCTGGAGGCGCTCGAGTGGCTCATCCCCAATTCTTTCTCTCTCCGGCCTTCACCTACCTTTTCTTCGAATTTTCCTCACATCACACATCGTTTTTGCTTTTTGCAAATGTACTCTTCTATTTACTTGTTGGTCTGGTTCTTCTTTTATTTTCGAGTTTTCTCTTTTCTGTTAAAGCGTTACTTTTAGAATATTTTCTATTCAGGTGCAAAATGGCAACGCTAAACCCTGGAGAAAAGCCGATGAAGGTGAGAATTTGGTGATATGATTTTGTTAATTCTCAATTTAGCCGTCACACTTGAATCGTTTCTTTGATCGAATTCGCGGGAAGAAAGGCGAGAAAAATGCGCAATTGGTGGGTGAAAAAGATGTAGAAGTTATTTGTTATTGTGTTAGTTTTAAAAAAAATCATTTGTTTCTAGGAAAACGAGTGCAACAAAGAGAACACGCTCGTGATGAGTAATAATCGCATTTCGAAAGATGACTCGGCACAGCACTGGAAAATCGCTGAACCGCAAAGGTAAAGGAAAATTTCTAGTGAATATTATACGTAAATTTACTTTGAAAGTCGCGGGTTGTCTATCAATTAAATAGCGAAGTTTTTACGAATAATAAGTTTTTTTTTAGTGCTAAAGAAAAGCCGAGGTCACCGCTGCAACGACTCCGTCAACGGCTTTCACTGCGAAGAAAAGTGAGTGTGATTTCTGTTTTTTAGTTTATAACATTCAACTTTGAATTTGCAAAGTTTGATAATGAAAAATTTTTAAAGAAATTAAAGAATATGTAAATGATTATCTTTTTAGACAGCCGATCGAAACGATGCTTCGCACATTTCGAGCAAGTGAGTGTTTAAGCGAATTTGGATAAAAGAAAATTGTTTTAGTGAAAAGATTGACGATTCTGGATACAAGCCAACGAACGGGGTGGGATTTTTATTGGTAAAGAAATGTTAAGAATCTCATTGTCACTTGTGTAAGTACTACGTTGTTCTGATCGAGAAAACTAGCCAGTAAATTAATAAATATTGTATAGAATATTGAAATGAGTTTAAATAAATTCTGTGCAGGCAAATAAACCTCTTAAAACGTTAAAACTCTTTGTTCAGAACTCATTCGTCGCTCCACGTTCAGCCGTCAGCGAGAACGATGTGCGATTCTTGTGCTTATCCCAGGATCCCGTAAGTAATAATAATATTGAGAGATCATTTCAGATTATAAATTTTCAAGTTATTGTGTTATAACACAATAATAAAACTTATTTTACATTTTAGTCTAGTTCATCGTAGTTCAGTAGTTGATTCTACCACTAATTTCTACCATTGTTCCCTTCCAATTTACCCTAATTTCAGATCACCTCATCCACCATCACTCAAAATGGCCACTATCGCCACCATTCAGTAAGTTAACCCTTTCAATCCACTCAACCAATCAGTTAACAATGTTTTCCAACATCTTCAGATCTTTTTACACTAACACTTTTCTAAACGACTCCCAGGAGCGTACTGAGAACTCTGAAATGGGCTCCAGCGCATAAATTTTCTGGAAATGTTGATACAAGAAAAGTTTCGTGAACATGCAAAGAAACATTTTTTTTGGATCTACATTTCATTTATTTTAGAAAGGTGCACAATCGGGAGTGCAGTCGATGAGTGTGGATGACGTGCGGGACAGAGAGGCTTCCCCGTTTCCTGCACAACCCAGCCGATCACCATCATATCTCAAAGTCTCCCTCGGCGCTCACGGATACTCGTTTGTTTTCTATTAATATTACTATTTATTCTTATAATTTATGCCTGCCTTTTAAATCCAGCTTATGCAATCATTCTTTGAAGAAAGTAAAGGTTAAACCTCATTCATGATTTGGTAGCGCTTTTTAATGATAAGCTGACTAAGCCTGTTTGTTAAGCATAACTTATTGAATTATTGATAATGAATACTGAAAAAATTAGAATCGCATTGATAGTATTTTTAGAACCAGATCGAAAGTTCCACTGGGCGAGCTCGGGTGTTCATTGTCGAATGTGGAGCGATTGCGATTGGTTCATCAACAACAGATCACCGGCAATATGATCACAACTTTCGGGTTAGTTTATGTAAATGCTAGAGAGAATAAGATTATATTTGTCATTCTTTAAATTCTCCAAAAATCTATTAGTCTTCTATTCAAAAAAAAGGTGAAAATTGAAAAATGAAAGGGAGATAATCTGCCCAATTCGCACTCGGTTCGGCTTTTTCTTTTCCCTCTTTTTTTTCAGCTTTATTCTCACACAATTAGACGGCCATTCTAATTGCTTGTTTCGCAGAGAAGAAAATCGTTATCCACACTTCATATTATATATTTTTTCATTCTTCTCAAATAGCTGCTAATATTGTTCAATTGTCATTCTACAATTCTCAAATTCTCAAAGACAGATTTATCCTAAAATTTATCATTTCCTATATAAGCACCAATTTATCTAAAAAAAACCTCTTAATTACTGGTTCTCGAAGCATTTTGATCTTCAACTTGGAAAGAGGCTTTTTGCGAGCAAACTCGATTGTTTATTTAGAGAACAACGGGTGAAATGAAGTGAAATGCTTTCACGGCTCGTTTCCCCTTGGTTCATGTAGGTAGTAGCATTCCTCTGCGCATTACTTATCGCTGTCTTTTGAAAATATTTCGCACACACACACGTGCACATTCGCGTGAATCACCCCCAGGCTGCCCTCCCTTCCATTCAGCCGCCATTCCCTGCCCCCATTCTCTCCAATCGCTTTTTTCATGCACAACATTCTTCCACCACAATGATCACCACACTTGCCTTTGAATTTACATCTATATTTTATTAAGTTGTCGTCAAATTTTGCTTGCTTGACTTTGAATCCTCAACACTTTGAACACTTTGAATCCCGAGCACAGCTTGATTTACAGCTTCAAGTACTTTAAATTTAAAACTACCAAGAACCAGGCCATTTCCTTGGCCATGTATAGTTAAAGAAGTTAAAAATATAGTAAAATAGTTAAAATACAAGGTGTTCAAAAAAGCCAGTTTCCCTTAATTTTCTAAAAAATTGCTAGTGGCTCCTGGTGTCAAAGAGAATATTTTGGGCCAGAAAATTTTTGATATTTTTTCACTTTTTCTCGATTTCATGACCACCAATGCATGAAATTTCTGAGCCACCATGGTCATCACCAGCAGGCCCATAAGATTTTTACCATAAAATTAAAACCTTTTACTGACATCGTGGTGCATAATAAACACTAGTAGGATAAATACAAATTTTAACCATACACTTTATTGATCAGCATTTCCTTGGAAAAACGGGACACTTCTTTAAAATCTTCTTTAATTTGAAAATCTCTTATGTACGACAGATTATCATATAATATAGATGAATAAAGTGTTTGGCTAAAAATCTTAGTTTATATATTAACTCTAATATGACACCACAATGCCAGTACAAAGTTTTAATTTTATGGTAAAAGTCTTATGGTGGTACGGCACGATGGCTTTCTGAGCCACCATGGTCACCACGACCATGGTGGCTCAGAAATTTCATCTATCATGAAATGAGAGTCATGAAATCGGGAAAAAGTGAAAAAAATATCAAAAATTTTCCAACACAACGACCACCAGGAACCACTAGAAATTTTTTTCAGAAAATTAAGCGGAACTGACTTTTTTTTGAACACCCTGTATAGTAAAGCATAGTAAAATTAAAGTTAAAATATTGTATAGTTAAGTATAGTTAAAAGTATAGTTAAAATTCCTATATTTGAAGGAAATACCAGATTTTTCTTCAGGAACCATACCCTTTTTGATCTTCCTTCCTACAAAATCCGTCTGTTTCTCAAAAATGCGGCAACTTTTTTCTCTTTCCGACAAAGTGAAGAGCTTTTGCGTATAGAGAGACTGGCTATTCGCCTCAAAACCAGTACTCGTAAAAGCCGCGGCTGAAAAGCGCGTCGAGCATCAGAGGATTTTTTTTCTTCACTTCACCCAAAGCTCACATTTTACCGCAGATCTCCTCCATTTTGTATCCGTCTCTATTTTATACCTTTTATACAATCTCCTTTCTCTTCCATATTTGGAATTTTCAAACAATAGTTTAAAACTCAAACTTTTGACTCCTTTTGCAAAGCAGAATCGTCATGGTTAATTGATCATTTTTTGCCAACTCGCTGCAAATTAAGAACCGTTTTTTTTATGGTCCCGTGGGGGTATTTCCCGCTGCGTTCACATCTCCATCATTCCCTGCACTCGATTTCTTGGGTCCTTTTTTTCTCCAAGATTCCTCCAAAAATCCCACGGGAGTGTTTTGAAGATCGCCACAGCTTTTTTTCTTTGTTTTTGAATGTTTCTAAGTTTTCAAAAGTCAAACCTCTAAATTTTGGCTTTATCTAGAAGTCCATTTTCAGTTTTTAACTAGCAAAGGTCTTAAAGGTACCAATTTCATTCTAGCCAAATGGTTAGCAGTCTTGGCTAGTGTCTAAAAGAGCAATGGTTCGATCCCTGTTACAAAATAGGCTTTACTGTACTTTTAGAAAAGATTTAATCTTAGAGTCTAGAAATTTTGCTCATTGCTATGAGCAATATAAATGACTAGGTCACACACTTTAGGGAGATTTGCGAGTGAAGAAAGTGTTGAGGGAAAAGAATGATCGGTGGTCCGTGACGCAAAGTGTTTGGCCAAGCCCACAGGCCACCTATGGATGCGGGATGGGGTCTTCTTTTCTCCCTTCTCATTTCTTCTATCCATATTTTGGTGGTGTGCGAGAGCGGATTTCTGTGTGTATCCGGCTGATCCATGGAACACACGAATCGGAGCGATCTCGCATATCCACATAGCCGCGTTCCCCCTTTTTTTTTCTTTTCACCACCTTTCTCCCGCCACTCCTCGCTCCCCTTTTCACCAATAGTTTCCGCAACTATATTTAGATATTATACAGATCTAGTTAATCATAATAACTTCTTTTCTTTTTTTCTTTGAAACCTTTGAAGTTTTTTTATCTAAAGATCATCTAAAGTTTCATCTTTTAATCTTTAGAAACTGACATCTTCCTTTTTCAAGAACTATTTTCTTGTTTTGTTAGACCACTTATCTATTTTGGGTTTTTGATTTAATTGATTGATTGATTTAGTACTTAGTAGACTACTTAACAGCAATCTATTCTTGGTGAGAACACAAAGATAACTTAACACTTGCCAAAGAGAAGCATTCCATTTGGTGAGCGAAAAAGAAAAGTGTGAAAAGCGTGTTGTTTGGAAGAAAAGATGAGGTGGTCAGTCTCTGTTATAGGAACGGGAAACGAAGCCCTCATTCACAAAGCAAAGGTTCCCCCCACCCGCTTTTTATTTTCTTTTCTTTTCTTCTCTTCTCTTCTTTTTCTCTACCACTTGTCCTCCCCTAGGCTTGCTCAAACCGTCTCCCAATCTCTTTCCTTTGTGTTTTTTTTTTGCTGTTTCCCCGACAGACTCTTTCTCCCCATATCCAGCTCATAACTCATCCTTTTCTAATTTATCGATGCTATATCTTTTCTTTTAAACACTAATCATTTACAGTAAATGATTTCTAGCAATTTTCTTTTACATTCCATCTATGAAACTTTGATCCTCTTTCATACAAAGTTGCAAGCTATAGCTACAAAAAAAAAATTTGTATTCTCATTTATCAGAAATAGACTTGAACTGCTTTGCTTTGCAAAATTAACTTTATTTTTAAGAAAAGAAATTGTTAACTAATGTATCAACGATAATTTGAATATATCTGGTTGTCCTTGAGGTGTCGCCTGTACAGATGGGAGCACCTGTAAGAGGGGAGAAAAAGACGAGCTGTCCCATCAGAAAAGAAAATAGAAAGAGACTGTCTTTTCTTGTCTTTTCTTTTTTATTCTTTCTCTTGTTCCCCTTTGTGTGAATGGGGGCTCCTCCGTATCCCTCGTCCCTCCTCGATCAGCCAAGGACATATCCCCACCATTCTCACTCTCTTAATCTATACAACTTTTGTAATTCTCAGATAGTATTTGCTAAAAAAAATCTTAATTGTACTTATGTTTATTTCTCGAAACTAACCTTTCCTTACCTTTGAACGTATACAATACCTTTTTGAAGTTTCTAAATGAGCTACTGGTTTAAATCAAACTTTGTTTCAACATAAAAACTTTTTATCATTGCCAAAAGATTTTCATCTTTTATCTTTTTTATCTTTATCTTTGAATCTTTCGTTATATTAAATTAGCTTTTCAATATAATATCTTTCAATTTAGAGTCGAAAAGCCAAAAACTCGTACTTCAACATTTGAGGAGAGTCCCGACATGGGTAATCTCACGACGAGACCCGTCAAGGTGAGCTTTTGTACAAAATAAACTGCAAAAGCTAATGTTAGGCCCTTGTCGCCAAAATCGAGGACCTTTCGGTGTGCAAAGGGAAATCCGGAGACAAAAGTGATGATGAGGAAAACGGGAAAGTTCATCGACCACAACTCGTCATCATTCAGCCGCTAAATGAAAAGGAGAAACCGCAAAAAGTCGTGGAAATGGCTGAGGTATGAAAAATTAAATTTATTGAACTTATTTATTGAATTTAGGTAAATGAGATTCAAGGTGAAGAGGCGGAGGGTCGAATTTTCGATCAACCTGTTGTAGCTGTGGCTGAGGTGAGATTTAGAAGTTGAATAGCTTTACATTTTATGCATTTAGGTCACCGAAGAAGCCTCACAAATTGCTACACAAGAAGCTGGAGTTCATGAAGATTTTGCCACAAAAGTGAGTGAAATTTTGATTAACCATAGACCGGTTAGGTCCTCTAGCAAGAATTTCGAAATTCCTGCCTACTATACATTTGATGAGAGGTCCAAAAAAGAATAATTGGCGACCCTAGGACTAAGGGGATGAGTCACAATCGAGGGAAATGGAGTCTGGGGCACGCAAGAAGCTCGTCCACCACATCCTCTCCTCTCTTTTTCCCCAGTTCTTTGCTCTTCTTTTGTCAAACGCGCATTTTTACAAGCCTAATTGGTATTCTGGATAGGGTATTCGCTAATTTTCGGGTTCACATTCGACCCATTCTTATCCTTTTCCCGCCCCACCCTTTTCAAATTCTTCCATTTCAATCATTCATCTCAAAACATGGCACTAGCACTGTCATTACTGAAATTTGAAAGTTTAAATATCGATTTGCTTTAGTACTATTAGTAATCTACTACTAGTAATCAGCTAGAAATTTTTAAATATAAGTCAGCTGACAATGAGTAGGACAAAATCCGGACTAGGTAGTTAAGGAAATTCAAATTTCTAGCTTCAAAAAGTTTAAAGAGAAGTTTCTTCAGTTCTCTACGATTCCCTGGCCGTTTTTAGTGTTTTGTCGAAGCCATTTCAGGGTATTCGTTGTCCCATTCTCTCTTGTCCTAGTTTTCTCCTTTCTCCGCTTCTTGTCTATTTGTGAATTGACCCCATCCTCCCTTCTTTCCCAGAATGGCCTCTGTCTTCAAAATACGAGCCAATTTACTCCTTTTCCCAATTCCAGAGCTTCTTTCACCCCCTACTGATCAGCTAAAGCAGTTCCCCCTCCCAAAAAATGATTCACTTCTTATCTCAGAGAAAAATCATTAATTTCAAATGTCAAATGTTGTTGTCAGTCAAATGGGACAGTTTTTTTGTAGGTGTTGAGCAGCGCGGAACAGATCGTCGAAGCCGATACAGCAAAAGCGGTGGCCACCGTCATTCAGGCAAATTTCTCATCTATTTTATTGAAGACTTTGAATTTCAGGTTTTACCTAAAGAGAATTTGAGAGAAGTGCGAGAACCAATGGAATCAGGTTTGAGAAAAATTTGAGAGCTTAAAATTTTGAAAGGTTTAGTGAACAGCGGTGAGCAATATTCAAAGAAGTTGGATGCGAAAAAACACGAGTATCAGGCATTGATCACATCGGCTGCAAAAGACTGCAAGGTTCTTGAAGTAAGGATTTCTTTATAGAGATTTTTATATATACAGGGAGTTATGCAAAAGAAACTTTAGTCTGATTCAAAGCGGGAAGAAGCTTATCAAATCCTCCAAGAGAGTATCGCATCGACACAACTTTTTATGAATGGAAAAATGAAACAATATGAGGGATTGATCGAGAAGAATTTGGTTTGAAGAAGATTTTTGATTACGAATTTATTTATCTAGAATCCTGTCGTTGGAGACCCTTGCCCAGTGCTTGTTCCGGATCTTGCCGGCTGGTGGGATATGTTGATGATTCAGGTTCGTGAAAACAAAGCAAAACACTTCTTACTTACAAATGAGTCAGACTGAAATTCTTATTCTTATTCTTATTCTTATCCTTATATCACTCATTTTAATTTTCAGTTCGAAAAGCTCGATCAAAAGTTCGCTCTCGTTGAGCAGATCCGACAAAATAATTGGGAGAAACCGGCGGAAAAAGTGGTGAGATATAAAAACAAGCTAATTTTCATCATTATCATTATTTAGACAACGATTGAGAAGAAAAACAACAACAACAATGTGAAAATGTTGAAAAACAAGGAGCCGGTGACGAAAGAAATGCAAATGAAACGAGATGAGGCTAATGAGAAGCGCAAAAAGGTAAGGAAAGAGATTATCAATGTAGTTTTGACTATCAAAAGAATTTGATTGGACCAAATTTTCTCTCAATTTTGTAGAAGAATCCTGCCAAATTTAAGACAAAAATTGCTCTCAAAAGTTTGAGCTATTCATTTTATTGAGTTTACCAATTGAACTCTGGTTTAATTGGTCTAAACTTTTTCAGAAAAGTTCAGAAACTTATTAGCCCATTTTGGAGAGAAGATTTGCAGCTTTTGAGTTTCTACAAAAGAAAAAGTAAACATTTTATAAAACTCTGCGTTTCAGATGCTGGCCGAGGCTCGTGAACGCGCAAAAGCCAATGTTACCGAGAGTCAAATTTTCGTCTCATCCACCGACAACTAAAAAGTGCTATTTGTTCTTGAATTTCTAGTCAAAAACTTTAAAAACATTTCTAAAAGCCATACCGAATATTTGTTTTTCTCACAACCTTGCTGCTTTTCGAATACTGGTCCATTATAGCCACATTCATTGCATTTTTCGCCCCCCCATACGTGCCTGGCTCTTAGCTCTAGATAGAGAAATCCCTACAGAATTTACCATAATGTATTTGTGATCGTTTGCTCAGTATTTATTAGCAAAAATGAGCCTGAATTTTGGGGTACAGTCATTTTCTATTAAATGGACTTGTTACCGTGCCCCTTTCTCTCAATTTCTCTCAAAGTTTTGGGTGCTATAAAGCTAGCCAAAATCCAGAAACTCAACAAAGGTCAAATTAAAATCAATACCTATTACATTAACTTTAAATTTTTGCTTTCAGTTAATGTAATAACTTTTTCTGAAAATATCCATGTCCTTTATGCCTTTGTCTAGATTTCTTAAATCAATTTAAATAAAGCTAAACTTTTTACAATTGCTTCCTTTTTACGCCTTTCATTTCTCAGCTTTATTCTTTATTCAAATCTATGTACAAGTTTCTCATCGTTTTGCCATTCTTCTTTTTTTTTTTGTTGAAAGAATTCAGTGCTTTTTTTCTGGAAATCAAATTGTTCTTTCGGTGCTGATTGTTTTACTTTATATATATTTATTGATTTGGTGACCACTTGCAGGTGATCAGTAAATCGTTGCTTAATGTTTTCTGAAACAAATCAATTTCAACCGCAGAAACTAGTCAGCTAAATGAGAAATGATAAAAAGAAAACGAGAAATGAAAAAGATTTTCTCAATAGATCAACAACGCCGAGATTTCAATGTGTTCTTACTCATCGCCATTGCTTTAAGGATTTTTTTTCACTCGGTTTCACTGCCTTTTTCTCTCTTATTTTCTTTTCCTTTCCTTTCCCCTCCTGCGGTAAACAACTCAGAGTTTTGAGAGTGAAAGAGGAAAAGAAAAAAAAAACGCTTTCATCTCCCACAAAACTCACAAATAAAATAAAAATGACCGGCAATGAAAAAAAAAGTGGGAGGGACTATGAAGGAATGGAAAGAGAATCTGCTCTCAGCAAAAACCATTTCACTCAGTCATTCATCGCTGAATCGCTTTCAACTCTACAAAAATGGTAAGTTCTGTTTTTTTAAAAATCTCTAATTTATGATACTAGTCATTTTTTAAAAAGCACTAAATAGAGCTGATTCAACACTTGCAACTTAGTAAAGCCTTTCTTTTATCTAAATCGTTGTATTTTTAAAGTTTTAAAATTGAATAGTTGGAAAAAAAAACCCTTAATGGCTTACTATCAGTTCTTTAAAATCTATTTACAGTAATCCTTTTCAATAAATAAGTATGCATAACAAATAATATAAAGATAAAGGATCACTATTGCTTAACAATTTCTAATTCTAAAAAGATTCATCCTTGAATAGAACTTTTTGTATAAATGAGAACAGTTTTGACTATAGAGTGCGTTCCTTTCGACTAACACGTTTTCTAAAATGCACCTATTTGAGAAAACCACCGTAGTCAAACTGCCGATTTACATCCGATCAGCTCAATTTTGGGGGGTGGACACAATGCGACCTTTTTTGCGCACCTGGACATTTGCGCACCTTTTTTTTTGCTGGAAAAGGCCTTAGGAAAAGTCGTAGAGCTTCAAAAACGTTTTCATAGAAGGGAATCGTATGCGTAGATTCTGAATTTTGACAAATCAGACCTCGCTGACACGTCAAATTTGGGCTAAAAGGCAAAAACTACGCAACTTAACGCTTTTCCGCAGTTTTTGCCTTTTAGCCCAAATTTGACGTGTCAGCGAGGTCTGATTTGTCGAAATTCGGAATCTACGCATACGATTCCCTTACGAAATCAATAACAAATTCTATTACAATAATAGAAACAATTTTCTTTTTCTTTTTTCTCTACTTCTATTGCAGTCCTTTTCTCATTTCTCATTTCTCCCGTTTACTCATCTTTTTCAGGGTGTTTGTTAGCAATTTCCCCATCGATCAATGAGTGACTCATTTTTTTTCCGATAAAATTTAAGCCATTCTATTTGTTTTCTCTGACAGCTGCCAAAACAACTTTGAAAATTTTGAAATTGAAACTTAGGAACAATCAAAGAACTAAGAACATTGAAAATTAGGCTCACGATGGTTTCTCGGTACCCTATACAACAAAGCTAATGTCACCGCTGCAAGATGGACAAACGATCAATCTCCGTGGACATATCAACAATGACGCTAAGAGGTACGCTTGTTGCAGAGTTAGATATACAAGTTTTTTTGGATTGATAGGTAATAAACTTAAAAAGTGGAAGCTTATTAGGCGTCAGGTCAAGCTTTTATAAGCTTTTTCTCTCTGCCTTGACCAGCAAGCTATTGGCGCAGAGGGTAGTGTGCTCGTCTCCAGAACGACATTTTTTGCCCGGGTTCGAGTTCGCTTCCGGCATTGTCTTCTTGCTTTTGCTGAGAAAATGATTGGGGAGTTTAAATTGGATTCATATTTTGTAGGATTCAATTCATTTCCCGTATTGAATTCCAATACTTTTGTATAAGCAGTCCGTGAACAATGTTCCAGCAACAACAAAGCACATTTATGAACAAAGCTATTGATATTCCTAAGTCATTTCTAAACATTCTTCCGTTAATCAAGGTCAAAATAAAACAATCCTAATGCCATAAACATTTTCTAATCGTTTTCTCAAAAAAAAACCCCCCAAAAAGAATGTAGAAGAATTTCTGTTTAGCGTTGAGGTGAACTTTCTCCGCGGCCATTCCGATCTTCCCGCCGCTGAAGCTATCCTCCACGTCAAGTTTCTCTTTAGCGACAAGAAATTCGTCTTTAACAGCTATCAAGTAAAGTTTCAAATATCCAATTAATATCTCAATTAATATCGAAACTGTTTAGCAAGGACAATGGGGAAAAGAGGAGAGAGTCTCAATGCACGTAAAGCCTGGCCAGGACTACGATCTCCGTGTTCGGTAAAAGAGAATTTCATCTCAAAGCTGTGAACGATTTTAGAGCCTTGAGTGAGCATTTGGAAATCCGATTGAATGGAGATAAGATTCACGAGTACAAGAATCGCGCTCCATTCACCATGACCGAGTATTTTCAGGTTAATCAGAAGAAATACGAAAAAATCTTTTTCTTTATAGCTTTATAGATTTGAAAGATTTAAAGCAAAGATTTTGATAATTTACATACAGATAAAGTAAAGGTGAAAGTTTTTAGGTGAAAGGTTTTAGGTGAAAGGCTTTAGGTAAAAGATTTTAGGTGAAAGGTGATTGCACGCTGAGCGAAGTTCATTGGGGTGGTCGTGTTTACAATCTACCCTGGGAAACCGGGTTTGCTAATGGGGCCAGTATGCCTGCTGGTTTGTTTTTCGAGTTTTCTTTGTTTTCAATAAACCAACAATTCAGGACAACGCATCCATCTCTACGCAATTCCGAAAGGCGACTGGAAATTAGACTTTATTGCGAGAAATGGCGATCTTCTTTTCCATTGGAATCCTCGCTTTAAAGAAAATGCGGTAAAAAAATGTGAAACAAAATATTGATAAATGTCAAAAAGCCTTGTTCTGAAAGAACTTTAAGAAATCGTTTTCATTTCAGATCGTTCGAAACTCCAACAAGAACGGAACTTGGGGACAAGAGGAACGCGAGGGACCATTCCCATTCAAAAAAGAGCACGGAAATGACATCACGATTGTCAATGAACCTTACTCGATTCAGGTTCGGTGAATGGTTTATTGAAATTGAAATGAAATTGAAATGAAAGCGATCACGCTGCACAAAGGAACATTTTGGCAGTCATTTATATAGGGTTTGAAATCGAAACTTAATTTGAAACTAGTGGTTAAACTTTTAATAGACATTTTGAACTAATTTTTGTACTTGCTTGAACTTTCAAACTAACGAAAAACTAGCGCCAGACGATCCACCAGACCATCAAAGAATCAGAAGACAGAAAGAGATCAATTTCGACCCGTACTGCCCTCTTGTACACCAATACATCAAAACTTAACCCGTTCAAATTTTTAATTTAAAACATGTCCCAAAAATTTAAGAATACCGACGGCCAAAGAGGGAAAAACAGCTCAGTAGGCCAAAAGGGAAAGGAGTTATGCCAGGGTGGTTCGCCAGATGGAGAGCGATTACGCTGCACAAAGAACATTTTGGCAGTCATTTATATAGGGCTTGCATTGTAGATGGCACAAATAGAAGATATTCAGCTATAAATTTGGACCCGGGGGGTTTTCGGGATCGGCGAATCGATTGTAGCTAATCATTTGTTGATTTTACCAAGGAAACTCGGGTTTCACTTGTCCGGACAAGAGCCAATTCATTGTTTAACTGTTTGTATGATTCAGATCCACGTGGATGGTCACCAGATCGGCACTTTCCAACATCGTTGCGCCGATCCCGTCCACGACTACATCGGATTTCGTGTCGATGGAGATGTAACTATTTCTACAATTAACCAATTTCACTCAAGAATTCAGGTTGACATCACCAACGTCGACTTCAAGCATCCATAATTTCTAAATGCTTTCTTTTTTCAATAAATCTTTTTGGCCTCTTGTGTTTCAAGTAAAGTAAAGTAAAGGAAAGTAAAGCCAGCAAAGCAAGCCAGCAAATCAAGACAGCAAATCAAAGCCAGCAGAGCAAAGTCAGCAGAGCAAGCCAGTAAAGCCAGCAAATCAAAGCCAGCAAATCAAAGCCAGCAAATCAAAGCCAGCAAATCAAAGCCAGCAGAGCAAAGCCATAACCAAGTCAACTTCAATCCAAGCCAACTCTATTCACTAGATAGAATTGTACAGAAAGAACTGTACATTGGTATCCCATTTGTACAGAAAGAAACTTGGTACTTAGGGATTATAAACCCCGTAGTCCTTATATATGGCTATGGATCTCTGAACAACAATGAATTTCAACAATTATATGAGAGATTTTTGTGTTGAATACGTAGAAAATTGTGCAAACAAATTGGTGATCTTGGATGTATTGTTGAAGTGGATGAAAGTAGGCACATATTCATCTATGAAAACTGCGCGGGCGGCTTATAATCCCTAAGTACCATAAACACTTCACCACATCTAGTTTAAAGTCCCTTAAAATTTTTTGCGCCCACATGCGGTAGGTCGATTCTTACAGATTTGGAGATGTCTAAAAAGTCTAAAAGACGAAAATGAGGCTAAATGAGCCGGAGAAGAGGTTTCGGGGCGTGGGGCGTGTGTCACGGGGGTCCAAAGGGGGGGAGAGCTCTCCTTTGGATAGGATTTGATCAAGAGAGAGAGAGAATCTTTCTCGTGTATCATCCTGTCACACCTGTCATCAGTCTCTTCTCCCTTATCCCCCCTCCCCCCAATTTGGAGGATTTTGAAGCCACAAAGTTGTCTCGATTTTCATCCCTCCCCGGGCCAATAGTCTCCACCTGAGCACTTCTTCACTTGTCTCCGGAGACTTGAGACTTCAAATCAGTCCCCGAAAATTTTCCGAAGCTACTACGAGCCAAACAATTTCTTTATTCTATCTTAGAATTTCACTTTAATGTTAGCATGATGAAAGGATTTCTTTTCGCTGTTTTTGCTTCAACAATAGCTCAAGGTTGGTGATATTGAAGGTCAAGTTTTACCACTGAATATCTTTAACTACACTACTGGACAATGAAATATCATATTTGAAAAACGATCGTCACTTTCGCGCGTCTGTAGCTCCCTTGTCTTTACCGTATTTCTAAATACTAATATTACCACCGTGTAGCCCTTGAAAAGAGCTTTCAGGAAATGTATAACACTAATAGTTTAAACTCAAAGACAAGGGGGTTACAGACGCGTGAAAGTGACGATCGGTTTTCAAATATGATATTTCATTGTCCAGTACTGTAGTAACTAGATGAGTGAAGAAATCTCGTCAAGAAGATTGTTTAAAGATAAAGATATTCAAATGTACAGTATTCTGAAATGAATGAATTCACAATGAGTTAACAATACTGAACAATCTTTAAGTTGACAAAGAATCATTCAAAAGGATTCGAGTGGGTCATTTGTTTCGTCGAGAAAACCTAGTAACTAGATGAGTGAAGAAATCTCGTCAAGAAATCTGTGTAGCCCTTGAAAAGAGCTTTCAGAAAATGTATAACACTAAGAGTTTAAACTCAAAGACAAGGGAGTTACAGACGCGCAAAAGTGATGATCGTTTTTCAAATATCATATTTCATTGTCCAGTACTGTATATGCAACGATTTGCTCTTTTTTAGAATTCCTCTAAAAACTTCTTAATTGATTTTGATTTCACAAGTGTTGATAGCTAAAAGATAGCCAATTATCTACAGAATTTCAATCAAATTACAGTTTTTAAATAACTTCTTTAGATTTTAAGTTATCGCTATTCTATGCTATCCTATTTTTGAGCTTTTTTTATTGCAAAAATTTCTATAAAATTTTTACAAACTTTGTTGAAAACTGTTGTAGTTTTTAAAGTTTAAAAATGATAAACAATTCTTTGAATACTTTTAATTGTTTAAGTTCTAAGTTTAACAGATTTTCTTATACTAGTGCCATCATAAAGGCTCACACAAATTGTGATAACTCAAAAAACTAAAGAAGTTACTTAAAAAAAAGGAAATAAGATTTAAATTCTGGAAAAGATTGGCTATCTTTTGAATAGATTTATGAAATAATAACAATTATAGAGGATTCGATCAAAGAAAACAGTTAGCAGTTTAACAGTTTAACAGTTAACAGTTTAACAGTAACAGTTTAACAGTTTAACAGTTAACAGTTTAACAGTTTTACAGTTAACAGTTTAACAGTTTAACAGTAACAGTTTACAGTTAACAGTTTAACAGTAACAGTTTAACAGTTTAACAGTTAACAGTTTAACAGTTTAACAGTTAACAGTTTAACAGTAACAGTTAACAGTTTAACAGTTAACATTTTAACAGTTAACAGTTAACAAGTTAACAAGTTAACAGTTAACAGTTTAACAGTAACAGTTCAACAAACAGTTCATCATAAAGGCTCACACAAATTGTGATAACTCAAAAAACTAAAGAAGTTACTTAAAAAAAAGGAAATAAGATTTAAATTCTGGAAAAGATTGGCTATCTTTTGAATAGATTTATGAAATAATAACAATTATAGAGGATTGAATCAAAGAAAACACAAAGCTAAAGTGAATTAAAAAAGAACAGAACGTTACAATGCTTACTCTTTCACATCTTGTATTCATTTCAAATCAATTTTTCTTAAAAAGCAATCTTTCAATCAATCAAAATGATTTCCTCTAATCTATTTAAAGCTTTTGCTTTGTTTTAAATCTATTTAAAGCCTTGCTTTAACTCAAAAGAAAGATTAGCCAATTTTCTCTAGAATTAAAATCTTATTACCTTTATTTAAATAGATTCTGCTTAAAATGTTTTAAAAAGGCAGGCTTTTAAATGACTTGAAGCTTTGATTCTAGTGGTAACTTTTGAGTGGTGTCCTGGATAATTATTGTCATTTTGTTTTGTCGCTATTCAACTGAATAAAGCATATTATATTATATATATATATATATAACTTTAAGTTTATTCATGTTTTGGCTATAAATAATAACAATGAAAAAGAATTGAAGAGAATTTAAAAAGGAAAGAAAAAGAGGAAATTTCGCTAAACCCTGTTGCACTCTGTTCCTCAAAAACTAAAAGAGTTGCGCGTTTTTTTTTTCGTTTATCTATTTAAAATCTAAAATTAAAATCTTATTACCTTTATTTAAATAGATTCTGCTTAAAAAAGCTTAAAAAGGCAGGCTTTCAATCTTTCAAAATCATTTCCTCTAACCTTTTTAAAGCTTTGTTTTAACTCAAGATTGAATAAACTTAAAGTTATCACTAGAATCAAAGCTTCAAGTGATTTTAAAAAGCCGGCCTTTTTAAGCATTGACAAAACATCATCGACCAGAGCGACAAACGGGAAGTGGACGAGTGGGTGATGCGTGCGCTTTCAACACTGATTGTCTCACTGTTCGTTTTCAGCTTTCATCTTTCATTCATCCTTTTTAGGGAATGTTTTGCAATGGAGGTCTTTGCTCATGTTTGTCCACATATATTGCAGCTGAATCTTATTGTTATCAAAGTAAACTTTTTAGACTTTATTTCCTTATCATTTGAATTTCAGAGATAGATCCAGGGCAACCGGGTTGTGTTTACAATGAACAATGCAGCGCTGTTTGGCCAGGTATCTTTTGACATAAGATTTTTGAGCTAAGTCATCCCATTTCTTAACATAATTTCGGTATTTTGACGATATTTTGAGTGTACAGACGCGTAGTCGTTAACTATTTTGCTGATAATTTGATGTAAACTGAAAAATAAATAGAATTTTGCTGATAATTTGATGTAAATTTAAAAATAAATAGAATGATTATAGTCATTCGATCATCTATATTATAGTCATTCAATCATCTATATTATAGTCATTCGATCATCTATATTATAGTCATTTGATCATCTATATTATAGTTATTCGATCATCTATATTATAGTCATTTGATCATCTATATTATAGTCATTCGATCATCTATATTATAGTCATTCGATCATCTATATTATAGTTATTCGATCATCTATATTATAGTCATTTGATCATCTATATTATAGTTATTCGATTATCTATATTATAGTCATTCGATAGCCCTGAATCTCCTCTTTAAAACTAGTATAAATTTATCAAAAACTTTCTGCAAAATAAATAATAAAAGTTCGTCAAAACAGTTGACATCAAAAATCACTCGTCATTAGTACATCTGTCGTTTCGTTTCGTCGTTTAAATCATTCTTTTCTAGATGCTTTTTGTGACACCTCAGCCGGAGTGGGTACTTGCAGATGTGGAGAGAATAAAGTGGAAAGAGCGACACGAGATGGACACGTTTGTCTTGATATTCATGATGCAAATGATAACACTCTTGCGATCACTTGTCCACTCCCAGAAGGCGCTGGGTTTGTTCAATAATTCATCAACAATAAGTAGAACCTTTTCAGCTACACTTCAGCACTCTCCGATCCAAGACACCCGCGACAGAATGGAGGCCCGGGTCCAGTGCTTTGTAATACGGAAAGCACTCTAACACAACAAGCAGCCGAAGATGTTAGTATTATTATTATTATTATTATTATAGGATTTAAAAGAAATCTATCTCACATTCAAATTCATGAATTATTGATTTCTTTATTAGATGGGTGATGGGAATGCGGGTTGCCTTTTCCCATCAGATGGTTCGTTTATGGCTGATTTGTACGATTGTGTGGAATTTGTTTCCGTTATGGATTTATCAACAGCTGGTTACTCGGAAAAAGCTAATGGAATCTGTTGTCCGAATCGAGGTTTTTTTTTCAAAAAATTGCTCAACATTTCTTTCGCATTCTAGCATTCACTTGTGTTCAACCGACAGCCACTGGCCCGAATCCCACTGAGCCTCGTTGGTGGTGAGCTTTAGCTGAGATTTGTTTGAAATTGTTATGATTAAAATGATTAAAATTAAAATAAAAGAATTCAAACCCGAAGCTGAACTTAAACTTTAGGTACAATGCAATCACTGGAATGTGTCAGCAATTTCTTTGGGATCCAACAGCGAGCGGTTCTGGCGAGCATTCGCCAAACAATTTCCGAACAGTTGAACATTGCGAGAGTTTCTGCAGAGACGGTTTGTTTATAGAATTGCTATAAAGTCTATAAAGTCTATAAAATGTATATAGAAATCAAAGCTCTATAGAATTATCTATAGATATCTATAAAAAAATGATTTTAGCTTGTTCACGGGGTGCTCCAGAGTACGAACAACGATCATCATATCTAGAAGAAGTTCCAGTAACTGGTTCGATAACAATAAAGGTTTTAAATTCATTTATTCATTTAGGCTGCTCTCAATCAACCTCTTGCACATCGAGCTTTGAATGTAAAACGGTTGGAAGTACTCAATGGTGTTGTCCGACTGTTGGTGAGTGAGCTCTAGAGCTCTAAAACAATTAAAACAAATTTCAGGGTCGATTTGTGGAGTGGTTGGTGGTCGTCCTTTAGATCCAACTGCTCATCTTCGAGGCACTGGCTATCATTCTGGAGTTGAGAAACAAGTTGTGTAGCTTTCAATTTTATATTTTATTTTTTAAAAACAGGGAACCGCTCCATCAACAAGATTCTTTTATGATACGACTAGCGGGAAATGTTCTCCATTCACTTATCTTGGAGCTGGTGGTAACTACAATAATTTCTTGTCGAGAATCGATTGCGAGCTCTTTTGTGCAAGATGTGAGTGTCAATATCGTATTTTTCGAGCCGATTTGATGCCTATTTTACGATTTTACATCATAAGCTACATTTTCCGACCCCACATCGATAGGTTCTGATAAACGGTTGTCGAGATTTCGAGGAATTTAGTCGAAGCGGTGCACTACTATTGGAAAACTCTAAAGTTTGTCTGTTTTTTGAGAAAAAGGTTACCGCATTTTTCATAGTCGAGCCGATTTGATGCCTATTTTACAGTTTCCAAGTTTTCCCAGAAGCTCAACCCTCTAATCCCCCACAAGATCACATCATAAGCTACATTTTTCGACCTCATATCGATAGGGTCTGATAAGCACTTTTCGAGATTTCAAGGAATTTAGGCGAGACGCGAATCTATTAGGGAAAATGTGAATCTATAAACTTTTCAGTGCAATGTGATCGAGGAAACCCATTGAGAATCGGTGATGTCACACAGCAATGCCAATCGAATGCTGATTGTCCGTCATCGCATGAGTGCAAGATTGATCAGGGTGTTTGCTGCCCGAGAATGCGTTTGTTCACTTTTTCCCAAACATAGTGTTTCCTTTTCCAGAAACAATTTGCACTCAACCACTCCGTGTTGGCAATTGCGATCGATCGGTGCGAAGATATTGGTGAAAAGAAAGAGATTTTCAAGAAAAAAATGCTGATTCAGGTACTCAGCCACTACTCGAGAATGTCAATCGTTTGAATATACGGGATGTCAAGGGAATGATAACAATTTCGAGACTCTAGTCGATTGTCAAACGTTCTGCAGGAACGCCGCTCGTAAGTTCAAGCTAGAACTAAAGCGAGAACTAGAACTAGAGCGAGAACTAGAATTAGAACTAGAATTAGAATTAGAACTTGAACTAGAACCAGAACTAGAACGAAACCTAAACCCTCAAAAATCCAAAACTTTAGCTGAACCTCGTTGTCTACAAGGTCAATCTTATAAAGATTCATCGGGAAAATTTGTCACTTGTTCAACGACAAGATCAAAATCGACATGTCCTGCAAATTATGAGTGCTATTTTGATGGTAACATGTTCGGATGTTGTCCTACTAAAGGTAAAAAAACTAGAAATTGAAAAGTAAAAGATTTTTAGCTTTTACATGCTCTCTCTCATCTAACGCTGGAAAACAATGTGGTCCTGGAGTATCATTCAAATATTATTACAATGCTCAAACTCAAGTTTGTTTTTGATTAAATTGACTGAAAGATCAAGATTGGCCGAGAGATAAACTGATAAAAGGCTGAGTAATGATTTTGCAAACTTTAGGAATGCGAAACTTTTGAGTATCTTGGTTGTGACGGAAACTCGAACAACTTTGCGACTCGACAAGAATGCGAGGGTTATTGTGGAGTAGGAGGTAGAGAAAGAAAGAATAACAAAGTTACAAATTCAATTCAATCAATGATATTCAAAATTCTAGGCTGTTCAAATGGTGGAACGCCATTGCGTGACTCGTCGGGTGCTTTGCATACATGTTCGGAAAGAGATGGTGGATGCCCGTCCACGCACGAGTGTCAATCAGTTTCACTTGGTGGTGATGTGATTTCGAATCGATGCTGCCCAACGAAAAGTAGCTGGTTTTGAAATTGAAAAGCCTACAATGTTTCTAGGCTATATTTGTGGACTCCCACCTCAACAAGGCTCCTCTATGTGCTCTGGAGGACTCACTGTTGTCACCAGGTTCTTTTTTTTCTCTTATTGCTTTCTGAACAAGCCATTTGTAGATATTATTTCAACATTGTCACGAAGAAATGCTCACAATTTGTCTACAATGGATGTGATGGGAATCCAAATAATTTCGCTTCAATGCAACAATGCAATAATTTCTGTTTAGCTGCTGGTTAGTTTTTGAGCACACTTACAAATTAGAATGAAAAATTTCAGCTTGTGGAGCCGGTGATGTGGTTTATTTGAATCCAAACTCTCAGATGCCGATCACTTGCAATGATGAGATGCAGGTTTGGAAAATGAATGTAAGGGACTTGTAGCTTGTGCTTGAGTTTGGAGGTTAAGAGGTTTTTCCCTTCACAATCGACATCGGCTTAACACCTTGGTGAAAAGGGGAGTTGGAAATATGGGATAGGCTACTTTGCGCCAGGTCTTTTGCGCAACTCGCCATAACTTTCTTCTAAGTCGACCAATCTTTATGTTTTTGGTTTCATTTTGTTGCACTTATTGCGATCTGCAATATGAAACAAAAATCATAAAGATTGGCTTACCTAGAAGAAAGTTATGGCGAGTTGCGCAAACGACCCAGTTGCGAAAATGACCCTGTTGCGCAAATGACTCTATTGCGCAAATAAAATGGCGGAAATTAGCCTACCCCGGAAATAGAGTGTGTTCCTCGCGAGTAATGCGTTTTTTAAAGCGCACAATTGGGACAAAATTACCGTACTTTTAGCAAAAATTATTGCAAAAAAATGACGCAAAAATGACGAGCCCCGCATTATATACGACATTTTTTAAAGATACTCAGCTGTTTAACTGATTTGGTGGGAAATTCCTTTCCAATGTAAAAAATGATTTTTTATTTGAAAAACCTGCGCAAAAAATTGGTTTTATATTTTTTTCGCGCAGGCGCACTTTTTAGAAAACGCATTACTCGACAATTACTCGAGCTATTAATCGATTAAAAAATTACTCATGCAAATTTACTCGAGTAATTACTTACTCGCGAGGAACACACTCTAGTTGAAAACGTCGGTGCTTTTATGGGTTGGGGCTTGGTCGATGTCTGGATTCGAACCTATTGCATACTGAGCGAACGCTCTACCAATAAGCTACACGCGACACGTTTCCCATTGCCACTAGGGAGAGCTTTATGCCTTCTGAGCCTTCTGAGCCTTCTGAAATGGTCAACCTGAGATCGGCTACAGTATTAGTGAAAAGAGATGATGCGTTTAAATTGTTAATGGGACTCTAACTGAGATTGGGTTCCTTTCGAGAATTTCCTTGAGCTCAAGAGCTTCCTCTTTTCTTTTCCTTGAGATTTAGAAAGAGAAAACTTAGAAAAAAAAAGACTATTATAAGATAAAGAAAGATGAATAACATCAATAGAATCATACAAAGTGACTCGTTTGACTCTTGTCTATTCAAAAAATGTTTAGAACAATTGCCCGAAGAATTTCCATTGTGTTTATGATCATTTGACCGAGCAATCGGTTTGCTGTGGAGCCACGGATATGGCCGTTTGTCCTGATGGAGAAAAGGTGAAGTATAGGGAGAGTTGATGATTGATATATTGGTGATTGATATATTGATGATTGATACATTGATACATCAATACATTGATTCATCAATCAATCAATCATAAACCATTTTCAGGCCTATATCAACAGTGTTGACATGACGGTGCGAGAGTGTATGATCAACGAGCATTCCTCTTGTCCCAGAGATTACCTTTGTCGCTTCAATGCTCAGAAAAATCGTTATTTCTGTTGTGGATCAATCAAGAAAAGTCGTTTTTGATTTTGAATTACAAAGAATTACAAAAAAGATTTCAGACTATTGCCCACCAGGACGAGCTCCGTTCAAGGATCAGCAATCTTTACAAACACTCCGTTGCACGATGCACGCCGCCACAAGCTCTTGTCCTGATGGGTAAAGATTATAATGCTAAAGAGTAACAAGATTTCAATTCCAATAAACCAATAAGCACAACTTCTATCTCTGAAAACTAAGAAAATGTGTTTAGTTTTGCCTGTCAGAGTGATCTCACAGACGCTCTTCAAGGATATTGTTGCTCTGTAGCTGGTTGGAAAACGTTTGTCAAAATAAACAAAGGAAAATTTTAGATATTTGTCCAAATCGGGAAGAGTATTTCTTAGATGAATCAACAGGTATGCCGAGGTCATGCACTGTTGGCCATTTTGTCACTTGCCCCACTGGATTCAGTTGTATGACTCAATATGATGGCTTGATTGGATACTGTTGTCGGTGAGTGCTTGTTGTCTGTTGTCCTTGAATTGATTGATATTGTTCCTTGAATTGTTAAACCTCATTTGAACCCTTGACTTTCATTGGACAGGTCCTTTTACTAGCTGGAATTCAAAAAAACTGGCGCCGGACTCGAACCCAGGCTCTCGCTGTCCGGGCCCGCTTACTATATGATTCAGTATGTATCTGTGATTCAGTTCAAGAGGAGCGCCAATGATTGCAGCCACTGACGGATGTCCGCCTGGAGAGATTGTCTACATGGAAAGGAATGAAGTTTGTGGAGATTGCAATGAGTTAAATGATTTATGTTCAGGTGGCGTCCTGTGATCCATTCAACCCGATCAATCAGGGTTGTCCAAACGGTTTCTCGTGTCAATGGTCGATCCGAACACAGAGATATCAATGCTGTGGAGTGGATCCCCTTCCAGCACCAATTGAAAGTAAGGAAAATCGTTGAAACTTATTTGATCTTTACTTTAGATGATGGGTGTCCCGCTCGACAGATTGCGTTCACTGATCCGGACACAAGGAAGCCAAAGGTAAAACTGTTTTTCTAAAAATGACGATTAAAAAGTTTAGATTTGTACATCGGCTTCTTTATCTTGCCCTACTGGGTATTTCTGTCAATTCTCCACTCAGAATAAACAATTCCAATGTTGTGGAATCCCTTCCGATTGTCCGGCTGTTATGGTAAATAAGAATTTATCACTTGATTTATCTAATGATCCATCTAATGATCCATTTAATAATCTATCTAATAATCTATCTCCTTTAGGTAGCTTTTATCGGAATTTCGGGGGAGCCTCAAGGCTGCTCGATGAATGGGGGTAAGTCTTTCGATAGCTTTACTTTAAGAAATAATCTATTTCTTTAAACTTTAATAAATAATAAATAATAAATAAAAGAAATAATAAATAAAATAAATAATAAATAAAAGAAATACTAGAAATTTCAGGAACAGCATGCCCGGATGGGTTCAGTTGTGTGAAAGGGAAAAGTGGCGGAGAGCTTTGTTGCGCCGGTGGAGAAAGTGAGTTTGCTCCTTTGAACCTTTTAAAAACTTTTTTCTATTGCAACAACTTTATAGTTAGTAAAGATTTAATAAGTTTCAATAGCGATTTTCCAGCTTGCGACTCGTCCCAAGTGCAGATCAATGGCGTCTGCCATCCACGGCAACCAGTCGGCGGCACTTGCGTCCACTCGGAGCAGTGTCTAGGTGAGCTTATAGCATACAGCTCTTTAACAAAACAAATAATCCTTTTTATCAAGTTTATCAAAGCTTACAGGTGGAGCCACGTGCAGGGAAGAGCATTGCCTTTGTGGAAGTGGAGAGGTGGAAAAAGCCGGCATCTGTCGTCGCCCAGAACCCCAAACACTAAGTAAATGTTTTAAAAGCTTTTTTTACACTGTATTATATCTTATTCTATAGCTAGATAATTTTTTCAGAATGCACATCAACTCAAGTGCTGGTATTGGAGGAGTGTCTACCGATGGTTTCATTGGGACGCGCTTGCGTTCACTCGGCCCAATGTCGTGGCGGAGGCCGATGCACTGAAGGAGTTTGCGATTGTCCGACCGGCACTTACAGAAAGGCTAGAGGCTTTTCTAAATCTAGATTTAATGTTGAAAAGTTTAGGGAGATGAATGTGTCGCAAGGCAGGAAGAACGACCAAAAGGCCGATCAGTTGTCGATTTGAATAAAGAAGCGAAGGTTGTGGTTAGAATAAAGAAAACGACGTTTAAATAGACGTTTAAAGATTTAGAAAATTAAAATTAATAGAATTTTTTAAATCTAGAAGATTAGAAGTAATAGAAATCGAAAATCGAAAATCGAGAATCGAGAATCGAAAATTCAAGAATCGAAAATTTAGACTGAACCCAAGAAAAACCCAGCTGCAACGATGCCAAATGTTTGCCCGACTGAAAGGCAACCATATTTGGTAAATGGAGAAGCGAAAAAGTAATATTATGAATGAAATAAAATAAACATATTTCTAGATGCACTCATGGGCAAACATGTCCAGCTAGCTATGCATGCATTTACTCAAAAACCGCTCGTCATTACGTTTGTTGTAGCAGAGCGACTACAGCTTTAGCTAATGCTGGTAAGATTATTCTTATAGAAAAAGATTTGGAGACAATTTTAGTGACAACAGATTGGTGTCCTTCTGGTGAGCCTTTGTTGTTCCCAATCAGTCGGCAGCCTGTCGTTTGCACAAGGTATTTGGCTGTCTAGAAATTTGGTTGTCTAGAAATTTGGTTGTCTAGAAATTTGGTTATCCAGAAATTTGGCTATCCAGAAATTTGGTTGTCTAGAAATTTGGTTGTCTAGAAATTTGGCTATCCAGAAATTTGGCTATTCAGAAATTTGGCTATTCAGAAATTTGGTTGTCCAGAAATTTGGCTATCCAGAAATCTAGCTATACAACTTTTTAGGCTCTATTTTTTCCTATTGATATCAAGATAGATTTCTTTCTGCTAAAGTATCAATATCTAGATATCAAAAGTGCCCGACTACATATGCTTGCTTGCGGAACGCGAAAAGTCGTCAATTCTATTGCTGTGCGGTTGATGAGGAGAGTGTGAAAGGGATGAATGGTTTGAGAAAGAAAGGAGCTGCGTTGACGATGAAGGAATATTTGATGAAGGTTTTTTTGAAAAGATGTAGACAAATGATGAGTGAGGATTTTAAGTTGAAAAAAGTTTCTACAAATTCGGCAAACGTTTTCCGGCAGGCTTACTCGATGCAATATGCTCCGCCAAAGAGGCGACAAAAGGTGAATTATCTAAAAAGATTTAATGATTTGTTTTAGGGAAAAGCTAAGCCAGGTCCATGTCCACCGTATCTCGTGATGCTGGAAGTCGAGATAAAAGGGAAAATTGTGAAGAGATGTCGTAAGTTTTGACAAAAGGCAGATAACAACGCTAATAGTTACGCTAATAGTTACACCAATAGTTACACTAATAGTTATGCTAATAGTTACACTAATAGTTACGCTAATAGTTATAATAATAGTTACACCAATAGTTACACTAATAGTTACACTAATAGTTATGCTAATAGTTATGCTAATAGTTACACCAATAGTTACACTAATAGTTACGCTAATAGTTATGCTAATAGTTACACTAATAGTTACACTAATAGTTACGCTAATATTTATGCTAATAGTTACACTAATAGTTAACGCAAAAAACAACACTAATTGTATCAGCTATAAGTTTAGATCAATTAAACCCGAGTAAAATGAACAACTCTAATCGATTTCCCGGTCTTTATCTTCCACAAAACCAGCAAACTCTCAAATTCAGAGTCATCGTGTCCATCAACGATGTCCTCAGTGAATGGGATTTGTAAACTGGTGCGAAAGTTGGCTTCACCATCAAAAAGACCATAGAAATCTTCTATGAAATGATCAATTTCCTCTATCAATCACAAGGGAAATCATTCTGTTCACCGTTTTTTGCAGAAAGTCCTACTTGTGATCTCTGAATGGTCTCAACCCACATCTTTCTTTGTCTTTCATTCGCCTTGTTAAAGGTGTTCGTCTCTTTCTGATTTCGATCTATTCATTCGTTTTTTTAAATATTATATCCATTATTATTCATTAAATAATTTATTATTCATTAAATAATTCATTATTAATTAAATAATTCATTATTCATTATTCATATTATTTTTTAAATGCAAAAGGTTTCCAAAAACCACCCACAGTGTTGAAAAAGCATTCACAAAAATTAGCGGCTTTGTTTCAGGAAAAAAAGTTTTCACCCACTTGAAAAACAAACAAAAAAAATTCTTTTGAAAAAGCAGCTATGCAAATTTTTAAAGAGTTGGAAAGATAGATAAATTGGAATTGGAAAGATAAATAAATAAACAGGTGAGACAAATAAGCATCAAGTGTATAAAAAGCAGAATGAAAATTTCAACTTCATACATATTTTTGCTTCGGTTTCTAACTTTCAATCAGTTTTTGTTTCTAACTTTCAATTAGTTTATCTTACTCTTAGCAATCATCAGCTTAAAGAAAGACTTTCAGAAGCTTAAAGAAAGACGAATGACTTTCAGAAGCTTTAAGAAAGACGAATGACTTTCAGAATGACTTTCAGAATGACGTTCAATGACTTTCATAATGACTTTCAGAATGACTTTCACAATGACTTTCACAATGACTTTCAGAATGACTTTCGACTTTCAGAATAACTTTCAGAATAACTTTCACAATGATTTTCAGAATGACTCGTTTCGGTCTTATGCTCATCTTCGTCTTCGCTTTTGTCGCTGTGATCATGGCCGGCTGTGAAGATACTGGTAAAGCTTGAAATTGAAATTGAAAAATCAAACTTCTATTATAACATAAAATTAGTAAAAGTTCTAAAAAGAAGTTGAAACCTAAAAAACATTGAAAACTCTTTTAGGCAAATACTGCGATGTGTTGAAGAACTTTTGTCATGAGGAAAAATTCTCTCATCTCACCTCAAAGTGTGCCAAGTCGTGCGGTTTATGCTAAACACTTTTTAAGCGATTTCTTTTTTTGGGTTTATCTACTCAGGGATTTTCAAGGTTTTGGACTGGTCATCCAATACATTTTTGGTTTTTGTTTTCTTTTGAATTCTTTGAATGGCAGTTGGTGGCAATAAATATTCATGCAATAAATGAAATTCAATCTAATTAACGAGAAATAACAACGAGAATTATAAAAGCTTTTAAAGAAAAGAGAAAAGAAAAGAAAAAACTATTTCTTGAGAAGTTTATGAATGACTTTTGGATCTAAATCCATTCCCTTCACGATGTGAGTCTCTAGATGTCGCTCAACCTAAAGATTTGCTTTTAAAATTTGTTCTAAAAGATTTCATTTGAAGATTTTCTTTGATTTAAAGCGTTTTGAAGAGATTTTATTGGGAAAAGTTTAAATTTTTAGTTAAAAGTCTTAACGTCAAAAAAGTTTAATATAAAAGAATTTTCTATCTTTGACTAGAGATAAATAGATTTCATTTGAAGATTTTATTTGAAGACTTTATTTGATTTAAAGCGTTTTGGAGAGATTAAACTGAAAACAAAAACGATAAACCCAATCATTACCTTAGCTGTTCTCAGCTTTGCTGATGCTTTGTTGCAAGCTGAAATTTGAGGTTTTCTTAGAATTTCTATTTTTCCCCTTACCTCTAACCATGAGAGCTAATGGAATGACGAAAATGACTCCAAGTGGGCCGATCGTTGTGAAATAGCGATTGTAACTGTGCAAGACGTCGCCAGTCTTCAAAACATCACAATACTCACCTAAATAGACTTCGGCAAACAAAACCAAAACCAAAACAGACCAAAACCAAAACCAAAACCAAAACCAAAACCAAAACACCAAAATCAAAACAAACCAAAACTCAATTTGCATATAAATTAACAGTAATTTAATTGTAAATGCAAATTTAAATTGCAAATGCAAATTTTAATGTAAATGCAATTGCCTTTCCTTTTTCTCACTCCACAAATCTCGCGGCCGAAAAGGACCAAACACGACCTCGAATTTCGAAACAAAAAATGCCTTGGGTGATTTTTGGTGCTGATTTCAATCTGCAAAAGATTTTCGCCAGCTCCTCCCAGTCACGAGTTTGGCGGTTTGGTGTTTTGGTTTTGGGGGGTGTTGTTTGGTTTCGGCAACCTAAAGTTGTTTGAATATTATCACAATACTAAATGGATATTTAGCTAAATAGATATTTAGTTAAATTGTTTGTTTAAGCTAAATTTCTAAGAAACAGTAAAAGAAGTTCTCAGTAAAAGAAAAAAACCGATGTAGATGAAAAAGAAGGCGCCTGGAATTTTCCAGCGTCTGGAATTGAACCCGGGACCCCTCGGACGCTCGACTTGGAAATAAGACTACTAGCCACTCGGCCATAACGCCTACCGCCGACAGGATAAGAATCCCATCTCTATACCTGAGTAAGGATCTTCGCATCGACACCTTGTGTGATCCCCATTCGGAGCTCCATTTTCTCCACAATCAATTCTGTCACAATCGGCTCCAGCCCATCCTTTCACGCATGGCTCACAACTTAAACAAATATTTGTCTTTTTAACTTTTTTATTTAGCTTTTTATTCATTTTCTATTTGATCGACTCTACTAGATCTTTTTTTTTTGCACTAACCTTCCATTAGGTAATCGCTCCAACGTATCACAGTTCATTTTTCGGTGACACATCGTCCCAGTGTACCCGAAATCACACAAACAGATCCCATTCGCCAATGTACCTATTAATAAGCATTTTATTTCATTTAAAAGACTTCTTTCATAGAAAAACTACTGAATTTGTGGTTTGTCAAAAAGTTTTGAGAGTAAAAGGGTTTATTTTATGCTTTGGAATGGTGTAATAAAGCCGATAAATGTTGAGCTTTTTAAGCTTTTTTTTATATAATAAATACCAGAAGATTTTTTTGGAGGAAAAAGCAAAAGAATTGGCGGCAAGAGGAGGCGAACCCGCGACCTCTCTCTTCCGTTCGTCTGAAAGACGCGCGCGTTAACCACTCGACCAGTAGATGGCGCAGTGCGAGTGCACTTGTCTTTAGCCCACACGACCCGGGTTCGACTCCCGCTCGCGTCGGTACTTTTGGTTTTTTAGAAATTTAAAAACATGTTGCTCAACTACATGAAATTCTAAGCTAAACTAACTATAAATCATTTGAAAAGGCCTTGGTTTCTGCGTAGCTGCCCAACCAAACGCAATCGTTGACCGTTCAGGGCAGCTAAGAAATTCGCTCGATTTAGAATCGTTTAATCAAGAGTCGGCTGTATTTCCATAGGCAATTTATATTTTATTTTCCCAACTAGTTTAAAAAACAAACCGTTCACACATTTCTTCTGTCCCGGTGGTGGAGAAACGACGGCACAGATGCATAAAGAAAGGAGTCCAAGTAATCGCATCGTTAAGCAATGGTCAAGAAGCACAAAAACGTGAAAAAATTCTAGCAGATAATCAGCGTAGCGATAGTGTATAGTGCGAATGGAAAAGGTGGAGAAACGACAAAAAAAAAGGAGAGTGTCAGTCAGTCTCAAGAAAGGCAGAGAGAAAAGATCGGAGAAGATGAGAAAAAAGAGTGAACGGGTAAATTGGTCCCCATTGCCCCAATTGACCTTCAAAGTATTGCGGTTTTCGCGGCTCGACCCTATCTTTCTGTTGTGTCAAACGGGGAAAGCGAAATCCTCCACTCATATTTCGACCACTTTTTAGCTCTCTTGTGTTTCGATCGACTTCTGAAGTATAGTTTAAGGCTCTACCTTACAAAATCTTTCATTTACTTACAGCTTTTGCTCGACTTACACCAGATAAATCATCTCAAGAAATCTCCTTGATCGATTTGATTGACGAGTTTTTCTCGATTTGATGAGACAGAGAAAAAAAAAACTTGCAGCTCTCTTTTTCACGACCGATTTCGCGATCCAATCAGGAACCAAATATTCTGTTATTTGTGATCTAACCGAAATGTGAAGATTTATTAGAGAAAAGTGACAAAAGTCAGAGATTTGCAGATTGAGCAATATGGCATTAAAGATCGGGTACAGGGCTTGGTTTTAGCAAACTATTTAGCATTTAGCAGTTTAGCACTTAGCAGTTTAGCATTTAGCATTTAGCATTTAGCATTTAGCATTTAGCATTTAGCATTTAGCAGTTTAGCACTTAGCAGTTTAGCATTTAGCATTTAGCATTTAGCATTTAGCAGCTTATCATCAACAATTTATCATCTAGCAATAAATTTACGAAATTCAAACTTGCTAAATTCTACATAGTTTGCTCTAAACTTGCTAAATTCGCTAGTGAAATCGAAAATTTAGCTTAATTTAGCAGTTGGTGCAACTGAGTCCAGATAAAAAGCTCATCAGCACATGTAAATGTAAATTATTTTATTATATTTTTAGAATTGTAAAAAGATAAAGAGAAAAAATGGACCGATTAGCGTTATTGAAAAAATTTGATTTTGACTTTTTGGAGTAGTGGTTACGATTTCAGGTCGGCGAGCTATTTTGGAGAAATTTCCCGTGGAATTTGATGACTCTTCTTCGTAAAGTATTGTACTGAAACAGAAGTTACTCTTTATAAAATTACCGTATTTTTCCTAATAGTAGTGCACCGCTTCGACTAAATTCCTCGAAATCTCGAAAACTGGTTATCAGAACCTATCGATGTGAGGTCGGAAAAAGTAGCTTATGATGTGATCTAGTGGGGGATTAGAGTGTTGAGCTTCTGGGAAAACGTGGAAACTGTAAAATAGTCATCAACTCGGCTCGACTATGAAAAATGCGGTAACCTTTTTCTCAAAAAACAGACAAACTTTAGACTTTTCTAATAGTAGTGCACCGCTTCGCCTAAATTCCTCGAAATCTCGACAATCGCTGATCAGAACCTATCGATGTGGGGTCGGAAAATGTAGCTGACGATGAGATCTTGTGGGGGATTATAGTGTTGAGCTTCTGTGAAAACTTGGAAACTGTAAAATAGTCATCAACTCGGCTCGGTACCGTGCACTACTATTAAGGAAAATACGGTAGTTGCTATTGATATGTATTACATACTTACGTGATTTCGCTTTCTCCAAACGGCTGGCTTTGCAAATCTTTCTGTGGTTCTTTTAGCTTTGAAGTAAACGTGATCTTATTCCATAATACCTACAAGATATCAAATTTTTCAAAGCTTTTACCTTCTACTTACTGTAACGATTGATTTCGGTGGTAATGTGAGTATCAGCTGGCTAAATGGCGTCGCATCGTCGACAACTAAATCGACAACTATTTGGTGTACCTTTCTACTTTATACCAGAGATATTCCATGAATAGCTAGAGTTTTTATTGTAAAGAATTAAAGCCCGGCTTCCATCTGGATTCACAAAAGCTGAGTGTGAAATATCGGAAACACCTGAAATCGATTTTTCTAGATTTCCGATTTTCGGACATTTAACCCCACTCCTTTTCCCATTAGCAATCCAACTTTGAGCTCAAATTTGGTATTAGGCTTTTCAACTTCAATACTTTTTGTAACAATCGACAGAGAAAGACTTGACGCATCTAATGATACAAAGAATATTTCAATTGAACAGCCCAACCCCAAGAAATTTGAGCTCAAAGTTAGGCAAAAGTTTTTGTTCGTTTCGGCTTTTCAATTTCAATACTTTTTGTAACAATCAACAGAGAAAGACTTGACGCATCTAATGATACAAAGAATTGAATGAAGAATTCAATTGAACAGCCGTCGGGCTTGAAGGTTTTCCGTTTCTGTATGTGTGCAGTCTACAAAGTAGTGCAGGCAGGAAAAGGTTGAATGTAGTGCCACTCTATCACAGCGGTAATTTTTGGCACCCGACACGACCCACTAGCCCCCGGCTCGGTTGTTCACGAATGAACACCAAGAAATTTGAGCTCAAAGTTAGATTGCTAATGGAAAAAGAGCCGGTAAATATCCGATAACCAATTTTTCCTGCACAAACCAATCCCTTTCCTGGAGAATTCGGATGCCATATAATCAGCGTTTTCACCAATAAATTTACTGAAAATAATAGTTTGAAATTGATATTTCCATATTGATATTCAAACAATACCTGAAATGCCCGATCGCATAAAACATTGGCTGCTTCATAAAGCTTTTGTTGTGTTTGTCGACCACGATTGCTGCATCCAAATTGTTGCCAATCTGAAGCCACCATCGTACTTATTGTATGCGAAATTCTTACCCAAGATGGTCCACCACTTGTATCAACACACAAATTATAGTCAATCCATCCAGTGACACCATTGTTGACAGTCTGTAGAAAAACGTATTTGAATATTTGAACACTTTTCATTTAAACCTCCATCATTGACTCGACATATTTCTCAGCGCGATTCCAGTCACCCAAAAGCACATCATTTGTTAGCCAACCGTTTGCAGACTTGAAATTATTTGATAGACTCATCTAATAATGACCGTACAGTCGCGTAGTCTAACAATAGTGACCGTACGGTCGCGTAGGTTGCCCCTAACCTAGGTCCCCAATAATGACCGTACAGTCGCGTAGTCTAACTTTAAACGTCTCATTCTCCGCACTTCGTTAATCTACAGTGTGGGCTTTGATGTCAAATGGTAGCTCTTGAAATCTAGTATTTTGAAAAAGTCTAGGAACTGAGAAAAAGATGATTTTCTAAAAAGAAGTTAGACTACGCGATTGTACGAAGAAATGGCGTTCTATTAGAGTACGGTATCTTTATTTTAAAGTAATAACAGAGCTCACCTCTGTGTAAAGCACGTATTTCGTTGCCCATTCAGTGACCACATTTCGTAAGATATTTGTACCAATTTTTGTGTCAGCATACCTAAAATTTTGATTGACTTTTTGAAAATTTATGATCTACCAATGAATCCCGATGCCTGAGCTGTAGTTGAACGCCTTTTCGTTTCCACAAATTTCCTATTGTTTTTCAGTGTAAAGCTCAAAGAACCTGATGTTTAAATACCTGCGAGTACAGCTCCAATTGTTCTCTACTGATCTCGAGTGGGAAAATGTGCAGATCTTTTGTGATTTTATTGCTTCTGGAAATTTGAGTAATTTGTTTGTTTGTTTGTTTATTTGTTTATTTGTTTTTCGAACTTGATTGCTGGTCCGAGGTATTTCGAGACAAATTCTGAGAGCATTTGTGGCGAGAAATACATAGCTTGCCATGGGAAATGCGCAGACCGAGAAAGATTTGGCTCGTTCTAAACGAAAAGCGATCGATTAGATATCTAGCAGACTTTAGCGATTTTAGCGATCTATTTGACTTTCAATCTATTTCTTTCAGTCTCATATTTCGAGAGACTCCCCAAATTTTCTCTGTTTGAAGCGTTTTCACAGTTTGTTGGCAATCGAAATGTTGTTTTTCGAGATTAGCGTATTCGAAAATCGAAATTGATATTGTTTACTCCAAAAAAATAACAGAAATAGCTTTGTAAAGTAAACGAATTAAGAATTCAGTTTATAACAAACAAAATGAACAGCCAGGACTACCTTTGATAATTTTTGAACAAAGATTTTCGCCCTTTTTACTTCCCCCCCCCCCCAAGCAAACCTCCCGCAACCCCCTAATCCCCCCCCCCCCTTGTGTTTTTTAAAATTTTACTTTGTGGGGGTTGGCCGCGGTTTTGTGTATATTTACTGTTACTCTTTTTAATTTCGTTTCTTTGATGAATTCACGGGTTCACTAAAAAAACACAATAAATTGATTATTAAGTGAATTTAAAGCGCTTACTCAAATTTTTGATATTGCTTTTACTATGTTAATGATCATTTATTGCTCATTTAAGGTGTCTCGAAATTTGGTGTCCTAAATTTCTTAATTCGTTTACTTTACAAAGCTTTTTCTGTTATTTTTTGGAGTAAACAATATCAATTTAGATTTTCGAATACGCTGATCTCGAAAAACAACATTTCGATTGCCAACAAACTGTGAAAACGCTTCAAACAGAGAAAATTTGGGGAGTCTCTCGAAATATGAGACGCACTGTATATAAAAGAGTAGTGTTTTTCTGTCCATCCATTTAAAATCAAATAATTAAAAAGTTAAGTGGCTGTGGCACTGCCGGTGGGTCGAACCCGGACCAAGTGGGCTGTAGACAAGGGCGCTGCCGACTGTGCCACAGCGACAAGGCGGTGGCACGGAATGTCTAGCCAGAAAAACCGCCATCATCTGGTTTTTTGGCTGCTTTCCATATAAACTGACTAATAACCGTCATAAGATCACAAGCTTTTCAAATTTTTTCAAATTTTGATCAAATTCTTCTGTACTTAAGTTTCTTTGACGTTTTTCAAGCTTACTTCAACTTTCAAGCTTCAAGCTTTCAAGCTCAAGATCAGCGCCTATATTTTCCAACTCACTTGAGCGGAAACAGCGTAAAAGTGTATGCCACGTTTTGCAAATTCTTCGAAATACCTGAAACTATTTTCCCGATTATGAAAAGTTTTGGGAACCTGAGCAAATATAAGGCATAGACTTTCCACATGTCGATTCGATCGACCTCATGCAATAATACACCGGCGCCCTGAAATGGAATTGAAAGGAGAGATGTTTGGCCAAAAAAAAATCGACTATGAGAAACATTGTTTCCTTGATTTATGTTGAAAATTGAAAATCAAATACAAATAATTCACTTGAGCTCTTCCATTTGATTTCATCCAGAATGGAGCCGTCCATGGAGTGGCCAAGAGTTTCAGAGAACCATTTCTCAAGGAAAGTGCTTCTCGTAGAATTGGGATCTTGAGAATTCAGTTATTCAGTCTTTGACAAATCAACTAATTATTTTGTTTTGTTTACTCGATGCTCAAGATCTTCATCAGCAAGTGAAAAATTTGACAGATTCACATCACCACTCCAATCATTGTACGAATAGGGACGAGTCGAGAAATCATTGCTTCCGATCGGAACTCGACCAAAAGAATACTCAATTCCTGAATTTTTATTTAAAGGGGGATTAATCGCGGCCGGGGACAAAATTTACGGCAACCACTGTTTTTTATTTTAATATCGCTGATTTTATTATAAAAAGAATAAAAATCACCCGGCTAGAGTGATTTGATGGGTTTACAAATTTTTGGAGATGCTGCAAGGCTTGGAGGAAAACAAGATCGTCACTCATCAGACACCTCAGCACAGTCTAGATCGATTGAGTTTTAGTTGCAGATAGATTTAAAAACAAAATAAAAAGCACAAAAAGTAATAAAAATAAATTGTTAATCTATAATTCTTCCTCTTGCTCACTTTCATCTTCGCTCAAGTACAGCAGTTCGGCTCAAGTACAGCAGTACAAATCGGCTTCCTATCTTATCAATTTCCAGCGCATCTTCACCAAAAGTGACTGGATCTCCTCCATCGTAGGACGTCTTCAGCGCTTTGATTGACACAATTAGATCTTTTTTCATTTGTGGTCGCTTATGGTTTTAGTTTCCCCAAATAGGTGCCTTTTAGCTGAGGTGTCTGATGAGTGACGATCTTGTTTTTCTCCAAGCCTTGCAGTGTCCAAAATTTGTAAACCCATCAATCACTCTAGCCGGGTGATTTTTTCTTTATAATAAAATCAGCGATATTAAAACAAAAACAGGTGGTTGCCGTAAAAAAATTTTTATCGTCACCCGGCCGCGATTAATACCCCCCCTTTAAACTTAATTTCAAATTCAAATTTCAAAGACTATTTTACCATCGACTCCAAAATAACTTTCTAATAAATGTTTGCGTGCTCTCTCAGGCAAATTATCGATATTCCAAACTGCTGCATCAGTGAATGTGCCTCCTGAGTTGGTTTTGATTTAATTAATCGAGTAAAATCACCAAATCCTTTCATCTTTTGTCTCAATTCAGTGGGGAACACGGTGAGTACGGGTGAGTGGTTTTCTAAACGTTTTTTTTTGACTGGGATTATGGCTTTGACTGGGATGGCTTTGGGTACCTTGTATAGCATCAAAATTTGCCGATGTTCGCTTCATTCTGAGACCGGCTTTGGTAGTTGTATAAATTATTGCCTTATAATTTTTGATTGTATGAATAGCTTATAAGATAAGGAACCTGGTTTTCCGTGTTAAGATCACCAACTTTTTCGATCGTATCACAATAGTTTTCATGGCATAAACAGGTGATATGGCGCTGGCCATCTCTATAAGAAGTTAAGCGGGATATTTGAAGTTTTGGGAAAATTATTCGATGATTTGAATCGCTTGTCTCACTACAGTACAAACAAAAATCAGTTGACAAAGCTGAAAATTGCTTCAATTGAAGCCAGAGTCCTTTATCCGGCATACTGTAGTGAGACAGACAGACAGACAGACAGACAGACAGACAGACAGACAACAGCGGCGACGACAGACAATAAACAGACAACCATATCTCATTCAACCTTTGACAAACCTGTCTTGAAAATGTTGAAAACAATCTTTTGTGATTTGTGATACCACTAAAAGCATTTTCAAATTCAAAATCGAAAACTTTATTATACCAAAATCTGTAAAGATTAGAAGAAAAGGCACTCGACTCAAAAAAGTCATCCCAAAATAAGCGACGGTGATCACATCGAAACCCTTTTTCAACCTGAAAACAACTATTTTTTTGATTCAAAGTATGAAAAACTGTACAATAAATGGAGAATCGTTCAAACAAAGAAATTCATGAAGAAAATTTGCGTCGGGCTTTCCTGGGAATTATAGGCTTTTTCGCTCGTTTCACTCAATCGTACAATTAGTGGATATTTCGCTCCCGATACCAAGGTGAAAATGCCATTTTTCCTGCCCACCTCAAATTCCAATTAATTTCTCTAGACCACCTTATCTCTTTACAGAAAAAGAATTTTGAATTGAAAGAATATTGCTCAATCTCTTGTCTCGTTACAGTATGCTGGAGTGAAAAGTATTCAAGCGTCAAGATTGCAGTTTTTTTCAAAAAAAAACTTTCCTAAACAAAATGTTTTTAATATTTTACAATATTTTAAACAGAATCAACAGTTGCTCGGAGATAAGAATGGGGTATAATTTTGTACTCGATGAGAATTTAGTCATTAGCCTTTGAGAAAGAGAACGGATTCATCAAATATGCAAAAGAGCGGATTAGGCAAGGCGGGGTATTTGAATGGAACGGCTGATATTAGTTTTGTTCAAGATCTATTCAAAGAAGCCCGCATCGTTCACTTTAGTATTTCTAGTGGAAATTGAAAAGAAGGGATTTAAATGTGGGATAATGTGAAGAATGAAGAAGTGCGGTGTTGATTAGAAAAGGCTTTCTTAATAATTGTGAGATTGTGATGACGTAAATTCATTGCAAAAACAATATTCCGTGCAAGAACTTGAGTGTTTCAGTGTATTTTGATGTTCAATTAGCAGAAATTGCCGCCGTTGACCTCTATTTCTCTTCATAGCTGAATTTTCTTACTGTAACCAATAGTATTTTCGCTAAATAGTCCTTGAAATAACTCTGAACCTTTCCACAAAACCTTAATAAATTTTTATTTATACACAATTTACTTACAAAAATTGTTTATTCGGTTAAACAACTGAATATTAAGCTAGTGAATGTATTTACCGTATTTTCTCTAATAGCATTGCACGCCAACGAGCCGAGTTGGTGACTATTTTATGGTTTCCAAGCTTTTGCAGAAGCTCAACACTCTAATCCCCCACTAGATCTCATCGTCAGCTACATTTTCCGACCCCACATCGATAGGTTCTGATAAGCGGTTCTCGAGATTTCGAGGAATTTAGGCGACGCTCATGGTGCACTACTATTAGAGAAAATACGGTAACCAAATTTCTTGTCTAGCCTTTAATCGATTAATCGATCTTTAATCAAGTGAGTGTTTTTGTTTTGTCCCCCAAGTGACACAAAGCTGTCACATTTTTTTTGTTGAGCTGACTCAGCAATGACTTGCGAAATCTTATCATTTCAAACAGCCAATAGTTTATGTTTGACTTTAGGAAATTCAATTTGCGTGGTTCTTTTCCCCCATAACCCTTTAACGTGTTGCAATCTATTGAGGCTTTTCTAAACATTCTAAAAGGAATACCTAAATTTGTGTCGTGGAAGCGACGGGAAACGGCCGCAAAAGAGGAGAGAGAGGCGGCGGCGCGGTTGCGCGGATGCTGTGACGCGGCTTTCCTCTTCGATTTTCTCCTCCACATCCAAACATCCAAACCCCCTTAGGCGTCTCGGACCTCTCAATGCCCCAATCGAAAGGGACAGCTCTCTTGTTTTTTAAGCGCTCACTGCACCTTTTGTCTTGAAATACTCAATACTCTCGATTTTCAACAATTCTAATCTAATCACTCACCTTTATTGATGAGAAAAACAGTGATTTCGTAATTTGATCCCTTGTTTATCGTTTAAAGTCAACGGTATACGGATCGATTTTTGTCAATTGTCTCTCTTCTGTCGACCTGACCCTTATCGATTCATTTCGTTGCCCGATTTTTCTTATCGGTGTCACGCTGTCTATTTCTTAACCCGAACTTGATTTATGAAGACCTAAATTTATTTTTTTTGTTTTAGAAATGGAGAATTATGGGACGGCCCCATCATCGGCCGAACATCCCGGCATATTTCGATCCGAGGAAATGTGCCTGGCCCAGTTATTCATTCAAAGCGAAGCTGCCTACAACTGTGTAGCAGAACTCGGTGAATTGGGCTTGGTGCAATTCAGAGATGTGAGTTTAATATATTTTTTAATCTCTTGATTAGCTAAAGCTAAATGTTGTTGTTTTTAGTTAAACCCCGATGTGAGCGCCTTTCAACGAAAATATGTGAACGAAGTTCGACGTTGTGATGAAATGGAGAGAAAATTGAGTATGTTTTAAAGTTCTCTTTTTAAATTGAACGTTTTGTTTAGGGTATTTGGAGAGGGAAATCAAGAAAGATCAAATTCCGATGCTTGACACCGGAGAAAATCCGGATGCACCACAGCCCAGAGAAATGATTGATCTCGAGGTATCGTTTTCAAATACCTAATATTATTTACATTTTGTTTAGGCAACTTTTGAAAAGCTTGAAAACGAGCTGCGCGAAGTCAATCAAAACGAGGAGACGCTCAAGAAAAATTTCAGGTATTTCAGAAAGTTTTGTTTTAAATTAGTGCGATTATAGTGAGCTCACCGAGCTGAAACATATTCTACGGAAGACACAAACGTTCTTTGAAGAGGTAGATGTTTGTTGAAAATCTTTTTGCGCTTTTTGAAAAGTACATCTGGTCACAGGTCGGGTAAATGGTGGTGGAGTCTTGAATAATGCTAAATTCAAAATCCTAACAAAAAATTTGTGCAAGTTGCCCAGTTGCCTAGTTTTTTTGGCAAGTGTTGTAATGCGCTTAATTATATGCACGCTCTTAGCAAGACTAGCACTATTTTTAGAGACTTTAATGCTGAATGTTGTGACTAGAAAAAAAATTGTTGCATGTAAAGAAAAGAAAAGAGTGGAATGATTTTGTTTTGCCATTTTTCAATGGAAAGTATTGTTTTTGGTGGGACATGATCGATGGCGTTTTGATGCTGAGAAAACTCGCACACAATCCACCGGAGAGCACGCACCATTGATTCAAATTGATGACGACGAGCCGCCGTTTCCAGCAAGCAGCTCAATGCTTGCCCAACTCCGCCTTGGGTAAGATAGGTCAAAAGCTACTAGCTAGGTAACACGGCAACTACCGCACAGATTTTGGGAGTCTTTTAACGTTTTATTTGCTTTTTCGAGTGGTTGTCTTGTCCCTATTTTGTATTTTTACGTGCTTGTGCTTGATTTAGAGTTAGGTTTGAATCTTGGCGCTTCTGAATGATGGACTTTATTAATATTTTCATTGTAATTCCTTAAATATGATTAATGGTTAGGCTGGAACCGAGGGAATAGCACCTCCAGAAGCGATTCATGATACTGAGACTCTTGAACTCACATCCGTCCCCACCGGCACCATGTTTGCCAACTTTGGGTAAGGTCGCCGTTGTAATGTTCTATCTAGTTTCTTTTTAAACGCTCCTGCATGAAAATAGATTAACCATGTAACCTTGTGACCATGATGTAGTGTCTTTAATTGTGAAAACAGATTAGCGCGTCATTCAATCTGTTGTGGTGTCATTGTGGTTATTTATTGCGTATCTATCTCAGCACGAGGATCTTGTGGCCGAATCATCGCTAATCAATGAGGACGACCAAGAACACACCTCGTCTTTTGATCACACTCCCTTAAAGCTTCAACTACGGTAGGACTGTCAAGATGCTAATTCAAGCGACTTCTTATCTGTGTTTTGGTAGTTGCCCAAAATGTTGTGCGGTAGTTTCATTTTAAAAAGCTTCGAGACTAGTTTTTATTTTTTTAGATTTGTGGCTGGTGTGATTCAACGGGAACGTTTACCAGCCTTTGAGAGGCTGTTATGGCGGGCTTGTCGAGGAAATGTATTCCTTCGACAGTCGGATATTGATGATGTCATTCAAGATGCCGTTACGGTAATTATAGATATCTTTCTTACAAATTTTAAAATTTAGGGCGAGTCAGTTAATAAGACGGTTTTCATTATTTTTTTCCAAGGAGATCAACTAAAAACCAAAGTAAAGAAGATTTGTGAAGGGTTGGTTTATTGCATTAATTTGTAAGAAAATACTTATTTAGGTTTCGTGCAACATTGTATCCTTGCCCTGACACCCCCCAAGAAAGGAGGTTGGCCTAATATTAACTGTTGTTTACACAAACTATTCAGGGAAATGTCGATTGGTGTGATGACTCGAATCGAAGATTTGAAAACTGTTTTGGGACAAACTCAAGACCACCGTCATCGTGTTTTGGTAGCCTTTTTGCTCACGATACATGAAAAAAAACTTGCAGGTTGCTGCCAGCAAAAATGTCAGAATGTGGCTCACAAAGGTGCGGAAAATCAAGTCGATATATCACACTCTTAATCTCTTCAACATTGATGTTACACAGAAATGTTTAATTGCGGAATGCTGGTAAAAGTCACTTTTAAAATAAGTATATATTTTATTATTCTAGGTGTCCAATGGCTGAGCTTGATAGAATCAAAATGGCCTTGAAACGTGGAACGGTTAGTTTTATTTTACTGTCACATTCATATATATCAAACGTTAAATTGAAAAAATATTTTTAGGAAGAATCTGGATCACAAGTTCCATCTATTTTGCAACGAATGGAAACCTCGGAGGACCCACCAACCTATCACAAAAGCAACAAGTTTACTCGGGGATTCCAGGAGATTGTCGATGCCTATGGAATGTCCACATATCGTGAAATTAACCCAGGTAAATATAAACGCACAACTAGATGCAAGTGTGTAACGAATGGAAACGTAGGAAAACAACCATTTTTAGCTCCTTACACGATGATCACATTCCCATTCTTGTTTGCGGTCATGTTTGGTGATATGGGTCACGGTACAATCATGTTGCTGGCTGGACTGTTCTTTATTCTGAAAGAGAAACAACTCGAAGCTGCTCGAATTAGCGACGAGGTAGACTTTTTGAAATACTCTTCTATAAATTTCTTCAGATTTTCACCACCTTCTTTAATGGCCGATATGTTATCTTTTTGATGGGAGCTTTTTCAATTTATACCGGCTTTATTTATAACGATCTCTTCAGGTTTGTTCACTTTTGAGTTAAAATTTGATGTTGTTGTTTAGCAAATCTGTCAATATGTTTGGATCGTCGTGGGTCAACACTTACAACTACTCGAGTTTACATGCAATGTTTGACCCTCAAAATGGTAATGAAGAGAAATCATGGATGATAATTCCCGAGCGAGGATATTTGGTGGGCTACAGTTGCAAAAGTTAATTTATTTACTAAAATTTAGAATGATCATGGGCCTTATCCGTTTGGTGTTGATCCAGTGTGGAATTTAGCAGAAAGCAACAAGGTTCATAAACGCCATTGAAGCGTTTAGTATTTTCAAGTTTATTTAGCTGACTTTCTTAAACTCAATGAAAATGAAGGCTTCGGTCATTCTTGGTATTGCACAAATGACGTTTGGAATTATGCTCTCACTTTACAATCACCGGTAAGGATGTTCTAAGGCACTTGTAAAATTTGCTTTAGATATTTCAAATCTGATCTCGACATTAAATTCATGTTCATCCCACAAATGCTGTTCCTCGCCTCGATATTTATGTATTTATGCTTGCAAATTATTGTCAAATGGCTATTCTTCGCGTCGACGGTGAGACATTTCGTTAAAAGTTCATGGGCAACGTATTTAGCCATCACGAGTACTTGGCTATGACTACCCCGGTTCTTCCTGCGCGCCATCTTTACTTATCGGTTTGATCAACATGTTTATGCGAAAGGTAAACATTTATAAGGAAATTATAACTTAACTTATGTTTTAGTCTGGACGTGAAACCGGCTTCACTGGACCCCAATGCTATTTGAACTTTTGGTATCCTGGACAGGTCTTTATTTTGACTTTACTCATCCAAATTTGCTTTTACGGAAAAGCGCGCAGTTCTAGACTTACCTCTTTTAGTCATTCTTCGAGTTTATCTTCCTCAGCGTGGCAGTCATTTGCGTGCCAGTAATGCTCTTTGCTAAGCCATATCTGATGTGGAAAGAAGATCAACAAAGACGTGGCCAAGGACACGCGCATTTGGTATAAGCGGCCTAATTGGTCATTGCTAGTGAAACACTGCGCGTTCCCCACCCACTCGTGATTGTCTTTCTTTACCAAATTGTTTAATTTTGTGAAAATGTGAAAAATTTTTCTTTGATTTAAAGAACGACAATCCCGGTTTAATGCATGTTAGATGGGTGATGAGTTCCGTTGTGTTTACAGAGCTGGGTCGAGTTGGTGTTGTTGGTGGTGGCCGTCGTGCAAATTCCCATCATGCTTTTCGCAAAACCATTCTTCTTAAAGCGACGTTCAAAATCGCACCAAAGATTGATCAATTCACATCACGATGATCAACCGGCAACTTCCTACGGTCACCACGAGGCAAGACAAGTTCTTTCTATATTAGATTGATTTAATTAACTTCTTGAAAATTTAAAGTCAAACTTCAACACCTACTTGGCTCAATAACGTCTAACTCTGTCATTCTTTACTCACCCTAACCGTTTGCACGAAAGCCACTCTTTCTATTCTTTTTGGTTTCATTGGAGTAGTAAGTAGTGCGTGCATGCTTGTTGTGATAGAAATTTTAATTACCTTCGCTTATTTTTCAATTTTAGAGTGTTCGAGCTGATATCAATGGAGATGATGTCGAGGTCGTGCAACATCATGATGAATCAGCAAAGCAAAATGGTGGCGGTCATGGAGGTCATGGTGGACACGGCGATGGACCAGTATATATAAAAATTAAACATGTATTCAATTTGAAATTTAGCTCGATATGGGTGACGTGATGGTCTACCAAGCAATCCATACCATTGAGTTTGTACTCGGTTGTGTTTCACATACTGCATCTTACCTTCGATTGTGGGCACTTTCTCTAGCGCATGCACGTAAGTTTTAAATGATGCAAATCTATAAACGAATGGCAGTCTCTGTCAATTTTAAATATCTATGATTTTAGAACTATCGGACGTGCTTTGGACCATGGTCTTCCGTCATGCATTTGGCTTCAGTGGCTATTTGGGCCCCTTCGTCACGTACGCGCTTTTCTTCGTGTTTTTCTTCCTCTCACTGGGCATCTTGGTTTTGATGGAAGGCCTTTCCGCATTTCTTCACGCACTGCGTCTTCATTGGTTGGGCTCTTTAAATGTTAAGTTTTAATCTTAAATTCAGGGTTGAGTTTCAATCGAAATTTTATGGTGGACAAGGCTACGCTTTTGCACCATTCTCATTCGAAAAGATACTTGCCGAGGAAAGAGCTGCCGAAGAACAACTCTGATGAAAAGCATTTATTATTTTCCGAATGAATATTTCCTACAAAATCCGAGCTTCCTTTAGATTTCATTTAGTCCTTAAACCTATTACGATGTTTATAAGCTTTGATTCATTGTTTAGGTGTCAGTCTCACTTGTGATTGGATTAGTATTTTTCAAGCCAAAAATTAATTACTTGATTCTATTACTGAAAGCTGTCAATTAGTTTTCTCTGTTTTCAAGGGTAGTCGTGTGCTATGAATGACAAAAGCTTTTAATTGTAACTTTTCGGTGATATTCCGTGAATCTTTATTATTATCATTAACTTATCAAGCTATTAGTTCTGAATAAAGCATATTTTCAATTTTTTAATCAAATACGGGCTAAGCCCTCTTCAATGCAACCACAGTTATCGGAATTTTGATTTAACGGAGATTAAGTTTCGCTGAACTCGATGAATATTATACGCCCTCTTGAATTTTTAATAAAACCAGGTCTTGCTTTTTTGATAGTTTTTTTAAAGCATTTTGCTAGAAAAATCGGCCATTGTTTGGCTGAATGGCCATGTTGGTAATCGGCTAACAGACCGTTTGTGGAATGCATCTCGATTACGATATGCTGCTGATGGGGCCGCAAATATTATATACGACAACTTAAAGAAGTAAGGTTTTCCTTTATTCACTTATTTTTTAAATTCGGTTTTTAGAAGAAGTTTGCAACCACCGCATAAAGTAGTTGGTGACATGGACTCGATTGATCCTCAGTTATTGAAGCGGCTTACGGTTTAAATTTGTTTTTATATGTATTATAAAATATTGGTTTAGGCTGAGGGAATAATTGAACATATTACTGAACAGGATACGACTGATATGACAAAAACGTTTCGAGTGCTTGCAAAGAACCTGGAGAACGATTCAATAGTTATTTTTATATGTGCAAAACAGATTTTCAGGTTATTTTCAGATTTCCAATATTCTTGTTTTGGGCGGTTTGGGGGGACGCTTTGATCATGTATTCGCGTCACTTAAAACCCTTGTTTCGGAAATGGTTGGTTCTTAATAGTTCTTTATACAGTTTTCTGTAGAAACCATACTCGATACCAAAACTGAGCCTTGATGATATCAACATCCTGATGGTGTTACCGGAGGTATTTTAAAAATTTGTCAGCAACAACTTTTTTTGTTTAGGGATCTCATCATCTTGAACTTGGCGCCGAATATAAAACATTTCTGACGGGCGTCTGTGGGATTGTTCCAATTTGTCAACGAGAAACTCGTGTAACAACTCAAGGTTTTAAATGGAATTTAGGTAAATACTTTTTGTGGCATTAATTTTTCTGTAATTTTAGCAAGTGAAGTGCTATCTTTTGAAGGATTGGTATCTACTTCTAATCAGGTTTTATCTTTTTTATGATTATTAATAATCAATATTAATTTTTAATAATGAAAAAATAATTTCTACTAGGTGGAGAACAGCTCATTGTTTCTGGAGACGTCGGCACCACTCCTTTTTATGATGGAATTGAGGAAGGAGCTTCTAGAAAGCTCCAGCTGAAATTTGTTGGGTTTTTTGTTAGTTGTTTGTTTTAGGCTTAGCTTTAACTGGATGTACTTTAAATCCTGATTGACCTATTTTTTTGCCTCCAAATGTGATATAAATTTGCATTAAGAGTTTACAAATTTTAGTTGTCTAATAAATAGTAATTAGAAGCTCAAAAATACGCACAATCTTTGCAATGATTTTCGTGATGCTGGAAAATTAGATATTCTCATTGTCAGACTTCTGTTTCTAGTTTGTGAAGAAGCCTTTTGCCATCTAAGAGTTGTAGATCGGAGCAAGCTTATCTTTACGATTCGTGGAGAGAAAAACGGGCGAGATTTCTGACATCACTGAGGCGTTCTATACAATTTGTTGATTTTCTATTACAAAATCTTGCTAATTGTCTGCTAATGACACTGAAAACTTTTATTGTTTTAAGCACTTTCTTCTCGACAACTTTTTCTATTACAAAAATCAAGGTGAACAAATGAAAATTTCCATAAGCTTAACTTCATTCAGACAGTGAATGTTGATCGTAACGGTTTTATATATTCCGAGGGTTATCCAAATCAATATGTGACAGGAAATGGTCCATTAGATTAGTGAGTTTTTCTATTTTGATTGCAATGAAATAAGTTTACAATTGGTTTTCATTCGCATAGAAACCTTACGATACTTAAAAGCTTTTGAAATCAAAAGGTACAATAATTTTCGCAATAAAGTTACGATTGGATGATCGCATCGAAGAATTGGTTGAATCTAGTCGTTTTCTTTGATCGTTTGGATTTAAATGAGAAGGATGTCTTACAATTTTGCACTTCTGATCAATATTATAGGTAAAAAGACAAATTTTGTATGTAAGTCCTTTTACAGTTGCTTAGACTCGACGGGCAAATGCGCGGGTTGTGTGAGTAAACCTTCTCCATTTTGGTATCCAGAAATGGGTCCAATGTTTGCCTATTATCGACCTTTCTCTAATTCATCAATTATTACAAGAAATGGTTTCCATGCGGCTATCGTTGAAGTCGGTATGTTGATTGCTTCTGTCGAAAAGAATTAACAACTTTAGATCCTAATTCGGAGAGTTATTTCACTTGTGGACAAACGTATGATATCAGTGCGACGAATTCGCAAACATATTTTGTTTCACAAGGTAATAAACATTATAAACGACAAAAATGACGAATTGTCAAACTACAAACGCTTCTAACTCGCTTCAAATCTACCGGATTCATATGATCTATAGCTTAAAAGATAGAGAATTTCAAGAGCTATCGAATACACTAAAGCACACCCTAAAATAGGAATGCTAACAGATAGCAATCCTGAGATTTAGGCTATCCATCAATGACAACAAAATTGCAAAGATGTGCGACGGACATTGTGTCAACGAATGCAATTCGAGTTCGCGTCACTGATTGGGAGTTCAATCTAAGCGATACATTCAGTATTTATGGAAATGGAATCGATGGAACTTTTCAAAACATTACATTTCGGTGGCGGAAAAAGTTTTCCCAATTTTACGACGCTTTAGAGACGGCGATTGGGCACAAAGCGTGCAAACGATTTATTTTTTGAGGAAAGCCACCATCGATTTCCAAATGCAACAAGGGACTTACGAGGGATTGAACTTTTTTACTCTTTACGCTGAACCGTTCAATGGTTAGACTGAAATTTCGCTTTGAAAAAGTGCATCTTTTTCTTTTTCAGTAACCACTCCAACTTGTCTCTCCTTTGGACAACAAGATTTTGTCGATCAGGAATTCGAGATCTACACACCGAACTACTTTTTGGATACTTTTGAGGTATTGGGATTGGATTGGGATTTAAATTAGAATTCAAGTTGGAATTATAGAATCTAAAATTGAAATCTCTAAGTGCGACAATTTTTAGAATTATCCAAACAATATGTTGTGCACTTGGAGGATTTCGGGAATCACTGGTGAATCGCAGATGATTTTGGAGATTGTGGGAATCGAGATGGAAGAGGGGGCCGACTTTTTCTCGTCTACCGAATTTGATTTTAAGGTGGGTACTTTGTCATATCGGTAGTGGAAAAAATGGCATGCCTTTCCCTGTTTTGGCCCCGGGATCTGCAAAAATTGATCAATCAGGGTCTTCCATCGGGTCATTTTCATGGGGTCCAAGTAATTCTTTTCATTCCCATCAGGCCCGAGCAGTTCTTTCCATTTCCATGAGGACCGAGCAGTTCTTTCCATTTCCATGCCATTTTCATAAGGCCCGAGCCGTCCTTTCTATTTCCATGAGGCTCGAGTAATCCTTTTCATTCCCATCCATTTCCATCAGGTCCGAGCAAATAAACCAAAGTCCAAAGTCCTCTTGTGGGCTGGAGGGACGTCGGTATAGGTCAAATACGTGCGCCAGAACGCGCGGGATTACGCAGTCGCACAGAGAACACTGATGTAACCAAGAGCCACCAAAAATTAATCCATATTTAAAAATAAAGTATATAAAGTAATTTATTAAAAAACCAAATATTTCCAGATTTCCACAATTGATGATGACTTTAACAGATATAAGATTGGAAACACTTTGAAAAACGCTTCCTTTCAAATCACCTCCGATGCACTAGAAAATGGGCTTGGTGTGTACGCGAAATTGCACATTCTCGGTACGTTTGATTGAAAAGGAAATACAAAACAGTGATAAAATAAAAAAATTAAAATGATAAATTAGATTGTACATGTACTGGTGGAAATTACACAATTGACTCGAAAAATTCGACTTATCGTTTCCGTATGCCGATCGATGTTTCAGGAAATAGTCGAACGGAAAGCTATTGCAGAATGTGAGTTGTTTTTAGAGAGAAATTATATCTTTATATCTTCTGCTTTAGGAGCACCACTTGTGATTGGGTATTCAAAGTGCAATCAAATCAGAATGTCACCTTGCAATTCACTCAAGTAGATGTTGGTTACGGTGATGTGCCGAATGTTTATGTTGATGGGAAATTCGTGAACACTGTTTATGAGTCAATTTTTGTTCTATCGTTTCTTTCTAGTCAATAGCAATCGTCAGCAATAGCTTTCTTTTTAAAAAACCCATAGTTTAGTGCTCAGACATTCAAGTTTACGAATAAATCGCAAATCGAGATCAGTTGGGAGGCGGTGCTCGATTCAGTGGACAGCGAGAATCCGTTTCCAACTGGATTTCACTTTATCATCTATATTGGTAAGGAAAAATTTAAAGAAATTAATGAAAGAATATCTAGGAGACACTCCAATGCCAGAACAAACAACAACAACAACAACAGCAACAACAACAACACAAAGCACTTCCACAATCACTTCCACAATCACTTCAACACAAATCATCACAAGAAACTCAAGTCCGGCACAAACAAAGACGACAACTTCTGCTACTTCAAGTAAGTGCAAACTATAGATCTTTAACTAAAGACAAACTTTGACTGTAGTAAAAGGATAATAACCGCATTGTACTTAAATATTTAGCCCCAACAACTTCCATCTCAACTTCCATCGTCTTCCTCAAAACATCTCTATTACTCTCCATTTGGTTACTTTTAGTAAATGTTTAACGAAATAAATGTTTTTTTTTCGCAAACACTATTAGAAAACAAGCACTTGATAAAGAGAAGAGGGTAATGATGTGTGTGTGTGTGTGTGTGTGTGTAAGGAGTGCTTGTTTGGATATCTAAAAAGGAATAAAATAGAATCCTTTTAACATGAAACTCTTTTTTTTTTTTTTTATAGAAACCCGATATTATAAACTAAGATTTAGATATTAGAAAACAAGCACTTGATAAAGAGGGGGTTATTTGTGTGTGTGTGTGTGTGTAAGGAGAACTGTTTGCATTTCTCGCCCCCCTTCTCCCGTTTTCTTTCCTTCATTTCATGACTCCTTTCAATTCTTTCTTTTCATTCTTTTTTTCCAATCGATGCCCTCCTTGAAATGTTCAAGAAACCAGTAACACCGGCATCTTTTTTCTTTCTTTTCTTCTTCTAACTTATCCCAGTTACACAGTGAAACCGCGAATTATCAATAGAGATCTATCTATACATATCTATAAATCTTCTCTATACTATAGCTATAATATCTTTCTATCTATACCCCTACCTATAGCTATCTATACCTAGCTATATCTATCTCTACTTCTATCTTTCCATGCTATCTATTCTATCTATACCTATAGCTATATCTATATCTATTCCTATACCTATAGCTATACTATCTATTTCATTTCTATACCTATAGCTATATCTATATCTATTTCTTTCTATACCTATAGCTATACTTTCTTTCTATATCTATATCTAATTCTTTTCTTACCTATGCTATATCTATATCTATTTCTATTTCTATACCTATAGCTATATCTATTTCTATTTCTATTTCTATACCTATACCTATATCTATTTCTATATCTATTTCTATACCTATAGCTATATCTATTTCTATTTCTATACCTATAGCTATATCTATATCTATATCTATATCTATATCTATTTCTATATCTATATCTATATCTATTTCTATATCAATATCTATAAACAACCCATTCTTTCTCTTTGAATTCTTTTCCGAAATGTTATACTTTTAAATTAGAGGAATTTTTGTAGAAAAAATTTTTTTTGATTATTTTTTCCTGTTTTTTGTAAAACAACAAAACTTCTAATACCTCTAATTTCTATATTTTTAATTTTAATTTCTATATTTCTAAACTTGCAATTTCTAAATCATTCGGCTCAGCTCAATCTTTAAGCTCTGCGAACAGTCTCAAAACTTTGTGCAATGCTCGGTATTTCAAGGATCTCTTTGTACACGGGAAAACCCCCCACTTTTCTAGTGGTGTTGAGTGAAGGAGACCGGTCATCGAATGGCATCAAGTTGAAGAGAGAAAATGGGCGGAATACGACTAAAAGAGGCGGTTGACCTCAAGGGGAGCCAAAAAAAGGATAATTGGTGACGATCGTCGATCCTCCTCCCTTTCCTTATCCTAGCTATGTGAAAGACTTGTCTTGCCATTTCTATGCCCTTTTCTCCATTTTTGCTTATTGATTGATTATTCTAGCACTGAAAATCTTTCCTTTCTCTCGTCTTTTTGATGCTAAGCCCTCTCAAAATCTTCTTTTTCCCTTTTTCCACCAATTTCCGCAGGCATCTTTTTTTTCTGAAAGAGAAGGGTGTAATTTATTGTCAATATTACATTTAACTCTTTTTATTAATCTTTCAAATGTTTTTTAGAATGCCCAATAGTCCCGGAAAAACTTGGAAGCGGTGATGGCTTTGCGTGCGGTAATTTGCCGCCGTTTTTCACTCTCATCATCTTTTATACAAATTCTTTTAGGTAAACGAAATTCTTTCGTAAATGATAATTATAACAAGAAGTTTTACAACAAAGAAGTTTCAACAAAGAAATTAATTTCAGGCATTACCGTGGGGTATCTAGTTGGATGGAGTCTTTTTGGTGACTCAGAGTTCGACATCGAGGCTCATCTCCATAAAGTCGATCATCACAAAGATCACAAAGGGCAATTTGCTACGAATTTTCCCTCACTTCGATGTGTCATCATTATCAACAGTGCAACGCCAAAGCGAGAGCTTTTTGTGCAAGCGATTCGGTAAGTTCTGTAAATCAAAATTTTGGTAATCAAAATGTTTTTTCAAAATAGAGAAACTTGGGGCACTGAATGCAATGAAACTCTTTTCTATACGACAGAAAGTGCTCACTATTACTTATCAATTCCTGGTTTGTTTTTAGAAAAGATTCTATTTAAATAGAAATTTTTAGATTTACAAGAAAGGCTCATAGAGCTAAGCTCGAGTTTTAACGGGTTTTATTGGAGTCTTTATCACCGGATTTTAAAAGATTTAAGAAAGGTGAGTGATTTGGAAAGCTTGATTGATTGAAAATTTAGACAAAATACGATTGGACATTGATTAGTGATGAGAAACTTTTTGCGGTCGTGTCAAATTTGAGGAGATCGCTGGAATCGATTGATTCGAGGAAGGCTGTTCTCGTTGGACGGGTTTCTCTATACAAGTAATCAGAAAACCTAGATAGAATTTATCAAATGTCTAAACAAGATTCTATTTTATTCCTTTTTAGATATCCATTGTCCTCGATTTTTCCATTCCTTGAGAGTCGGCGAATTTCTCATCAAGCCGGGATCGCTATCAGTCATTCGGCTATTGAAATGCTGGCATCTTGTAATGGGTTTGTTATAGTTAAAGAATAGTTTATAATATCTAAACCTTAGTTTATAATATTTAAATCCTAGTTTATAATATTTAAATCTTAGTTTATAATATTTAAATATTAGTTTACAATATCTAAATCTTAGTCTATCATATCCAAATCTTAGTTTATAATATCTAAGTCGGTTTATAATATCCAAATCTTAGTTTATAATATTTAAATCTTAGTTTATAATATCTAAACCTTAGTTGATAATATCTAAATATTAGTTTATAATATCTAAAGCTTAGTTTACAATATCTAACCCTTAGTTTATAATATCTAAACCTTAGTTTATAATATCCAAATCTTAGTCTATAATATCCAAATCTTAGTTTATAATATTTAAATCTTAGTTTATAATATCTAAACCTTAGTTTATAATATTTAAATCTTAGTCTATAATATCCAAATCTTAGTTTATAATATCTAAATCTTAGTTTAAAATATCTAAATCTTAGTTTATAATATCTTAAACATCTAAATCTTAATTCAAAATCCATTAAAAATTGAAATTCTTAGCTTCATTCTTCCACGAGCCACGGAAAAAGCTTTATTAGAGTGCGCAAATTCGCATGCAATCACGGTGATCGATCCGGTTGATGAGGTATTAAAAGACAAATGTAAAAAGTTGTAAATTCATTTTTAAAGCTTTACCTATTAATAAGAGATAAATAATTAAAAAATACAAATTTAAAAACTGTCAATAAATTCAGGAAAATCAACATTTATTTCATTCAAAAGATGTGCTCTCATTGGTGCCTAATGATAACGAATTCTCGAAAATGGTATTCAAAAATGCACTTACAAAGCTAAATATATCTAGAAAAACGATAAACTTTGCTATTGATTAAACATCGGAATCTGTTAGAGCTTTTGAACTATTGTTTCTTTACTACTTTCTAAGCAACTGTTTCTTTTGAGCTAATCTTTAACCATCAAAGTTCACAGATAATCGAAAAGTAATCGAAAAATGACTAAAAGTTTCTAGACGAATAATAAAGACGTGAAAATGGCGAGCTGTTGCTCGGATCATTCGATCACTTTTGGCTCGATGAGCTTCAAAGAGCAACGTGTTGCCCATTTCGCCGCCACAAGGATTCACGTTTTTGGCGCAAACGGGTACAAACGGTTAGTGAGATAAATCAAAGTTTACTTTTCCCAGCTTTGAGATAATCAATTATAATGAAACTAGCGGAAAACGCTCACTAACGTTCGCGTTTTCTATTGGAGAGGTCCACGTTTTCCGCGCGATCTAAGCCCCGCCCCTTTTTGCCAATGGCTGCGCACAGACGAACAGACGAACAGACGTCTCTTCTGCTTTATATATAGTAGATATGTGATTTAAAGATATTCAGCTATTTACTCTTTAATTTAAAAGCTAGATCATTTGTCAATACTCTCAAAGAAAACTCCCAGCTCTTGTAGCACTACAATAAGCTAGAAAGGCATTCAAGCATTCAACAAACAAGAATGAATATGTTTTAAACGCTTTACTAAAGCTAAAGGTGGAGTTGATTATAAGGAAGCTAGAAGTTAGAGAAGTTAGCGAAGTTAGAGAAGAAGTTAAAGAAGCTAGAGAAGCTAGAGAAGTTAAAGAAGTTAGAGAAGTTAGAGAAGTTAGAGAAGAAGTTAAAGAAGCTAGAGAAGCTAGAGAAGTTAGCGAAGTTAAAGAAGTTAGAGAAGTTAGAGAAGAAGTTAAAGAAGCTAGAGAAGCTAGAGAAGTTAAAGAAGTTAGAGAAGTGAAAGAAGCTCTAGATAATCCAACCTTTCCACCTGAACATTGTAATGAAGAGGTTTTTGTCATTTATAATTTAAAATTTCCAAAACATAATTAATAAAATTGCAAATCTAATGACTTTTGGTAAATCTAAAAGAAAATCTGATAATCTTGGATAAGATATGCAAAATCTCAATCAATTGCTAGAAAAAAAAAGTGAAATTTCAGGGCTCTTCTAAATGGAACAATTCAAAATTGATTTTTTTTTCATTATTTTTAAAATCTTTGAAGAAAATTTGTTCTTTTTACACTTTTTGGCGTTTCTTTTAAATAAATGTTTTATTAAATGCGAGGATTTTTTTTCAAAACACGATATTTTTATAGACAACCATTGTGAAAAATAAGAATTTTAATTCCCAGCCTGTGCACTATGTGAAAAATCCGAATACCGTATTTTCTCTAATAATAGTGCACTCTGAGCGTCGCCTAAATTCCTCGAAATCTCGAGAACCGCTTATCAGAACCTATCGATGTGCGGTCGGAAAATTAATAGGAACCGTATTGGAACCGTATTGGAACCGTATTGGAACCTTATTTGTTTCATAATAGGAACCGTATTGGAACCGTATTGGAACCGTATTGGAACCTTATTTGTTTCATAATAGGAACCGTATTGGAACCGTATTGGAACCGTATTGGAACCGTATTGGAACCTTATTTGTTTCATAATAGGAACCGTATTGGAACCTTATTTGTTTCATAATAGGAACCGTATTGGAACCTTATTTGTTTCATAATAGGAACCGTATTGGAACCTTATTTGTTTCATAATAGGAACCGTATTGGAACCGTATTGGAACCGAAATCCGCACTATGTGGAAAACCGTATTGGAACCGTATTTTCTCTAATAATAGTGCACTCTGAGCGTCGCCTAAATTCCTCGAAATCTCGAGAACCGCTTATCAGAACCTATCGATGTGCGGTCGGAAAATTAATAGGAACCGTATTGGAACCGTATTGGAACCGTATTGGAACCTTATTTGTTTCATAATAGGAACCGTATTGGAACCGTATTGGAACCGTATTGGAACCTTATTTGTTTCATAATAGGAACCGTATTGGAACCGTATTGGAACCGTATTGGAACCGTATTGGAACCTTATTTGTTTCATAATAGGAACCGTATTGGAACCTTATTTGTTTCATAATAGGAACCGTATTGGAACCTTATTTGTTTCATAATAGGAACCGTATTGGAACCTTATTTGTTTCATAATAGGAACCGTATTGGAACCGTATTGGAACCGAAATCCGCACTATGTGAAAAATCCGAATACCGTATTTTCTCTAATAATAGTGCACTCTGAGCGTCGCCTAAATTCCTCGAAATCTCGAGAACCGCTTATCAGAACCTATCGATGTGCGGTCGGAAAATGTAGCTCACGATGAGATCTTGGGGATTTGAGTGTTGAGCTTCTGGGAAAACTTTGAAAGCCGTAAAATAGTCACCAACTCGGGGCGCACTACTATTAGAGAAATATTACTTGAAATAACTAAAGAACTATATAAAATATCAAAAAAAGAAAGAAAATAGAACTCTTTAGGCTTTAAATACAAACAGAAACGAAACAGAAACAGACAAACAGAAACAGATAAACAGTACACGTTTTACAGTTATTTACACGCTTATTGATTCCAATCTTTTACAATATTTTTATAATAGTTTACTAATGGTTTTCACTGTAAAACATTCACATTTTACATGCTGTTAACATATCTTCTAACAATAAACAGCTCTGATTCAAATCCTCACGCGGAATCATCGCCTTTTTATTATGGAGAACCTCAAAAAAAAAACCCTAGAAACGCATAGATTTTTCCTCTCTTTAGTCCACTATTTTATTTGATCATAAAACATTAAAATATCTTCTCTGAAAACTCTTTCTGTGTCATACAGAATCTTTAAACTTTTCCTTTTATTACGTTAAACTCTTCTAAAGCTCAAAGCTCAACAATTCCATGTATTAAACTTTCTTCAAAAGATTCATTGAAACTCTTTTCCTAACCATTTTTTTTTAAAGATCTTTGCTCATGAACATTTCTTTAACGAAAAGCTAAGTAAACATTGTAAAAGTGAAGTGTATTCGGCAAAGAGTTTGTTTTTTTATTTCAAAGTTTTAAATTCTTTTTCATGATTTATCTTTCCAATCTAGAAACGTTGCGCAAATTGGAAACAAATATTAAACATTGTAAAAGTGATATTAATATTAATCAAATGACAAATATTAATCATTTTGTATCGAAAAAACCTTTTTTTCTTTATTATTTCGAGGATGGTTTATTATTTTTCCCGGATTTTCCCCTCAACACCACATTTACTCGTCACCACAGAAAGTTTTTGCTATTTCAAAAAACATAATTTTCTTTTTTGAAATCATCTTTTCTTCTTCCTTCTTTAAAGGAGTCCGAATTACCGTAAATACTGTAATAGTACCTCGCCCCCATAATGACGGCGCGGAGCATTGCGTAGTCTAGTTTTGAACGCGTTTTTCTCGACACTGGTTTATGCTACAATAGAAATACAATTATCAAAAAATAGCCCTAAATTTCAGCTATTTTTTTGATACCAAAGACGCATTTGTTTAAAGTATGGGCGCTTTGAAAAAAATGAAATACTAAAAAACTTTTGCGACTACGCGACTGTACGAGGGGGGTGGGGTACTATTACAGTATTTACGGTAGGACTGATTATCAATAAATTCTCACTATTCACTCTCACTCTCTTGCATCTAAAAGTTTAAAACAAATGCGATTTGTTGACTCAATAAAATGAATAGCTCGAATCGATTCGCCGACTTCGAAAACCCTTTCTTATAAATTTACAGCTGAATATCTTCTACAATGCAAAAGAAGGATTCATGTGTAAATGACTACCAAAATGTCCTTTGTACGGTCGCGTAATCGCCATCCATCTGGTACACGTCCCCGATAGTTAGGTGTTCCCTTTTGGAGTCGGTAAAGGGGGAAGAAGAGGTGATCGACTGAGCCGCCCCACTCAAATCCTTTGTAGCATGTTTTTTTGGGGCAACTCTGGCTGCATCGTGGGACACAACGGAGAGCAGCGTGATCCGATTCGACTTGTAAGCAAAAACAATACAATATCAGCCAAATAAGATATTGTAATGAGATCAATAAGCAATCAACGAAAAATCGATTTGTGTAAGTAGGGCTCAAGTCGCCGCCAAAAACGCACCTCAAAACCCCGGAAATAAGCAATAAGAGGGAAAAAAATAGTGAGCACACGTGTTTCTTTGCTTGAGATCAAAGCTTTGTTATCAGTTACACCTTTTTCACTCGGAGATTGTAAAAATTTCATTGAATTCTTTGTTTTTTTTTTTAATTCTCTCAAATTCATAGGTTTATTTTCTTTCAAAATGTTGTTTGAATTTGCTTTTGTTTACCGTTATCAATGGACTTTTCTTTTGTATAAAACTTTAGATTTGAATGCCTGTTTTCTGATTTATTCAGTAAAAAGTTGAATTTAAATTTATGAGCAATGAGAAATTATTATAAGTGTAAAGAAAAAGTTTGAGAATTAAAGAGAGGGAAATATATATATATATATATATGTTGTGTCCGATTTAGATTTCCGTCCGATTTAGATTCAATCTAAATCGGACGTCCGATTTAGATTGAACTTATCGCGGACGTCCGATTTAGATTACAGTCTATATCGGACGTCCGATTTAGATTCAATCTAAATCTTATATAGATTGAAAAATAATATAAACATGCTTAATATATGTTCTTAAGCGTTTTCTGTAGTTTTCTGCATTTTCAAAGGTCTTTTATTGATTATTTCATAGTTGGGTTTTCTTTTCAGAAAAAGACAATAACAGACCTTTGAAAAATGCAGAAAACTACAGAAAACGCTTAAGAACATATACTAAACATGTTTATATTATTGTTCAATCTATATAAGACGTCCGATTTAGATTCAATCTAAATCGGACGTCCGATATAGACTGTAATCTAAATCGGACGTCCGCGATAAGTTCAATCTAAATCGGACGGAAATCTAAATCGGACACAACATATATATATACTTCATTTAGAAAGAAATAAAGTGCGAAAACGACATGAAAAATGTATCAGATAAAAGATAAATCACTTCAAATGCAACGAAATAACCCTTTTAAAATCAGAAACGGTGGAGATCAAAGGCAACTTGTCGGAAAGGGCATTCAAAGGGAACTGTCGGGAAGGGCATTCAATATATAAATCGATATAAATCGATATAAATTCAGATATAAATCGCAGACATAGAAAAAGACACGTATTTTTAGGAGTGATGATGAAAAAAATGGATGAAAAGTGAGAGAGAAGAGAAGAAGAGACTGTGCAAATATGCGTTTAAATCTTCGTTCTTCTTTTCTTTTTCTTTTCTTTTTCTTTTCTTTTCTTTTTCTTTTCCCCATCTCTTTTCAAACTCTTTCCTGAATGATCTTCTGTATTCATGCAGGCATGCATGCCACAAAGCACTACAGAATCTTCAAAAAATCTTTAAATTCAAAAAATTTTCCTATTCCAAGTAAACCTTTGATTTTTGATAATACTTCCAATACTCTTTTAAGGAAGAAATTTCAAGAAATGGTACTTTATTTGACGAGAAGAAATGGTACTTTATTTCACAAAATGCACTATAGTTTTTGTAATGAATTTAGTAGACTAACTTTAATCGAAATTTCTTTTTCAAATGATTTCTTGAGCTAAAAACTAGAATTTCTTGAGAATTTTGGTTCAAATGATTTCTTGAATCTTCTAGGCATTTTTTTAGCTTCAAAAAGATTGATGACTGAATTGAATGAAGAGCTTTATTGGATTTGTTTGATAATATTTAAAATAGAATTGTAATACTAGTAAACTTTTCTTATTAAACTTATTAATTCAGTATTGCTTTTTGAAATTAGCTATTAGCTATAGCTAATTTCTAGCTATAGCTATAGCTAGCTTAGCTATAGCTTTAGCTAGCTTAGCTATAGCTTATTTAAGGATGGAAAATATGGATGATGTGCTTCGAGTGCATCGAGCTGAATTCGAGTATCCACCTTGGGAGAAATTTCTTGAAAAAAAGGTCAAAAAAAGTAGTTCTTTAAATAAAGAAATAGGCTATAAAATGCTTAAACTATAAAGATTTATGATTATATTTTCAGTATTTGCTACCAGTTGTCTGCTATTTCCTTGTTTGGCGATTGCTGGCGCGTTTTGTTTCTACTTATTTATGGAAAGATTATCAAGGGTTTCGGTGGGTTTAAAGTACAAAAACTTTATAATATTAGGTTGGCAACTTAATAATGACGCGTTTATGTAACAAATCATTTATTTCAAAAAAACACAAAAGAAGAGCTTTCAATTCGAAAGGTATTCTCCATTAGTATCTATGACTTCTTCCCATCTTCTGCGCAAATCCCGGATCCCATCCTCGAAGAACTTGGGAGTTTTTGAGGCGAAGTAGTCATTCACTGCTTTTATGACCTGACCATGATCATCGAACTTTTCTCCCTCCAAAAAGTGCTTCAGCGACCGAAACAAAAAGTAATCTGTAGGAGCCAGATCAGGTGAATAAGACGCGTGGGGCAAAACTTTCCAGCCAAGTTCCTCGATTTTCTTATAAGTGATCTTTGCAGTGTGAGGTTTTGCGTTGTCGTGTAAAAATCTGACTCTCTCCGGTTTGAGCCCCAATTTCTTCAAAGACTCGTTAACTCTCATTAATTGCTTCGAATAAAGATCAGCATCGACGGTTTGGCCAGGTTTCAGCACTTCACAATGCACCAATCCCTTGAAGTTCCACCAGCAACAGAGCATTATCTTCTTCCCATGGATATCAGGTTTGGGAGTGGTTTGAGGGGTCTGCCCAGCAGATAGCCATTGATTTTTGCGTTTAACGTTCTCGTAGTTGATCCACGTTTCGTCAGAAGTCAAAACCTTGTGAAAAAGTCGTTTGATTTACATTTTTGTAGCAAAATTGAGGCGAAATTTTGTTGCTTTGGGCCAGTTCGTGAGGAACCCATTTTTCCAACTCGATTCTTTTCCCAAGTTTGTGTAAATAGTTTTTGATTGTCGTATGGGATACTTCAAATATTTCTGCCAACTCACGAACGGTGAGTGTTGGGCAATCTTCAATTAAGGCGAGCAAGTCATCGTCGACCACTTCTGGAGGATGTCCTTAGTGTGGCTCGTCTACGAGGCTTTCATCGCCGCCTTGGAATCTTTGAAACCATCGTTGACATTGCCGAATGTGTATACTTTCCTCCCCAAAAACAGTGATGATCGTGCGATGAGATTCAGCTGGTGATTTTCCTTGTTTAAAATCGTAGAACAATGCAGCTCGAATACGGAATTTTTTGTCCTCCATTTTTTGCCAAAAAGCAAATGATGAAATTTGGAGCACTGAATGTTATTTATGTAGACATCTTTTACTTTGTATATATGCAAAAAAGAGGGAAGAAACGGCGCTTGAAATTACAAAAAACATGTTAAGTAGTGACGCGTCATTATTAAGTTGCCAACCTAATAATTCAATTTACAAAAACAATAAAGTTAAAAATCAAATTGCTCGCAATATTCTATGAAAACTAAATCCCATTCAGTCAATATCGATTACGCAATTTGTCGATATGTTTCTTGCATTCGCTTTTCACTGGCAGTGCGGCGTTGATTTTCTCATTTGTGAACATAAAGGTAACTGAAAAAGAACTGAAAATACGAGTTAACTGAGTTTTCTATAAGCTAATCAAAAAGAAATCTTTAGATAATGCTTGAGGATCCATTACATTGGTGGGATGACTCGTGCGCGCATATCTTTTTCCTCAGCATCGGTTAGTAAAAGCTATTGCTATCGAAAATTCCACTAATAATATAAAAGCTAAAAGGGTACTATCCGGTTATATCTACCGAAAAATTTGCATTTTAAAAACTAAACAAAATACCCATGCATCAATCGTGTTGAATTCCAGTAAATGTACGCAAACGTCTCAAATACTATATTATTTCGACTTTTTGACGGAAGCTGACAATCGGAAGGAAGCTGAGGATCGGAAGGAAGCTGACAATCGGAAGGAAGCTGAGGATCGGAAGGAAGCTGACGATCGGAAGGAAGCTGAGGATCGGAAGGAAGCTGACAATCGGAAGGAAGCTGAGGATCGGAAGGAAGCTGACAATCGGAAGGAAGCTGAGGATCGGAAGGAAGCTGAGGATCGGAAGGAAGCTGACGATCGGAAGGAAGCTGAGGATCGGAAGGAAGCTGACAATCGGAAGGAAGCTGAGGATCGGAAGGAAGCTGACAATCGGAAGGAAGCTGAGGATCGGAAGGAAGCTGACGATCGGAAGGAAGCTGAGGATCGGAAGGAAGCTGACAATCGGAAGGAAGCCGACGATCGGAAGGAAGCTGACGATCGGAAGGAAGAAGCTGATGATCGGAAGGAAGAAGCTGACGATCGGAAGGAAGAAGCTGACGATCGGACGAAAGGAAGCTGAGGGACGAAAGGAAGAAGCTGACGATCGGACGAAAGGAAGCTGACTATCAGACGGCGGAAACGTTGCTTGAGAAAATCCAAGACTTCGTCGAACCCGACTCAATGATAAAATGCAAATTTTTGGGGGCATATAACCGGATTGTACTGATAAAAGCTATAAGATTCAAAGCTAAATTAAAGCTAAGCTAAACTTTCAAAACAAGATTTGTAGGCTATTTTGTGCACGATGCTTTGGATATGCTTTCTCATGAGTGGTCGAAATGGATGCTCGAGCTGCTTTTCCATCATTTCATGACCATTTTCGTCTTCTCTGTTCAGCTAAGCACTCAAAAATTTCAACCTTATGCTTTTTGGGCATTGCTTATGGAAGTGAGTAGGTTGGTAAGAAGATTTTCAAAGTTTTGGCTACAGGATTCAGCGAGAGTTGTGTCTTTTTTTCGAATTCTTCTCTAAAAACTAATTTCTCAAAACTAATCTTTACTACCGAACCACCTTTCCTTACCTTTGAACATATAAAATACCTTTTTGAAGTTTCAAAATTTCTAAATGTTTCTAAATGAGCCTACTGGTTTAAATCAAACTTTCATTTCAACATAAAAACTTTTTATCTTTGCCAAAAGTAAGAAAAAAATGTGCCCATTTTGCCGATTTTGTTAACCAAGATAAGCTCTTTTCATTTTGAGTTTAAAAAGCATTAAAGGAGCTTTAAAGGAGCTGGAAGGAACTTTATAGGAACTAAATAGGGACTATAAAGGAGCTTTAAAGGAGCTTTGAAGGAGCTTTAAAGGAGCTTTGAAGGAGCTTTAAAGGAGCTTTATAGGAGCTAAATAGGGACCATAAAGGGGCTTTAAAGGAGCTTTAAAGGAGCTTTGAAGGAGCTTTATAGGAGCTTTATAGGAGCTAAATAGGGACTATAAAGGAGCTTTAAAGGAGCTTTGAAGGAGCTTTAAAGGAGCTTTAAAGGAGCGTTATAGGAGCTAAATAGGGACTATAAAGAAGCTTTATAGGAGCTTTAAATGAGCTTTAAAGGAGCTTTAAAGGAGCTTTGAAGGAGCTTTAAAGGAGCTTTGAAGGAGCTTTAAAGGAGCTTTAAAGGAGCGTTATAGGAGCTAAATAGGGACTATAAAGAAGCTTTATAGGAGCTTTAAATGAGCTTTAAAGGAGCTTTAAAGGAGCTTTGAAGGAGCTTTATAGGAGCTAAATAGGGACTATAAAGAAGCTTTATAGGAGCTAAATAGGGACTATAAAGGAGCTTTAAAGGAGCTTTAAAGGAGCTTTAAAGGAGCTTTAAAGGAGCTTTGAAGGAGCTTTAAAGGAGCGTTATAGGAGCTAAATAGGGACTATAAAAGAGTTTTAAAGGAGCTTTTAACAGTAATTAACTCGAAAGTCGTATTAATTAAGAAAAAAAAAATTGGAAAATAAGTATTTTTTAGAGATTTCAAACTAGAATTTAACCTTTTTCAGTAGAATTTTTTATAAGCTTGATAAAATGATTAAAAATTCTTTAATTCTATGTAAAATGTATTCTTATATTCGATATTCTATTTTCTATTGTCTTACGAGTTTTCTATTCTATGGAAAAATTAAGCCTAGATTTAATTGTTGCTTTTGATTTTGATGTTAGGATCAACATTTTAGCGTCTTCTTGCACTCGCGTTCCCTTTTACAACTCTCCGGCGCCAGTGAGCGAAATCCGCGTCTCTTTCGTGGCTTCTTATGGATGAATCTTTTTGCGTACGTTTAAACTTTATAGCGAACTTTGTTATTAAACTATGAATGGTGATTGTAAGCAAGCCAGCTATTTGGGCAGCTCATCTCTTCCTCACCTCATCGCAAGCCAGTTTAGCTGATCTGTTTCTCATTTGTTCCTCACTTGTCCAATAAAAATTGATGGTACAATCCGGTTATATCCTCCAAAAATTTGCATTTTATCATTGGGTCGGGTTCGACGAAGTCTTGGATTTTCTCAAGCAACGTTTCCGCCGTTCGATTGTCAGCTTCCTTCCGATTGTCAGCTTCCTTCCGATTGTCAGCTTCCTTCCGATTGTCAGCTTCCTTCCGATTGTCAGCTTCCTTCCGATTGTCAGCTTCCTTCCGATTGTCAGCTTCCTTCCGATCATCAGCTTCCTTCCGATTGTCAGCTTCCTTCCGATTGTCAGCTTCCTTCCGATCATCATCTTCCGTCAAAAAGTCGAAATAATACAGTATTTGCGTACATTTACTGGAATTCAACACGATTGATGCATGGGTATTTTGTTTAGTTTTTAAAATGCAAATTTTTCGGTAGATATAACCGGATAGTACCAAATTGATTTAGTGACAAGGCTGAAACTTTAATTGTAGATAATTCTGAAATTCTTTAGGTTTATCGCTTTTCGATTTTGTGTCCAAACCTGGCAAATCTGGTGGGTGGTGACGAATCACAAGCGGATCGCTTCTTTCTATTTTGGTGTCGGGTTTTTCGGTGAGAAAAGTTTTTGTTATTTTAATATTGTTGTTTTAACATTGTTTTAACATTAGACATTCTTTTTAAACTTGAATTTTCTAGATCTTTATCTAGAAAGTTATGAAAGAAAGAAAGAAAGAAAGAAATAAATAAAGAAATAAAGAAAGAAATAAAGAAAGTTAGTTGTCTAGACATTTGACTAATCAAAAAAGATTCAATTCTATTCTACGAATCCTTTATTATAGTTCTTTTGAAGTTAATCTCAATGGGAATCTGATTTTCAAAATTTTTTCTTGCAAAAACAACATTTTCTTATGATTTTAGCGGAAAAAATGCAAAAGATTCGTAAAAAAAAAGAGTACTTTTGTAATCCTAGACATTGTTTCCTAGTTCTTAACTAACTAAAAGCTTTATATAATAAATATTACGTAATAAACATTAATAAATATTAATAAACATTAATAAACATCAATAAATATTAATATTCATATAAATATTATTCATTTTTTCAGGTGGATTCATTTTTTTAACGATCAATTGTTTTCTTTTCTATCGAGTTTTATGTTCGGATGGGTTTTTGGGTGAGAAACGGCGGAATGCTTTATCAAACAGGTATTCAAATCATTCATTTTTTACATATATTCTCATATAAACTAAAATCTATATCTAAAATCTAAAATCTAAAATCTATGAACTAAAATCTAGTTTACTAAAGAGTTTACTAAAGAATAGAAACAATTTTGTTATTTTTCTTGCTTATACTTTTAGCTTTTTTTTGGTTTCAATTAAGAAAAGGATACGTTCAAGCCAGTCCAAGTTAGCCAATAAAACTTTTAGCTTAAAAAAACAAACAACACTTATACAGTGCGGTACAAAACCATACGCCACCCCTTAAATTTCAATTTTCTGCGGCTCCCGTGCCAGTGACGACAAAAAAAATGAAAACGTAGTTAGATTGGATCAAAAATAGCGCTTAAATCCGAAAAATCGTCGACATAGCATGCATAGGGGAAATCTAATAGCCGAAAAACGAAAATTCACCCATTGCAAAACCATACGCCAGACAAAGTAAGCTCTTTAGGTCTCCCTATATCGAAATATATATCTCCTTATATCTTTAGATCTCCTCTTTAGGTCTCCTCTTTAGGTCTCCGCCCCCGCCCCCAAATTTTGGTGTCATTTCATACTTTTTTTCTAGCTTAAAAGCTAAATCTGCGTCTGACAAAGTCCCGCCCTTTCACTTCAGATACGCCAGACAAAGTAAGCTCTTTAGGTCTCCTTATAAGGAATCTAATAGCCGGGACTTTGTCAGACGCAGATTTAGCTTTTAAACTAGAAAAATATGAAATGACACCAAAATTTGGGGGCGGGGGCGGAGACCTAAAGAGGAGACCTAAAGAGGAGACCTAAAGAGGAGACCTAAAGAGGAGACCTAAAGAGGAGACCTAAAGAGGAGACCTAAAGAGGAGATCCAAAGATATAAGGAGATATATATTTCGATATAGGGAGACCTAAAGAGCTTACTTTTTTTGGCGTATGGTTTTGCACCGGGTGAATTTTCGTTTTTCGGCTATTAGATTTCCCCTATGCATGCTATGTCGACGATTTTTCGGATTTAAGCGCTATTTTTCATCCTGAATCTAACTATGTTTGCATTTTTTGTCGTCACTGGCACGGGAGCCGCAGAAAATTGAGATTTAAGGGGGTGGTGTATGGTTTTGCACAAGTGTTCTTTGTTTTTTTTGTGTGTATCTTTTCTAAGCAACATTCTCATTTCCATAATTTATTTTCAGAGACAAACAAACTTTCGTAAAAGCTCTCGACAATTCGGATAAGAGTCTTTAATCGATCGTCATGCAAAAATCAAAAAATTACATCAAATCTCATTTCGTTTTTCGATTTTACATTTTATACTTAATTTTTACAGTACAATCAAATCTCGAATTTCCAAATTTCATCGTTAAATCGAACATCTTTATAAGGTTCTTGCCTTTCCCTTAACCTTGGCAATGCTTGGTTAAGCCAGGCCTAATTTCTGGTCTAACTTTTTTAGTCATAGCTTTTAAGGGATCAAAAAAATTGAGATCATTAAATCGAAAATCGTTAAATCAAGGTTTAATTGGATTTTTTTTGTGTTATGCATAATTTTTGATTTAATAAATAATGATAAAATGATGTAAAAAAAAAAGTTGAATAAAAATACGGTTTTGTTTAGATGAAAAATCGCTTAGCTGAAATGGTTTTGTTTAGATGCCAAAAAAAGTTGTGGAAATGCGCAAATATTTCCCGTTTCGCATGTAAAAAAAACTGGAATGAAAGCTTCTTGAAAAGAAAATAAAGAAAAGAAATAAATGAATGAGTCATTCGAGGCGATTTCTAGTCCACCCGCTTTCTCTTCTCGAAAATTTGTTAATGCTAAGACAAAAGCTTCTTTCTTGTTTCTTTCTTGTTTCTTTCTTTCTTCTTTCTTGTGATTGGGTTGCTTTCCATCACTTGTCTTTCTTTTCCTTCCAAATTCGCGTCATTCATTTCATTTCCACAATCATTTCCCTTACCATTTGGTATTGCTCAATTTCTTTTCTTATCTTGTATTCTATGATCGAATTTACACTGTTAACACTGTCAACCTTGTCTGAGTCTTAAAAAGCAAAATTTTTGATCTCTTTCTCTTCTCTCTCTCTCTTCTCTATCTCTTTTCTTATGTCATAACTTTAAAGATAAACTTCAAGATACTTTGCGTCAAATTTTTCTTGCGTAACTGGATCTTTTGCGCAATTCAATTCACAATTCGAACTTTCTTGAGCTACTCTTTATCATTTTGATGTCATTTTGTAGATCTCAACAAGTGCAACAAAGTGACACTAAAGTCATAAAGACTGTCCCGAGAGAAAAAAGTTTCTGACGAGAGCGGGATTCGAACCCACGCCTCCGAAGAGAACAGTGCTTAAAACTGGCGCCTTAGACCGCTCGGTTATCTCGCCTTGTTAAAAGTTTGGCTCATTTTAGGTTATAATTGGGCTACCAAACGGCTGAATATCTTTTGTTTTAAGTAAAAAATGTTTCTTTTTAATCTACTGAAAGAATAGAATAGCGAGAATTTAAGGTTTTTTATATTATTTATTTATAATTATTTAGACCGCTCAGCCATCTCGCCTCGTTTGGTTTGGCTCATTTTAGCTTATAATTGGGCTATCAAACGGCTGAATATCTTTTGTTTTAAGTAAAAAATGTTTCTTTTTTTAATCTACTGAAAGAATAGAATAGCGAGAATTTAAGGTTTTTTATATTATTTACTTATAATTAATCTATTATTTCCCAAAAAATTACTTACAAATTGGTAGGTTTTAATCCAAGAATCCTGGGAACTTGTGTAGGTGGCACTCATTTGAAGTGGCAAAGAAAAGAGTCCAAAGAGCTTGAAGAGCACGGAGAAGTGGGTGTGTTTTCGGTGATGTGCCGACTATGCTAGAGCCCCTCCCCCTTTTTTTTGCGCCTCATCTCATTTCACTCATCACATTTCGCTGCCATGTACTCTGCTGGTCACTTGCAAAAAAAGCGGCTGTTGCACTCTTTTGCCTCAATTTCTTAATGAAATCATAACACTTCACGCTTTTTTTTCGCAAAATCTTTCCCAAATTCTCTACTTTAATCGTATTTACTGGAAAATCAGGTTAAAACCTTTTCTCTTTCTTTTCCTTTTTTCGAAATCCTATAAAAAATCGTTTCGAATGATTTGGGGTCAAAAAAAGAGGAAAAGAGATTTGGGAAAAGGGAAATGAAATGAGAAGATGGGCGGTTGATTGTTGTGGAATTGAATGAATCATTTTGGTTGTGCCGAGATTTCCTCGAGATAAACCGCGCCTAGTTCGTTTTCTTTTCGATTCTTGGCTTCTTGACTCTTTTTTTCCTCATTTCCTTTTCTTTTCATTGAAACCAAAAAAAACGAATTCATTTCCATTACGCAGTTTTTTTGTTTGTTTTCTTTGCGACTTGTACAGCTTTGGAGGGAAAGAAAGCGTTGTTTTTTTTTTTCTTTTATTTCACTTACACATGCAGTTCATTTTTTTGTGATTAACGACTAACGAATAACGAAATAAAGTCGAATATAGAATATAGAATTTGAAAGAATTTAAAAGTAATTAATTATTAGGTTGATGCAAAAGTCTTTTTCATTTTTTTTGTACTTCCGTTAAAAAGTAACAAATGCACCAATTGAACAACGGTTTATTGCATTCGAAAGGCCAATTATTTTTCTGCAAAATGACATTAAAACGAGTTTAAAATGTCTTATGTCTAGATTTTTTTGAGAGCCTGAAGTCGGGTAGTCAAAAAAGGCGACGGCTCGATGATGCATTTTAGACGCTTTAGCTAAGGAAACCAATCTTGATGTTAATAAATAAAAGATAGAGCACAAAAAGTTAGATATTTTTTCAGATTTTCAGAGAAATTGATTCAGCCAATTTCTTTATAGAGGTTTTTATAGATTTTTATGAAAAACCCGTTTTCACTCTCGAATTTGCTTGAAAGTGAACCCAAATTGACTTAAAAAGATGGGAAATTCAACAATAAACACTTTTCATTTAGAGCAAACCATAGGTTAATTGATGACTTTGTTATTTTTCAAAAGAAGTACGAAAAAAATGAAAAAGACTTTTGCATCAACCTAATAGTAATTGATTAGTAATTGATTAGTAATTAATTAGTAATTAATTAGTAATTAATTAGTAATTAATTAGTAATTAATTAGTAATTAATTAGTAATTAATTAGTAATTAATTAGTAATTAATTAGTAATTAATTAATTAATAATTAAGTTTAAAGTAAAAAGTTAACTATTTACAGAACATTATAAAACTCATAGTGTTATCAAAATTGATGTCTTTTCTATCAAAATTCTCTTGACTTCTTTTAACTTTTCAAAATCGAATCTTTAAATGAAATTTAAACTGTTTCTATTGTTTCTTTCTTTCAAATTTTTAAAATCTACCTACCGTAAATACTGTACCAGTACCCCACCCCCCTCGAATAAGATCTCCCCCCAATTTGGGTGCAAACGTGTTTCTGTTTTTGACATTGATTTTAGACTTTTCAAACACTTGCTTGCCTGATTAGTACGATTTTTGCTTTAGTTTTTGCTTTGGTTCATATTCATTTGATCATTTCATAAGAATCTCTCATAATTTAGCCTTTTTCTTATAAGATTTCTTATAAGATTAGTATTATTTATGAGTCAGGGTTATTTCTCAATCATTATTTGTCTTTTTCTTTTCCGATAATCTACCGTAAATACTGTAATAGTACCCCACCCCCCTCGTACAGTCGCGTAGTCGCAAAAGTTTTTTAGTATTTCATTTTTTTCAAAGCACCCGTACTTTCAAAAAATTCGTTTTTGGTATCAAAAAATAGCTGAAATTCAGGGCTATTTTTTGATATCTAAGCGCGCATTGTAGCATAAATCAGTGTCGAGAAAAACGCGTTCAAAGCTAGACTACGCAACACTCCGCATCGTCATTATGGGGCGTGGGGTACTATTACAGTATTTACGGTATTTAAAATCCTTAATGATTTGTGATGAGTTGATTTTACCGAGATAACCCAGCTAAAAAAATCGCGAAAGCTCTCGTTCAAGGGTCATCAGATGGGAAAGGAAAATGGAGAAAGGAAAAAGGAAAATGGAAAAAGAAGAAAAGGAAGCTCAAGAAAAGTGAGGAGGTGATGATCGGCCATTTGTTTGTGCCAAATAGACCAATTGGGTCCCCTATGCACCGTGCTTTTCTTTTCTTCTCGGCTCGCTCTCTTTCTCTCTCTCTCTCTCTCCCTCTCTCCTCATGGATGGGACTCATTTGAGAGGTTTCTCTCACCTCATCTTCATTCACTCCATCAAACTTCATTTTATCAATTTTTATCATTTTAAATCTAATTTTAAGCCACTTTTTACTATCAACTAGTTCTCAATTTCCACCCGGGTTCGATTCCCGGCTCTACCACCCAGCTTTCATTTTCAAGAAATTTTTTTTGGAATGGCACAACTACAATATATTCTCAGATTTTCTAAAGGAATTTTAGCTTTATTCGTAAAAATACGGCCGAGAAAATTCCCGTACAGGAATTCCCGTACAGGAATTCCCGTACAGGAATTCCCGTACAGAAATTCCCGTACAGAAATTCCCGTACAGAAAATTCTTGTACAGAAAATTCCCGTACAGGAATTCCCGTACAGAAAATTCTTGTACAGAAAATTCTTGTACAGAAAATTCTTGTACAGCTCTTTTGTATATAGTAAATTGAGATTAGGACGCAAATACGCAAATAGGAATTTCGATACAACGAATTTGAAATTCTAAAACGTGCCCAACATTTCTGCGTAGCTGCCCCAGCCAAAACTTTGTGTGGGAAAAAAGAACGATAAAATAATCATCGACCTACGACTTTTAAACGATAAAATTTCTAATTCTTGTAATTTTAAGTGCTAGAATTTCTTGAAATTAAAGATTTTAGCTCTTTTACTTTAAAATTCAACTAGTTTTAGTTGTTTTTTTAAATATTTTATCAAAATCCCTTTCTTTATTGATCCCATCTGAAAAGCACAACTCTGAGACAGGGCTGAGAAAGAAAAAAAAAATAACGAAAAGCCGCTCGTTGTTCTACACATTCCTTCTATCCTGCCGGAAATTCGATACTTGGTCGCCATGCTATGGCGCTGAAAATCGCCATAGCAAACACCGGTTCAAGGGGGACTACTCGGTAACTCTCACGAGACCCGGCCTTCTCAATGAACGAACACTGAACGCAGAAGAAATCTTGAAAGTTTATCTCAAAAATTTCATCATTTTTCAGTAAAGTTGAAGCTGAATTTATACCAAATTCCTAATTCTTTTCATTATTTTAGTCAACCATTTAGTCAATTGGTCAATTTGTACCTAAGCTACAATACAATACTTTAAATTCCGATTAAAACAATAGGACAAAAATTTCTGTATTAAGCTGGATTAAGCTATTTTAAGCCAACATTAACAATTCATTTCAACTCTTAACTCATTCATAACAAATTACAGGTAAAGCTTTTAAGTATCTAAATTTCCCCTAAAGTTTTAAATAGTTTAAGTAGTTTAAATCCCTAACAGTTTAAGCCATAACAGTTTAATCTATAATAGCTTAATTCTTAACAGTTTAAGCCATATTAGTTTGATCCCTAACAGTTTAATCTCTAATAGTTTACTCCCTAATAGTTTAAGCCATAATAGTTTGATCTATAATAGTTTGATCTATAATAGTTTGATCTATAATAGTTTACTCCCTAATAGTTTAAGCCATAATAGTTTAATCCCCAATAGTTTAATCCCTAACAGTTTAATCCCCAATAGTTTAATCCCTAACAGTTTAATCCCCAATAGTTTAATCCCCAATAGTTTAATCTATAATAGTTTAATTCCCAATAGTTTAATCTATAATAATTTAACCTATAATAGTCTAATCCCTAATAGTTTACTCCATAATATTTTAACTCATAGCAGTTTAATCCATATTAGTTTGTTCTATAATAGTTTACTCCCTAATAGTTTAATCTATAATAGTTTAATTATTAGTTTAAGTTTAAGTCTTTTAAAGTTAAAGTTTAAGGTTATGTATTCATCCCTATTAGTTTAAGCCATAATAGTTTAATTCCTAAGAGTTTAATCCCTAAATTAACCTTATACTTTTCTATTTAAAGCTTTTGAAAGAGAAATTTCAATTACTTGGCTTTTTTCGATGCAGAAAGGGCAGGTGTATGTGAAATGATTAGCTGAGTTCGAATGAACGAATGAAAATGAATGGAAAACCCTCTCTCTTTTCCCTTCTTTCCTTCTGAAAGTCTTCATCCTCTTTGGCTTCTTGCATTCATTGACGATTCAGTGCAATTCAAATGAATTCTTTTCTCTTTTTCCTCTTTTTGTTCTTTTTGTTCTTTTTATTCTACCTTTATCCACATTATTCCTGCGATAATCGGAGATCGGTGTTGTCATATCGTGAATTTTTCATAGCTACCAACAGCTGCAAGCTTTTTTTTTACTGAAGATTTACACACTTTATCTTGATAAGACATGAGAAAATTGAAAAGAACTTAATTCTCTTAGCCGATTTCTCTGAAATCTTGTCTACAGATAGAAATCAATTCATCATATAGACAAAATTTCAAAGCAATCGGCTAAGAAACGGCCGAGACAATGTGGAATTTGGTTTAGATTGCAATTTTTCTAAGTAACTACAGCTACAGTTTTTCTGTGAGAGTTTGGAGATGACTTGCGTATAGGTTAAAGCTATAGATCAAAGCTGTAGATCAAAGCTATAGATCAAAGCTATAGATCAAAGCTGTAGATCAAAGCTGTAGATCAAAGCTGTAGATCAAAGCTATAGATCAAAGCTGTAGATTAAACCCTTCTCTAATCAAATCCACTAAATTGGTAGATAATTTTTCAAGAGAACAACACTAAGAGAAGAAAGAAAAGGTCGTTCAAATGTTTTGAGTAAAAGAAAGCCCCTAAGGGACTCTTAGAAAGAGAATTGCTGAGTGGGGCAAGAGGAAAGCATTGGGCAAGGCTGAGACAATGAGCCTGCCACAGGGCACACACCAGTCCAAGAGGACTTCTCAAATCAAATTTGTTTCTCCCTTCTCCTCAATCGGCCTTGCTTCTTTTTTTTTGTTCAGCCGCTCATCGCTCTCCTGAGAGTTTCAATCATTCTTGTGATTATATTTTATCCATTTTCTTTTGAAAATTCGATTTAAAGATGCGAGAAATGAGGGATATTCCTTCAATTGATGACGTCATTCCGACCACTGCCTCCGACGAGGAATGCGGTAAACAAAATTGGGTAAATCATTTATCAAATTTCCTTTTTCAGCAATGATTTCAAGTTATGGAGTGCCCAAGGATACAATCAATACAGAAATGTTGAAAGAGTGAGAAAAAGTCGAGTTTTTTCTTTAGGAAGAGAAATTCTCTAGAGCTGCCGCAAGACTGAAGCCAGACTCGCTATCAGTGTGCCCGGCTTTAGTGCGATCGTCACCGAGTTCTTCAACGAAACCCCCGGGTAGTCCAACGATTATTGTCAGGTAAATGAATTCAGATAGTAGATAAAGATAGATAAAATATTAAGCGCTCATAAAAAGAAACGAAAAGAAAGGATAACTTTTAGCCCACCAGAGGAGGATCTTGAGAATGGTCATTTGCCGATTTACGATCCGCATCTTAAAGTAAGAATTTTTATCTAGAAAACTCTAGCTCTACATTAGGAAATTGTGTGTTTTTGTTTTCTATTCTAGAAAAGTCAGCTTTGAATTTTGAATTTGAGAATTTTGAATTTTGATCCCGGTCCACGCTAAGTTTAATAAAACGGTACTCTATATAACGGAAAGCTCTAGAAATGCTTGAATCCCTTTCATTCCGTTATAGAGAGAGTCGACTGTAGTTCTTTTCTTGTCTTAAAAGCTGACGACCACAGAAAACAAACTGGACTTTTACGTCACCTTGTATAGCCAATCTCTATATCAATCACAAAAGAATTATGCAAATGTTTATCCAATCCAATTATTTAATTGCAATTGCAGATGTTTACCCAATTTAAACAAATCTTTTCTAGGATCCAGACTGTCCCCGTGTGCAAACAACTTCCGGACGTGGCTCACTATTGCTGGCGTCAGCGATCGCTCTCATCGTATTGCTCACCGTTCTCTTCATCATCATTCTAGTCAGTCTCTTCATTTAGTCAAACTCCTTTTTCTATTCTAAATCTGTTTGTGCAAGGTTCGTATTTTTTTCAAATCAATCCCATTTTCAATCAATCATCAATTTCCCGTTGAAATCTCGATAAATCCCAACGCGTCAAAACGTTATAAGTGTGCCTTCTCCTAAACTGAATGCAAGCATCTCAAGTTGAGTTCGGATTTTTGGAAACATCGATTTTATTCAACAAATCATTTGAAACTATTACTGTAACTTTAAAAAAACTTTAAAAGAACTTTTAAACAACTTTTAACCATTCCAAAAATCCAAATCCTAACCTCTTTCTTTTCCAAATGTTTGAGATTAAAATTTTGAACTTTACAAATGCTTTGAAAGTTTTAATTTCTACATTTTCTTTCAACCCTTCAACCTGCTTTCAATCCCTTGAGTTCATTGTAGTCTCCGAGATTTTTCGAGTCGATGAGTGCCTGTGATTCCCGATTGTTGTGTTCGTTTTGTTAAAAAAGAAAAGGAGTTTCAAGGGAAATTCCGTGGCTATCAAGAGATATCTTGTTAGAAAGTCTTGAATGTTGTGTGAATGGAGAAATGTGAATGGAGAAATGCTCGTAAATCAATTTTTCCTAGCATGTACTCAATCTCAATCTTTTGCAGTTATTTTCCTTATCCATCCTTTGTAACTAATATTTTTCCTCAACTTTCAGCATGTATTTAAAATAAACTCTTTTTCGTTGAATGAGCTTAAACCCCTGTTGGTTTTCTTGAAACAAAATGCATAACAAGAGAAAGTTTGATAACTGGTGATAGCTCTAGATTACTATAGATTACTGTAGACCACTGTAGACTCTATAGATTACTAGAGACTACTATAGATTACTACAGACTACTGTCGACTACTATAGTCGTAGATTACTTTAGATTACTGTAGCCAATGTATGCAAATTTTCAGGCAGCCGATTTCGAACGGGATGAGGAAAAGGCTTAAGCCTGAAGGAAGCCATTTCACTGCCTAAGTTCGTTACCGTAATCCTACGTACCGTAACCCTACATACCGTAATCCTACTTACCGTAATATCGTGTATCCTTTTCATTATCCAAACTATTAGGCTGTCGGGCTTTGAATGCGATTTTTTTCCAAAAAAACGAAGCTTAGTCCAATTTGTATCATTCGAAAGGGGTAAATCTGTGCTCTACATTAGACTTTTCTAATGCATTTCTAATGGTACAAATTGGACGAATTTTAATAGCTTTGTTTTCTTGGAAATATACACTCAAAATCCGATAACCTAATATAAGAATTGAGAAGTTCTCTTGAATCCCATTCAATTTGCTCATTCGTTTTTTTTTCAAACACATTCCTTGTTCACTAAAAGTACTCAAACCAAAAGAAAAAGAAAATTCATGAAAACTCTTTAGTTTCTTGAGGATCAAAATTTTGAGTACTATACGATTATAAAAGCAAAAATTTTTTACATTAATACTTCAATCATTATGGAGAAAAAAACAGAAAATAGGATTAAAGGAGAATCATTGGAAGTAATGCGATGGAGGATTCACTACATACATAGATACCGTATTTCTTCGAATAGAAGACCGGGTAAAGAGTATGATCGCGTACTCCTGCGTAGCAGCCCTTTTTAAAATTTCTTTTCTGCATAAAAGCTTTCAATGAAGTGCTATAGGGCTGGAAAATGACTCAAAAATACCACATGAGCTAACAGATTTTTGAGCCATTTTCCAGCTCTATAGCACTTCATTGAAAGCTTTTATGCAGAAAAGAAATTTTAAAAAGGGATGCTACGCAGGAGTACGCGATCATACTCTTTACCCGGTCTTCTATTCGAAGAAATACGGTAGTTTTGTTCAACTTCTGACACTTCGTTATGTAGCTTCCCAAATGATTTCCAACAGTTTCACGGTACTTTTTTTTCTTTCATTTTTCGGGAGTGGGACAAATGCGACCTTTTTTTTGCGCACCCGGACATTTGCGCACCTTTTTTTCCGCACCTTGCCCATTAGCGCACCTTTTTTCGCGTTTTAAAAAGCTCTAAAAAGCTAATATTAACCAATTTCTATTCCAAATGTTGTTTTTCTAGGTAATTTGAGGGCGTAGAATCGAAATTTTGACATATCAGAGCTTGTGGAAGCGAACGGACGGAGTTATACAAAGAGAAAAATCGACAATTTTCTGTAATTTGACCTAGCCGTTTTGTCTTTCACGGTTTCATGGTGGTTCCACAAGCTCTGATATGTCAAAATTTGAATTCGACACCCTCAAATTACCTAGAAAAACAACATTTGGAATAGAAATTGGTTAATATTAGCTTTTTAGAGCTTTTTTAAAACGCGTAAAAAGGTGCGCTAATGGGCAAGGTGCGGAAAAAAAGGTGCGCAAATGTCCGGGTGCGCACAAAAAAAAGGTCGCATTTGTCCCACTCCCCATTTTTCCTTTCAATTGATTGTTGTTTTTATGAGTTTTAATGTGAATTTTTTTGGGTATTTCTTATTGAGTCACCGTTTATATGGTATAATACCAAATTTTCTTTCAAATTGTTCAAAAATTTCTCGTGTTGTGCTGCTCTCCAGTGCTTATCACTTTCGGGTTCGTTTCTTCCTTTTTGTTTGCGGATGAAATAAAAAAAATTTCAATTGTTGTAAATAGAAAGAAAAGAAACTTGTTTTTATCAACACTTTCACTATTCAAAAGAATTTTCTGGTGATTGAAAGTTGATTTTTCGCAATTTAGCCATAGTTTTATTAAAATCAAGCTTTAGTATTTGATCATCTTTATCAAATTCAATAGATAAACTAACATCAAGCCTGCTCCAAGCCAGAGTTAACATCTTTTTCTCTATTTCACCATGTTGGAAAGAGTTTCCCACAAAATGTTTTCTATTTTACACTAAATCTCGTTTTTGGGTAGGCTAATTTCCGCATTTTTTTTTGCGCAACAGGGTCATTTGCGCAACTCGCCACAACTTTCTTCTAAGTCGACCAATCTTTATGATTTTGGTGTGGCCGACTTAGAAGAAAGTTATGGCGAATTGCGCAAACGACCCAGTTGCGCAAATGACCCAGTTGAGCAAATGACCATGTTGCGCAAAAAAAATGGCGGAAATTTTTTCCCAATTGTGCGCTTTAAAAAACGCATTACTCGCGAGGAACACACTCTATTTCCGGGGTAGACTAATTTCCGCCATTTTATTTGCGCAATAGAGTCATTTGCGCAACTCAGCATAACTTTCTTCTAAGTCGGTCAATCTTTATGATTTTGATTTCATTTTGTAGATCACAATAAGTTCAACAAAATGACACCAAAATCATAAAGATTGTTCCACTTAAAAGGAAGTTCGTTCGGTGCGTTGCGCAAATGACCCTGTTGCGCAAAAAAATTACGGAAATTAGCCTACCCCAAAATTATTGCAAAAAAAATGGCGCAAAAATCACGAGCGACCATTTATATACAACTTGTTTTAAAGATATTCAGCCGTTTAACTGATTTAATAGCAAATTCCCTTTAAATTTAAAGATATTCAATTTACTCGACGTGTAAAGAGGGTTACTGGGGGTGGGACAAATGCGACCTTTTTTTTGCTGGAAAAGGCCTTAGGAAAGGTCGTAGAGCTTCAAAAATGTTTTCATAGAAGGAAATCGTATGCGTAGATTCCGAATTTCGACAAATCAGACCTCGCTGACACGTCAAATTTGGGCTAAAAGGCAAAAGCTACGCAACTTAACGCTTTTCCGCAGTTTTTGCCTTTTAGCCCAAATTTGACGTGTCAGCGAGGTCTGATTTGTCGAAATTCGGAATCTACGCATACGATTCCCTTCTATGAAAACATTTTTGAAGCTCTACGACCTCTCCTAAGGCCTTTTCCAGCAAAAAAAAGGTGCGCGAATGTCCAGGTGCGCAAAAAAAAGGTCGCATTTGTCCCACCTCTGGGTTACTCGTAGTTAATTGCGTCAGTCTCATGGTTTCTCATTTTCAATTGTTTCTGTTGTTCTTTTTCTTCCTCGATGATATCAATTTCTTTTTTTTTAGATAAATTGCTAACAGTCAATAGCAATTCTATATTATTACAGCAGTCAAAAATACGTATAATAACTTTATTATAATATCCTTTATCAAATTCAACAGATAAACTAACTTCAAGCCTGCTAGAGTTCTCTGTTCTTCTCTGTTCCATCAAAAGCTCCCAAGCGCTCCTTTCAACGCCTTTTCTGAATGCGTTTAGAAACAAAAGAACAAAAAAAACTTGGAAAACCTGTTGTGATCCGCCCTACAATTCTCTTCCTTTTCCCACTTTTTTACCTCTTGCTCAACGACTCTTTTACACTGGAGGATTATTACCAGGTAACACTTTTTTTAATGCTCAATAAGCACAAATATCCCTTCAGTTGCTCATTCAAAATAAAACCGCTCAGCCGGAAGAGATGCCACCGCAAACGGTCACAGCACCAATTGTACAAGGTTAAAGAGATCGAATTTTTAATTCTAAACCTTTCTAGAACCCCATCCCACTGATCCGTTTCCAGAAACAAGTAAACAAGACTTGAAGAAAAAGAAATTCGTACCATGGGAGCCATTTAAGGTTTGTTTTTGTTTTTCCTTTCAATAAGCTAATCCAGTTTCCAGGCAGCTCCGGCAGCTGATCGAAAGGGGAGTCAACCAGAGAATCTGCCTGAGAAATTGATTCCTTACAAGTGATTAAAGAAAGTTTTTTCAAATTACGAAATCTCTCTTAGGACTAATGGAGAGGTGGATGATGTGAAGAGTCTCGTTACCGTACCCCTTGTGGACACTAGACGTTTGATGATGTTGAGAGCTGAAAGAATCGAGGAAAGTGATGTGATTGCGCATCTCGAGGAACAGCTACAAGCGGCCGAAACGCAGGTAGGATAAAGAATTATTTCCTTCAATCATTTTCAAATATATTTTGATAGATAATTTGCTCTAGTTTGCTCTTGCTTCATAAAGAATGGAAAATTGTACAAAGTACGCATTAAATAGGCTAAAGCAGGCTAAAATCGACTAAAATCGGTTAAAATAGGCTAAAATAGTCTAAGCTAGACTAAAATCGGCTAAAATTGGCTAAAATTGGCTAAAACCGGCTAAAACCGGCTAAAATCGACTAAAATCGACTAAAATCTGCTAAAATCAGCTATCCATTAGATCTGGGGATTTCTGTGTGAATGCCTATAGGTGTCCAACGGAAAAATCCCATATCTTAGCTAATTTCACTCCAATCTTTTTGATTTTAATATCAATTGACACGGAATTTCATTTTCTATCGATTCAAGTGAGAGAGAAAATTTGATTTCGAGTGAAATTGAGCAAAATATGGACACCGATTGACGCTCACACGGAAAATCCCAGCTCCACCAAGCTTTCAGATTCTAATCGAACGAGATTTGAACACGGAGTTGAAAAGACTCTTGGTGGCTACTGTGGACGATGATTGGCAATGTCATGTGAACTCTCTTTCGCAAGACAAAGTCACTCTTGCTCGACGTCTTGATCAATACGCTAATAAAGTATATTTTCTTTATAAAAAACGCTAAACTTTAATCGAAAATTCAGCTTCAAAACGAGGATGAGGAAATGGAAGCGCTGAAGATTGAGCGTGACGTGTGGAAGTGTAAATTTCTTGCCATGAGTATCCGGGTCGACGAGGTGAAAGCTCGAAATGAGACTTTACTCAAAATCCTCAGGTTTGAAAATCACAAAGATAAAGTTTAGAAGTTTAAAAAGTTTAGATGCGCTCAGCATACGATCAGCGACATTGGTTCGAATGGAGTTGTTGAAGAGCTAAAGGAGAGAATCGCCTCGTTCACTTCACTCGATCTCAGTCGACTCGTCGAGCGATCACCGGCCGAAGAAAAGTATTCACGGCCAGCCGTCAATTATCATAATTTAACGATTGCTTGCTGCAAAAATTGCACAGGTCGAGAGATTCATCTTCTTTAAAAAATCTTTAATCAAAGAATCAAAATGTACAAAATTTTTTTTCCTTTCTGTTGAACAAATTTGCATATTTTCTGATGATAAAATGTTTGTTTTTTCTTTTTTTTTTAAAAGGTTGTGAGCTCTAAATTGTCTGTGATATTTATTCAAATTCCAATAAATTATTTTATTTAAAAAGATCGACAAGAAAGCATAGATTGACTAAAGTAAAATAATTTTTTTTTTGAGCAAGAAAGAAATACCCGAAAAGAATACCCATTGAAAAAGCGATTCTAATCTCAAAAGTAACTACCGTAAATGCCGTAATTGAACGTTCAGTCACGTAGTCTACCGTAAATACTGTAATAGTACCCCACCCCCCTCGCACAGTCGCGTAGTCGCAAAAGTTTTTTAGTATTTCATTTTTTTCAAAGCGCTCGTACTTTCAAAAAATGCGTCTTTGGTATCAAAAAATAGCTGAAATTCAGGGCTATTTTTTGATAATTGTATTGCTATTGTAGCATAAACCAGTGTCGGGAAAAACTCGTTCAAAGCTAGACTACGCAACACTCCGCACCGTCATTATGCGGGTGGGATACTATTACAGTATTTACGGTAACTTCTTTTTAGGAAATCATTTTTGAAATCATTTTTTTCTCTCAACCCCTAGCTTTTTCCCAACTACATTTTTGGTATCAAAAATACTAGATTTCAAGGGCTATCATTTGACACCAAAGCGCACACTATAGCATAAAACAGCGCGAAGAATAGAACGTCCAAAGTTATACTACGCGACTGTACGCTCGTCATTATGAGGATGCCGTTCTATTAGAGTATTTACGGTAAAGTTCTCGTTTAGTTTTTAGCTAATTCTTTTTTTCCTTTTGTTTTTGATTTTTCATTTTATAAATGGCATCATTTCTTTTCAAAGTAACGATGAGAAACAGAAAGTTCACTGTGTAAATCGAATAACAAACGAGGCAAATCGTTTCTGAAAATTTCGTTTCTGAAAATTCGTTTTTGAATATTCTCCATTTCAAATCAAGGATAAAGCTTTTTAAAAGAACTTACTCAAATGAAGTTGAACGATGAAAAGGTAAACAGTCGAAATGTTCATTAAAATGGCGGCAAGTAACGAGATGATGGTCGAGAAATCGGATTGGCTTAATTGCAATACGCCGAGCACAGAGAAGCCGACAGTACCGTAGACGGCATTTTTCTGAAAATTATAGCTTTTCATATTTTCATATTTTTTTACCTGATTTAAAATGCTGTCATCACCAAAAACTTTTCCGATTAAGCCAAAGCCCCGCCCGTATTCCGAATTGAGAGCTTTTGTGCACGAGATCAAAGCGCTTAAATCACACGCGGCACGATAATTCGGGTTAGCTTCGGAGCTGCAATTGATTTAGGTTTTTTTCGGATTTAGGATTAGATTTTATATAAGCTAAGTTGTTTCAAATAGCTCATTGTACCTGATTTCAACATATAAACCGTAGATAGAAACGACCAATCCGGCGGTCAGCACTACAATCGCATTTCTCGAGTATTGTTGGACAATTCTTTGGAACATCGATGTCTGGTCTCTCATCTAATCAAACTGTTGGTAAAGAAATGAATGAATGAATGATGTTTCAAAGTGTAAAGTTAACTTCAGGTGAGAAATGGAAAAGATATTTGATAAATTATCAAATCGATCTAGCAAAAGCGCACGAAACTTCAGGTACAATAAAATGTACTTTGAAACATCTCGACGTTTTGGAATTAAAAAACCTGATAAGAAGCCGACATGCTTTGTGTGGCCTATTTAGCAATCAATCAAGAGCGCAAATTCCCAGAATCATTTATTCCACTGATGTCGGCCGATCTATACGATTTGTTCGGATTGGTAATTTAATTAATTTGCATTAGTGAAGTCTTAAATTACAAAAAAACCCTTTATTTCAGACATTTGTGTATCGAGTAACTTGTTAAAACGAGAAAAAAGATAAAAGGCATTTTTAGAAATGAGAGTCGACACCGGATCAACATTTGAAGCACTTGTGGTCGGTGTGAAAACCCAACAATTTATGGCTCATCTCTAGATTTACATATAAAAGATCATAAAAGAATGATAATGTCTATGGAATTGTACCGGACCGTATTGGGAGCTGGGGTTCAATAACGCAACAAGTCAACTCCTTTTTAAAACAATCAAAACACACGTAGTCCGATAGGTGGAAACAAGACAAATTGATATAGTCAACAAAAATACTGAAACCTTTAAAAAAGCCTATTTTTGAAGGAAGGTTTTAAATAGGTAAATTCGCATAAGGATATTAAAATCAAATAGTAATGAGAATTGTGTGAATTTAAATGAAGATCTGGAAACAAACAATCAAAATGAACCGGGATAAAGAATGCACATTGCGAATTCGACGATTTTAGCATTAAATGAAACGGGAATGCGATAGAATCTGCTAAAATGATGAGCGGACGATAAATGGGAAAGACTTGGAAGGATGCGCATAGTGTAAAACGTATATGATACGACCCGTAGAAACAATCGGGAAACACTAAAAAATGCCAGCATTTTGTTATTCATCAAACGATTCGCTTTTATTCACAGTTCGTGAAGTCATTGGTGATGTAGAAAGATTTTTCTAAAAAATATCTATTAGTTTCGACTAGTTTGTTTAAAAAAACACAGGTAGAACACTTACTGCATAGCGTGGCCGGAACAACTCGTGCTTTTGCAATTCATAAACATCAGCACGGTCTTCTTTTCGATATTGTAAACAGCGACGAATGAAATCTTGAGCCGCAGAAGAAACCTAAATAAAATGTACTTTTAGTGTCAATTGAAATTAACTTTTGGCTTTACAAACTTTTAAATAGGAAAATTGAAAGTTTACCTGTGGTTTGGATAGAAAATGCACTTCTGTGGCTTTAATGATTGTATTTTCTTCGAGAATCTTCTGTTGGGTTTGTTCATGTCCAAAGGGCTAAACGAACAAAAGAGATTATGAAAGAACGGATTAGCCTACCCTTCTACCATAAAGACATTGGTAGAAGATGACACCAACACTCCAGACGTCAACTTTATTGCTGATTTTTGGCGGCATATGTGAAACGACAAAAGTTTCTGGCGGAAGGTACCTGAATCCAATAAAAGGTATTAAGAGCTATATTTTTTTAAATTACCAATACGTTCCAGCGAATTGACTAGTGAGATCGATTTGGCCATCTGTATCATCAGAGCTTTCGATCTGTTTGCTCAAACCAAAATCAGTTATCTAAATTTAGAGTTTACAAAAGAAAAGACAGAAACAATAACCTTAATTGCGCCACAAGTATTTCCCGATTCCAGTAGAATGTTTGCAGGTTTTAGGTCATAATGAATGATAGGTGGCTTTCGTTCGGCCAAATAAACCAAAGCGGAAACAACCTAAAACCAGCGCAAATAAACAAGTAAGTAACATCGGTCAAACCTGCATGATGATCGAACGAGCTTCTTTCTCAGGAATCGTCTTATTTTGTTTCAAGAAAAAGTCCAGGTCATTTCCAGGACAAAATTCGAGTACTGTGCAGAATGAATGATTGTCGATTGTGAAGAGATCAAACAACTAAAACCAAATAAAATTAATAACAAGCAAATAACCAACCTTTACGATTCGAGTGTGGTCAAGGGTTTTGTGAATATCCTTTTCTCGCATAGCATGCTTGACATAATTGGCTTTCTTTTCTTCTTTCCATTCTTTGTTCACATGGTGAATCTTGCAGGCAACGTACTTGTTTTCCTCAAGATCAAAAGCGCGCCAAACTTCGCTAAAAGTAAGAATAAGGTTTCTATGCTAAATGTCTATTCGTAACACGATTCATAATTAAAATACTACCTGAATCCGCCTTTCCCCAAGAGTGATAACATCAGATATCGTTTGTTGAGAAGCTCGTGATCCTTGTAGCGAGAATCTCGCTCATGTGTGGCCCTCTTCAGCTCTCTAAATATGGTACAGTAAATATCGAATAAAAAACAAATATACCGCAGGTGAAGTTGTCGCTCCCTCTCCAACTGATCCTGTTCAATTTGCAAATCGGCGTCTTCTTTCTTCAGGTGTTCTTTTCGCAATCGGTAAATTTCCTCCTAAAGTTTAAAATATAAAACTCAAAAACGGTAAATGATAAAACGATGTACCTGTTCTTGATATTCCTGATAGGAAAGTTCCCGAAGTGGTGGTTCGGGTCGAGCAAATCCATCGGCATCAGTATTAGAAGTTGATGGTAGCTCTCCAGGACCAATTTGAATATTCATAGCCAATGCAGCTCTAAAAACATTACTTAATATCTTCAGAAACAGAATATGAAAAACACTCTTATTTTGCTTGAATATTTCTGCAAAAGATCATATAGATGTACCTTTTCTGATTCTGGTTGGTCGTTGGTTTGCGCTTCTTCAGCAGCGCCATTGCATTTGTGATTTCATTGCGCTCGTGGTTGATTTCCTAAAGTTGCTGGTAAACCCGAAATTAAATTTCCAGTGTTACGGTTTTCTTGCGCTCAAGATCCTCAAAACTGTAGCCGTAGACCCATTGATCTTTGAATTGATCACCCTGTCGCACCATTTTGTACATTCCAATCCGAGGCGTATCAGATGTAGTCTTATCCAATAAAGCTTTTCTCTCCAACTTGTTTTGTTCGATGAGTAATCTGAAGAGAAGTAATATTATTACTATAACTAAAAAGCTGCGGTTACTACCCAAGCAAAAATTACCGCTTGATCGTCTCCTTGCACTTGTCGTTTTTCCGCTTCTCGATATTGTATTGGCGCGTCGTGTCGTCGTTCTTTCGTTGTAGTTCCTCAATAAGACGATCCCTTTGCGCAATCTAAGTTAAAATGTAAACGTATTGATAAAATTTTTTAACCTCTTCATTGGCATCCCGGAATTGTGAACAATCTGTTTGAACGATAGCATCTTGACGATGACGACGTGGTGGACTTTGACTGTTTTCACTGCTCGAGTAGCCACCAATCGGAGGCGGAGGATTGGTGATTTTTGTGGGAGTAAGACGTGAAGGCGACGGGCACCCACTCAGCCAACTAGTTCCAGGCAATTGGCTAATATTCTGCATCTAAAAAGAAACAACATTGCCAATTGAAAAACGCAAGCTTACTTGTAGGCTATCCGAGTTGTTTGAACTATCCCCATTGCTGAGATGAGCTCTCTTTGGGCTTGCTTGATTCGACTAAAATATGGTATTATATAAAAGCTCTATCTTCAACTAACCTTGACAAATTCAGTGATCTTGCGATCACCTTTTAGAGTTTCGTCTCCTCGGCGGCGCTTTCTAGCTTTTTTTATTATAGAAGATGGTCGAGCTTGTGCTGATTGAGGCTTTGCTAAAAATATTACATGAAAAGATGAAAAGTAAACCCTAAATTTACTTGGAGTAAATTCTTGTTCGCGATCACTCACGCTGCTTGCACTAAGATTACTGGTCTCATTGTTGAAAGCATTAGGTGGCTGCATCAGCATAAGCTAAAATTCATACAGTTAAGAAAATAAACTATTTTTAAAACCTGTCCATCTGAAGAATCGTCGGCTAGTGGTCGCAGCTGCAAATTGTCTGTGTTCAAACTGCCCAGCATACTCTAAAATCAGAAATGTTTATTAAGTACGGGTTGATATTTTGAACTTTCGGTAGCGAATAAATCTAGCTACCTAAATTGAGACCTTTCATGAATTATTGCAGAAACATTTTTAATTAAAACACTTTTTAAAATAGATTTAATAAGGCCCACCTCATCAAATTATCTTTTAATCTAGTGGAAAAAAATAGTAGGGAATGTAAAATGAAGGAAGCTGTTGTCGAGTCATCAGATGCGCAAAATTCGGACAAACAGTTTGCGGAATTTTAGCAAAAACTATGTTGCTATTTCCCGAAATTTATCTATTTTTAGATCAGTAGAAAAATATGAGGGGAGAACGCGCGAAATTAGCCGCACTACGGACGAGTGAAGAGAGGGGGATGAGGGTTTTGTGTCAGAGTAGGGGCGTTCTTTTCGCGGTCAGAGCGCTGGACAGAGAGCAAGCAGCGCTCAAATGATACGTCAATTGCAAAGCATTAGGAGACGCAGGCGGTATAAGTGCAGCGGTAGGCTGAACAACGTACAAAAAGAATAGAGCGAGAAAACCGTGCGACGACTCGCACCAAGAGTCTTTTCCGACCGCGTGCAACACCCTGTAGAAAAAAGGCGCATCGATCGAAATGAGAGTTGCTGAAGGGGCGAGTCGACTGACTCGACACGCGCCGAGGCCACGAGAAAAAAATAAGAGAAAGAGAGCGAACACATCTTAGAAATCAATGCCTAGTTATGACAATCAGAACCAAAAAAAAACCTTTGAACTACTAAAAGCCTACCATTGATGCCGCCCGCTGTGTGGGCACAGCTCGTTTCATCGGCGCTTTAACAGCGCCCTCACGAGGGCGAGCCGGAAGCAAAAAAATGGTGCTAGAAATCGATAAAATTTTGAGAAGAAAAATATCATCGGTGTCAATCAATGAGATTACAATGACATTTTAAGAGATCAAAGACGGAAAAGGGTATTTGTTTTGGCTCTTTCGGGAAGGAGAGAGAGAATAGACTCGACCCCGACCCACAGAAACAAAGAAATGAAATCAATATAAACGGAAACGAAAAAGGAGGATGAATCGGCCGCAAGGAACGCATTGCGTTGAAGGGGCGGGATTCGCGAAAGTGATCTGTCTCTTGAGGAAAAAGTTCTGGAAAGTTTTCTTAATGAAAGGAATTCAAATCTAACTTTGCAATCCCATCAAATGATCGAAAATTTGTTGAAAGATTTTCGACGACAAATTTTTGTCAAATTTCAACAAAAATCGAAGTTGCTCGCTGTTAGAGGGAAAAAAAATACAAGATTGCTTCGAAAGATAAGAATAATTTGCACGCCTCTTTCCATGGAAAAGAGGATTCATTGAAAAAAGCAAGGAGAAGAAAGGGTGAAAAAAAAGAAAAACTCAAGGCGTTGGCCCAAAACGACATCCACTCACAAAAAAAATCGATGATGCACGCATACATACACCAACACACTCAGGCAAAGGCGGCCGTCCGGGTGGTGTGACGATAGAAAATTCGTTGAGCACAGCGCAAAGAGGGCCCCGCCTGTTGTCTCCGTTCCCTCACTCCTGCCCCTACCCCACGAATAAGCCACTACCGAATCACTGAGCTTTTTTCGCATTACCAACGTCTCGGCATATGAAAAAGCAATCGAACTTTAAAATACGGGAAATCAAAAGATTATACGCGTATTTCGAAAGATGTAGTTGTTCATTTTTGATGGTATTTTGCAAAAACAGCTCAGAAAGATCTCAATATTTTCGCTAGTTTTTTTAAAAACAAGCAAACCCACCGTTGGAAGACTACGATACCCTTTTGGTCCACAGTTGAAGGCCTAAATTGAAAAATAACGTTAAACTAGAATAACATTTAACGTGTTAAACATATAAAGCTAATTTTTCCACAAATAGAAATCCGTTAGCTCTTCGGCAAGAAAATCATCAAGTACTTCGGCTATGAAATTAGGCTTTGAAAATTTCAAACAAAAATATGTAGTTAATGATTTTCAATTTGACGTTAAAATAAGTAATAATATATACCTTAGCTTCCGCATCCGGACTTTCCATTTGATCTTGTCAAAAGCCTCGCATGCAGATTTGGCAAATCGATCTAAATCACAGTTAAAGCAAAAGTATATTAAAAAAATGAAAATTAGCAATCGATTGTTGCTATTTATGGATCCGACAAAATGATCAAACTAGGTCAAACATTGTGACGTCATAAAGTACCATTAAAGAGATAGTAGGATAATGAAAGAGTGCCCAGACACATAAGATTAATTTTTGGAGGTATTTCGAAAAACTAAGCGTCGGTCAGCGCTTGACCGGTAATGGAAGGGTTAACTAGGTCAAATAAAGCGACGCCATGCACTAAAAAAACTAAGAAATACGATAGATACGAAAGAAAAAACGTCATCAGAGTAATTTTTGGAAGCTTTTCGATGATGTCTTTGATTGGTATCAGGAAATAGGTACAAAACACTCAAAGAAACTTTAAAATGTAAAAAAGTAGTTACAAATAAAGAGGCAGTGAAGAAATGAGTATTCTGAATACTTTTCCGCTTGAGGTGCTAGCAAAAGCGCCGTGTTTTTTGGGAGGTGGGACAAATGCGACCTTTTTTTGCGCACCTGGACATTTGCGCACCTTTTTTTTTTGTTGGAAAAGTCCTTAGGCAAGGCCGTAGAGCTTCGAAAATATTTCCATATAAGGGAATCGTATGCGTAGATTCCAAATTTCGACAAATCAGACCTCGCTGACACGTCAAATTTGGGCTAAAAGGCAAAAACTGCGGAAAAGCGTTAAGTTGCGTGGCATCCCTTTCAAAAATTTGGTGTGAACCGCAATCAAAAGAGGGCTGCCACGCAATATGCCATGATTTAATGACAATACAAAAGAAAATTTAGGTAGTGTAAAGTTTTTTTTTAATGAAATTTCGGTTCAAGTCACAAATTCTTGTAGTTAAGAACACGTTGCAACAGGAAAGATTTCTTTCGCAAAACTAGGAAAATTTCGGAAAAGAACTGTGTCATAGTCAAGGTAGGCATGCTTTTAAAAGCTTGCGCTTTTTCATAACAATTCAGATTTTCGATGAACTTTCATGCGGAATTGTTTCGAGAAAATCTGTATTTAAGGAATATTGTCATTGAAAAGAGACAATTTTGCAAAACAAAAACAAACATTCGAGGAAAGATTCGAAGAAGAAGATTGATTGAAAATCTATTTGATAGTTGCGTAAAGAATTTGAGTTTGAATTTGAGTAAACAATGCAAATCTCAAGCTAGTAAAGAGTTGATTTTATAATTTAAAACCAAATTGTTCACATAAATATATTTTGATCAATCATTTAGTGAATCTATCTTTGGCAAGAGTTTTCAGAATAAAAGTAAATGAAACAAAAGTAAGAATTGGTTTCACAACTTTTAAAAAAACTCAATTTATAGTATAAAGCTTTCATAACACTTTTGAAAATCTAGATATCGATTGAAAAAAAGATAAGAACTTCATTTTTTTTTCCTCAAAGCAGTTCTTTTAAGGTTGACGGTTAACCAAAGCTCCCGCTCTTAAATGTCCCGAAGCGCCTTTTGTAAGTGAGCCAAACGCAAATTATAGCAACCACCAATCCCCATCTCTGCACTCTATTCAAAAGCTCTTTTAAACCTCATCCTTTTTCTTTATGTTCTTTTCATTGCGAGTTTTTGTATGCTAACCATTCTCAGTTACACTCATTAATCTTAAAGTAATTGCCCAAGTTTTTACCAATCAGACCAATCGATAATTGCCGGCAGACACCATTAATTGTCAAACTACCCACTTTGACATTATTCGATTAGTTTTCATATTCTAAAATTTTTGGCAACATCTATTTTTGGAGTATCCGAAGATGAGCTCAAATCGATCTCAACGCGGTGGAACAGCAAGTGGACGAGATCGGCGAATGTTCGCGTCGATTCAATCAGCGCTTGGTGGGCCATCTCCACAAGGACCACGCACTCGTGCCCGCGCTCGTGCTAATGAAGAAAAAGCTGAGGTTTGAATTAAAAGCTGTTTGTAAAAAAGATAGCCTATCCATGAACTGTCCATCTTTATTGCAAGCTCACCTTAATACCATCAATACTAGTGACTTTCTAGATTATGGTATGAAGTTTAAATTGAAAAAAATCCAAAAGATTGATTAAAAAAGCTAGGAAGATTGAAGAAGTAAAGAGTCAACGCTAACATATTCAAATCAAATCAAGTTTATACAAATCAATTTCAGAAACTGGATGACGTTGATCAAGTGATTGCCCAAATCAGTAACCTTTCGATTCGAGGTGATCGCTCAGCGATGCAGATAAGTGAGTGAAATTCGAGAAGCATAATTGAGTTCAAGATTTCGAAAACCTCTTGACTAGCATTCTGTTTCAGAGAAGAACATTGTCTCTTGCAATTATTTGGAGGAAATGGATGATGAGGAATGGGATAAACTGTGCAAAGCGTTGTTTCATTCGGCTCTCCACGAGAACGAGACGGATTTCGTCGTGGATCTCTTTGGCAGTTTACTCGGTAAATTCAAATAGTTCAAATAGTCATAGTTAAGCTATAGAATTTTTTTATTTAATAACTTCTCAATACTTTTAACAATCTATTATTTTTCAGTTCATCCCGTATTTTGCGAAGTGATTTGCATCGAGATCGCTCAAACTTCAGCCACCTACATTATGGAGGTAAAAATCTTTTTCATACCTTGAAATCTTTAACTTTCAACTTTAAAAACAAGTAATTTTTTTCAGGGCAACGATGACGATACAGTGCCCACATTTCTTGGAGCAATTCTTTGCGGAAACTGGCCAAGAGGCGCCACTAGAGCCACTGAGGTACAGTAGTAGTTTTTTTTTCCTTGAAAGCTTTAAGCTTATTATTAACTTCAACTTTTAAAGAAGGCTTTAATTTTGTAAAAATTTTCATTAAACAATAAAATAAAATCTAAAGTTGAGAAAAATTCACTTTTAAATCACAAATTTTATCAATTTTAGTCAAACAATCCAATTCTCTACACAGCTCTCTCAATTGTAAAAGGATGGCTCATCGTATTGAACGATTCAGAAAAGGAATCACTCGTATAAAAATAAATAAAGTACAAAAATAGAAATAAATTCAGAAATCTTCATCCAACACAATGAAACGAGATTTTGATGATTTGGAGGATGATGAAGATGACGAAGATGACGAAGATGAAGAGAAAAATGATGTAGAAGCTTCACAAGAAGAAAAAGAAGAACAGGCTAGCCCAGTGAGTAATCATTTTAAAAAATATATATATTTATTTACACGAATATAATATGGTACAAACAATACACAAGCTGAACCTCTAGTACTCAATCTCTAAGCGATAAACGTAGGGGAAAATCCATGTATCGGAAAAAAAGAACCAATAATCTAGCGGTGGGATCAAACCTTTGCCCTCCCGACGAGGCTGACTGGCTAAGATACAAGGCTTTTAACCAGTTTTAACCAGTTTTAACCAGATCGAGGCCTTTACAAACCGTCATTTGAAAAAGGTCTAAATGTGAAGTTTTGTCTATTTCGAAAAGCTCTTTTTATTAAATAAACTTTATAAAAAATGATTTGATAAAAACTTTGATGTAAACAATTTTTATTTTTTTTCAATTTAATCTTTTCAATCTTTTTTTTTAAAAGCAAACTTATCAGCTTATAAACAACAACACAAGCAAACTTATCAACTTCTAAACAACAACACAAGCAAACTTATCAACTTATAAACAAAAACACAAGCAAACTTATCAACTTCTAAACAACAACACAAGCAAACTTATCAGCTTATAAACAACAACACAACCAAACTTATCAACTTATAAACAACAACATTTATATCTCCTTTTAAATCCTAAAATAGATTTCTTTATGAAAAATTAAACAGAAAATTTTCAGGAAGTGGTTGAACGATGTGCGAAAGCGGTGGCGATGCTCTGCCGTTCAGCTCAGCGCTCTCTATGGATGAAATGGCCAACACTATGCGATGAGATCTACTCAGCGATTAAACCCGCAATCACACACTCGAAAGTGCTCACCGGGTTAGTTTAAAACCCATCACTTGATGATCGAATTCATCACTTGACGATCGAATTTTGAACAGTCTACATAGAGCTTTGTACTCACTTTGTACTCTACATAGAGCTTTGTACTCAATCTTTCGAAACATCGAATTTCAGAGGAACGAAAGCCGACCTCTTGACAACGCTTCTTTTACTCCACAAATGGACAAGCACAAAGGAGGTTAACACAAAATCTTCATATACACAAACTGTTAGCAGCTAAGCAGCTAAATTATTTCAGATAATTTGCATATGATTATGTCTGTGATTGGATTAGATTGATCGGAAAGTCTTGTCAGCTTTTTTAAAGATTATTTTTGAAACGAATAATGAATCAATCGATCTATAGCTTTTTTTTAATCACAAAGTTCAATTATTTTTTATTAGTCCAATTGTTCCATTTTTTATTAGTCCATTTTTATTAGTCCAATTCACAAATTACTCTTTAAGAAATTCTGAATAGCTTGCGTTAGTTAATGTTTTTTAAAAATTTAAAGCAATCAAAAACGATGAAACTCAAAGTTTTGATTTGAGCATTTTTGGTGATAGGAAACTATTTTCATATCAAAAGATAAAGATCAAAATATAAAAAGATAAACGATAGAGAATGAAAAGTTAAGCAGATCGACAAATTTTCATAATATTTCACTAAGCCCATTTCATTCATTTCATTCATTGTAAGAATTTTAGAAATAAAAAGAATTTTCGATTTATTTCAAAGCTTTAAACTTTCCTTAAAATGAGTTCAATTTAATCTTTTCAATCTTTTTTTTTTTAAAAAGCAAACTTATCAACTTATAAACAACAACACAAGCAAACTTATTAACTTATCAACTTATAAACAACTTAACTTATTAACAACACAAGCAAACTTATCAAATTTTAAAAAAAGTGGACAAGATTTTCCAAACCAATATTATTAATTTCTTCATTTACTTTTGACAAACATTTCCTTTGTATAATTTCAGTTTCCATTTTTGTTAGTCTATTTGTTTTATTTCAAATTTTTCAATTGTTCAATTAATTTGGGGGTGGGACAAATGCGACCTTCTTTTTGCGCACCTGGACATTTGCGCACCTTTTTTTTGCTGGAAAAGGCCTTAGGAAAGGTCGTAGAGCTTCGAAAATATTTTCATAGAAGGGAATCGTATACGTAGATTCCGAATTTCGACAAATCAGACCTCGCTGACACGTCAAATTTGGGCTAAAAGGCAAAAACTACGCAACTTAACGCTTTTCCGCGGTTTTTGCCTTTTAACCCAAATTTGACGTGTCAGCGAGGTGTGATTTGTCGAAATTCGGAATCTACGCATACGATTCCCTTATATGGAAATATTTTCGAAGCTCTACGGCCTTGCCTAAGGCCTTTTCCAGCAAAAAAAAGGTGCGCAAATGTCCAGGTGCGCAAAAAAAAGGTCGCATTTGTCCCACCCCCATTAATTTTTTTAAAGTCCTTGTAACTTCCTATGTCCGACTTGGCCAAATTTTCTTGATCTTCTTTCGAAACGGGTAATTTCTTTCAGTTCCTCTTTATTTCTGTGATTTTCGTATTTTTACCCCTATAATTAAAGTTAATCATAAAAAATTTTCAAGCTAAAAATATAAAATCGACGTTTCTTCTCTTCCAATCAATTCTATACTAACAAACCTTTGAATGTACAAAAAAAAATGAAGTATTATTGTTATAAATGAAGTATTATTGCTAAAAATGACGTATTATTGTTATAAATTAAGTATTATTGTTAAAATTTAAGTAAAAACCTACACACGTAAAAGCAAAGTCGCTCTTAAAAATGAATAAACTTTTCTTTTTTGAAAGCATTCATTTGCATTCCTTTGCATTCCTTTGCATTTACAATTCCACTTTCAATTAGTTTCCCGCAAATTCTGTCAAAAAAAAGAAATGTGCTTTGCGCTTGGTCTGGTGTCTATCCCTGACGAATTGAGGCTGAAAGAAAAAAAAACCGCTTGATGGGCCTTTTTTGGCAATGCTTTGAGATCAACAGAAATGTTTGAATGTTTAAACGAGAGCCATTCGAGAGGAAGAAGAAGAACGAAAGGAAAGGGGAATGCTCGTCAACAATGAGAATCTCCATTAATTAAAGCGATCATTACGATGCGGTAGGGAGAAGAAAGCTGGCCATGAAAGCTGAATGAGACAGCAATAGAGACACCTAATAGTTTTCTTTCAGAATATGTTTACGTGAATAGTTGTTGCGATTCTAGAACCATTAAACGATTATCGCTAATGATTTGCGACTCGAGACACATGTTTACATAGTCTGTTTAGAAATTGAGCCTATTTAGAGTTGTTTAGAATCAAAATGTTTAGAGTTGAAAAATTCTAAATCTTCTAATCTAATCTAAAAATTCTAAATCTAAATCTAAACCAAAATCACTCACCGAAAAGCTAGAGTCGAATTTTCGAAAACCTCTCATTTCTTCTATTTTCTTCTATTTTCTTCAACTTCTACAATACTTTCTGAAAAATTTCAATCAAAATCTAATTCCACCTTTGTTTTCTCAGTCATTTCATGGTCGATTGCTTTGGAATTTTCTCTACAAGTTGAAAATATTGATTTCTATTTGTAGAAAGAAAATTTCATAGGAATCGTTGAAGAAAACGATGGTGGAATTAGGTTCGAAATGGAAATTTTTCATTTCTACGTTCTTATTTGAGAGATTTTGACCCCAAAAATGACTCAGACAGTGGCGGATTTCGAAAAGTCGTGAGATCTCTAAACAAGAATGGAAATTTTCTTATTTTCTTATTTTCTTCCCCTATCCCAGAAAAAACAGCCACATGAGATGGGGAGGGGGGAGACAATGTGGCGAGAGCAGACAAAACAGAGTGATCATAGAAGATGCACGAGAGGAAAAGGAGAGAAATAAAGCAGAAAAAAAAAGCAGAAAAGGCCTCTTGTGGCTTTCTTTCTTTTTCAGAGAGTAGTGTCTAGGCGGAGGTGCGAAAGAACAGCCAGACGACAGAGGAATCCGTTCCGCACTACGAACACGAGAAGAGAAAAAGAGAGACACGAAAAAAACGCGATCGAGAGAAAGAGTGTGTGGGTTTAAGTGAGGGTGAGAAGGGGGACGAAGGGCAGCCGCCCGCTGTCTCCCGGTGCTCGCTCGTCGGCTCTGTGGTGCGTGTGATCCTAGGCGGAGACGCCCCTCTCATCCACCCCCTTTTTCCACTCCATAGACACAATCACATTCGTTCATGCTTTCCGAGATTGTTCGCCGAGTCCGAACTATTACCGGACACAGAAATGAATCTTCTACATCATCGACTAACGATTCCGCGTCTTCGCCATGTCCAACTCAGTTAGTTTTTGAAATTCTATAATTTCTCGATCCTAAGAGCTCTATAATTCTATAATTTCTCCCTTAATAAACCCTCTAGTTAACTTCCCCTTTAAGTTAACTCTCTGTAACGAGCAAGGAAGGCCATGTGCGTTGTGGTGCACCATCGACCGATAAGCGAAACGTTGGAGGTTCGAACCCCGGCTGAAACTAACCTTTTGATCTTCCCTGGTTCCAACTCTTAAACTTTACCTGCCTTAACTAGAGAACTAGTCTTCTCCATCAAGTCATTGTTTACATCTTTTTTTCTCTCTTCTTTCTGCTTACCCCAAGTCTACACTCAGCATCGACAACTCTCTCACTTTTCTTTCTCTTTCCCCCATTCATTCCCAGACAAACTATCGATTGAATAGAAAGAAAAAGTCGATCTAGAAATACAAATAATACGATAGAATAAACAAAAGAGGAATTATTTTTTTTAGATCACTTCATTCGGAGCCAAGTTCATCAGGCGTTTCATCAGGCGACGACGATCATCAAAAAATGAGCGCTGATCAGCAGAAAAGGTTTTGCGCAAAATTGGTGAGTCTAATTGATTGTCTACTTTATTGTTGTATCTTTGATATCAATTATCTCTTTAATTCATTCGAGTTTTCAACACTTTTCATCAACTTTTGAGATTTCTCATCTCTCATCCCTCCATTCTTTCACCTGTTAATCCACTTATGAACTTATGAACTTATAAACAACGACACAAGCAAACTTATCAACTCCTAAACAATTATCTCTTTAATTCATTCGAGTTTTCAACACTTTCCGTCAACTTTTGAGATTTCCGATCTCTCATCCCTCCATCCCTCATTCTTTCACCTGTTAATCCACTCTTTCATCTATTAATGCAAAATTTCAATCACTTTTTTTTCTATTTCAATGATCTTTTTGATCAAAAATATCTTCTTATTCTATTATTTTATTCAAAAGAAATGAATTTTTCGAGTTTAATTCGCTCGAACGCTGAATCACGAGAAGAAAATTTTTCCAATCAAACCAAAGGGAAAGAAATTCCGAAAACTTCCTTGAATGTTGCATTTTTGTGAATTAATCCACTCTTTCACACATTTCGGAAGAAAAGCCGATTTCTCGTAATCTTCGATATCCGCCAAATGGGGAATCTCTCCTTCTTTTCGACTCCTAATCTTCATCGGATAAGCTCATCCACTTTAAGCCCATTCCTCTCTTTTTTTTCTTCTGATTTACATCTGATTTCTATCTTTGCCTTTTTCCGACCCCTGAACCCTCCATCTCTTTTTTTTTCTGCAACAATTTCCTCGAATGAATAGGAGAATTCTGGGCCTTTCCTCAAAAAAACGCTGAGAAATTTCGCGACGATAATTAACTCCGCTTAAAATCGGCTTCTCTTTTTAGTTTTCTCTTTAAAAAGATTTTGTATTACTTTCATTGATTGATTGATTGATTGATTGATTGTTTATTGATTGATTGTTGATTGATTGTTGATTGATTGTTTATTGATTGATTGATTTAATCTTATAGCAGCGATTCACAAAGAAACGAACTTATTCATTAGGCTAGTCAAATTGGGAATCAATTTAAAAGCTAAAGCTTTAAAAGGAAAAGATTTAAAAGCTAAACTCTTAAAGTTTCCAGATTCGAATGCAACAAAAATGGAGTAATCGAGAGCAAAATGAAAAGGAGATCGCTGAGCTTTTGTCCCCGGAGGATAGGTGAGTTGCTGATTTTCATATTGGAAATCGATTCGTTTCAATTGAATGGCAACTTTTGTGTTATTCAATCCAAAATGAAAATGATCGTCTTTGATCGTTTAAAGGGATCAGAAAAATGATTATTTTGTAGTCAACGATCGATCGGCCAAGGCAACAAGTGTTCTTTTTTCAAATTTACTGAGCTTTACCCTTTCTATAAGCATTCATGCTATTAAATAGTTGAATTTAGATGTACGATATGTCACTATCGTTTTGCGGCTGTAAAATTTCTCCCATGCGGTCATCGCTTCGCCTGCAAGAGCTGCATCGCTGCTTTGCTTCAAGAGGTAGGGTTCTCTATCTTTTTCTTTTCTTATCTTTCTTTTGATTTCAAAAAATACAATCAATTTCCATTTATTCGAGTAAACTAAACTTACCATTCCAGACAGTAACAGGAAGTTGAAAATAGTAAAAAAAAAAGGGAGTCTAGGGCGGCCCGTCGCTTTTTTTTTAAACGATGTGCAGATGTGAGAAAAACGGTTTTTGAAACCCAGACAGACTATGTTTTTTCATGAACGGGAAAAAGGGTTAGATTGAGAAAAAAGAGAAAAGAATACTGAAGTAAAGAATAGAGGAAAGGGGGAGATCACAAGACGAGAAAGGGGAGAATTAACCCGCGCCTCCCCGCCGTTTCCCTGTCCCTTTTTAGCTCGTCTGGGCCTTGTCTGAGCAGCAAAAGATTCAAAGAAAGACAGAAATTTCCGAATAAAACAAGTTGGCATAATTTTAATGATAATCATTTGATGGTAGCTGTCTGATCGGGGTTAATTCTAGAGATCGACAAAATTTCCATAGATTTATTGTTTTTTTTTTCGTTGAAGTGAGGTCGATGCAGACGTCTAGACAGAAAAAAAATAGATTTCAGAGAAGGAGTGGGGGAAAAGGAAACGTGGGGGAGGATTTGGAGTAGAGAGGGATAGAGTAGAGAAGTATGCAAGAGTACGGGACAACAACAGAAATTGAGAGACCCCGCGGCCAATTCGACCACAAATATGACTTTACTTTGCTTCTTTTTCATTCCTCGTATAGTGTGGATCTATGATTCTAAAAATAAGCTTTTCAACTCGATAGACTTATAGTCAATTATGTTTATTGATTGGGTTCATTGATTGGATTCATTGATTGGATTCATTGATTGGGTTCATTGATTGGGTTCATTGATTGTCCTGGGAAACATTTGAAAAACTAGCCTTGAAAAGGTGAATAGAGGGATTAGTGATAAAAAGCGCTAGATAAAAGGTAGTTTTTTAATAGTCAATTATGTTCATTGATTGGGTTCATTGATTGTTCTGGGAAACATTTGAAAAACTAGCCTTGAAAAAGTGAATAAAGGGATTAGTGATAAAAAGCGCTAGATAAAAGATAAAAAGATTAATAAATGATTGATAAAAAGATAAAGGATTAATGAGCGATCGATAAAAAGATTAATAAAAAGTTAATTGAAGTGATCAAAGAAAGAGTGAATAAAGGGATTGGTAAAAGAATTGCGATCGACCACCCAAGGCTTTCTCTATCGTTTCCATGTCTAGTCTAAAATCTGTAACACAAAAAAGAATCGATTAAATGAATTTTTGGGTGTATTTCGAAATGAAAATTGAAAGAATTTATTTAGAATCTCGTTGAACGATGGGCAAATCGGCTAAAATGCCAACAATGCAACGAGTTCGTTCGACGATTTCATTTACTCGACCGGCCAACAGTTTGTTTATTTTGTAAATTCTATTTTTGAATATATTCATATTTTTCTATTCCCTAGAGAAATTTTTGAAAATCAAATTATTAGACTTCAATGATTATCGAGGTTTTTAAAGTTTAAAGTAAAAAAAAAGCTGCTGTTATTTTAATTTCTTGAAAAGGAGAGGTTAAAATAGAAATAGAAATAGAAATAGAAATAGAAATAGAAATAGAATAGAAAATATAGAATTAAAATAGAAATAGAAATAAAATAGAAAATAGAACAATCAACAATCAATTGAAGCTACAGTACTCGACAATGAAATATCATATTTGAAAAACGATCGTCACTTTCGCGCATCTGTAACTCCATTGTCTTTGCGTTTAAATTATTAGCGTTATACATTTTCTGAAAGCTCTTCTCAAGGGCTACACAATGGTAATATTCATATTTAGAAATACGGCAAAGACAAGGGAGTTACAGACGCGCGAAAGTGACGATCTTTTTTCAAATATGATATTTCATTGTCCAGTAGTGTAGTTAAAGATATTCAGTGATAAAACTTGGTCTTCAATATCACCAACCTATTTCTAGAGTACGGTATCTTAAATGTCGAATACTAAAAGACAATAACTTGGAAAAGATTAATGAAATCAAAAGAATTGAACCATTGAAAGATCCTTTTCATTTTTCAGGATGATCCATCAAAAATTGCATCCACATCGTCAAAATCTCGTTTACGAGTCGGTTCAATGTCGTGGAGCTCGTCAGCAAGTGGTGGATCGACGCTTTCCACCACTTCATCAACCACATACGCTTCACAGCCATCCATCGCCTCAACCGTTTCCCAAGATCTCTCAAAGAACAATCCTTTCTTTGATCCTTTCAGTATTTAGCAAATCTCAAGGTTTTTTTTTTTCGTTAGATTATTTAGGGAACTTGCCAATAATGTTTAGCTAAATAAATTTAAAGCTTGAATCTAATTTTATGAAAGCTACGATCTTGGCAAGTTTTTCCAGTAATTTGTAAATATTTTCTTTGCCCGAAAACCGCCAAAACTTGCCAAATTAGTTGTAATTGAAAAAAAAAGATTGGAATTTGTTGTTTATTTTCATGTTTGACGTGTTTGAGTTTTTGTTTTGCCTATTTTCCTATTTTCCCAAGTCTTTCTGAATGTTTTTCTTGTTTAGGCATTGAGTTTCAGCTTCAAACTATTGGGTTGGTGAATTGAAAACTTCCGGCTATTATTATATGTGACAGTTTGAGCACTTTCTTCAAAAGAAACCCATTTTGGTGTCAATGGAAAAGTTGTAGAGAATCAAAAATCAAGCTTATATCCAAATTTTCAGAACGTTTCAAAAACTGGTTTTCAAGAAATGCCAAATTTACGAAACTTTCACAAAACTTGCATTTTAAGCGAAACTACTAAGTGTATCTTTTTGGAAATTTGGCTATAAGCCTCATTTTTGATTCTCTACAACTTTTCTATTGACACCAAAATGGGTTTCTTTTGAAGAAAGTGCTCAAATGCTCAAACTGGGACATCTCCAGCCCTCGATTTTTGAGTCTCACACTTGTCTCACACACAAACCAAAATCCTACTACGAAAGAGGAATCCGCAAATTGCCTGTAAAATGAGCAGAAGTCGTCAATAATAATGGAAATTATTTGGAATGAATTCATGGTTTTATGTTGAATAAATTTTAGTTCAAAGTCCGGCAGTTTTCAATTCACCAACCCAATACTAAAGTAACTTTTAAACTTGAAAACCATAGCTTCAAAAGCATCCAATTGTAAATAAATAAACCTTTGCATCGATCTGGATTAGGATTTCACCTCTTATTCGTTTTTTTCTTTTCTTAGATTGAATTGTTTTTTTTATTTTAAAATGTAATTGAAATGATATTTTGTTTATTTTGTCAAAACGGCAATGTGAGCATTCACAATCTCAGGGCCTTTCTTTTGGGAATTCTTTTCGGATTTTAGTTCAAATTAAAAGGATTTAAGGATTCAAGCAATTCAAGAATTCAAGGATTCAAGGATTCAAGCAATTCAAAGGTTTAGTAAAACAGGAAAATAGAAAAACTTGCTGAGTTTGGAGCTTAAAGCTTAAATTCATTATATAAATACCGTAAATACTGTAATAGTACCCCATCCCCCTCGTACAGTCGCGTAGTCGCAAAAGTTTTTTAGTATTTCGCCCGTACTTTCAAAAGATGCGTATTTGGTATCAAAAAATAGCCCTGAATTTCAGAGCTATTTTTTGATATCTAAGCGCGCATTGTATCATAAACCAGTGTCGAGAAAAACTCGTTCAAAGCTAGGCTACGCAACACTCCGCACCGTCATTATGGGGCGTTGGGGTACTATTACAGTATTTACGGTAGTTCATTTACTACTTTACTACTTTATAACAACTTTGAAACCTTTAAACATTGGCTTTTCAATTTAGCTAAACGAATTTTTGTTTTGTTTTTTTTGCAATATTGCAATAATTGTAGTCTGGAACGATTCGAAGAAAAATCGATTGCTATAATTTGCAATTCTTACGGTTTCCCAGAAATTTCGCTAAATAATTTACTGTAAATCTTGTCATTTTCCATTTTTCCATTAAGCTTTTTTCGATTATTCTTTTTTCTTTTGCTTTCCTTTCTTGTCTTAGAAAAGAAAGAAAAGCAAGTTTAGATTTGTAGGGAAAGCATTGGGTAATTTTTACTTCTAAAGCATTTAATTTAGTTTCTAGCAGAGCTGCTTAACGAGTCCTAGCAAAGATTTTCAGACAGTCTGCCTCGCTCGTCGATTTTTTACTACCCAAAGCTCCTTCGAGCATGTAACCCTTTCTCCTTGCAAGTTCCCCCGCAAGCCCCTATTCTAGGCTTCATTTTGATACTAAACATGGCTAGGTTCTGTTTTACTATTCTTTAGATTTCGATCAACCTTTCGCTGGACTCGATAAGCTTAACGAAAAATGAAAAATGAAAAACTATCTAAAATGATCGAAATCTAAAGAATGGCAAAACAGAACCTAGCCATTTTTAATATTAAAATGAAGCCTAGAATAAGGGCTTGCGGGAGAACTGGGTTTCATGCTCGAAGGAGCTTTAGGCAGTAAAAAAAATCGAAGAGCGAGGCAGACTGTCTGAAAATTTTGCTAGGATTCGTTAATCAGGTCTAGATCGATTAGCTCATTATTCATTTCAAAAATTAACCTTTAAAAAAGCAGAAAAGACTTTCCGGTCAGCCTAACAGATTCTAAAAGCTTTGAGTTTAAACGAGACACAATGAGAAGGGTGAACGAACCTTATTGGATTGACTGTAGCCCAATAACTTTCCTGTTAGAGTTCTGCCTATGCACACGGGTAAATTAGACTGTCTGACTGGTAGACTGGTAAATTAGACTGTCAAAACAGGGACTGTCTGAAAATTTCGCTAGGACTCGTTAAGCAGGTCTAGTTTCTAGAAGAAAGCTAGAATGTTTGATTTGAAATTCTAGGAAATCAAAGATTAATATTAGATTAAAGTTTAGAAAAAAGGGAAAATGAGCATACGCACAAGTTGACAAACTCCAAGCTTTTTTTGATTCGATTTCCACATAAAATTCTCTCAACTTACCAAAAAGTTAATTGAAGTGATCAAAGAAAGAGTGGATAAAGGGATTGTTAAAAGAATTGCAATCAACCACCCAAGGCTTTCTCTATGGTTTCCATCTCTAAAATCTACAACTTTCCCATCAATTACATGTTTTTTTTTTTGCTTTTTTGACTTTCAACGTATGTTTTTTTTTTGTTTTTCAGCCTCGAATTTGCATGTAATTTTCGATTTTCTGTGATTATCCGAAAATTCACCGACAGTTCAGCTAATTCTTTTGTTATTTTTTTAAAAAAATAGGCAATTTTATATAATAAATATTTGAATGAAAGTAAAAAAAAATAATAGTAGCAAGGCTTTGGTTTTGATTTTTGAGGGGAAAACTTTTGAAAAAGACAAAAAGAGATTGTAAATTTTTGATTGAAAAACATGAACACAACGAAAGCAAAATCGGGGAATATATGAAAGGGGAAAATGAGAGAGAGAGAGAGAGAGAGAGAGAGAGAGAAAAGAAAGAATGATTAAAAGTGTAAAAATGCACAGATCACCGAATAATGAGCACATGAGAAACCAAAAAGATTGGTAAAAAATGGGAAATTTTCTGTAAAAATGAAAAAAATGGAAAGACACGACTCATTTGGCATGACTAGGGATGTCAAAAAAGCATATAAAGCTAGCAAAGCTAGCAAAACGAGCAAAGCTAGCAAAACTAGCAAAACTAGCAAAACTTAAAAAGTTTTTTTGATTTTTTAACAAAATAGGCTTCATTTTTCTCAAAGTTAAGCAAAGAATTAGTATTTTTAAAAAGCTTTAGGCAAGTTTTAAAAGAAAATTATGTTAGAGAAATGGCTTGCATTAGACTTTTCTCGTCTCGGTCCTTTTTTTTTCCTTGGCAATTGAAGGTTTTTTTTTGGTGTTTTTCTCAGCATAAACCCTTTGAATTTTGTATATTTTAATGATCATTTGATGCAGAATCAAATTACACATCGAATGATACCAAAATTCTCCTTCAAAATCTAATATCTATCTAAAAGCTATGGGGCAAACGGTTAAGTCCCGTCCATAATGAGCGGGGTTTAAGTTTTTAGCCTACAACTTTGCGTGGATATCAGATTTTACGCGAAATTTTGGTATGATTCGACGCGAAATTCGATTCTGCAACGAATGATCATCAAAATAGACAAAAATCAAAGGGTTTCTGCTGAGAAAAGCACACAAAAAAATTGTCGTTGTCTTAAATTGTCAAAAAAAAAGGATTGACGAATGTTTTCGTTACAAGTCTAGCTTGCATATCTGCAATTTCACAAGTGAATTCGAAAAACGAGTGCTATTAGGAGGGGGATGAGTGGGGAAAATGAGGTTGAGTGCGAGTCAAGATCGGTTTCCCTTCTAGCCATCATCCAACTGTCCGCCTCCATATCCAAGCCGTTTCCCTCATCGAGCTCGTTCGTCTCTGAAATTTTTTAAATTCAAAAATTCTAGATTTAAGATCTTTAAACATCAAATATCTTATCTTACAATAACTCAGAAAAAAAGTTTATCGAAATAAAAGTACCGTATTTCTTCGAATAGAAGACCGGGCAAAGAGTATCATCGCGTACTCCTGCGTAGCAGCCCTTTTTAAAATTTCTTTTCTGCATAAAAGCTTTCAATGAAGTGCTATAGGGCTGGAAAATGACTCAAAAATACCACATGAGCTAACAGATTTTTGAGCCATTTTCCAGCTCTATAGCACTTGATTGAAAGCTTTTATGCAGAAAAGAAATTTTAAAAAGGGCTGCTACGCAGGAGTACGCGATGATACTCTTTGCCCGGTCTTCTATTCGAAGAAATACGGTATGTAAAAAAAATTTTCGCTTTAAAGAAAAATCTCTAAAACAATTTACTTTAATCATGAATGATATCAAGCAGATTATGGGATTAAAGAACGTTTTTTTTGAGTAAATAGATTTGTTTTATTTAAGTGTAACCAATTGAATGAATGGAAATGATTGTGGGTTATTTGGCTACTGTATTCTCTCTAATCAGTAGTCCGCCGAACCGAGTTGATGACTATTTTCCGGTTTCTAAGCTTTCGCAGAAGCTCAACACTCAAATCCCCCACAAGATCTCATCGTCATCTACATTTTCCGACCCCGCATCGATAGGTTCTGATCAGCGGTTGTCGAGATTTCGAGGAATTTAGGCAACGCTCAGGGTGCACTACTATTGGAGAGAATACAGTATTTGGTTATTTGGTTGTTTGGTTGAATGCCTCAATCAGTATCAAGATGACTTTCTTAAGGTGGAGATCTTTTTGAAAAGAGATTTTCGAATATCTGTAGGTAAAGTTTTTAAAATTGATGTAAAGCTTCGAGAAAGAGTCACCTTTGGTCGGCGCTTTCGATGTATCCTCATCGTCGGGATTTATCGGAGTATGATCCCAGTAATCGTCCTAAAGTGAGTTACTTGTTTCGATTTTTATTTTGACATTATAAAGTACTCAAACAAAAATGTATAAAATTTTTTTTGATAAAGGCAATTGAATTTTAGCATATGTGGAGATAAAAAGAGTGCAATGTGCTTTTACGATCAAAGAATGATAGGGGTTTTTATTACCGTAAATACTGTAATAGTACCCCACCCCCATAATGACGGTGCGGAGCGTTGCGTAGTCTAGCTTTGGACGCGTTTTTCTCGACACTGGTTTATGCTACAATGCGCGCTTAGGTATCAAAAAATAGCCCTGAATTTCAGCTATTTTTTGATACCAAAGACGCATTTTTTGAAAGTACGGGCGCTTTGAAAAAAATGAAATACGAAAAAACTTTTGCGACTACGCGGCTGTACGAGGGGGGTGGGGTACTATTACAGTATTTCCTTACAATCAGGTTTTTAACAGTATTATGTTTGTAGAAGCTTGCTTCTCGCCGTACAGCGTCGACCCTCTATTGCACTTATTGCAGGGATCGGCGCACAGCCTTACTGTCCCCCCTCAGTGATAGGAGACAGTAGTATTGTAGCTTCCGTCACCGTCATTATGGGGGTGGGGTACTATGACAGTATTTACGGTATATAGTAAAAACTAGAGCGTGTTCCTCGCGAGTAATACGTTGTTTTTAAAACGCACACTTGCCAAAAATCTACCGTACTTTTGGCGAAAATTATTGCAAAAAATCACGAGCGCTAACTTATAAACGTTTCCTTTTGAAAGATATTCAACTGTTTAGCTGTTTTGGTGGGGAAATTCTCTTCAAATGTAAAGGTATTCAATTTACTCGGTGTGTAAAGAGGCTTACTTCGTAGTTAGTCGGCGAAAAACGTCGATTAATCGAGTTCAATCGATCATGCAAATTTTACTCGAGTGATTTTTTTACTCGAATGCGAACATACTCTATTATCGAGTCTACCAACTCGGGGGGGTTAGTTTAAACTTTTAAGATCAAGTGAGAAAGGTAGTTTTTAAGATTTGCCACACAAGCTTCTAAGATTGAAGCGAATTCGCTAATTTTGGTTCCCTATCTCTTTAAATTTGGTTCCCTATCTCTCTAAATTTGGTTCCCCATCTCTCTAAATTTGGTTCCCTATCTCTCTAAATTTGGTTCCCCATCTCTTTAAATTTGGTTCCCTATCTCAAGAACTTTGGTTCCCTATCTCTCTAAACTTGGTTCTCTAAAGACAAATTAATTAAAATTGATTAAAAACAAACATTAAATGATTTGTCTCTCTCCTCATTGACAACGCCTTTTTGGAAATCTTGATGTTCGTGTTTTTCCTGAAAAAACGATTGATTTACCGACTTTGAATTTCCCAATGAGTGAAAGAATTTTCCAAGAATTTCCCAATTTCCCATTGGATTTGATTGAGCTACCTGTGAAGCGATTTGTTTCTCTTGTTCTCTCCTCTTCTCTTCTTCTTCCATTCGTCGCATCTTCTCCTCTTCAGTCTCATCAGGTCGATAATCGCCCTCCTCTTTGCTAATCACCTAAATTTAAAAATAAAAAAACATTTCGAGAAGTTAACAATTTTTCTATTTTCTTTACCTCATACTCTTCCAAGTGCGTATCATCGTAAATGTGATCGGATTTCTCTAAAAAAAGACTTTAGAAAGAGACTCAAATTAAAGAGAATGACCTTAGGCTCAAATGGCTTTAGAAAGAGACTTTAAAAAGGGACTTTAAAAAGACTCAAATGGTAGATGTAGATGTAGATTTGAGTAGATGGATTGTTAAATCCAAAGATCAGTAACTCACTCTGTGCTGGAGTTGGTGAATCTCCGCGATCCTTACTGTCATCCTCTCGATACTCATCCCAAATTGGATCCTCTTCCACAAGTGGTGGCTTAGAGGACTGAAAGGTTTAAAAAAAAAATGAAGAGTGAATTGAAAAATTCATAACTTTATTTAGAAATAGATATTATTGTTAACTTTTATATATATAACTGTAATAACTGTATATATAACTGTCGGCTGTAATTCATAATCGGCTGTCGTAGCCGATTTATGAATTTCACCCGATTATGAATTTCAGCCGATTATGAAAATCAAATAATTTCGCTAGCGAAAATCATAGTCGGCTAGCTGTTCAATCATTCATAATCAGCTGAAATTCATAATCGGCTACGACATATATATTCGTCAAAAGTTCTGACACTTTTTTTTAAACGGACATTTTGAATAGAAGCGTGTAATTTTAAAGAAGATACTTCAAGCTTTCAAATGATCGATTTACCTTATAAAATAAAGTTTAATTGGACAACATAATTTTAAGGAAATCAAGAGATAGAGCTCAAGTCAGAGCGCACTGTTCTCTCGCTTTTGTGGGTGACGAAGTAAGGGGATGGCGGAGTCGCCCACCGCCCCTTCGTCCCTTACAATTAGAGATCTCCGTCTGAGAAGCTCGATAAAATGAACACTGTCAATCGATTCCTCGATCCCAAAAAACCCTTGGCTACAAATTTACAGCTGAATATCTTTTTGCACCATCTAAAAGGCAAAAGAAAAATCCATGTAAATGACTGTAAAGTGTTTTTTGTGCGGCCGTGTAATCGCTCTCCATCTGGCAAACCACACTGATTTAAGGGGTTTCCCTTTTGGAAACGGTTAACTTTTTCTTACCTCAGCTTGGTCAAGGTTCTTTTCCTCGGCGCTTGTCAACTCTGGACGGCGATTAGCATCCAACTCCTAAGTGAAGTTAATGTAAAACTAGATTTATTTAGGGTAGATTTGAGACTTAAAAATCAATCTATCAAATAATTTGATCACTGACTTCTTGTTGTCGTCTCCTTTCTTCACGAATTCTCTCCTCATCAGCTCTTTGTGCCTCTTGATTTCTTCTTTCCTCATCTTCACGTCGTTGCTGATCTTGTCGCATGTTTTCCTAGAGTTCTCCTGTCCTTCCTAGTTCCTAGAGCTCTCCTGTCCTTCCTAGTTCCTAGTTCTCCTGTCCTTCCCAGTTCCTACTTCTCCTGTCCTAGAGTGTAAAGTTTACAATAAAACTTCAGGATTCTTTATCTTAAAATATAAAATAGAATAGAATGTCTAGCTATAAATAGTTGAATACAAACCTCTTGTCGTCTTCTCTTTTCCTCTTCTTGTCGAGCACGGTCTTGATCAGCGTGTTGCCGGGCTTCGGCCTAATTATTCTTTAAGGTTAAAAGTTTTCAAATATATTTGAGTGATAGTTTTATCCCTAAAACCTTTCTTTCTCTCTCTCTTTCAATCTCTTTATTCTTTGAGCTGTAAAATCTTTGCTCAATCCACCTGTGCTCTTTCCCTTTGTTCTTGATCAGCTTTTCTTCTTTGTGTCTCTTCTCTTTTTCGTTCTTCCTCGACTTCCTTATGTTTTCTCACTTTCTCTTCCCATTCTCTTCTTCTTTTTTCTCTTTCTTCATCTTGTTTTTTTCTCTCATCTTCTCGTCGTCGTGTTTCTTCGATTCTTGCTTCTTCCTACAAAAAAGAGTAAGTCAAAAGAGTTATAGTAGTGTTTCAAATGGCTTTAGATTAGGATTAGGATTAGGTTTAGACTTGGAAAGACTCTACAATTACATTCAAAACCTAAGCAAAGGGTGGAGAGTGGTTTTGGTTTGACTTTTACTCTCTGAAACAAACCGCTTTCTTTCGATCTTGTTCCCATTGAAGTCTATGCACTTCTCTTTCCATTTCAATCACTTTTTGACGATCTTCTTCTGATTTCATCTAAAAATTTCTTTAGAAGAATATTTTTTTAACAAGAATTTAACCTTTTTAGTCTCTTCTTCTTTACGTCTTTGCTCTTCTTTCTGTCTCAACCATTCCTCGTTTTTCTCTTTCATCTCATTTTCATTTTGTTCATTTGTAAGATTTGTAAGAGGTTTTTCTTTTCCTAAAACTTAATTCTAACTTAATTCTTTTTATATAATCAAACCTTGTTGAGCTTGTTGAACTTGTTGAGCTTCTTGAGCTTCTTGAGCTTGTTGAGCTTGTTGAACTTGTTGAGCTTCTAAATCTCGCTTCTCTTCTTCAAGATACTCATCAGTGTGAGGTTCGCCAACTAAAGAATTGATTGAATTGAAAAGAAAAGAATTTCATCATTAATATATAAGAAATTCAATTGTTATAATATTTTTTCAACTCAATTAATCGCATTCACCTTTCCACTGACATCGTTCACCTTCCCAGACGCCGATCAAACACTCACAACGATGTTGAGTGGGATCCTCGTAGTTAAATGTGCACACACCACCATTTAAACATCTGCAAAACTTGATTAAAATTTATTAAAGTATTAAAACTATTGTAAATATTATGTTTTCAAATGATTACCTTGTTTTGCATGCAGTTTGAGGCCAAACAAAACCCCATCCAGCGAGCGCGGTGCTAAAGAGGCACACAGCCACCACCAATCCCCTGAACCACTCTCCCATTCGCTAAATCAAGGCAACAAGATTTCTTCGGCTTCTAAAAATACCTTTATTATAATTTATTCTTTTCTGAAATTAACGAGTAGAATTTGAGCTTAAATAGACAAACAATCAACAAAGCTTTCGATGAGGCAGCTTTCAGAAAGATAAAGGAATTCAGAAGCAGAGATTTCAGAAAGATAAAGAAATTGAAGCAAGTAATCATCTAGTGATAGAAGATTAGATTTTGATTGTTTATTGGGTGAATGTAGGGAAAGTGACCGAAAGTGAAAGGGAATCGGGGTGCCGCGCTGATGGATATGTCCCACAGTTGCCCCTCTTCGATCCCCCCAATTCCCCTCTGCGTTCAGTGAGTGACACCTGAACTCATCCACTCACCAAATCAAAATATCGCTCGAGTTTATAAGGCAGAGGTGAGATATTGAGGTTGACAAAGCATCAGTCAAGCTATGTTAAGCAATTAAGCAGTTAAGCAGTTAAGCAGTTAAGCAGTTAAGCAGTTAAGCAGTTAAGCAGTTAAGCAGTTAAGCAGTTAAGCAGTTAAACAGTTAAGTAGTTAAACAGTTAAGCAGTTAAGCAGTTAAGCAGTTAAGCAAGCAAGCAAGTTAAGCAAGTCTAACAAGTTGGATCTAGCTTTTTTGATGATTCCAAAGTACAGCCAATGCTGGGAATCTTTTTAAAGTCAAACTTTATGATATAAAGTAACTTAAAATGTACACCAATTCCTTAAGAACGATTCTTTAAAGCTCGAGTTATGTAAAGAAAGTTCTATAAAGTCCAGAAAGTTATATAAAGCTTTACGATAGTTAAGCGGTTTTTTTTGATTCATTTTAGAATGGTTCTATTTTGAAAGAACATGTGTATGAATAAGATAAATCTCACAGAAAAACAAGAAGTAAAAGCAAAGTAGTCAGTGCGAGAAGAGAGGAGTCATCCATAGCGGAGTAATGGCTCTTGAAAGACGATAGGATTCCCCTTTCCAAAGTGGCCAATGTGTAAAACATTTCATTCAACATATATAACACAAAAGTTTGCTTAAATATTTTGATAAGTATTTGTTTTTTGATAGTGAGAACTGAATGAAGCCACTCAAGTTATTCAAAGCTATAAACTTTAAAATTGAAACTGAATTAATGCATCAAAGCCAATGAGTATTAGTAAAAGCTAAAATAAAATAGTTATGGTGTTTTGGGAAAGCCCGGAAAGCTGGGAAAGAAAAAAAGTAAGGATTCGTGGTTCCCAGCATTACTCATTCGGACTCACTCTTTTGGAATAGGTGTTTTGAAAGCACTCCCGGAAAAGAAAAAAGCATAAAATCGCCTCAAGAAGAATACACACACCGCTCATTCGAAATTCGAAAGAAGTGAGTCACTTGAGTTTTAGGTTAGAATGGGGGTGGGTCATTGAAAAGGGGAAAGGAGGTTGTCAATGTCACAAAACGGCCATCCTTGTCCCGCTGTCCAGGCTAATGAGAGGGATTTTGAATGCAAATGCTTCAATCCTTTGACGGCCATTCTGGGGAATCCCTTTGATGGATTAGAAAAAAAATCTATCAAGCAACTCTGATTTCGAAATGAAGGTCTAGTTTTCAAGTTTGAAAGTTTAAGATCTGTTTAAGATAAGGAGTTTAAGATGCTTTAGATCTTGCTTTAGATCTTGCTTTAGATCTTGCTCTAGATCTTGCTTTAAATCTTGCTTTAAATCTTGCTCTAGATCCTGCTTTAAATCTTGCTTTAGATCTTGCTCTAGATCTTGCTTTAAATCTTGCTTTAGATCTTGCTCTAGATCTTGCTTTAAATCTTGCTTTAGATCTTGCTCTAGATCTTGCTTTAAATCTTGCTTTAGATCTTGCTCTAGATCTTGCTTTAAATCTTGCTTTAAATCTTGCTTTAAATCAATTGAATATGTCAAAGAGCTTTTCAAAGACAAAAACAAAAGATCATAAAAGTATGACTGTTAAAAAGTCTTCACGAAAGTTCGAGAAGTCAAACTTGTTGGCTCAAATTTTGAAAGTAAGCCGAAGAGGGATCAAAACCATTTTGATAGACGGGGTTTCTGTGTAATTTGGATCAATCACTCGATTTTTTTCTTCTTCACCCATCTTCTTTTTTTTTGCAATGAGGTGGGCCTCCTCTCGAGTGGTGAGTGGATTGGATTGAGGAGAAAAGCATGTCCCCGTTGCCTGAGCGAGAAAAACGACTCTTTCAATCGTGTTATTCCCATTGTCAGGATCTCTATTTCCTTTTCATATTTCCCTCCTCCCCCAAAGTACTCAATTTCCCCTTCACTCAACACTAAAGCAAAGATGCACTAGCTAACAGCTAGATAGAAAGATTTTGAATATAAAAACATGATAATAAAAAGCATTGATTAAATAATTTGAGTTACTCAAAGATCATAATTAATCGTTAATGCAAAATGATGCAAAAAAAATTTCAACAATTTCAACAATTATCTCATCTTTGGGTTTTCTTTTACTGTCAGTTTTAAAAACTTACCATAATCTGTCTATTTATATTTAATTACCTACATTTGATTGATACCAAAAAGATATTAAAAGAAGAGATAGCGACTAAACTAGACAGGTTACGATAATTCTTTAAAAGTAACAGGTCTTACAACAGTAACAGGTTTTACAACAGTAACAGGTTTTACAACAGTAACAGGTCTTACAACAGTAACAGGTTTTACAACAGTAACAGGTCTTACAACAGTAACAGGTTTTACAACAGTAACAGGTCTTACAACAGTAACAGGTTTTACTTCATAAGAAAAAAAGGATTCTAATCTCATCGCTTTATCAGGTTTGAAAGTCTTGAAGACCAAAAAATGCTAAAAAGGAGATTATTAAGTTGAAAAATAACAATATAATGAAAATGACTTAACAAACTCTTGACAAAACAAACTTTTAACAAACAACAAACTATAAGTAAACTCTTGTTTAAATTAAAGAATATTTTGGTGATTGAGAGGTGGTGGCGAAAGCCCGAATCGTAGTAACGTGTGGCTTTTTGCCGAGAGAAGAGTAGTGGTGAGGGTTATGGACAAACGGCAGCAAAAAGAAAAGGGTGGCCACACTGCAACACACACACACACACCAACTGGCCCTCACCCCGATCTCCTCGAGGTGTACAGTGTGATAGAGAAGAGTAAATCTGAAAGAAGCCTTTCTCCTCCTCCTTCTCTCCACCCAAAAATCTCCTCAACCACACACAACAACGTAAACGAGCACGTTTCTTCTTTTCTCTCGTCGAAAAGCTTAAGGGGGAGTATTGATTTCTTCCTTCCTTTTTTTTTTTGGTGTTTTTTTGAAAAAAAATTTTTTTTTTAAGGGGGGGGGGAAAAAATTTTTTTTGATAGATTGAAGATCATTTTGATAGACATTAGAAGAGGGTGATCATAACCTAAAATCACCGAACCATTCACGTGGCGAGATGGCCGAGTGGTCTAAGGCGCCAGTTTTAGGCACTGGTCTCCTCGGAGGCGTGGGTTCGAATCCCACTCTCGTCAGAAACTTTTTTGTTTTTATTGTCAATGCTGGGAAACTTTTCAAAGTCAAAATTTATAATATGAAGTAAATTAAAATGTGACTAAAATGTAACTGAAAGTTTGACTTTCGATAAAAAGCCAACGAGAAAATCAGATGCGGAAGATAGAACTTTACAATGTTGTGTGGTCGCATTCGTATATTTCATCTCCTGTGCTGTTCAAGCCATCAAAAAAGATCACCCCATTTCTCGTACTCTTTCTCCTCCTTTTTCTTACCTTTCTACTTTTCATCGGATCTCCCGGGGGTCAAGCGGGTCCTTTGATCATTTCCCCATACCACTGTTCTTTCTTTTCCCCTCTCTTTCACCATTTCACTTGTCATCTCTTTTTTTTTCTATTCGTTGTCTTCATTTTACAAGCTTTCTTACACTGATCACCTGTCGTCGAACATTTTTCTTTTCTTTTAGATTCATCCAAGCTTCCACTTAGTTATTTTTTTATATGAGAAAGTTGAGATCTCTATGAAAGAGCTCAGTGATAAATCTCAATAAAAATTGGCGGGATTTTGGTTGAAAGCCTGCAGCCATAAAATTGAAAAAGCCAAAAATTGAGTACCTAAAAGCGTTTTTGTTTGATTATTTTTCGAATGACGTGCCAGAAAGCGTTTCTTTTTTTTCAATTCATTTTAGGGTAAATTTAGTCAATGAAAAATTCGTTATTAAGCTTAAAAAAGTGACAGAAAGTGTGTAAAGTGTCAACATTTAATGTTGAGATTTAATGACATTTTTAATGTCTCAACAACACTCAACGTTAATGCTATTCCAAAAACCTTTCCAATGCACAATTCACATGTAAACTTAAAGGAGATTCACACAAGATTTTTGATGAATCTCTGATGGGTGATGATAAACGATTGTGTGGTAGAAAAGGGATGAATTTCAAGTGAAGGGCAAAACCAATGAAAGTTCTTTCTCTAAGCTCTTTCTCTAAGTTCTTTCTCTAAAGGGGGAAAAACGGGGATCCAAGTGCCTTTGAAAGCCCAACTGCTTTCCACAGTGACTAATGATTGTTACAAAAGGGTCAATTTTGACCCAATCATCGACCTCAATCTTTCTTGTTTGCCCAATTTCTTTTTTTTTGAATCAATACGAGCCTCTGGGTTTACTCAATATCAATCAGCGCTGAGCCTCAGGGAAAGGGATTTATCTTTTATTTTCTCATTGTCTTTAGATATTCATTTAAGTTAAGTGGATATTTTTTTCTAAAAGCTTATAATGTTTAGACGTTGATTATTTAATGTTGATTATTGATGTATAGACGTTGATTATTTAAGAAAATATCCAAATTTTGATAAACAAAGCTTACTTTTTAAGGATACAAAAGGGTACAAAACTTAAATCGATGGGGCGGGACAAATGCTACCTTTTTTTGCGCACCTGGACATTTGCGCACCTTTTTTTGCTGGAAAAGGCTTTAGGCAAGGCCGTAGAGCTTCGAAAATATTTCCATATAAGGGAATCGTATGCGTAGATTCCAAATTTCGACAAATCAGACCTCGCTGACACGTCAAATTTGGGCTAAAAGGCAAAAACTGCGGAAAAGCGTTAAGTTGCGTAGTTTTTACCTTTTAGCCCAAATTTGACGTGTCAGCGAGGTGTGATTTGTCGAAATTCGGAATCTACGCATACGATTCCCTTCTATGAAAACATTTTTGAAGCTCTACGACCTTTCCTAAGGCCTTTTCCAGCAAAAAAAGGTCGCATTTGTCCCACCCCCAACAAAGCTTACTTTTTAAGGATACAAAAGGGTTAAAACTTAAATCGATTATAAAGAGCGTTCAATAATTACCCGAACTCGGTATTTTAAGTTTAAATGATCACTCAAATGTGCAATCATCCTCACGCTTTATTTTCATCGAAAATTTCAATATTTTTCTACGCTTGATTTTTAGGTTTAACGAAAAAAAAACAACAACTTTTTCTTCCTATTTTATAGAACTTCAAAGTTGGCACTTGTTTTTTCAAAGGATTTCCCAAGAATTTCGGTGATTATGACCGTTTCAGCGCTAAATTTAGTTTCCTTGAGTTACTTTTAGCTAAACGTTAACGATTCACATTCAACATAAACTGAAAAATGAAAAATTTCAGTTCGCAGGGTCATCTTTGACAAGCGAACAAGCCCATGTGAAACCAAAAATCCGAAAATAGCAAAATTATGCTTAATTTTGGTGTCACATTACCTTGCGATTCGTTTGATAATGTTTAAAAAGTATTGTAAAAAGAAAAACTTTGAAATAAATGCTCAATCTTTGGCGTTTTCTGAAAAGGCACTTTTGCCTAATCCGCGCTGATGCTCCAAGAAAATAGCTGACGCTGACGCTCAAAGAAAATACGCACTGGGAAAATAGGCACCGGCTTCATCGACGTGTCAGTGTGTATTTTCTAGCAAGCAAGTATTTTGTATTTTGTATTTTACTAAAAATCCTTGTTAAAAATCACTTCAAAACTTCGAATTTTCGAATTTTCTTTTTCCGATGCTTTTCCTTTCATAAATGATGAACAATAATTTATTGACGATAGAAAGGAATTCTCTGAACTAAAAAGAAATGGACTTTGTTCAGGGAGGAAACAAAAAAAATAAAAAAAATTCAGCACGCGCAATATCGACGAACAAAAGACGCAAAAAAAAATGAACGGGATGAAAAAACGAATCACAAATTCGGAGAAAATACACGTGAGAAGCGATTTTTGTTTCATATTGATCGATTTTTCTTGTAATTTTTGAGGAAACATAAAGAAATAGATTCCAAGAGAAATTCAAGCAAAAAAAAAAGGTAGATAGGTAGAGAAAATCGAGGATTTTTAGAGCTCAAAAGAAAGAAAATGTCCAAAAAACAATGGTCAAATCGGGGGCAAGTGAGCTTTTTTTTTTTGCTTTTATACCATTATTTACGAGGAGTTTTTGAACCGTACTTGAGAAAATAAAAAAAACAATACAAAAACATGACTGATCGCTTGGTAAAAGGATTGGTAAAAGGTAAAAGTAAAAGGAGTTTTTATTATTTTAATAAATTTCCATTTCAATCAGTCGTGCCTTTGAGGCGAAATGGAAAAAAAAATCATCAAGAACATTTGAAATCTTGACACCTGAATATTGTGATATGGGCTCAGATCGAGTTATATTGTGGAAAAATGTCGTTTTTTTTTCGAACTTAATCATTTTATGGGATACATTCGGGTAAGTTGACTAAAATCGAACATTCGGATAACTAAAATAGAATCTGTTTCTCTTGGGATTGTGCAAAATCGAAAACGATATCTTTCGATATAAATCGATAACAATATATCGATACTCTATCGTAACCATTTTCTATTTTGCATTATCCAAAAAAGAGCTCAACCTAGTGAGAGTAAGAGCCATTTGAGCGAATGCAATCGTTTAGATGAAACACGAAAAAAGAGAACATTAAACTTTTTACGGTTAGCGATCTTAAAAGCTTAAAGGTTTCAAAGTTGAACATCAAGAGTTCAACTTCTAGCCAAATTTCAAGGGTTTTTTTTCAGAAAATGGTGATGGAATTGGACGAAAAATCAAGTGCAGCACCCGTAAATCAAATGAATGTCGACGAAGAACATTGTGTTTTGAACAGCAAACTTTTATAGGGCCTTCAATTGTTGGTGCTCAGATGGATAACTGAAAGTGTTGATAATTTGATATAGATAGAGATTAGGTACCCCGTTGTTTGAAAAAGGAGTCCCTAGTGACGACGCTGTTCGATGGGCGGCTCGATGAAACCGTGGCCCTCGTTTAGGCCAGGCAATTCGCCCATCGCTCGATTCTTGCGACCCGCTCGACCCGATGACCATTGGGAAGAGGCTCCATTCTGAAATTTACCATAAATACTCTAATAGAAGCCTATAGAAGCCTCGTGTCGTCTAAGTTTACACTCAAAGAACCACTTTTATCAGAAACAAACGAACTGGTGTTGAGATCTGAGATTTATTTCATACTAGTTAGATCTAGTTACTCGTTAGTAGTTAGTAGTTACTAGTTAGTAGTTAGTTAGACCACACAACGCTCTTATAGCTGCCTTTCTATTAGAATATTTACTAATGCTAATGTGCAATGAATCTTGAACAAAACACGAACCACATCAGGACTTGTCGATTCATCGGGTTCTGACGAGATGTAGTCGTGTTGTCGAATGGGTACATCATTTTCAAAATCATCGTCATCAGTGACACTTCCTCGAAAAACTTGATTCATCTCCTCCATTTCTAGCATCACCTAAATCTTTCAATAGTTTCAATTCTTTCATTTTTTTTTCTCACTTGTCCATCAGAATTTCGATATTTCCGAGGCTCAGGTACATATGGTGGCTCATCATCGTTACCCATCATCGAGCTGTTCATCACGTGCGATTTCTAAAATTCATTTGATACATTTAAAGAGATGAATGAAGCAATGACCGTTATTTTTATTTTCTTTAAAATATTTTACTTCTCTAAACGAATCGGAGGCTTTATCGACGAGATTGTGAACGAGTTGATGGAAAGATGGCCGCTCTCTCGGATCATATCGCCAGCACCAAACCATTAGATCATACCTAGATAAATCTATTTACAAAGAAAGATTAATTCTTTCTACCAAAAATCAGGACAATCCATTGGCTTTTCCAAGATCTTTCGCGAAACACCGATATAGTTGAAAACCTCATCGTTGGCAAGTCCCTGATACGGTTGCTGAGCCAAGGTCAACATTTCATAAAGTACAATTCCGTAGGACCTAGAAAATTTTCTCGTAAACAATATGCTTTCAGTTTTCATTACCAAACATCGCTCTTCAAAGTGAACTTTCCGTCTTTCAACGATTCAGGAGCCATCCATCTGAACAAAGTGTATGTAGTTTCCTTTTTTTATTCTTCTACCTGACAGGCATCAATCTTTTTCCAGTTGGTTTATAATATTCGTGATAGTAGACATCGCGAGCCATTCCGAAATCTCCGATCTTCACCGTTTCATCGCCTTGCACCTAGAAAATTCCCCCTTAATCTTTAATGCTTTTTTTCTATTTACTGTAAAATTGCTGGGAATCTATCTAATAGTTCTTTTAAATCATTTCGTTGTCAAAATTTTGTTTTAAAAAGGGTTTCGCTAATATTTCGTTTGTTTAAAGAAATTGTTAAATCAACTTCGTCAACTACTCAAATTGTATCATCAACATCAAGGAAACAAATACGTATACAACAAAAACAAACCATGCAATTCCTGGCCGCAAGATCTCTATGACAGAATTTGAGACCCTCAAGGTAGGCCATTCCATCAGCAATCTGCGAGGCCCACTCAAAGTATTGAGTCTCCGTCGGCACTGGCAAATCATCAGTGTTCTCTTCAGCATCCGGTCTTCGTGAACGCAGAAAATCTCTCAGATTTCCCTGTAAGTTTTACGTTACTTTATTTTCTTGCTTTTCCTTTACCTTTGACATCATTTCCATCACCACCAACACCGGTTGCCCATCGGAGACAACTCCATAAAGCTTGACGATAAAGTTTGTGTTGAACTGCTTCATCACCGACGCTTCTGTAAGTTTTAAATAGTCATTTCGATTTTGAATAGTAGTTTTTTTTAATAAGAAATATACCGAGCAGGAAATGAAGTCGATCCGAGGCTGAAGCTGTCTCGGTGACGGTTTTGATAGCGCAATCTCCGAAAACCACTCCACATAAAGATTTCATTTGACGACCATAACCTCGGTAGACCTGAAAATCAAATATATAGTATAAAATTTTATATGAAAATCTTCTATACTCACTTGTCCGAAAGTTCCTCTTCCAATCTCTTCTTCCATATCCAAGTCCTCTCTTCGCAACTCCCAGGCATCCTAGAAACTCTATTTTAAGCAAAAATCTCTATTTTCTCATACTCACTTGTTTATAGACTTCCAGCTGAGAAAGATATTCCGGATTTGCGGAGATTTGTCGCACGAATTCACCAAACTAGACCCCAATTGCTTATTCAATTGCCTTTTTTTTCGTTGCGCTCACCTGTTTTCCATAATATCTCTTCATGATCAACCAGATTCCCAAAGTTCCTACTGCAATGAGAATGATGAGAATGAATAAGCCTAAAATTTATAGTTTTTATAGAAAATAATCATTTTTACCGATGAGTAATCGCTTCCAAGTGAACCACGATGGGGCGGAGACCTCAACCATTGCTTTCGGTGAAGACGGTTGTGAAACGCCAGCCAGTGACACGGTTCGGATCTCGATCTGAAAATTCTTTCGTTTTGAAATTTTTAGATTTCTTAGCTTTCTAGCTAGACTAGCCGAAGACTAAAAAAAGTCAAAATTGAGTGGCACTGCGGTGGGTCGTAGACAAGCGCGCTCCCGACTGTGCCACGGCCTGGTCGAGGGACGCCATGGCAGCCCCAAAAAATTGAGCTAGAAAAACCCGCCCTTAGGCAGGTTTGTTCGATGTTTTACGGCCGACATTGCGCGTTATACCTCGAGCGCGCAGTCGGGAGCCCGCTTGCCTACAACCCACATGATCCTGGTTCGACCCCCGTAATGCCACTTGATCTCGACTTTTAAAATTTTTTTTATTTTAAATGACACAACTTCAATATATTCTAAGGTTTTCTAAAGAAGTTTTAGTCAAAAGTTTTATTGGTCAAAACACAGCCGAGAAAATGCCCGTATAAACAGACAGACATTGCTCTTTTATGATATTTCTTAAAGTTACCTTATAAGTTCCATCGGGTAAACCCGGAAACAACCACCCGCCGCCGCTCTCGTTGTACTGCGATCGATTCATGCATTGATCGAAAGCGTGCTGAAATACTTTATTGCTTTTCAATTCCTTGAAGACTTTAGAGGCTTCTTTAGCAATACATACCGCATTTTGTAGTTGATTCTCTAAACGAATCCTGTATCCAAGGATTAGGCCATTTGGATCAACCGGCTCATCCCATTTTACTTTCACATCGTTCGTTGTTCCATTAATCACTTCAACGAGAATCGTGTCGTTTTTCACCAAATCGTATTCAGCTAAAGATTTTGCTAGTAAAATGTAAAAGAACTTTAGATTTTTGCCAGTAAAATGAAAGTTCACTCACGAATCGGAGTTGTTCGAACATTTTTCCATGATGGTCGTAGGGTGCACGAGTTCTCGGGAACGCTCACATTTTGACAAGCAGCAATCGTGATCTGAAATATATAGATCAGCCTTGTTTTAATATTTTAAAGTATAATACCCGATAGTTTCCATAATGGGTAAGATTATCAATCTTGAATCTTGTGCCGGTGACATTTTTCGATCGAATAATGTAATCCCAACTGGGAGAAGCCTCTTGTGAGGGGCTCGGCGCAAGCAATACTGGCGGACGTTTAGACTTTTGAGGCTGAGTTTGCTAAAAGGAAAACAATTTCTAGCTATAATTTCAAAACATACACTTTTCCCTGCAGCTTGACCAGGTTTCTCTTTTCCGTCTTTCACCGTTTTACCCACTTTGTCATCTTTTCCCGTCGGCCCCTCGTCAATCGATCTCTTTCTTCGGCGACTGCTAAAAATTTTTGCAAATTGAATGGATATCCAAATTTTCCAGTTTTCACTAAATAGTCACAGGAATTGTTAATTAAGAAAGGGTTCATTCCGAGCTCGTTAGTACATTCAAAAGTGATGTTTCATGAAGCAGACGACGCGTCGTGCAGTGAAAGCAAGCTCAAAGTTTGTGAATTTGATTAGTAATTTGATTAGGATTCGGTGAATATACTTTTGTGCAAATTGTAATAAATGGTGTGCGTCAAGCGTAAAACAACAAAGCAATTGTTTTTTAAAGGGTGCTCATTGCTCAGACAAGAATATGCTCGCACTTGGCCTCTTCTTCTTTGTCTTCTCTTTTCGCACTCAACGCCCGGTGTCTGCGATGTGGATGTTTGAGTTGAATCTCACGTTTCATTCGCCTCTCCTTTAAGCAACCCTCGCGATTCGGATTGCTCTCACAGCTGTATAGAATCATTTTTGGATCACTGATCTTCGCCCGGATCAAAGCGCTCTCTGCCTAGCAAACACACTGCAAACGGATCAGGGCAAGGCATCTACGTTTAGCTCATCCTAGTGCTAATCTCTAGTGCAGCAAATTTCAAAAATAGCATACGATTGCACGAAGACCACATTCTGAATCTCGTTCTCGAAGTGCGCCTTTAGTGAGATCTTCTCGTCGTTCTCAAGTGAAAGTGGATTTGTCGATGCCGATGGAGGCACATCGCACTGACAGCAACCGGGTACCTAAATTAACAATAAAGTAAAGTAAGGATGAATCAAGGAATCAAGTAAAGTGAAGATAAATAAAATAATCAAATAAAGTAAGGATCAATAAAGTAATAAAGTCAAGTAATTAAGTAAAAACTAAGAACTTCAAAGAATCAAACCTTTGAGCAAGTGCCTTGATCTTCTTTTTTCGGTAAAAACGTGGCCATCACCGATGCAGTGGCAGATGGTTGTTCGGGTTTCGCGGCATGAGAGTGTCCCCGATCACAAGCGTGTCCGGTGATCGCTTCATCGCGTTCGCGTACCCATGTGATGATGTAATGAGTGATCTCTCCGTTCGGCATCGTGGGCTCATCCCATTCAATCTCAATCTGAAATTTGAGGTTTGTAAATTTTAATAGCTTAAGGTTTTATTTTAAATTAAGTGCCGTTTTACCGAGTCAGATGAAAGTGCCTTTGCTTTCTCGAACTTCGGCTCATTTGGTGTCGCATATTTGGTGGTGAGAAAGCCGATCTTTGACACGGAATTTCTCGCTCCATCATGTTTCACAATTCTCGTTTGCACGTAGAAAGCATAGCTGAAAGTGAAACTAATTTTTGAGATCACTGAATGCACACAAACATTGTATTGGCTTTGATCAACGTCGAGACAATGATCGCTCCCCTTGTCTTTGAAGTTGTGACATCTTCCTTTTCGGGCTGGAGAAATCCGTTTACAACTGCATCATAGTCATTTTACTTACCTCAAAATGCATAACCCATGAATCGGAACAAGCCGATCGGTCATCATCAATTGACATATTGTGATCAACACTGTGAACCTCCTTGTAGAAAACCTAAAGAGAGCTTGTGTAATCAGAAATTTGATTTGATTTCTTTAAACGAACTTGATATCCAAGGAATTTGCGATAGTCAGAATCGCTGTCATTCAGAGGATTCCATTGAATGATGAAACCGTTGTGCAGCACCTCGGTCACGGTCACTTCCAAGCTCGATTCTTCGCCTATAAATTAAACCGTTTAGCATTGAAGTCTGTTAGTCTGTTAGTCTGTTAAACTGACCCCTCACACTAAAATCTTTCATTTCTTTTTTTTATCTATCACTCACAAATTGCTCTTTCTCCATTCGTGTCCGGACTTTGATCATCATTGTCCATTTCGCTCTCTTTTCCGACAGCTTTCATGAAATCGTGAATCCGATTGAAACACAGCATTCGATTGTTTTGAATCTTCAAATTCTACTTTAACAAATTTCATTTTTTCTTAAAAACCTGGAATTTCCCCTTCTCAATGGTGATATTTTGACCAGGATTGAATAACTGGCGAAGACTTTGATTATCAAAAACGATTAGAGAATATCTAAATGTATTGTGTACAGTATACATGAACTTTTTGTAGAAAACGAGTCAATTTCAGTTCCACGTAAACAACTCTTGTTTTTCTATAGCATAGGATTGTATTCAGGCATTAGAAAACAAGAGCTGTTTGCTAAAACGTGAAAGTGTACAAAAAGTTTCTACTGTCGTTTTCTACAAAAAACCCAGTACGCAGTAAGTTCGCCTACTTGTTTCTGAAAAGATTCTTGCCAACGATTCGATTGAGACTTTTGAACATGTGAAGACTGATGAAAGTTGGGGAGAAGCGAACGATCAAATAACTGAATTAAATAAAGATAAGTTTAGATTGAGAAACTACCCCTCGATCACTTCAATCTTTCCAAAAGCTTCAGCCAATTTCTCAGGTTTCTCAGAATCCATTCCACTCTTTAACTCGATCTCCAAATTGCCGGTGACAATCGAACAATCTTTTAAGCTCAAAGCCTGTCCCATAGAATCAACGGTCTAGAAGTTAGCCTTTAGATATTTTTCTGAGATTTCAACTAACCTTTCCATCACACCTCCTCGGGCAACTTTCTTTGCACTTTTGACAAAGGTGTGGGTCTTTTGAATCTAAAGAGAATGTTTTAAAGATCAAACAGTTTCATCGGCTACCTTCTTGATATCCATCCGGGCATTTAGGCACGCATTTACCATGGATTGCTTTATGACGAGCCGAGCTGAAATAGAAAGATTTGAAAAGCGCATGCTTACAATTACAATAATATTTAAATAATAGTGAATACTTACACGCTGCGACAAGCGGCTTCAGTGATACACCGTCGTTTGAGGAAGGTGAAGAGATCCGGCGGACAGGCGTCAATGCATTTGTTATCATGGACCACATGAAAACATGAATAACAGGCAGCTGAGTCGTTGGCTCGAGAGCAACCGCCTAGAATCGGTATTACTTGTTTGATCTTTATAAATCATCATCTTGTCTGCTTGTAGCAGTTTTCAAGCTGTAAACCCTGCCGATACTTTTTACTTACCGATGCATTGTGGATGACACTGTGACCAGTCTTGATCCGAGCATCCAGGTCCTGGGCCACTTCCGTTTTGTGCCAGGGAATATTTACAGCCTGTAAATTTTACTACTTTTCGCTCACAGATCATTTTTCAAGATCTTTTCATAGATTTTCATAGATTTTCGCAGCTCAACTTTGGCTTTGCTTGAGAAAAATGGAGATTGGCTAATTCCTTTGGTCAATGAATGCAATTGAGGTGGTGAGAAAAGAGGGAAAGTGTTTTTGCCCATGTTAGGTGATCCTTTCCGTTCTCTTTCATACATTCAACAAGAGCTGAGCACATATCGAATGCTCTTTCCATGAGAGATAATGGGCCGGGTTTGTTGAGAGGCGCAGAAAAAGAAACAAAAACATCAGCTCAGCCCCGGCCACTCCTTTCCTCTTTTTCATTGGATGGTGGATGGAAATGCCTGCCGCACAAACAACATCCCCCCAGAGCGCCAAAAAATGCCCCCGAACGCACAAACAATTATTCTCTTTTGCTCCTTTCTTGTTGTTGTTCTTCTTCTGCCCTCTCTCGTTTTGCTTCCTTCTTTTCTTCTGAATCGACAACAACCCCCTTGACGCTATTCTTGGAATTTGAATTCGGATCTGGGCGTTGATAATTAAACAATTTCGACATCTTGGTTTTTCAAATTCAATCGTCTAGATTTCAGATTTGATTTGAAATATTTGCCAGGACTTTGGACTTTGAAAAATTTATTTTAAAAATCGTCAAGTTTTTTGTAGAAAAGGGATAGAGATGGGCGAAATCGACAATCCCCCAATTTTCCATGTCATAAATTGCCTTTTCTTTCAATGGGAAGAGCCGGAAAAAGAGACTGGCAGTCAGCCAAAGAGAATTTGAGAACGAGGAGAGGAAAAGGGGGGCACGTCACGAGAATCTCCCAGCACATTCAATCAAATCATTTTTGTGAGCGATGATTGTATAAGGGAAAACAATCAGATTTCAGTGATACACCGATTGATCTGGCACCAAAAATAGAAAGAAAGTTTCGTTTTTAGATCAATCTATGAAGAAGAGATTGCCAAAGAAAAGTGGTGAATTTTCGTTTTCTAAGCAAACCAAAAATCAATTTCTACCACTTTCTACTGAAAACACAAGCTAAATATTTTTTAAAAAACTAACTCCTTTGGCATGTGGTCGCATTCCAACAAGCGTTTCCATCATTTATCTTATGGCAAATACCCTCATCGACATCAACCGGATCGCAGTACTCGTTGCAAGCGTCTTCTAAAATGATTCGCATAATAAACTATAGCTATGTCTATTGAGTTATTTCAGCCTAACATACCTTTATTCGCGGTGGGCATCGATGCGTAATCTTCGACGAGAATGTCATTGATCGACCCTACCACAATCGATTTCCAATCGATCGTCTTCACAAAACATAGATGCGAATTCTCCGTGATCCGTACTCCTCCATTCCTAATTGTCGTCAAACTCGGCAAGTTCACTTCCTAAAAATATTTTGTCAAATTTTGCACAAATATTTCCACTCACAATGAGATCATCGTTCTGGAAGATGATCAACGAGTAGCTCATAATAAGCTCATTTCCGCCGATCACTCGCAATTTTGGGAAGATTCGACTCAACGTGCGAAGGGCACTGAAAAGGAAAATTGTTAATTGAGAAGAGTTTGTAACCATTTAACCTTATCCAATATCTTTTTCTAAAATAATTAGAAAAAGACCTATAAAACCCAAGAAGAACCCCAAGAAAATCGCGCAGGTTTGATTTGGTAGATTTTGTGCGTCTTAGTTTGAAGGAAATTGGTTAAGCTAAGTTTATGCAGCACGCACAAAAAGAATCTAAGACAATGGAGTAGAAGGGAGCCGAGAGAAACGAAATAAAACCATTCTAAAAATTTTAACAGAAAACAAGGGTGGAACAATATAACGGGAAGCGAATGTGGGAAGACAGGCAACCTTAAAATGCGCTACGAAAAGGGGGATAGATTTTACAGAAGGAGGAAGACAAATTATTAGGGACTCAACATTAAAAAAACCGGGCAACATTCACGACTACATCGTGGAATGAAGAAAAATGAAAAGAATGGCAAAAGGGGATTTTTGTGCGGGGCACGGTAACGCATCCAGGCTTTAGAAAGCGCGCCGCGTCGTTTTCGCCCTTAAAACCGCACGTCAATAGGAATTTAACCGAAGAAAATAAAGATTTTTGTTGAACTTACCCGACTTGAAAGATGAGTAGATAGCCGGTGATCTCACGGAGATTCTCAAAGACGACGAAATCATTCATTGTCGTGTTTGAGCTGATCATCGTGATTGAGAGAGAACCCTCGATGATTGTACAATTCTTGCTAAACATTTTTATGTCTTCGTATCTCTATTAGCTTTATGAGCACTTAGCAGTTTTCTTCTTCAACTTACAGCATCGCGAGATCCGTCACTCGCTCGCTCTGGTCGAAGACTCGACGTGGGGAATTTCGGATGTCGAGCTTCGGACAGCGCACTTCTGTGAAACATGATACCTAGAAATATACTTAAATTACTAAATTACTAAATACGATTTACTAGATTTATACTTTAAAAATCAAAATACAGTAAATATATAAAGTTGCCGCTAATTAAATAAAGGATTTTGAATTGAATTCACATTAAAATACAGGAAAGCCTTTTTTGGGCAATCGGATATATGAGTTCAATCCAAATCGGATACAACATATACTTTAAAAATCAAAATTTATACCTGATCAAAAATTAGAGCTAGAATAAATATGGAAAGCAGAGTGGTAGAGCGCCGCCTTCGTCGCGATCGTCCACCAATGAGCTGATCTAGCAACGTCATCTTCTCCACATTGCTTTTCTTCTAGAAATTTCTAGAAAGCATTAATAATATTTTTTTCTGAGCAATTTCTAGAAATGAAATTGACGATCAATCTTGTTCAGAAACAGAAAAAAGAAAAAAATTCCAACCAGAAAATTGGAAAACATTTTGTCTTGACAAATTGCGATGATTCATGAGAAATGAATCGAAATTGTACAGAAATTTTTGGCAAAGCTTTCAAAAACAACTTTGAAAGAGCAAGGAAATCGAAAAATGGGGTTAAATGTGTTCAATGGTTGAAAAAAAATAATATATCAAAGATGTGAAAAGGGATGGAAAGAGATGGATGAGATAGAGAGAGAGGGAGTGGATGAAAGAGTGGGCGAATAATCAAAACGAGAAATCGCGGCTCGTCCCTTTCTCTTCTTTTTCTTTACGAAAAAAACGTCGAAAAACTACGTAAACAAGCTTCGAATATGAAGTGAATTAGCTCATTTCTCTACATGTTTTCCACATCTAATTCTAACTAGTTCAAAAATCGATAGTTCTAATCTGATTCTAATCTGAAAGAATATCTAGAATTCTAAACTGAACTAACTATAAGAATTAGAACTTTTACAAATCATAGAATGGATATTGACTGATTGAGAGTCAATATTGACTATTTAGCCATTTGTCAGATCTATAACTTTTGTTCTGAGTGGCTTAGATTTATGATTGACTAGATTAGCTTCATTAGCTTCATTAGCTTCATTAGATTCATTAGCTTCATTAGATTCATTAGATTCATTAGCTTCACTAGCTTCATTAGCTTCATTAGCTTCATTAGATTCATTAGATTCATTAGATTCGATTTGATTCACTATTCATTTTGAATCAATAGCTTAAGTAAAATCTGAACAATATTTACCTTGATAAGTACTGCAAACGATACCTTTCAAGATCTCACGATTCAATCAAACAAAAATCGAGAACAAATCTTTGAAAACAACTGGATACTGTAAAAGAATAGAGAAAGAAAAATCAAAAGAAATAAACATAAGAAAAGCTTATGAGATTAAGAGTGAGAAATTTTTCCTTTTCATTAAAAGAGATGGAGCATCTTTTCCCTGAAAGCAATATTACGGGTCTCTGGATTTTCAATTAGATCTTTTTTAGAGGAAAAGGCAGAGAAATTCTTTTTCTCCTTTCTTCTTCTCCTATCTTCTTGAGCTTTCCATTCCTTTTCCCCATCTTCTTTTAGATAACGTCTCCAAAATTGAATGACAGCTGTTTATGGAAAGATGTCAAATTTGAACCCGTAAAAATTTTTATCTCAAAATATCGCGAAATTCGTCCCTATGGCTTAAGAAGCAAAAAAGGGAAAAAGAAGATTTTATAATAAACAATATGATTCATATATTGATTGATTGGTTATATTGATTGGTTTTGATGATCAGAATCAGCCAAAATCTAATTATTTAAAGAGATGAGTGATTGAAATTTGAGCTTTATAATTGAAGATCATGATATCAGCTGCTTATCAGAAGAAAAATGATTCTAGATTAACATCGATACTTTCTAGATTTCTAGATTTCTAGATTTTTTTTTTGGAAACTATTTAGCCAAAGTTTAGGTCAGAGAATCGCAAATTGAGGTGTTAAGTGAATTCAGAGCAATAGAAAACTAAAGTTATTGAAGCGGGAAAAAGGAGAAAATTGCTGCTTGATCAGAAGAAGGAAAAGCATTTGAGGAAAGGGACATGAGTGTCCCGGAGATGAGAAGTGGAAATTAGGGCCATCCTGTCGGATTATCTAAAGGAGGATTCCAAAAAAATAGGTGAGAGTGATGGAAGACATTTCAATAGGCACACTGGAGCGGCTTTGATCCGTTGCCCGGCCAACCATCACTGAATCCAAAACTGTTTTCTTCTACTGTTATTCAATCTGAAAATTCCTTATCCTAATTCAATATCGAAACACGAAATGACGCGGGAAAAGGGGATTCCTTCTAGGATTAACTCTTCCACACTCGACAATTCACTACTGAGAATTGAGTCAAAGGAATGGCGAAGAATTCTGTTGTTAAACTTTGAAAAACATTTTCGAAGATCCAAGAATTTTGATCTCGTTTCTTGTTTGTATCCGTTTTCTGGTGGCTACAAATTTGGGGAACAATTTTTGGGAGAGCCGTGAACGACTGAGCCGGTCTCGCTCCTTTGTGTGTCACTATGGTCAAATTCTGATCAATTTTCTCCTTAAATTTGGCTGTATCTTTGTACGAATTTTACATTCCGAACCTCGTTAGTCAACTATGGAAGGGATCTTAAAAAAATCGTTCACTATCGAGGTTTGATTAGTGCTAAATCAACCTTGATAGTGAATAAATCCGGTTCTTATCGAGGTTAGTTCACTATCGAGGTTAGTTTACTATCGAGGTTAGTTTACTATCGAGGTTAGTTTACTATCGAGGTTAGTTTACTATCGAGGTTAGTTCACTATCGAGGCTCGACTATAGTTAAAACACCCAAGCTTGAACAACTATTTTCAACTTTTAATATTAGATAAAATCATTGAAACCTAATTCGATTTCAGTGAGAATCAATTCAAATTCAAAAATGGACACAAATTTTTGAGTTATAGGGAATCCGTATGATGATGGGAGATTGAGTGAAGAAAAAAAAAATTGATTACTAGGAGGAGTAGGCTAATCTCCGAGACAAATCTTCTCCTTTTTGTTTGGTCTCATGATTTTATGTCTGTAGAGTAAAACAATCAAGAAGAAAAATGAAGAACATGTATAAAATAACAAAGAAAAATCCTTGAGATGTAAAAAGTTATTAGTAAAAGAAATTTGAATAGAAAAGAGAAAGGAGATTAGATGAAGAGGATCGGATAAACGCAACAAAGAATTGGTTGAAAGAATTGATTTTGGTGGTGGAGAAATGAAGAAAATTGGATTAAAAAGTAGAGATTATGGGGGGAAAGTTTGAAATTACAGAGTCTGGGATGTTTAAGCAGGCTGTTTAACTGTTTAAGCAGGCGCCACCATCGTGAGGAACTTCCCAAAGCGTTTAAAGAGGTGTATCGAAGCGGATGGTGGACATTTCGAGCATTTGTTATAAGTTATTTGTTGTTATGATTCGAATAAAGAGTTTGTTATTAATTTTTAACTTTTAAAAGCTAGTTTTTAAACCTTTAACTATCTTAAGAAGCGGCTCCAAACTTTTGTCGCACCTGTATAGATAAAAGAGTACTGTCTCTCTGTACAGGCTTTTTCTCAGTTGTGTTTTGACCAATAAAGCTCAAAATTTTTTAGAAAACCTTAGAATATCTGGTAGTTGTGTTATTTAAAATAAAAAGTTTTAAAAATCAAATTACATAGCACTACCGGGGGTCGAACCCGGATCGTGTGAGCGGTAGAACAGCGCGATTTCGACTGCGCTATGGCGACAGGGAGGCGGAAAAACCCGATCTTATGCTGGTTTCAAATCAAAGCTCATTTAGCCGCACTTGTTGACCGCTTTTGAGAGACTAGCGAACAACTACAGGGAAAGATTGGAGGGAACGGACAGTGTGGGCAGATTGTTGGCCAGCTTTTACAAAGATGCTTACATTGTTTTGAGACAACGAGATGACAATTGTGGGCAGATTGATTGCTCCAAACTTTTGCCGCACCCTGTATATAATTTCGAAATTGAAATTTAATTGTTAGATCTTAGAAATAGCTGAATATTAATTAAAGATAAAACAAACTAAATTCAAAATCATTTAGACAATAATTATTCTATATTTAGACTCGAAACAATTTAATGAATTAAAGAAATTTTAAAAGTATTCAAAGAAACACAATAGCTGCTTAATTGACAAAATTCCCCTCGATTCATCAACGACAAAAATACTCACCGCGAAAAATCAAGTCAAGAAAAGTCAAGGCAAAAAAAAAGAAATACTTTTTTACCAAGCTGTTGATGAAAAGCGGTGGAAATAGATGGAATCCAGAAAACGATCAGCTGAGAAAGATGCCGAGTATGGGACAAGTGGGAAAGCAAGGACCGACACAGCCGCAACGCAGCCGCCCTCTCTTCCCGACTACACCCTCCATCCAATCCCCTTTCCCATCACCACTCTCTAACTTTTCCTCACCCTCCACAATCTCCTGCATCACTCCTCAAAAAAAACCCCACCCACAAGCTGTTTCTACCCATTTCTTTTTCTTTTTTTCCCTTTCCTTCTCTTCACTCTCCACTTTTCCCTTAATATTGCTTTCCTCTGACTTCCGATTCTCTATTCACAAATAAACAAAAAAGAATTTGTGTGGGTCTTTTTTCTTTTTTTTCTATGATCAGATGATAAAAATTTAAACTATGTGTTTCAGAGTTGGTTGATAGGGGTAACCGTGTTCAAAAAAGCGGCAAAACGTTCGTTGAAATGGCAAAATAAAAGTGATGAATGAAAATGGGAAAAGTGGCTTTCAAAAAATCGAAATCTCAGTCGTTTCAAATGAACTGTTATTTGGTAGCTTTCTAATTATAAGGTAAAGTCGCCGATACCTTCACACGGCAAGGTGGTCGAGTGGTCTAAGGCGGCGACTTAAAGCGCTCTTCTCTTCGGACGCATGGGTTCGAATCCTGCCCTCGTCAGGAGTTTTTGCGTTTTTCTTTCTCCAAGTCAAAATCGTTTTTGTTGAACTGTAATATACCGTAAACTCGTTTTAAAGCTTGGCTCTTTTTCAATCAAAACTTCAAACAAATATTGTAATACAATATGTTTACAGTGGTAGATTGTATTTTCCGTGAATAGGCGTTGAATCATAAAGTATTAAAATCAAAATTCACGAGCACAAGGCTAAAGATAAATATTAATATGAACGTGAAGACAAGGAATCTTAAAGACAGAAGACTACTGATACAGAATGCAAAAAAAAAAAAACTACAGTTACATTGCAGGATTTGCTTTCCTTGCTTTCCCACTTGTCCCATACTCGGCATCTTTCTCAGCTGATCGTTTTCTGGAATTGCAGGAAAACTGTTCAAGGACTGTATTTTTAAAAAGACTTTTTTTTTTAAAAGCTGAAACAATCAAACAATCTTGTGTAGACCAATCTTAGCAAACAATTTCTGACATATGTTATTAGCTAAAAGAAATTCTGTCATAGATATGCAAAGAGCCCAAACACAACGTTAAGCCAAAGTTTATGCTTTTGGTGTTCTGGGATTTAAAAGATCCAATCTGCTGGGAACTTTTGGATAGCAAGACAAAACTTATCTAAATAACCAGCACAGCAACTTATCTAAATAACCTAAAAACCAGCACAGCTAGACAAGTCAGCTAAATCTTTGTCAAAGAAAAGACCCAAAAGAGAAAAATCATTCTTCAACCTGATAATGCTAGACTGCATGTTTCAACGATAAACTAAATCTAAACTAAATCTAAACTAAATCACTTGGATTGGAGGTGATGGTCTATGACAAATAGCCCTGACCTTACACCTTCTGATAACTTATTCCGGGCGATGAGCAATGATTTGATTCCGAAGAAGATGTCAAAAGATGGACGACAGATTGGTTTGCATCAAAATCAAAGATTTTTTTTTTACAAAAGAGGTGCAGACATTTACCAGTAAAATGATCAAAAATCATACAAAATGATTGCAAATATCAAATGATTTAAAGTTGTTGATTGAAGAGAGATTTCATTTGAAAATAACGTGTAATATGATACCGAAATTTTGGTGAGATGAGCTAGATCAAATTACAGAAAATTGTCGATTTTTCTCTTTGTATAACTCCGTCCGTTTGTTTCCACAAGCTCTGATATGTCAAAATTTCGATTCTACGCCCTAAAATTACCTAGAAAAACAACTTTTGGAATGGAAATTGGTTAATATTAGCTTTTTAGAGCTTTTTTAAAACGCGAAAAAAGGTGCGCTAATGGGTAAGGTGCGGAAAAAAAGGTTGCATTTGTCCCACTCCCACTTACCGTATTTTCTCTAATAGTAGTGCACCCCAGCGAGCCGAGTTGGTGACCATTTTACGGTTTCCAAGCTTTTGCAGAAGCTCAACACTCTAATCCCCCACTAGATCTCATCATAAGCTACATTTTCCGATCCCACATCGATAGGTTCTGATCAGCGGTTGTCGAGATTTCTAGGAATTTAGTCGAAGCGGTGCACTACTATTAGAAAAGTCTAAAGTTTGTCTGTTTTTTGGGAAAAAGGTTACTGTATTTTTTATAGTCGAGCCGAATTCATGCTTATTTTACAGTTTCCAAGTTTTCCCAGAAGCTCAACACTCTAGTCCCCCACTAGATCCCATCGTCAGCTACATTTTCCAATTCCACATCGATAGGTTCTGATCAGCGGTTGTCGAGATTTCTAGGAATTTAGTCGACGCCCATGGTGCACTACTATTAGAGAAAATACGGTAATAATAATAATGTACTTACTGGAGCATTCTCTTTACAATACTCTTGTTCTTCAAATGACTAAACAGACTACAATGTGGTAAGTTGACTTATTTGTTATCACTTCCAAATAGCATCTCTTATCTGTTTGAAAAACTTAGTGGCTTTTGTAGATAAAGATTAAAAGATGGGGAAAGGGGTGTGCTCTTTGGAAAAGAGATACATCGCCTGGACAAAGTACACGAATTTCTACAAGACATATCAAATAGGGAAAGGGGAATCGAAGGGGGGCTCACGCCATTCCTTGATCGGCTCTAGCCTGTTCCCTTCATCATTTTCCCCTTTTCTGTTCTGCCATGTCTCCTCGATGTTCTTATCAATTTACCCGTCAATCCACAATACTTTTTGAACAGATTTTTCTTCCCGATTCCCAATTTTTCGAATTTAAAGTTTTTCCACATTCGTTATTCACCTTAATTTCTGACCTGGGTTCATCTGGCTCAACTTTCACACTTTCAACTTCATTGTCACCTTTTTTCCGAAAATTTTTGATAATTCTTTTACATGGAAAGTAGATCAAGAGATAGTGAAGATTGCTTGCTTTAAAATGACCGGAGTTCAACATTTTTGTCATTGCCACCTATTGTACTTACAGATAAGAGAGATAAGAGTTAAAAATTGAACTGAGAACTGAAATTGATTTGATTTAACTTTAAAATTTATGACTGCTTGAAAACAGGAGTGTTTTTGTTTTGGTCTTGACTTTAGTCTTGTCTTGACTTTAGTCTTATCTTGTCTTTAGACTTGTCTTGACTTTAGTCTTGTCTTGTCTTTAGTCTTGTCTTGACTTTAGTCTTGTCTTGTCTTTAGTCTTGTCTTGACTTTAGTCTTATCTTGTCTTTAGACTTGTCTTGATTTTAGTCTTGTCTTGTCTTTAGTCTTGTCTTGTCTTTAGACTTGTCTTGTCTTTAGTCTTGTCTTGTCTTTAGACTTGTCTTGACTTTAGTCATCTCTTTAGTCTTGACCTGTTCCAGCGCAGTGCCTTGGTTCGCTTACAATTTAAAAACTAGTAAAATCCATTAGTTATTTGCATTAAATACCTATAAAAATCGTGTTTTTTTTTGAAAGTTTATGAGCTCAATGAGATTTTTGCCTTCTCATGTTCAGTTTCTTAGTGCAGAGCAATTCAACTCAAAAACAGATCCCTTAAAACCTGAACTTGTTTACCATTCTTTTACACACAAAAAAACCCCCCGAATAACTTTCCTTATTGACCGATCTTTTATTGGGAGATGAAAAGAAAAAATGGATTGCTGAAAATTTGCGCGGATTTGTTGAAATTTCGAAAATCATCGTTTCTCTCTCTAAATGCGTACTTTGCCCTCGAAATTTTCCATCAAATGAAAACCCGGTAAAAATCGTAAACACTGATCACAAGGATCTTGCACATCACCAAAATGTGCATCATTAATTTGTCAGCAAAACTGTGCCTCAACGGTTCATTAAAAATTCGTACAGGAGCTCATAGTTCATCTTTTTTTTTTGCCTCTCCATTTCACCGGCATCATAAAGAATAAAGGCCAAAAGGATGAGAAATTGGCGGAATCCGGCATTGTTTCGAGCTGATTAGAGGGGAAAGAAAAGGAGATGGTTTAAAAAATTTCGGTCTCAAGGCGAGGAGGCGCTGAACGGACGGTCTTATCACTCCTTTATTTGACTCCATTCTTCTCTCATCATTCTTTCTCTCATTTAAAGACTCATTTATTTGATGATTTATTTTATTATTTCTACTGAGTCTTTCATTTTCATCTACTTTTAAAGTTTAAACTCTTTTTCATCGGCTGTGCTTTGTGTTTAAGTTTACAGGAATCAATTTGAAATAATTATCTAATTTTTATTCATCTCTCTTTCTAGTCAAAAGCTATTTACTTCGAATTTTCTAAAATATTTAGCAAAAAAATATGTTTAAGTTTACAGGAATCAATTAGCATCAAAGCATCAAAGCAATAGCCTTGATTTTCGTTGATTTTCGATTGGGAGAAAGAGAATTAATTGAAAAACGTTGATACAAGCGATCTTTTTTTTTCTTTACTACTTTTCCCTAGCACACACCCATCCATCGCCGAATCATCCAACAGATTGGAAAAAATGAAAATGAATGATGGGGATAGCTTTTTGTGATCGCTAAGATTTCTTTTCGTTTCTTTAGCAATGTCTAGTCGATTTATTTGAAATTAAAAACGAAATTCAGGTGGAGAATGTGGGATCAATTCGGCCCACTGTCGGGCACGATTTATGCAGTGATCGGCGCCTCGCTTTTCGTCTTCTTTTCAGTGTGGCGGCGAAGGAAAGCGATCGAACCACCGATGGGTGCCTCGATCCAGCGACAATCTCTTCCTCTACGGGTTTCGTTTCACTCAAATTTCTAGAAGATTTGGGAAAAATTCGATTTAAATTGATAGAAATGAATATACAGTCGAACTTCTCTATAACGATATCAAAGGGACCAAAAATTTCTATATAACGTTTCTAAAACGCGCCACACATTTCCTGCGTAGCTGCCCTGTGCGGGCAACGATTGCGCCACACATCTCCTGCGTAGCTGCCCTGTGCGGGCAACGATTGCATTTAATTGAACAGCTATGCACAAATTAGGAACACATTTTAGAATTTCATTATATAGAAGATCGTTATAGAGAAGTTCGACTGTAAAGAATTATTCGATTTTAAATATTAAGACATCACTTTTTTTCACATCAGAACAGTCTGTGCATAGCTTTTCCTGAACTTTGATTTCTTTCGGATCAAAGTTCAAGAAAATTCAAAATCTAAACTTAAAAAGAAGTAAAAAAAGCTTAATTTTTGTCTGTTTTCATAAAATTTTCTAAACATTCTCCCGAAAAATTCGCGGAAAATCATCTGATTCTCGTTAAAGGACAAATCATTTTCCAGATTCTTTTCAAAAACTTCAAAAACTTTTTCACCCAGAAATTTCTTTTTCAATAGTTAAGAACTTTAAAAAATTTAAAAAACTGAGAGAAAATCTATCGCTTAATTTCTCCAGCTGAACTTCGAGCGGCAATCCATTGAACTCGAGGTTTGAAAGAGGGAAATTTCATTTTCTTTCACTTGCCGTGTGTTCATTTCAGTTTTACTCATCTTTCGTTTAAAGTCTAGAAATTTTTGATTTTATAGTGACTAACCGAAAAATTATAAAGAAAACATGCTTATGTTGATTTTTAGGGTCAACCGGGTGTATTCAAGTGTGGTTATTTGACGGATGATCATGTGGAAACGGTGGAAACGGCCTATCCAGAAGTGCACACGCTCTACGATGTTTTCTTGCGAGGAATCGATGTGAGAAGATTTTTATGATAATTTTTCATTTATCTAGCTAATATTCAGTTATTATAACAACAATCAGATGTTCATTTATCTAGCTAAAGTTATCAGTTTTTACAATTTTGATTTGTAAAGAGCTTTAAGCTGAACTTTTCCGATATTGTGCTGATTCATTGATTCAAGAAACAATCTAAAATAGGAAACGATCTAGTTTTTAAGATATTTAGTCATTCTTGATTGTGATAATTGATTGATTGTAGACTAAAGATTGACTAAAACTATTTGAACATTTTATTATGTTTGGCCCTGTTAAGATATTGTGTTTAAGATAAAAATCGATATTTTTATCATTTCCAACATTTAGAAATCTGAAAATGGTGATTGTTTGGGTCGTCGACACGGCGATGGACCGTACAAGTGGATCCCCTACTCGGATGTGTTCCGCCAATCGAGAGACATCGGCGCCGCCCTCATCACCAAGCTCGGCTTAAAACCCGGTAAACTACAATTTCGATTTCTTCTCATTTTTGCAATTCCCCAAAATATCATCGAGTTAATGCACTTATTTTTGTTATCTTTTGGTCATTCTCACCAAAAACCTTTTCATCGATGCAATTTCCGCCTAAATCTGGTGCGATAACGCGCGTGCGAATTTTTTTTAGTTCAATAAACATGTCACCGAAGTTCATAATTGAGCCTCTTGATTGACAGGATTTTTCCGCTTTTGGTCTTTTTCCCGAGCTTATCTGCTTCTCTTGAACAGCTCAACCGAGTCGACCTCAGCACTTCTCTTTCTTTCTGTGAAATATCATAGTTTGCAGTGCAGCAAAAAAGCAAAGAGGATTAGCCACGTGCGTAGAAAAATGAAAATACAATATATCCAGTGAGGAAATTTTAGGAAATGAGACCAACGTCGGAATCTACGCGAGAAATTCCCCGGAATGGTTTGTCACCGCACTTGGATGCATTCAGGTAAGCAAATGGTTGATAATTGATTAAAAAAATTATGCTATTTTTGCTATTTTGTACAAAAATCTTTATAAGTGAATTCACAGCCAATTTTAGCACTAGAATGTGTTCGAGTAATGCGTTTTTTTAAATGCATACTTGGGAAAAATGAACGTACTCTTAGCGAAAATTATGGGGTAGGCTAATTTCCGCAAATTTTTTTTGTGCAACTGGGTCGTTTGCGCAACTCGCCATAACTTTCTTCTAAGTCGGTCACACCAAAATCATAAAGATTGGCCGACTTAGAAGAAAGTTATGGTGAATTGCGCAAATGACCCTGTTGCACAAAAAAAATGCGGAAATTAGCCTACCCCAACATTATTGCAAAAAAAAATGGCGCGAAAATCACGAGCGACGATTTATATACAACTTCTTTTAAATATATTTAGCCTTTTAACTGATTTGGTGGGAAATCCTCTCAGATGAAAAGATATTCAGCTGTTTAACTGATTTAAAAGCAAATTCCCTTTAAATTTAAAGATATTCAATTTACTCGACGTGTAAAGAGGATTACTCGTAGTTATTTGACCAAAAACGTCGACTAATCGAGTAAAAATCAGTCGTGCAAATTTTACTCGAGTAATCCTTACCTTACTCGCAAGGAACACAATCTATTTAGCACTCGATCGTCGTTGTTCCACTTTATGACACTCTTGGAGCCGAGGCAGCCAGCTATATTATTCAACAAGCCGATATTGAGTGAGTCTTTTTTGAAAAATAGCTTTATAGCTTTTTAGCTTTTTATAGTAAATTGCATATTTTTTAGAGTCATCATCGTTGACAATTTGGACAAAGTGAAGAAATTGTTGGAGTCGGGCGAATCGATTCCATCGTTGAAACATGTGGTCGTCATCGATCCCATCAAACAAGAGGACCTTCCCAAGGTTTTTTTTAGATAAAAAAAGAAACTTACATTGAAAACTTTATTTTAAGCCCCTCAAATTTAGCAAGACGATGTCACGGTCTACACTTTCCAAGAAGTGCTCGGCTTCGGGCAACTCAATTCTCAACCAATGCACTTGCCAACGAAAAAGGATACCTATATTATTTGGTAAGCTTTGTTTTCTGAGCTAAAAATATAAAAATCAGAAAATTTTTGAGTTTTTACTTTTAGCTACACCTCTGGAACAACGGGAACACCAAAAGGAGTGGTGCTCTCTCATCAAAATGTTGTCGCCAACTTGGCCGCTTTTGAGCTGATGGTCGGAAATTTCCTTGAGCAGAAAATTGGGAAAGGAGATGTGAGTTGAAGAATATTAAATCTATATTATGAAATAATGCAATATTTTCGTTTATCTATTTAAGAAATTTAGACGATTATCTCTTATCTTCCTTTATCGCACATGTTCGAGCAAGTTTGTCATTGGGCGATGATGCAAACGGGCGCCCGAATCGGATATTTCAGGTAAAAATTACTACTTTTGATAACTATGACTTTAAAAATATATATAAAACTACAAATATCAGGGAAAAACTAATGAAATTTATAGAGGAAACATCAATCAACTAAACGACGATCTCCAAGCTCTTCACCCAACAATTTTCCCTGTCGTTCCTCGACTTCTCAATCGATTCTATGATGCCATTCAAGTATGAATTTTGAAATCAATTTTTAAATTCCAAACTTTTTAGGCAAATCTTCGAAAAACTGGCGCTGTTGGGAAAGCTTTCTTCAACTTTGCCTATTCACGCAAGTTGGCCATGCTCAAGAACGGAATCTCGACTCGTGACTCGATTTGGGACAAAATGATTTTCAAGAAAATTCAGGTATTGAACATATTCTTTCTTTTAATTAAGGATCTCAATTCTAGGATCAAATTGGAGGCAGTGTTCGCTTGATGGCCACCGGATCAGCACCGATCTCGGCTGAGGTGTTGGAGACTTGCCGTGTTGCGCTTGGAGCTATAATCTTTGAAGGTAAAAGTTAAAGCTGAGATTTTGATATTTAAAGTGAATCCTTAATACATTATTCTCGATTTTCAGGATACGGACAAACTGAGTGCACCGCTTTGGCGACGAACACCTGGCCTGGCGAGTTCGAGGGAGGACACACTGGAGGACCAGCTCCTTGCACTCTAATCAAACTCGAGGATGTACCTGAGCTCAACTATTTTGCAGCTGAAAGGAAAGGAGAGGTGAATAATTTGATAATATAGCATAAATGAAAATTATTTATATCGAAACTGTGTTTTTTAGGTCTTGATCAAAGGCCCACATGTCACTACCGGATACTACAAAGAGCCCGAGAAAACCGCCGAAATTATCGATGCTGATGGTATGAGAATCTAAAGATTAAATAAATATCAATTGCAATTGAATGAAAAGTTATCAAAAATTTCAGGATTCTTGCACACTGGAGATATTGGATACTTGCGACCGAATGGAACCCTAAAAATTATTGACAGAAAGAAGCACATCTTCAAACTCGCTCAGGTTAGAGTTGGAAATGAATTCTGATTCAAACATAGTTCAAACTATAAAATTTTTACAAAAATCAACAATTCTAGGGTGAATACGTGGCTCCGGAGAAAATCGAGAACGTTTACACAAGAGTCGGCTGTGTGCAACAAGTCTTCGTCGATGGAGATTCTCTTGAGAGGTAATTTTAAATCTACATTTTCTTTAGAATTAATTAATTTTCAGTTCTGAAAAGTTTTGATATACTTTTGATTATTAAAACTTAAAACACTTACAAATCCTTTTAGATACTTGATTGCGGTGGTTGTTCCCGAGACAAAGCCACTCCTCGAGTGGGATGGCCGAAAGAGAAACATTCAGGAGATTTGTAAAGATCCAAAGGTAAACTTTTCAAAGTACCATGTGCTTTATAAACTTTATAAATAATAAATATAAATTTTAAAAATATAAAAGCCTAAAAATTTTTATATGATTATCAATCTGTATTACAAATCATGCCAAAATTTAGGCGGCCGAGTTCGTGCTGAAGGAGTTGGTGAAAATCGGTAAAGAGAACAAACTGAACTCGATTGAACAGGTGAAAATTTAAAAAGAGTAACCAATAATATTTTAAGAAAACTATAATTTTAAACAATAAATGTATTCCAGGTGAAGCACGTGGTCCTAGAAGCGGATCCATTCAGCGTTGAGAACGGTCTCCTCACGCCAACACTCAAAGCCAAGCGGCCGCAGCTCCGCATCAAGTACATGCCCCAGATGAAAGAAATCTACAAAAATAATCCCTTGTAGATGAGGTTACTCTAAAAACACATATTCAACGATACTTTTTTTACTTTATGAATTCCAAAATTTAAGATTCACAAAACTTTGCTGTCTCTGTTTTACATCACTTGCGGTTCTAAAGTAAAAAGTATCTTTTAAATAGATTATATGATCTAATTCACAGTTTCTTTAGCTAGTTTACCCTACAAATAACTTAATTCTCATTACTATTTAGTCTAAAAATTATTGAAACCAAAGGTTAGCCTTAAAAAAACGAATTTTTAACCCTATTTTCATCTGGTTGCTCAAAAAAATGACACGGTAGTCCGAAATTTGGTTGTGATTCTTTCAAGTGACATTCCTCTTTCTTTTTTTAAATTTTCTTTTGTCGATAGTTTCATGCGAGGTAGAAGCTAGTCGTTCACTCCGCTCACACAACGAGTTTCTCTGTGCTCAAAAAAATCTTTTCAAGTTGATTTCTTTTTTTTTCAAAACTGAAACAAGTTGAAACCTATTTAATATTTTACCCTAACCTCCATATTATTCTTTTTTTTTGATTTTTTGAAAGGAAATCACAGCTTTAACTTGTTTTTTTTATGATTGTTGGTCTTGATGGCATTCAGTAATGTTTAAGAAATCGATTTACATGTTTAATTATGATTTTGTTTTTTAATAAAAAGTAACTATTGAAGTTTATGATTATAAGATATTTATGTAAAGTGTGTAACTTTTAAATTTGAACATTACACGTAAAAGAATGGAAAGAAAAGAACACACACACAGAGTTTTTATCTGAATGAATGAGTGAAAAGACCCCATCGCTGTTGTAATATTATTGCTGTAGATCTTGTAGTATTTCTCTAGATCTCAAACTGTATCTAGAGAAAATCAAATATTACTACCGTATTTCTTCGAATAGAAGACCGGGTGAAGAGTATCATCGCGTACTTCTGCGCAGCAGCCCTTTTTAAAATTTCTTTTCTACATAAAAGCTTTCAATCAAGTGCTATAGAGCTGGAAAATGACTCAAAAATCTGTTAGCTCATGTGGTATTTTTGAGTCATTTTCCAGCCCTATAGCACTTCATTGAAAGCTTTTATGCAGAAAAGAAATTTTAAAAAGGGCTGCTACGCAGGAGTACGCGATCATACTCTTTACCCGGTCTTCTATTCGAAGAAATACGGTAAACTTTATCAACCTTTTCCAACTGTATCTGAAGAAATTATATAATTATAATATCCAAAGTATCCAGCTTAAAAGATTTACTGAATATTTTTTGTTAATTCATTACTTATTATTTTACAGAGCAACAGTTGAATTTGTCTAAAATTTATTTAGAAAACAAAAAAAATTAAGTCACCCATTGGGTGTACAAAAAAAAAAGATTTGTAATCTTAACAAGTGAATAACAATCGATTTTTATCATCACAGCTTCTTTCTCAATGCTTGTGCTCCGAAACCAAAAGTCAAAAACATTTCATCGACGATTCCAGCAGCTAAATCTTTTGCTAATCATGCTAATCATGCAAACATCTTTCTTTTCTCACCTTCTGACTGTGAAATTTGCACAACACTTCGGATTACCGTATCCGTCATTAGAGAAAGAAAGCTGAAATCATTTATTGGGTTGTTTTTTTGTTTGTTTATGAATTTTGTTTTATGAATGCGCGTCTTTTACTATTTTGTAAATTTCTCAAGATACCGAAATCGAGAAAAAGATATTTATGAGTATTATTCGAAAGCTGAAGATCTCCTCTACATTTTGATATAAAAAGTTTTTGAATTTGTTCAGCTTTTGGGCAAATTGACTGCACAGAAGAAGAGGTGGCCAAAAAAAAATGGAAGGGTGCCTTTGGATCAAGTTTTGGCTCCGCTCAAATTGAGTTAACCGTTTGATATTTGGCCAATAGATATATCAATACAACTTTTTTAAAAATATAACAATTTCAGAGCATCTTTACTTTTCTTTTCTTTTCTGGGCGGTTATTTTACACCATAAAACTTGAGGAACAGCTAAGCTGGAATGGGTTTTTTTTGGAAAAACGACCTCTCCCTTTGTGCAGCCAATTTCCCAAAACGTTGAATGAATTCAGAAACTTTGTATATCAAAATGTAGAGGAGATCTTCAGCTTTCGAATGATATATAACACTCATATAAATCTGTTCGCTATCTTGAGAAATTTACAAAATAGTAAAAGACGCGCATTCATAACTGGACAACCCAATACATTGCATTTGCTTTACCACTTACCGTAGATTTTGCTCGTTAATCATATAAAGACCGTCACAATATGTGCAATATTGTTTAACACCACGATTACTCACTAAATTTGTTTGTTTCACTAAATTACTCAAAAAATCTTACATGTATCAGTGATGTAAATAGTAGGCACATCAAGGTTTCTCTGATTGTGAAAATAGAAAGACGAATGATCGGCATAGAGAAATGGATGCAAGGCTCTTAGTCCTTCCATCGAACGAACTTCGTGCAAGGCAATCTAGAACGATTCATGAAAGAAGCTTTCCATTCTCCCTTTACCTTAAGTGGAAGAAGCCATGGTCTGAAGGACCAATCTGGAGCGATCATTGAAGTGGCTCGAGTGAAAGCTGCCACGAAACTATAAAGCTTTAAATTACTATAAGCCTATAAAGTTTTAAAAAGCTATAAAGCTCATGCCTACTTTTGCAAGAGTGGATCATCAATACCGGCTCTTGCAGTCACTTGCACAAAATCGCCCATATGATTGTGAAGAGAAAGCTCTCGAGCAGCTCCGGGAAAGAACTTTAAACAAGTATTGAGAAGTATTGATGAATACCGTATTTTCTGTAATAGTAGTGTAGTCTGTAATAGTAGTGTAGTCTGTAATAGTGTTGTCTGTTATGGTGCAGTCTGTAATAGTAGTGTAGTCTGTAATTGGTGCAGTCTGTAATAGTAGTGTAGTCTGTAATAGTGGTGCAGGCTGTAATAGTAGTGTAGTCTGTAATAGTAGTGTAGTCTGTAATAGTAGTGCAGGCTGTAATAGTAGTGTAGTCTGTAATAGTAGTGTAGTCTGTAATAGTAGTGTAGTCTGTAATAGTGGTGCAGGCTGGAGGGGGATTGAAAAAATTGTAGTGCGCACTACTATTACAGAAAATACGGTATTTATGATATTTATGATATCTATTTTTATTACTGAATAAGTATTTATGAAAATACCTTTTCAAATCCTGGAGGCATTGTTTGAGTGGTTGGGAAAGGATCGAAATGAGCTAGACCGTCTAAAATGATCACGGCTCCAATAGTCGCATTTGTGTTTTGCAAGATTGGCAACACTACATCCGAGACAAAAGCATGACTACCAGCAAGACCCTGAATATGAGTTCTAAGAAAATTTTTTTTAAAGAAAACCTTACCTGGTGCTTCATATCAAAAAGCGCATAGATGATGGTGAATCTTCTTGGATAAAGTCGATCTAAAGTAGCCATTGTTCTCGCTGTTTCAAGAACTGCTGCCACACCGCTGCCGTTATCGTCAACTCCTTGAATTTTTAAGCATTAATGTACGATTTATGTAAACTTTGTAAAAGAAACCTGGCAAATCGTCTAGCGTATCGTAGTTAGCAGCTACGATTACGACCTCGTCATTCATTGTACCGTAGTGAGGACCGGCTTGAATAGAAATCACATTGTGACCTAGTGATGTCTGAAAATTTCAATAATTGAACTTTATTTAGTTCGAATGCTAGCATTGATCAGAATTTGATCACAATTTAAAGGACAACCCTAGGGAAGGGATAAGCCTAGTTGACTGGCTCTCAACTCAGCTCTAGCTTCTCAACAACCATCACCACTCCTAATCTCACAGCCAACAGGTGAGTAGAAAACGTTTCTGATATTGTAACAGTACCTAAACTATCAAAGAGTTGACTCTTTTCTGTTGCTTTCCTAAACATATATTCAAATAAGTTGCAAGTCGATCTTTTGTTGTTCCGAAATGACGAATTGAAGCCTTGATTGTGCCCTGTTGTTTGTTTGTTTGTTGTTTGTTGACTATTTTGTTTGTTTGTTTGACTAGCATTGATAGGTTATAATGCTATAAATTTTACTTACCGAATCCTCCTCGGAAATAAAACTGTGTGTCATAGCGGAAAGTCCTATCCCTCCAAAAGCTTTTGATATTTCTTCTCTAGCTCGTTTCTTCTCATCAATCGTAAATCTAATTCTTTTGTTTTTTTTCAGTAAGTCTAAAACTGTTCTAACCTTGGGATTGAAAGAAATTTGGACAAATCATGCTTCATTCGGTCAATATCGGAGAGTTGAGAAGTGACATGATTCAGTAGAAAATAGTAGATGAGATAAGAGAAATAATAGCACAATCGAGAAGGCATTGCTGTGATTTACTATCGAATGGTCTAAAAAGCCATAAATGATCAGCAATAGACGGGGGAAAAATAGGGAATCGAGATGTTGACGGCCGTCAAAACCCCTGCGGCACCACCGATCTTTTCCCCGAATTTCCGAAATTTTCCGTGTGTGCTTGTGTTTGTTCTTGTTTAGCGTGTTTTTTTTTGTTTTCTTTTTCAACTCAATTTTAGTTATTCAAGAGAATTTTATTAGAAAAGTTAAAAGAAATCTAGTTGATTGGAAAAAAAAACTAGCTGAAAAAAACTAGCTAGCTTTTGATCTAGCTGATTTTTAATCTAGTCGTTTTTTGCGTTTATTCTACCGTAGACGAGTCTCGGCGCGTTCTAAAATCTTACATGTATCAGTGATGTAAATAGTAGACACATGAAGGTTTCTCTGATTGTGAAAATAAAAGACGAATGATCGGTATAGAGAAATGGATGCAAGGCTCTTAGTCCTTCCATCGAACGAACTTCCTGCAAGGCAATCTAGAATGATTCTTTTTCGCGTTCTTTTTGAAAAAGAATTTCAGGGAAAAATTTTCATTCTATTGCATTGTCATTTTTTATTTAAATTTTCATTTAACTCTCTAGCAGATTTAATTGTTTAATTGTCTAAAACGATATTTATCTACGAGAATATACACAAAATAGTTTAACTATTTAGTATTTTGTAGATAAAGCGCAGAAAGGTGCAATGAAATAAGGCTTTCAGAGAGAAACAAATGTAAAATCGCTATTTCCTGGCTTGGTAATAGTGATCATGGTGATCATGCTCAAAATAAGGTCCATAATGACCATCGTAGTGTCCTGAAAGTTCTTGATTTCCTAGAACTAGTAAGATAAAGCATTTTAGAACTAACCATATCCAAAATGCGACTGGTGATGTGGTTTATAATGGAAATCATAGTGAGACTTGTGATGATGCGGCTCGTAGTCATAATATCTATGCTCAAATCCGCATAGCCATAATATTTGTGTCCAAAGCCTTCTGCTTGCCTTCTGGTTAACCCTTAATTTGCAATAACAAACGCTTTAGATAACGCATTCTTTAGATTTTACCGCTCAAAGTCAAACCGCATGAGGATAGGTTTCACGTGTTCCGGGATAATGTGTTCCGAGAATATCCGGAATAATGCTGACATACCCTGAAAATGACTTCTATTTATTGCTATTAAATTGATTCTTCTATTAAGAATTGTTTTTCCAATTTTATTAGGTTGGCAACTTAATAATGACCCGTTTATGTAACAAATCATTTATTTAAAAAAAACACAAAAGAAGAGCTTTCAATTCGAAAGGTATTCTCCATTAGTATCTATGACTTCTTCCCATCTTCTGCGCAAATCCCGGATCCCATCCTCGAAGAACTTGGGAGTTTTTGAGGCGAAGTAGTCATTCACTGCTTTTATGATCCGAGCATGATCATCGATCTTTCCTCCCTCCAAAAAGTGCTTCAGCGACCGAAACAAAAAGTAATCTGAAGGAGCCAGATCAGGTGAATAAGGCGCGTGGGGCAAAACTTTCCAGCCAAGTTCCTCGATTTTCTTATAAGTGATCTTTGCAGTGTGAGATTTTGCGTTGTCGTGTAAAAATCTGACTCTCTCCGGTTTGAGCCCCAATTTCTTCAAAGACTCGTTAACTCTCATTAATTCTTTGAATAAAGATCAGCATCGACGATTTGGCCAGGTTTCAGCACTTCATAATGCACCAATCCCTTGAAGTTCCACCAGCAACAGAGCATTATCTTCTTCCCATGGATATCAGGTTTGGGAGTGGTTTAAGGGGTCTGCCCAGCAGATAGCCATTGATTTTTGCGTTTAGCGTTCTCGTAGTTGATCCACGTTTCGTCAGAAGTCAAAACCCTGTGAAAAAGTCGTTTGATTTACATTTTTGTAGCAAAATTGGGCGACATTGACACGGGCCATTTTGTTGCTTTGGGTCAATTCGTGAGGAACTCATTTTCCAATCGATTCTTTTTCCCAAGTTTGTATAAATAGTTTTCGATTGTCGTATGGAATACTTAAAATATTTCTGCCAACTCACGAACCGTGAGTGTTGCAATCTTCAATTAAGGCGAGCAAGTCATCATCGACCACTTCTGGAGGATGTCCTTGGTGTGGCTCGTCTACGAGGCTTTCATCGCCGCCTTGGAATCTTTGAAACCATCGTTGACATTGCCCAATGTTTATACTTTTCTCTCCAAAAACAGTGATGATCGTGCGATGAGATTCAGCTGGTGATTTTCCTTGTTAAAAATCGTAGAACAATACAGCTCGAATACGGAATTTTTTGTCCTCCATTTTTTGCCAAAAAGCGAATGATGAAATTCGGAGCACTAAATGTTATTTATGCAGACATCTTTTACTTTGTATATATGCAAAAAAGAGGGAAGAAACGGTGCTTGAAATTACAAAAAACATGTTAAGTAGTGACGCGTCATTATTAAGTTGCCAACCTAATATTACTATTATGATTTCTTTTTGCGAGCTTTCAAGAGTGACCCCGCAACATATAGCCACCTTTTCACCCCCGTCGGTGTGCCTGTTTAGCTCAGTGGCAGAGCGTCTGTCTCGTACGCGACTGGGAAAACAGAAGGTCGACGGTTCAATCCCGTCAGTGGGCAATTCTTTTGCTTTTTCCAGAAAAACTAACTTAAATAAAAATATGAAATACTTTTTATTTTGTAAAAGAAAATCATCTAATATCATCTAATAACTCGTTTTGTTTTTGCTATTTTTATACAAAAAAACTTTCAGTTTAATTGACATTTGACGAAATTGACAAATTGACGAAATTGACAGTTACCATAGTGCTAATGTGAAAGGGACAATGAAAAAAGCAAGGAATAAGGTTTGTATCTAAATTTTTTGATTTTAGATTTTGCTAAAAAGAAAACAAGTGATATGCGGATGAATTTTCGATTCATATTCAATGATTGACCTAAATTTTTGAGGATTTCTTTGAAGTAAGAAAGCATTAAAGCATTTGTGTAGTGAATATATATATATATATATATGCTTTATTCAGTTGAATAGCGACAAAACAAAATCACAATAATTACCCGGGACACCACTCAAAACACACCCAAAAGATAAATAGATACCTCAAGAAAGAATCACAGAGCAGTCAAATCAATTGCCGAAATTGCGGCTTTAAATCTAGCCAAGGTGGAAATATCACGAACATCAGGGGGTAAAATGTTCCAGAATTTAATAACTTAATAACTCGATTAAAAAAGAAACTGTGGGGGCTTTTAGAGGAAACGGAAGGTTGGCGTATGAGAAAAGGCCGAATTCTGGAGGCCGAATTCAAAAGCCGAATTCAAAGAGACCAGAAAAAAGGGGGTCGGGATGAATGCCTTTAACAATTTTAAAGCATTCCACTAAATCGATGATAAGGCGAACGAATGTCGAGGATTTCGTTGTTCTTCTGTTTTTTACGAGTTTCTCTTCTCTTTTCGCAGTTTTTATTCGTTTTTATAAGATGTACCGATGAATTTTTAAATTTTTAGTCCCTTTTTTCCTATATTATGCATGAAAAATGTAAAGATAACCCGAAATTGACAGTAGTTGGAAAATGTTCTGATGTTGAGGCTCTAATTTTCAAAATAAACCATCTATGGCTTTTGCAGCTAGTTTTTTGATGAAAATTTCTGTAGTTATGGAAAACGATTGGTCTTTTGCCAGTTTGTAGTCTCGAGTCTTATCCTTTTCCCCCAATCCCCTTTTCTTTCAGACTTTGCTCTCTTGCATTTTTTCTTTCTTCCTTTCCTTTTCAATCATTTCCCACAAACGCTGGCCGCATTTTTAACGAAAACCCGACAAATTCTAACATTCAATAGGTTTAAAAAAATATTTTTCTTTTCAAAAAACCAATATTTCATATTATTAGATTTATCAGAATGGCTGAAACATCGACGGCTTTACAAAATTGGTCGGAGATTTGGAGAAAAGATTTCTACAATGGAATTACGTTGAATACACAGGTTTGTAAAGTTCTTAAAAATGATTTTAAAATTAAAATTATCTATATAAATCTTTGCTTTGATTTTTACTTTAGAAATTAAATGAAATCGATCCAAATGAATTCGAAAATTTATTGCCGTCGTTTATCGAAAATTGGAAAGAACAAGGGATAAAGACTGTTTGGATGAAAGTACCAAAAGAGGTACTTATGAAAGAATTTCGGGGCAGGCTAATTTCCGCAAATTTTTTTGCGCAACTGGCCATAACTTTCTTCTAAGTCGGACAATCTTTATGATTTTGGTTTCATTTTGTTGCACTTATTGAGATCTACAAAATGAAACCAAAGCCATAAAGATTCACCCACTTAAAAGAAAGTTATGGCGAGTTGCGCAAAAAAATTGCTGAAATTAGCCTCCCCAGAATTTGCATTCAATAGCAATTCATTTCAATTCAATTAGCATTCAATATTGATCCCAATTCTAACAAGTGCTGATTTCGAATTTCATCACGCACAACCCAAATATTTGATGATGACGAAATTTTTGCCAAATAAAGGGAAAGCGAATCTTCCAACGTGAGGAATTGGAAAGAAGTTTCTTTAAAATTTTTCTTTCAGTTACCCGTTCACACAAATTGGTGTCGGTGGGATTACGGTAGATGATGAAGGTTTATTATATATTATAATTTTAAAAAACGCCTCCAATATAGGTCGATTCTTGATGATGCGAGAAAAACAGGGCATCTATTTGGGTTGGAAATTCCCGGGCGGTTTAATGGATCCTGGAGAGAGTTTACTAGAGGCGGCAGCTAGAGAAGTTGGAAAACATTTCGATTTTTAGCATCTAATGATATCATTTCTGTATTATTTTTCTAAAGTCTCAAATTTAGGTTAAAGAAGAAACTGGCGTCGATGTTGAGGGAGTTGCTTTGTTGGGTTTTCGGTGAGGGAACAAATTACAAAAAAAAAAATCTTATTTATCTAGTTGTAGTAATGTAGTTGTCAAAAGCGGAATCTAATTCTAAAGTACCAAGTGTTATGTAGAGAATTGAAGCCCTGAATCTTGACCAAACATCTTTGAAGTTATCTTCGAAACTTCGAAAGTATAAAATTTGATTCTATCAAGTTTACGAACGAGCTCCAGCCGGGTTGCTACCATTTTTGACGGATTTCTTTAAAAAATGCATAATTTTTTATATTCTGTACTTTAGACATATGCAAAATCTCAAATTTGGTATTGTCGCTGATTTATATTTTGTGGTGGTGATGCGGTTGAAACCTGGTGGAGTACATGAACCGAAGCCATGCGTGCATGAAGCAGCCGCTGCTGCTTGGCTATCACGGTTAGCTTATGAGGATTGAACTTTGAATTGAATATTGTACTTTATAAATACTACAAACTACAAATATAAACTACAAATACTTAGCTATCTAACCTATCGAATTATCAAAGCGTTGATTTCATTTCAGAAAAGAGATCGACGAGTTGAACCCGGATGAGCATGCCACAATTTATCTTCAAAGTAGCCTCAAGTATTATGATGAATGGAGAAAATCCGGATTGAAAGGATTACTCGGTTTTCTTTTATTTGTTAACTTTTTTTAAAGCTCAATTTTAGAAGAAAGCACTGAGTCGAGGGGTAGACTAGCGAAAACTTACTACTTTGATTATACGAAAGTTGATGTGGAAAGAAAAGGAAATTTATAAGAGAAGAAATGATCTGTGATTAAATATAAAACGAATAAATTGTTTATAGCGATTAGGGCACAGAACGAAGATTCGTGAGATAGTCGCGGTGAGCCGGCAAAACCCTCCAACCAAGCCAGCACGTATGAAAGACACATTGACGGCATTGATAGACGTCGATTCTTAAAAAACGATCAAGTTCATCACTTTTACAAAGTTTTCTGACAATTTCTGACTATTTTAAAAGCGATCAAGCTCATCACTGTCAAATTATTCTTTGACTCACTTTTCCGAAGTACTCTTTCGTTCGATTTGATCAGCCAATCTTTGAAAGCACCATTTCTCTTTGACTGTCACCGATCCCGGTAAACTCTTATCAGCTGAATGAATGCCGAATTGACTGAAACATTATTTTTTTCAAAGAAACAATCATCATTTTTCTACCCAGCACAGTTTCGTTCTGGGATCATCGTGTAGAAATCCCAGTATCCGTTCCCGGATTGACGGCGCTTGTAGAGATTGAACCAAGAGTTATCGTTTCGAGTTTGTTGCACGCCGATTCGATACCAAAAATATTTCGATATTTCGTAGCAAAATCCGACCAAGAATTGGCGGCGAGAGGAGCCAAACCCGTGAATTCTCTCTTCTGTTCATTTGAGAAACGCGTGCGTTACCCACTCGACCATGTCCTAGTAGGTGGGGCAGTGCGAGCCATCTACTAGAGTCAGCTAGTAGATGGCTCGCATGGCCTCTAGCCCACATGACCCACCATGCTCTGTAGATGGCGCAGTGCGAGCGCCCTTGTCTCTAGCCCATACGACTCGGGTTCGACTCCCGCCCATGTCGCCACTCTTCATCATTATCTTTAAAATCTATTTTTAAACTCAAACCATCCAATCGGCAATTTCATATCGACCCCATCTTCCGCATAAACAGTCGCATTGTCGACCTCATGCGTTTTACAAGTGACATGCCTATTCAACTTTCTTTCTCAACTTTCCTCTATCAACTCACCCACAAGTGATCTCATTTGCTTCTCTGTAATAAACACAGAAAACATTCCTATAAAATAATCCTATAAAACCAAAATAATGAATAAAAAAAAAATATGAAACTCACTCGGCCGAGACGAAAGAAGGTAAAAAGGGAAAAAATGAGAATATAGTTAAGAAGAAATACATCGATCGATTTTTCGTTGTTTTCAAAGACTTTAAAAATGAGGAAGGGTCATTGATTTGAATGAAGAAAGAGAATGGGAAGGATCCCAAGGTCAACCCTCACTTTGCACTAAGCCGCGAGATTTGCATTTGAGTGTGATGCAAGATTAAATCTTTGAAGTCTGGAAACGCACTCCACCTAGCCTACTAGCTTGAGCTAGCTTGCTTGAGCCATGAATGCATTAGAAAAGGTTATGTTTTTTAATTTTTTCGCGTAAAGTACAACACAAAGAACCCTGAAAATGGTGTTTTTCTCCTAGAATTTCATCGCCTTTCATAACTGAGCCACTCTTTGCCCTCAAAAAAAAGTTTATTCCAAATCACGGCCAATGTTTGTTTTTTTTTGACACTTTACAAGATACATCCAATTCTCATAAACCCTTAACGCAATAACAAGTTTTAGATGAAGAAGAAGAAAAAAAAGAAAACAAAACAACAACAAGAAGAACATTCATTTGTAGTGAAAAGAAAAATATATGAGTTAATAAAATTAGCGCTTCAGAGATCAGCAAATCAAAGGAGCAACACGGCATTGCTGAACCTGTCTTTAAGATATCAAATTCACGAAAATGGGAATAGATAAAAAACACACACAAAGAGAATCGAATAGAACAGTAATGACAGAAAAAAACAAGGGTAATAAATATTGTAAATAAAGAAAGCTTTCTCGTGGCTGAAAGTGGGAGGAGTCTAATCCGAATCGCTGGCATCTCCATCTTTCCCTTTGTTCACGAACTCTCCATCGGCATTGTCGTTGATGATGTCTTTGTTGAGTTCCTGGAAAGATAAGTAAAATTATATAGTAAACTAATAGCCACAGTTGATATTCTTTTGAAAAATGATTTCAAAATGCTTTTGGTATTGAATTTTTAGATATCGAGGTTTCTTCAGTCTATAATTACTCACAAGGGAGTTAAAAGTAATAGTTAATAGTTAAAAGTAAACATTTTAGTTTAGTAGTAGTTAGCAGTTTAAAATAGTAGTTTAAAATAAACTTAAAATAAACATCAAGTAGTTTAAAATAAACTTGTATTTGAAACGTAGAACAATTAACTTTGCAAATTCAAAAAAAGCAAGAGAAAAAAGTAAAACGGCGGACTCGAACTAGAGAGGTTTTCCCTTTGATTCTAACTAACTGCCACTCGGCCACCACTGCTTCTTACAATCTCTAGGAAATCTGCTTATAAGCTCGGGAATGTTTAAAATCCCATACAAAACTTTGCACGCTTATAATTGTTTACAGAGTGCTCCATAGCGGAAACAGAAATCAGATTCGGAATCAGCATGAAATTCTGCGTTGGCTCATGTCATTTGGTCACTACACCCAGTTGAAATTCCCTAGTCAGTTCAGATTCCGGATCATCACTATGCTTTAAGTCTGTAAAGCAAATTGAAGAGTTTTTTAAAGCCGACCTCAATGAGCAGCTTTTTTGCCTCATTCGCCAGCTCTACATGATCCCCGCCGAGCTCGTTTGGATCAAGAATGTGATTGGTGAGCACGCTCATCATACCAAAACCCTGAAAATAAGATTTTCTCCAAATGTCTCCCTTTAAAACTCACCAAGAAGTTCGCCTTTTTGAAGATTTTCTTCAAATTCTCATCACAATTAATCATTCTGAAAGACTGGGATACAAATTTTTTCGTCTTTCAAACAAAACCGCTTATTTTTCGGGTTCTTCAAATTATTGGCGTCGATGTACTTCCACATTGATTTCACCACATCACATCGACGCATGTAAGGCTTGCCGGTGATTGCCTTAACCAGTAGATTTCATAACTTTAAGATTTTAAGATCATAACTTGCCTTAAACAGTAGATTTTAAGATCATAACTTCTCTTTCATCCTTTCTTTCTTCTTCCTTGTCTTTCCTATTTCTTTTTGGGGGAAAGAAGGCTTATAGCTCAGTGATAAAGCATCTAGCTGGTAAGTAGAAGATTGAGGATTCAATTCATTTCTTTACTTTATCATTCACTAACCTGAAGATCTTCTGTACAGTAGAAAACCCGGCTAAACGCGGAGTTGCCCGCTTTGCGCGGTGCCTGAAAAGTTTATGATGATAAAAACTAGTTTCTTGTAGTCTTTTACTTGCTAAACATCTTATATCTTTAGAAATTCATTATATTTTAAAGTTTACTCCCCCAATCCCCCAACCTTGCTCTTTGTCTTGCGTGTGGTCGTGGTTTGCGCTCCGCGGCGTCTGAAATCAATTTTTTTCAAGAAAAAATTTCAATTAACATTAAGATATGAAAGATTTCTAATATTTTTCCTTATCTAAAGCTATTAGAATCATTTTTGAATTATCCACCTCTTCACTTTGGTCATTAAATCGTCGTCACTGTCAACATCGGGGGTAACTTTGCGACGACGCTAAAAGTTGTCGTTTAAAAACATAGAATTGCTTGTTTTTGGCTTATGAATGCTTTAATTAGCTTTTTCAAAACTTTAATGCTTTTAAAAATCTTTTTAATTTGTACCTCTTTTGTCGCTTTCACTTCGGGAGCTTTTGTTGGCGGAGCCTTGTCCTCAACGTCCGAATCCGATAAGCTGCTTCCGCTTTGATTTCCATTGTCCTGAGATTTATAAAATAGTAAGATATTTTAGCTACAGTCTATCTTATCCCTGATATCTTTTCTGAATAAAAAGAATTCTTAAAAAAACCTTTTCCGAGTCACTCTGTTCCTTGTTCGCTTTGTTCTTTGCCATCACTTTCTCAATCTGTTCCCTTGTAATCTCATCGATTTGCTTTTTAAAAGAAGTGAAATCCTAAAAAGAATTGTTATATTGTTATTATTATAGTTTTAATAAACCTTATCGAATTTTTCCTTTAAATAATTGCGAATGATCGTTGAGGTGATGACGTCAAGGCCGCGTTCCTAAAATGAAGTTAGATTCAGTAAAAAGTTTACTAATTATGCGTTATACTTTGTTTTCAATACTGCAATTTATTAAATGAATGTTTAATCGATAAACTTTATCAGGATATAGTTCTTGGTGAGAAAAACAAGAATCTTAACTAAGTAGGACAGCTGTCATACAAAAAAAATCATTAAGTAGGCAAAATTTCTATCAAAAGTTTAAAGATAAATTAGTCCAATGTGGATTAATTTTAGAATTTGACCATACAATTAGTTAAATATATAAAATTAAAAAATTTACCTTGATTACATCATCGATCGCTTCTTTAATGTCATCGCGTGGGATCGGCAACACTTCCATGTTTCGAGCCGAGTTGATCTTGTGGCTGGAAAAGTTTCAAATATTAAAAATAATAAATAACAAATAATAAATAATAAATAACAAATAACAAATAACAAATAATCATAATATTAAAAAATAACAAGCATATATAACTCTAAAAAAGCTATAGTTCAAAAAAACTAGCAAATGTGACTTTAATTGGATCAGTGAAGGAAAAATTTTGTCAAACTTTGCCATTGGCGTTTATTTTTAAATCAAATCAATATCAATCAAAAGCAAATTAAACATCTGGTTTATAGAAAAACAGATATTTTTTGAAAGAAAAACATCCTGCAAAAACATGAACAAGGAAGATGGAGTTGAGAAGAAAAAAAAAGCGAGGCCGCCATGCATTCTTTGCTCTAATTACGGTAGTTTGTGTGCACAAACGAGTCGATTCTCTCTCAATTGCTCTCTCAAATGAAACAGCTAACAAAAGAAATAAAAAAAAAACCGCGCTAAAAGCATATGATCTGTGATTAATTTTGTCCCTTTTTTTTCTAGAAGATATTCTATTTTTAAAACAAGTTTTTTGCGCAAATGCTTTCTTTTTTCGAGATGTTTGCCGATTTTCACCCGGAAGGCATCGGGATTGAGGTTTGATTTTGACTTTTAATTTATATTTTATTGAGCTTTTTTATTTTCTAAAAGCATACCAAAACATATTAGTTAATCTTTTAGCTTAAAGTTTAAAGTAGCTTAAAGTTTAAAGTAGTTTAAAGTTTAAAGTAGTTTAAAGTTTAAAGTAGCTTTAAAGTAGCTTTAAAGTAGTTTAAAGTAGTTTAAAGTAGTTTAAAGTAGTTTAAAATAGTTTAAAGTAGTTTAAAATAGTTTAAAGTAGCTTTTAAAGTAGTTTAAAGTAGTTTAAAGTATTTTAAAGTAGCTTAAAGTTTAAAGTAGCTTAAAGTAGTTTAAAGTAGCTTAAAGTAGTTTAAAGTAGCTTAAAGTAGTTTAAAGTAGTGATAGCTTTAAGTTTCTCTTTAAAACTTTACTCATTAGAACAATTGTCGATTACCAAAGTTCTTGTTTCTTTCGTGAAAAAAAATTCGATGACGTATGGTGAACCTAATGAACCCGGAAATAAACTACCGTAAATACTGTAATAGTACCCCACCCCCGTCGTACAGTCGCGTAGTCGCAAAAGTTTTTTAGTATTTCATTTTTTTCAAAGCACCCGTACTTTCAAAAATGCGTCTTTGGTATCAAAAAATAGCCCTGAATTTCAGCTATTTTTTGATACCTAAGCGCGCATTGTAGCATAAACCAGTGTCGAGAAAAGCGCGTCCAAAGCTAGACTACGCAACGCTCCGCACCGTCATTATGGGGGTGGGGTACTATTACAGTATTTACGGTAGTTACTTATATGTAATGTTATAAAGTAATACCATTTGCAGGTGATTTTCCTATTGGTCGGGATATTTTTCGGCACTATTCTCTACCTCGCTTGGCTAAGCACCGGCTTTCCAGCGCTCAACTACGAGATTTTTCTCGTCGAGATGCAAACCTGGGCAAGCCATCGTTTCGTGCAGGTATTTAAATAATATTTGATATAAGCCAACCTGAGCCTATAACCTGAAATTCTAGATTTAAAAAATAAGACATATATTTTAGGTGCTGAAATTCTAGATTAAAAATAAAGTATATTTTAGGTGCTCCACGTGGGCCTAAATGATGTCCGACAGTTTCCCGGTGATCTCGTTCGACGGATTCGAGCTGCTGGAGCAAGGTTCGATACTTTGAGCAATGCAATTGTAAAGCTGTTATTTAAAAAATAATTATGATTATTATAAATGATTTGAAAGTTGCGAATAGCCTCTCCAAGATAGGCTAATAAGTTTCTTTTCGAGTTTCTCTAAAAGTTTAGAACCAAGTAAATCCGAATTTTAATTGGTAGACTCGATAAAATGAATAGCTCTAATCGATTCGACGATCTTGCAAACCCCCGGGTACAAATTTACAGCTAAAGTTCTTTTTGTATCATCTAAAAGCAAAAGAAAGATATCTGTGTTCTTTTGGAAAAATTTTTGCCTCGAATTTGGCTGTATTTATGTATAAATTTTTCATTCTGTTAAACCAAAACCGACCATGCTAATCCCTTTTCAGATTCCGCCCCTCAACAAATGAAAGCGCTCCACGAGCCATTTCTCACATCAACATCGTGATCCAATCACCAGAAACCATTGTAGAAGGACAAGCCATTGAGTAACTTGCAAAAACATTTTCAAAAAAAAGCAAACTTTCAGATCAATTCCAAATGGTGAGATGCGTCTCTACCAGGTGCAAATCCCTATTCAAATGAACGCTGGACGAGAGAGCGAGTTTTCCGATAGTGAGCTGGCAGCTCTCGCTACGTTAGCTGTCGTCACTGGAAGGTTGGATTTAAATATAGAAATTAGATTTGAAAGCATCAAATAGTCTTTTATTTCTTATGTTTAGAAATGCTTCTGAGAATACGCGAACGGTGAATTTTGAGGGAGAGGAAGTGTTCGAAGAAACGGTGAGGAAGTTTTTATTCTGAATATAAGATTTTAAAAAGAAATATTTGTCGTAAGTAGTTATAAATAAAGTACCGTAAATACTGTAATAGTACCCCACCCCCCTCGTACAGTCGCGTAGTCGCAAAAGTTTTTTAGTATTTCATTTTTTCCAAAGCGCCCGTACTTTCAAAAAATGCGTTTTTGGTATCAAAAAATAGTTCTGAATTTCAGGGCTATTTTTTGATACCTAAGCGCGCATTGTAGCATAAATCAGTCCATAAACCATAAACCATAAACCAGCATAAGCATAAAGTGTCGAGAAAAACGCGTTTAAAGCTAAACTACGCAACACTCCTCGCCGTCATTTTGGGGGTGGGTACTATTACAGTATTTACGGTATGTACTTGTATAAAAGCTAATATCTAGATACTCAAGAACTATTATCGAAAAAAGAAATTAATAAACAAATTGAAGAGAACTGAGCGAACAGTGGAGAATGCGACTCTGGTTGGCGAGGGACCGCTGCCGAGTGAGATGGGCGAATCTTCAAATGAAGAGTTTGTTCATTTTTTAATTGATTATTAGAGCTTTAATTGATTAATAGAGCTTTAATAGATTAATAGATTAATATTTTAAGATTTTTTACATTGTAAACTTTTTGTAGATCCTCGGAAACGTCCGAAAGCGATGATGTTCAAGAGAATGATGTTGAATTGATAGAAGGTATTAAAAAAATTTGATTTGAAATATTTGAAGATTTAAGTTTCGGATCTAGTTTCTGATTTAGAAAAAGAGGAAATTGAAAAGCCGAATACAGCGCTGAAGCTAAAGTTTCTTGATGACACGCACGTCATGGCGAGCACCGTTTTCAATCGAACTGTTGGCGATTTTAAAAAGTAATTTTCTTTGGCAATATTTTGGAAATATAAATGGCAATTTCTTTTTAGAAAAGTAGCTGCAAAATGCCATTTTTTTATAAAGAAAATCATCAAAAATAGTTCTTCGTTAGAGAGAGGCCAACTAGAGCTCATTTGAAAGCTTATAAAATGAGCTGCATAACTCCGATTATGAAGTTTTTAGTAGATAAATGAAGTCAAGATTAAGGGCTTCAATTCTCTCTATAACACTTGACACTTTTGAAATAAGTTAGACATTTTGTAGCTACTTTTCTAAAAAGAAGTTGCCATAATTTTAAATCATCCTGTATTTTTGTATCTTATTGTACTTTGTACTTTTAGGGAGTTCTTTGCCACAGCGCTCGCCGAAGGAAAGGTCGTTCGATTGATTTATAAGGTAAGAAATGAAATAAGAATGGGTTCGAAAAATCAAGATTACCCTAAATGCTCTAATAGAAGCCCTCCTATAGGAGCGTCGCGTAGTCGAAGTTTACTCTCAAACAAACGCTCAATATCTCGACACTAGTACGTTTGTTTCTGCGCGCTTTGGTATCAAGTTAAAGTAGAGAGGATTGGTGGCTTTTTGAGATATAACACAGATTTTTAGCATTAACGAGCGCTTAGAAAAAAATGATTAAAAAGTGGCAAAAAAAAGTCGGATGATTCCACAAATACTAGCTGATCACCACCAGCTCTTTTTGTGGGGATGATTCCACAAATACTCCCCGATCACCTTAATAGGGGCTTCTATTAAAGTATTTATGGTAGATATGAACTAAAGTTAATATAATACTTTAAAGTCAGCAACTTTTATCTTTTAGGGGCAACTACTTCGCGATGACAATCGATCGTTATCCTCATACGGGGTGGAAGATCAATGTGTTGTGCACTGTCACGTCTCCAATACACCTTACCGAAAAGCACCACAGGTAAAGCAATGAATAGACTCTACAAAATTCCCATTTTTTTCAGCCAACCGAACCCCACCGAAGCTCGGGCGACATACAATCAGAAAACAGCATGCCAAGTGTACCAGTGTCTACAGGTTTCATGAAAACAAGTTTCCAAGCAACGAATAGAGCTTTAGCTCCACCGCCACGAGCCAGCAATCCAATCCAACATGCATTCAACTCACTTGTTACACAATTTCCATGTAAAATTTCTTAATTTTTCATTTTAAAAAAAATTTAGTGACAACATTTCGAGGGGAAACGATGACAGCCGCTTTTCACGGTTTTATGAGCGATCCATCAACGCCGACTTCTCATCCACAAAATCGAGGATTCTTCTCGAATATTTATCGAAGGTTTTTTTTTGATTTTATAGATCATCAATCATCTTTTATCTTTTATATACAGATTTCAAAACGCTTTGAGTGCTTTTGAGAGCTCGGGGAATGGAGATGGAGTCGAGTTTGCGGCACAGCGAGCTGCCAATCCTGTTTTCCGGCTAGAAATTGGCGACTTTGTTCTATGGATTTTTGCAAGTAAGCTTCAAAAAGATTGACTTTAAATTCTCAGCAAAGATAATAAAGATCTCGATAAAGATAAAGATAAAATAATTCGGGTTTTCTTGAGAATCGCTCTTAATTCAAAGCGCTCTTTAAAGCTTTGATAGTCTTTAGAAATGGGGAAAAAGAAGTAAACCATGATCTTTCAGTTCAATTGGCGGTTGTTTGGGGTTTCTGGTGGATGTATCCACATCTCTGTGACAATACCGCTTTCTATTTGTTGCTCCTTTTCACGGTTTATTTCCTTTTTATTGTTTGTAGACATCATATTTTCCCAGAACCTATTGAAACTGTTTAAAGTTGAGCAATTGTTATCAAAGAAAAGTGCTGTGATCAAAAAACAAAAAAAAGGGTTGATATTTCTAGAGTTTAATTGTTTCTTGTTTCTCAAAATTTTACCAATATCATTTTCCAATGATAGAAGACTTTCTTTTTCTTTTTATAGGGAATCACGGGTTTCCTAGTCTTAAAAATTCCAAACTAGTTCGCGTAGCGGGTAAAAAATTTCTTAAACAATAGAAAAAAAAAACATAAACAATTATGGGGAGTGGGACAAATGCGATCTTTTTTTTGCGCACCCGAACATTTGCGCACCTTGCCCATTAGCGCACCTTCTTTCGCGTTTTAAAAAAGCTCTAAAAAGCTAATATTAACCAATTTCTATTCCAAATGTTGTTTTTCTAGGTTGAGGGTGTCGAATTCAAATTTTGACATAACAGATTGTGGAACCAATTTGAAAGACAAAACGGCTAGATCAAATTACAGAAAATTGTCGATTTTTCTCTTTGTATAACTCCGTCCGTTTGTTTCCACAAGCTCTGATATGTCAAAATTTCGATTCTACGCCCTAAAATTACCTAGAAAAACAAATTTTGGAATAGAAATTGGTTAATATTAGCTTTTAGAGCTTTTTTAAAACGCGAAAAAAGGTGCGCTAATGGGCTCAGTGCGGAAAAAAAGGTGCGCAAATGTCCGGGTGCGCAAAAAAAGATAGCATTTGTCCCACTCCCCAATTATGTCTTTATGTCTATTCGTTCATTTATTTATTCATTTATTCGATTCTTTTCTTTAAAAAAAGCTTTCATATCAATCTTGTTTTTTTATTTGTACAGAGATTGTTTCTTTTTTTTTTTTGTAATTTTCGCTATCATTCTTTTAAAAATTAGCATTTTTTTTCGGTGATTTTATGAAAAATTTTGTATAAAGAATTTCTTGAAATTCGAAAGATTAAATAAAGATTAAAGTTTTTAAAAAATTTTAGGCTTCACTTTTTAGCTTATGCTCGAAATTTTCCGAATTGTTTCTCGGCACGGAATTTGATTTCACTGAAGAAACATCTCTTCATATTTTCGAAGCGATCATAGCAAGGAACATACGAGTAGTCGAGATGAGTAATCCTGAAAACAAAAAGAAACAATCAGGTTTTTATTTTCATATTTTCATTTCTCTTTTTTTTTTGATCTTTATTTAACGATTTTTAAGCCTAAAAGAAACTCATTTTGTACTTTTAAAAAGTATATTTATTTGGTTGAATGGAAAAGTCCTTCCCGATTTTTTGGGAGAGTACCTTAAATTTGTCGAATTTTGACGTTTTATAGCTCATCCTAAAGCTGAATTCAAGACGGATCGATTGGTAAAAAGCGTTTTGAGATATCTTTCTTCTAAAAGTTTTTAACACTTAGAACAAAATGATTGAAAAATGATTGAAAAATCGACTTTTTTTTGCCACTTTTTAATCATTTTTTTCTAAGCGCTCGTTAATGCTAAAATTCTGTGTTATATCTCAAAAAACCACCAATCCTCTCTACTTTAATTTGATACCAAAGCGCGCAGAAATAAACGTACTAGTGTCGAGATATTGAGCGTTTGTTTGAGAATAAACTTCGACTACGCGACGCTCCTATAGGGGGCTTCTATTGGGTTGATGAAAAAGTCCTTTCCGATTTTTTGGGAGAGTACCTTAAATTTGTCGAATTTTTGACGTTTTATAGCTCATCCTAAAGCTGAATTCAAGACGGATCGATTGGTAAAAAGCGTTTTGAGATATCTATTTTCTAAAAGTTTTTACAGCTATTTTAGTAAATGGCGGCAGAGCCAAAAAAAAATGGCTGTTTTCACGTTTCGTTAGTTTTCCGTGCAGAAACCTAGGCTAAAAACATGCGTTTCGTGATCAGCGTCAAAAATAACCCCTAGACACAAATATTTGATACGAAAAATGAATTAGAAAAAAAAGAAGGAAATTTTGACTCTTAATTACCCCTATTACTCAAATATTGTTAAGAAATTGACTGATTGAATGATTGAAATTGAAAAAAAAACGCATAATGAAAGAAAGAACGAATTTTTCTGGCCACCAGGATCGAACCTTTAGATCAAAGGTTGAGAGATCCTCAACTAGAAGACAAGACTTCTATTCGGTCTGCTACGAAAGCTTTGACAGAAAATATTCAAATGTTTCAGTGAAATTCTTACAATTCTTACAGTAGACAAACTTGAATTTTTATAAAGCAATCAAGAATTTCCCAAAATTCAACTCACTTATCAGGAGTTTGATCACAGAAAGTGAGGCATTTCTCCCCGGCTAACGTCGTCGTCACCCCATTCCGAATACAGCATTGACGATGATCACGACCCTATGCATCCATAGAAATACGTGTCTTTTCTTCTTTTTAAACCTGTGCAGCACAAAAGTGCATATCAGCAGCCGCTTCCAACGGGCAACCATCCGTCTTGAAATACATTGATTGAAGCTAAAATTGTTGCTTTAAAAAAAACAATTTGATACTAGACATAGGCTTTTTATGGAAAACAAGTCATTTCCATCTTTAAAAAAACAGTTTTTGTTTTCTAAAAACGTGAATAAAATGTTTTAGCTTTAGAAAAACAATTGCTGTTTGCTAAAACGTGAAACTGACTCGTTTTCTACAAAATTTTCATGTATTTTTGGTACTATTCAATCCGCATTTTCATAGATAATTTGTTTCTCAATTATGATTTCATACTTGGATACTAATATTATGAGTTTAGAATCAATTATTGAAGAGTTTAGAATCAATTATGAGTTTAGAATCAATTATTGAAGAGTTTAGAATCAATTATTAGTTTAGAATCAATTATTAAAGATAAACCCAAGTTTAATCTATCTACTTCTTTAATGTTAAATCTTTTTTCTCTTCTTAAACTTAAAGAGAAAAAAATTTGCTGGTTAGAATAGTGAAAAAGAGAAAGAAAAGAAAAAAGAAGAGTGAAATCCGGTCGGGTTGACACTTTGACTGTCCCTGTCCGTCTCTTTCAATCCGGCTCAATGGTTTATCCCCAGTAATGTATGAGCTAAGCTGGGGTGCTTTTTAGATCTCAGCTCTGCCATCGAAAGTCTCGTTTGAGGCAATCCATCACAATATAAGACTTACACAAAAAACAAAGTAATACTTAGAAGTGAACGAGTTTTAGAACTTGGGAGTAAAGTAGTAGAAGTAGAAGATTTGAGCCTGAGATTGTGGGACATTTGATCCGCTCCTTTTCTCATTAGCAATTCAACTTTGACCTCAAATTTCTTGGTGTTGAGCTTTTCAATTTAAATAGTTTTTAAACCAATTGACAGAGAAAGATTTAGCGTACCGTATTTTCTGTAATAGTAGTGCGCACTAGTATTTTTTCAACCCCCCTCCAGCCTGCACTACTATTACAGACTGCACTACTATTACAGACTGCACTACTATTACAGACTGCACTACTATTACAGACTGCACTACTATTACAGACTGCACTACTATTACAGACTGCACTACTATTACAGAAAATACGGTATTTAATGATGCTAAGAGCATTTAAATTGAACAGCTCAAGAAATTTAAGCTTAAAGCTTAAAGTTGGATTGCTAATGGTTGGGGAAAAATGTTTGATAACTCTGACCGCATCTTTCGTGTAGGCATTGTAGTTACATTTGCTCAAACAAGTATCAGGCAGATGACGTTGTTCACAACATTGACGGAACAAATAGTTGGGATTCTGGGAAGTGAAGATTTTAAAGCCTCTTTAAGACTCACAAACCACTAGTAAATCGATTGTCTGATTGTCAAAGGTTTGTGCTGTTGGAGTGATCACTTCTGTTTGAATCGATTCCACTGGCTCCTCAGCGCTCACTTTGTTCTTTCTAAAGTTTTTGTTTGTTGCTTTTGCTGGTTTAGTGTGTCTAACACCTAATCTGATCTAAAGTCTAAATCTTTTGCACGTGTTTCAAATACGATTACAACAGTGTTTCCTGTAGGAGAAGGAAGGTTTAAACAGAAGCCATGTGCAGAAAATCGGAATAAGTTCGACCACCCTTAGGCTAAAGCAATATCCTACTGTTTGACCTTACTATTTACCTTACTATGATTTAGTTTGTCGGACAAATTAAAGTGTTCAGGGAAAATTATAGAGTCAGAACAAATTTGAAGCTAGGCCCGAGCCAGAGTTCTCTTCTCTGGTTAAAGAATGGACTGGAAACGGTTTAGCCGAAGTTTCCGTTGTTGTTTTGTTTGTTCCTTGTCCCTTGTTTTTGTTAATTTCTAAAATTCATAAGTTTTCACCGTCTCATTCCAAAAATATTTCGATTGATGACACGAGCTTCTGGAATTTCCTCGGATCGAGATTTCGTTGGAAGATGAGCGAGATTTGTATGCTCTTCTGACGAATCATCCAAAAAGATCCCCTCCTAGAAATTCGTTAATTTTTTTTTTTAAAACTTCAAGCCACAAGTTAAGAGATTGAAAAGTCATAAAACTAACAAATTTCTTGGTGAGCGCTGAGCGAGCTCGATTCCGAGCACAACCATACGGACCACAGGAATATCCCGGTTGACAAGAAGATGGAGCACATGATGCAGCTGGAGCTGGAGCACACGAAGACCCACATGCTCCAGAAGATAAACACTAAAAATATTTCAATTTTTCACACAACCAGAGAGCCATAGGGCTTACAGAAATTCAACTTTAAATCAGACATTCAATCCTTAAAAACAAACCGCTTCTGAGAGCTTTATCGCCGTGAAAACAATGATCACTTTCCACATCTCTAAAAGTTGAAACTATGAAAAGATTGAAAAGCTATTTCACAAAGGACAAGGTTAACAACTGGAAAGTGAATTCAGAGGTGAGAGGTCGTAGCTCGAGCTCGTCACAATTTTCCGGTTTTATATGGAGGGGAGGCGGTGCTGTAAGTCAAAGAAAAAAGAGGTGAGGATGAGGCTCGGGACTTTCCTTTTCTCTCTTTCTATATAGAATACCAGTTGGCATTCATTTGAGGCTGGATTGGTGGCAGAAAAGAGGGAAAAGATCCGCGGTAGGGCTCCTCTAACTTCTGCATAGCTTCTGTACACTTGACTTTTTAAAGAATCTACTCCTTTTTCTTTTCAATCTTCACTTTCTTCTTCTTCTTCTCCTTTTTCTTCTTCTTCTTCTACAATTCACTCTCGCCACTCAAATCTAGCCATTGGCAGAACTCGACCTTGCCTTCTCTTTCATTGCAATTCGACAATTACAATCGAAAGCTATACGAAAGTCTAGAGCACTTCAGCGCAACAAAACATAGTCTAGAAGTGTACAAGATTTGGAAATGAGTAAGGAATTTGATTGCCATGAATTCTGTGAGTAAACGATAGCTTTTGCTAGCTCACAAACGGCTAAATTTTACTACAAATCAAGTAGTTTTTTTTTGTTTTCTGTAAAGCTGCATTAGTTGTTTTTCATAGTATTACATTGAATTGATTAAAGAAGATGAAGAATTGATAGACAATTACATTACAAAGATCATCTAGAATAGATAGACAATTACATTACAAAGATCATCTAGAATAGATAGACAATTACATTACAAAGATCATCTAGAATAGATAGACAATTACATTACAAAGATCATCTAGAATAGATAGACAATTACATTACAAAGATCATCTAGAATAGATAGACAATTACAAACTCACTCGACTGATCGCCATTGGCATCTGCAACTAAATTACAAAGAAATCTGCTAGCAATTATTTTACTTTATATAGATTTTTATAATTTAATAGTAAATTTTTGTCTAACTTAATCAATGAGCTTTTTCTCGTCATTTTTTGAAGCATCGAAGAGCTGTGTGAGCGCTATTCAAAGCGGTGACCTCACTTCGGTTAAACAACGCTTCGGGACTGGCCTCGTTTCAACTCTCAAAGCTCTTGTAAATTGATATTGATTATTGACTATTGGTAAATATTATTTCAGCGAAATGTACTGCACGATGAAAGCTCAAAAATCGAAACAGATTTCATTAAGATTGAAGCTCGAGAAGACGAATCAACGGTAACAAATCTAAAAATCACTGCCTTACTGCTATCATAATAAATAAAAGCTATCAATTCCTTTTCGAAAATTGCATTGAAAAATGATTTAAAACTTGATCTCATCAAAAGTGAATCTCCACTAAAACTCTTTTATCATTCAGCTTAACTTTACTTAATCATTAGTTGAATAATTTTAAAATCCAATAACAAATAAAGTTTAGAGCTTCAACTCATCCCTAAAAATCAATGGATTTAAGAGAAGTGAATCAAGTGAAGACTTTAATGCGTCTTCAAAAAGTATCTTTTTTGAACACCAAGTACCAAAGCTAGAGGTAATTTTTAAAAACATAACAATAGAAATCTTATTTATTTAGATTACTGATAGAACTACAGCAAATTTTTCGGCGCTCGTCAAAAGCGAGCAGGCAGCAGTGCAGACTTGTATCGCCACTGCAAACACTGTCATCACCAGTTTCTCGATTTTTCAGGTATAACGAAAATACTTGATCGAAATTTTCATAACTTTTTAATGTAAATTATAAACATTTCTTTACATTCCTAGGATGTAACCGGAAAAGATCTTGACAAAATGTTGCCACCAAAAGAAATCAATGTCATCGATGTTAAAGCTGAGGTTTATTTTGATTTTTTAAAGCTAAAAGATATTCAACGAAAGAAGCCGAGGTTTATTATTATTCTTTAAGGCTAAAAGATATTCAGCGAAAGAAGCTGAGGTTTATTTTGATTTTTTTAAAGCTAAAAGAGATATTCAGTAAAAGTTTCTAGTTTGTTTTTTTAGCTTCTTAAAGAAACTCAAGAAAAGTTACAACTTCAGCAAAGTGATGAGACGAATACTTCAGCTTCAGCTTCACCTAGAGTGAGTTTGTTTTTGATATTATTAGGTTGGAAAGAAAGTTCTCGGAAAAAGTTTGAATTTCTTAAAAACGGATCCGCCAATTCAAGAGCATTTTCTTCTTCTTATTTACAACTCGACTCCAAGAAATTACTCGTAAAAAAAATGATTGCAGCTTTCCCTTGTAAAATTTTAGAGATATTTGAAAAATGATTATTTTCCAGCTCAAATTCAACTCACTTTTTTTCACCAGAAAAACGATTCCTTATAAGGTAAAGCTAGATAGCATTTTATCTAGCTAGAAGCTAGATAAAATGAGCAAATGGGGGTGGGACAAATGCGACCTTTTTTTGCGCACCTGGACATTTGCGCACCTTTTTTGCTGGAAAAGGCCTTAGGAAAGGTCGTAGAGCTTCGAAAATATTTCCATATAAGGGAATCGTATGCGTACATTCCGAATTTCGACAAATCAGACCTCGCTGACACGTCAAATTTGGGCTAAAAGGCAAAAACTATGCAACTTAACGCTTTTCCGCAGTTTTTGCCTTTTAGCCCAAATTTGACGTGTCAGCGAGGTCTGATTTGTCGAAATTCGGAATGTACGCATACGATTCCCTTATATGGAAATATTTTCGAAGCTCTACGACCTTTCCTAAGGCCTTTTCCAGCAAAAAAGGTGCGCAAATGTCCAGGTGCGCAAAAAAAGGTCGCATTTGTCCCACCCCCATTTGCTCATTTTATCTAGCTTCTAGCTAGATAAAATGCTATCTAGCTTTACCTTATAAGGAATCGTTTTTCTGGTGAAAAAAAGTGAGTTGAATTTGAGCTGGAAAATAATCATTTTTCAAATATCTCTAAAATTTTACAAGGGAAAGCTGCAATATTAAAAAAAAAAAAATACCGACTGGGGCTACCAGTGGTGAATTTATCGCATACACGAAATATATCAATCACAATACAACGACACACACAATACTAGGCTATATCTTAACTTAACCCACGTCATGACAGACGGCTCCCTAGCCCTAGGCTCAATGGGGAACTAAATAGCTTTTTTGGTGGTGAAGGGAAGATGACGATGAAGGAGTGGCTTGTCACTTTAAAGAACTGGGGCCACAACCACCAGACTGCCCTCCAGAAAACCTCTCAACCCGAAGGGAAAGGAAATCCGAAGGGGGTGACCATGTCGCATGTGGGGTTCGAACCCTCGACCTTCCGATTAAGATAAAAGACACTTAACCAGTCAGCCACACGTGCTCCACCAATATTTCAAAAAGTTTTTGAAATATAGTCAAGTTTATCAAAAAATCTGAAAAGAATTTATGGCTTCGTTTTTGAGAAATCACCGTGCAAACTTTTTCCGAGAATTTTCTTTCCAACCTAATATTTTATATTTTGTTCTTAGTATTTTGTTAACTAAAAGAACTGTTAATTTAGAGAAATTTTTGTCATATTTAAATATTTGTAAGGATTTCAGGACGTAAGACTTCATGGATTTCTTCCCAAATGCACGTCAACACCGAAAACGAATAGAAAGCCTCGATTGACTGAATTGCAAGAAAAAATGAGAGAAAACGTGAAAACAGTTATGACAAAAGAGGTAAGAATGATAATTTTAACGAGATTCAGAAAAACGATTCAGGAAAAACTTCAGGAAAAAGTTTCAAGAGTCGAGAATGGATCAGAGACGACGAGAGCTGAAAAACGAGTGTTTCAAAGCAGTCCTGTTACACCAAAGTTGCAAGTTTGAGTTATATTTTCTATATTTATGACCTATGTTTTAGAAGTCGTTCACAGAAAGTCGCAAAAGAAAAGTAGATGCGAGTGGTAGAATGGAGATGCCGAAATCGGTAAAGTAAAACACAAATGCTTGTTTAAGAATCGTTTTTGTTTTAGAAAAATCTTCGAAAGAGTTTAAATCAAAGCGGGATTTTGGAAGAAAGATTGACAATTTCAACAAAAGAAACCACAATTCAACATGGAATAAAGGTTTAGATCGTAAATTTACTTGTAATCTTAATCGTGAATCTTATAGATCGATTCATGCAAAAGTTTTTAAAGTTTGGTCAGGAAATCAATTTCACAATCAGTTTCGGAGGCTTTAAAAATGACGATTAGTGATTAGGAGTTGTAATAGTTGTAAAAAAATAGTTATAAAATGTAATAATTATGAAAGAAATCCACTTTTTACAGCCCTCATCTCATTCGAAAGACGACACCGCTTCGACTTTCACTTGTAAAGTAAGAGAATTATCTATAATTATCTATAATTCAATAATCTTAAAACTTTAAATGCTAGATATAAGGTAAATAGTTATAAATATAATATAACTCTAGCAAATAAGCTTCATTTAGGAATGCTTGGAGACGATCAAGATCTATCAACCGCTCAACCTCTTCAAGCACATTCTAGGGCATGTACCTAAGGTTTGAAATGATCAACTTACTCTTTAAACAACTTTATATATTGATTTATCTAGCTAAATTTATTTCAGAATTTGTATCTTTTTGAATGTGAAGAATGTGAGGAATTGTTCGCCACTCGGCGAGATCAAAAAATTCATATGGCTTTCAAACACGCTTCTTCTAAACAAACGATCAGAAAGTGGGTTTGTTGTAAAATAATGGCTAATCAGCAAATGAAAGATGGTTTTAAAATATAGGAGAAAGAAATTTGAAGATTCCTTTTGCTTTAAAAGCATTGACATATACTAAAATAACCCTTTCAATTCAAATTTATTGGAAAATTACGAGTATACAGTCAACTCTCTCTATAACGGAATGAAAGGGATCAAAAAAAAAACTTTTCCGTTATATAGAGTGCCGTTAGATATAGCTTAGCGTCGGTCGGGACCAAAATTCCATTCTGTTATATAGAGTTTTCCGCTATATAGAGTTCCATTATAGAGAGAGTCGACTGTACTTTGTACTTACTTTGTACTGTACTTTATACTGTACTTTGTACTTACCTTATACTGTACTTTGTACTTACTTTGTACTGTACTTTATACTGTACTTTATACTGTACTTTATACTGTACTTTATACTTACTTTATACTGTACTTTATACTTACTTTATACTGTACTTTATACTTACTTTATACTGTACTTTATACTTACTTTATACTGTACTTTGTACTAGACTTTTCTGTACTTTTCTGTACTTTTCTTACTTTACAAGTGAAAGTCAAAGCGGTGTCTTCATTCAATCAGTCAATCTTCAGTGGCTCATTCAGTCAATCATATGGCTTTCAAGCACGAAAGTTTTCTCAAAACCAAAAGTCAACCATAGAACACTAAAATTTCAGAGATGCGGACAGGATTTTGAAAGATTTCTTTCAATTTGGTGAGAAGATTTTCCCAGAATGCTCTCCACTTCTCGAGATCTCTTGTAATCAAATGCGAATCAAAATAGGATTACCTTCTTTATAAAATCTTGTTTCTTTAAATCTTTTCCATATTTTGTTCTGCAGAAACTTTTTGATAGTATAAGAATTGTATTTTCGTTGTGTTTTTCATAAGAAAATTTCTTTTTTTGGCAATGGCGATATTTATCCAATAAAAAGCAGCATTCGCATTCACAATGCCTTTTAAAAATGAAAAGAAATAGCTCTTGAAAGTGATAGAAATTGAGAAGAAATGGAGAAAAGAGAAAAAGGGAAAAAGGGAAACGATTTGGGATTTTTTTGGGTCACTCCATCAAAAATGAGAAATCTTTATGCGTATTAAATAGAAAAAAAAAGTAAAATTGCGTTTCCGTACACTAAAATAAATACCTTTCTGCGCAAATCGATCATTTCTAGAAATAGACTTATTTATCATGTTTAAAATCTCAAAAATTTCATTTCTTTTCAAAAAAAAAAAATTGAAACTTAGCTTTTAGAATCTTGATAAACAAGTCAAAGATCAAAGAAAAATGAAGAGCATTTTGTTTTGTGAAAAGCAACATCACAACAAATAGCTATATCGCAGAAAATCAAAAAAAACAAAGAGGAGAAATTGGAGGAGAAATTTTGATCGTTTTTTTCAATTTTAATTTAATAATTCAATTTTAAATCTTTTAACACGTTGACGACATTGTCACTTGATGCTGTCTGACACATATTCGTCGCCTGGGACATTGTCACCTGATGCTGTCTGACACATATTCGTCGCCTGGGACATTGTCACCTGATGCTGTCTGACACATATTCGTCGCCTGGGACATTGTCACCTGATGCTGTCTGACACATATTCGTCGCCTGGGACATTGTCACCTGATGCTGTCTGACACATATTCGTCGCCTGGGACATTGTCACCTGATGCTGTCTGACACATATTCGTTCGCCTGGGACATTGTCACCTGATGTCAGGTGACATTTTTTGTCGAAAAAAAAACAAACGTTGTCCCATGCGATTGTTTGTGCAAAAACGCCATTGTCGTCAACGTGTTAAATTCAATTGAAATGATTAAAATCTCAACATTGAATGGAGTAAAAGTGAAATGTTTAATGGGAAATCTTTGAATGGGAAATGTTTGAGGAGCTTTTAAAGTAAACTGAATAATTCTAAAATCTATAAACAAGATTTTGTTGTAAACTTTGAAAAGTACTCCTCAAATCAAAATCCCTTTCATTTGTTGGCCAGCTTTTGAATAAATTCAAAAAGAAAATGACAACAATAAGCTACCGGGCTCGTCAGAAAAAAAAGTGTCTTTGTTTTAAGGAGTCGAATAAAAACAACGAAATCTTGAAACTTTAAATTACAATTTCAATGGTTTTTACTTAAAGGACCGACACCAAAACAAAATTATTATCAATTAAATGTAATAATCTAACTTTTTAATAAAGTTTCTATAGAAATGACTAAAGTAAATAGATTTCTCATCAAGATAAAATGAATCCCACCATTCGAGAGGAATACACTCCGTTAAAGTCCTGAAAGGTATTCAAAAAAACACTAGAGTTAAACTATTAATCATTTAAAAGCTATTAAAGTTTCTAGTTTTTTGTTGAAAGTTTGAAGATTTCGTTTAAGAATTGCGATTTGGAAGGGAAAATGGGGGTGAAAATAGAAGAGAAGCGGAGGAGCGAACGGAATTCGTGATCAGATCACAACCCGCACCAAGAAAACAGCGAAAGAGATAAAGGACAGAATGGAGAAGATTTTCTAGAAAAAAAAGAAAAAACCCACTTACCGTATTCTCTCTAATAGTAGTGCACCCTGAGCGTCGCCTAAATTGCTCGAAATCTCGAAAAGCGCTTATCAGAACCTATCGATGTGGGGTCGGAAAATGTAGCTGACGATGAGATCTTGTGGGGGATTTGAGTGTTGAGCTTCTGCGAAAGCTTAGAAATCGTAAAATAGTCATCAACTCGGCTCGCCCGGGTGCCCTACTATTAGAGAGAAAACGGATCTATCTATATAAAGAAAATCAATTCAAAAATCAAATAGCACCACTCCTGTCTCACAATTCATATACTCCTAGCCGCAAAGAAAAAAAGAACTTCTCAAGCTTTCAGTACAATTTAACCATCAATTTTCGTCTAAGCTATATTTTGCATTATTTAGAACAAGATAATCAGTTTTAAAAAAGGCTCAGAAAAGCAAGCTTTCAATGAAACTCCTATAAATTATGCTAGAATGCTTTCAAAAGTTTAAGGGATGATTTAAGAAAAAGCTTTCCCTTAAACCAAATACATTCTACAAAAAATAGGATATGTTTCCGAGCGATTCAGCTCAATGATTATAAGCTATTGCAATAATAGACGAGAGTGATTGAGAGATAAGCATTGAAAAATTTCATCTTCGTTTTCTCAATCGTCTTTTAACCGATTCCTCTGAAATTTTATCTACAAGCAGAGAATCCCAATTTGTATTTGTAAGCAAAATTTCAGAAGAATCGGCGAAGAATAGACTGAGGAAATGAAGGTGGAATTAGGTTTGGGTTCGGGGAGAGCAGGCAGGTATGGAAGGGGAAAAGGGAGAGACGGAAATGAGCAAATCATTAAAAAAAAAAAGACAATAAATATTGAGAGAAATGAATGGGGAAAAGGAAAGCGGCAGAGAAATTTGTTCATATTTTGAGCAAAATGTCGATGAAGTGGGTTCCTACCGACATTCCCATACTTTCACCGCCATATCGACACTTGATGTCACCACGTAAGGAGCTGATTGATGAAAATCTAAAATTAAATTACTTTTCTTATTTCAAAGTCATAGTGGAAAGGTTTTTTTTTGCAGAGTAATAGTGAATACTATTTTGAATCAATTTTCAAACTTTATAGCTACACATCTAGCCTGAACAATGAACTGGAAAGTTTCTTCTAAAGCTAGTAAAGTAATCTTAAAGTAATCTTACAGCAATCTAGTGAACTATTGTCTTTTCTATAAACTAAATCACTTCTATCTTTTAGAACTAAATCTAAAGCATTAGATTTACAAATAGAAAACGTCGATTTTGATCAAATTTGTTGATAAACTACTGATTTTATTTGTTTTTAGAACTTTCTATGAAGCTACTAGAGTGTGTTCCTTGCGAGTAATGCGTTTTTTAAAACGCACACTTGTGAAAAAATTACCCTACTTCTAGCAAAAATTATTACAAAAAAAATGACGCAAAAATCACGAGCCCCGCATTATATATGACTTTTTGAACTTTTTGAAGATACTCAGCCGTTTAGCTGAGTTGGTGGGAAATTCCCTTCCAATGTAAAAAATTGATTTTTGTTTTTGAAAAACCTGAAAAATCTGAAGAAAGTTATGGCAAGTTGCGCAAACGACCCAGTTGCGCAAAAGACCCAATTGCGCCAAAAAAAATTTGGCGCAAAGTAGCCTACCCCAAAACCTGCGCAAAAAATTGCTTTTATATTTTTTTCGCGCAGGCGCACTTTTTAGAAAACGCATTACTCGACAATTACTCGAGCTATTAAAAACTACTCATGCAAATTTACTCGAGTAATTACTTACTCGCGAGGAACGCACACTCTAATGAAATTCTTCGAGTTTCTTTTTAAGCATTTCTTGTATTATATTTTTCAGTTAGAAACTTTTTTCGTTAATTTTGCAAATCGATCAGTTAATTTTCAGCTAAACAACGAGCTTAAAAATTAACTGAAAAAGTTTCTAATTGAAAAATATCATACAAGAAATGCTTAAAAAGAAAACTCCTAAGAATCCTGGCTTTATCAATGAAACTTACCAAGTGATGAAACAAAATGTGGATGTGCATCAAACGATTTCATGCACCTTTTATCAACAAGATCCCACATACGCAATGTTTTATCATCAGAAACTGAGGCCAGGAATTTTCCACCCGGATGGAATCTAAACTATATATTTTAAATTGATTTCTATTTTCAAACCTAAGCCCTCGAATCCAGTTGTCGTGTCCAATAAAAGTATACAAACAAATCCCATTGATCGCATCCCAAAGCTTGATCGTTTTATCTCGCGAGCCTGAGGCCAAAAGAGACAATGTCATCTCATCATTTTTATCGTTTGAGGCTATTTTTTCTAGAACATAAACTCTTTAGCTAAAGAAAAGCTTAAACAAACTCGTAGCTCCAGTGACAAATGGAATCGCTGCCGGTGATGCCCACTCAACACACTCCACAACGTGATCGTGTTCGCGAAGCACGTGTCGAGTTGCTTTTTTCTCCACTGACCACACTATCAGAGACTAAAGATTTCATTTTTTATTGTTTTCTTGTTTATTAGAACCTGATCATTGCTAGCTGTGGCGAAATAATGGCCACAAAGCGAGACACGCACCATTCGAACCCACTCATTGTGACCACGGAACACGAAAATACAGTAGCCAGTCGCTGTCTAAAAATACAGTCTATCTGTCTGTCTGTCTGTCTGTCTGTCTATCTGTCTGTGGATTATCAGTCTGTCGCCTCACGTGGACTCTCCAACGATAAACCGAACTTCTCACTTTTGGTTGGTTCATTGAATTTCGGTATTTATTAGTTTGGCAAACTTGAAATTTGGTACACTTTTTCGTATTTCCCAGAAAACTTATTTAATACGCCAATTGATTTCGACTTCTCTCAATAAAAGTTATATATTATCTATTTTAAGACACGCTTAAGCAAATTTGACCAACTTTTGAAACGAATTTGAGCAGAAATTCAAATTTTTCTCAAAATTCTTTAAATAGACATATAACTAAAGCAATTCGACAAATCGAGCTGAGGATTCGGCATGAGAATATGCCTAACTTTTTGTGCTCTATCTTTTTTCGATTAACATCAAAATAGGTTTCTGTGGAAGAAGGTGCTCAAATCGCTTCATCAAGTGTTCATCATTTTTGGCTCCTCAACTAATTGCCCCCTTAGAAACCTAAAAAAACCGAAGCTTTTCTAAATCTGTTAAAAGCCTTTTTTAGAGAATAAATGGGGGTTTTTTTATTGGTAAAAACTGTAGATTAATTGGTGCACTAGTTTTTTTTTCTAAAAAGTGCAATGAATAAGTGTACCAACTTTCAAATTGTCAATCAATCTAATAGAAGGAATTATTACATGCAAATTCTATTTTCTTTTAATCTTTTGCTTTATGAATCTTTAAATTTTCACATATTTGAAGAATATTTTTATATTTTTACCTCCCACATACGAACGGTGTGATCACGAGATGCGGAAAGAATGTGATCGTGGTCACGGATTTAATAGAATGTTTCAAAATTGTAAAGGACAGGCAACCTATCCCTCTTTTTCGAGATTTATTCAAAGTTAATCCCACGGTTAGTTCAAGGAGAGGTTCTTTCGTTTTAGAAATTCCAGTCACCTCCAATAAGTTTGTTTATAACTCTTTTCCAATAAGAACTGCCAGAATTTGGAATCGACTCCCCAGAGTTTTGAGAGAGTCCAATAGTCTCGAAACCTTTCAATTATCTGTAGATGATCTTGATCTTGAAGCTCTAGTGGATCCTTGACGTTATCTGTGCTACCCACATTTTACATATATTATATCGTGTTTCTTTTTATCGGCCCTTTTCGTGTTATGTGTATGAATTCATGTGTTTTAATCTTAAATCTAGCACAATCTAGCGCACTCAGGTCCTGAATAAAGTATCTATATATTCAAATTCTATTTTCTTTTAATCTTTTGCTTTATGAATTTAAATTTTCAAATGTTTGAAGAATATTTTTATATTTTTACCTCCCACATACGAACGGTGTGATCACGAGATGCGGAAAGAATGTGATCGCCTGATGGAAGGAAAGCCACTGATGACACATTGTGATCATGACCCTGGAAATTGTTTTCTCCTGTAAAAGATGATTAGATAATTTCTTTTAGTAGATTTTAGTAGATAAGCTATATAAAAATGCCCGAATCAACAATCTTTGATGACTCACTCGCATCGTTCGAAGACACTCGTAGGTGCCGGAGAAATCCCATGTCTTCACACTTAAATCAGCCGAACAAGAAACTGAAAAAAAAAGAGAATTAGAATCATAAAGATAAGGCATTTAAAAGATTCATAACTTTATTTCAGCTTACCCAAAATCTTTCCCGATTTATCGAAAGCCACGTCTTGCACAGCCTCCGTGTGCCCTTTCAACGTGCGCTCGAAATCGCCCGACTCGTAATCCCAAATCTAAACAAAAAAACTCTTTTCAAATTTCATTTAACCAAAGAGATTACCTTAATTGTTGTATCATCTGAGCAACTGGCGATAACGCTGTAGATTGGATGAAAGATTACACGATTCACCGGAGATCGATGTCCATTGAGAAGGAAACGCTCGGGCGGTCTAGGGATCCATTCAGCTGCTTGCCGTTTCTCTCTAGAAAATACTAGCTTTTGAAGTAAACTTTAGTCATAAAATCAATAATAAGAAGCTATCTTGAGAGCTATTTTACATAAAGCTGAATGGCTTTTGAATAGCCTGTCAGTAGCTCACTTTGGACTCAGCAAAATAAGGAATGGCAGAGTAAGATTATCGGGAACGGGATTGAACCCTTGAGCATCAGATGCTGAGCCACAGATGCTGAGCCACAGATGCTGAGCCACAGATGCTGAGCCACAGATGCTGAGCCACAGATGCTGAGCCATCCGGTATCTATTTGCGAGAGAAAAAAGAGAGAATACAAGGGGGAAGCGAGAAGAAAGACAAGAAAAACTCTGGTAAGATTTTTAAGCTTTTCGATAATGCAAGGATTAATTTAGAAAGAAATTCAATCCTTCAAAATTCTTATTTTTTTTGATAACTCACTTTGTCGGTGCTCCTTGTGTGATCTCTTTCTCAGATTCGAGCAATTTCGCCTCCAAATCGTTAATCTTTTTCTGCAAACGAAGCACCGATGTCCATTTTTTCTCGAGAAGTCCCGAATGCTTCGGATCGATCTCGTCTGGCTAAACGAATATTTAATTTCTATCTAATTTTTTTCTTTCTTACAACACTCGCTTCTTCTTTGAACTTTGCAAACGTCTCCGAATAGCCATACGATTTTAAATAATCACCAATAGCTCGATTGCTAAACAATTACCGTAAATACTGTAATAGTACCCCACCGCCCTCGTACAGTCGCGTAGTCGCAAAAGTTTTTTAGTATTTCATTTTTTTCAAAGCGCCCGTACTTTCAAAAAATGCGTCTTTGGTATCAAAAAATAGCTGAAGTTCAGGGCTATTTTTTTGATACCTAAGCGCGCATTGTAGCATCAACCAGTGTCGAGAAAGACTCGTTCAAAGCTAGACTACGCAACAGTCCGCACCGTCATTATGGGGGTGGGGTACTATTACAGTATTTACGGTAATAACAAAACCAAATAAAAAAAAATGCGCTTACATATCTTCACGTTGTTTCTCCGAAAGATTCATTTTCATCTCGAAATCGTTGTCCTCGATTTAATGTAATTTTTGTTGAAAAAACGAATAGAACTAAAACTTTTTTAGAACTTTTTAAAGATTTGCCAAAAGGAAAACAATTAATTAAGCAAAGGAGAAGAAGAAGAAAGTTAAGAATTTTGCGGTTAAAATATTTGCTCAATCGAAGCTTCTTGTCAAGCCCAAAGCTTCTTGTCATGTCATTGAGAAGAAAGAAAGAGAATAAATTTCACATAAAAGTAAGAAGAGGTGAATGTTTTGAAAAAGATCGAATGGAAGAGGGCATTGATGAGCGAGCAGAGCGGACCCAATCCGTCCGTATGGCGACTCTGCTCGTCTCTTCTTCATTTCTTTCTTCTCATCTCTGCTCAAACACGCACGCACATACCGTATCCTAAAAAAGAGCAACAAATAGACAACAACACAACACTAGAAGTTTGAGAGTTATTGCGATAAGGATTGCAAGATCAAAAATCTTCCATAAATAGTAATGAATTGTTTATAAAACATTACTTGAGATCTAAAAATCTTGTACTTTTGAAATTACTTGAGAAAAAAGATATTAAAATTCATTTTAGCAACTATTTAGCATTATTTTAGTAACTATTTAGCATTATTTTAGTAACTATTAGGTGTGTGAAAAAGAAATCGACGTTTTTAACGTTTAAATATAAAGGACCATAAGTTTCGTTAAAATAATTTTTATTCAACGAAGTAATCACCATTCGAAAGAACAACCTTTTGCCAACGTTCTACAAGTAAAGATATTCCACGATAATAAAAATCTTGGTCCTTAGAGGCGAAGAAAAGATCAACCTCGGTTTTGACTTCTTCTTCGGAATTGAACCGTTTATTGGCCAAAAAGTTAGACAGAGACAAAAATAAATAATAATCAGATGGAGAAAGGTCTGGACTATAAGGTGGATGTGGAAAATCTCCCATCTAACACTCTGGATCTTTTGTCGAGTCTGTAAAGAGACATGTGGTCGCGCGCCATCGTTCATGCGGTATCCATTTATCAAACTTTTTGATAAAATTCATGGCATCCAAGCGTTTCCTTACGGTTGACCCATCACAATTTAATGTAAGGCCTATTTCTGAAGAAGTTAAACGAGGGTTTTCGAGAAAACAGCGTCTTATTTGGTCATCAGAACAGGTCTCAGGGCGACCGCCACGTGGTTCATCTTCTAGGCTTTCATCACCACCTTTGAATCGTCGGAACCAAAACCTAGCGGCACCATCAATAACGGCGTCTTCGCCAAACGCATTCCGAATTCGACGCGCAGCCTCCGCAGCTTTCAACCCATTTTTGAACTCATAAAGCAAATTTGACCGAATAACGATACTTGTATATACCATTTTCAAACTAAAATGAAAGTAGTTTATTGTCATCCTTTTAACAAAATAAATATATCATTCGAAAGAGGAAAAAAAAAGAAGCTTTTAAACGATATATATGTTGTGTCCGATTTAGATTTCCGTCCGATTTAGATTCAATCTAAATCGGACGTCCGATTTAGATTGAACTTATCGCGGACGTCCGATTTAGATTACAGTCTATATCGGACGTCCGATTTAGATTCAATCTAAATCTTATATAGATTGAACAATAATATAAACATGTTTAGTATATGTTCTTAAGCGTTTTCTGTAGTTTTCTGCATTTTCAAAGGTCTTTTATTGATTATTTCATAGTTGGGTTTTCTTTTCAGAAAAAGACAATAACAGGGACAAAGGACAAACTACAGACAGACAATACAATATCAAAGGACAAACTACAGAAAACGCTTAAGAACATATACTAAACATGTTTATATTATTGTTCAATCTATATAAGACGTCCGATTTAGATTCAATCTAAATCGGACGTCCGATATAGACTGTAATCTAAATCGGACGTCCGCGATAAGTTCAATCTAAATCGGACGGAAATCTAAATCGGACACAACATATATATCTTTAACAAAAAATTAAAAATTGTTTAGATATATTTATTTAAACAAAATAAAAATAAAAAACGTCGATTACTTTTTCACACACCTAATATTTAGCATAAGAAATTCAACAAATTTCTCTTTTAGACTTTAAAAATGTAAAAAAATTCATGTATTACATAATTCATTTATCCTTTTAACAATGTAAATTTGATAAATTAAAGAAACTAAAGACAAATGACTCAAAAAATAGCACAGATCTGTGACCAATAAATGATAAATTGGGTTAAGCGTTTTGAAAAGGCGTGAAAATCGAGATGAGTGCTTTGAATGCGGAAAAGAGGCTTAGTCTACACCACTTCTCTTTTATAAAATCTCTTCATAACGGGCAAAAAAAAAGCCACTAACAAGAGGAATTGTAAGAAGAATCGACACAGACACAGAAGCTGTTTGGGTGTAAGAAGAATCAACACAGATACAGAAGCTATTTGGGTGTAAGAAGAATCAACACAGATACAGAAGCTGTTTGGGTGTAAGAAGAACCGACACAGACACAGAAGCTGTTTCGGTGTTCTCTTTTCATAAACATTTGCTTTTCAGCCTCTCTATGGATATTTTGGAAGCCGAGAGGAATTAGACGACTCACATGCGGGAGAATTATTGAGAAATTATTGAGAATTGGAGAACACCCAAACAAGGGCATCATTCCCTTTAAAATTGAGCTCGACCTTCTGAAATTTCTCTTTTCGATATCCGTTTCCTATTTAATTGATCTTATAGCTTTTCCCTTTTTCTCATTCTTCCCCTTTTCCTCCTCCTCACCGATAACTACTTTATCCAATTATCGGAAAGACAAATTTTCATTTCCATTTAATCTTTTATCTCTATTTTCACCGATTTTTATTATCATTTTAGCTCAATTATCACCTATTTTATGATAAATTTCTTTAATATTTGAGAACACTATTATTCAGTAAGAGAATAAAAAGTGAATATCGATGGCACTTCGACCTTATTCGCTAGATCTTTTTCTGAAGAATTTGAAGAATTTTTGAAGTGGATTGTCTCATTTACACTTGAGCCGATTCCTTTGATGAGGCGATAAGGATATGGATGAAATCTTGGCAATCTTGGCAATCCCATTTCAAATCCTCTCACTTCCCCTTAAATGGTTTTGAAAGTTTTGATTTTTATGATTCTCAGCTATTTCTTTTCGTCAGATTCTTTTTTCTTTACTTTTTTTTTCCCTTTTTTCGGTGAAGATTCTCCTTTTTCTCACTGCTTTCAAGTGTAACTTAATTTCAGCTGAGTGTTGACGATGAACAAAGATTTTTTTGCGTTGATACTTCAAAAAATTCACGTCTCATGTGAGCTAGAAAAAAAAAAGGCATTAAGTTCATTTTTATCAGTTCAGTTTTACAGTTAAAGTTGAATAAAAGAGATTTAAGAAAAGTGTTTTTGTTTTACTTCAAATGAGACAAGGGAGGGGAATTTTCTCTAAGAGAACCGATTAAATGAATTATTCGATAGGATGGGGTGGTAGGGAAACGGTGAAGCGACGGGAGATCCCTTTCCCTATCATTGCCCCATTCCTTTTCCTGTTCTCTCTACTCCCCGTGGCCATCTTTTACCCAATCCACATTCCCTTCCCCTTCTTTTTCTGCCTTTTAACATCTACATGCTGGTTATAGCTAGTGCCAGATTTTGTTAGTCAAATCTTTGTACATCTCACATGATGTAGGTCTCAAATGCTGTACATGATGTACACATGATGTACATGATGTACACATGATGTACATGATGTACACATGATGTACATGATGTACACATGATGTACATGATGTACACATGATGTACATGATGTACACATGATGTACATGATGTACACATGATGTACATGATGTACATCATGATGTACATCATGTACATCATGATGTACATGATGTACATCATGATGTACATCATGTACACATGATGTACATCATGCACACATGCTGTACATGATGTACACAATTTGATCTACATCTCACGTGTACATCATGTGTACATGTGTCATGTGTACATCATGTGTACATCATGTACATCATGTGTACATCATGTACATCATGTGTACATCATGTACATCATGTACACGTGAGATGTAGATCAAATTTAATATGTTAATTACATGGATATACATGGTAGTATCTTGTGTATATGTTAATGTCTATGCTTTTCTTGCATTCATTCATTTCATTTCATTTCGAGCAAGTTTTTATACTTGTTTATACTTTTTTAACATCAATAGCTTTCACATGAAGCCTTTCACTTGCCCGATTTTTCCTTTTCTTTATCTTCTTACTTGAATCGTCAATGAAAACGGGAGTTAAAAAAACTCAGAAAAAAGAACTGCGAGCACATTTTTGCGACCTTCTCAATCCATTTATGCGATCCATGGTTCACTTTTCAAATGCCGAAAAGATTCGGGAACCTTGAATACACTTGTTTTCCACTTTTTTTCTTCACAAATTTCACATAAATGACTGAAATCTGTAGCTAGAGCTTTGTTCTCACGTTTTCTTCACTTCTTTCTCATCACACGCAAAGCTTTAATTTTTGGCCATCCAATTACCGATTCCCTCGTGGATTTAAAACTCTTTAAAACGTCTAGTCTTTTTCCGCTTTTTGCAAGGTAAATTTTTTTTGATCGAAAATTGTGTACTGTTATTTTTCTCGTTTTTAATTTTTATTGATAATATTTTCTTTATTTCAATTTTCTATTTCAATTTGAAGTTTCTTGTTTCAAGCCTTTAATCTCCAAGCCTTTAATCTTCAAGCCTTTAATCTTCAAGCCTTTAACCTTCAAGCCTTTAATCTTCAAGCCTTTAATCTTCAAGCCTTTAATCTTCAAGCCTTTAATCTTCAAGCCTTTAATCTTCAAGCCTTTAATCTCCAAGCCTTGTGTTTTACAAAAAGAAATTGAAAAAGTTGCATTTTTGTTGAATTAAATTCATGTGATACACCTTGGATGCTTTGTTGAGAAGAGAGAAAAGGAAAGAGTAACGAAATTTCGTTTGTTCTTTTATCTAGAAAGAGTTTCTGAAGCAGCTACTGATTGAAACCACTTTCTATTCCCTTTCATCTCAGATTCCGATTCTAGGTTGCATTTTTTTCTACGACAATATCTTTAATATCTTTATATATTTAAGAAGCTTTTCTTTACATCTTTTAGATTGATTTTATCGACAGTACTTTGATTAAATTTCTTTGATTAAATGCTTCTTCTGTCCTTAAGAAGTCCTTAAAAAGGAAATGGTTTAATAGCTTAAAATCTAATAGCTTAAAATCTTATTTCAAAGCCAAAAAACTTTATTTTATCATTACAAAAATAATATTAGTACCTATTTGCCTGTCGGCTATGTTTAGTTAGAAGTAATTATTGGTGTGCTGAGTTTATGCTCAGCAATTTCCTTTCCATAAACACCATCTGTTTATGGCTGTTCAACTCCTTTTTCCCCTCACATTTCTTTTTCCATTTCTCTACCTCATTTGCAAACTTTTATGAATCGAGAAAAACATTGGAGTTGTCTAAAAGTTTTGAAAAGAGTTTTCCAAAAAAAAAAAAAACGTAAAACATAAACTAACTTGCGAAAGATAGAAGTGATTCAAAAGATTTATTTCATTTTTTTCAAAACCTTTTATTACAGACGATCTAAACTTCTAATTTCAGTAGTATTCATTAAAATGAATAGCTTTAAACTTACAGTACACCCCCCCCCATAAGACGGTGACTGTCCCCGCACGCTTACCTCCAACCCTCGGGCCCTTTTTTTGTCCCCACCCCCCCTTTCTCTGAACGCCTGTCGAACTAAAAAAAAAAAAAAAAAACTCTCACCCCCCCCCCCCCCCGCGGGGGGGGGCGGGCCCTCTCTACAGTTTTTACAGTCCCTATTTTTAAAATTAAGCTGTTTATCTAGCAAGAACAAGAGCAATGCTTATCTATCTATCTAGCAATTGAATTTCCAAATCGCTTTCCAATCTCAATCTAACTACAAAATCTATGCTATTTTCAGAGCTGACCCTTTGAATCCGTTGCAATAAATGAAACAAATAAATCCGTGATCGAAAATGGGGAAAAATAAATGAGACTCAAGAATTGGGAAGAAAAAAAATGGGGTAAGAAGGAAAGAATTGTCTAATGAGATTCTTTGAGATTTATAGGAGAAATTCTTAAAATAAAAATGCATAGATTGGATAAAAAAAATTGTAAACGATCTTTGTGCAATGATGATGATCATCATCGCACAAAGATCGTTTACAATTTTTTATCATTTCCATTGTCATTTCCATATCCTATTGTCATTTCCATCAAATTTCATCATTTTCTTTTCACTAGGATATACCGAATTTTCGGCATAAACAAGTGCTAAATGATAAGAAGTGAAAAAAAAAGGTGAACTTAATGTTAAAATTTCAAGACTAATATCAAAAGCAGGAGAAAAAAACAAAACTCAGAATTGATGGTTGAAGTTTTTTCGAGATGAGAGAGATGAGAGAGATTGCAATAGTCGTGAAATTTTCCGCTTCATCTATCACCTCCCATTTTTCCCTTCATACCCTATATTTCCTTGTTGTTTCTCTTCTCAAATAAAATATTTGTATTCTTTTTTTTGAAGAGAATTCTCTTTTTCTCTCTCTTTTTGAAGAGAATTCTTTTTTTCTTTCTTCTTTCAAGTTTCTTAAAACCTAGCACCTAGAACTTTCTTCAAAGCCAGCAAGACTAACCTTCAATAAAACTTGATCTTATTCTGGCTATGGTTTGAATAAAGAATTATTGAATAACGATGTTACTACTTACCGTAAATACTGTAATAGTACCCCGGCTCCCATAACGACGGCGAGGAGCATTGCGTAGTCTAGCTTTGAACGAGTTTTTCTCGACACTGGTTTATGCTACAATGCTCGCTTAGGTATCAAAAAATAGCCCTGAATTTCAGCTATTTTTTGATACCAAAGACGCATTTTTTGAAAGTACGGGCGCTTTGAAAAAAACGAAATACTAAAAAACTTTTGCAACTACGCGACTGTACGAGGGGGCTGGGGTACTATTACAGTATTTACGGTATTTTGATTCTTTCAACGAATTCCACCAAATCTTTTGATTCTTTTGATTCTCCCATCGAAAACGTCTTAAATGAAATTGTTTACACTGACGATTACCATTGTCTTACAACAGTCATAAGTCTTACTAGTCATAGTCATAGTCATAGTCTACAGTCTTACTACATAGCACAGTAACCATCGTATTCATTTCAATTCGAAATTTCAACGCAAAAGAAATAAATAATTTTTTATAATGGCAACAGATTAGACAAAAAAAAATTTGTCCCTAAAGAGAGCATATCGCAGTTTTTTTCAGAAAAAAAAGCTCGAATTGAGCCAATTTTTTTTGCTGCTTCCCTGCCTCAAAAAAAGGGTAGCCACGGTGAGAACATTGCATTGAATTAACAATTTCTTAAGACACAAAAAGAAATCACTTTTCCGGCTTTATTTTAGAAGAAGAAAAGAGAAAGCCATAAATAAATCATGCTTTATTTATTGAATTCTCTTTTCCTCACCCCTTACGTCATCATTGGTGTATGTTTCTCCATTTTCTCTTGAGAGCTTATTTTTTTTGTTTTTTTGTTTTCTGTAATATATCTTCATAAATTTTTTATTTTTGATTTATTTTTAGAAAGATTTCTAGATGAAGTGATTCGTTGTTGACAGGCTATCGATGATGATGGAGAACGAAGTGAAATGTAGTCTGTGAGTTGAAAATTTCAAATTTTTGTTTGAAATCTGATGTATTTTATATCTAAAGAAAGAGTAAGTAAAAGGAAAAGTTATATCTAAAAAAGAGTAAGTAAAGGCTAAAGTTATATCTAAAGAAAGAGTAAGTAAAGGCTAAAGTTATATCTAAAGATAGAGTAAGTAAAAGTAAAGGTTATAACTAAAGAAAGAGTAAGTAAAGGCTAAAGCTTATATCTAAAGATAGAGTAAGTAAAAGGAAAAGTTATATTTAAAAAAGAGTAAGTAAAAGGCTAAAGTTATATCTAAAGAAAGAGTAAGTAAAAGTAAAAGGTTATATCTAAAAAAAGAGTAAGTAAAGGTTAAAGTTCTATCCAAAGAAAGAGTAATCATTGAAAAACATTGAAAGCTTTAGAATCTTCGAACCAGTGGTGATGAAGTTAGTGGCTGAGGGATGGAATTGTTCACTATGGAAACAAAGGTTAGCAAAAAGCAATATACAATATTTATTACTCTATCATACTTTATTATATTTAACAATAATAATAACAAAAAAATAACAACAAAACAACAACATTGTTTTTTAAAAGTTTCAAATTTGAATTCCTTATTGAAACAGAAAATATTTGGGCAAGTTTGGGTAAAGGCTTTGGAAAAGAAAAGCCCCAGAAAAGATCTCGAGCTATGAAAGCTTTGGAAAAGAAAAGCCCCAGAAAAGATCTCGAGCTATGAAAGCTTTGAAAAAGAAAAGCCCCAGAAAAGATCTCGAGCTATGAAAGCTTTGAAAAGAAAAGCCCCAGAAAAGATCTCGAGCTATGAAAGCTTTGAAAAGAAAAGCCCCAGAAAAGATCTCGAGCTATGAAAGCTTTGGAAAAGAAAAGCCCCAGAAAAGATCTCGAGCTATGAAAGCTTTGAAAAAGAAAAGCCCCAGAAAAGATCTCGAGCTATGAAAACAACGTCTCCTTTAAAACTTCTTTCCACTTCTTTCCACTTCTTTCCAATTTGAAGAGTGTTGGAAGTTTTTAATGAATCTTTTTCAAAATCATCTTCCAAAGAAAAACATTGAAATAGGAAAAAGAAAAAAAGAAAAGAAATATGAATGAAATGATCGCTTCTCAATATCCACTTTTTACGCATATTTGCGCAAGTTTGGGGTAAAAGCTTTGGAAAAGAAAAGCTGGGTAAAAGCCCCAGAAAAGATCTCGAGCTATGAAAACAACGTCTCCTTTAAAATTTCTTTTCACTTCTTTCCACTTCTTTCCACTTTTTTCCACTTATTTACTGGAATCTTTCAATTTCAATTTTACATCTAGCTTTTAAGCTTCTTTTTTTAGCTGTACTTTTTAGCTGTGTTTTAGCCAATCTTTTAACTAATCCCTTTTTCCATTTTGATCATTTTGAGTGCAGTTCTTTAGCGGACAAAAAAAAAAACGGAATGCTCTTAGAAAGACTACAAAGCTGTATAGCTTGTTTGTGCTTTCCCCAATAATTAAACGCTTTTTTTCCAATCAAAAGCTCAGGGTCGAATACACAAATATTTCCTCGAATTGGACACATAATTTGGTGAGAGATCAGAGCTTTCGGTTCTTTTTTCTCTCCAACATATAGCCTACAACCAAAAAAAAAACTCAACGAAAATTGGCGCCTTTGTTGAAGAAATCACACCTTTCTCCCTCAGGAATTTCAGGAATTTCAGTCATTTCTTTTTTTTTTTTTTTTTTTTTGCTTTGTTGAATGAGTTCTTAAAACAATAAGAATCTTAAGGATATAAGATTTTTAAAAACAACATTTAAAACCAACATTTAAAAACAACAAATTCTACGATCTTTTGTATCTTATAATATTGGGTTGGTGAATCGAAAAATGCCGGACTTTGAACTAAAAAAAGATACTTTATTCAACATGAATAAGTGGATACAACACAACGGAGGACACAATTTTTACCCCTACAATGTAGTTAAGAAAAAACCCAACTTAATGGGAAAAAGAACACACACTTGATTTCGCCAGCGGGATCGAACCCTGGATCTTCCGATTAGGAGAGAAGATTCCTAACCAGTCGGCCAACTGGTCTAGAACTAAAATTCAACATAAAATCATCAATTCATTCCAAATAATTTCCATTATTATTGACGACTTGTGCCCATTTTACAGGCAATTTGCGGATTCCTCTTTCGTAGTAGGATTTTGGTTTGTGTTTGAGACAAGTGTGAGACTCAAAAATGGAGGACTGGAGATGTCCCAGTTTGAGCACTTTCTTCAAAAGAAACCAACTTTGGTGTTAATAGAAAAGTTGTAGAGAATCAAAAATGAGGTTTATAGCCAAATTTCCAAAAAGATACACTTAGTAGTTTCGCTTAAAATGCAAGTTTTGTGAAAGTTGCGTAAATTTGGCATTTCTTGAAAACCAGTTTTTGAATCGTTCTGAAAATTTGGATATAAGCTTGATTTTTGATTCTCTACAACTTTTCCATTGACACCAAAATGGGTTTCTTTTGAAGAAAGTCCTCAAACTGTCACATATGATAATAGCCGGCAGTTTTCAATTCACGAACCCAATAAATAAGAAAAGTTTTGAAAAAGGTTTAACATAAAAGTTACAAAAAATCTTCTTATCTATCAAAAAGTCTGTAGATTATCTCTTTAGTTCTTTATTTCTTTAGTTCTTTACCTAGCTTCAATTTTGTTAGAAACATTTTGAAAGATAACTTTTAAAGAAAGAAAGCTAAAAAAGGCGGCCAAAGATGACGAGATCTATTAGAGAAAGTGTCGATTCCTGAAGAATGAAAATCTGTCATTCGCACACATTTTCAAAAAATGGCAATCACACAAGGGTTTCGCTTGATCTTTTCTCAAAAAAACACATTCTTTAAACTCATCGACCATCTTCAATTAATGTCCTAATCGACCTATTTTATTCAAAAAAAAGAGAATGTCTTCCAATTCACGAATTTCCATTGATCTTGGCCATCGGGTGATCAGTTTCACTCGATCCCAATTGAAGTGAGTTCATCAATAACAACTTTTTCTTTTGTTAAAGCACATTTCAACGATTACTTTGCAAACAGTTCTCAAAAATAGTAATTAGAGGTGAAAAAGTGCGTCAAACAGCTTCAAAACAGGCAATTATCTTTCTCAATTAGTTTTTGTAAGCGGAAAAGCTCAATCATTTTGGTTAGCTGCTTTTAGCTTTTGATAAATAATAGCTATACTTAAAGCCATAAATAATAGCCACACTTTTCAAAACATAAAAGTTCATTTGTTTTAGAAATTTAGAAATTTAGAAATTTAGACATTTTTGAGGTTCATAGACGAGCATCAAGTTCACTACGTTGTTTTAAACAAAAAACAACTCACCTTTTTTTTCACAGACGAGCATCAAGTTCACTAACTTATTTTAAACAAAAAACAACTCACCTTTTTGTTATATATTTTTGAGTAAGTGATGTTGTAAGGGTTTGAAGAGAGTTTGAAGAGTGTCCCTTAGCACTCAGTCATTCGAAACCGGAAACTCCAAAGCGCCTAGCAACTTGTTTTTCAAGACTTTTAAGATCTGTCGAGCTTGAAAGTACGACTCGGTGTGAGGCGTGGGCAATCAATCCGTTCCCCCTCTTTCCTTTTTGTCTTTTCCTTTTGATCATCTCCTATGAAGTGTGGAATCATGAAAACGCAATTACCCGCCTCGCTTCTTTTCCGATCTTGTCCACATCTCATTTTTTTTTCTTTTCCAAATTACACCTCTTCCTCTTCTCTATGATAATAATTATTAAAGACGATCTTTTCAAATACTCCCCCGTTTTTTTTGCTTCCGCTAAAAAACTTTATTTTTGAGAAAAACTCATTGCTTATCTGTTACACTTTATTAGATCTTGAGTTTCAAGTACAATGCAACATTTTGCGACTTTCTGTCTAACAGCTCGAGCTCCGACTAAGAAAGGTTGGAGTTTGGGCTGTTAGACTGAAAATTCGGAAATCCTGGCTACAACAGACATTTTCTTTCAAAAAAAAAAAAACAAACTCTTTTGTTTCAGAATGGTAGCCGAGAATTTCACCCAAGACGAGCTGGGGGTGATCGGCGAGTATTTGTGCAATCATCGAAATTTGACCGAAGATGACGATCTCTATTGTGCCGTTGATGAGAGCAGCTATTCATTGTAAGAAAAAGAAAATAAATCGAAAAAGACTTGAACGTGAATACCGTAAATGCTGTTATAGAGCGATCGCCCTATAAGAGCGTCGTGTAGTCTAAGTTTACTCTCAAATGGATGCTCATATGTCGGCGCCCAGACATTTGTTTCTGCGCACTTAGGTATTAAATTAAAGTAGAGAGGATGAGTGATTTTTTTTGAGATATAACACAGATTTTTAGCATTAACCAGCGCTTAGAACAAAATGATTGAAAAATGATGAAAAATCGGCTTTTTTGCCATTTTTGAACCATTTTTTCTAAGCGCTCGTTAATGCTAAAAATCTGTGTTACCGTATTTCTTCGAATAGAAGACCGGGTAAAGAGTATCATCGCGTACTCCTGCGTAGCAGCCCTTTTTAAAATTTCTTTTCTGCATAAAAGCTTTCAATGAAGTGCTATAGGGCTGGAAAATGACTCAAAAATACCACATTTTTTTTGAGATTTTTTTTTTTGATTTTTGAGTCATTTTCCAGCCCTATAGCACTTCATTGAAAGCTTTTATGCAGAAAAGAAATTTTAAAAAGGGCTGCTACGCAGGAGTACGCGATGATACTCTTTACCCGGTCTTCTATTCGAAGAAATACGGTATATCTCAAAAAATCACTCATCCTCTTTACTTTAATTTGATACCTAAGTGCGCAGAAACGAATGTCTGGGCGCCGATATATGAGTGTTTGTTTGAGTGTAAACTTAGACTACGCGACGCTCCTATAGGGGGCTTCTATTCAAGTATTCATCGTATATTTCCGCTTTTTTTTTAAAAATCCCCATTTACAGAGCGTTTCAAGGGATTGTTTGGGCGGCGTTCATTCTGTTGATTCTGGCGGCAGTGGTAGGCAATGTTTGCGTGATGTGGATTATCTATTCGCACAAGGTAAGCATACATTTGATTGTTTATTGTTGAAAAAAAAAATCTTATCTTTAAGGTGATGCACCACGGGTTCAACTATTTTCTCTTCAATATGGCGCTTGCTGATTTGCTGATCGCTGTGTTCAACGTCGGTTCGTCGTGGAGCTTCAATTTGTATTATGATTGGTGGTTGGTTATTTAAATCGTTTTATTTAATTGACAATATGGGGTAGGCTAATTTCCGCAATTTTTTTTGCACAGCAGGGTCATTTACGCAACTCGCCATAACTTTCTTCTAACTCGGCCAATCTTTATGATTTTGATTTCATTTTGTTGCACTTATTGAGATCTACAAAATGAAACCAACATCATAAAGATTGGTTCACTTAGAAGAAAGTTATGGGGAGAGAGGGAAAACGACCCAGTTGCGCAAATGACTCTGTTGCGCAAATAAAATGGCGAAAATTAGCCTACCCCGACAATATATTAATGATATACAGTGATCAAAAAAAGTCTTGATACCTTGTGAAAAAGTTGCGGGGGTGGGACAAATGCGACCTTTTTTTTGCGCACCTGGACATTTGCGCACCTTTTTTTTGCTGGAAAAGGCCTTAGGAAGGGTCGTAGAGCTTCAAAAATGTTTTCATAGAAGGGAATCGTATGCGTAGAGACCGAATTTCGACAAATTAGACCTCGCTGACACGTCAAATTTGGGCTAAAAGGCAAAAACTATGCAACTTAACGCTTTTCCGCAGTTTTTGCCTTTTAGCCCAAATTTGACGTATCAGCGAGGTCTGATTTGTCGAAATTCGGAATCTACGCATACGATTCCCTTATGTGGAAGTATTTTCGAAGCTCTACGGCCTTGCCTAAGGCCTTTTCCAGCAAAAAAAAAAGGTGCGCAAATGTCCAGGTGCGCAAAAAAAAGGTCGCATTTGTCCCACCCCCAAAAGTTGCACTTATTGGAGTTGCAGTTGCACTTTCTTGCCTAAAATGCAATATTGCGTAAAATTTTCGATCAAAATTAAGAAAACATAAGCTAAAGAAAATCATTATTTAAATTTTAGAAAAGGCATAACCTCCAGCAATTGCGTAAATCATAAGCAAAAAAAAATCTTGATTGGACATTTCCCATCCGTGACATTTCCCACCCGCGACATTTCCCACCCATTTTTGCTATACATTTTTTGATACTTTTTTTAGTACAACATTTCCAACTTTGATATTTTACATGTTTACACCGTTTAGTTTTATACATAGTTTTTAAAATTTATTAACTTTTAACAAAAAAAAAAAAGATAATAAAAAAACTAATCGTGTGGACTAACAAAATGTGCTAAATTGTCCAAGAATTCACAAAAATCTGCATCAGAAATAGAATCTACTTCTTCAAATTTCTTCTTTTCTTTTGCAATTTTATAGTGAATGATCTCCGTCTTTCTTTGAAAGCTCTTTTTTGTGCTTGTATATGTAGCTACTCGAAAACCTTTGATGGTTTTTAGACACAGGAGGCTCCGTTTGGAATTCGCCCACACCTACCAAAATTGGTCGATCGATGACTGGAAACGTGTCTTGTGGAATGATGAAACTAAGTTCAATTTGTTCAACAGTAATGGCAACTACAGCATCAAGAAACCCACTGGAACACGATACAACTTGAAATACATTTGCCAGACTGTCAAATACAATGGGGGATACAGTGTTGGGGCTGTATTTCTTCAAACTCACTCGGACCTCTAGTGCTCATAGATGAAATCATGAACAGTGTGAAATATCGGGATATGATGCAAAACGATATGCTTGTTTACGCAAATGTAGCAATGAGTTCAAAGTGGCTGTACCAGCAGGATGGGGGATCCAAAAAATACAAGTTAATTAATGTTGAAACGAAAACTGAAGATCGGAGTTTTCGTGAGATTGCTTGACTGGTTTCGGCTCAATAACGTCAATTTGCTGCGAACACCACTCTATACGCTGGATTGTAGCCCTGTTGAACATTTATGGGCTCATGTGATGGGACATTTATGGGACATTTATGAACATTTATGGGCTCAAACGAAAGTCCCGAGGATTCGGAATTTTGCGTCAAAAAAAGGAGCTTTTGGATGAGGTTTAGGACATTTGGAGCTTCATTTCACAATGAACCACGGAAAAATTGATCGCAACTATGCTAAGTCGACTTCAGAAGATTATAAAAGCTAAAAGAGGCTCAACATGATACTGAATTTTGTTAGAGCAGTTTTTGAAAGCTTTTGAAAGCTTTTGAAAAGGTATCAAGACTTTTTTTGACCATTGTTTCTTATTTTCTAATAGTAATTTTACTTTTCTTCAGGTACGGGAACTTTTGTACGGTCAATCAATTCTTTGGGGTAGCGCCCACTTGCGTGAGTGTCTTCTCAATGATGGCTCTTAGTTGGGACAGGTAAAATTTTAGCAATAAAATCTCAGCTTAACATTATGAAAAAATTAACAAAACTTTTACAAGTATTATTCTATTATAAACGAGCGAACCTTTTCCTGTGTGTGTGTAAGCCATTTCATGTATCCGCATGTATCCGGCCTTTTCATATAAACCTCTGTTCCGGAGTTTTAGAAAAAAAGGGCGAACCAACGAGAAAATTTGACTAATATATCCAAAATTTGATGTATTTTCCAAAAAACTACCGTAAATACTGTAATAGTACCCCACCCCCATAATGACGGTGCGGAGCGTTACGTAGTCTAGCTTTGAATGAGTTTTTCTCGACACTGGTTTATGCTACAATGCGCGCTTAGGTATCAAAAAATAGCTGAAATTCAGGGCTATTTTTTGATACCAAAGACACATTTTTTGAAAGTACGGGGGCTTTGAAAAAAACGAAATACTAAAAAACTTTTGCGACTACGCGACTGTACGAGGGGGGTGGGGTACTATTACAGTATTTACGGTAATTAGTTTTATGGATTAGACGGGCGATTTTTTGTAAAAACGCGGCTTCTCGATTTCCCGGGGCCAAAGTGATCGTGGCCAAGTGGTCTAAGGCGCTGTCTGTCAGTCTGGTGCCAAAGAAGGGGGTTCTTGGTTTGACCCCTCTGCAAAGCTCAAGTCTTTTTTGAACGTTTTTCAACAACAGGAATTGTAATTAATACTTTAAATTAAACATTTCGATTGTAAAAATAGATTAAAACCAAACTTCGTTAAGCAACGATCGACTCGTAATTTTTAAAAGAGTTTCTGATTTATTTTGTTAAACTTCGAATTTATTTTGTTAAACTTAGCCGCTCGTTTTCATTAAATCTATCAAAAATTAAAATTCCCAGTATGAAAACGGACAAATTTCTCTTTTTTGCTTTTTTTTCGATAATGATTTGAAGGCTGGTATTAATTGTAAATCCAGGTGCCAAGCCGTGGTGAATCCTCTCCGAAAAAGGCCACTCTCTACAAAACGTACCGTCATAACCATTTTGTGTATGTTTACGAAACTGCTTTACCTATTATTACATGAATTTTATTCTTTTTTTTTCAGTTATCTGGTTGATTTCCTCGTTATTGGCCCTTCCAATAACCCTTTCTGCAACAGTGATTTCGGTGCCGGTTTTCTACATGAAACCGCGAAAGGTTTTTCACGAAAGTTGATTAGAAAGCTTTTCACAAAGATTTCTAGATGTCATTTCGTCGAATTTGTCACGCTGATTATCCTGTGGCGCCAATTAACATTCTTGGAGCATCGATTGAAAATCCGTAAATCATTTGAGCATACTTTAGCAAAACTTTTGATGTTCTTCCTTGAAAAAGCCGGAAAAAAAACACTTTTGACTTATCTAATTAGCTAAATAACTTAAATTTTAAGCGAATTACTGGATAAATAAAGATATTCAGTTGTTAAGAAATAGTTTCTAATGATGGTTATCGAAAATTGATAAAATATACATAAAAAATGATCGGGAATAACGGGGAAAATGCTCAAAATAGAATCATAGTTTTCTCTTATTCAACAAATTTTTTTTTAGCTACGAGAACGCGTTGTTCATCGTGCAATATGCAATCCCATTATGCCTCCTTTCGTTCACTTTTGCTCGAATCGCTCTCGCATTTCGACGGTTTGAGAAAAACGAATGAATTGTTCAAAGTTTTTTTTTTTTTTGTTTTTAGCTCTGACAACACAGTGGCTACACAAAATTCAAAAAGAAGCGATCAGATCAAAGCAAAAAGCAAAGTGATTTAATATGAAATTATCGAAAAAATGAAAGAGATTAGGCTGTGAAAATGCTTGCATTAATGGTGGCAACCTTCATGATTTGTTGGGCACCTTACCATTTCTATCACACATTTTTATCGCTCAACATTTTCTCCGAGGATTTAAGGGTTTGTCTGAGATTCCTATAAAATATTATATTACGCTTTTTCAATCAATATCTTTTAGAATTTCTTCCACGCTAGCTATGTTGGAGTGTATTGGTTGGCGATGAGCAGTTGTGCCTATAATCCGATTATTTATTGCTATGCGAATGCAAGGTTTGCAAGAAGAATTACTTAAAGACCTATTTTCTTATCTATTGGGAGTGGGACAAATGCGAACTTTTTTTTTGCGCACCCGGACATTTGCGCACCTTGCCCATTAGCGCACCTTTTTTCGCGTTTTAAAAAAGCTCTAAAAAGCTAATATTAACCAATTTCTATTCCAAAAGTTATTTTTCTAGGTAATTTTAGGGCGTAGAATCGAAATTTTGACATATCAGAGCTTGTGGAAGCGAACGGACGGAGTTATACAAAGAGAAAAATCAACAATTTTCTGTAATTTGACCTAGCCGTTTTGTCTTTCACGGTTTCATGGTGGTTCCACAAGCTCTGATATGTCAAACTTTGAATTCGACACCCTCAAATTACCTAGAAAAACAACTTTTGGAATAGAAATTAGTTAATATTAGCTTTTTAGAGCTTTTTAAAACGCGAAAAAAGGTGCGCTAATGGGCTAAGTGCGGAAAAAAAGGTGCGCAAATGTCCGGGTGCGCAAAAAAAGGTCGCATTTGTCCCACTCCCTATCTATTTTGTTATTTAAGAGTTTTTATTATTCGAAATTTAAAGTGTTAAGAAAGATTTGCAGATTTCGAATCGGTTTTCGATACGCTTTTCGATGGTTGCCTTTCATTGATTTTCGTTCCGAAGAATACGAGTTGTCACAGCTTTTCCCTGAACGGCTCAGGTTTAATAAATTTATTGATTTATTTCTATAAATTCTATAAATTCTATAAAATCACCCTTTCAACCATTACTTCTAAATTTCTTTAGAAGCATGGCATTCAGTAAAATGGAGAAATCAAGTCGCAGCAAGAATAGCAATGGAATGACCGAGATGAATGTGAGTAGTCTTCTCTAAACTTTTCTTTTCTTTCTTTTCTTTCTTTTCTTTCTTTTCTTTCTTTTCTTTCTTTTCTTTCTTTTCTTTTCTTTTCTTTTCTTTTCTTGTCTTTCTTTTCGTTTCTTTCTTTTCTTTCTTTTCTTTTTTTCAATTCTTTCTTTTCTTTCTTTTTCTTTCTTTTCTTTCTTTTCTTTCTTTTCTTTCTTTTCTTTCTTTTCTTTCTTTTCTTTCTTTTCTTTCTTTTCTTTCTTTTCTTCTTCACCAGATCCTTCCAATCATTTTCTTAAAAAATCGCTCAGACAACGCTATCGTATTCTAATCTTTGAAATAACAAAAAAACTGCCCGAGTCTTTTTTTCCGAAGAATACTTTGCTTTAGCTGACTCTATGAAATTTTCTTTTAAACAAAACGTTGTCTACTTTGAACTAATGCTCAGAAATCTCAAAATTCTAGCGTCACGTCTACTATAATATCGTGCCTTATGCTCGATATCGACAATTAGATCGAACATCATTTCAGTAAGCTGATCAATCCGACATGTGTTTCCCCCACTCCAGAATTTGCCAAAAGAAAAAAGAAATGGCTTCAACAAAGCTATCACTTCACAAAAGCTTTTCAGCTTTTCAGCTTTCGATTTTGTCATTCTTGTTTTTATGGCTTTTTCTGCCTGATCGCCGTGACTCAAATCCCAAAATTTCTTTGCCATTTTCACCATGAGTTTTTCGCTTTTTCTCTTTTTCATTGTTGTGTTTGTTTGTTATAAAGTAAAGTAAGATTAAGTGAATAGAGGATTTTGCAGAATCGAAAACGATCTCGCCTGTGCATGCGATTGTTGACCCATGGTGGTGCGACGACAACCACAACATACACAAATCCCTCATCTCCTCATCTTGATCGACAACTCTCATCGCTTCTTCCCTATCGTATGCCTTAGCTTCTTCAATTCAATTTTTTAAAATAATCCTCTACGACTTTTAGTGAAAATGATGATGAAAATTTCCTTTTTTAGAAGACAAACCCTCTCCGCCGGATATTGTCCACTCTCTTCTATGCGACGGGGAAGAATTGGAGGAGGACGACAGTCCCAACGAAGACTCCCTCCAAAAAGAGGTCAGCAATGCTCAATAAAGCATTTAAAGTTTACAATCTGGTCCATAAAACTCAAACTATGCTACAAACAGCTTCAAGTTTGATTGACTGATTGACGAGTTTGACTTTTAAATATTCAAAGAAACTTAAAAATCTTTTTAAAACCTTTTTCCCTTAATTTTCTACTTTTTCTGCCTATTCAATCAATCATTGATTCTGTGCATCCTTTCTATTTAGCTTTAATTCAACTCCCCCTCCCTCAAGCCCTTATAGCTCAGTGGCAGAGCGTTGGTCTTGTAAACCAAAGGTCGACGGTTCGATCCCGTCTGGGGGCATTAATGTTTTTTTTTTGCAAAATGGCCCATTTCAAAAGCTGTTTTTTCAAATCAAACTTCTAGCACTCTCGACTGTTGAACGAATTCAATCGGTGAGACGTAAAGAACTCGAAGAGCGTCTGAAAGGGCAAAAACGTCACTCCTGTCAAAGTGGTGGCTTCTGATCAACGAAAGAATCCTTATAAAAGATTTTACTCTCAAAAAAAAAAAACACTTTTTCTTTTCATCTTTACTTTTAAATAGGTGCATTTTAGCAGTTTACGGGATAAAAGAAAAAGAAATTTTGGGGTGTATTTTTAAGTTATGCTACGAACGAAAAGCACAATCACAATGTAAAGTAGATGTTTTTTTTTCTTTGTTCTATCATTATTGTATCACATTTGTAACGGGTTTCTTTTTTTAAAGGTTTTCCTTTCTTTTTCTTTCTTTTTCTTTCTTTTTTTTCAATATCAATTCTTATTGTTTGTATATTTTTTTTTTGAAATGAATCATTTGAAATCAATGAAATTTTATTCAAAAGAATGAATTTGATTAAGGGAATTTTTTGCATAAAAACGAATAGATAATAGCTTGGATATTCGAATCTTTGACGGGTAGGCTAGTTTCCGCAAATTTCTTTGCGCAACTCGCCATAACTTTCTTCTAAGTGAACCAATCTTTATGATTTTGGTTTCATTTTGTAGATCTCAATAAGTGCAACAAAATGAAATCAAAATCATAAAGATTGGCCGACTCAGAAGAAAGTTATGGCGAGTTGCGCAAATGACCCAGTTGCGCAAAAAAATTTTGCGCAAAGTAGCCTACCCCATCATTGAGTAAAAAGAGAAAGGATGAGTACCGCTTGCTGAAAAAACCCGTTTATGATGAGACCGATGAGACGAAGAAAAGAACGTACTTGTCTATAACACGTAACGTACGTACACGTACGTAACGTACGTACACGTACGTAACGTACGTACACGTACGTAACGTACTATAACACATAACGTACTATAATACGTAACGTACTATAACACATAACGTACTATAACACGTAACGTACGTACACGTACGTAACGTACTATAACAATACACTCGAACTTCTCTATAACGACTACAGTTCGACATAATGATTTTGAAATTCGAAAAAAGTGTCCCTAATTTCTGCGTAGCTGCCCAATTAGATGCAATCGTTGCGCGCACAGGGCAGCTACGCAGAAAATGTGGGGCATGTTTTAGAATCGTTTTAGAATCGTTATATAGAGATTTTCGATTCCTTCAATATTTTTATAGAGGAGTTCGACTGTATCTGCAACTTATAGAATGACACTAAAACCTGATTTAGTCTATCTTATGGTATTTATCGTATCAATTTCAATAGAAAGAACGCTCGCTAACCTCGCTACCACATTCTTAGAATTCTTTTTCACCTCTTGGATAGGATGGGAGATGTTTTACTTAATAGATTAGACTTATTGTAAAACTTATTGTGATTTATAAAGTCAGATTTTAGTTTTGGATCTATAAAGCCAGTTTACTAGTTTACTAAAGCAAGAAAAAAAGCTTTTTAGAATAAAAACGGTGCTTTTTTTTTAAAAGAATAGCTTTTTTAAAAATAAGAACAGTGTATAAAAGACAAATATTTTTAAAAAAAGCTAATATTTTGATTAACAATCAGTTAAGTACATTGAATAGTTTTCTAGGTTTTATTTATTTTCATTAAATGTCATATTTTGGTGAAGAAATAGGGCAGGTTTTAGATTTACAAGAGTACTTTAAGTTGTAAGTTGTGAGTTGTGAGTTGTTTGTCGACGCAAAATGGAAAGCGGTAACAGTAGCCAAGTTTTAGAACATTTTCGAACTCAGTAACAGATGGTAAAAAACAAATTTCTTTTTTTTAAAAAATTATATAAGCTTTAGAGATTGCTAGCGATATTTTTGAGATAAGGCAATGAAAAGTCAGTAGGCACTTCGGTCACGCGAATTTCGGGCATTTGACGCTCTAAAAGTGAAATTTTCATAAACAAACGTCTATAAATTGTTACGATAACATATTCCAAAAATGTGTACAAATCTAAAGACACTTGTTTCCTCACCCACTTTTTACTGTTACCCTTTTCGCCTCGTAGCGGTGTCCACTCAGTTGTCCCGTACCCGTTCGGTGTCCCATTCACGTTATTGTTGCCCACTGTGTACTCTTCAGTCTAAATTTTTTGTTCTAACAAGTACTATAGTTCGAACAAGTACTATAGTTCGAACAAGTACTATAGTTCGAACAAGTACTATAGTTCTAACAAGTACTATAGTTCTAACATGTACTATAGTTCTAACAAGTACTTCAAACAAGTTTTTTGAAATCAAATCATGCCTTACTTACAGTTGTCGGGAGTACAAGTCGTGCCGTCGAGTCTCCAGAGCCTTTTTTCGATCTCGTCGACATAAACGGGCTCAATTTCGACGATCCATTCATATCCGATTGATCAATCACCGTCGTTACCTAGGATTTATTGTCTTAATTCTTTCTGGCTAAGTGTTTTTCTCTTTTTACTCAAAAAAATAGCCTACTTCTGAGCATTTCTAATTAAACACTTCGCTAAAAGTGTTCCATTTTTGAGCACTCTCTATCTTTTAGAAATAAGCTCAATCCTTACATCTTCCTCTATCGTATTCGCCTGCGTACTGGTGCTTTTTCGTTTCTAAAATGTTTCTAAAACTTGCTCAAAATTTTCCCAGCTTACCGTCCCGTTTTTCGTCTGAAAATTCGATGGTATAGTGCGCGAGCCTCTTCTCAATTCGGTGCTTGTCGTATGTTGTAATCGATATCTCGAGTAGAACGCTTTGATCACCGTATTCACCTAGAAAATCTCATTTATTTCTTTATTCTCATTTCATAGAGTTTCAGAAACGCTCAAGAATTGAAATTTTGAAGATGGTGAGCGAATGCTTGGATTAATAAAGTAAAAAAAAATGGCAAATAAAATTTCCGAAGGCGGGATTGATCCCTCGAGTACCCCGATTTTCTTGCCTTCCAGGCAGACGCTCTAGCCACTGAGCTATTCCTGCTCTCGTGAAAAGAGAAGAAAGAGGAAATAGAAGGAATAGAAGGAATAGAAGGAAAAGAAGCGTTTTTGGGCGGGCGCTCTAGCCACTGAGCTATTCCTCGACTCGTTAACAGCGAAGAAAGAGGAAATAGAAGGAATATATGGAAAAGAAGCAGCTCACCTCTCGATTGGTGAAGCAATAAATGATTGATATCATCAACCCTTGATACATGTACGTGAACGATGCACAATATGTCCATATTGCAAAAATCTGTTGTGTAAAGAGTAATTTGTTGTAGCTTTTGAACAAAAAAACAACCATAATATTATCCTTTGTTGGCGAGAAAGGGATCGTTTGCATGATATTCGGTATTCCCAATAAAGGAATCAACATCAGCGCCGCTTTCACGGATTTTCTAAAGGATAAATGTAATCTTAGCATTATTTAATCATTAATTTCATTCATAAACTTCTATGAAAGCTTTTTCACCTAATCGTTAACATTTTTTCTTGTACCTGATCAGCGCTAACATTTTTCTTGTACCTGATCAGCGCCAACATTTTTCTTGTACCTGATCAGCGCTAACTCGCTGGTGTTATGCGATTCGCCTCTCACTTTACTCCATAAAACGCGAATCACATTGAAAATGAAGAAACTATTGATCTAAAAATGTTTTTGAGTTTAAATATTAAGAAAACTAAATTTATCAAATGATACAAACCACAAGTTCAAGTAAACGAGGTCCATCTAAGATCCAGAATTCCGGTTCCAAATAGTACGAGCCCAAACATCGTTCCACCTAGATTAAAGAATACATTTCTTTACACAAATATTGTCGTACAAACAATACAAAAGCACATCCTTAAGTTCTAAATGTAATCTAAATCTAAATCCTTAAGTTCTAAAAAAAATCTATCGATAGAAACCTATCGATATCGATAGAAAAAGCACCAATAATCTAGGATTGAACCCTTGATCTCTTGACTAAGCTACAGGGCTTTTAGCCAATCGGCCATGACGGCTATTGGTAGATTCAAGAATATAAATGTTTAGCTTCTGGTTTAGTCTCTTGTGTAGCTTCTGGGTATTTTGAAAGAATCCGCGTCGACACTCTTTGAAGGCCTATAACTTTGTCTAGAGATTATATTTTTGTTAACTTTTTATATCATTGTACAGAGGACATTTCAGGCTTTCAAATGATACAAAATAGAGCTTGATTGAGCAATCGAGTCCAAGAAAATCAGAGCCAACTCTGAGCAAACGAGGTCAATCCAACTCGGGTGTCGTATCGCCTTGTTTGAATGGGAATGAAAAATGCAGACAAGCTCTATTTGGTATCATTTGAAAGCCTGAAATGTCCTCTGTACAATGATATAAAAAGTTAGCAAAAATATAACCTCTGGACAAAGTTATAGGCTTTCAAAGGGTGATGACTCGTTCAAAATACCCGGAAACTATGTAAAAGCCAAAGTTTGATATAAAATAAATCTAGACGAACTTTAAAATCCTTTTTATAGAGTAATGCAAGCAGCCATATTGATGTGTGGAGTAGTGGTAGACCTAAAGGGAAATATTAGCTTTCGTTTGCTTTCACCCTACCGTAGCCCGCAATAAGATACGGTTGTAATCGGGGTTCAGCCGAGAAAACGGTTAATACCAATTGATTATGTAAATAGAAACCTATAAATAATCGATTTTTTAAAATGTAGATTGTATTTCATTTCATTTACCTTCTAAAAACATCCACTCAAAAGCGACTGATTTGAAATATTCAAGTAAAAAGTACATAGCTTCGCAAACAAATACCTGAAAAGAAATAGAAATAGAAATAGAAAAAGAAAATGAAAAGAAAGAATAATGTTTATAAAAGATACTCAGCTATATAGCTAAAAGATAAAGCTAATGGTTAGTAAAGTTTTTTTGGGGAGTGGGACAAATGCGACCTTTTTTTTGCGCACCCGGACATTTGCGCACCTTTTTTTCCGCACCTTGCCCATTAGCGCACCTTTTTTCGCGTTCTAAAAAAGCTCTAAAAAGCTAATATTAACTAATTTCTATTCAAAAAGTTGTTTTTTCTAGGTAATTTTAGGGCGTAGAATCGAAATTTTGACATATCAGAGCGTGTGGAATCAATTTGAAAGACAAAACGGCTAGATCAAATTACAGAAAATTGTCGATTTTTCTCTTTGTATAACTCCGTCCGTTCGTTTCCACAAGCTCTGATATGTCAAAATTTCGATTCTACACCCTCAAATTACCTAGAAAAACAACTTTTTGAATAGAAATTGGTTAGTATTAGCTTTTTAGAGCTTTTTTAAAACGCGAAAAAAGGTGCGCTAATGGGCAAGGTGCGGAAAAAAAGGTGCGCAAATGTCCGGGTGCGCAAAAAAAGTTCGCATTTATCCCACTCCCGTTTTTTTGAGTTTTTTTAGAGATGAAACATTAGAATCACCATAGTGTTAATCGTTCGTCCATCACCATGATTTTGTTGTGGGCCTAGACGATCGGTGAATATCAAATCCACATATAAAATTAATCTAAAAATTTGATCATTAATAGATTTTGAAAACATTTTTATTTTTCTTCTACCTGATAATAACAACCATTAAAATCGCGACCATTAAATGCAAATGAAGAAGATTTCGAAAGACGCGCAATCGTCTGAAAATCGTATTACGGTAAGAGCAGTAAAAAAACACGAGTCGCAAAGCTTTATAATAATAGAATTTTACTAGAATTCCCTCTAAATATGTCATTTTCATTAATAAACTTATAACTTAGCTTTTTATACAAAAATAAAATTTTTTACATAAAGATAAAGATTTTTACCCAAGAAAATGTTGATTTCGAAATTTTCATTTATGAATCTAAAGGATTCTCGAATCTGCCCCATCAAATCTTAACCATAAATAAACCATAAATAAAAGCCCATAGAATTTTCCAATATTCTATAATATTCTAAATTCTATTTTTTTTCTATACTCTATTTTCTATCTACTATTTATAAAGGAAAAGAGACGTCTGTTCGTCTGTCCGTCTGTTTGTTTGTTCGTCTGTCCGTCTGTTCGTCTGTTCGTCTGTCCCTCTGTCCGTCTGTTCGTCTGTCCGTCTGTTTGTTTGTTCGTCTGTCCGTCTGTTCGTCTGTCCCTCTGTCCGTCTGTTCGTCTGTCCGTCTGTTCGTCTGTCCCTCTGTTCGTCTGTCCGTCTGCTCGTCTGTCATTGGCAAAAAGGGGTGGGGCTTAGATTGCGTGGAAAACGTGGACGTTAGTGAGCGTTTTCCGCTGGTATTCTTTATTTTGTATCTTCTATTCTTTCAATGGCTCACCTGAAATACGAAAAAATACAAATCGAAACAACCAGCGAAATCAGAGAAAGTCCTAGTCCGACGAACTCCAATTTTCGAGCATTTTTTGCCACATCTTGTGCAATCTAGAAAATTTTAACGATTTCTTAAGAAATGAGAAGCTTTTAAAGATCAATTTTTCAAATTTTAACTTGCAAAAATCATATGCTGACACATTTCGTCTACAATTCAATGCGCACAGCCCAACTTAACGTGTTTCTTTTTGTAAGCTTTTCGATCATTTCCATGATTTCGATCATTCTTTTCGATCAAATTTCTTTTTCGTTTAAAAAAAAACATTTACTAATAAGGATATTCGAACGGGAATAGATCAAAAATATTTGATACCCAGATCAAACCAGGCAAAGCAAGGTCAGAACTCAGCCTAAAGCCAACTCCAGAGGCTTTTTAGGAGCCAGACCTAGCTCTGACGTTGACCAGCCAGGCCAGACCTAACTCTGACCTTGACCAGCCAGGCCAGACCTAGCTCTGACGTTGACCAGCCAGGCCAGACCTAACTCTGACCTTGACCAGCCAGGCCAGACCTAACTCTGACCTTGACCAGCCAGGCCAGACCTAACTCTGACCTTGACCAGCCAGGCCAGACCTAACTCTGACCTTGAACAGCCAGGCCAGACCTAACTCTGACCTTGACCAGCCAGGCCAGACCTAAGTCTGACCTTGACCAGCCAGGCCAGACCTAAGTCTGACGTTGACCAGCCAGGCCAGACCTAACTCTGACCTTGACCAGCCAGGCCAGATCTAACTCTGACCTTGACCAGCCAGGCCAGACCTAAGTCTGACGTTGACCGTAGGAATGATAAATGATAAAGAATGATAAATTACTAGTAAATTGGTAATGATAAATTGAAAGAATAAAAAACGAAGCAAGAAATTTGACCGTTTTCATTGACAAAAACTCATTTCTTTTTCTTACATTCACTCAAAAATTGGTCAGCCTTTATTTCAAACACAAAAAAAAGCGCATTTCTTATTTGAATCATTCATCTAGCGGATCATTTTTCCTATTTTTTTATTTTCCTAAAATAAAGAGCCCTAGATTTATGCCTATTCTACATTATTGGAACCTTGAAAAGCTTTACTTTTTGTGCTAATCCTGGCAAGAAAGGAAAAAAAAAATTGTGCTGAAAAATTGCAAAAAAAAAAATGGAAATTTATAGTAGGGGAATAAAATGGTAGAAGAATGTCGAGTAGTTAAAGGTTAAATAATCTATTTTCTATATTTAATTCAATATTTAATTCAATTCAATATTCAATAAAAACAAAAAAAAAGTCTAAATTTCAATCTTTACCCTACTCGACATGTTAAAGAAAACAAGGTATTTTATAATTAAATTTTTAAATAGTAAAGAATACTGTAAAGGTTTCAGTTTACAATATAAAAGTATTCAAGTTTACTTACCGTAAATACTGTAATATTACCCCCCCCACCCGTCGTACAGTCGCGTAGTCGCAAAAGTTTTTTAGTATTTCATTTTTTTCAAAGCGTCTGTACTTTCAAAAAATGCGTCTTTGGTATCAAAAAATAGCTGAAATTCAGGGCTATTTTTTGATAATTGTATTGCTATTGTAGCATAAATCAGTGTCGAGAAAAACGCGTTCAAAGCTAGACTACGCAACACTCCTCACCGTCATTACTATTACTGGGGTACTATTACAGTAGTTACGGTAGCTTATAGCTAAATAGCTAAAACTTTACAGTATCCCCTAAGAAACCTTCACCATCAGAAATTTTCTTTTTGGTTTCTTTTGTTTTCTTTTGTGATTCTTTTGTGTTGAGTGGATAGAGAGAGGCATACGGAGAGTGATCCATTTGTGAGATGCTCCATGATGTAGATCACTTCATCCGTGTAGCACATTGTGAAATTCGTCCAACCGTGATCACGACCGAAATCCGTCTCGTTTCGACCCATCCATCGCGATGACCAATGGCACGCTTTTGTGATGTTCTCTGCAATGCTTTTTGGCGCATTGTTTTCCTCCACCCTTTCAGATACAATTTTCATTTTCATTTTCATTTTCACACGTCGATTACCTTTAAAGACACACATGCATGCTAGTGAATGGGTTTAAAATTCGAAAGCTAGACATGAGAAATCTAGACCTAGAAAATCTAGACCTGAGAAATCTAGACCTAGAAAATCTAGACATGAGAAATCTAGACCTAGGAGATCTAGACAGGAAAATTCCAAGCCAAACCTAATTCCATCTTCATTTCCGTTTCCTAGCCGATTTCTCTATCGATCAGCTGAAAATATTAATTTCTATCTGTAGAGAAAGTTTTGGAGCTCGTGAAATTTCAGAGGTGAAGAAAACAAAGGTGGAATTAGCATCGGCTTGGGATCTTCCTACTCTTGTTTGAAAAAATAGTCAAAAGCTAGTCTGAATCGACTGTAAAACCCTATCTTCTATTCTTTAAGAATACTTTTTGTTAGAAAGACATCCTTTCTAATGCACTTAAATTCTAATTCCTTTTCTTTAGCTTAATCCTAAGAAAAACTAAAAGCTAAGTGTTTTCAAAATTAGCTCAATCATCCGATTTTTTTTTCATTTTAAATATCATTATAGTTTCTTTTGATTAATTTCAACGATTTTCTATTATAATCTAACAATTAAACCCATTTTTTTGAGCTTTAAAAAAGATATTTAAAAGATGATCTTTTAAAAACAGAAATATGAAGCGACAGAAAGAGAAAAGCAAGCACATGCATCAAAGAAGAACTCAAAATGATTCTCCTTCCAATCAAAATCCCATTCTCAAGTCAAATCAAAAAAAAAAAACAAATGCTCTTGCACATCAATTGTTTTGTGGAGAGAGAGAGAGTCGAACGAACTTTGAGATCCTCGAACTTGATCTTAAAGCAAGCGGTGAAGTTCGTCCATCCCCACGCGTTTTCGTATTTCCCCGGCCTCTTCCCAGCCCATCTCCCAGCCGCATCGCACACCTTGTACACATCGTCTGCAATCAATGACGTTTCCCTGGCCCTTTTTTTTTCTTTTACTTTTTTCACGACAAGAAATAAAACTCTTTGGCTACCAGGTCTTTTTTCGAAAAGATCTTTTTATAGATTCTTTTATAGATCTTTTTATAGATCCTTTTATAGATCTTTTTATAGATTCTTTTGACCTTTTTCAATTTGAATTGATGCTAGTTGAGTAAAAGATTGAACAATTTGAATTGATGCTAGTTGAGTAAAAGATTGATCAATTTGAATTGATGCTAGTGCACTAACTAATTGACATATCTATTTGTCATCTAATTTTCATCTATTTGCCATCTAATTTTCATCTAATTTAACTAATACTATCTAGTTATTGAGAATATTCTATAGGAAAAATCAACTAGACATCATTTTCTTTGACCTGATAACCAATAACCATAAATGACATTCGAATGAGTTTTTTTTTTGGAGAAAAAGTTCAGAAAAACAATTTTCAATCCAACTTTTCGATTAAATACTGTATTCCTTTTTAGTCACACAAAAAGAAACCCTATAAAAATAAATGAACAACTCATTCGAATGCCGACTTTTGTTAAATGAGCTTTTGAAAGCACCCGAAAGAAAAGAAAAACCGTTATATCACACCATTTTAAAGCTTTAAAGCTAAAATTGAATTTTCGAAATCGCAAATTCATTTTCTTGTGTTAGAAAAAGAGAAAAAGTTTCGAAAAGTTCCGGGATTTCGCCTTGTTGAATCGGTGATGAGAGTCAGCGAGTGTCTTTCATCAAATTGCATCTCATTTTCTCCTATTTTTCTCGTATTCACTCAATTATCCCGGGGAATAATAAGCTCATCATAGTCCCCTTAAAGTGTTGAATATTAAGAGGTTAGATTCGAATTTGATTAGCTTAAAATTACAATTCGATTATTTCACTTCTCGGTTTGAAACTTTTCTTTATCTTTAGCTTTTCTTAAGCTTTTCTTTAGCTTTTCTTTAGCTTTTCTGAAAAATTTAAATTAAGAAATTAGTGTAAGATCCAAATACCCAAATAGATCCAAATAAACCATTATTTTTGTGAAAGAGATTCTTGCACACAAAGGCTCGCTTTGATTAGCTTATCCGGGAGACAAAAAAAAAGAGGAGATGGGCAAGGCAATGAGGAAGAGCCGGCTTCTCCTCTATATGCCCATCACTTTCATCCCCTTCTTCCTCCTTCTTCCCCCTTCTCCCCCCTCCTTCCCCTTTCTTCCCCTTTCTTCCCTTCCCAAGTGTCCTCTCTTTAGATCCCCTTCTAGCTGAGTCTTCTACACTAATTTCAACGTCGACCCTAGAATCCCTTCACACCTCAATCTTTGTTTTTCTCCTTTCCTTTCCTTTCAATCTTCAATCTTTACTAGATGCTCTCTTGCTGAGAAAAATGATGAAACTCCAGGATTTTACCTTCCACTTTTCTTTTCTTTCCTTATATCCACCCGCCAAACACTATTAGGTCTCCAGAACCTGTTGCCTTCTTCTTGCCCAATCCCATCCCCCTTTTTTTCCCCCTCTATCGATTTGCCTTCCTTCTAAATACATCCACATATATTTTCCACTCATAAATAGTTAGTGGCAATAGAATGGAATGGATAGATAAGCCCTCATATCTTTCATCGACATTCACATGCGATTTCATCGTTTGGGGAAAGTTTTCTTACAAAAAAGAAGGGAAATAGAACAAGCTCTCTAAGGAAATCGAATTTCTTGGGAAAAAAGGAAAGGGAGATTTTCAAATACATACGGAGAATGGCAGCTCAGTGCCCAGAAAACGAACAAAAAAAAAGACGTGGACTCTCAGATGAGACGATTGATAAAGATAAATGATGTTTGAAACGAACTGTTTGGATCGAGTCCTTTCAATGGAGGACATGGAAGAGTGACTGAGGTGTTGGCTGGAGTGGGCGGCCAACACAAAACCGTGTCCCAAGTGGCATTACACCATAAGCCCAGCTCTGAAAAAAAAGCCACTTTGGTGACGTTAAAGATTTAGAGATTTGACTGCATTAAGTTTGAGGTTAAATTGTGAAAGGATTTTGTTTAGTAACTTGAAAAGAAAATGAGAATGTTTGATGGTAAATGAGGGTTAAAGGGAAATGGTCAATGAGGGTTAAAGGGATTCTAAAGGGAAAAAGTTATCGATTAGACTTTAGTCAAGAGTTTTACTGTTTTCAAAACCGAAAACTGATAGTCTGTAGTGTTTAAAAAGAAATAAAAGGGATTTTGATTGATTTGAGGGGGAAATTAGCTTTGATAAATTAAAGTTAACAAGGTTTTTGTTTTCCTTTCACAAACACAAACAAAAAAAAGGTTTAATTTCCTTTTCCCGGGTAGTAGCTACTGTACTAATTTTAGTGCTATTTTCCTCAAAACGCAAAAGATTTATATGATCTTAATAAACCTTTTAATAAACCTTTTAATAAACCTTTTAATAAACCTTTTAATAAACCATTTACTAAACCTTTTACTAAACCTTTTAAAAACCTTTTAATAAACCTTTTAATAAACCTTTTAATAACCATTTAAAAACCATTTACTAAACCATTTATTAAACCATTTACTAAACCATTTATTAAACCATTTACTAAACCATTTACTAAACCATTTACTAAACCATTTACTAAACCATTTACTAAACCATTTACTAAACCATTTACTAAACCATTTACTAAACCATTTACTAAACCATTTATTAAACCATTTACTAAACCTTTTAATAAACCTTTTAATAAACCTTTTAATAAACCTTTTAATAAACCTTTTAATAAACCTTTTAATAAACCATTTACTAAACCTTTTAAAAACCATTTAAAAACCAATTTACACATTCAATTTCATTCTTTCTCATTCTTTTTCATTCAAATCGAGATCAGAAAGGATGATTTTTCTAGGAATTGCCGACTAATTGGATGCTTTCGTCTCAACTTAAGAAAAGGATTTTGGTGTTATATGTTTGAATTGCTGGAAAGGGGATTCAACACCTAAAATGCCGACTCACAGAAAGCGAGTCACATTTCAAGCCGATAGTAATGATAATGAGAAAGGAAAATCTCAGAAATAAATGCGAAAAATGAATGAAAGTGAAAAAGTTTAAGGGAAAATTGACTTTAATAAATGGGGTTTTTCACAAACAAACCAGGAGGCGGAAACGGATCTATGCCGGCTCTTCCGAGAGACTCGATACAGTGTTGCATTGTCGGCGCTACGTTATTCGGCAGACCTGAAATTGAAAAGTTTTCAACAAAAATCGAATACAATGCTTTCTGATATTAGCGAATGAAAAAGCTAGATTCTGAAAGCTATTTATGGTGTTTATCTTCGCATTTCTCAACATTTTCTTTTGAAAATTTTCTTTTTTTTTCAAACGCCCTGATATTGACAACTTTCTTGTCGAGAATGCGAACTCTTTTTTTTTCTTTTTTTTGAGATTCCTATTTTGAATAAACTCTAGTCCCTATTGAATTCAAAAAAAAGTGGATGAGTTAGAAATTTTTGATTTCAAAGAGAATAGAAGTGAACTTTTAATGAAATAGTTTGCTTAGCTTTGCTTAGATTAGCCTAGATTAGTTTTTAGCTTAGCTTTTAGCTTAGCTTAGCTTAGCTTAGCTTAGCTTTTAGCTTAGCTTAGCTTAGCTTAGCTTAGCTTAGCTTAGCTTAGCTTAGCTTAGCTTAGCTTAGCTTAGCTTTTAGCTTAGCTTAGCTTAGCTTTTAGCTTAGCTTAGCTTAGCTTAGCTTAGCTTTTAGCTTAGCTTAGTTTAGCTATTGGATTTTTATAGAAATTTTGCTTTTCTTTGCTATTTTTTTATTTTGCAAGTGTTTTTTTTAAAACAATTTCACTTGCAAAATAGAATTGTTGCAAAATTCTTTTTGAAAAACATATCTACTCGTTAACACAATGAGATTTAGCGTTAACACACAGCAAAAACATTTAGATGAAATGTTTGATTTGAATGGACTCAAATCAATGATTAAATCACACAGCAACTCAATGAATTCAATTGTACTTGTTGATTTTATTCTTGCAAAATCTTTATGACAATCTTATTGACAATAAAATCAGGATTTGATTCAAGGCAAGTGATAAGATCAAGAAGTACTTCTGGTAACGATTTTAAGCAACAAACCGGGCAGCGAACTGTTGAAGGGATCGTAGGAACGAGCGGACGGAAAATGTGATGGAACGATGAGGAGACTCTCCGACGATGAGCGACCCGGCGACGACGAGGGTCCGGGCAACGACGACATGATCATCCTTCCTTTTTATCCTTCCTTTCTTCTTCTTCTTCTTCTTCTTCTACTTCTTCTTCTACTTCTTCTACTTCTTCGCTTCTCTCGATCACTCTTCGTTTCCTGCAACTCTACATTCTCATCACGACTCTCTTCACCCAACCTTTCCCCCGCACATGCTCCTCCCCATCCCATCCCCCCTTTCATTCCAAACAAAATCCCCTCACTTCTTCTTATCCCACCAATCACTAGAGACAAGTTCCCCTAAGAAAAAGACATCTTTTTTTTCTGAAGAAACCCCAATTTTCACCGCATTCCCCTCAGAACTCTGTGGTCAATCCTGGTGAGAGTTTGTCTCCCCGAAATTATTAGCGTTTAGTTAGCAGCACAAACAAATTCATTCGGGTTATTTGAAAACAGAAAAAATGAGAAATTGATCAATGAAAAATGAAAAGTCAAATTGGGTGTCTGTGTTCACTTTTGGGTTTTCTTTTTGTTGGGGGGAACATTGGTACCGAATACTGTAATCCTCAAATAAAACCCGGGGATTAGTGGTTGTAAAATTGAAGTAGTTATTGACAATTTTTTTTTTGTAAAAAACAGATTTTGAATATAAAAATTGATCGGCAATGTTGTAAAGAGGGAAAGAGATTGAGATGTAGATGGAGATGTAGATGGAGATGTAGATGGAGATGTAGATGGAGATGTAGATGGAGATGTAGATGGAGATGTAGATGGAGATGTAGATGGAGATGTAGATGGAGATGTAGATGGAGATGTAGATGGAGTGTGATGGTGTGATGGGATGTAGATGGGATGTGATGGAGATGTAGATGGAGATGTAGATGGAGATGTAGATGGAGATGTAGATGGAGATGTAGATGGAGATGTAGATGGAGATGTAGATGGAGATGTAGATGGAGATGTAGATGGAGATGTAGATGGAGATGTAGATGGAGATGTAGATGGAGATGTAGATGGAGATGTAGATGGAGATGTAGATGGAGATGTAGATGGAGATGTAGATGGAGATGTAGATTGAGAATGCAAATCGATCGATTAGATTGAGAATGCAAATCGATCGATTAGATTGAGAATGCAAATCGATAAATGAAAGATTTAAAATATTAAAGATAAAATCTAGAATTGATTTTGAAAGGAAAATAGATCAACAATATAGATAAACCAATATAGATCAACAAGTGTAATTGTTGGCTTTAAAATACTAGTGACTAGTACCAAATAAGTATAAGTATCTATAAAGAGAAAGATAAAGTTGAGTTGTATGAAGGAAAATGGAGAGGTGTGAATGGATGAGTGGCTCTCCCTCTGTCGACACTCCCCTTATGTGTCTCGAATTGCCAACGCTGGCCTTTCCCTCCCCCAAAGAAAGAGGGGATAAAAAAAGCGACGGGTTTTGTCCAATATAGAGCGCATTTCATCTAAATTATTCAATTGGACGGCCGGCTTGCTTCATCGTTTTCTTCATCCTTCCCAATTCCCCTCCCGTTTATAGGCCTTTCTTAGCTTCCCCCTTCAAGACCAAGCTGGTCTCCTTAACATGAAGAGACCCTATTCCCCCTTCCCTTTTTTTCCCCTCAGAACTTGCCTCCTTTAACGAGCAGACTTTTCCTAAATCCCGAAACCTCTTTCCAGATAAACTCTTCATTTCAACTCACAACTTTCGAAAGTTTTTTTAGTTCTAAAGAGCTTCTGTTTTTCGAAAAACTCTCTTTAATAACTGATTTTATTAAAATAAAATTCTTTTCAAAAAAACAAGAAGAATTACGCTGGAAATTAGCGCTTATTATTCCCTAAAAGAATAACAAAACAATATTTTGAAAGCTTATTTGAAAGGAAAAATTTTACGTAGCATCATGAAATGATCTCGATATCCAAATCGGTCAAAAAAAAAAAAAGAAATGAAATAAAAGGGATTAGCGATTTTCCTCTTCCCTTTCTCTAAATCTTTTCCTATTCACTGAAAGTATTAATCGCCTCGGATTTAGATTATTCGCCGGGTTTCGGGCCCTATCGCTCTTTTCGGGAAAAGAATTGAGCGTAAAAGAAAGAAACTCAACATCTTCTCATGATTTCATTTACTGAATGTCAGGGATTCGATTAGATTAGAAATTCGGATAAGGAAATTTCTTGCAAAAAGAGAAATTTTATATTGTGAAAAATAGCTCGATTTCGAGAATTCACCAAAATTCACCAAAATTTTAGCTTCCTATCCTCATATCCGTTGCTTTACTGACAAAAAAAAAGGCTCAAAATAACTCGGGGATTACCCGGTGAACCTCGTGATTTTCTGGAGCGAGGTAGAAAATTGCAAAATTTTTTAATTAGAGCTAGTAGATTTGCATAGAAAAATCGAAATTTTACAGATTGGATGATTAAAAGTATATTGATTCGACGCGAATAATCAATTACAACACAACGGAGGAATTTTTTATCCCTAATTACCCCTCTATTACTCAAATGTTGTTAAGAAAAAAACCCATAATAATGGGAAAAAGAACCAATCTTTCTAGCCGCCGGAAACGAACCCTTAACAACCCCCCGACTAGGAGACAAGACTCCTATCCGGTCGGCTACGATGGCTACGATGGCTACGATGGCTAAGACGGCTATTCATAAAAGACTTTTCAAAGAGACAACTCATCGCAAAAATAAATCACGTTCAGCTTCAATGAGTTCGTTTAAAAAAAGTTTTGCAATTTCTGCAAATCGATTGTAGGATTAATTTTTTTTAAAAAATAGAATAACAAAGAAAAAATTCTAGGATTTTAGCGAGTCAAGCGAACAAATAAAAAGCTATTTAGCAAGATTTCGGTGAATTTCGTTTTCGTAGCTATTAGGGCATGATTTAAAAGACAAGAAAAATCACCGTAAATACTGTAATATTACCCCACCGCCCGTCGTACAATCGCGTAGTCGCAAAAGTTTTCTAGTATTCCATTTTTTTCAAAGCGTCTGTACTTTCAAAAAATGCGTCTTTGGTATCAAAAAATAGCTGAAATTCAGGGCTATTTTTTGATACCTAAGCGCGCATTGTAGCATAAATCAGTGTCGAGAAAAACGCGTTCAAAGCTAGACTACACAACACTCCTCACCGTCATTATGGGGGCCGGCGTACTATTACAGTATTTACGGTAGCTTTACAGTTAAATCGCTAAAATCTATGAGAACTTTGGTCTTTTATTGAAAAGATTGTCTTAACTTCTAGACAAAATGAATGAGACAATAAACAGCTCAAAGGCGGCTAAGATTTGGCATGTTTATAAAGCTTTAAAAAAATCGAATATGATATGGAGATCGAATGTGGAAAGTATCGTGAAGCAAAGAGATCTCCGAAGTGAATGTGGACACACCATCCACAAATCCAATCACCGCAATGGGATTTTCCGCTCATCATTGCCTATGCGCTCCCCTACCAGTCGCGTCGCCTCGTTTAGAGGCTCTTCAACCGAAAACACATCTACATCGCCTCAATATTTTCCTTTTTTGATCACAAATATTTACTCTTCTTCTTCATCACACCATCTCTATTTTCGAGCATCTTCTCAAAGAGAGCTTCAGAGGTTTTTGATCAATAGAATTGAGGAGAAAGATTAATTGAAAAGATAAATTGTAGTCTAATTGTAGTCTAATTGAAGTAGTAAACTAATTACAGGCGTCAAACGAAAATATAGAGTTTGAAATAAAACTGAACAGGTTCATTGAAGGGTTTATTGAAAAGAAAAATGGTTTACTTAAGTTTAAAGCTTTGAAAGGAATAGAAAGAAAGTCAAAAGTACAAGTATAAATGAGAAAAATGATTAAATAGACAATAAAATTGATGCAAATAAATAAAGAAGCTGATGAGTAATTGTTGGAGATTGAAGCTTATCCAGAAGAGAAGCGAAGAGACGAAAAGATCTTGATCTATTGAAGAAAAAGGAAAAAGAGCTCTCTTCCCTCTACCGTTTCTATGGGAATGCGCGGAGAGGAAATAGAAGCACGAGAAGAATGAAGCTCTTCTCCCAAACACCGCCCATCGCCCCCAAAAATCCTATCTTCTCTCTCATCTGAATTCGCTTCTTCTTTTTTTTTTCTACTCATACCGTCAAATTAATCTTTCGACTATGTAGGTATGTAGTCGACTTATAGGGATTCAAATCCTGTCATCATTGTAGGATAAATGAAAAAAATTCACGACAAAATAAGCATTCAAAAAGATCTAGATCAAAAAAAGGAAATGCTTTTCTAAACACTTTTTCCAGTCCTTTTCAAGGCTAAGCGGGTTGTGCCATTTTCGGATTAAGAAGTTGTTTTCCTCAACTACAAATCTGTTAATCCAAAAATTGAGAACAACTCGAGTTGACTCGAAATTTACAAAAAAAAAATATTTTCAAGGAAGAAAATTGAGAGTACAAGTCTAGCTCTGAAAGGGTTCATCAAGTTGGAGAAGAAACTTCAAGAGGATGGACGTTTCATTAAGAAAAGTTTAGTGATGGGTGCGAAAAAGAGGATGCAATTTGTCGAGAAAGGGGGAAGAGAAAAGAAAATGAGTGAAAGAGTAAGGTTTGACTGAGTGGGTGAAGGGGGGAAAAGCAATCCCCCATTTGGTCAAAGAACATCTGCGCCTCGGCTATAAGTTTTTTCAAATTTATATCACTTGTCCTTTTTTAAAGATACAAGCAATCTAGAGATATATTTCTTTGAAAACTTATAAATGAATATGTTTATAAGTTTACTTAACATGGTCAAATGAGTGAGTATCGCTTTTTATCTATTTGTTTTATCAAGCTTACTTATCAAATATGCCCTTGTCTTTCCTTCTTTCTCTTGGCAAGTGATTTTCTGGAGCGAGGTAGAAAATTGCAAAATATTTAAATTAGAGCTAGTAGATTTGCATAGAAAAATCCGAAATTTGTCCTTTCCCTCTCCGTTCATTTCATAACGATAGCTAAGTTAGAGCAGTTAGAGTTAGAGCAATTGCCGGGAAAGCAAAAGGTCATGGGCCCAATCCCCTCTCCGGAAATCTACTTTTTCTTGCCAATTCCTTCTTTATTATTTTAAGATCCAAAGTTGTGTGTCCTTTCCCTCTCCGTTCATTTCATAACTCGAATCCCAGTATGAATTTCGATCTAATTTTTTGACAATATATTACGACAACTACGACGTTTTGGCCTGTTATATCAGATTTAGAAAATTTCAACCCGTTTTTGAGCAAAGTTAGAAAAACCGAATTTGGCCTGGAATAGGTCGCCTAGAAGTACTTCAAAAAATGAATTTCGAATTCATTTTCTCAGAATCTGCTAGGGAAAATATGCTTATCTTTTATCACTAAAAACATTTTGAAAAACTTTTTGTATTTTGAGAAAGCGGTGAAGGGGGGAAAGTTCCTAAAGTTCAAGGGATTGAAAGTGACGGTCAGATTTCGGGCAAACGGCAAAATTCGCCCCTCAAACTCACTTTAGTTATTGCAAATTCATATTTATTAGTAAATTTGTAAACTTTCGTAAATTTATCAATAATTAGTGCTTAAGTTTTGACTCATTTAAACTATGGATTGGCCTAAATCGGTCGACAGTTAGCCGTCGGGGTTTAGCCGGGGGTTAACTGCTGGTTAGAGCTAATGTTAAGAATAAAAAGAATAAAAAGTAAAGTTAAACCACATTCTCGAACCATTTTACCGTAATTTATTGCAGCTGAATGATTATTTGTGCCAAAAACAGCTTTGTATGAACCCTGAGCATCGTTTTTCTATTGTTGAAAACTCAGCCAAAAAAAAAAACTCTTTTTTCACAATTCTCATTTTCTTAACACAAAACCCTAAAAGTGATTTTGTATTCGAGTTTCGGGTCAAATCTTCTCTTTTCTTTTTCTTTTCTTCCATTTTCCTCTTAGATTGACTACAAATTTTCACGTACCCAATCGTCATGAGAAAAAAAATTAGCAAAATGCGTATAAAAATGGCTGGAACCAGAAAAAAACCCGAGATTTTCGATTTCTGGCAGATCACTCACCATTTGGTTGTTACAATGTAGACTTGGGTGAAGCTGATGCGTCTTGTAATCTTAAAAATCACAAGCGTTTTCAATCAAAACAAAAACTTTCATCGAAGAAGCATGTTTACGATTGCAAGAAATCGATTCAATAGAAAAAGCATTTTTATCGAAATTGCTCATAAATTCGATTTCGTCTAAAGGAACATCAAGAAAAGAGACATCTAAAGATAAACCAAATCAATAAAGTCGAATGGGGGACAAGACGACAGCTGACGGCATTGATGGGCAGAGGGACTGGCTGAGGCAAAAGAGATTCACCCAAAATCCTACCGAAAAGGTGACAATCATGTAAGTGAACAAAGGAGAGTGGCATACTGTGTCTTTGATCTACAAACTCTTTAGATCCATTTTTCACTTTATCACAAACTTTATGGAGGTTTACTTTTGAAAAACTGCTTTTCATTTTTTCCAAATTTTCCTGCTAAAATTAGAGTTCGGCTTTAATGAGATCAAGATTACGTATGCTGTTTGGTATAGCGTAGAGCCGATAATATTTTGCATTGAAGGGATTTCCTCTCAAGAAACAAAGGCATCGACGTCGTAATATCATTATCCTCAATTCCAAGTTTGACAGAAAGTTTTGACATCTCATTGATAAAGAGATGTGTATGCTGACAGATTCATCATCAAACTCATCGTACCAAGCAAATTGTAAAGCAGACGATTTGACTCTTTTCGGCAATAGTCCATTAAATAGAACATATCTAGTTTCGGAGATGTTTTCTAGTTTTTCAGAAAAGCATTTCTTCTTGATATTCACATGAGAGAGAATCAATTTTCGGAGTTCTGTTGGGGATTTTTGGCGAGAAATCAGTAAAATATTGATTTAACTATCGAGGGCTTATTGACAGTCGTATTCAGCGCATCGAATTACCCCGAAATAAGCCACACAAGGGAGGTTCACCAAGCTACCATCGGGTTTCGAAACGAGATCTAGCTCATCTAGACCAGTTTTTCACGAAGATTCCAAATCTGTAGTCAAATCTACCCCGGAGGCTCTCTGAAGTTTGTATGGACCAAAAAAAGAGTACGTCGAGTGATTGAAATTTTCCTGTGCACCCGGCTGGTATGTTGACCTCGACTGAATTTCCCTTTGGACAATGGCTTTCAATTGTCTTTGATCTTTGAATAATGTCCCACTATCAAGCACTAGTAGCAACTTTTTTGGAGCATACGGGAAAACGGCTCGATCTAACCATTCTTCAAAAAGCTGATGAACCATTATGCGAGTTTTGTTAGCTGCAATGATCAAATTTGATGGTTTCAAGGCTCGTTGCTTTTATGAGAAGGCACCAGTCACTTCTTGAAGAACCACGAATAAGGGGTCGCACAAGAAAAAAAAGAAGTCAGCGTTAAATTTTAAATAAAAAGAAACAAAGCAAAACAAAAGTGGTTGCAGCCGGATCCCAACCAGCGATTCAAGAAGTAAGACACTAGCGCACTATCAGTATACCACAAGATCACACCTCGATGGCCCCTAACCGGCCGTTTTAAGTCAGGGTACAGTGGCGGCTATTTTTTTGTCATTTTCCCTGCATAAAATAATAAAATGCGTTTTTACGGCTTCAGATAGCCTCCGCGGTAAATTTGACTACAGATTTGGAATCAGCATGAAAAACTGGTCTAGATGAGCTAGGCCTCGTCGTACCCGGTGGTAGCTTGTTGAACCGCTCTTAAAAGAATTCGACGGAGAATCAACTAAGGTTTTATCATTATCGATAAGCCCTCGGTATCGATAATATCGATAAGTCTCGATGAGAACTTATCGAGATCTGATAGTCAAGTCTAGTAGAATATGCATGTTTATTGATTTTCTTAACTTTACGTGGTGCCCCGAACTAACACAGGATGACGTGGAAAGACAACTACAATTGCTACGGTGCACTTCTAAATCTTTTTCGTGGCGACATTTTATCTGAAAGCCTTTGTTCAAAAGTACCTAACTTGGCTAAATATTGAGCTTCCGTAGCTATACTAAAAGCTATATTGGTATTTGTGTGGAAGGAGTCCAATGTATTAGCAGTGTTCTCACTAAAAATCCTTGTTTTAATGTGAATTAGGTATCAAATTTTGAGGTAACTTTTAATAAAGAACTTTTTCGCAACAACAATTGTAAATGAATAAAATTAAGACATATCATAAACAACAACGTAACGAGGCTAAATATTATAGATAAGACTATAAGTGACCCGGATTGATCGAATGATTATCAATTATCCTCATGGCATAGCTGGAACTCCCTCTTGCAAATCCTGCCGTTGGGTCTAAATTTGATTTGTTGGCAGGACAAAAAGATAGCACGTACTGAAATACAAGTTGAAGCAACATTGCGGAAAAGTCGCTCAATCTCCGGTGTGCATTTGGTAAAGTCGTGCTCCCAGAATCTGTAGATTGGGTTCCGTATCAATTCGATGAATGTGATCAGAAGCCCCCAAGGATGTGGACGAAGTGCAACAAGACGCTCAAACAAGACTCGAGTAATTTGCTCCTATAAATCGAAAAATATTAATAACTCAAAGAAAACCCAACCTTCATAACATTCATATCCGCTTGGAAAAACAAAAACAACAATGTACAACTGAAGTAATGCGTATGAGCATTTGGGTATCGTAGTTGATTTGCAATTGCATTGAAGAGCAGGTAACGACCTAAAACCATGATAGCCACAATTTGAAACCGTAAACATACCTTCTGTACAAAGCCTTACGGCTAGATTTTGAAAAATGTCCATAAAAGATGTATGAGCAATTGTGGTCATCGAAATTCGTTGTCCCTTTGATTGAAGAACCTCCACTGCACGCGAACCAACGTACAAAACGATTGCATGCAGGATTGTTGTGTTATATCTGGAGCCGGCAGTGTGTGACACCTAAAACAAATATTGATAAGAAAAAAAACAAATATCCTACAGTAAGCAAAGTTGGGAGGGATGATAGAAGATCGACTCCGATACGTGTGCTGAGGTACCCTTCGAGTTGTTGCAACAATTCACTTGGGATCACGCTGGTCATGCTGAGGTTCATTTTTGGCTCAAACATCATCTCAGACAGCGCATCGATTTGCTAAAGTGCACAATTAATTATTTGATACATTCACAAAGCTGTATTACCTTGAAGTTTAGCGTAAAGGGATCCGGCAGTTTCATGTGCTTGGGATATGCAGATAGTACAAGGTTGCGCAGTTGTATGCAATTCGGTGGAATCGTATCGCAAAGCACAAAATGAAACTCGCACAATAACTCCGGAAAATCATGCAAAATCACAAGAAGAACGCGTAGAGTACCCTAAACAGCCCAGTAATTTTTTTTATCGTCACGATAACATACCCGATACAAAAGAGCAATGCTTTTTGGGAGATCAATATTGCGCAGATATGGAGACAAAAATTTGAGTTGACAAATGAGAAGTTGAGTGTACATGGCCGCCGCATTCAATGCATCCGGTGTTGGTGCTCCACTGCCTAAATTGATTTAGTCAAGAATTGAGCATAAATATTACAGATATATGCCGGAACAATCAGTCGACTAATAGTATAACGGTGGCCAACAAGGTCCAGCCAGGCCAAAGCAAAGCGAGGTGCACGTCGCGGTTGAACAACAAAAAGTGCCTAAATGCAGGTTTCTTTTCTTACTTACAAAGCACCGACAGACTCTAAATCAACTTACGTTAACAAATGTATCCACAATTGAACCAAAAATGGGCTCAAGGCTGGGATCGTCCACATCAGTTAGCTCAATAAACATAATGATCAAAATCCGATGGTAAGGCATTGGATGGAACTCTGCTCGACGAACTTCGTGATCCAACACCAAAACAGATGTGACAATATTGAGCACCTCAAATCAGCTATTTATCAGTCACATGTGATGGGATTTACCTTTCTGAACAAATTGACTTTGGTGTGTGCTTGTGAACCATCCGAAAATCGCACCATCAAACTACAAAAAGTTGAATAAAAGATAAAATTTAACAAACCATGTCAGCTTCACAAATGCATCTAATGTGTAGTAACACCGTTGTCTGATTATTGTCTGAGAATTGGAAGCCGTTTCATCCTAAACTCACTTCCATGTTAATGTACGCTTGTTGGGAATTGCCTACTTTCAAGAGCCTGTAGGAAACATCCACACACATCTCGGTGCAAAGACGGAAGAAACGAGTAATCATATCATCCGTGGCCAAAACACCATGTTCGTGCATCTAAACAAACTGTTAAATAGCCTAGCTTTCCTGGTCATAATACCATATGAATTATTGTAGCCAAAGCCTGTTGTGGATCTTTTAATGCCGCCGGGGTATAGCAAAGTGAAATCCATTCTCGCAAAATTTCTTCCACCTAAAAAACAAAAACTTGCATAGTCCAAAAGTTTTCGACCTTGCTTTGCAATTCACCATCTCCTTGTGCATCCGTTATCGGCAAATTAGGATTTTGCATTACTCTATCTCCAAAGTAGATGCCAATCAACGAATTTTGAGCCCCGGTCCCCCCTTGATTCTCAGTTGCAGACCTGAAGATCAAAATGTTAGTCTTTATTGTTACACTGAAAACCCTTTATTTTACGCCTAAGTCAGGTGTTAGAGCTAACATTTTTTGTTTTGCATCCAACCTTGTGATTCCGCTAATCGATTGGAGCTTCAGTAGTTGTTCGAACGTCAACGGGAATTTTTCCCGTATTTGCGCTTCGGTTATTCCACGACTTGATACCAACTAAATAAATATTTATTTCAGAATCTGCTTCCAAATAAATTAAAAAAGCTATTTATTTAATTTATTGTTAAAACATACTCTAACCAATCTTTGTGCAAAGATTGGAGCAAACGCATTCTGCCCACTTTCGATCATCTCACCAAGCCATCGGTCATACACTTCAAATAAAATCAGATGGTTTCGAACAAGTTGCTAAAGTTTTGATTGATATTAACAATGATCACTTCCATACCTCCACAGCCTCAAAGTTAAACCGATAATCGCCTTGGGAACCAGTCAGAATGTTTGTAATTCGAGCCGAAATATCGTTGAGTGGTATCTTCATCACCAGCATTCGAATAAAAGCAATTGTCAACTCGTGAAGTCGATTGATCACTTCAACTTCTAAAGCACTTATTTGAGATTCACGCGAGAATGCTGATCTTGCCTTCTTTGATAGAATGCGACGACGGAGTGTAAGCGTTCAAAAATTGTTCAATCGCTTGTACAAGAGTATTTCTCAACACCAAAGGCTGTGAAGGTTCAAACGCAAGTTGCCGTAAATTGTCACGGAAAATCATCAAAGCTTGTACAACCTATAACAATTACAGCTTTATTAATTAAGCCAAAAAGTATTTTACCTTTGACAATGATGGGAACACGGATCCTCTAGCAATGAATGACTCGCATTCACTCGACAGGAAATGGAAAGTCTAAATGTAAAATAAACGTGATCACGGATCCCTGAAACATACCTTTCCGAAATTTTCACTCTCTCCTTGTCCTCGTAGATCAATGCTAATCCCGGATGCGTAATTGTCTTTTACCACCATTGGATGTACCGGAAGGACTTCATCGGATGCAAATGGTTTGAAGCCACAAATCCTTGTCGAGTATTCTTCATAGGCTCCCATTTGTTCTTTGGGAATCGGGCCAGCGCCAATCCGAAGTGCTTCTGGTAGCATAGATTGAGCGATTAGTAGATCCTCAGCTCCGGTAAACTCCTTCCCTTCGCGCCTTATTGACTGACGAAGTTGATATTCTACTTCCATTTTGCGATCCAATTCGGGTGCAGACTAAAAAGCATTATGCTTGATAAATAGATAAGCAATTGCCTACCTTTTCGCAAGCGGTTTTCACAACAAAATCCATAGCCAACTCGAGATTTTCAACAGTAATAACGGCAACAGCTTCTTCGACGAGCTTCTAAATAAAAAGAATAGAATTTTATAGAGTAAAGGGCGTTTTATAGAAGCTTTATCATCTACAAGTGAAGTCGCTACTATTAGGTTGAGTACTAATTCTTGATAACACCTTTGCTTTTTGCTCCAAAGAGCAAACCATAGCTTTTAAGAATTTTTAATATGATAATCAGGCGCGCATTGTCTAGCTTTGGGCAAAGTTTTATCCCGATCTAATAGCTGGGCTTCAAGCAGGGGCTTTCTTTTGAAATCAGTCGATTTGAACTCTTTGATCTTCTGTGAACCAGTTTTTTCTGCTACCCCTCAACATTTCCAGCCAAAAGTTGGCAATGTAAAGTAGATAATTTGAATAAAAACATATATATAACAAGTAATTTTTCGAGAAACTTTGACACTATTTCAAATTATCAACAAGTTGCTCGAAACTGAGAAAAAAAAGTAAACTTTGAAATGTCGAAAGTTCTTGTGGTAATGTTGGGGATTTTACGCCGAATATCTTATCTAGGTGTTGATAAAGCATCAAGGTAAAAGGTAAGAGTTTCTGGATTGGATTCTTTTCTGAAAAATTTTCTAGGAAGTCTATTTTGCAAGTCGTTGGTTTCGCGCTTTTGTTCATAGCTCAACTTTCATTTATCAAAACAAGATAAAAACTTGCTGCCTAATAGACAATCGAATACTAACAATTTTTTTAAAGTTCCATAAAAACAAACTCAAATCTGGGAAATTTCAACAACAAAAACTCTTGTTGCGCGATGTGACCTAGATCAGAATCGACTGATTTCAAACAAAAGCTTGTTTTTATTCAAATTATCTACTTTATATTGCCAACTTTTGGCTGGAAATGTTGAGGGGTAGCAGAAAAAACTGGTTCACAGAAGATCAAAGAGTCCAAATCGACTGATTTCAAAAGAAAGCCTCCTGCTTGAAGCCCAGCCATTAGATCGGGATAAAACTTTGCCCAAAGCTAGACAATGCGCGCCTGATTATCATATTAAAAATTCTTAAAAGCTATGGTTTGCTCTTTGAAGCAAAAAGCAAAAAGTGTTATCAAGAATTAGTACTCAACCTAATAAATAAATTTACCGGATCTCCTTGGGCACACAAATTCCTCAGTCCATTATTGAGCGATTGATGCAAATAGCTAGCAAGTGTTGATTGCATTGGTTCACGAATCGAAACATGCACCATAGCTAGAGCGTTTTATTTAAAGATTATTGGACTGTCTAAAAAAGCAAAATCTTCCAAAAACAACCTCCAGTAACAGCTCTCATTATGTTGATTCCCGCGCGTCTCATTTGCATATCGTCTCCACATAGCGCAAAATCCTTTTTCGTTAAGTGTTCCGTTGCGGTCGATGCTGTTTTCAAAGCCTTGTCGTTTACAGGACCTAAAACAAACACATCATAATATTACTTCGTATGTCCACCAAGTAGCTCTTTGATTGCTTGAATAACGGCTGGCTTCACAAATCCCTTTAAAGTTGGATACATTTGGAAAAGTGGGTGATGCGTAGGAATCTGAATTGCTACTAGAAGAGAAATAAAATTCAAAATACCTTTAAGTGCGAAGTAATGCCCTCATAACTGACGACATTAATGTCAAAGTATGAATAGCTTGGTGGTGCAGCCATCGGCTCCATGGGTTCATTTAATATATCGATTGGGCCTTGAACGAAAGATGAAGTTTTTGTTTCATTATTTCCCAATGAGCTTCCTAAAGCAAACAAAATATTATTATTTTGATCTCATTCAAAAATATACCAATTTCTTGAAGACTTGGTGTACCGGATGTACCTGTTCCGCGCATGGCTTGTGGTATCGGACTTGAACTTGTGATGACTGGCTGTTGGAGCGTGCGCAAATCGGATAATTGTTGCTTTACAGAAAGCAATCGATCCGTATCCTAAAGCATAGGTACACATATCTATGTAATTGACATTCGGATTACCTTCAGTACGTCATCCACGTAGTGCATCATTTCTTGCAAATCGATATTCAATTCTTTGAATAGGACTTCAATTTCGAATTTCAAATTGATCTTCAAGTCAGGTTCCGTGTGTAGCTCCGCAAATACTTTCAATATGCCGCGAATCCAACTTGAATAGGGACTGAACACCTAAAAGTCATAACCATCAAATTGTTTAACAGAATTTAACGAACCTGTGATTTTGATGAACTACAAACAATTTTTGCAACAAATGGAATCACAAACAGCAGCTCTTCTTGTCCTTTGTAATAAGCTTCCAAAAGCAATGATTTCAGATCGAGTTCCTAAAATACACCACCTTATCACCGCCAAATTTTTAGCTGTACAGCCTTACAAAAATTTCTTACCTGCATCAAGATACATGTTGAGCGAGCAATGGTAATTAAACCAAGCCACATGCCAAGGTTTTTTAGCAAAGATCGATCCCCGTAATTAGTCGCTGCTTCTCTTTTATCGGAACGCAGAATAACCTGAAACAAGACAAATTCATAATAAGCGTATAAGTGAATACCTTGATGTTTCGTAAGGTTTCTATCTTAACAAATTGATCAAATGTGGTGTCTTTGAGCGATTGAAGGAAGAGGTTGTACAATGGTTGAAAATTCGGCTCAATTGCTACCTAAAACCTAGAAATCTACAAAATTTTAAAATCATCTTTACCCTTTTGATCACGATGTATTGAGCGAGCCACCTCATGAAGCTTTCTCCGTTTTCTGAGAGCAGTGTTCGCATTTCTTCTGTTTTTGCTTGTAAGTTGCTTTGAGACAAGTTGTTAAACAAGAATCCAACCTATAGTCAAAAATTATTAGGCATAAAAAGTGTTTTTAACTTTATCTGTCACCGCTTCAGCTGGCTTTTCACACTCAACCCCTTCTTTCTCGGCAGCTGAAATAAGAGTGTCCGCATTTGTCACCGAAAGAAAATTGGGCCCCTAAAGTTTTGGTCTAAGAATCGCTACAAAAAAAACTCTCACCGAACGACCGGAATGGGTGAAGGAAACACGTTGAGCTGTAGTGTCTCCGCTGTTGTTTCTTTGCGGGCTCGCCTGTCCCTGGCTGCCAGCTGCAGGCCAGCTGCTCGTCGGCGTGTCGCGGTCATTCGAAGGTGGTAGCTTTTCACTAACTCCTGCTTTTACGTAGGCTGCCAATTGTGGTGGAAACTTAGGAAAGTTTTCGTGCTGCATGATCATTGCACAGACCTAAATTTAAAGTATATTAAAATACAAAGAAACACCTACTTTTTTTTTACCGTTTTATCGTATTTTCTAACGGAAGAGTGGATATATAATTAACAAGTACCTTTGGATAACAGCACAATTTTTTCTTGCAAGCAGACAAAGCAATAATTCCAAATTGATATAGCCGAGAAGTAGGGTCGGTTTGTAAACTTTCAATGACTTTTCGAACGGCTGTTGCAAATTGTAAATTCCTAATAAAAGTTTAAGAACCTTATCCATTTAAAAGTCTTACGTAATAATTCCTTCGCGAATAATTCCACCATAAACTTCTGCGGTCGTCATCAGCTCTCGATCAGGATATTCGTGGAAAAAACGATATTCTTCGAAAAGATTCTTCACAACACAACTGAGCACCTGAACATAATGTACAGTGGAAATTTTAGTAAAATTACTACCTCACGTTCTCTTTGGCTGGAAGAGCTTTGAAACATTTTCAACTTGCTCAAAAAGGCTTCAATCGTCAACTGCTTGTTGGGCGAATAAATTTGTTCAAAATAGGTATTGGCCTCCTCTTGTACCTAAAAAAAACATTGGATTCCTTAAAGGTGCTCCAACCTCTTCACTGAATGTAAGCTGTGATCCATCGTCCGGTAACTGGTAGGTCGGTTGAAGAGTTGGTCGAGGAGCAACTTGCTAAAAAAATTGTGTAAAAATCATTTTTTAAAGTTGCTACCGAATAAAAAAAATTATAAGACCGGTCAAACAAGCCTGAATATCAGAGGTGATTCCAGTTGGTGGTAGCTGTGGTCGAAAATCAATTGCTCCTTGAGGCGTTGTGGCACCAGTTGCTTGTCGCATCATTCCCGCTGGCACATTGGTAGCCCAGGGACCTAAAGTTTCGTTTATATTTCCTCTCCTTGAAAACATTGCTACTACGCAGCAAAGTTTTCAAGTCATTAATAGTTTAAGAGAGGCTACTAGGCCTACGAAAAATGATCGCGTTAGAAACAAGAAACAGACTTGCACAAACAAGAATTGCACTTTTGCACACTGACAGACAAAGTTGCATTAAAAAGCACTAATTGTGAATGAACCACTCGACGATGGAAGCTGTCGTTGTTGCATCTGTGAGATTGGTGGTGGCTGTGAGGCAGGTGGCGGTTGTTGAACGGGCGTAATAGGTCCAGGGTGCATGTTGCTACGCATCATTTGATGAGATGGCGACATTGAAAGCTGACGAACACCCATCCCATAGAGATTATTCTAAAGTTAATTATAGCGGATAAAAGCCAAGATCAGTGAAACCTGAGAGTTGTTATTTGGGCCAACACTCGGTAAACCAAGATTTTGCAACGAATCAGGTCGTTCGGGCATTCGAAATTGGTTGTTGTAATTTCCTAAAGAAAGAGCTATCAATTAGAAAAACGTTTTTAGTCTTACCAGAAAAAAGAGACCCAAATCCTTGTTCCTGTCCCATCGGATAGCGCGGAGGCCCTAGATGACCAGGAGGTGGAGCCGGAATGATTCCCATTGGTGGTTGCGGTGGTCCAGGAAGCGGGTATCCTCCAGGTGGGCCGCCGACATATGGGGATCGGCCAGGACTCGGAACTGATGATCGACCGGATTCATTTTTCATTCTAAACGTGAAACTGGCGTCAAGCGGTGGAAACTGAGCATTATAATCCATGGTTCTGAAAAGAAAAAAAACATTAAGAAACTTTCACGTAATAGAAAAAAGCTGTTCTCCCAACCACTACCTACGTAAATGCTACTAGAGCGCAATTCGGGTTGGGAGCCCCCACTTGCATTTCTGCTTTAAACATTTTTTCTAAGATACTCGAGGGCACTGTCTAAGATACTAACCTTTTACAGTTGTCGATACTAAGAACTTGGAGGGGGGCACTTTGACCCGACTTGGTCAGATTGTATTTTTTTGACTGTTTCGCTAAAGTTATTTTACTTTTTCTGGTGTAATCAAACATCTATTGTTAATAAATATTTTTAGACAGTTTTGAACAATTTTTATCGATATTTTGTTGAGCTAGCTGGAGTTTATGAAGAGCTTGAAGCTTAAAAATGAAGAGGGACAAAATACCAAGTGAAAACTTGTTCAAAACACCCTAAAAATATCGCCAATCGATTAAGTGTATTTGATTACCCCAGAAAATGCAAAACCAGACTAGAAAAACGCCTAGAATGTGGCCTGACCAAGTCGGGTCAAAGTGTCCCCCCCCCGAAGTTTATTAGTACCCAGTTGTCAACTAAATCCTGGCTTCTGCGAAGCCTAAGCCTGGTAAAAGTTACGTTAGGTAAAAGTACAGGTAAGTGAAAATAAAAAGTGCCTACCGTAATACCCGTAATAGTAGCGCCCCCGGTACAGTCGCGTAGTCTAACACAACTTTGTGACGCTCGGCTCTCTGCGCTGCTTCGACGAAAAAGGTGCGCTTAGATATCAAAAGATAGCGCTTGAAGCGAAGAATTTTTTGGTACCAACAGTTTATTTTAGAAAAGTCTGGGCGCGTTCAAAAAAATGATTCACTTTAGTGACTACGCGACTGTACGTCATTATGGAGGGGGCACTACTACTACAGGTATTACGGTAATCTTTTTGGAAATGTCGATATTCGGAACCAACATAACCAAGAATAGAAGAACAGCACCATTGTTGTACATATAACATTGTTCGGAGCTCTACCAAGTGGGTGACCCCTACCAGTCAGAAAGGCCTACTGGTTACATTTCTGATCAAATTGGAGCAAAATAAAAAAAAATTTTTCCAAATGTGTCAAAATCTCAAAAATATTTTTTCAATTTCTTTTGCCTCTACCAATCAATTTAAGTTAGAAAATGAATATTTAGTGGTTAGAAATAGTTTTGGCTCTAGTTTTGACATTGAAAAGTGCCCCAATAGTCGGTAGCTTGGGCTCCTCCTTCATATAATGAAGTACACTATAGAAGCGCGCACTTTGGAGTCCCGAAACTTGGCTTAAAACGCATTTCCCCAAGCTCTCGTTCTGTTTTTCGGAATCTACGCATAAAACTACCCCAGAAAAGGTGGTTTTGAAGAAAAAAAGAAGTTCCTACTTTAATTTTCCCTTTGTCCCTTTACAAATTTTCGATTGTTAAGTGTGTAAGTTTCTCACCTCGTTGGGCAATAAGTTTCCCTAGCTCTATTATCAAGTGTACCCCCCTCCGTCTTACTGCCCAGAATTTATGACAGTTACTTGTCCCCGAGTCACACAGCAATCAAGGTATCAAGGTTGTTTTTGAATTTAGAGATTAACTAGCAATTTGAGGAGTACATTTGAAGCAATGAATGATATCCAGGAAATCAATGAAGATTTTAGCAAAATGTGTGGCTAGCTAGGTAGCACTTTGCAGACTTACTTTGTTGGAACCATGCCAACTTTTAACTTGAATTACAGCGGGAACACCTGCACATCATTTCTAGTCATCCTTGGCCTAGAATCAGTTTCTTGTAGTTTCTTGGCTAGCTTTCTAGACTGGATTACATGTTTACTCAATCATTCTTAGGCTTTTTTTCAGCTTAGACATGCTTTAAATCATTATTGCGTTTCAATTTCCTTTGGGTCTTCAATTTTTAGCTAAATTTTGATGTTTAGGAAGCGATTATGTCTGGTGGGACAATTATGGAACATATGACTTCTCTTCCACATCAAAACGATCAAAATACCATCCGATATTTGACACAGTTTGGTGAGTTTTTTACGGACAGTGCAATTTAGTCTAAATGACCAGTTATAGTTTTACTTTGTTATAGTTCAAACTTTAGTTGAACAAGTCAGCGATTGAAATAAAACGGTGCTGACTTTTTGCATTTTAGTCAAAACTCCTTCCAGTGACGGAGATGAAGCCGACATTAAGAAGAAAGAGGAGTCTATAATGGAGCTTGGAAGTATGTTAGCTGCAAACAAACAGACCCAGGAACTTAGAAAGGTTTACAGGTTTTATTTTAAAGCTTCATTTAACTGTAAACTTTAGATGATCGAAAACACTCGCCCATTTTTGATTTCGCTTGGAAAAGCTAAGGCGGCCAAACTGGTTCGAGAGCTTGTCGATCTTTGCCTAATGATTGAAGATCAGGATGGAGAAATAAAGGTAGGTAGATTGTTAAAATTCTTCTAGGCTTTTCATATTCATAATTTAGGTCGAGCTTTGCAAAGAATGCATCCAATGGGCAACCGAACAAAATCGCATCTTTCTTCGTCAAACTCTTCAGGCTCGTTTGGTTCGCCTGTATAATGACCTCGAGCGTTTCCCACAAGCTTTGGCTTTGGGTAAGTTGAATATAAAATTATGTAATTCTGGATTTTTTTTAGCTGACGAACTTGTTCGAGAATTGAAGAAAGTGGACGACAAAGATGTTTTGGTGGAAGTTGAGCTTGAAGAAAGCAAAGCATTTTATAACCTGGTAATTACTAAAAAGTTATTAAAAGAGCTAGTATTCATTTTAGGGCAATATTGGGAGAGCACGGGCGTCTCTTACTGGCGCCAGAACTACTGCTAACTCTATCTACGTAAGCCCTCGGATGCAGGTAAAGCTTCTGGTTTGATATTTTAAAAAAATTATTGTTTAGGCCGCTCTCGATTTACAAGCTGGAATTTTGCACGCTGCAGATAAAAAGGACTTCAAAACTGCATTTTCGTATTTCTACGAAGCGTTTGAAAGCTACAACTCGGTTGATGATAAGAAGAATGCTCTTCTTGCATTGAAATATATGCTGTTGTGCAAGGTATCCATGACTTTTTTTAAAAAAACCAGAAAATGATAGGTGATGCTTGATGTCCCGGACGAAGCCGTTGCTCTTCTCTCAGGAAAAATTGCGCAAAAATATTCAGGAAGTGAGATCGAAGCAATGAGAGCTATCGCAGCCGCTTCAAAGAAAAGATCTTTGACAGAATTTAACAGTGCTTTCGGAAGCTATCGGTAAGTTAGTAATTTTATGTTTTGAATGTAGTCAATTTGAGGGAGGAGCTTCAAATGGATCCTGTCATTAGGAAGCATTTCCACTCACTTGCTGAACGAATGCTTGAGAAAGATCTCTGTCGTCTAATCGAGCCATATTCTTACGTCCAAATCGAGCAAATTGCGAATCTTATAGGAATCGATAGACACACGGTACCTTTGTATATTAACTCATTAATTAAGCAAATGCTCAGGTTGAAAAGAAGCTGGCGCAAATGATTCTGGATAAGAAGTTTATTGGTTCACTACATCAAGGAGAAGGAATGTTAATAGTATATGATGTCGAACTTCCTGATTCTACGTGCGTATTTTTAAATCAAACTGCCAAATTCTATCCTTTTAGATACGACACCTCTCTGGAAACCATTCACGCTTTGGGTGAAGTTGTTGACGTGCTATATCAACGGGCCAGTGCATTGCGATAATTTTGAAAATATGTTATTGAAAAGTATAATTTTGTCAACATTGCATCGGGTGTTTAATTTCTGTTCTGTAAGTCATATTGAGGCAAATAAATGCTTTGTTTAAGTTTCGAATAAGAATCACACAACAATCTAGGTAAACGATTTACCACGGTTAAGTTGCGGCATAGTCGGTGTGCTTGGAACGAAAGAAATTATTTATCAGACTTTTAAAACTATTTTGAGCACACCATTTAGCTAACTTGACAGACAAATAAACCTATTAGTTTGCTGATCCAATTATTTCATACGCGGTGGAGTGTCGGGCTTAGAATTTGTTGGCTGCGTTACTCGGCCACCAGACATTGTTGATTCGAGGTCGTAATAAGAATATTTGTTATAGTGCAAATAGTCGGTTCCACATCTGAAAATCGAGGAATAGTTACTAATTTCAATTAAATCATTTACGTGTAGAGCTTTGGATCTGCCGGCTTGGCAAGTCCCGACTTCTTGTAGCTTTCTGCATGCTCGATTCCGGTTGACGTTTTTGGAGCTGCAGAAGATGCCAAACGGCAAAAATGGTGAAGGATTTTTCCCCTTTGAGCTAGCTGATTCATCTAAAGCTGAAGATAGAATATACAGGGTGTCTGAAAAAATGTGGTCGTCGGTTTTAGTCTGGAAAAATTTTCTATTCACAAAATCATCAAAAAAATCAAATGCATCTTGTTGTGTGACGCCTGAGGCAAAACCATTTTTGACACCACGACGAGCCTTGAAAAATCAACGAGAAAATTTTTTCAAACTCAAACCGATGACCACTTTTTTCGGACACCCTATATATTTAGAATCTTTCTAAGAAACGGACTCCAAGGTGCATATCATGACCAAACTTTTTTTTGTTAAGCTCAGACTATCGATCGAGCGATGAAACTAAGATGGACTTGCTTATCGATCAATAAGCAAGTCTATTTTAAGATAGCCAATCTAGTAGCATGAAAGTAAAGGAACAATTCCTTCATGAAAAGGGCTGTAGGAGGCTGTCAAAGAAGCAGCCTTCCCTAGCGTATTTTGTTTTCTGACGTAATGAGACAGAGAAGGCATTTTGTGCCAATATGATCGATGTATGTAGAATTGGGCGTGCTTTTTGCAACTTTGTGTTAAATTGTTAACTGGTATAACAACTGTGATAACACGGAACTTTCAAATTTATAACCAAAAATCTATAACCAATTTATTACCAAAAATTTATAACCAATATAAAATTTATAACCAGAGCAAAAGTAATTAGGTATGTGCTTTTCGCCTAAGTCAAAACACGACAAAGCAACATGAAGATCATTCACATCGTAACACTTAAAACTTGATAAAAGCATGGCAAATTGAAACAAGAAATTATAAGACAACTTGACACGTATTTTAAACGATATAGAAATTAAGGCAATACACTTCATTACTTCTTTGGAGTCGCGGTTTGCAGTTTGTTGACCACCTAAGAGAAACTTAAGAAATAAAGGTTAGCGAAAAAGTACCTGTTCGATGCTTCCTTCAACAAGTTCGATACATTCATCGTCAGCCAAATGCTCCAATCTGTGTTGAAGAGCCTAGAAGGTGGATTTAACAAGCAGGGTCGCAACAAATACTTACACTCATCATATTCAATAATCGTTGCCGCTTTCCTTCCGGCCGACCTCCACTGCTCTGCGAATAATCCTCATCGTCTCCAACGAATTCTCCTTCTTGGACCATTTGATTCAAAAGCTAAAAATATTGATCGTTATGTTATTTTCAGTAAAGTTAACCTCCGCTTGTTCAAATGGTACGACTTCTTCCTCAACAATTTCTTCAACAAGTTCGTCCATTCTACCATCATTCTTCTTGTCATACAAAAGTTCCATTCCCGGGGGCTTAGCACCATTTTGTCCACTTCCGGAAGCTTCCATGTCAACACTAAATTTTTTAGAACAATAATAAATAGTCCACTCACATTCTAGATTTGTCGTACGAAAGCTCAATCTGGTTGAAGCGCGGATGAATTCCCTGAATGCTATTGGCCCTCTGTCCAAAATCAGCCCAAGTTTCTCCTTCTTCGTCATCAAGTTCATGTCGCACTACAGAACCACCCAGTTCGCATCCCTCGAGGGCCTAATTATTGCTTGTTCAGTCAAAATAACCAAAAAACTACCAATTCCATATAATGTTGTGGTAGTTCTCGTGGTGGGTCAGACTCGCGGGTTGCGTAAATGGCAGACAGCTAAAAAGAATGAACTACCACAGTTATAAAAATTTCCAAATTACCTCGCTCTCATTAAATTCTCTAATACGTTGGATCAAAAAGCCAACATATTCATCGATCCGCGTACACTGTTCACAAGCAATGAAGCGCTCTCGTAACATTCTGAAAGCTAGCTATACTATTATCAAACCGAATGAGCTTACCTGCAAGCAAATTCCAATGTTGGATTATTGTGTTCCGTGAGAGGATTTCGCCCAGATGGCGACCACCGTTTCAAGAATATTGGATCCAATTGATCATCGACATATTGAGCGACCTAAAAGCAATAAGACCAATAAAAAAACAGATTTTACTTCATCGAGTTGCATTTCTCGAAGTCCATCAAACAGTTCATTGATAGTTTGATCAAACACAGCCGAATCCGTTGTCCTGTAACGCATAATATACAAAGCTTCGAGTTTTAACGCTGTACCTCAGCAGTCTTCGAAGCACACAAATGATGCCATACTTATCAACCCTGTTCATAACCAACTGGTCAATGGTTGCAGCCCATTCAGATAGTAAATGCCATTCAGCAAATTGTAAGTCAAGCTCGCCCTAAATTTTCGGGTTGTCAAACAAACTTCGTACTTTTCAATACCTCGCTGAAATGTCCAAAGTATCGCTCAAGCAAGTCAGGATATTCGCTGGAGTAATCTGTCACAAAAGTCGCAACTTCGCCCGACCAACTAAATTTGATCAGATAAGCATTTGGTTAGATTTTTCTTACATGGAAGTAATATGATCCATCAGTGGACGCTTATCACTGCTGTTGCTAATATACAAGGCAGCAATGCGAGGGTTTTGATTCATGTCGAGTACGATTACCAGCATCACGCGCAAATCCCATTCACCCAGCATTAGCCGAACCTAAAGAACTAATATTTTCAATCAATATCTCCTCTGGCCTACCTCTTCCAAGCAGACACCTTTGTGCGCGTATTCTTTCCAAAGTTCTTTCATTTGGCTATCCATCCATCCAACGGATAAGGCATATTGATCTTCTGGAGGAGGCACAATTCCAAAGGACGAATCCTCAGGGAAAAACTAAAAATATATTTTAGTTATAAATGTATCGAGGCTACCTCAAGGTTGTTAAGTAGCACGTTCAGCGATTTTCGTTCATCGCCATCCATAACAAATTGTCGAACAAAGTCCACGGGGCGCAATCTCGGCTCATATCCAGCAGCAGAAAGACCCTCGATTTCTAAAATAAGTCTGACAGTATTAAAAAAACACAGCGGTTTCCAAGAAACAGGAAAAGACAGTACCTCGCAAACGATCAATAATCAAATCAAGTGGTGTGTTCTCCTCCATCATGTAAAGATATTCATCCATAGCTTCGCGCTCAATAGGAGACAATCTGAAAGAATAATCATTAGTGAATTGATATTTTTAAGCAATACCTCAACAGAGCCGTTCCCAAACGGTGTCCAGTATGTTCAACGCAACCAATAATCGAAAGCCGTCCATCATTCCAGTGCATCACCTAAAATAGCGCCAAATTATGATTTTAAAACGTACCCAACATTGCAAAACGTAGATTAATCTTTCTAAAAAAATTACCCGTAAAATAAGTAGATTAATCTTTCTAAAAAAATTACCCGCAAGAAAGCAGCACAGTTTCGGCCGCATTTGTCTCTTCGTCGGAAATGCTTTGCATGACGAGGTTCGTACAAGCCCATTGGATCAAGCTTTTTATCATATCCTCTTGCAGGGCAATAGCCTCCACTTCTAGCGCAGTACAAATAGAGAATCTAAATAATAAGTTACTGAGGTTATCGCTGCTTAACTATTACTTGATAATTAGGGCCGTTCTTAACGCCCATCTTTTTGATGAAATCAATTGAGAAAGATTCTTGCACTGCTTCGAACCAATCCTAAATAATAACTGATGATATTATCCTCAAAATAAAATTACCTCATAATCACGAACGTCCGAGAATTCTCTTTGAACAATGCCTCCAATCTTGTGCTCAACGACCATGTGATCCACGAAAAGTTTGTGAGAAGTCATCGATGAGCCACAATCCGTACATGGAATCTTAAAAAGAAGGCTTTATGATATCCATAAAAAACTTACGTTTCTTGGAGTGTAAATTGGGTTGACAAATCCGGGATGTTCTCGACGCATGTGCACTGCTCTAGTCGATCGACTCATGCCTCTCCAGCCGCATTCCTCCACATGACAATGATAACGTCCATTCGCAACATATCCTCCCTAAAAAAACAAGCTTTTACAGTGTTACAGTCAAAAAAAATTATTGACCGGTCAGTGTTCACTTGATCCATAGATCACATCCACAAATAGTTTTATGTAGCATTTTCAAAGCTTGTTAACATGAACCTTTTAGCTTTTCGATCTCCTTTGAGCTGAGTTTTATGATCGAAAAACCTTATTTGAGCATACTTTTAACAATCTGTATTTCAGTAATGAATGGATCCCATTGAAAACGTTTCCAATTAACGTTTCCAATCCAATGGCATTACTTATTTATTAGTTTTGTTCTGGTGAAAGTGGAAGGTGGCAGTTTTGAAGCCTTGAACTAAATCTGAGAAAAAGGACATTACCCTCTTATGCAAAAGTAGCTTGAAAAATTCTATTTAGAGCGACATCAAAAATCTAAGAATACTACAAAAAACTCATTGGGATGGATTTATTTAAATGCGATCTAACGGGAGAAAAATGAGAAAACATTAGCCAGCCAAGAGTTTTTTTGATGGCTATATGCAAATTTAGGTGTTCTTACGTTTGCTGCGCGTGTTCTCTTTGGAACCCATCCCTTGTGTTGAGTTTTCATGTGATTGGAACGGCTGGCACTAAAGATTAAAAATAATAGCAAAATTTAAAATGCAAACTTTACCGGTAGTTTCCTCTCCAAGGACAGCCATCAATGAAACATGAGTACCGCGCATTGACATCGTTAGCTGGGAGAACAGTACCGTCGCGCGCAATACGCTAAACAATACAAAAATGTTGAAATACATCATCTAACTCACATTAAGCACAAAGCGAGGAGGTCGAACCCAATCTGGATGAACATTTCGCATATGAGTGCATCTAAAAAACAAAATTAAATAGGATCGTTGCCAAAGTTATTCAAAACAAATTTCCATTAAAATGCTCACCTGACTGAGCGGAAGTTGCCTCTCCATTTACAACCTTCAATATAGCATGGATAACGACCATTTGGATCGCCAAGTGGATTATGTCGAGATGGTCTTGTTCTCGGGACCTAAAGCAGTAATTAGTTGGCGTAATAAAAACCATCAAACATTTTGTCCCATTGCACTTCTGTACATCAGATGTTTATTATCTTCATAAAGTTCGTCGTGTTGTCCTTCGACGTCAATTTCCTGAAAAATATGTTTATAATTGGCCCAGAAAAAAAATGTCACTATCAGTAGAAACGGAAATTTCTAGCATCCATAAAAATAATTACATCAAATTCGGCTCCCGAGCTGTATTCAACCTCCTCAATTTGTACCTCCACGTCCAAATTCATCATAGAGTCGTACGTTGGAGCTGGAAAAATCAATATCATTAACGGTAAAAAAACAAATAAAAGATCACGAAAGTCAATAATTAATGAAGAGTTTGGTGTAATAAAGCGCTTGTCTCGGTCTAACTCTAGATAGATGAACAACTTCCATGAAGTAGGAAAAAAAATATTAAAGCATTGGTACTTTCCCAATATCGGGGGAGGCACTCCGATTTTTTTTATTTGTGCCGGAGGCCTCCGGTGGTGCTCCCCCCTCGATACTGAGAAAGTATCGAGGGGGGAGCACCACCGGAGACCTAAAACCTACTAATATTTCATCGGTAGTAAAATTAGACCTAAAACCTACTAATATTTCATCGGCAGTAAAATTTAAAACGGTATTTTTGAAAAAAAATCACAAGGGTCCCCCACATAGATTTTTTTGGAGATTCAAAGGGGGCCGCGGGTAAGAAAATAATTTCACTTTTAAACGTGTTTTTTGTACGTTTTGGACAAAGGGCCAGCGTTTAAAAGCTTTTAAAGAATTTTAAATTTTTGTTTCATCCGGTCCCCCCTTATCTACTTTTTGGGTCGACCGATTTTGAGGGGTTGAAAATAGAATGACATTCTAATACAGCATTTACGGTGTATGTTAAATGGACCATAGAACAAAATTGCAATTTTACAATTCGGTAAATTTAAACGAACTATGAAGTCTAAATTTTTTTCTTAAGTTTATTTCGTCTTTTCCTAACTCATCTTGTCCCAAAATTCTCCAAAACTGATCGTGAGGGTTCTTCTATGACAAACCATAAGTTCCCGGTGCACCTCGTCGAAGATTCTTGTCAAGATGGGGTGGTTCTTCAATGTACTCATCGTTTTCGGACAAAATTTGTTCCTCCATATAAGTCCTTTGAAGACTGTCTCCAATATTCACGCCCCCATACGGGTTTTTGTCCACGGAAACATCGAGATTAGGCTGAATTATTTTGATCAAAAATTTTAGATTCACTTGCAAACCATTGCCACTTGCGGGTCGAGAAGAACGGCGTCATGTGGACGTCGCGGAAGTGGACCTCGGATTGGAGACCGAAGAATTTGATGACTCATGTGCCTAAAACAAAACCAAAACCAGTTTAATCGATCTTTTTCAATAAACTACTTTTTGTCGCTCTCATCATCTGGCGGAAGCGCATGAATTTGACGGCGTTTACCAATTGGAATGCTGTCTTCTTTCATTTCAGCTCCTTCCATGATATATGTGGACCCAGGATCATCAATTTCATCGGGTATTATAATTTCTTCCTCAACAGTGTTGATGATTTCCTCAGCAACAACATCTTCGACATTCATAAAGTCGATTTCCGGCTAAATAGTTTTATTTCATTTCCTTTTTCAGAAAGTGTTTACTTTCTTGGGTTGTCGTCCACGCTTTTTCGGTGCAGGTTCTTCTCGTGATGGTGATGTTGGCAAAATTTCGGTGACTTTGGCTTTTCTTCCTTTCATTCGTGGGGCTTGTGGAGGTTGTTGTTGGGGAGAAGAGCTTGATGGACCAGCCACATCACTTACATGTAGAGTTTCAACAATTGGAGCACGCGGTGCCTCAGGATCGACTTCTTTTTTGATCCACTAATAAAAAAATAGCTTTGTTTTCGGCTAAGTCAACCTACCTTCAGCCCGGGGTGCTCGTTTCTGACATGAGCTAGCATGGAAAAGTTGTGTTGATCGGTATAGTCACAATATGGGCATTGATTCCTGCAAAGAAACTCGATAAAAATTTTTTCAACTATGTTTCATAAAGTCAAACTCACGTTTCATTCTCAGCATGTCTGCCGGATCGGCGCCTAGAATCCTTCGCAGCAGCTGCCATAATCGATGGATTTGGTTGAACTGTTGGCGGTGATCCAAGAATTGCAGGTTCGGTTGGTGATTGTAAACCTCCTCTTTTTGTCCGACCGCCTCCTCGCTGAGTGAACTCTGAATAAGCTCTTAATTTTGAGTTAAAAATGAAAATGACCAATTAAATAGCTTAAAACTTTAGCTTTTAAAGAAATTGTTTTATTCAAGACACTAACAAAAGACTAGTGATTTTTCAATTTTTCTGCAATTTACCATTTGGTGGTGTGGCTGCTGCCGAATCGTCTGTCGAGGTGGCACCTCGACGTCTGGTCGACATTCTAAAAAATTGTTACAAGATTATTGTTAAATGAAAATCTCCAAAGGTTTGTTTTTCGAAGAATCTATTAAAGCAAAGCTACTATTATTTGGCGAAAAAGTCATAATTGAGAAATGTTAATGCTTTTACTTAAGAAGGCAAAAAAAATTTGAATACATCACTAAAATAATTGTTTAGAGTATGAAAATGGTAGAGCGAAAACGTGAAACGCAAAATTTCGTTGGGGCATTTCAAAACCGACGCGCGATTAGTAGTGCCGCGACGCACGAAAAGAGCTACCGTAACCCGAGAATATCGATTCCAGGAACCCCTCTAAAACCACCCACCAGCTCCATTTCTGCAGTAATAGCGAGAAAATAAACAAAATTCAGGAAGCTTTTAAAAAAACAAAGTTTGAATATCGCGTAAATGAATAAAAGTACATGTGTTACATTTAACAGTGGAAGGCGGAATTTGTGAAGAAGGGAAAAACAGGGGATCCTGTGAACGGGTATAGGCATATTACGCACACAGCTCACTCCTAAGCAAATAATTGTTGAGATTTGAAAAAGAAATGTGAAAAGGTTTATTATTAAGTGATTTATAGAAATTTAATCAATACTTTTGAACGAATTTGAGCCAATTAAAAGCAAATTTTGAAGAGTGATGGAGTAGAAGCAGATGTAAATGGTCTGCGGATACCCAATTGACCAAGAGCATTGGATTTCCGAGATCTGGCAGTCATACTGTTAATGTTCTACCTTTAAAAGATCAAGGTTTTGGATTTGGTTTTATTCTGAAAAATCTAAGAATTTAATTGGCTTATAAATAAGTTTAAATGAATGATGCAATCCCCTTCGTTTCTTTCTTGTGATATCCAACTTTTTAACAAGCGTTTTATGTTGATCAAGTTTTTTTTATTCAATTTACAAAATATTGAGCATCAAAGTTGTCAATTACATAATGATTTGTAATCGTTTTGACATTTGAATTGAAATTGAATTGACAATTGAAACGAAAAGTAGATAAGCAAAAAGCATGTTGAGAATATGAACGTAAAATTTTTTGTTTCTTTTTTAGATTATTTGACAGAACATCGTTATCTTAATTTGTTGCGGTAGGATTTGGCTTCATGTTGGAAATCATTCGCGTTACCGCATCGAAGATAATTTCCCTAGATACAATAAATCTGAAAATTTCTTTTCCGTAATTTCCCTGCAGCAAAATCGTCATCAAGTTGAACACCCCCGAAGAAGGAAATCTTTCTTCGTGGCCACAGTGTTTGTGATTTGAATCCCACATTTGATTTGTAAAAAGATTTGATTGTGGGGGAGTAAAAGATTTGATTGTGGTGGAACAGTCCATCCCTAAATCCTTGTGTACTTTCAAATTAAAATCTCAAAATCAGTAGCAAATCCTCTATTCTAGTAAGATAAAATTACTGAATCTCACAAAAAGCAATCGCTCGGGACTCCTTGCAACATGGCAAGTTCTTTGTTCCTAACAGTGGTATGAATCTAGAAATAAAAAGCAAAAAATTTTCTGAGAGGGGAATCCGACAATTGCCAGTAAAATGGGGGGAGTCATCGCAAATAATGGAGACCATTTCGATTAAACTGCTCTCTTTGGTTGTCAATAAATATTGTTTTGAATTTGTGGTCAAGACTTAATTTATAACCTAATACCTTTCCACGTCTAATCGTTTCGAATGGGCACTCGTTTTCGTGGGTTTTGCCCATTCTCTTGTGAGATTTCTAAATTTGCAAGAATAATCTTGATTCTTTATTTCCCTTTCTTCCTTCCACAATTTGTCGAACTAGCAAAAAGATTAAAGTAATTAGGTATGTGCTTTCGCCTGTCAAAAACAACATGAAGATCATTCACATCGTAACACTTAAAACTTGATAAAAGCATGGCAAATTGAAACAAGAAATTATAAGACCTTACAACTTGACACGTATTTTAAGCGATACAGAAATTAAGGCAATACACTTCATTACTTCTTTGGAGTCGCGGTTTGCAGTTTGTTGACCACCTAAGAGAAACTTAAGAAATAAAAGTTAGCGAAAAAGTACCTGTTCGATGCTTCCTTCAACAAGTTCAATACATTCATCGTCAGCCAAATGCTCCAATCTGTGTTGAAGAGCCTAGAAGGTGGATTTAACAAGCAGGGTTGCAATAAATACTTACACTCAACATATTCAATAATCGTTGCCGCTTTCCTTCCGGCCGACCTCCACTGCTCTGCGAATAATCCTCATTGTCTCCAACGAATTCTCCTTCTTGGACCATTTGATTCAAAAGCTAAAGATATTGATCGTTATGATATTTTCAGTAAAGTTAACCTCCGCTTGTTCAAATGGTACGACTTCTTCCTCTACAATTTCTTCAACAAGTTCGTCCATTCTACCATCATTCTTCTTGTCATACAAAAGTTCCATTCCCGGGGGCTTAGCACCATTTTGTCCACTTCCGGAAGCTTCCATGTCAACACTAAATTTTTTTAGAACAACAATAAATAGTCCGCTCACATTCTAGATTTGTCGTACGAAAGCTCAATCTGGTTGAAGCGCGGATGAATTCCCTGAATGCTATTGGCCCTCTGTCCAAAATCAACCCAAGTTTCTCCTTCTTCGTCATCAAGTTCATGCCGTAGGCACAATATGGACATTGATTCCTGCAAAGAAACTTGATAAAGCTTTTTTCAACTATGTTTCATAAAGTCAAACTCACGTTTCATTCTCAGCATGTCTGCCGGATCGGCGCATTCTGGGAGAATCCTTCGCAGCAGCTGCCATAATCGATGGATTTGGTTGAACTGGTGACGTGGCTGCTGCCGAATCGTCTATCGAGGTGGCACCCCAACGTCTGGTCGGCATTCTAAAAAATTGTTGCAAGTAAGATTATTGTTAAATGAAAATCTCCGAAGGTTTGTTTGTCGAAGAATCTATTAAAGCAAAACTACTCTTATTTGGTGAGAAAATCACTAGAAGTGAGAAGGCAAAAAAATTTTGAATACAGTCCGTTGGGGAATTTCAAAACCGACGCGCTATTATTAGTACCGCGACGCACGAAAAGGGCTAACTTAACCCGGGAATATCAATCCCAGGAACGCTCTAAAATCACCCACCAGCTCCATTTCTGCAGTAATAAGGAGAAAATAAAAAAAAAAATTCAGGAAGCTTTTAGAAAAACAAAGTTTGAATATCGCGTAAATGAATAAAAGTACATGGGTTACATTTAACAGTGGAAGGCGGAATTTGTGAAGAAAGGAACAACGGGGGTGAGAACGTATATAGGTGTATTACGCACACAGCTCACTCCTAAGCAAATGATTGTTGAGATTTGGAAAAGAAATGTGAAAAGGTTTATTATTAAGTGATTTATAGAAATTGAATCAATACTTTTGAACGGATTTGAGTAAATTAGAAGCAAATTTTGAAGAGTGATGGAGTAGAAGCAGATGTAAATGGTCTTGCGGATACCCAATTGACCAAGAGCATTGGATTTCCGAGATCTGGCAGTCATACTGTGAATGTTCTACCTTTAAAAGATTAAGATTTTTGATTTGATTTCATTCTAAAAAATCTAAGAATTTAATTGGTTTATAAATAAGTTTAAATGAATGATGCAATCCTTCGTTTTTTTCTTCTGAGGTCCACCTCGTGGGAAAAATTACGGAGGGAAACCTTTCCCGAACACCATCACCTAGCGGGAAATGAGAGGTAAATTTCCCGCGGGGAAGATTCCCTCATACCATCACCAAATCAAGTTTCCTGCTCATTTAGCAAAAGGCCCTTTTCCCCGTAAATTTTGAGCACCTTTTAGGAAATGAAAATTAGATTCTAGATTAAATGCAAAGTTGCTAGCATTTCTCGCGCATTATCACATTTCCCGCGGGAAAAATTTACCGCAGGCAATTTGCCTCTGAGGTGATGGTCGCGGGAAAACTTGAGGGAATCTTGAGGGAAAAATCGGTATCATCACCTAGTGAGAAATCTCCTTTCCCGCAAGGTGATGGTTCGGGCTCTAGAAGTGTTTCATAAAATAGTTTTATAAAAGATTTCATCTAAAGCTTGGCTAATGTTTTGTTTTATCACAAAATTCAATAAAGATATCTAGAAGGGGTGTTTTGAAGTTTTGAACACAAAGCACGCCCAGAATAAGAGCAGGTTTCTTTTTCTGCATCTTACCGAGCAAACACTTGATTTGTTGAAAGTCGCTTCAATTTGTTTTTAAAGGATTTGATTGTGGTAAAACTATTTATCACTTCCGAACCCCACATCGATTTCCTCTCCATTTGTCAACTTTTTCTTTTTTACACTAGAATTATAAATTCAAAAGAGAATTCAATAGAAATTGGCTACTTATTGTATATCGTAAAACGTGGAGTCCAAGCCTCTGTGGCTGGCAGGTATACAAATGTAGTGGCCGAGCTTTTCCGGATCAAATTTCAGCCTCGGATTTTGCCAAGCCTAAGCTCCAGGGCTTGTTATGAGATCACGCAAAAAGGATGTTGGTTTACCTCTTTTGATATTACAAAAAAACTATTACAAGTATATTTTTTGTATCCAGTTTGTATCCAGTTTGTATACAGTTTGTATACAGTCTTTACTTTTCATTTTTTTTCGATACAAATTACATTGCTTAATTTTTACCAAAATTTCTGCCACGCCTTTCGATGGAGTCAGATAGAAATCCTTTTATTAATGGCAGTTTCAAATTGAGCACCCAAAAGAAGACAAAGCAAAAGAAGGCAAAAGGAAGGAAAATGAAGAAAAGAAAGCTTAAATACATACAGATAAAGATCATTGGTTCATTTTCTCAAGAATTGGGATAATCTGATCGAACCCTGGCCGTCGACCGGGATCCTCGTTGAGGCAAATGTTCAACAAACGATTCATCGCACGTGAGATGCCGGGTGGAATCGACACTCGTAAACCCTCTAATGCGATCTGGAAGGAAATGTTTCTATATAAAAAGAATTCTATTTAAATGGTTTAGTTAAGTTGAAACATACAATTACTGTAGATGTTAGCACTTTATATTAGACTGAGAAAATCTTTTCGTAGTATTTGAATTCCTTATGAGCAAACCTTCATTCCACATTCCATCGGTGAAAGATCGGCCAACGGGACCTCTCGGGTGTTCAATTCCCATAAAAGGATTCCAAATGACCACATGTCAGCAGCTCGTACATTTAGTTGATCTGGTGATCGTTGCAAGGCTAAAAAGTTGTCTTGTTTTATTAGAGAAAATATTTCTTTCATTCAATTTGTAACGAAATTTTGAATTTCAATCCACCTTCCGGACTAAACCAAGCCGGTGAGTAGATGCGGCCGACTTCTTGGAATGAAAATTTCGTGTCAGCCATACTGATTCGCGCATTGAGCTCTTCATCAACAACCACATGCTTTGAAGACAAATGGTACCTGATTTCAAAAGTTGATTATTATTTGCAAATCTTTTTACCTAAGAATAAGTGGATCAAGGGAATGCAAGTAGCTCATTCCACGAGCAACGTCCAACGCAAAACGAAGCGCTTGCGCATTGTCGATGACAACAGCTGAAAGTAGAGTGTGTTCCTCTCAAGTAAAGCGTCTTAAAATGCATCTATTTGAGAAATGTATCGTAGTCAAACCATTAGTTTACATACGATCAGCTCAATTTTTATCTCATTGTCTGAGCCATGTGATTCCTGATCGAATGCTACCAAAATTGAGCTGATCGGATGTGTAAACTGGCAGTTTGACTACTGCATTTTCGAAAACGCGTTACTCGAAAGAGCTCTTGTTTTGGTCTCTAGCTGAGAGTTCTTATTTTTGTCGATTTTTTGAAACTCTTACAATTTTGCCCATGTAGCACGTTGAAAAGACTGCCAAATGGCATGTATTGACTGATGACAACAAGGGATGGCGGTTGATTTGCACAAGCCAACACTGGGCAGATATTTGCATGAGCGAACACTCTCAACGCTGGGCACTCCGTTTGGAAATCTCGACTTATCCTGGCGGTCACCTCCGGAATCGCAAGAACCTAGAGCATGAACTTAACTTTAAAAAAGTCATTTTTTTCTGATTACTCTAGCAACAATGTCGTTTCCTTGCCATTTTCCTCTCCAAAGCTCTCCGGAATGGGATTCAGCAATCTGAAATCTTTCATGAGGTGTCTTTCATCTTTCAACAAACCTTCGAAAGCAAGTTTAGACTGCTAACATCAACACCTGTGTATCGTGAAAGAGTGGCATCTCTAGAAAGAGATTTTCTTTAGGCTAAATTGACCATAACAAACCTTGTTCGACTCTTTGTACCTTTCCACGTCTGATCGTTTCGAATCGGGACTCGTTCTCGTGGATTTTGCCCATTCTCTTGTGAGATTTCTAAATTTGCAAGAATAATCTTGATTCTATTCCTTTTTACCTTCTACAACTTGTCGAATCTTCGGTGTGGCCACGTCAATCGGTGTCTGTCCCATTTTGTTGCACTGTGAGACAAGAGAGCCCGATTGTATCAAATCCTAGAATATTAAGATTAACGATAGTTAGAGGTGTCTTTGATAAATTTTGATTTTTAAAGAAGCTCTTACCTCAGCAATATCTTGATGTCCATTGAAACAAGCATAATGCAATGGGGTCATCCCGTGCTCGTTCACCGCATTCACATCCGCTTTTCGATTGATTAGCTTCTAAGAAATGATCTTTACAATAAAAGTTTTGTGAGAAAAGACAAAAGCTGCCTAGTTGCTTAGTTTAATAGAATCAAATCTCAATAAACTCACTTGCACAATTCCCCGATGTCCATGCGAGGCAGCCAAATGTAGTGGAGTGTCATCGCCCATATTTGTCGCATTCACTCTCGCTCCTCGTGCCAACAACATATCAGCTAAATTTTGTTTTAGCCCAGTACAGAAGAAAGATAAATAATTCTTTTATAAGACTAACCAATCGATAATTGTCCTCCTTTGGCCGCCCAATGAAGCAATGAGAATGCATGATCATCTCTGAAATAATTTTCCCCATAAATTCAATTCATATCCTTTTCTTTACCCGACGTTGAGATCGTGTTCGTGATCATCTAACCAATAGCGAACCTAGAAGAAAAAAAAAATCTATGTTTTCCTTCGAATTTCGTTTAACGCATAAAACTTACCTTTGTCAAAAAGTTCGCTGTTGTTATATTATAAAACAGAATGAATCATTTACCTGAAAAGCATTTCCCTCTCGCACCCATCCGAAAACATCTTCCATAATAATTGGCACATTCGGCTTGTGCTGGTGGTATCGTGCCGAAAGCGCCATCGCTGCACCGATTTAAAAACCCAACGTTTTCAACAAGATCTGGAAAATCGTATTTTTATTAAGTGAAATGTGATGCTACAAAGAGTATCTACAAGTTTTCTTTAAAAATTTCCTAAGCAAACAAGCAAAGTAAGCTTATTTTCACTAAAAATCTCAATAAAACGTTTTGATATGACACATCAATTTTAAACGAAGAAAGAAGAGAAGAAACGAATCGCTTTGATTAGAATATCTACAAGTGTTGTAGAGGGGCAAATAAACGGGGAAGAAAGTTGTTGGGGTGAGACTCGTATTCACGATGCATTCATTTGTCGTCTTTTTCCCCTTATTCCTTTTCGATTTGTGCACTCTTTTTGGCGAAAGGCCAATGCGTGGGGGAAAAGGAAGAAAGGCACAAAACAAGGGAAAAGCCAAAAGAGAGAATGGCTGTGTAATATACGCTAGAGGCGTCGTTTCACCAAAAATGAATCGACAAAAATCGTTATCCCAAAAATTTAGCGCAAAGTTGAGAATCAAAAATCTCGGAAGAATGTTTAGTAAGCAAAAGAAAGGATCAATATTGGCGGTTGAGGAGAGTTTTGGGTGGATCTCTCTTTTTGCATTGTTACACATTGCCAGAGGCTTTAAAACGCTAGAAAGATCCTGAAAAAGTCATGCAACGCTTTTTTTTAGACTCTTCAATTAATAAACTAAGAAAATATTATCCTCTGTGCATTAAAAAAACAATGGTAATCCAGAAATTCTTTCCTACCAACTAGTTATTACACTTTATCTAGAAACGGTTTAACTGCTCCAAGTCTCATCCTTAATATTCAAAGAAGCTTCAAAACTATTTGAGAAGTCAAAAATATATGAAAAGATAAGAACAAACTCCAAAAGTAATCTCATAAAACTATTCCACACAACTTATTTCAACGAGAATCTGGAATCGATTAAGTATCTCGCTTAAAATGGAATCGGAATCGATTGTCTCGCTTAAAATGACAATGTTGTGCATGTGCAATGACGAGGCAAGAGTTGAAAAATTCACTGACTAACACACAATCGAGGAAAACGACCGAAAGATGTCCGTATAAAAATGAGGAAAAAGGAAGGGGGGAGGGGTGAATGTGAGGGAGGAACAGCCGCCCTTCCCTCCACACCCCTGACAATCAATCGATTCAGTGGCTACTCTTTGAATATTCCATAAATGATTAATCATGAATATAAGGAGCCAGAAAAATACAACGACCTGAGAATGAATTCTGTATAAGATGTGCATTTACGGTTTTGATGAGAATTTCTTAAAAATATTTACTATCAAACTAAAACTTGAGAGCTGAAAGCAACAAAATAGTCTTTTCCGCAGTCGAACTCGACTTTAGCGGCGTAACCTCATCAAATCCAGTTCACCTAAACAAATATTGTTAATTGTTAATTGGATTTTTGATTTGTTAAAATTGGCAAAATAGGGAAAAAATAACACAAGCCTTTCAAGGAGCCACACCGTGTCAACGTTCCCATTAGTGTAAGAACATTGATAACATTTTCGTACACTAAAGAGAACTGGTTTAAGTGTGGTAACAAGCTACTAACCTCATAAATATTTCAAACTAAGTATCTGCCAGGAAGTGTTGAAATCAACCAAATATTTCTAAATTTAGATTTTCAAGTTGAAACAAAATGACATACTTGTCCAACAACGTGTGACTTCAAGCGGAACGGATTTTCATCAGCATCATTTGCGTCTAAATATAATAAAAGAGACTAAAAGAAATGTTATTATCAACGTGTGCATTTTAATGAAAACACGATATTTTTGACAAAACATGTTTATACCTTTATTTCTCTCATCTCCATCAGATGAGGCCAATGATGGCAAGTCGGCGTCGGAGTCTTCTCCCGATAAGCTACTGTTTGTCTCAACTTCACCGTTCTCTTCAATGTGAACTTTTAATGAAACTAAATACCATATATCAAAAATCATTGAATACCATTTAACTTACTAGTTTCATTTTTAACTCGTCGTAAATGGCTTTGTTTATTTTGCGTTTTTTTCTAAAAACTGAGAGTAGAGTAAATAATAAACTATTTACCGCGGTTGCTACAAGACGTTTATCAAAATGAAAATCTCCCGCTTTATCCACATCATTAAATGATTTTGCGTTTGCGTGAAAACTAAAAAAAGGAAAATAGAGTTAAGTTAAATAAACCTACTCGACGTAATTATTGTCACCTAGATGATCAACAATACCAATGCTGATTGGGTCCTCCATCTCAATAGCCTTCTTTAAAGCAGTCAACCTGTCAAAAATAATAATAAAGTCATAATAAAAATGTGTATTTACTTTTGATTGTCGAGAAGGCGAATTTCCAAAAGCAAAAAAGCGGCGTAAAGCACCGGGGGATCTTCACCGATAATCAACGCAAACGAATCGAGCAGATCCGAAAAGGAACGAGAAAACGCACACTTTGCTCGGCTAAACAAATCAGTATTGAAATTTAGCATAAACTTAGTTCTAAAATTTTCAAACACCAACAAGCAATTTATGATTAAACTAGATTTTAATTGCTTACGTCATAGCTTTTATCGCATCATCAAGATTCAAAACAAAATCATGACGATTTGGACGAAAGTTAGAGCCCATTGACAATACGCCAGAGCAAAATTCTGGTCGTGGGTAAATCTGAAATTTGAAATCACAAAGCTAACCTATTAAACTCTTACTTCATAATTGCTGGAAAGGAAACTGTCATCTTCATCTTGCGCATCCAGAATATCAACTTTCTAAAAAAGAAATGAAATTTGAGAACAATGTCAAGTAACAAACCGTATAATCTTCAAATAGGACTTCAGCAGCTTCAGCGTTAATCGAATCCCCGGAATCTCTTTGCAACTCTCGCAAATTCATGGTAGAGTCGGCAATAGTGCCTACCAGAGGAGCTAAAAGTAAATATTTTTAGTTTTTGAACCATAAAATAAATGCATAACGCATAAATATTAAAAAAAATCAAGATACAGAGATAAACTAAACCTACCGTAGATATTCAAATGTCCTAGCCCGTAAATCCTGCCGTCAGCTTTTTCCAATAACGGTTTCTCGCAATCTCTAAACAAATATCTTTAGAATTCTCAATCAATTACTTTCCAAAAGCAAAGCAATCTTGTATTCTATCACCTTTTTAAAGTTTTATTTCCTTGGAGACCTTTGAAATGCTGCCGGTTATTTCTGACAGATAGACGATTGCGTTCTCTAAAAAATATGACCCTAATCCGTGGATTAGAAGAAACAAACCTCTCAGATTTTAAATCGTACTCGTAAAAATATAGAAAATCATGGTCGAGAGGCAACTTCTGATCAAATGTTGCTCTGAAAAACGGAACCTCACAATATGATTAAAGCCAAACCCAATAGAAAGCAGTGACTCGAGCGAGTAATCTCTGTAAAATTGAATTCGCATTTTCAGTTGCCAGAGCCATCGTGAAAACCGAAATCCTGCCTAAATGATAAGGAAATGTTTTCCGTTGAAAACGCCATGTTATTAGTCTTAAAAATGCAAAACTTACTTTGGATTTATATTCTTCTTGATTATCGAGTCCGAATGTTAATTTTAACGCCAGTACTATCAACGCCAATGCTTTGGTCTCGGGCGCAAAGAAAACACTAAAATGTTGCTTTCGCCAAAAAAAAACAAGGGAAAAAACCCACTCCCTATTTAGTCTTGACATCTTCAAGTGCATCGATAGTTCTTCGACGTCTCCAAATATTCGCCCAAAGCAAACGTCAAAATTTACATTACTGAAGGGACCTTTGAGGCTTAGATGGTCCAAAAACTCGCCCTGAACTAGTTTATATAATTTGCACTAGTTTCAAAAATCATACCTTGTAAACACTGCCTTGCTTTTGAAGTTCTTTTAAGCTAACGACAAAGGTGAGATCCAATTTCTTCATAAAATGCTTCACCACTGCCAATAAATCGTTTGGAAGATTGAGGCTATTTAAAAAGCGAGAACACATCTAAAACAAACTATTATAGATAAAAGTTAAAATTCCATCCCACCTGAAGACTGGGAAGAATCAACTTTTGCTCCGGCAAGTTCAGCAACTGGCAAAGAAGAGAGAAAACACGAAAAAACTCACTAAGTGGAAAAGCCTAGAAGGTTAACTATTCACAAAAGACTCATGGGAAACCCGTACTTACTTTTGGATCGGCTTCACGGACATAATTAACGGAAATCTCGACTGGAACAAAGAAACGATCTTCACGCAACCATCTGTAATTTTTTGATCAGATTAGAAAAATTTATCTCAAAGGTACCTAACAAAATCATGCAGTGTCACCAAGTGGAGTCCACATCGTAGAGCAGCAAGATAAAATATGGCCATAAGGTGTCGAATCGAAAGATGGATACCTAAAAATAAAAGTTCGCTTTTATCCCTTTGTATTCATACGCATATATTTTCTTGGTCCTTCTTCGTCCCCACAAAAAGCGACTTTCAAATATGCAAGGTATCGCTGCCAAATATGATAGCAATGCGTCTAAAGACTGAAAGTTGATTATTTAAAGCAGAAATGTTAATTACCTCAAAAGCTTGTGGGAATTTCATCTCGGTCAGCAACACAGAAACCCCACGGACTATTGTGATCGAAAAAGAAAGTAAACGAGCAGAAAACTAAAGCCTTTTTTTTCAATGAAATGCTTTAAAAGCACACCCGCTCGATAAATCTGCCACGTTCCGGCTCCGTAGAATATTCGGCAACGTTTATGTACCTTTTCATTCTTTCATAAATTTCCTGATTATAGACCTTCTCTCCATATTGCTTTTGAGGAGTTGCCTGATCGAGGTTAGCTGCTACTGCCTAAAAACAGATTTTTATCATGTTTAGTGGAAACGAAAAGCGAATCAATAGCAAATTTTTACTTGCTATTGATTCTGCTACTGTTTAAAGTCTATTTTAACATGGGTCTACCTTTGAGAAATAGCTAAATTTTGGCTTCACATAGTTGTCAAGTTCATCAGAACTCCTTCTTTGCCGCTTTCTATTAACAGCTTGTGCAGTAGGTTCAGATGCTAAAAAAATGATGCTTTATAATTTAAATGAATATCACTGCCTTTGACTTTGATTCCAAGAGTTAGTAATAAAAATATTATCGTTTTGCTTATTTTTTTATACTTGCAGAAATATAAAAAAACTCCAACCTGTTCGTATTTTCATTTTGGTAGCTGTCGGCAACGCAAATAAAATATCAGCATCGGTTTCTTGGACTTGGGTCGACTAAACAAAATAAAAATTATCAATCTTTACAAAATCTAAGCATTTAACAATTGTTTTACCTGTGATTGAGTTGAGCAAATTCGGCAAAACATGATGCCATCCATTTCGTCGAAATCTCGTGAACCGCATTCCATACACTCCATTTGCACCTACAAAAAGAAATATCGATTTTTTTAAAAGCATACAAAAGAAATATTTAAAAGTTCAACATCTGATTAGCATAGGTATTTTCAAAGGAGCAATTTTTGAGCGTTTATGGTAAACTTTGTACGCGAATGTCCAAAAGAAAGGATCTTTCTCTTTTTAAGGCTCATCAATTTTTAAGATTGAAGGAAAATCAAGGAAATTTTGATTGACGAGCTTTATCCAAAATATGAGGACATTGCAAAGAAGTGCAAGTAAAATTTGAAAAGAAAAGGACCTATTCTAGACCAGGGTTGTTGGGGGCGGTCTTCTCATCAGTAGAGATCCCCGAGTCAAAGAAGGAATAAAAGTCACGGTTAAAGTAAAAAGAAAAAGCGAGTTGTATGTAAAATTCGGAATTAGTAACTGCGAAAGTCGAATATACAAAAGTGAGAATGAGTGCATGCGATTAAAATTGTAAATAGGTGGCTTAAGAGAAGAGATCAAACGCGTAAAGTTGAGGGAAATTGCAGAAGCATTCTCGAAAATGAAAGTTGGCTAGTGTAAGGAAATTTTGAAAATTCAATTGAATAGCTTGACGTTTAGCATTCAATTGATTCAATTGAATAGCAAATTATTAGGTTAACTTATAAGTCTTGGTAAGAATTTTGTTTAAAAATTTATTCACAACGAAACAAGCAGTTTACCCGAAATAGTTTCCGTTATTTTGGATAACCTTCACCCATTTTGTTGGAAGTTGACGAATTCCTCTCTCGTAGAAAATTTTTGATTTCGAGTCGAAATAGTTTTGGAGCCAGTTTTTGAGGTCATCTTCGTTTTGAAAATGCTCCCCATCCAGGGAATGTTGCATTGATCGGAAGAGATGATAATCCGGTGGGGCAAGGTCTGGAGTATAAGGAGGATGAGGTAAGACTTCCCAGCCCGGATGTGGATTGTGGCGCGAGCGAGTTTTGCCGTATGTGAGCGGGCATTGTGAAGAAGGACATTGTCATTGTGAAGACATGGACATTGTGAAGAAGGATGCCCTTTTTCAATTCAGGTCGTTTTTCTTGATTTCTTTGAGCTTTTGTAGCTAATTGCCGTATAATAAACCATTAACAGTCTGCTTATTTTCAAGAAGTTCCCAGTAAATGACTCCTTTAAGATCCCTCGCAAACTGATAGCATAAATTCTTTTGGTGGGGGTCAGGGAGGGCATCCTTGGCAGCTAACCAGGCCATTGACGCCTTTGAAGTGCGGTGTAACCCCCCACTCCTTTCACTAAGCGCGACAAAAAAGATTCCCCCCGCAGCGAAATTGATGATCTCTGCCCTTCCAAGGGGTCCTAAGGGGTGGGCCCTTTCAAAAATGACTTAAAACTCACCATGAAGGTGTCTTTCAATTGTTGAATTTGAGTGCCCAATCGCATCCGCTATTTCACGAGTAGAAAGAGGATTATTGTCTTGAATTTTTTGAAGAATCTCTTCACTTTTCAATTGAGAAGTTCTTCCCGCATGTTCTTCATCTACAAGGGAATTCTCACTATTTCTGGACTTGGCAAACCAACGTTGAATTGTGTTTTGAGAAGGAGCGTCATTACTATACACGTTTTCACTATTATTCTGGATCACCGACAAAGAAGATCCTTTTTTTCACTCGTACAACTCGTGATGTTACAATCTAACATCACTTTACTCGTAACGTGTCTCAGATGTCCTGGTAGAAGATCTGGGGTGAATAAAAACATCAATAAAAAAAAAATAGAAGAAGCATTGGAGTTTGCGCATGAAATATTTTGAAAGGGAAATGATAAGCTGACTTTTTGGGTGTAAACAGAACAGGGTAAGTCGAGCGCATAAACAATTATTTCGAAAGAACAAAGTTTTACCAAGACTTATGAGCCAGTCTAATAGTAATAAGTCTAATAATATTCAGTTATCTATGTTAGGAGGATTACCTTGGCTGAATATGTGAAATTTTGGTAGATATTAAGTGTATACGTTTAAGAAATAATTACACTGTGTCCACATAATCATACCCTCACTTATATTTTTTTCAAAAAAAAGTTTTTAAGAGATTTTGTAAAAGGTTGCCAATAAGAATACCGTATTTCTTCGAATAGAAGACCGGGTAAAGAGTATGATCGCGTACTCCTGCGTAGCAGCCCTTTTTAAAATTTCTTTTCTGCATAAAAGCTTTCAATGAAGTGCTATAGGGCTGGAAAATGACTCAAAAATACCACATGAGCTAACAGATTTTTGAGCCATTTTCCAGCCCTATAGCACTTGATTGAAAGCTTTTATGCAGAAAAGAAATTTTAAAAAGGGCTGCTACGCAGGAGTACGCGATGATACTCTTTACCCGGTCTTCTATTCGAAGAAATACGGTATGATAAAAATTTGAGTACTAAAATTACCATTAAGACGGAATTCGAATAGTAAACAGACAAAAATTTTATTTTGCAATTGTCCAAAAAACATTCTTTGACCATTCCACATAATTATACCTTCACGTGAAAATTTGCGGTACTTGTCGGTTATACAGAATTGAAAGAAAAAAAGTTGAAGCCCTAAAAAAATGTGCGACCAAAGCGCCCCTGAGCGGACCCTCTTCTCAATCACTTGTCTTAATAGTGTTGTGTTGCACTTATAAATTGTGTTGCACTTATAAATTAACCAGAAACGTTTTCTAAATCAGTTTTTCGCGAGGAATTCGAATTTCTTACTTTTAAAATCGTATCTTTTATCTAAAATTACCAAAAATGCAGAAAATACAAGTACGGGAACTTTTGGCGCACCCTGTACGTCCACAAAGACTCATCTCGGTTAAGCATCCCCATCCGAGTCTTCTCGGTGATCGATTTTCGTTCCACTGATCGACTGATCACTTCAGGCGAGCCTACTTCACTGAACATAATCACCGCTCACAAGTTGTCACCTCCTTGCTTCACCGAGTTGAGTCTGTGGATTCTCTGTGGATGTATAACCGACAAGTACCAAAATTACTTTATTAGCAAAATAAAACAACAAAAACAACAATTGAAATAAACTTTAATAATCAATGGCAGCTGCATTTTTGCGAATCAGTTGAAACATTCGGTTGTCCAAGCTCAGATAAAAATTATAATCAAATTCTGGTCGACCTGGTGCCATGCATCAATGATCGCTGGTATGAAGTTGAACTAAAACTGAAAGTTGAACTAAAAGTTGAGCTAAAAGCTGGTTTGAAGTTGAACTAAAAGTTTGCACAACTATGTTAAAATGCAATATTTAAAAAAGCTAATGGCTTTACTGGCATCTTCAGATTCAGATAACTTGATAAATTTTTGTAAAAAACGAACACTTTGACCGTGACTGGAATCGAACCATCGTTGTGTGGGTACCGTTAAGAACCGTCACCGTTAAGGGACTGTTAAGGAACCGTTAAGCAAGTCTACTTTTGTATCTTCTCTCGTTTAAATATGCTTTTATGACGTTTTAACAAGTCTTAACACTTATTACAACTCTTTGATACATTCTCATCCGATTCTCAATCTTGCACCATTACTTTGAAGCCTGGAAGTTTAATTTTCAAATAAACGTTTGAAATTTCCAACCGAAAGCAACCGTGAAATTATCTCTAGTTTTATCCAATCGATCTGCATTTAGTCTATTTTTATAAGGATTTACGAATGATATCAAAGTGGGTAGATTGAAAAAACATTCGAGGCAATGTTACAGTAGTTTTTGCTAGTTAGTAAACACATGGCTGGACTCACAGAATCTTTAACTGTTCGTGAAAAGTTTTTTTTTCTAAACCCAGTAAATTTCTTACAAAAAGAAAGGGTTAGCGTCAAAAAAGCCACATTAATTCAGATTAATGGCGAGAAAATGGGATGGATCCACAAGTGGTGTAGCAATTCATCAAATAAAGCTGGACCATTTGGAGTGGTCGATCGAGAAAGGGCCCATCATTGTCTTTTTTTTTGCTTTGAACATATGTGTGCGCGAAAGATCGCTTTTTATAAGAACATTTTACTATGGAAAACGGAGGATGGAAAACGAAAATTGGGTATTTAAATAATATTTGACACGTATGTACATTTAAAAGACTTTTTCGTTATCTTTTGATTATCTTAAACAATATTTGACACTTATCTACATTTAAAAGACTTTTTCGTTATCTCAGTTCAGTATTACGGTATTATTATAGTGAATTAGTTTGGTCGGTTTTTGTTACTTTCTGTGTGTATTCTAACAAAATCTGATTTTCTAGTTGATTCAATGAAAAAGTGATAATTGTTAGACACTTTAGACAGAACAAGATCCAATCGACAAGATCATTTCCGGAGCCACAGTTCAAAAACATTTCAAAGTCTCCAAAAAGTCTGGAACCTTCAATATTTTATCTCATTGTAAACGAAAGAACTCCCACAAAATCGCTAACGAGATCAAGTGTTATGGGTGTGAAAAAAAAAAGGTGGATAGTGAGTGTAAGAAGAGAAACAAGGGTCATCAGCGATTACGAGATGCCCAGTGGCGATCAACACGTTGTCCTCACCCAAGTCCATCCATCAAAACAATCTGAAATGTGACAGCGGTCTTTCTTTTACCACCGCTTTCACCAAAGGAATCATTTTCATCTGATAGGCTCAACTTTTATGCAAACAGGTGCACAACAAAGGTTTTGTCACACCCACACAGAAGTAGAGATACTCTTTAATTATCCGAAAATAACGCAACTCAAATTTTCCAATTTCTTGAGTTACTAAATTTTGAAATTTTGCCAACTCACAATCAAAAAGAAAGCTTTAAAATGTTGATCTAAAGGGAAAAGTCATTTAAGAATGTCTGTGGCGAATTGCCACTGCTCTGCAGTTAGTCAAAAAATTCAATACACAAGTTAAAATTCAAAGTTGATGGATAAACTACCGTAATCAGTCACTAGACGATATTCAGCTGTCCGTTTATTGTAGCTTGTATACTTAAAAAACCCATTATTTAAGCTTTGCTTTTGAGTGAATTTGTTGTTCTCCTTTTTTTTTGGCTTTTTGATCATCCTTTTTTCACATGCAAGTGTTGAATTAATTGTGATAGTGCCAAGTTGCTCCAGTTTAAGCGAAGTTGCCCTAATAAGGGAAAGTTGGATAAATTGTGCGTTTTCAAGAAGACCACTATTGAACCACACCGAGACACGATCTCACAAGGAATTATATAGATCAAAACATCAACATATATTTCTTACAATGTCTCTGTCTCAGTCTTTGTACAATTGACAATTTAGAAATTCTTCTTCTTCTTTTTCTTTAAACTTTTCTTGAATAAATATTATCCCATTGCATAGCTAGATTTAAAATAAACCATTTACATAACTCGTTGTTAGATTTTGATGATTTCAATCGATGTGTGCGCTTCTTTCAACTCGGCCCATGCCCATTTTTTTACTGCCCCTCTACACCCACAAAACAACCCGCCGCCAAATGCAACACACGAAAATTTTGTTTGCTTGACTCTTTTTTTTTGTCACCATCAATAGATCAACAATTTCTCGAATCTTTCTTCTTCAATCACCATTTCTCATCACTTCATCAATAACGAAAGCGATCAATTCAATCCCATTTTTTAAACACTGAAAGTAGCTTTAATAGGCGATTCACCAAAGCATTTAGCACCTTGGCGAGCGCAAAATTCTGAGTGCAACCATAAAAAGAGTAATTATTCGAAAGAAAAAGCGATTGGCCTCGATAGGCTCAATGAATCTTGGGCAAGAGTGCGTGAAAGGGGAGAAGAAGCGTGAAATGTATTGATATGCTGTAAAAACAATGCTTTGATAGCAGAGTTTAGGGAGAAGGAGAGTGTAGAATAAAGAAAATAGATGAAAAGGAGAGATTCGATACGGAGAGTCAACAGGGATTGGCTCTGAAGGGATTACGGTAGGGGGCGTGTCCCTCGATGCCCCTTCTCCCTCCTATTCACTTTTCATAGTCAATTTCCCCCCGAATACAGCCACTTTCAGCTAGTCCATATAAATTTTATAATCCGTTTCAAGTGTTGTTTAGATGGCTGGGGGTTTTTTAGATTAATTGCTCTAGGGGACATTATTTTTTTTTATTGAACAACAAACAGTTCCCCTTCAGGGACTCGGGCATTGATTGATGACCCTAACGTTCATCGTTCTCACCTCATTCAATATCTTAAAGTTTATCACTTTGAAATGTTTTTTAAATAGGTATTCTCCTGTACATCATTCTATACGTTAAAATGCTTTTTTTCTTTTGATCATAGATTTCTTTCTAATACTTTAGAATTCAATTTAGTATTCGTTTAGTTTCAAGTTGAAGAAAGACTGAGATTTTGTGATATGTTTATTGCTGATTGCTTTCTGAAAATCACAATCTATTTTAAAATAGATTCTGATTTTCAGAAAGCATAACCAATGCTTTAAAGCATATGAAAATGAATTCAGAATCTAATTCTATTCAAATTCTTCAACTCTACTTTTATAAGTTCATCAAAATTTAGATTTGATGCCTATTTGATTCATTCATTTTATGTGTATTAATCTTAAATCTAGCGCACTTTGTGCTTTGAGTTTTTAAGCAATCCAAACATTACAAAAAAAGTTTCACTTTAAACATGGGATACAGTAAAAAAATCTTAAATCTAGCGCACTTAAATCTAGCGCACTTAAATCTAACGCATTTAAATCTAGCGCACTTAAATCTAACGCACTTAAATCTAGCGCACTTAAATCTAGCGCACTTAAATCTAACGCACTTAAATCTAGCGCACTTAAATCTAGCGCACTTTATCTCAGTTCTTGAATAAAGTATCTATATATTTACCATCATCTTGAATAACTTTATTCAAGAACTGAGATAAAGTGCGCTAGATTTAAGATTAATATATTTACCATTATCATCATATCTATATATTTACCATCATCTATCCGAAAATTTCCATTTTCTAGAAATAACTTTTATAAACTCATTTGTAATCTCTTTGTAATTTCTTTGTAATTTCTTTGTAAATTCCTTTTCGAAATCCATTTGTTTACTGCAAATAACGAAATTTTTTTATCTACTCTCACTAAAATCATCTTGAAAACTTTATGCTTTAGATCATTTCAATAAGTACAATAAGTAGTAAGTATTTTTAACCTGTAAAACAATTCAACTTTATGACTAAAGTTTGAACTTTTTTACTCCATAGTTACCAATAATCCTTTTAAGCCCAGGCTTTCATTTTACTTTTAAAAGTCTTCTTCGGAATCTAAATCTTGTGATTCTTTCTTTTAAAAAAAGCAGTTTATTTCAAATCCAATAAAAGCTATTCTATTTTTAATGTATCCCATTTGGAGTGAAACTTTGGAGTAAAGTGGAACTTTTTTCGTAATGCTTTGTGATTGCTTAAAAAACTCAATTCTTCTCAAAATTTTGATAACAATTTTGCGGAAACTCTAACATTTTGTCAAAACACTATTAGTCGAGCCTTGTGCTGATAAATATCAATGAGATTAGTAATTAGTGACAGTTGATAAGTGATTTTCTTATAAATCTCTTCAATTCTTGGCTCAAATTTATTTTATTTATTAGTCGTGTTGATTAAGGACAAAAAGATTGAGATTGAGATTGAAATTTTGTGAAAAGGAGAGGTTGGTAGTATCTCGGTTGAGATGCGTCCCGAACCCGGGATCAATGCGAGAAAAAGCGGTACGCGGCTATGTCGTAAAGCTCGGTCGGCCCGTTTTACGGTGGAAAAGGAAAGGAGCCGAAAGGGGGAGAGGTGATCGGAAAAAAAAAGAGAGAGAAAGCGGAGAAGGGAACGGCTCACCCCAAAACGCTTTTATTCAAGCCGCCTCACTCTGAGTCACGTCTTCCGACTCCCCGTTTTGAACCCCGGCTATCTCACCCACACCCGGCTCGAGATCTACATGAATGCCTCGAATTCCAGGCTTTCAGTTTCCAGTCTAAACTGCTTCAATGGCGTAGGTGGTAGTCTGTTAGATTACCAAACCTAGTCCCCACCCGTTGCTCCCAAGTTCGAGTCCCACTCTCGCCAAACTTTTTACTTTTTTAAAAAAAACTTCTAATGGATAAGAAACTAAATGGTATCCATTGTATGCTTCTAACAATGAGCAACAGCCAATTTATCGTTGACCAACAGCTTTTATGGCTAAAGATTTAGCCATAGAATCCCCAAGCCTCATCTAGACACAGAGGAGAGGGTCGAAAAAGAGAGCTTCACGCAAATCGATAGCTCTGCCAGCCAGCCAACATCAGATACACATGCGCCGATATCGAATCGACGAGCTGCTTATTTGCAAAAGGTCTTCTCCTCGTTTTGTGAGGCTCGATATACGGCAAGTCATAAAATGATCGGGCAGTCCTCCTCTCCTGTGCCTCCTGAGTGACTCCGCGCGCTCTTCCCCGCCTCTTCCCCCCCCGTATCTGTGACTTCTCCTTTTCATCGATTCACTCTTTTGTAAGTGAGCAAATCTTTTGTAGGGTGACAGAGCTCATAAAGTGTTCTTGCACGAAAAAAAACACCAATTTGACCCCTATCTTTTTTTCCCACTTAAAACGCTTTCCTCTAGGTTATTGACTACGGTGTAAAGGGAAGGAAAAAGAAAATCCGGAGGATAAACATGATTTCATGAAAGATGAGTTTGATGTGATGCTTTGAAAAAAAACGAACTTTGTCTCTTGAACTAGAATACGTAAACACAACTTAAAAGAGAGTGGATTTCAAAATGAATCAATATTATAAGGACTTGCATTGGGTTTTCAAAGAGGCGTCTCGACTTTTTGGGCGAGCTAAAGCTGTCGTACAAGTGTAGCGTTGACTTTGTAATGTTTTTTTAGAAAAAGAATGCTTGGTGTAAATTGTAATTGGCCAGTGAAACGAGTAAACTTTTAAGTTTAAGAGATTGAAATAGGTTTTTAAACTTGTCAAATCCATCAGATGTCATCAGATGCCATCAAACAAAAATCCGACTTCTTTATCGTCTATATCTTCTTTATCACTTTAGAGTACAATTTCTGTAGAGTACAATTTTTGTTCCACACGAGTTCATCTCTCGTTTGTACATAGTTTTACTCTTTTCTTTCATCTTACTACCGTATGAAGTGCAAAATTTTGAGACTCTACCGTAGTGAGAGAAAAGGATCGGGGCTTTAAAACGCGGTAGGTTGGATGGAGAAAAGAGGAACCAGGTGGACTCACTCCTTCTTTCCTTTCCTTTCCTTTCCTTTCCTTTCCTTTCCTCATCTCCTTGATCCCTTCTCTTTCCTTTCTTCCTTCAACGGATTACTGTGTCATTTCTCAATTCTCAAGAAACTAGTAAATTTTGTGTATTATTGGATTTCTCTTTGACATAGTGATTGATAGTTTTCAGGAGACCTAAACTAAGGAAATCTGCTCAAAAAAAAACGATTTAACGAGGCTCTAGGCTAACTGATGCTTCAGGTGAATGACAATATTCTGCATCAAATTGTAAACGAAAAGTTTTAAGGTGATGACGATGTCCGGGGTTCCGCAGTCGTCGGTGCCGACTGGTGTTCAGACTCCAACCGCGGCCACCGCCACTTCTCTTCCCACACACGGTTTTAATCTCAATCCAGCATACAGGTAATAGAAATCGTTCTTTGCCTTTATTCGATTTTCTAATTTTCTAGCTATCATTCTATTTCTAGACCTCCATTCTGGCATGCGAACTCGATGAACGGTCAATCGGGTGATCCGACCGGCAGTGATCGACAATCCGAAGGCTCACCCCCAGCACCAACGTTTGTCCACTTTTCCCAATCACTTAAAACTCTTTACAGAACCACTGCACAAGTGCAAAGCAATTATCTGCAAGCACACTATTGGAACAATGCTGCCAAATTCGCACAAGCACAGGTGATCAACTATTTTTCTTCGAAACTTTCAAAACTTAGCAGGTAGCTGGGCAACAAAACACAGTGACCAATGGTGACACGAAGCCCTTTGTTGCTGCAGCTACTGCAGCTGCAGCTGCTGCTACTGGAGGTAGGAAATCGACTCTTCTTTTAAAAAAAAAAATCATTTAGGTTTTGATATGATGAATATGGGAAGCGCTGAGTCTCTGGTTGGATACGGCTTCCCGCCAGCTTATGCGGCTTATCATGCATATCAACATCCTTTTGGATACGGATATCCAACAATGAATGCTCTTGATATGAGTCATCTTGGAGGTGAGTAAAAAGGAAACTGGAACTCTTTCTCTAAGAACTCTTTCTCTTTTCTCACTGGAACTCTTTCTCTAAGAAATTCGCGTTCTCAATTTTCTCGCAATTGGTGAAGAGCTTTTTTTTGCGTGTGTTCCCGGAAATGCGCGGTGTTGATGAATCGATTTTTTTTTCCTATAGCTGATTGAAGGAATGATGGGGGTAGGCCCCATGCACTCGAATTTCTTTCTTCCACGGGCCCGTCCCATCACGGCGGCCGCCTTCAAAAAGATTCACCCGTTTACTGATAATTTTTACTGCATAGGTGCACCTTTCATCAAGACCGCGAACTCTGAAAAAGGAAGGAATCCTTTTCCTCGGCTCTCTTCATTTTCCCCTTTCTCACCGGATCGTAAAAATGTTCTCAAAAGAGAAATTTTGAGGCAAACGTGGAATGGCTGGGGCCTTTTATGCCAAACAAATTGAGAATACAATTCCATTGAAATGTTTAGGCCTTAAAATTTAACACATTGGGGGATAATAAAAATGAATTTATGCATTAGTTAAAATGAGTGATTACTTTTGAATTAGAGAGATTATAAGAAAAAGCTTTACTGTTCGATTATTGTTAATTAGTGATATTATAAGAAAAAGCTTTACTGTTCGATTATTGTTTGATTATTGTTTGATTATTGGTCGATTTATCTGTTCGATTATTCAATTCTTCAATTCTTCATCAATATTTCGAATGGGTGATCATTTTTCTTGTGGTTTTCACAGAAAGATATAGATGGTGTCCTTGTCGGCAAAACGGGAAGTTGATCGTTTCTCTGAATCCATGAAAAGAGAGGAGATTTTCGGGGAGAGGATAGAAAAAAAAAAAGAAGAGCAATGGCTATCTCGATCGCCATCTCTACAGTAACTTTCTTTGCGATTCTCTTTCATACAAGAGCCTTTCTCTTCACCATTTGTCGCGTATCGTTTTCGTCTCGTTTTTCCTTTTTCCTCATCTCTCATCCTTATCAATACTGCGTAAGGAAGAGGAGCGAGGAGTGGCCTGCATATTATCCCCCTTTTTCCCGAAAAAAAAACCCCTATAACTACTGTAGTTTATCTGGGAAATCCCGAGAATCCTTTTATAAACACCGCCTGATCCTAGAACCTACGCCTTTGCGTCTTACGTCTTTTTTTTGCGTCTTACGGTATTTTTCAAAACAGGGAAAACTTTGTGGCCTCTGATTTCTCACGCGAATTCGCCTATCCGCCTTTTTTCCTTTTTCCCATTATTCTAAGCAATGAATAATTCAATATGCGAACAAAAATTTCATAGAATAAACGCTAAAAGGAAAAAGTATTGTATTTAGGATAAGGCTAAAATAAATAACTCATCTACAAGCTATTTTAAGGGTTGAAAAGACTAATTCTAAAGAGAATCATAAAAAGTGAGTAGCTGTCAGAGTTAGTGGGCATTTTTTTTTAGAAAATTGTCATCGAAGAGAAGAGCATGTTTCAAATAGGCGATAAAGTGACCGCGGCATTCGAAGGAAAAAGAAGAAGAAGAGAAGGTTTTCAAACAGTCGTATTTCGGGAAGGGGTTGGTGTTGAGGAGAAAGATGTTGGCAAAACCTCTTTGAGCTTTGCTTGCACCGCAGCAGATCGTAAAATTGCGTTGTCCTTCAACAGTTCACCGCCTCATGTCTCTTGCATATTTGTCTATTGATACAACCGACCTCGTTTCCCCCTTACATCTCGAGATCGTTATTCTGATGACTCTATTTGAGTGTATCAATATCGTGATATAAGTGGATTTAATAAGAGAATCATGGTTAAACAATTGTTTCGACAGTGGTTAAACTACTGTCTACAGTAAACTATTGTCTACAACAGTGTCTACAGTAAACGATTGTCTACAATAGTGTCTACAGTGGTGTCTACAGTAGTTGCTAGCTTAGAGTATTGTCTTATAAAGGCTACAAAGCATACTGTAGTTGCAGAAGAGCGTGCTTTCACTTGTTTAAAACTAGAGCTCTCAAATTTGAATGATCAAGAAAATAGAAAGATTCTGTTTCTTGATACGAGATTGCCAGGTGGGAATGAGGACAGGGAGTGCCCATGCAACCATTCTCTTTCTTTTATCCAAAAATGGGTTACAATTGTCGTTCAATCGTCGCCCAGATCTTTCCCTTTTCTTTCTTTCAAAGCTTCTATCGGTGATCGCTGGATCTCTTCTTCTTCTTCCTCTTCCCCTTCTTCTTCTCCTTCTTCTTCTTCTTCTTCCTCTTCCCTTTAACCCTTCCCTCCTTCCCTTCTTGGTCCTCCACTCACCCCACCTGCCCCTCCTCTTCCTCTTTTCTTTCACATGCACACTTTTACGATGTGAGCTCGAAAATCCTCTCCTCCCCCTTGTTTCAACCTTTCTCTTCTATTCGTTACTCTATTGTAAAAAAGAGATCATGCTTGAATATGAGGCGGTTTTGATCCTAATCTACTAGCCACCGAAAACATTTTGCTAGACATAACCTAAACATCAAACAAGTGAAAGGTCTTTGGAGGAAACTTAGGATTTCGATAGGTTTATCCAACTATCTTATCAATGGTTACTGTAATCTAGAAGGTTTTCTGAATAATTTGAAGTTGTTTTCGTAATATCCCTAGCAAATTGACCTTCAAGTGAGCGTCGAAAAAAAAAGAAACTGAAATCGAGGCGATACAGTAACTGGTTACGAAAAAAAAAGAGGTAGGAGGTGCGGGCTATGGTATCCTTGGAAGCCAATTTGTTTCGGCTTCTGTTTTGGCTGGGTTTTATCGTGGTTATAAAAAATTTTACGAGAAGGCGGCAGCCGTGGCCCGGAGGGCCAATTAGAAAATGCACCGCTTGAAAAGGGAAACGCAAAAAGAAAAGGAGTGGAGCACCAGCTGTGGGTTTGGGGTCTGAGGAGCGGAACTTTCTCCATCGTTTCCCCCAAATTAACCCGAATCACCAATAAACTTTTTGGGGGTCAACTTTTAGGTGTATATAAAAGCTAGGGGAATTGTTTAGGCGAAGCGCAAAAACGTTGATTTTATTTTGATTTTGAACAAGCTTTTGGAATTCTTAAACATAAACATTTTTGTTTTCAGATGCTTCGAGTCTCGATTGGACGGGAAATCATTCGCAAAGGAAAAAGCGCAAACCGTATACGAAATATCAGGTAAAAAAAGAAACTAGAAAATTGTATAGAAAATTGTACTATTTATAGATATCAGGAATATCTATAAATAGAATAATAAATAAAGTTAAATCCCTCTAGAGTAAAGGAGATCAAGTGCGTTTTGGTGTAATGATTAGCATAGTTGTCGTCCGGTAAGCGATAGGTTGATGGGTTCGAGTCCCAGCAGCGTACAAATTTTTGATCTGCACTAGGTACGGCTATAAATCTCATTTCTAAGGAAAACTTTTAGACTCTTGAGCTCGAGAAGGAGTTTTTATACAACACCTATGTGTCTAAGCAGAAACGCTGGGAGTTGGCAAGAAATCTGAATTTGTCAGAGAGACAAGTGAAGATTTGGTTTCAGGTCGGTTCAAAAATATTGTTGATTAGAAAAAAAAAGATAGGGTTCTAGAGTTTAACTCTCCGTTTTAACAGTTTAACTCTAGAGTTTAACTCTCTAGTTTCTTTCTAAACTTTGACTCTTTCGGGTACTATTAGTGCCAGTCTTTCTACAGTAATCTACAATAAAGCTGAATACCTTTTGTTTTATTGAGATTTATCAACTGAATACCTGTTATTCTAGAGAATTGCTAAAGGCTAGAACTTTAATAAAACCTCTAGAGCTAGAACTTTGATAGAACCTCTAGAGCTAAGCTAAGCTGGATACTGTAGAAGTCGAATGAGCTTTCTAAAATAAAACTTAGCCACCGTATCCCCATAAAGATGCTTTAGAATCGACGCATGAAGGACAAGAAGCAAAACAACATAACTACCGTACACCCATAAAAATTGTGCTTTAGAATCGGCGAATGAAGGACAAAAAGCAAAAGCAAAGGAGTCAACTGGACGGGATCGCTTCACAAGTGTGCGCCAGTCCTGAATAGATTACTGTAGCAGATTCACTGTGTTACTAGGCTAATGGAAAAATTCCTCACTCAGCTGTGAGAAAATTCAATTTGTTATGCGCACTTTAATAACAAAAATGAGAACGATGATTTCACAAAAGATCATCGATTCAAAGGGTAATCGATCTACGACTTTCTGCCATCAATCTGCAAGCTTTCGAAGCTTTCGAAGCTTTCAAATCTGATCGATGTGCCACTCTTTCGGTTTCAAAATCAAAAGAACTCTTAGCAAGTTTCTTCAACTTTTTTTCCGTTCCTTCAATTTCGAGGAATAGCGAAATTCAAAACTCGAAGCTCTTTTTCTTGGAAACTCATTTTGAATTCGAAGATTAACATTGATAGAATTGATAAAATTGATTGATAACATTGATAGAACACTATAAAGCGCGAATAAACCAGCATTTTTCATTGATTTTTCACAGCTGAGTCAGAAGAACTTTTCCCTGAACCCAATTCGATAAGTTAAAAGATTGAACCTTTGCCTCAACCCAATTCAATAAGCTAAAAGATTGAAATTTTCCCTCAACCCAATTCGATTCAATATTCAATTGTTCTTTTATTTAAAACACATTCAGTATTCGCATTACAGTATTTCGCAAATATTTCATATCTTTTTCGCCCGTTTTTGTTTTTTCTTTCTTTGACCTTTGATTCACTGTGTATTCTTAAAGTGCTCAAAGTCACGATAGTCATTGAATTTTTTGCGATTTTCGATATTTTGGGAGTGGGACAAATGCGACCCTTGTTTTGTCCCACTCCCGATATTTTTATCATTTCTCAACTATTCCCCTAGGTACAATATTTTCAGACTTAATTTCAGAAAATTTCAAAAAAAAAGAAAATCTTTTAAAATATTTCATTTTTTAACACAACTTATACAGGTAAATAGCTTTCGTTTGTCTTTAAAGACAAGAATTTCGATTTGCTTTTTTCGATTTGCTTTTCGATTTTTGTTTTGTTTTTTCTCTTTTTTGTTTTTTTTCTCTTTTTAAAACCAAATGTGCATCATTTTTATTTTTATTTTTTCGCTTTTTTCATTTGAAATCTTTTAACTTGTTCATTTGTTTTCTCGAAAAAGAATTCTTTGTGTGAAAGCTTTGCTATTTGAAATGATTTCATCAAAATTTAATCTTTTTTTTTGTTTTCTTAATTTTGATACTCGATTTGAGATTAGTTTTTGCGTTTTTATGTTTTTTTTTTTTTTTTAGCTATTTTAAACGAAACAAACTTTTGATTTAAGACGAAATTTCTTTTCTTTTATGATAAAAATAAGATTTGCGGTACTTGTCGGTTATACATCCACAGAGACTCATCTCGGTTATCGATTTTCGTTCCACTGATCGACTGATCACTTCAGGCGAGCACTCTACTTCACTGAACATAATCACTGCTCACAAGTTGTCAGCTCCTTGCTTGGCCGAGTTGAGTCTGTGTGGATGTATAACCGAAAAGTACCAGATTTTTATGTACAGAAAGTTAATAAACATTTCTCGATTAGAAATTTAAAAAAAAATATATCACAAATTGATAACCCAAGATAGAGAATTTCTTAGTTTCTTAGAAAATCACAGTTTAAATATGCATTTTTCTTCCTAGTGAATGATAAAAAGAGATCAAAAGATGGTGAAAGAAAAGCAAAGAAATGAATTTGCATTTACACAAAGGTTACTGTATATTGCTATAGTTACAATACCCAGAAAAGGCCATTTTTTGATAAACCGTTTCTCATCACAAAGGCACTATTGTTCAAATTTGTGAAATCAAATGCTCAAAGGTTTCAAATCTTAAATTGTAGTCATTTCGTCAATTAGTTAAACCCTTTAAGCTTTTGAATTTTGCGTAAAAATCATTGACGAAGCAAATTTTGTAAAGTCGTTGCCGAGTCCGAGGATCGTAGATCGGATTTTGGTGATAGTTGCTGTGTATCCATCGGACGTGATTCTTTCGGTAACGGTAATTGTGGAGCTGTTCGAGAGGATTCACTAAACAATTTCACTTTATCTTCTTTAATAATCTTTTAAAGATCTTTTAAAGATCTTTTAAATAATCTTAAAGAACAACCTTTCCGTTTCCAAATAACGCACGAATTGCTCGACGATGTTTATCGATGCCTGCTTTTGTGATGGATAGACGCTCTTCGCGTTTAGACTCTTTTGAATCTGAAAAAGGATTTACTCTTACATTGAATATTATGGATTTACTTATATATTATATATTAGCCAAATTTTCAAACCGTTTCATAATCCTCTTGTGAGTATTCCAAGATTTTCGCCAATAGGAGAGCGATATCGTTTTTCCGATCGGGAGCCGCCATGAAATAGCTCAAGAAAAGCTAAACATTTATTGTAATCAACATTTGGACTTTTTTTCTAAACCTCTCGCAAAATAGCGTCATCGATTTTTGTCTCCTCTCGATTTTTGGGCACTCGAGCTTGAGCCACCTGCAACTCCAGCTCCTCAACCATGCGTCGATTTGATAAAAGAAGATTGCTGGAATTCAGAGATTTATGCCGGAACGGTTTGCCAGACGGCGGGCACGCAGCCGCACAAAGAACAGTTTACAATCATTTACAGGGATTTTAGATGTTATAAAAAGAAGATATTTGAGCTGTAAATTCTCCGGGGGGTATTCAGGGTCGGCAAATCGATTGGAGCTACCGTATTCTCTCTAATAGTAGTGCACGCCGAGTTGATGACTATTTTCCGGTTTCCAATTTTTCCCAGAAGCTCAACACTCAAATCCCCCACAAGATCTCATCATCAGCTACATTTTCCGACCCCACATCGAAAGGTTCTCTTAAACGGTTTTCGAGATTTCGAGCAATTTAGGCAACGCTCAGGGTGAGAGAATACGGTATTTATTTATTGAATCTACCAATTGGAATTTGGGTTTAATGGTTGTTAAACTAAGATACGCAGTTAAACTAAGGCTGTAATGAGGAAGCTGTAAGGAAGCACTTCGTATATTCGTAGAGGCAATTCAAATTGTAAGTCAAAATTCTTTCAACTCACTTCAACACGTCAATATTCTCCTCTAGAGCTTGTTTATCAAGCGAAACCCTCTCGAAATCCCGTTGCAATTCAGCGACTTGTTGGTGTCTTTTATCCAATGTATCTTGTAATCGAAGTCTTTCATGTCCACTCGCTGCATTGTCCTTTTCTGCGTCTGATGCCAGCTCTCTAACCACCGATTGCAATGACGTCAATGAGTTCTGAGTTTCGACTCGGATTCGATTCTCCTAAAAAATTTTACAGATATTCTTAAAGTTTTCGTTTAACCTCTTCATATCGTGCATTTAGGTGCGTGTTTTCCGCCTCGACACTTTTCAGACGTGCTTTTAAATGATCCATTTCTACCTCAAAAAATCTATTATATCATAAAATAGCTGAGTAAACCTGATAGTGTTGATTTGTTTCTTCAAAAGATTGTGAATAACTAGAGCGAGTATTCTCCAAGAAAACGATGTACTCTTTTAGAGTTTCTTCTCTCTGAAAATCGAATATAGCTAATTGATACTGTTAGTCCAGCAAAGCTATTAGAGTTTTTCTACTTTCATGCTTGATTTCAAAAGTTGAATGAAACAAAAGTAGTAAACTTTAAAGAATGCTAAATTACTCTCGAAAATCCTTACATTTTGTGCCTCAATCGCTTCTTTTGTGCTTGTTTCCTCAATTTGTAGTAGATGTGCCTTCAGTCTCTCAATTTCCCGTTCCCTTTTCCTGTATTCTTCCACTGTTCCCCTTTGTTCTTTCTCCATTTGTGCATATTTTTCTTCTAACGATGCTAACTGTAAATAAAATAAGAAAGAATTTTTTCTTATGTAACAAACCTTTTCATTGTCAACAGTTTCCTTTGAAAGATTTTCCTGAAAATTGTTGCACAGAATTGAAAGCTGTTGAATCTCCGTATCCTTTCCATTGCATTTCTCAACGAATCCTCGATTTTCCTCCTCCAAACTTGCGATTTTATTCTCAAAAAGTTTTATCTAAAAGATTCTCTATATAAAATAAATGAATTTTTTAAACCTTTTCTTCATTGATCACTTCATTCGAAGCTTCTTGTTGAACATTTGCACAATATTCTGAAAGTTTCTGAATCTCAGCGTCTTTTCTCTGGCTTTCGTTCAACAAGAATTGCTTTTCTTCAGTAAAATTCGCCAAGCTTGTTTCCAAATGTTTCATCTATAAATGAATTCGATTTTTCTTTTTTTTTTTGATTGTATTTACTTTTTCTTCTAGATTTCCACTCTCTGAGATCTTTTCTTCCGTTTGTCGACAGTAATTGGAAATTCTTTCGATTTCATGATCTTTCTTCTTGCATTCATTCATCAGAAATACGCATTTCTCCTCGGTTTCCATCATTTTTGTCTCCAAGAATTTCGCCTGGAAATTATTTTCCAGCTTTTACTGATTGCCTGAGCTTTACTTATCAACAAAGTTAGAGTGTCAAATAGAAACCACTAAAGATTTAAAGATTTATATTCTAGAAACTTATAGAATTTTGCTATCAGTAGTCATTTTCTATTTGATAAATTCTATCGAAATTTCCCGCACTCACCCTCTCATCATTGATCTCAAGTCCTTTTGTTTCGAGTTGAGTGATATACTCTCGCAATCTTTCATTCTCTTCTCCAATCTCTCCCATTTTCTTCATTGTCATCTCTTTCAAATTACTCGAACCCTCCATTGCTTCGTTTAATCGTTTCTGAATTTTCCATTATTATATTAGATTTCATGCAATACCTGCAACTCTTGTGATGTAGCAATAGCTCTTCTTTTATCCTCTTCATAACTCTCCCTAACTGTCTCCAGCTCTTCTTCCAGTTGTTGAATCATTAACACCTAAATCCATGATCTAGTCAAAATTTTCTTTTTTTACATTCGCGTGATCCTCTGTCAATTGCTTTGTCGACTTCAGTGTCATTTCTTCGATCTGCTTGCTGAAAAGATTTCTTTTTTTAAAGTTTCATTTCAAATCAAACTTGAGCTCTCCAATTTGTCGATCTTTGTCGATCACCGCCTCGTTCTGTGTATCTTGTTCTTGATTTTGCTGCTGATAGTTGTTTATTTGCAAACTCAGCTTCTCATTTTCCAATCTAAACCCGATTTTTATACTTTATGATTGTTTCAAATTCACCGAAGTTCTTGAATCTCTCGTTCTTTCGCTATCAGTTCATCCAATCGATGCGCGTTATTCTCGAGCTCATCTCGTGTCTCATTCAACTCCAATCGCATTACTTCAATTTGATTTCTGAAAATCTGATCTAAATGAAAAGATTAATTCGATATAAAGATAACCTCAATGCATGAAGTGTTTGATCTTTTTCGATTAATTCTTGCTCAAGATTCGAGAATTCAGGGCGTTTCTCGTGTTGAGCCTCTTGAAAAGCAGCATTCATTGCATCGATTTGATTCCTTAAACGGATAAGATAAGAATGAGTTGAATTTGATTTCTTCAACGAATCAAATCTTATTATTAATCGAAAAGCCAACCGTAATTCTTCAATTTCTCGATCTTTCTCAATCAATTCCTCGGTTTTATTCGACAACGTCTCAACACTTTCGATCTCTTGTCTCGATTGATTCACAAACAGATTCATCTCGTCGATTTGTCGTCTAATAATCAAATTCAAATTTTCAATATAAAAATGAATCCCTTGAAATACCGTAACTCGCCAATCTCTCGATCTTTCTCCATCAATTCTTCGGCTCTTTCCGAAAGATTTTCCACACTTTCCACTTTCACACTTGATCCACTTGACTGATTTGCCAACTCTTCCACTTGTCTTCTAATATTTAACTTTAAACTCTCAAATTTTTTTGCTTCTCTTACCGTAACCCTTCAATCTGTCGATTTCTCTCCGCTATTTCCTCATCTCTCCCTGGCAGCATTTCAAAGTTTTGATTTGAATCCTGTACCAACATTGATCGCAATTCCTCAAGCTCTTCCTAAAATTTACAACAATTTTCTCCTTTCACCGCCTACACTTACATTTAACCTCCCAATTTCCTCATCTTTTGATCCAACAATCGCAAAGAATCTATCTTCAAGTCGCTTCTAAATTTTCTCTTCTTCAAGCTCGAATTCTCTCCTTACTTCCAAATCTCGCATCTCATTGTCTTTCTTTTGTCGAACCAACTGCAAGCTGAGTTCCATTTGATTCTAAACTGTTCATTCTATAAATCTAAAACAATCCCGAACCTTCAATTGATCAACCTCTTCTTCTTTTATTCTCAAACTTGTACTATGTCGAATTTCGATCGTTTCCATATCCGAGTTCAACTCAGTCAACTGTTCCTGCAGTTCTTTTATCTAAAAAAGTGATTGATTAAAAGAAAGAAGAGATTAAATTATGCTAAAATGATTCAACAAACATGTTTTTCCAAGGAGACAATTTTTTGCTGAGCAGTTGGATCATCGTCCATTTGGGTATCGATCTAAATTTGTATTTCAAAGTTGTATTTCCTTCAAACACCTCTCTTCTTTGTTCCCCATCATCAGCATTTTCTGATGTCGCTTCATTCAAAACTTCGGTAGCGAATTCGGTCAATTGACCCTAAAACATTTTTATAGTCCTAGAATATTTAATAATATGATCTATTAACTTAAATATTGCTTTTAAAAGCAATTTTCCTTAATAGATTTTCCATTTAACCATGTCTAAATGCTTTTAAACAAATTTTAAATAAATTTACTTGAATTGAGCGAAGCCATTGGGCCATTTTCTTATAGAATTTGTCTCAGAATGTGTGAAGTAAAAAACTTGATGACGTAGCTGAAATTTTTCAGTTCTTAGCTTGATTTTAAAATGAATCTATAAGAAAGATGAGAGATTGAAAGTTTTTCTGATCCATGATGTCCTATTTGGAAAAATTCATGGTGGCACTTTGTTGATGGGATACAGAGTGAAAATGAGGATAGGAAGGAAAAGGATCGAGTTTTCAGGTGACCGACAAAAAAAAAGAAAAGAAAAACAAGTTTTGTAGCAAAAATAAATAGCTGACAAAGAAACGAAAAAGAAACAATTAAATAAAGAATTGAAAAAATTACTCTAAATTGAAAAATGATATTGTAGTTTGATGATTGAGAATGAGATAACGATCTAAATGATAAGAGAATGATTACAGGGAAAAGATCTTTTCATTTATCAATAAACAAATTGTTTTTTTTTTATTTTATCCAAGACTTGTTAACATGGTTGTCACTGAATTCACCGCAGGTAAATGATATCTATATTTTGCTATAACTTTACTATATAACTTTGCTATAACTTTAGCCTCAAATCGGAAGAAAATCGATATTCATGCGCATGTCTTACCACGAGATATTCCAAATTTTGAAAAAGTATCTTTCTTGTAAATTCAAAGCAGATTTTCTTTCAGAAATTTGGTTATGGTGGCTTTGTTCATTTGGATCACAAAGACGATGGAACAACACATATGATTAAAGATGGGAAATTGTTTAGGTAAATAGAAATAGGAATAAATCATAAAAAACATTTAAAGGGTTGTTGAGCCGAATTGCTTTGATGTGTCGTTGAGAATTGGGGATATGAATCGCGCACACGTCAATGTGCAATGCATCAGCACTGTGCCTGTCATGTTCTCTTATTGGGTGAGAGAAAGTTGGCTTGTAAAAGAAGAAACTCAACTATGCACCTAGTCTTCTTTCTCTTGAGAAATCATTTTCTACCCAAAGCTACCGTAATCGATTGCCAGCGACAGTTTTTAAATGCTAAAAGACGGTTAGAGTATAGTAGCGAACCATATTTTAAAAAAAACGAAGCAATGATTTTGATTAATGAATTAAAAAATCTAGGCCAAACCAGCGGACACCGAAGAGGTGGCCCGTTTCGTGAATGATGATCTAATGGCGCAATGTGGAGAGGCACCCGATCGACTTGTTCCACTCGGCACTTTACCCATGAATGATATTGAAAGAGCCGTGCAAGTGAGTTTCATTCATCTACGAGTTATAAAAAATTCACAGCTTAACAAAGTTCAAAAATTTAGTAGTTATTGTTAAACCTTGTAAACTAACCTTGTGTTCGGTTTAGGGCATTTGTTGACCCAAAAGTGTCAAATCAATTTTCAGTCTTTCTTTTGAATCAAATTTATTTGCTCTAAGAAAAAAATCACACGAAAATAAGTGAAATTTCACCGAAAATAACGACAATAAAAGGAAAAAAAATCTGAAGACCCAAAAAATAATTACTAGAAAAATCTACATACATTCGGGCACTTCTCGAAAAACCGACTAATAAATAAATACCGTAAATACTGTAATAGTACCCCACCGCCTTCGTACAGTCGCGTAGTCGCAAAAGTTTTTTAGTATTTCATTTTTTTCAAAGCGCCCGTACTTTCAAAAAATGCGTCTTTGGTATCAAAAAATAGCTGAAATTCAGGGCTATTTTTTGATACCTAAGCGCGCATTGTAGCATAAACCAGTGTCGGAAAAAACTCGTTCAAAGCTAGACTGCGCAACACTCCGCACCGTCATTATGGGGGTGCGGTACTATTACAGTATTTACGGTAGGTAAATACAATAAATAATGAAGATTTTTATGAATGACTTAGACTTGGTAGAGGAGTTGAGCATCGGGAGATACCGGTAACATTTGAGGTCCACATTTTGGTTTCCTTTCTTTTGGTGAGTCAAGTCGTTTGATCCTTTGACGTTTATTCGGACTTTTTTTCTAAAGATCTTAGAGTTTCTAATGCTTTGACTATTATTTTAGCTTAATATTACTGTAACTGGCTTTTTCAAGGCCCATATTTTACGGTAAGATTCGATTCAAAATTTTGTCTGCTTTGATTTCTTTTGCTTCTTCAAACATTTCCCCATTTCTTCACTTTTCCTTCTTTCTTTCTTCCTTTCTTCTTCCGCCTTGTCTTCCCCTCTTTCTATTGGCAAGTTAAGGTACCGGATAGCTTAGTGGTTAGAGTAATTGCCCGGAAAGCAAAAGGTCGAAGGTTCAATCCCCTCTCCGGGTACCAACTTTTTCTTGCCAATTCCTTCACTTCTTTATAAATTCAATCACTCGCTTACCCTCTTCAAAATCCCAATTCCTGAGCGCATAGTGCCACCAATAAACCACATTGAAAATCGCGAAGAGAAACGGGAAAAATATCACGGACATCTTGTCGATTTTCAAGGCCAACTGATCTCGTGGACGGCTGAAATGATATAGATTTTACGGATCAAGGAATAAATATCTATTTAAAAACTCACGGCAAAGGAGGCATTGCCTCGAAAACAATTGATGATGTCCCCTCCGCTTTTTGCTCTTCTAGCGACCTAAACTTGCTTTACTGTACTTTAAACCCCGAAACCTGTACAATTTTGGAGATTCTAAGCCATAAGGATACGGCAATATAAACGAATTATAAAACTTTATAGCTAACAAGATCTTCTTTCACCTTTTCTTTCTCTTACCTGTGAAAATCGGCATTCAACGGCTGTGTCTCATGGCTATCACACATGCAATTTGTGGTGAACGTTCGGCTTACAGCTAAATAACTTTTGAGTTTTGCTTTTTCAAGCTAAAACAATTATTTTGACTCTTTTCCTTTACAAACCTCTGGCTAGAGTCCCATTAAGTCCAAATCCAGGCGGAATGTAGCCGTAATCGTTGTGCAGCAGAGCTTCCTCTTCAGTAGCTTTAGGCTTTTTTCTAGAATTTTTTTTTAGAAAAATATCACTAAATTTCGTGCCTTTGAAATGGATGTGTGTTCGGATTTGAATGATGAATGGGTGTTGATGGTTGTTCTCGATAAGTCGGTGGAGCTGTTGGGGGGACATCTAATTGGGCCGACCTGCGGGGTGGAACCACCTGTGGTTGATTTTAGACCAGCAACACTTAGTTTTCCTATGAAACTATCCAACACCTCTCATTTTTTGATAATTTAAAAAACAATTTCTCGTCATCAAACGAACCTCATCTTCTCGCGACAAATACCCGACCCAGGCGAGCTCGAGCAGTGAACAAAAGACGAAAGTCATACAAGAAAGCATCCAAACATCAATAGCCTATAAAAATATTGATTTAAAGAACCCAAAAAACAATAAAACCTTCACATATGAAACTCTCGGCAGATTTCGAATAATGTTTCCAAATTGGAAAGTCATGGCCAAGAGCGAATTCACTCCGAGCATTGTCCTTGCTGGGATCGCTTTTGTCCCCAATGCAAACGAGACCCATGCTAAAATTTGTTTTCTTTTCTCTATTACATTTAATTTTTTTAAAAATTAAATCGAGATTTCTCATTTCAGATCAAAAAAAAGACATAGAAATCGAGAATTCCCAGGGGAAAGTCGAGAATTCCGTATTTCAATCTCCTCGGCTCGTTTTATTCCGATTTATCATTTCTTTTGATCTATGACATGTGGAGGAAGATTTCTAGTAAACGAATTTCTCAGAAAAAAAACCAACATATGCAAATGGTGAGATATGTGGGAAGATAGGCTTGCAGAATGTACCATCCAGCACGACGCTTGAACTCGAAATACATTGTCAACTCGTGCCAGAAGCCGGCTGGATAGGTCTAAAATTTTAAAAATGAGTTTATGATCTTGATTGTTATTTTTTCATTCGTACCTCAACTTTGCGAATATAGCTGATATTTGTGAGCGCGTAGTCAGCAAGTTCGATTTTCTCCCTCATTCGCATCACTCCCAATGGACTCCATTGCATCTCTACCTCATCTGTGTTGTAACTAAAATTTGATATTCATAAACTTTAAATATCTCAATATTATGACTCACTTGAAGCTCTCGAAAGTGAGACTGCAAGTGACGTTGTCAAAGGGGAAACGGGTCAAATCCATCAGACATGGTCCCTGCAGCTTTAGTCGATAATTTGTCCACACTAAAACAGTTTAGAATTAAATATACTGTAACTCAGCTATTAGGAAAGCTATTTAATTCTTAGATTTCATTCTTATAAACCCCTACCAGATCCATTCGAATAGATGAGAAGGAAAATGTTCGAGAAAGGCGATTTGTGAATGTCCGCCGTTTTCGAGTTGATAAAGCACGAGTTGGGAGTCCATAATTTGTCCAAAACCTCGCTAAATTTTATTAATAGCTTAGCTATTTACATTTATAAACCTGTTCAGTGAAATATTCTGCTTGCACGGGTTCATATCCTCAAAGTAGAGAGCCGGATCTGTCCACATTTCCGAGATATAGATGTCCAACTGAAAATCGAATGTTCGCTAAAGTTTAGCTTGATGACATTTACTCTTTATGACTCTTTAAACTTTTGTAGTTCTTAAGAGCTCCAATTCTAAAGGTGAACTCCTTGAGAACTCGATGAAAATTCCAAAATCCTACTTTAAAGATATATAAATACTGTAATGTCCCAATTTCTTGTCTCATTACATTATGCCACACTAAATTCTTTAAATTTTTTAATGAAACTGTATCTTCACGACTGAATGCGGCAAACTATAGCAGATAGAGATAAAATTATTCAACTTTAATAGAATTAGCTCTCAAATCCCTCTTCATCAAAATCTTTCCTCAAAAAGTCTAAATTCGGCCTCGCAAAAATCTTTGCCTTTTTTCTGTCATTTTAGGAATTCAATTCAGAGCTGAAGAAAGTGGGGGATCTTTTCACCCGCATCGACTCTCCAAAAATCGTCAATTATTCACAACGGTGCCTTCTTCTTCTCCTCATTCTATCGCTTTCCTACCCCTTTCTTTTCTTTTCTCAACCACCAAACATCCTTTTTTTGTCATTTTCAATTCTCAACCCCATCTTCTCTTCATCATTAACTTAAACTTTGCTTTAACTTTTCAACTTGCAACATTTAAACAGTGGAATTTTTAAGAGAATACTTTTATCAACGCTTCAAAGACAAACCCGCGATAGTTCTATTGTTTAGGTTTTAGCTGAAAAAGTTCAAACCTGAAAATCGGATGTGATGTCCGAAATAGTTGTCACCTCTTGCACCCATACTTCAACAGTCACAAACACCTGAAGCTAGCATTCAAAAGACTCGATTCATCTATTAAAAAACAACCTTTCCACCGGGAATTTTGTGCTGATTGTAGACATTCTCCGCGAGAAGCTTCTTCAAAATGTAGCTATCATTGGCACACTGTCTCGTCGATCGAATCACCTAAATCTCAATTATTTCCGCCCATCGTTTCTTCAAAATCCTTTCAGTTTTGCTCCACCTTTGTCGGGTCAGTGATTGGTCGGAGTCCTCCCCGCTCGTCCAATTCCCAGTCGTAGTTCCGGCTGAGTCTCTTGAGATGCCTCGAGTTCCGTCGATAAATCGCTTTCCTAAAAAAAACGCTTTTACCCAAACAAAGCACTAGGCCCGAGAAATTGAAAATTATCTTTTCCCGAAATGCTCGCATTCTTTGGGAAAAAATTATGATTTTGAGAGTGGAGGGGGAAGGGCTTGAGTTGAGAGGGGAGACCCAGCACTCTGCCCATCCCTGCCTATCCCCTTCCCGTTGTTCGATAGTGCTTTGTGGTCCCCAGGGAGTGGGTCATCCAAAAAGGGATGCTAGCTTCGAGCGAGTGCCCTCTCTCTGTGTTTTGGGCAAAGGAATGGGCTCTATAGCAAAGAAGAGCCTTCGATGGCGGGTGTATCTCTGCAATCCATCCACCCCTTTAAATAAAACATGAAATATCGAATTTCTCTATGCAGAAATTAGTCATTCCTCTTGACACTAACTTTTTCTTTGAAAACATTATGGCAAAAATCTAAATCTAAGCATAATCGAGAGAAATTGGATAGCGCCAATGTCTAAGCCCTTCAACTAATTGGCTTCGTCTTGTTAGTTGCCGAGAGTTTAGATGAGGAGATTTAAAGGCAAAGATAATTAGAAAGGAAAAGATTCAAAATAGAATTGAAAAGAAAGAACAATGTTAGACTGACCTAAACGATGCAATGTTGAGGAGTGAGGCGAGAATGAACAGCGTGAACAAATCGAAATGCATGACGACGACGACGAGAGAAGTTTGTCCCGTCGACAATTGTTAATCGCCTCATCCACACACGCGGCCGATCGACATCACTTTTGGCTTTGTTCTAAAAGATCATAGATTTTGAAAGAAAACACTGAATTAAACACTGAAAAAAAAAACACTGAAAACAAACACTGAATTAAATGCTAGAAATAAAACAATCGACAACTCTTTGTCTAACAAATTGCCTCATTGTCTGTCTAACATTGTCTAACAAACAAACTGTAGTCAGGCAATAGAAAAATATCTTGAACCTTGTAGACTTGAAGAGAAAACAGAAGAAAATAAGTGATACTATGAGTGACTATAAATGGGTAGTTATGTTTAACTAGGTAGTTATGTTTAACTACGATTTCTAATAAGATCCTTCACCAACCAAAAGCACTCATTAAAAAGTTGCAACATGAAATGTGACGGGGAAATTCTTAGAGATGGTGGTTTCGCAAAAAAAAGGATATCGTGTGGTCTCCATCCGGTCGCTATAGAGATTTCGAGTCTCTCTTTACGAAAAAAAAAACACTGTCCGCAAATGCCTTTCATTATTCCTTTAAAAGGGGAGGTAGTCAAATGAGCGCCAACAATTGGGCGCCAATCATTTCAGCGCCAACGATTTGGCTCACGCTTATTTCAGCGCCACTCATTTGAGCGCCGTGCCAAAAATGACTGGAAAACAATCATTTGAGCGCCAAATTAAAAAGGCCTAAAAACGTTCATTTAAGCGCCGGGCCAAAAATGACTGGAAAACGTTCATTTCAGCGCGACTAAATTTTAATATTTTTGCTTTCTACGCTGCTTTTGCATGTTTTTTTAGGGTTTTGCTTCTGTTTTTACACTTTTTTTCACTCATTTGACCTAGGGCACGGTAGTAGGCATCAAATGCGCGGAAAAAATTGTTAGATTAGCTCGTATTTAAGGTTTTTTTGATGAAAATGTGTAAATTTGCTAGTTGTATGATATTTTCCCCCAATAGCGTGCTTTTTCACCGTTTCTTGCCGTTTTCGTTTACAATTTGCTTACAGTTAACATAGTTCTTTGCTTAGGCTCGTGAACTGCGCAAGATGTGGCGAGACAAAGGAACACTCTGAGTCAAAGTAACGTTTTGTTCATGATTTATTTTGGTTTATTTTGCTGCCAAGAATTATTTTTATCTTTAGATGATTTAGATAAAAACATACAGTAAAAACTTTGAGATCATGCAGAAAATGCAAAAATAACATGCATATACAGAATGGGCTGATTCGGCGCTGAAATGAATGTTTTCCAGTCATTTTTGGTGCGGCGCTGAAATGAACGCGCGCTGAAATGATTGGCGCTCAATTTTTGGCGCTCATTTGACTACCTCCCTTTAAAAGTAAGGGGTTTTATCGAAAAATTGCATATTTTGAAAGTGCTATTTTTCTCAAAAATGGAACATTGTACAGTGGAAATCTTATAGGACTTTACAAGATTAATTTCTTTTTTTCTTTTTAAGCTTTCTTAACTGTTTTACGGAATAGCAATAAGGATACTGGTAAGAAAACTAAAATTAGTCATAGTCAAAAGCATTTTTAAAACTTATTGAAAGCTTTGTGAAATTAAAAGCTTCACTAGGTACTATACTATCACATTTAGGAGTATAAAAAAGATTCTTATCTAAGAAAATCACAGGTTACGTCAGAAAATGAGAAAATAAATGGGGGTGAGACAATTTTGAGGGCGCAGAAGCTGGATGAATTAGGCTAATATGGGATTGAGGAAGAGGTAAGTTAGCCTCGTTGAAGAAAAGGGGAGAAGTGGCGAGGAAGGAGGATGGAGAAAAAGGCAAAGAAAGGGAAGAAGGGACAAACGGGGAAGACCGGGTGAGCTTTTTAAAAATGACGCTAGGCGTTTGGAGGCTAGGAAGCGGAAAGCTGAAGGGAGGAGGAGACCCGCCCCTCCCCTCCGCTCCCCTTCCCCAACCCTATAGAGAGGCTGTTCCCCTGTGTGCAGCCTCTCTTTGTCTCCATTCGAGCAATTGATCCTCTTCCTTTCCCCCCTTTTTTTCACTTGTCTTCCCCAACCCATCCCTGAAGACCCTTGAGGTTTTGATCCATTCCGTTCACCTCATCCGAGGTCATTGACTAACAATTCACCAAAAATGGTGGTTACACGCGGCTCGCCCTTTAGCTCTTCCCCTCCTCTTTTTTTGGACGAATGCAAACTCAATTTCGGGGCGCTCTCTCGGCTTTTGGCTGGGTACGCTGGCAAATCGCGTCTTGCCCTCCGGTGCTTCTTTCTCCCTTCCCTCCTCACTCCACCCTTTTCGAAACCATTGCCTCGTTTGCACACACACAATTTACCTCAAACTAGTCCCCACCACAAACGATAACAAGAAGTTTTTCTTCCAAAGAAATTCTCGAGGTTTTCTGGTGGTCGAAATTTGGTTTTCCCGTGAAAAACTACGAACTCTAGGATAGTCCATTGTCCGAATTTAGGAAGTGAAACGATGTGTTTCAATGGGAGTAAAGGGATTCGAAATTGGTTCACATGTCGGCGAGAAAAACCTCGATCACAAAGATTTCGATCCACTTTACAAGGTAGAAAAGAAGATGAAAAAGAGAATGGAAAAAAAAAGAGAAAGAAACTTGTAGACGTGTCAAGATTTGGGAGTAGCACTCTTTGTGCACCCGTGGGATATGCACATGTGGGGCGGTCGATTGCAGAAGTACTGGATGCCATGGCTAGTCGGTAGATTTAAGCAAAAGAAGAAATGTAGATGTAAAAAAGTTTCAGGAATGCCATCCGAGACAGCGCAAGCGATTTGTTGCGTGTTGATGGGCGGCGTTTTAGAGCGTTTTCCAAGGCTTCGGCTCTGTTTCGCGCACGGTGGCGGTGCATATCCGCAAATCCGAGGACGAGTGGCACATGGGTGTGTAAAAATAGATTTAAAATCGAATCAATTACTACGTTTGACCGGATTTCTAGTTACAACGTTCGACCGGATCTTTGCGCAACTGATTGCAAGACTGCGCCGACAGAGTTGGATGGACTTTTGTGGGCGGACTCTCTCGTGCACGATCCACACGCACTCGAGCTTCTCATTTCAATTGTTGGCAAGGTGTGAACGATAAGATTACGATTTTAGAGTGATTTTAGAGTGATTTTAGAGTCTATTTTATCTAGACACTTGCTCATTTGCTTACATTTGCTTACATTTAAATGATCTCTTGAAAAATTTTTAGGAAAAAATTTGCCTTGGCACTGATTACCCGTTCCCACTCGGTGAGCTACAAATTGGAAAAGTACGTGAGATTTCTAAAGGCTTTCACATGAAAAATTCTTTTTAACAATTAGATTGCCGAAGATTGTGTTTCTTTGAGCGATAATGATCGAGATGAACTTCTTTGGGGAAATGCCGTAAAACTCTTCGATTTAGAAGAGCAAAAGCTTTTCAAGATGGGATTTTGAGTGATGCAAAAGTAGAAAACTTTATTAAACTTCTAAATTTATATGTAAATGTTATAAATGTAAAAGCAAAAATGACGTTAAAGCTTTGGAAATTTTCGGAAAACTCTCCAGCGAAAGCCTAAAACTTTTGTGTTTTTTTTTTTTCAGGTCAACTATCAAGAACCTTTTTCTTTTCCGATTCTCAATTGGTTCTCTTTTTGGTCGACTTCGGTTCTTCTTCTTCACCATCTTCTCCATTTTCCTCATTCTCTTCGACATATTCGATTGTCTCGTCAATCTAATTTTTCCCTTTTTGCTAAAATTATGCTTTCTCACCGGATTTCCATCTTCCGACTCAACGTATTCGATTATTTCTTCTCCACCTAAAAAAACATTGAATATTTTAAACGTTTAAAACAAACCAAAGCTTTTATCGGACAAATGAGCCAGCGTTGGAGTCACGTTTTCAAGCGCTAATGTTGATCTGTAAATATTCGTCTTTTTACAGCAATCTCATTTTAAAAGCTACCGTAAGTACTGTAGTAGTACCCCACCGCCTTCGTACAGTCGCGTAGTCGCAAAAGTTTTTTAGTATTTCATTTTTTTCAAAGCGCCCGTACTTTCAAAAAATGCGTCTTTCGTATCAAAAAATAGCTGAAATTCAGGGCTATTTTTTGATAATTATATTGCTATTGTAGCATAAACCAGTGTCGAGAAAAACTCGTTTAAAGCTAGACTACGCAACACTCCGCACCGTCATTATGGGGGTGGGGTACTATTACAGTATTTACGGTATGCTTATTACTGAATATATTACTTGATATCGATTAACGTTGGACTTAGAGCTGTGGTTGAATCACTTGTCGATAAGTCCTAAAAATGAATCAAAAGATATTCAAAAAGACACTTAAACACCTCTCCATGTTCGGAAACATACTTTCGTACTTCGTGCCTGAAATATTAACAATTTAAGAAACTCCTCATTCATTTCAAAACCTAAAGTCAACAATCTCTCCCGAACTCAACGATCCATCATCATCAATGTCAACTTTCTTGAAAAGTAAAGCAGCCACTTCACGAGAAAGCCTAAACCCATTCATTTCTCTTCCCCAAAACTATTCCTTACCGATATTTTGTTGTAATAAGGTGAGCCAATTCATCGATGGTGACCAAATTGTCTTGATTGTTGTCAAATTCCTAAATATCTCATTCATTTATAGGTTTGTTTATCTATTGAACCTTGAAATGATCGGTGGCCAGCTTAATCGCCGAGAGTCGCACTAAACGAAGGAAATCGGCTAGCTCGACTTTGTCCAATTTTCCCGATTTATTCTGAAATCAAAATCAAATTTAATCAAATTTTGTTCTTATTTTCTAACCAAAAACTATTCAGCTATTGAGCTAAAAACCTGATCAGCGATTGTGAAGAGAGAGCTTGTCGCTGATGGTTCGAGATCGTCCTCAGATTTTGTCTTTGCCTCAGCTTCCAACCGCGAAATGAATCCATCTTCATCTTGATCTGCTGCCTGAATACATTTTGTATAAAACTAAAGTCTTTTTTTTTTGGACAAACGCACTTTTAGCACTTCAATAGCATTCAAGACAGCTCTCGCACGGATCACTGTACGAAAACCGGCAAATTCAACCGCGTCCAATTGTCCATCTTCATTCTCATCAGCTTGCGCAAAGAATTGTGAAAGAATCTAAAAAAAATTTTGAATATTTAAGAGATTTTCCATAAGTTACATGATTGTTAAAGCCGTAGTGCTCAAAAGCGATCTGTTTGGCCTCATTGAAAGTGACAGTTCCCGAATTGTCGACATCTATCATCTAAATGAAAGTTTTGCTTTTGATTTTTAAAGATATAACCATACTTTGAGGGCTTTCTCACTCGTAGCCACCGCTCTTGCTCTCACGATTCGCTCAAAATCGGCAAACTCCGGTGCATTAAGCTGATCATCGCCATTGTCATCAACAGAGAAAAAAATCTCGTTAACGTCTCCAGCGCCTATTCCTTCCTTAAATTCTTTATCTAATAAGTCAAAAGAGTTTTTCGAACTTGCTCAAAAGCGATAGCTTGCGCCTCATCTCGAGAAATGTGTCCATCGGTGTTAAGATCGGCCGTCTAAAAGTGAATCGGATGAGATTGAGGGAAATGGTGGCTACTTTGCGAAACTCGTCATAACTTTCTTCTAAATGAGTGAATCTTTATGATTTTGACATCATTTTGTAGATCTAAACAAGTGCAAAAAAATGACACCAAAAGCATAAAGATTGGCGCACTTAGAAGAAGTCGCGAGTTGCGCAAAGTAGCTACCGCCGACAAATGGTGAACCGTGCCTTCATGATTTGTCGTGCCAAGCGGATGCTCATTCCGCGAATTCTTCTCCGCAACTTTGAGAAAATTGACGCGTCCATTTCGGCTTTTGTGTCTGCTTCGACCAGTTTCCACACTCGTTCAACGTCTCTGAAAACGGAAAAGTAAAGTCAACTGAATATAAAAAGCACCATCAAAGGCCTAACCTTGCTCCAATGCAGTATTCTTTCAAGATGTACGCTTGAGCTTCTTTCAGTGAAAGCCTCGAGTTATGATTTCTATCAACACTCTATAAATTACAACTCTTTTTTTCGATCTACTTTTCTCGATCTACTTTTCTCAAATCTATTTACTTCTAGATAATGAGCGGCCGCGTTTTCAGCTTTCATTAAAACAAGTGGTCGAATCTCGTTGAATTCTTTTGAGTCGAGGTACTTGTTGTGATTGTGATCCACCTGAAGGGATTAATCGATGACTCAGCTTTCGTTTGCCTACCTGTTTAAACATATCTTGTACAACCGATCCGCTGAGACCATGGTGAACAAAAGCCGCATATTGTACCTTTAAATCTTTAAATCGGCGAGAAATCTTTGTCAAATTACTTCCGGCAAGCTGAGCTCTCCATCACCATTGAGATCAACTGAATTCTCAGTTCCTTCGAGTTTTCGATTACTTTCCTCTTAAAATCAATAACGAATTGAATAAAGCTATTAAATACCTTTTGATCGACCAATAATCGGAAATGCAAAGCCAATTGGAAGAAGGGAAAGCCAATAAAGGCGCATTTTTTTTCTGAAACAAAGTTCAGAGCAAGTTTAGGAGGAAAAAAAGTGGGTGATTTAAATGAGATCTGAATGAGGTGAGTGGTGAAAAAGTGAATGTCGAAGTGGAGAGAAATGAGTGAATGAATTGAAGAATGAAGTGAGGGAAAAGAAGAGATGACCCAGATCTCGTTGATCGACTTGTTTCTCTCTAGATTTAGAGAGGAGGAGGGAGAACCCTCACCTCCAGAGGAGATCCATTCCGCGTTGAGCCACTCTCACACATTTCATCGATTCTTATCAGAGTTTCGTCTTTAACTGTAAGCTTTTAAATCTTATATGCTTTAGAGCTATAGCTCTAGAGCTCTAGAGCTTTCACCATTAAATCTGTGCTTTTATTTGTCTTTTACTTGAAAACCATATAAACATTTGTAAAAATAATTTATCAAATCCTGTAAAAATAAATAAAAGTTGCAAAACGAAGAATAGAATTTGAGATTTGTTTTACCTATGATGAAGGCCTATGCTGGTGATATGATGGTGAGCAATTGATACGTGAGAAAAGTGAAAGGGGGAAAAAGGGAAGAAGAAGAAGAAGGTAAGTGAAATTCCTGATTGTATCACAAAAATCGGAAACCGTAAATGCAAGTAAAAGAGGGAAGCAAATTGGAAAAAAAGGATTTAAGAGATCTACAATTCTTCCTTTTTAAACGATTTCTTCGCATGCTTAGCCATGAATTTCTTCAAATCGGTCAAGTCTCGATTTCCCGAATATGGGACGGGATTCTGAAAATTTCGAGTTCAAGATTGACTGAACTATTTTTGTACTATTGTACACTTTAAGAATACTTTAAGAAGTAAAGCCATTTACCAATCAGATTACGATAAGCAATTAAAGTAATTAAAGTTTTAAGCTGATAGTGTCATGCTCACAGCTAAATTGATAGACTGGTATAAGTAAATAAAGCTTATATGTTCAAAGCTTAAAATAAAGCTTTGAAGCGAATCGATCTCATCTTTTTTAATACAGTCAACTCTCGATACAACAATTTTAAAATTCTAAAATATGCTCTTGCTTTCTGCGCGTAGCTGCCCAGCCAAACACAATCGTTGGTCGTTTAGGGCAGCTAAGAAATTTGAGACACGTTTTAGACATCGTTAACACGTTGACGACATTGTCACCTGATGCTGTCTGACACATATTCGTTCGCCTGGGACATTGTCACCTGATGTCAGGTGACAGTACCAAAATTGATTTTTTTTGTTCATATTTATGTTTGCTGATGATGAATATTAAATAAGCAAGTAGGGTAGTATCTATATTCGACTTGGTCCCGGAAAATGTCGATTTAACCGTTGATTATTAAAATTTTAATTTTTTAGGTGACAATTTCAGGTGACATTTTTTGTCGAAAAAAAACAACGTTGTCCCATGCGATTGTTTGTGCAAAAATGCCATTGTCGTCAACGTGTTAAATCAAAACTGCACTAACCTTTTCACCAGCTGGCAAGAAGTAAATCGTTGGGAAACCCTTGACTTCAAAATCAGCCGGTGGATCGTTGGCTGTGGCGTCCATCTTAGCGAGAACCAAATTTGGCTCCGAGCTCTTCAAAGACTTTGCAAGTTCCGCATATTTTGGCTCAAATGTCTAAAAACTTTCAAGTCTCTCAATATCTTTTTTTTTCTTTCACCTTGCAGTGTCCACACCAAGGCGCATAGAACTCAATGAGAGCATCTTTCGTTCCATCAATCACCTAAAAAATCAATTAGCACCTCATTCCTTTCATTTAAAGAAAACCTTGTTAAAGTTGGCTCCAACCAAAGTCTTCACATCACCCTTATCATTTTTTGGAATTGGTTGAGTTTTCACGTATGGTTTCACATTGCCTAAAGTTTTTTCATTGTTCTAATCAAGTTTTATTTTTTTTATTTCAACCTTGACTGAGTTTCTTCATAAAATTCTCAAGGTTTTGATCGAATTCATCATCAAAATCTTGAGAAAGCATTGGATATTTCTTTCCATCATAACCAAAAGCAACCACATTGTGCTCCAAGCCTGAATCGCCTAATCCCACCTGAAACTCGAGTTTTAAAAGTTTCTTTGCTTTCGTAACCTGTCCCAGTTCTTGCACGAATTCATCTTCATCAGCAACCGCAAAGTTGTAGTTATCTTTTTGATACTGAAAAAATGTTTTTTTTGAGAATTCGATAACAATCGCTGAACCTTATTGGCAACAGCAAGCACTTTTTGTCTCCAAAACTCGCTTCCTTCTCTGTATTGAGTCGAGAAATCAGCGTTATAGTAAACGACAACCAATGGGAGTTTTGTGTATCTGAAATTGATTTTGAAAAGATTTTAGAGAGTAAATTGATTTTTAAACCTTGTAGCATGATTCTGTTTTGTTAGCTTTCCGACAAGTGGGCTAGAGTGATCCTTGATGAAAGTGACGATCTCTTCAACGGTTGATTCCGGCTGGGATTACGGATTTTATAAAGCTTATTCTCAAGCTTTTCTACCTTATTGAAAGTTCGACTCTTTGGTTCAAACTTTGACTGGAAAACTGATGGATAGAAGATGATGATATCACCATTCTTTGCATCGTATTTCTTGAAAAGATCGGCATTCGTTGTGTAAGCAAGTTGAAAGATCTAGAGATTGTTTCCAATTTGATTAGGCACGATTTTCTCTTTACATACATCACGAAGCTTTTCAGCGGTCTCAACGAAAATGCTGGCCTCAGTTTCTTTGTTGAAAAATCCAATAACCGTTGTGTCCATCTGAAAAAATAAACTTTCAAATTGTAATTGTCAATTGGTAATAATTGTGTTTACTTTGTTCATAAATTTCTCGACATCCTTTAAAGTGTCCAATTTTTGAGCAGCCGGCGCCGAGAGCTTGTTCATAAAGTTGACAATTCCTAGAAGAAAAAAAAAGTTTCATTTTATTTTTGGAATTGAAAATGAACCAGCAGCATCACGTGGTCCCTTGTATGGAGTTCGTTTTCCATTTCGGAAAATCATCAGCGTTGGATAGCCCTCAACTCCGTAGGTTTGACCAAGGCTTTTATGTTCGGTGGCATCAACTTTGCCAAGTCGAATGTTTGTCGTTTCCTGAATGTTCGTTTGAATTAGAGAATTACTAGTTTCTAGTACCTTTAGTTGTTTCGCGGCTCTTTCAAAATCGGGTGCCATCTTTTTGCAATGACCGCACCATGGGGCATAAAACTTGACAAGGACGAGCTCATTGTCAACAATGAATTTGTCGAAATTCGCCTCAGTCAAAACTTCGGACTAAAACGAGAATTTTGGTATAGAAGAAGAAGTTTTAGAAGTTTTCGTTTGCTCGTGATAAAATGAGTTGCTTAAATCTTACAAAGTATTACATTTCAAATTGTGTCCGAAATGAAATCGAACTCGAATTTGCGCATTGCCTCAAATGCAAGTTTTCGGCTATGCCATTTGTGATTTTAAGTTAATCTAATCATTTATTTTGCTCACGTCAGACGGTTCCCCCTCCTTCTCGGCTGCTTCTTCACTTCGCACGATTCCTACCGAAAATAATAGAACTCCGGCTAGTAAAAGTCGCATTTTTCCTGAAATATTGCTTACGTATCAAGCAAAATAAATTAAACAAAATTTGAGGAAGGAGAAAATCATCAATATCTTCATTTCAGTTCATTTAGAGTAGTGTTTGGTGAGTTTGACGGGAAAAAAGAGGGTCAGAGGGGTCACCTATAGGGGCCGGTCACTCTCACCGCTCGGGGAAATTGGCACGGGGCGCCGCCGCACAAACATTTCGCTATTTGTCGAGAAGGTCCGATTGAGAAGAAGGACCACAAACAGAGTATATGGTGAGCTTAGGTTCAACACAAAGTCACTCTTCTCTTTCCGTTTTTCGAATTGCCTCAAGCAGAGATCCAATTGCTTTTACAATGTTTTAAAAAGCGTTAAAGAAGGTGTGGTTAATTTTAGAGGAGAGACAAGGTTAGTGAACGCACTTGTATTTCAGTTCAACAGTGCTGTGAAAAGCATTTTCAAGATCGTTTTATTTGATGTCATTGTAATAAAATCCAGAAAATCTAATTATGATAGTGGTGTAAAACTCATAAAATGAAACCAAACAAATGGATTATAACGGTAAATCTGACTGAGATTGTGGATTTTTAGAGCTTCATCTAAAACAGTAAATTTGGGGTTTTGGTAGGTATTTTTTCGAAGGTTTTTAAAAGCCACAGGCAAGACGTAAAATCGAATTTCAAAACTGGGTAATATAAAAACAAATCAAGTTATACTAGCCGATCAATAACACAAGATATGATATCACTAATGAAAATGAAAAAAAATTCACTGGTTAGCATAAGAGATATAATTTTTCGAGGTCTACTAGTAACTCACAAATGTCTTTTGGTATTTCATTAGCAAACCAGAAGAACAACAACTTGAAAAGAAAGTGTAATCATGGAATCAAAATTAAAAGCAAACACAGTTGATTATCGACAAAATCACTTCCGAATGTAATGTACCAATTCAAATATCGACTGGCTGGGCGGTGAGCTCGGTGATGTGATCAACAGGTCGGCCCTTCTCGTATCTAAAATTTCAAAAGTCAAGTGTGCTAGTGGTTGAATACATTTTCAAACCCTTTGCTTACCTTTTCCACATTGTGTAAAAAAGTGTTTCGATGTCGGTGCAATACTGCTTAACATCAAAAAGCGTTGAAGTTGTCCGCGCTTTCCAGACTTTAGTCCGCATTATTGCCAAGCTAAATTGCGATTAGAATTTTAAAAAAAGAGGAAAGACTTACTATTGACGATTTGTTCCCAACTTGACTGCAATCTCTACGTAATGCGCTCGATCGCGAGCGACTAGTTCAGGAACCCCGAGTGCACATAACTAAAGAACTTTTTTAAAAATATACAAAATGCAATACTTGTGATGAAGCTACACGTGAAGCCAACGTCTCCAGCGGCATAGTGATCATTGGTGTGCCCGTCCAAAGAATGTCCATGCCTGAAAAAAATTAGTATAAGACGTTCACATGGTAGACCGTAAAATGCGGTTAATAAAAAAAATTATAACTAACCTGTCGTATGCCCATTGCACAGTGGTGTATCCAAACAGACATCTGCTAGCTGTCCACGTCGCACATGCTCTTCTTTGGCAGCAACATTGCTAAATGTTATTTATAAATATGTTTAAGTAGTTTATTATTACCTAAATACAATTCTTTTCTGATCGATCCCTCTATCAACACAATATTTCAACACGTTTGGCTCTCCATGATGAGGGAAACGAAGCAACCACAACACGGACTTAGGGACCTAGGGTCGTTTAATGGTGAAAAGCTAGGAATTCGATTCGTTTACTTGTTTGAGAATTTCGATCCACATATCAAGGGTAGATGGATCAATTTTGTACAACTGGTTAAAATTGCAGTAAATGATCGCATCATCGGGGAGACTAAAGTGACGCTTAGAAATTTCAACAAAGTTAGATTTACTTGTATTGCTGCCGGCTCGTAACCATAATGGCTTGTGGGATTTCTTCCCCAGTGGCGGCTTTAGTATGCGGCTAAAATTATTTTTTAAACTAAAAATTTCAACAGTAACCTGAGCTACTCCATTGTGAACAGGTATTCCTTCAACGACAGAAACATTAAACCCTTGCCCAATCATCTGCTTCAAAGGCTCGTTTGTCGGAACCTAAATTGAAATGTTTAAAATTACAATTTCACTATTAAAATACCTCGACAACGGGAACAACCACTTCCGTTCTAATTAACTCTTTTTCGGGACCATGCACCACCTCCACTTCTCGTACATGCTCCTAAAATGTGAATAGCCAAAGTCAACACAAAGAGCCTTACTCGGACTTCAACTTTATTCAGAAGAGGCTCAAGATTTGACAGGGTAGCATTAACAACTGTCAAATTATCCTGAAGCTATAAACGCACTTTTGAATAGTCTTAATTAACTTACATTATCCGAATTTTCACTCTTTTCTTTAAGAATAATACGCTCAGTTAGATGTTTAAGCATTTGAGCGTGATCACCTAAATATTATGAAATGTTAAATTTAGCTCAAAACAAAACATACCAATGAAAAATGTATGAGGCATGTATGCAAGTTTCTCCGTATACGCGTGGGCAAGACGTACTGGAGATGTCACGGCATCTGTCACGATGTAATCCATAAATGGTGCGCCAGAAGTCCCAGGATAACCCAGCCACATGACCTTAATTTTTTCAGTAGCTTAACGCTTCATTTTCATACAAAAAGCTCTAATATCTACCTGTATCGGAGCTGGACGTAAAGCAAAGATCTCATTGCGAGCCCCTTTCGTGTAGCCGTTCATGTTGACGAGAATGTGTATGTTGTCTTCTCGAATTCGATCAGCTGCTCGTCCGTTGCATGGGAGCTAAAACAACAGTGCTCAAAAAAGACAGAATTGAGACTAATTACATTTGTTAGATCCAAAAAGTGCTCAGATTCATCCATCAATTTTTGTCTGAAGTTTGTGCCATCATTTGAGGATAACGCGTAGCAAAATACCTAAAGATTATTATTGATGTTAAAAGATTGGAATTTAGTAGAAATCTTAAATGCATAGAAAAATTAAAAAACTTACTTCCACTCGGCTTTTGTCGTGCATTCCAGGAATCGACTGCATTAAGTGACTTGTCGGGTGATTGCCAAAATCACTTGAAACGTATCCAATACGCAAACGCTCACCAGCGCGAAGTAACTAAAAAACAAAAGAAAATCCTCTCTGAAGAGTGGCAAGCGTACCCCAGAATCGGGATGGGTGAGGGCAACACGCCCAATCATGTGAACTTTTTCGATGCAAAGCAATGCGTGTTTTGCTGCAATATCGATTCGTGCCTAAAACAAAATTTGACGTGTGGAATATTAAATGTTAATGCCTGATGAGATAAAGGATAGAGCATTGAGTGATGTGGGTGAACAGAAGGAAGCCGTTTCCTAGCCAGTTGCTCTTCAACAATACTAACCAAGCGCTTCATCCTGAAAAATTCTTACTCGATTCCCCAGCTTTTATTTTACCTATTGTCGTAGTCGGTCCAATCGCAAATGATTTGTAAGCAATGTGCCAAATTGCAAAAAGCGTCAGGAAAATCGGGCTTTAACTTCAAAGCGGTAGTGTAGCTTTGAATAGCTTCGGGAGTATTACCGGAATCCTAAAAATGCTGATGTCACTAGGTTCTAGACTTGCTATCCGATGGATTGAATCCGGATTGGATCGGATCGGATCGAATACGTTTATGATGATCCGATACGATCTGATGACCGCATTCATCGGATTGAATCCGATCCGATAAAAATCTCTATCGGACTAAATCCGATTCGATCCTACAGGATTTCGATCGGATAGCACATCTACTAGGTTCACAAAAAGTCTTACCTTGTGAATACTAGCCAAATTTGAGTGAGCGTCTGCAAAAGCTGGGTTTATTTGAATAGCTCTTGTGTAGCATTGTAAAGCATTTACCTAAAAGAACAATCGCTGTTGCAAAATGAAAAAAATCAATAAATTTGAAAAACACACCACATCTCCCATTTCTTTGAGAGTATTGCCCATATTTGAGTAAGCATCTGCGAAAGTTGGAGCTATTCTGATCGCTTCCTAAATTTATTTGAAAACCTAAGTTTTCTGATAAAATAAAAAACCTTGTAATGCAACAGTGCTTCTTGCAATTTTCCCTGTTGTTGGAGAATCGAAGCCAAATTACTATGAGCTGCGGCAAATTCGGGACAAATCTAAAACACAAAGTCCATGGTTCTCCCCTAATTAAATTACCTCCAAAGCTTTTAGATAAAGTCGAGTGGCTTCCTCGATTTTTCCTTGTTCTCTTTTGATATTGGCCAAGTTATTCTGCGAATCAGAGTGCATTGGGTAAAGCTTAATTTTGAAATCTTCAGAGAATTCTTTAAAAGATTACTTGGAGTGCTATCAAATAATTTTTCTCGGCTTCATCGTTCAGTCCCTTTTCTTTTAGAGCATTTGCGAGGTTACAATAGGCATCAGGAAAATTTGGTTGCAGTTCAATGGCTCTTCTATAGGTGTCGATCGCCAAATCAAGTAGCCTAAAGCAAAATTGCAAACAAAATGCGATGCTTCCTGATACCCCTGCTCGTAGTAAACACATCCGAGATTTCCATGTACAATCGCGTGATTGCTTGCAAGATTAAGCGCCCGTAAGTACGCGGCCACCGCTCTAAAACGGTCTTAAATACATAAAAACATTGATCTACCTGTCGTATATCTTAGCCTCTTTGAGAACATTTCCAAGATTTATGTATGCATCGAGAAAGTTTGGATCCAGTTGAACAGCTTTTTCAAAATGATGGATAGCCAACCAGGTTTCTCCCTAAATTACAAAATTAACGCTATAAACCGTTTTACACCTGGGAGTTAAAGACGCAACCGAGATTTGACCAAGCTACGGCGAATTGGGGTTGTGTTTCGATGGCACGCAAATAGCAAATCTACAAGAACATAATTAATCAAAATAGTTTTGGAAAGTCCACCTTTGCTTCTTCGAGTCTTCCCATAGCTTTTAAAAGATTTCCCAAATCGCTGCGAACGCAATACAAATCCTAAAGTTTTGTTTAAAAATATTTTCATTTAGGTAAAAACCGAATTGTTTTGAAGTGCACTGCAATAAGCTGTTATGGCTTGTTCGAGATCTCCACTTGCAACGAGAGCAGAAGCTAAGTTGATGTATCTAAAACTATTCAGTAAGCGAAATTGATGCTCACTGCATACCCGTCAATAAACTCGGGTTTTAAGCGAACTGCGTGTCGATAATTGTCCAACGCCTCTTGTAGTTGTCCTCTTTCCTATTTTTGTTCATAATAAACTACATAGCAAAAAATAAACTAGTACCTTGAAAACATTTCCGAGGTTTGAGTAAGCTTCTGCACATTGTGGGTTTAAACGAATTGCCATTGACGAATATTTCATAGATCTAAAAAACTAAAGTTAGCAATAATTTATGGTACGAACTTGTCCAAATTTTTCATTTGAAAATGAATCGAAGAAAGAAGTAGTAGGACCGAAACATTGTTTGGATCTAAAAATCCCAAGTAGGTATTTTTTATTATTTGTGCAAAATACCCTGTTGATAGATAAACAGACAATGTCGCTCGGCACTTGCATAATCACCAGCTTGATATTCTCGATGAGCCAATTCGTTGAGTGCAACAATGCCTAAAATAAAATTATTTTTTGTTTCATAAATGAAAATAAAATGAAAAAATTTTGAAAAATAAAATACCGTTTAGATCTGCCGTGACCGTACCAGCCAAGCCAGCTGACGAAGATAGGGATTGAGTTGGTATAGACGTCGATGAAACTACCTAAACTTTGTATATTAGTTAAATAAAAGCTCAGACATTACTTGTGCTGGATTGATGTTTACGGTGAAAAAATTAGCGGCATTCGGTTGAGATTGAAGCTGTTGAATTTTTTGCATTGCTGATAACATCGAAGCCTAGAGAGTTATTTTACAATGTAACAAAAAGTTTAAAAAACCTGGTCCAAAATCCCTAAAGCTTGGGTGTGTAACCCGAAAGTTGGTACCGAAGCAACGGCCCCTTGATTCAAAGGAGATGATGCAGCGCCCGCTTGTGTAGATGATCCCAGGTTTTGCACCTAAACAAAATTGTGGATTCCCCATACAAAAACCGGTACTAGTCTAGTTGGGGGGGGGCACTTTTTTTTCTCCAAAACCACCTTTTCTAGGGTAGTTTTATGCGTAGATTCCGTAAAACACAGCAAGAGCTTGAGAAAATGAGTTTTAAGCCAAGTTTCAGGACTCCAAAGTGCGCGCTCATACAGTGTGATGGGAGGGTTACACATAGGGAAAAGGTCTAAAAATGGTCTCTCAAAACATTTTTTTGAGGCCAAAAACACTTCTTATGGCGTGATTTAACCTACTGATTTCTGATAAAATTAGAGCAAAATATAAAAAACTTTTCTATTTGTTTTGCCTCTACCAGTCAATTTAAGTTAGAAAATGAATATTTAGCGGTTAAAAATTGTTTTGGCTTTAGTTTTGACCTTGGAAAGGGCCCCAATAGTCGATAGCTTGGGCTCCATATAGTGAAGTACACTATAGAAGCGTGCACTTTGGAGCCCTGAAACTTGATTTAAAATGTATTTCCCCAAGCTTTTGCTGTGTTTTTCAGAATCTACACATAAAATTACCCCAGAAAAAATGGATTTGAAGAAAAAAAAAGTGCCCCCCCAACTAGACTAGTACCCAAAAACCGACTTTGCATACCTTTTCCAATAAAAGCTGTTGCGTTCTCGCTTGTTCCATAGTCGTTTTCGAGAAAATGATGTTAACTCTTTTTACATTCGCCTGAAGATTAGCATTTACAAAAACTTTGTGTACCTTGTAGAATCTAAACTCAAAAAAAAGAACAAAAAAATATTTTGACATTGGTGGATATCGATTCGAAAAAGTTGTCTGTCGACCCGAAATATGAGGCCTCTTATTATGAGGATAGAATCAGACCGGGGCGGGAGGGGGATTTCGGAGAGCCAATAAGTAACAGTTCTCTCGTCTCGGCATGGGCGTTTTGCCAACGTCTTCACTAATTTGCAGAACAACGTTACGTGTATTGCTCCGTTCTCTCAGTCGCGAATAATAATTTGAAAATCCCAGATTTGATCTTTTACATAAATTTGATGTAAACAAGGGAGTGGGACAAATGCGACCTTTTTTTTGCGCACCTTTTTTCCGCACCTTGCCCATTAGGGCACCTTTTTTCGCGTTTTAAAAAAGCTCTAAAAAGCTAATATTAACCAATTTCTATTCCAAAAGTTGTTTTTCTAGGTAATTTTAGGGCGTAGAATCGAAATTTTGACATATCAGAGCTTGTGGAAGCGAACGGACGGAGTTATACAAAGAGAAAAATCGACAATTTTCCGTAATTTGATCTAGCCGTTTTGTCTTTCAAATTGGTTCCACACGCTCTGTTATGTCAAACTTTGAATTCGACACCCTCAAATTACCTAGAAAAACAACATTTGGAATAGAAATTGGTTAATATTAGCTTTTTAGAGCTTTTTTAAAATGCGAAAAAAGGTGCGCTAATGGGCAAGGTGCGGAAAAATGTCGGGGTGCGCAAAAAAAGGTCGCATTTGTCCCAATCCCGTAAACAATGGCCAAAATTGTTTGCGATAAGATCGTTTCAAACCAGGCACCTACGGTGGTAAGGCCAATTAAAACCAATGGATCATTTTTGCTCGTTTTAACACTTTGTATTTTCTTATTTTCGAAATAGAAAGTTGATATTTAATTTTAGGAGATGCTATGACGCACGAACAAAATAACGACGACGAGCTTTGTGTTTTTGGATATGGTTCGAAAATCTACTCCAAAGATGAGCATTTTCAACGAATAGCAGAAGAGCGGCACCTTTGTAATTGGCTTGACACCGACATTCGAACTGACAGGTTGGGGTTTTGTAGCAACAGAATTAGGTATACATTAAAAATTTTGGGTATGACGTTAGAATGTTGCTTCATTCAATCACCGATGTGCACAAAGATCCTTATCCTGGCTCTCCCGAGTGCCCTTCTGAAGCGATGGAAGAGGAGATGTGTGAAGCGGAACGATACAGAGAAATGAGTTTGTTTTTGCAACACAATCGCCTTTTCATTTTAAAAATTAGATCCGTTGGTTGATGAAAATAGAAGCGACAAGAAACGTGCGGAAGTTGCCTTCAGTTATGACAATCAAGCGATAGAACCGAAGAAAGAGGAAGTTATTGAAGAGGTTGACGATAGTGGAAGTGACAGTGAGACGGAGCCCTTTGAAACCCCAGAGGGTGTAAAACTACCCATGGGTTTGCAATGTGTACGTTTTTATGGATTCTTTAAAAATACAGTAAACTTTTTAGCCACCAAATCAAAAATTGAACCACATAATTCTTCGGACCGCGGGATTTGTGGTTGAAAAAGGAGTTCAAATGGAAATTGTCATCAAAGCAAAGCAGAGAAACAACCTTGAACAAGTACCCATTTTCTTTTTTCTAAACGATCAACTTGAATTTTAGTTCGGATTTTTGGAATTCGACGATGGTCTCAATCCCTACTACAAATATATGATGAAAATGATTCGCGAAAAAAAGTACACGGTGCCCGATTTTGAGAAGCAAAAAAAGCTCAAGAAAAAGGCTAGCAATAAGGTGAGTGTTTTTCCCTAAAGCATTAGGTATTTGGTTAATTTTAGAATTCGACTAAATCAAGTTCAAATAATGCACATATCAAGGCTGAACCATCAACTTCAGGTGTATATTCAATTTGATAAGTTTAAAAAACTTTGCTTTAGATGACTCTGGATCTGAATCAGATTATGAGCTTCACCCACTTCTAATGGCTTCAATGAATAAATCTCCTGAAAATAAATCGTAAGTTTAGAAGTCATTTTTTTTAAAAATTTATTTTAGTAAACATTTGAATCATCCCCATAAGAAGCCAACGAGAAAATCCAATGACGAGATTGACGCATTTGAGTATGAGATGGATAAAGTAATTTGCAAAGGCAATAAAATAAATAATTAATGTTTAGTCAAATAATATGTACACCTCCTTATTTAAAAGCTTAGCCGGCTTGAAAGGGCATAAAGAAGAGAGCGAAGCATCGCCAGAGGTTAGACGCTCTCCAACATTGATTAAAGAAGAACATGGCGACCTCCAACAAGCAGCTCCTGATGTGGAATTTCAGAAATGGTAGAATTTAAATATCCTAGAAAAGTTAACTGGTGAAAACTCTTAGGTGGAGTTGGTTTTATTCGTGCCCTTGTCCGATTTCTCATCCAGCACAAATCGTTACGCCATCACCCGATGTTATGCAACTTATCGACAACTGGGCTCAATATGTAGCAAAACACGGGGCTGAAGGAGAAAAGCTTTTGAGAGGTTTGATAGTTGCTATTGCTTAAGCCAAATGCTGTTTTAGAGCAACATATCAGTTCTGATGCCAATTTCAAAACTTTGAAATTTCTTACTTCGGATTCACCGTTTCATTCTTACTATCAGCAAAAGGTAGAAAGATGCAATTTTTTTTGTTTATTTACAATTTTTTTATTTATAGGTGCAGGCTTTCCAGCGAAGTTTCGGCATTTATCCACCTGCGATCGAAGTACTTTTTTCAGAATATGTTTTAATATCTGTTTTAATTTAGATCGGGCTTGTGAAGACGGATATGGTCTCTACTAGCATTCAAGTATGTTTATTTAGTTATTTTTTTGAATAACCTCTTTTTGAGGATGCTATGAACAACTTGATGAATGAAATAGAAACATCAGCTCCCCCACCGTCTCTTAATCGCAAACAAAGGAGACGATTACAGGTGATTATTTTTTAACTATAATCTTGCAGTTGAATAGTCCAATTAATTAATTGTTAAGGATGCTCCGCGTGTTTATGCCTCAGTTCCAATCCAAATAATTGACCCAATTGCAACAACGGTAAACTTTCTTAGTGGTTTTATCTTCACAGTATGTTTAGAAGCAAAGTGCATCACAAGCGGCAGAGTTTTCCTCTGTTTCGTTGAGGTTTACTCCGAGAAAGTTGTAAGTTTAGTTAAAATTAGAATTGACTACGAAAAATTCAGCGATTCTCCTACAACTTCACAGAACAGTGATAATGAACCTACAACAACAAATAGCGTAAGCTTTTTTGATTGCGTTGTTTTAAATTGTATTTGTTCTAGAAAATAGTGATTCCACCCGCACCCCTACCGCCCATACTCCAAAATGATATTCAGTTGGAGAGAAAAGAAAAGGTAGGAAAACTATTTACTTTTGGGTATTATTTTGGCGGTTTAGGCTCGCCTTTTTATGGAGAAGATACTGAAAGAAAAGCAACAAAAGCGCAAACAAGAACAAAAGGGTCGAGAGTCACCAAAACTGGAATCGAACTTGGTTTGTATAGCCAACGATTTAGCAATATTCCCACAATTCAATTTAGGCTATTCTCATCGAATCTGGCAATGACAAAGAACGAACGGAACAAATTGCGTCAGCTAGTGATCAACAACTTTCAACTAATGGAACACAAATACCCGAGATTCTTGATCCAATTAAGTAAGAAGGCGTTTTGGATTTCAAAATGAAGCTCTTTAGTGACAAGAATTCGAAAGAATATATTGAAAGCCTCATAAATAAAAAGCTCAACAATCTACTTTCTTCAACGGCTGCAACATCGGTAATCAATTTTTTAACTTATTTAAATTCATTTAACGAAAGAATATCTAGCTTACAAAATGGCACATACTTTAGACATCCAAATCAGCCAGCGCTAGTGGGGAGACGAAAGCTAATAATGGTTCCACCGAAGAACGGAAGCATAGGAAAAGTTCTAAAAAGAAACGGTCTCGCTCTAGGTATAGTGTTGCCTATTTAAACATATAAATTATTTATTTAAGGTCTCGCTCACACACCAAAAGCAAAAGGCGAAGACGATCAAGAAGTCGTAGCCGCAGCAGGTAAAGCTTATTTATCGACTTTCCCGATAAAAGGACAAACACTAATATTTATATTTAGGGATCGTCGGGATTCGCGTCGTTATCGGTAAAATTGATTCCAAAAGCTACGTGTCAAAATGTTATACGGTGTTATATGTTAATGTTATTATTTTTCAGTTGATTGGCAACTTTTGTTCTTGTTAGCATTTGTTACATATGTTATCCGCGAATAAATTTTTTGTTTTGTTTTTGAGGGCTCACAATGCAAGGTATTACAATTTTTTTCAGCGAATTGGATCATTTGATCTTTCCAACATTGAACTAGGGCCATTGATTGAGGTTCTTCAGCATCAGATTGACCCGTACACCGATTTGCATTTTGATTCTTAAATGGTTTTTGCCTCCAGCTACTATAGCCTAGACGTTTGTTTTCGTGCCACCATTGTTCCATCCCTACAGATGATAAAAGATAATTTATTAAATAAAAAGCATATCACAAACCAAGGTTCTATAAATATTAAATAACACAATCAAACTCACAGGAATATGCGATCAAGTACAAACAACACCAGAGAAAAAGCTCTGGTTATTTTAGACACAACACAAAATCATACATGCAGAATGGTGCACCAGAAAAAAAATTACATGAAATGACCGCTTTGTTGAGGATATCCTTGTGGCATGGATCCTCCGTATGGCATGTGACCGCTGAATGGCATTCCAGTAGCAGGGCTTCCATAAGATCCCATCTGAGCCGGTGGGAGTCCGCCGGTGGGGCCATAGGTGAGCATCAAAGGTTGTTCCACTAAAAGTAAAAGTTGATAGTTTACACAACAAATCACTAACTCATTGGCCCATTGTGAGGTTGTTCCTTAGCCTCTTCCTTTCGTTCAGCTTCGGCTTTTTCGAGTCGCTCAAGACGTGTTTGATAGTCACGCATCACTTGCACCATATAAGGCATAGCAAAGTCGGTAATCTTGTGCTTCCAGGAGAGTTCCAGAATGACATCAGGATGAATCAAGTCATAGCAATGGTAAAGAGTTCCAGCAAAACAATCGTAGAGCCTAAAACTTAAAATTTGACAGGTAGATAAATTTAATAAAACCTTTCATCAAGGAAGAATGAGATCAGATCTTCAGCGATTTCTGTTAAGCGAGACTCGGCAGCATATTCCATGGCGTCCTTGTAGAGCTTGTCTTTCTTGCACAACTCGATGCTTTGCTTCCAACGGTTGTTTCCTTTGAATAAATATGCAGAGATTCGTCGGAATTCCACAAGCGGATGCTTCTCGAGTTGTTGGGCAAGTGCAATATTGTCGAAATTGTTGTGAGCATCGATCGAAGCCCGGAGAGAGGTGGCATCCTCCTCTTCGATGTACATGTTGTTGAGGGCCTCGTTCAAGGCTTTGTTGTTTTGAGTTTGCACTTGCTTCAAGTAAGGGCGTACCAGATGCAAATGTCCCACTAAAGAGATTGTTACTCAAGAAAGGTCAAGCTATAAGAAACTTACATTTCGTGAAGAATTGCACAGTCCGTGAATGATCCAATCTTGGCGAGAGAACGAGCAACAGGTCGTTAATCAACAATGGCTTGTAGTCCAAGTAGAACTGCATTGCTTTGTAATATAATTCGACGTTGGCCACCTGAATTAAATAATTTTGTTAAAGCATATCAAAAGGCAAACCTTTGCAATGACTTCCTTAAAGTGCTGTTCGCGCCATGACTCCGTAGGATGTTGCATCATAGTCAAAGCAGCATTATCATATTCCTCGTACTTGTCGTAAAGGAATACAAGTTCAGCCCACAAATGCGCTTGTTCGGCAGCCCGTAAAACCTTTAAAAAGATTATTATCGGCTAGAATGTGCCAAAGTTACCTTCGGAATATTAACTCGTGACCAGAAAAGCTCCAAATGTTCACGCATCTTTTCAGGCTTGTACTTCGAATACAAGATTGCCAATTCTGTGAACATTCCCATGTGCGCGCGCTCGAGGCCAAGAGCCGCTTCCAAAAGTGCTAAAATAGGGAACCTTTTGACAATTTGTGTATTTACTCACAGATAAGCTCTTCGAAATGACCATAATCTTGGTAATAGTTGTTCAATTCTTCCAACTCATCGGCATGAACGACAATTGCTAGACCGCAGATTTGAGCGAGACGGAATTCTCCAGCATCGACACATGCAAAGCATACCTAAATAAAAAATATTAACGCACCAATTCAATTTCGTTTAACCTGCTTCCACGTTTTGGTAGAGTTGGCTTTTCTAGCAGCATCTACTGCTCCTTGATATTCACACAATCGAACAAGAGTTACAGCCAGTTTTGCAAAGTTGGAAACATTGGAGAAAAGAATTTTTGCAGCTTCAAACATGCCAGCATCGAAACAGCGATCTCCAATCTAGAAACAATGGCGTTACCAGATTCGAAAGTCATCTAACCTGGATGATCTGCGCATGATTAGGTCCAGAAATGAATTCCTCAAGTTCCGTAAGGCGGCTAGTCTTAGCGAGTGCAAAGACAAGCTCCGTTTCGATGTATGATTCACGCGACTTCTTTCGGGCCATTTGCAGATATCTCACCAAATCTTCCCAGTGGTCTGAAAATAGAAACCGTAAACCGAAACTTTATTGTGGAACACCTGTTTCAGCACACTTCTTGACGACTTCAATGTAGGCGCCTGGATCATCAGCCTTGATGAACGAATCGACAGCCTCCTAAACAAAAAAAATAAAAACAGAAAGGAGAACATATAATACCTTGACCAATCCTTGCTTCAACTGAGCTTTAGCCAAGCTGGCCCAAACATCTGACTGATTGCACTTTTCAGCAAACTCGTAAGCACGGTCCAAGTTTCCGACATTTTCAATCAACACCTAAGATTATGAAATCAAAGTCATTTAAAACAAAAGATCAAACGTTAATCGCAGAGCTGTTGACGTCGAACTTCTTGAAAATGGCAAAAGCTTCCTCGTACAATTCACTTGATATGGCAATATTTGCAATGTCAGGGGCATCATAGTTGTCCAACTTTTGAATGTAGGCCATCACGCGAGTCCGGTCCGCCTAAAAGTATCCAAAAATCACATTTATCAAATTAGACCTACCTTGATTGCCGTCAAAATGAGTAAATTTTGAAGATTGCGGTGTTCAGAAAACACAGTGCTATCCAGAACAATCTTCTCGAGCAGCTCAATCAGCTCATTGGGCAAATCGGCAGCCATGAATGCTTTGACAGTGGTTGAGATGTCTTCAGGGTCTTGCGTTTCAGACAATGCGGTTTGAACCACCTAAGACAAGTCGGCTTTAAACTTTTTCTTTTAACAAACTTGATCGATCAATGGTCGCCGATATTGATTGCTCTCAGCCAAGACTTGCTCCCAAAGTTCAAAATCGCGTCGTCGAACCAAGTAGCTAAAAGTTTGGGGTAATACGCCTTACAAGCATTAAACTAACCGAGCCAGATTTTTGAAAAGTGAATTCTCATTGCAAACAGTGATGAGTTCCGCGTCACAATGTCCCTTTTCATAAGCGAGGAAAGCGAAGTGAGGATCGCGTTTCTCGCAATACTTTCCGACGACTCGTGGATCATAATAAGGATTCTCCTTCAAGAAGCGATCCGGATTCTGATTCGCATCAATGTAGATTTTTGCAAGTGCATTATGAGTAGCCGCATCTTGAGCTCCTTCTTGAACACGTGATTCGAGCCAATGTGCCAATAACTAAACGACAAAAATTGTGTTAAACGGCACATTTTCAGCACAAACCTTCAGACGATTGCGCTTTTCAACTTCGGCAACGAGCTCATCAATGTCGAACTTTCCACGTGTATTAACAATCAACTGCTTGATGGCATCTTCGCTGCAATCAACATCCAACAATCCTCCAACAACAATTGGCAAACGGGCAGAATTGACCTAAAAATATTTAAATTAGGGAACAAGATTTTCACAAACCTTTTGAACAAAGACTTCGATGTACTTTTGCAGCTGATTTCGGTAAAGGTAGAGCACAAGATCATGGACCATGTTGTGACGATCGCATACGATGATTAGAGGAAGTTGATCACTCAGTTTCGCCTCTTTCAGGAAATTTTTGACTCGCTCCGGATCATAGACGGTGGATTCACGGCAAATACGCTCTACTTCCTTGATTTGGCTAGTTCTTGTCGCTGCCTAAATTTTAACAGATGTACATAAGGAGAATCCATTCATACTTGGATGTATTTGAAATGAACTTCGGGATCTTGTGAGAAATTCACGATGGCACCCAGAAAATAGAAGAGTCCTGAAACCAATAATATAAACCAAAGAAAACGAGCACTAAAATTACCTTCATACGTCTTGAATGACTCAAATAATTCAATAAGGGCCGGCGTTCCCAGCTGTTCGTGATATTTCGAAGCGATTTGGACTACCACTTGAAGGTTTTGACGCAGATTAGCTTGGAGCATAGCTTTGAGGCATTCCAACGAGTCCTCCACGGATAGTGAGCCAAAGTAGTTGACAAGCCACTAAATTTTATTTTAATATTTCTTTTTGCAAGCACATACATCAGGCTTGAGGTGCTGAGTATGAACAACGGTTCGTTTGATGTCATACAAGTCAGTGAAGTGTTCGAGAGCTCTTTGCAGTAAACCAGCCTTCTCACACAACTGACCAATTGCGGCACGATCATAGTGATGGAACATCTAAAATGGAAAAGCTGATAATGACGCATGCTAGCTGTACCTGATTTCCGAGGATAGCATCAGCAACAACTGGCGACGCCATCAAGTTCATTTCAAGCAAGCGTGTTTGCAGATGTCCTTCGCTCTCTTTATCACCTTTCAGCACCTAAAACAAAAAATATAAATATTTTCACTAATGTAGTACCTCAAGTAAAAACGCAGTACATGGCTGCACGGCTTGAACTTCCATGAAGCAGTCAACGATTTGATTCAAATCAGCCAATGGTTCACCATTTCCTTCAGTCGCCAACATTTTCGCAAACCCTGCAGCTTGATCTGGGTTAGCTCGCAACACCTATAAAAAAATTAATTAAAAATAAAAGGGGCATTCGAGTGACCTGTCGAAGCTGGAATAGATAATTAGGCTCGAAGCCGACACGTTTAGCGTAGACGATGATCTTGTCGAATTGGCCTGTTTCAGCGAAACATTGGACGACTTTGTGAGGCACATTTCCACGCAGATAGATCGACAGTGCAGTATTGGCATCGTGCGGTCGCACAAGGTCTCCGAGCTCTTCAGAACATTCGAGCTTTTGTTCCTAAACAAAACGCATTATTTCAATACTAGATTCTAAAACACCTGAAGCCATTTTTGAAGAAGTTCGTTTCTTCCTTGAGCCAAAACTGGACGGCATAACTCGAGAGTTTCATATTTGTTCAGCTTTCCTTGATCGAGAAGAATACCAAAGTATTGAAGCAGGGGAGATTGTTGTCCAGCTTGTGTTGGAACCTGATATAACAAATAAATTTACATCCGCCCATAAGATGAAATCACCTGCTGAAATTTCTGAATTGTGGCAGGTGTCCTCAATATTCCTTGTGGCGCCGTAGCTGCAATCCTAGCGGCCTCATTGAAACTTCCGTTTGAGAACATCAGGTTGAATTTGCGAACAAACAACTCTTCGGCTCCCGCAAGATCGCAACTAAAGTATCAATATAAATTTTTCCACACAATTAAAGTCAATGATAAACAAAATAACTCACCGAACAGCAAGTTTGAGAGCTAGATCGGGATTTTGTAACTGCTGGGTGACGAAGGGGACCATGTTGTTTTCATCGATTGAAACGGAGAGAACCTAAACATTCAAATTTCGTTTAGCTTTTTTCTTACTAACCTGGCCTTTCCTGTTTACACCCATAATTCCTTTGGTGGTGGTGTATTCACAGGTGACAAAAACTGTGTCCGTTGAAATCCGGTTTGAATAAATTCGAGTTCCCGAATCCATATCGTAGAGATGAACAAATCCGTGTTTCGTGACGAGGTACAAAATTCCATGCTTGCCAGATCCCTAAAAAAAATTTGAATTCAAAGAAAGCATTTATGCCCTTTACAATTACTATTAATCTAATAAAACGTGTATTGTACCTGAAGGCTAACGGGAAAGTCGGTAGCAGCCTCAGCGCTGTATGGAACATCAACAGCTTTCTTTGCAAAAGGCTGATTTCCTTGTTGTGGTGAGCCAACTTCAATCACTTGCAGTTTCCCACCAGCCTCATTGCGGACGGAAAAGCAGAACAAATTGCTCGGATGGGCGTTTCCCTCAGCCTAACTTGTAAATAATTTATGACAAAGCGGTGGGTTCAAACCTTGAACTGAACGAAGCAAGCAGCATGTCCTTCGATTGGCTGCGAGACTTTCCTTTCGGTGCTGTAGAGCTGCATTTGTCCGACAATCCTAGTGTCTTTGGCAGCAATCCCAACAAGGCAAAGCCATTTCAGATCCGCATCTGCTCGATAACTGATGATTTGATGGTTCTGAAGAGCACTGTGGCGATCAAACATCTTCACTGGTGCATCTTGTCCTAAAATTTATTAATAACCGCTAAATTTTAGATAAAAAAAGACCTTCTATACTCCAGTGAAAAACTGCTGTGTCGGTGACGAGAGCAATCGTCTTCTCGTTTACCCATTTCCAATAGGTGACATCTTCGGTGTTTTGATGGGCCTTGACTTTCGCTTTGGCTTCGATGTTAAAGATTTGCAGTGTTTTTCCAGCTAAGAACAGTTAAACCTTTTAGATAAACAGTCAAATAACCTTTCAGAGCGATGATCTTTTGCGATGGATGCATGATGACGGAATCTGCTTGGATGGGTCGGCGAGTGGGATTCGTCGGGTCGGACATACTGATTATGACGACTTGATTGCTGTCGCCAACCTAGAAAAGCTATGAAAATAGAGCACATTATCAATCCAAGCTTATTAAGTTAAATTTAAACTGACCGTTTCGCGAACGACGATGTTCTTGTCGCTTTCCATCGTCACATTGTTGAACGTGATAAACTGCTGCTTGATGCCGACGTTTAGCAGCTAAACAAAGAAGGTAAAAGACACAAAGAACATGACCTTACATTGAGATGCTCGTGAAATTTGATGGGTAGAGTCATCTTGCCTCTTGTCTAAAATATAACACTATGTAGAAGCAATATAAAAAAGTATTAGAACACATTAATGGGCAAGAACAAAATTAGCTAAAAGACCAATGAGAGAAGAGGGGCGAGAGCAAATATAGGAGACCCGTCATCGACCGCAACGCGAATGACTGCGAGACGTTCTCTCCCTTTTCTTTTTCTAGCATAAACGGAAGGGGCCGAACCAACCAAGAATAAGGGAGTCACATTTCAAATTTTCCGGAAACTGTTGCCATTGAATACATTGGAAATGGCTTACATCAGTTTGAGCTATGGAATCTAGGCATCTATATAGTTTAGGCTAAAATGTTAAAATGTGATTCAGATAGACAAAAATAAACGATGAGATTGCGAAACACCAAAAACCGGCTCCAACCGTATAAGAATTAGACTTGCTTATCGATATTATCGATGCAAGCGACATGCTCATGTTTGACCGTTCAGACCTCAGTTTCTAGAACAGCTATCAATCTAAAAATTGTTTCATTGGAAAGTCAAGAATTTCAGCTTTTGATTGCTATTTTATACATAGCGACTTTTAATGAGTAAGCACTTCATAAACCTTATTGATACTTATCGATATCCAAAGAATCGTTTATCGATATTTGAGTATCGATAAGTATTGATAAGCTTTTTAAGCTGAGAATTTGCTGTGTGTGAGATAGCAGTAAAAAGATGATATTCTTGGCTTTTCAATGAAGCAATTTGCAATTTGATAGCTGTTCTAGAAACCGAGATTTGAACGGTCAAACATGAGCATGCCGTTTGTATCGATAATATCGATAAGCAAGTCTAGTAAGAATGATAGAATGAGTTCGGGGAAATCTTTTTGTAGATTTCAATTATCGATAGTGTAGTGTAAAGTTGAATATCTTTAACTTGTAAAATGGCTTTATTAATAATGCAAATTTGTTTTTAGTGTCCTCTTCCTCCCCTCCTGACCACCGGCTTTAAGGTTGGCAGATTTGAGGCGTCTATCAGCTCATCATCCTGGAATTTATCGACTCTATTGTGTGAAAAATGTTTTTTTTTCACGACTTATACAGGTTTCATCAGTTCTACTCACATCGCTTGGAAGTTGAACTCCATGATTTAATTCAGTTTTTGACGATTCGATCTTTTGAACTAGATTTTCAACATGGGACCTTTGACAGCGACAAGTCTTCTCATTGAGCACTTTGCTAAAATTTTGATTAGTTTGTTTTGATTTCTTGAGATTTACTCAGCCGGACATTCAACATTTTCACATATGCAGGTGCATGTGGACGGGTTCCAAGTTCCTAAATTGATAGAAGTAGTTCTGCCTAAATCTATTTATGTTAGTTACCGTCGCACGAGTTCTCATCTTTTTTCGAACACTCGCATTCGCACACATCATTGAGTACAAAGCTTCGTGAGCAAAGTTGTTTCTAAAACTGTTTGAATAACAATAACAATGCAATAACATTCTTTCCACCAATGCACTGACAAAAACTGTATTCGTATGCACTTAGCTTTCAACTTACAAACCCCACAACTGTGACAAGAGCATGAAGTGTGTGTTTCCATCGTAATATTGATGATGTCTCGCACGCTGAACTGCTTGTTCCCAATGTAATCAAGTCGAACCACCTGTAAATTATTCTACAGAAATCTTTAATCTTTTTTTACCGGAAAATCTTTATATTCCACGTGGTGTGGCTGACACGATTTCGACAATAGACAACACGATCCGACGCATTGTGGGATCTGAATTGATTCTGGATTGGATATTTTTTTTGAGAATAAACCTCGATGCATCGTGGATAAATCTCGATCATCGGGTCATCATTTGTGATGTTCACCGGAACACAGACCGATTGTAGCTAACAATTTGGACATTTCATCACAATTCAACTAAAGTTTACCTGACATTGATCACTGCCTTGATGCAAATTTTGGAGAGTAGCCAGATCGTTTTTAGTCGAATCTAGAGTTGTTCGAGTTCAGCGGTTGCAGTGGTTATTTGTCCATTTGGAAACACGGTGTTCATTTGGCTATTCACCTTGAATCTGTATTTCGTTCTCAGTTTGTGACCCATCCGCTTTCTCAGAGATAAAGCGAAGTTTTCCCCGTCTTAATCCACCAGTAATGCTTGCCCCATGGATTTGTACATGAGGATCTAAAAATTTTGTGAAATGGAAATTAGGTGTTTTTGAAGAACAGCAAAAGGGGCAAGAATTCAGACAGCTTTTTCCTTTTCTGCAACCGAAATTTCAAAAGCAATCAAACGTTGTCAAAACAAAGTCAAAACATCCAGAACTTATATTCATTTTCCCATAGATTCAAAAACTGATAGAGATAGTGAGAATCTATAAAAAGTAACACAATCTGATCGTTACCCCGATGACGGTGCCCATGTCCTCTACGAGATTCATGTCCATCTCTGTGATGATATCGGATATGTAAATCGTCACTGAGATCCTGAAAGGGTTTTTGCAACAAGATTGAAAATTTATCTTTGTGAAACTAATGGTTTATTTTGAATCATCATGCCTCACAAGGTCTACAGAGAAAGATTTCACAATCTCAAAGAAGGGAAAGAGCAGAAGTACGGAACTGGATTGAACTAAAACTGAAACCTATGAAACCTATGGTATTTTGAAATACTTGAAAATGTAGCATAGGTATTCAAGTAGAACAGAGGACTTTCTCTAGAAAAAAGAAAATTTTATCTTATGCAGTTAGAATCCTTGTCTCATAACAATTTCAAAGTTTACATCAGTGAGTACACTACAACATCAATTTTCTCCTCTTTTTTTTTTTACCTTAAACGATTTTGCCCGATAAAACGACTCTTTCACATCATCCGGAATCCGTGCTTGAATAACGCTGTAGAAGGCAAGACAGAAAAGCACCAAATAGGTCTTCATTTCAGATTCTAAATTGAATCAAAAAAATAGTGACTCACAAGGGAAGTACCCTAGCTCGCCATCGCCGATCGCCAGACGCCCAAAGAGAAGTTATAGAACCGAGTAAGCTGATCAAAATGCCGCAAAAATTAGCTGCCCATACTCATGCAAACGCGAGATATTTGTCATAGAAGTTTTCAACATCTCAGTTAAAAGACTTTTCTCGCGCGATGTCAATACGAGCTGGTGGCCTAACGGATAAGGTGCTTGTATACAAAGCGAGCTATGCGAAAAGCTTTTTAAGCGAGATGTTGAAAACTTCTATGCCAAATATTTCACGTTTGCGTGAGTATGGGTAGCTAATTTTTGCGGCATTTTGATCAGGTTAGTCGGTTCTATAGCTTCTTGGGCGTCTGACGATCAACGTCTGACGATAAACGGCTGGGGTACTTCCCTTGTCAGTGACTCAATGGCAAAACTTTTCAATGAGTCACAGAATCACTATTTATATAAATTGAAAAAGGATCAATCAACGTTTTAGGGTTTTACTTTTGAAATGTGCGATTGTTTAGAAATTGAAACCTCCGCGGATCATGTGGCCCTAACAAGAAAAAGAGAAAGATGAGAGGGGAGAGCAAGAGTGATTGACACCACATCTCTCCCCAACATCCACACGACCCTGTTGATCGAGGGAGCTTTCCAGAAATTTGCCCGTAAATCAAAAATGTATTTTGTTCCGAAAAAGAAATAAATATTTATTCACAACATAGCAACTATGGTTGAACTAAGAAAAATACTCGTATCAATAATTAGAATTCCCATAAAATATTTAGCCTTTTTTTTTGTTGATATTCTTCTTTATTTCACTATTTCGTGGATTGAATTCCTCTCTAAAAGGTCTAAATGTTGAAAAACACAAATAAAATAGAAATAGAAATAGAAATAAATAGAAACCTGTTAGAGAAATCGAGAGCCGTGATTGTGCTCGGTCTCAACTCTCCATCTTCATCCAAAACAAACTCTGGCAAAGAGTAGTAGGAGGAAGTTCGAGATAGTGGCTTTCCCTCACTAATAAGTTCTATAGTTAAGCTTGTTACTTTTGAATCTTCTCACCCATTGTTCTTCTTTTTCTTTTCTTTTGAGGGAACTTCTTCGAGTGAAGGATCGAGATTTGACTCTTTCAATACCTCCAACGCTCGTCTTACCTCCTCTTCCTGAAATGATGTTTTATGTTTGAGCTCTTTGCTCATGACAAGCTCTAGAGTAAGACTTTTTGTCTTACTCTAGAGCTTGTTAGCTTCTGTTTTTACTTTTTTATAACTTACATGTTTCCTTATTGCCTCCGGGTTACTGGAATCTTGAAATGACTCAAGCAGTTTGTTCACGTAGCGTTGTTTCACCTAAAGACAATTATTACTGATTTCCGGTTTCAAAATACTTTGTATTGCCTCATCACTTTCAACCTTTGTTGCAAGCTAAACATCTTCATTCGATTCATCTAAATTTGGTTTATAATATAGATCTTTAAATGCTACTCAAACCTGTCGTTCATAGCTTTCCCAAAGTTGTTCAGCTCTTCGACTACCATATTCTCTAACTCTTTGCATTTGTTGATTGTAATTATCACTAAAATTTTTTTTTTTTTGTGAATTATTGTTTATTTCCCTTACCGAATCGATTCCAAATGTGAGGTGACATTTTCCATTTTTGCATCACGAAAGTCTCGAAATTTGACGGCTTGTGAAGCATAAGATTGTCGGAGTTGTTCGACCTAGATTTTTCTTGCACTTTTTTGCATTTTCCTGTTTTCAAACTTGATAATGATAGTTGTCTCGAACATTTTGAACTCTTTTGGTATAAGTCTCGTGAAGGGCTTCCATTTGACGAGAACTAGAAATTTTTGATTTATTTGAAAGTTCTTTAAAAAAAAAACTACCGATATTTCTCCATAGCTTCAACCATTTTTCGTACTCTCGACAATCGTTCAGCTCGTTTAATCCACCTGAAAACTCTGTTTGAAAAAACGATTTCTAACACAAACCAAAGGATGCTTTTCCTTGACAAAATCCAGATCACATTCAAGATAAAAGACAAGAGACAAACGAGAAATGAAGTGATGAGAGATCCCCAAAAGATTGAATCAAGTACATCCAGCGAGTACCAATGATGGTAGTTCATTCTCAATCTGAGAATTTGAACTCTTGCTTAAATCATTGTTGATCTCGAACTTGACAATTTGATGCGTGACTCCCAGCTCGTTTCTGACAACACAAACATAGCGTTCGAGCATCGATCGATCAACTGCAGAGATCAGAAGACCATTTGGAAGGACCTAGAAACGTTTTGGATCTATTGGATCTATTGGATCTATTGGATCTATTGGATCTATTGGATCTATTGGATCTATTGGATCTATTGGATCTATTGGATTTATTGGATCTATTGGATCTATTGGATCTATTGGATCTATTGGATTTGGATCATACTCGATATTTTCCTTGTAGTTGTTGAATTGTTTCATTGATACGTGGTTGCTGTACTCGGTTCGATTTTGGATCAAAACTTCCAAGCAATGTTCGTGGTCGATAGAGGTACCACTCGACTTTTCCTTCCGGCCAGCTATGACAACCACATTTCAAAACGACGTGCTCACCATATCTATAACAAACTTTCAGCGTTTTCATTATTTTAGCATTCGATATTCGATTTCAAACTAAATCTAAAACTTTTCACCTGACTTTAAACACTTTCTCCTCACTTTGATCACATCCAAGATTGCAATTGGATTTGCTTTCAACGATTTGTGGACAGATTTTTTGATCTGAAATTGATTTTTCCAAGAAACTAGCTCTTCAAACCGATCATTTTTCGAACAGGTGTTGCCCATTTGAAGCTACATTGATCGCAATTCCATTCAGTCGAGCTCACATTCAATGTTGTCAAGTTGCCGCTAAAAAAATTTTTCTTTTTCAAACAAGTAAAGCTTTTTACGAGGTGAAAAATTCTCTCGGCATTTCGCTGAGTTTTGTCTCAGTGAGGACGAATTTCCGAACAGCTTTTGGGAGTTTTCCATAAACCAATTGAAGTAACGGAGATTTAGATAAGGAAAGAACTCGAAGTTGTGGCGTTTCCCATCTATAAGTTGCTTGTCTTACTCAAATTTCTTTTTTTTTTGGATACCTAGAGAGATCAGCATGAATGAGACGATTGTTATCGAGATAAAATTCATTCAGCAATGGAGCTTGAAGCATGGGAAGACTCGGGAAATTTGTGTTTGACATGTTGATAAAGCGAAGCTTCTAGATTATTGGTTTAAAAATTTTTTCTTTTGAAAAAATTACCGAAAAAATTTGTGAATCAATTTTATGCATTGGATTTCCACTGAAATCGATTCTTTGAAGACTTTGTGGAAGTGAGAGTTGAGTGAGTTGATTATTTGACGCATCCAAGACAAGCAACGCTTGAGGCAAAGCACCAATTTTAGAAATCTATTAAAGAAAACTCTTTTTTATCTTTTAGTTTTTAGATACCCGATTGTTGGCCATTTTCAAAACATCAATCTTTACTTTCGCCAAGCAAGTACTGATCTCAGTAAGTCCGGCACGAGAAACATCGAGTAAATTGAGATTGGCGATAGAAGTAGACAAATTACATAGCACTTCATGCTCCAAAATTCGAGTCCCACTAAGCTTCAGTCTCTAAAAAACTTTTATACAAATTCTCTTCTATTCTTTCTCGAACTTTCAAACTCTTCCATCGTTGCGTTATCGGAGAAACTTTGTCGATCTCTGAGTTTTTGATTGTCAAATCAACGAGTGCTTTAAGTGTTGAGAAAATGGTGAGATTCAGTGTGCTTTCCTGCCATCTATCAATTTCAAGTGACTTCAAAGATGGGTAAAAGTCGGAAATCTCTCCTAAAGGAAATCTTTCTTGCAAAGTACAGAAAGTCGATCACTTACGAATCTCATTGTGAGTGATATAGCGACAAGAAAGATGTGACGGATCTCCATTTAAACAAATACATCGTAGAATCTAGATACTAGTTTTCATTGTTTTCTTCAATGGCTACCTGAGGACAAGTTGAGTTTCCAAGAGGCAACTCATTCTCGGAACTTCGATCGATCAAAACACTAAACGATGAGCCAAACCTTTTGATGAGCCAAACCTTTTTACTTACTTTGCTTCCGTTTCAACAAATGTGCTAGCCAGTAGCGCAATCGATAAAATAATTGAAGAGAAACTCAAACTGAAATTTCAATTGTTGAAAGGCTACTTTGTTTTCTTACTTTGTTAAAAAACCAGACAATCCCGATTCCCGAGATTTTTTCGAAGATCTTCTACAACTTTCCATTCTAACTTTCCATTTTTCCTGAAAAAGCATTTTCATAAAATTATAAAGAGTTTAAAAATAGACAAACAAATTCAATTATATAATGATAACCAATAATGATAATTATATAATGATAACCAGGAGTAGACTGAAGAAAATCAGCTGTAATCAGTTTTGGCAAAAAGCCAAAAAGTAGAAGAGAAAAGAGAAAAGAGAAAACAAAAGACAGACACATCGGACACATCCTCTGTCCACTATTTAGTCTTTTCCTCTCTTTTCTCTCCTCTCAATGGCTCATAAAGATGACAGAAACCTTCACAAAAGGGACACCGGCTGACTCAGCCCAGTCAATCATGAAATTCAACTCCCACATTTGCATACATAGGTTATTATAGATTTTCTTTTAATCAAAACTAAATTGTAACTAGATACAGTAAATGAGGATTTCGCAAGCTTTTCTCTGGCGGCTTTCGTCGGATATTTCGCAAGCTGCGCAAAGAGTCCGAGAAGGCAGAATTTAGCCCCGGATTCAGCCCACTCCCCTTTCTTCTTTCAGTCCAGAATTTGTCCTTTTGACGAATCCTTCACCACACCGCCTTGTTTGCTTTTCTTTTATTTTTCTTTTCAATGTTTTTGCGAAATTGGTTTTAAAATTTAAAAATGGTTACTCAAAAGAATAGATTATTCAAAGAATTAAAGAAAAGAATTAAGATCAAATAATAAAGATTCAGATTCAGTTCAACATTGAAAAGTTAACGATTAACATTTAAAAGAGGGTTTAATTTGAAACTGAGAAATAAATAAGTGAATGAAATTGAATGCAGAGAATGTTAGATGGGGGAAAGACCCGTGCTTATCTCTCGCAAATCTCATCAACATTTCTTTTTCTCAAGTAATCTTTATGAATTATCTTTCCAGAATTTTCAGAAAAATCTTGAAAAGCTATTTTTAAAGCAACTAGCTATAAATTGAATAATTGTCAACTCTAGAAATGCCTAGTCTTTGTATCCTACCAAGTTTAGCCGTAGATCGATATTTAACAGGAAATCCATTTTAAATTTCTCAAGGACTTTTCAAATCCAAACCCAAAAATCATGCCCATAGCTGATAGATTCTAAAAGCGCGCAGCTGTGTGAATGGTTTGTGTGGAGGGTGTGCATTGGGGAAGGGGTTCTCCTATGCTGCGCTCATTCTTCGTTGGGTTAGAGGGGGAAAGGGGGGTTCCTTTTGGGTGGAAACGGCCGCGTCGCGGGCGACGTCAGTTGTGCATATAGCGCCCCACGATCGAACATCATCGCCACCAATTATTTCGTTTTCCAAGTACCATAAAATTTCCTTCTTCTTCCCTCAAAACTTTATTTATTCGATTTTTTTTGGAACTATCTTTAATAGAAAGACTTCTCTGGTTTTTTTTGGTGGTTATATGATCGTTGATGACTAAAATCTATGACTTTCTATTCACTATAGCTTTTAATAGCTTCTAGTTTAAGTAATATTTTTTAAATATTTTTAAAATTTTAGCCCAGACTTGCAAATACTCTTGAAAGACGACGATCATTAAAAAGCGAGAGTACTTGAAGAACTTACAACATGGCTGGGCCGTCAGAATGCGGCATTCAGGTGAGAATTTGTTAATAAAAGAAGCCTAGGATGAGATTTAAACATTTAGGTGTTCTGCCGTTTTCGACCAATGAACTCGAAAGAGGAGCGGGAAAACAACAAATTCGTTCCGAAATTCCCGGCTGGTACCGAGGATCAAATCTCTGTGGCGGTGAGAAACGGTAACTTTATCAATCATCATATTAATTTCAGGGCAAAGTGTACATGTTTGACAAAGTTTTCAAACCGAACAGTACCCAAGAGCAAGTGTACAAAGGATCCGCGTATCACATTGTTCAAGACGTGCTTTCCGGGTTGGTTTTTTGGAGTCATTTTTGGTTCAAAACACTGATCATGAGCTAGTTTTATGCAAGAAAGCTTTCATTTTCAGCTATTTTCTTACTATTTTCTATTTCCAGCTACAACGGTACCATCTTTGCCTATGGCCAAACCTCTTCGGGAAAAACGCACACAATGGAGGGAGTGTTTGGTAGTGAATTGCAAGGAATCATCCCTCGAATTGTGCAAGATATTTTCAATCACATCTATACTATGGATGTGAAACTCGAGTTCCAGATCAAGGTCTCCTACTACGAGATTTACAATGAGCGCATTCGAGACTTGCTAGACAGTGGGTTGCTTTTATTTAAAAAATATATTTATTCAAACTGGCGGGATTGACCTCTCGACTAAGGCCGACTGGCTAAGAGATAGGGCTCTTAGCCAGTCGGCTATGGCTGCTATTTGTTTACGATACTGTTTTCAGTTACCAAAGTCAACTTGGCAATTCATGAAGATAAAAATCGAGTACCTTATGTAAAAGGAGCCACCGAACAGGCGGTTGCTTCTCCTGAAGATATTATGAGTTGTATCGATCAAGGAAAAGCAAATCGAATGGTCGCTGTTACGAGTAAGTTTTCGGAATCAATACCAGTTACTAAACTTCGGAAAACAAAACTTAACCAAAACGAAAACTACCAAAACCAAAACCATAACAAAACCAAAACCAAAACAAACCAAAACCAAAACCAAAACTAACCAAAACTCGCCAATATCTCGCGACTGGGAGGAGCTAGCGAAAATCTGTTTGCAGATTTGAAATCAGCATCCAAAAATCTATCCCATAGGCTATTTTTTGTTTCGAAATTTCGAGGTCGTGTTTTGGTCCTTTTTTCGGCCGCGAGATTTTGTGGAGTGAGAAAAAGTGAAAGGCAAATTTGCATTTTACAATTTTAAATTTACATGTTAATTTATATGCAAATTGAGTTTTGGTTTGTTTTGGTGTTTTGGTTTTGGTTTTGGTCTGTTTTGGTTTTGGTTTTGTTTGCCGAAGTCTACCAGTTACTTATTTGATTGAATATTTATAAGCAATTACGATTATAGACATGAATGAGCATTCTTCCCGCTCACATTCCGTTTTCTTGATCGCTATCCAGCAACGAGACACTGAAACAAATAAACAACTCTCTGGAAAGCTGTATTTGGTCGATTTGGCTGGTTCAGAGAAAGTAAACTTTAGCGTATAAACTTTCATAAAATAAACCATAAAATCAGGTATCGAAAACCGGTGCAGAAGGATCAACTCTTGAAGAAGCGAAGAACATCAACAAATCGCTGACATCACTCGGAATGGTCATTGCTGCATTGGCTGAAGGAAATAAGAGTCACATTCCTTATCGTGACAGTAAACTTACTCGAATTCTTCAAGAATCTCTCGGAGGTACGGCAAAACGATAAAGCTACGTATTGTTTTGATTTCAGGTAACTCTCGAACAACAGTGATTATCTGCTGCAGTCCTGCTGAAACAAACGAGGCCGAGACAAAGAGTACCCTTCAATTTGGTGCTAGGTAAGATCGAAAATTCTCTCATTTGCTATTCAGAAACTTTCTTATATCATGGCTTCTCTTATACTTAACCATTCCAGGGCTAAGACCATCAAGAACGTTGTGGCGATCAACGAAGAGCTTTCGGCTGATGAATGGAGACGGAGATATGAGAAAGAACGTGAAAAGGTACATATAAAACAAAACACAACTATTATTTTATTTATTGAATACTCAACTTTCAGGTGGCCCGTCTTAAAGCACAACTGGCTGCAGCTCAAATGGAGTTGGATCGATGGAGATCGGGTGGAAAAGTGCCTGAATCGGAATGGGTACGATTCGATGATGCGACTCTTGCAGCTCTGCCTGGAATGACTATGAGTTCGTTTAGAAAATTTAAAGCTTCAAATCCTTATGAATTCAAGATAAAGACCATAAAGAGTGCCCTTTAGGCAGCGCTCCTTCGGATTCAATGCTCTCGATGGAGCGATCGATGATCGCTCCACCTCCATTGACATCTACTAATGGACCAATCACTGATGAGGAGAAACGAAGGTTGGAAATTTCTTTACAATTTCCTTGTTAATGTAACGAATCTCAGATACGAAGAGGAACGAGCCAAGCTCTATCAACAACTCGACGACAAAGATGATGAGATTCAGAACTTGTCGAGCAAGACCGAACAAATCAAGCAACAGGTCAGAGAAAGTGAAGGTCGTGAATACGAAAGCTTTTAGATGGTTGACTTGGAGGATCAAGTCAATATTCTGCGTGAAGAACGAGAGGCAAGCTCTATCGAAAATCAGGCTATGCTCCAAGCAAATGAGGCTGCAAAGGAAGAAACAAAAGAGGTGTTTGAAGATAGAAAACAAAATCAATTTCGATTTTCTAGGTGTTGAACGCTTTGGAAGAGCTGGCTCTCAACTTTGACACCAAGGCGCAAGAAGCTGAAGCAAAAGAGCGAGAGAACGACCTACTCAATGAGGATCTGCAGAAGAAGACTTTGGATCTCCACGAGGCCAAGGCTGAAGTCGATACTCTCCGAGAGACTGTCGGTGCACACAAGAGGAAACTCAACGACTATGTCAACAATATGCTCAAAGAGCTTCAAGAAGTCGATGGAGCTATTAAGGTTTGAGTTTTACTTCTAAGCTACAAAAAGACTTTACTAGGTGGCTCCTGGTGAGGAAGATGAGATGCTCGCTCATATGCGGATTCAAATCACCAAGCTCGCCACCGATTTCCGAACAGCTAAACAGAAATACGCAAATTTGGAGAGTGGATCCGAGGGTGTTGATCAAAAATTGAAGGTAAACAAAAAAGAAATGCATGTAGAAAATCGAAATTTTAGGCTTTGGAAGGAGAGTTGGATGAAGTCAAGAGGAACATGGCACAATCCGAGGCCAAGAACAAATCTCAACAAGAAACAATTGAGAAACAAGTGAAAGAAAAGGGAGAACTCGAACAACAAGTAAGCAATATTAGAAAAAATGCCTTTTAAAAATGATGGCTGAACCAAATGAGATCTAGTTTTTATCATTCGAAAGATACATCTTTTCTCAACGAAATAGCTTTTAAGAGATTTAAAAAAGCTTTTCTTTTTAAACATTTTCAACAACAATTAGTTTTACTTTTTTTTTTACGTAAAATAAAGACATAGATTTTCTATATTTTCAGTAAAATTTTCAACTAAATCCGTTCAGACGTTTTTTCGGAATTTTGGTTTGAACAAAAATCCTCAAATAAAAGATTTTGATCATATCAGGCGCTCTGGATAAAGTGAAATTTATAGAAAACGGCTAAATGAATTTTACTGGAAATTTCACTAAAAATATAACAAAGATTGATCTTTCTTTGGCACGGAAAGTTAGTGTCAGTTCCCATCAAAAAAGTTGTCAACTGTTGATTCTCTTCAATCTTCAATTCAATTTCTCTTCTCTTCAATTCTCTTCAATTTTGCGCTCCCCAAAAACGAAAGCTTTTCTAAATTGGCAACAACCATTTTGCAGAGAAAGTATAGATCTTTCCAAACCGTATTTCATTTGGTGCTTTGAGCATTTGTAAAACATTTGTAAAACCAAGTGAAAGTTAGTGAAAAAAGTTTGATTTAATTGACAAAACTAATAAAACAAAAACATAAAATCGCAAGTATTATAGATCGATACTTTGACTGTTCGAGTTTCATCTGCTGGAGCTTCTGAAGATGGAAATTTATCAGAAGAGCAAACAAAACTTGTCACACAACTACGAAATGAGATCTCCGAGAAGAATAAACGAGTCGATGCTCTCACCTTGTCCATCAAAGAACTAGAGGCTGTTCAAGTGCAATTGACCTCTGAACTAGAAAAGCTTCGGTCAGATGAAGCCGACAAGGAGAAAAAGATTCGAGTTTGTGTCAATAGATTGAAAAGATTGAAAAAAAACATTTCCAGGAATTGGCTGCAATCTCTGACAAGAGAGAGCAAGCTAGCCTCGATATGCGCGGTCTACAAGAGACAGTCGAGAAAGAGCTCTCTGCTCTTCACAATCTTCGACGACAATTTGTCACCGATCTTGCTGCCCGAATCAAACGTTCTACTGGACCAGATTCAGGTGTGTTTTGACAAAATTTGACAATGAAAATTCTTTTTCAGTAGAAGACGAGTTTGGCGGCTCACCGGCTCAAAAGCAGAAGATTCAGTTCTTAGAAAGCAATCTTGATAAACTCACTAAAGTTCACAAACAGGTAAAGATTGAAACTTTTATGTTAAATCATAATCATTATCAATTCAGTTGGTGAAAGACAATGCTGATCTGCGATTGGAGTTGCCGAAGTTGGAGAAGAAATTAAGGACAACAACGGAAAGAGTGAAGAATCTGGAGCAGGTAATGAATAGGAAATGACTCAAATTCAAACGATGACTCAAATGTTTTTCAGGCTTTGCGTGAAGCAAAAGAGAACGCATTGAGAGATCGAAAGAAATATCAAGCAGAGGTTGAACGAATTAAAGAAGCGGTCAGACAAAGGAATCTCGCTCGGCGTGGCATGCAGCCGCAAATCGGTGAGTTCAATAATAAACTATAATAATCTAAACTTCAAGACTTCAAAATACACCTGAATTTTCTAGTGAAAACGATTCGTCCTGGTCAACTCTACGCTCCAATGGGCTCTTCTCCAATGGGAACCCCATCGCCAGTCATTCGTCCACAAGGAGCTGGTAAATACATTTGAAAGCTTGAAGTAAAGATAGATAATCTATCCGGATAGATTCTGATTAGTTATTAGTCTAATATTACTGTCTTACATCATGAATTTCTTTACTTTATTACTAATGCCCTCTTCCGATTTTCAAGAGTTCTAAAGGCCCGGGTATTTCCTTCTCTTTCTTCCTTATCTTTTCTATTCACTTCTCAGTGAAAGATGACGTTGATAGCTCAGTGGTAGAGCATCTGGCTTATAAGCAGAGGGGTCCAGTGTGAGGTCGAGGGTTCAATCCCTCCTCGGTTTCAAATTCGTTGATTTATTTCATTTTTTGATTTCATTAATTTCTTTACTTTATTACACAGTTCAGCTTGAAATTTCTTTTCTAGCTTTACTTCAAAACCAATCATATCTTTAAACAACTCATCTTTAGAATAACTCGATGTGCCATCAACCGACATGGAGATATTGCCGGGTAATACTAAAAGTTTTAAATGGAAATGAAAATGAATAATTTCAGCCTAATCGTGTCCCATCGTGAAGATTTCTCAAATCAAATCATATTTTTCCCATTTCTTTTTAATTTCTCTTTTCTATTGCAAATTCCAGTCACAAAATAAAGTCAGTTAGCCGGATTTTTCTTTTCTTGAAATCTTTCCCTTTGTGATTTGCTCGTTTTTGCCTCCTTTTTTTTGATCAATGGGTTCTTAGCTTTTATCCCAATTCTAGGTAATTCTATAAAAAACGTCTTAAATTTAAATTTCTTTGGGGTAGGCTAATTTCCGTCATTTTATTTGCGCAACTGGATCGTTTGCGCAACTTGCCATAACTTTCTTCTAAGCGAGTCAATCTTTATGCTTTTGGTGTCATTTTGTAGATCTCAAAAAGTGCAACAAAATGAAACCAAAAGCATAAAGATTGACTCGCTTAGAAGAAAGTTATGGCAAGTTGACGACCCAGTTGCGCAAATAAAATAACGAAAATTAGCCTACCCCATTTCTTTAGACTGTTTTTTTATGAATTCGCTACATTGCTCCAGTCCTAGCCTTGTTCATTCGTATTTCTAGATCGATCAAAAACGATATGACCAGTTCACCTACCCAGTTACCCAAAATCTTCAGAAAAATTCCACGTTTTGCTGGTTTTGATTTTAGTTATTCAATTAATAGTTCATCAATTTCATTTTCTTTTTTTTTTTTTCGATGCCTTATATCAGCAGCTAATTTATGATTGTTTCTTTTTTTGGTATTTTGGTTGTGTAATTCGATTGATTTTGTTGCTGTTCTCATCAGCTTTTCAAACAAAAATCCCTATATGAATTCGTGCAAGGTTCCAAAGTTATTCTAAAAGGCATTGTGATTCATTTGAATAATATTTTTTTCACTATGATTTCGTGTTTTCTTTTAAAGAAAGATACAGCAACAGTGAGCTTTGTGGAATGGGCCGAAAAACGCAAGCCGTCTGGCACACTGAATGCAATAATCTCTTCAAATCTGTTTAGATTTAAATCAATTATGTTTTCTTGAAAAGAAACTCGAGTCCTTATCTAATTGCTTTTTGCTTTTTGCTTTTTACTTTTTTTTTTTTTGTCGAAATGCATATTCAAAATTTGTTTTCTTTCTTCTTTCCTTTCTATTTTTATTCCCAAAATGAAAAACGAGCTTCTGTGTTGTGTTTGGGTTTTTTGATATACGATTTTCAAGAAATCTTCTTTCTTCAAGCTTTTTTCCGTTCTCGGTTTTGTTTTAAACCTTATAAATGATCGGAAAAGGTTTTTCATAGTTTCTCAAACAATTTCGCAATTCTCAACAAACAATTCAAACATTAGCAAAACTTTTCTTATCTTTTCTTATCTTTTCAAAAATCCTATTCTATCATCTTTCTCACATTTAGAATGGCTTCTTGAGGATTTTTTTCGTGCGATCTATTGAATAAAATTTTGCTTTACAATGAACATTTACATTATTGCGACTTTCAATTGAATCCATTTGAAACATTTTTAAAAATCTGTTTTAAATTTAAAGTGTTTCAAATGGAAAACATTTTTATTTTTATATTCATCTCTAATTCAATCAATATTCATCTCTAATTCAATCAATATTCATCTAATCTCTAATTCAATCAATATTCATCTAATCTCTAATTCAATCAATATTCATCTCATCTCTAATCAATCAATATTCATCTACCTAATTCAACAATATCACATCTCTAATTCAATCAATATTCATCTCATCTCTAATTCAATCAATATTCATCTCATCTCTAATTCAATCAATATTCATCTCATCTCTAATTCAATCAATATTCATCTCATCTCTAATTCAATCAATATTCATCTCATCTCTAATTCAATCAATATTCATCTAATCTCTAATTCAATCAATATTCATCTCATCTCTAATTCAATAATTTTAAAGTAACTTTTTGTTGATGTTTTAAACATATATTTGAATTTTTAACAAAACAAACAAAAAAAATGATACAAAGACAATGAATATGAAAGACAACTGAAATTCTCATTCCTTAGCCTCCAATCAATCGTTTCCTTCTTTCTTAACCTCGATCATCTTTGTGCCAGCAGAAAGTTGTGTGCAAGGTAATGGTAACAAAGGAGGAAAAGTTGGATGAAAGATTTAAAGCCCCTAGGGGGAGATAGAGAGATGAAAAGGATGGATGAAGGAAGAGCAGGGGCATGGGCGGGACCTCGTCTACCCTATGGAGCCCATCACTCGTCTCCTCCCTTCGAGAGCCTCCATTACTTCGTGTGCCCCTAGTCGGCAACATCATCCTCTATTTCTACAGACATATCTGTTAAAGTGAGTTTGATGGATTTAATCCTTTTGGTAGTGATTGTTTTTAAACTAACAAAGCTTTTGAGATCAGATGCACTCTCGGCTCTCTTTCCTCGTCTTGGCTCTCTTCCTACTGATGCTGAACTTCGAAAGTACAGGTATGATACTCATAGTTAGATATGAATGCATCTTAAGATCATGTATAAGATTTATAAGCTCATGTATTATGTAAAGAAAATTACGGTATGTTTGGTAATGAGATTTAGAATGTTAAAGAGAACTTTAGATTATGTAAGAGTCATTCTAGAATGGATTAACTGCTATCTTTAGTCATAACTGCTTCCATAATTAGAAAACTTTGTTTGCGAAACGGACAATTAGTGTCAAGATTACGGTAACTATTAGTGCCAAGTAGTGTCAAGATTACGGTAACTATTAGTGCCAAGTAGTGCAAAGATTACGGTAACTATTAGTGCCAAGTAGTGCCAGGGTTACGGTAACTATTAGTGCCAAGTAGTGCCAGGGTTACAGCTATTCTTGTGTATTATATCCATTTTATCTTGATGTAACAAAAACACATTGAACTAATCGATCTCGTCAACTAATAGAAGAGTTTAATCGAAGTTTTGCGACGAATTTGGCGAAATGGGGCTTCCAATCTGCCCTCAACCACCCATAAACCCCGAGATGAGTACCGATCTCGTCTCCCATCTCGTACCCACATCCACCCACCAGTCCACAGCTTTCTTTCAAATACATCACTTCAACTCTCCAACTCATCTATTTTAGAGAACATTCAACTAGCCAAAGCCTAAAAAGATGCGGTGAAAAGAGTTGAAGATCTACGCTTACCACAATAGTAATCATTTTGATTCAAGCTTAAGATTAGCGTGATAACATGATAATTTGCAATTCGATAATAATTCGTATAAACCAAATAAGCCAATAATTAGTTTATTATCATTAAGTCCAAGTTCAGAACCCAGCAAAATTCGTTTTTAGTCACCCGAAACTTCCCCGTTCTGTCTTCAATGTGTAAACACCACAAATAGTAGTTGTGAAAGTTGAAGTCGGTTTTTTTCTGTCTCAAATTCTCTTAACATTGAAAGAATGATGTACTTCTCGCGTTTTGTTTGCGTTCCAAATCCTAATTTCGTTAATGCAAAGGGATGCCATCATTTGCGACCGTTGACAAATGGGTCCTTTCCCTTTTTTTTTCTCATTCTCAATGAGGAGAGAAAAGTGAAGGTGACTTTAAATGGGCACGAATTTTCCCAAGAGAACTATAAGTCTTGAGATGAAGAGAGAGAGAGAGAGCATAGGACTTTCATATTTTTTTGGGTGGATAGAGATTTTGCTGTCTACGTAGCTACAATTAGCTACATAGACAATTGTCTATGCAGCTACCTAGACTAGAGTGTGTTCCCCACGAGTAATGCGATTTTCTAAAACGCACACTTAGGAAAAATTATCGTACTTTTAGCGAAAATTATTGCAAAAAATCACAAGCGATGACTTATATACGGCTCTTTTTAAAGATATTCAGCTGTTTAACTGATTTGGTGGCAAATCCCCTTCACAAGTAAAGATATTCAATTTGCTCGACGTGTAAAGAGGATTACTCGTAGTGACTTGACCAAAAAACGTCGATAAACGTCGATCGATTAAAACTTACTCATGCAAATTTTACTCGAGTAATTTCTTACTTACTCGCGAGGAACACACTCTAATGAAAAGTTCAATGACCCAGCGTGATTCATAGCCACTTTTAAACAACTTTCCTGCACATTCACTTCAAATTTCCCACGTAATTCCTTACTTACTCGCGAGGAACCTACTCTAACCTAGACTTTTACAGTATACTCTACAACAAATTAAACTGTTTTATCGATTGTGGGCAATGGCAATTGGCTCCCTTTGCCATTAGAAATTCAACTTTAAGCTCAAATATCTTGGTGTTAGGCTGGGCAATTTAAAATGTTTTTGTACCAATAAACAGAGAAAGACTTGACGCATCCAATAATATCAAGAATATTCAAATTCAACAGCCATTTGAGCCATTTGAGCCAACAGCCAACAGCCCAACACCAAGATATTTGAGCTGAAAGTTAGATTATCGCGCATCAAATGCCCAATAATCACTTTATATTGCTTTAAATGGTTTTTTGATTTTCAAGCTGGTAATTTTATAGCTAATACTTTCAAAGTTTGAAATAAAACAAAGCGGAATTATTTCAAAAAGTGACGACTTTCTGCCAAATACTCCAAAAATAAGGAAAAGAGCTGCTTGACGGAAAAAGTTTTCTAGAAAAGAAAAATCTTTTTTTTTTTTTTTTTGCTTTTTAAAAAACAATCTTTTCAGAAGCACTCGACCAATTCGGAGAGGAACCCATTTCATGTGAGTCTCTTTGTTCACACTTACCCTTTTTCAGATTGAAATGAAAGGCAAAGAAAAAAAAAAAAGATGAATTCGTAATATTCGCCTAGCATTTTCTAGTGTGCAAAAATGTTGCATATATTTTTAGAATTTTCGTCATGTAAACTGAAAAATCAGAAGGATAGAATGAGATTTGAGTGATTTAGATGAATGATTTGAGTAAGAATGAATGATTTGAATAAGATTTAGATGTGAAAAAGGGTCGACCTCAAGGACCGTTGCGCTTTGGGAAAAGGAAAGGACCGTCAGGGCCACTCAGGTGCATTTGCAGAACTTATTATTGAACTTTTTAAACAATTTTTTTTATTAGTCTAAAGGAATAGTTGACTTTCTATGTCACTAATGAGGACTGAAATGTACATTTATTCAAGTTTCCTAGCGAAAAAATACCCCATCACTTGGGGGAAACAAACCCGATAAGTACCGGAATTTCATTATTTAATCGTTTTCTTTTCGATATGTACAGAGAAATTGCCATCAACATTAAACAGATTTGGCAAAAAGCAAAAAAGCAAAAAACTTGGCTCTATTTATCGAAAATTCGAATCTAAGTAGAGTCGAGCTTTGGGAAAAGGAAAGGACCGTCAGGGCCACTCAGGTGCATTTGCAGAATTTATTATTAAACCTTTTTAATCAATTTTTTTTATTAGTCTAAAGGAATAGTTGACTTTCTATGTCACTAATGAGTTTCTGAGTTGGTTTATTAGTAAATTAGATTATAGATTAAGGATTACAAAAGAGCAACAGTTTGTATTGAGCTTTGAGCTGATTTGATGAATTCAGAACCGATTTAGTACGCTATAGTACAACTTTCACTTGTGTTCTCTAGCTTTAGATGAATTTTGCAGCCTTTTTGCATATAAAAAGCAAATGCTTAACTCACGAAATCGGTTTTCAGATTCGGAAAACGTAGCGATGGGTTGTTGTTAAGCGACGGACTCGGTTGGGGATACTTGATGGAGTGATTTGATGAGAAGAGAGATCCATCCAGAGATTTCTCCATAGAGATTCACCCATCGATCTACAATTCTTACACCTTTTCTTCATTTCCCCCATTCTTCCTTTTCCCTTCTTCCTTTTCCCTTCTTCGACATCTCCTTCACTTCCCATCGATATCATTTATCCATTGTGTGCAGAATAAAATTGTTTTGTTGACTCTCTTTTTAGCCATTTCTTTTTTAATCAAACCCGCCACCAATTATGAATATTTTATGAGCTCGTTGCTTAGAAAAATGATAATAATTCTAATAATTCAAGTTTTTAGAAATTGAAATATTGAAAATCTTCGAGATTTTCAAAGGAAAACGAATTTACGGTGCCGAAAATGACCCATTGAATGACCTCATTTAAGAGGTTTTCGGGAAATTGAAATGAAAAAGATTTTCTTTCAAAGAATACAAGTCTTGGAAAAAAAAAGTTGAAATATGTCTCTAAATGTAAGTTAAAGCAGTGCACACACTTGTAGAGAAATATCCCAGAGTTAGAAATCTATCGATTCAATCGCTCGGAACTTCAATCCTAGCATTAGCCACCTTTAGTTGTATTAGGTTGGCAAGTTATAAACGATCGAATCGATCGAACCGTTCTCTTTCTTTTAATCTTTTTTTAAAAATCTTGTTTAAATTTAAACGAAAATGGATTAAATTAGCACAAAAGCCAAAGCCAAATTTGAAAATCAACCTTCCGAAGATTGGATTGTTCTGAAATTTTGGGAAACTATGTAATCGATGAAGCGTTTTATTTTTAAAAAGTATGCAATCACTCAAAAATATATTAGCTCATGAATGCTAGAAAGCTAGAAACCTAGCAAAAGCCTATGCTAGAAACCTAGAAACCTAGAAACCTAGAAAACCTATGCTAGAAAGCTAGAAACCTAGAAAACCTATGCTAGAAACCTAGCAAAAACCTATGCTAGAAACCTAGAAACTTAGAAAACCTATGCTAGAAACCTAGAAAACCTAGAAACTCATGATTTTCAACTCTTACATTAAAATGCCTGAAAAAGTTCTAAAATAAAACATTTTTCAAAAATTCAAAAAAGGCATCTTGTAGATTAAGGATAGGGCTTTTGAATGAAGCAAACCGTTTTTTGATTGGATAAGCCGTTTTTTCAGAAAACCCCATTACCCAAAAACGATCGTTTATAACTTGCCAACCTAATAATACTTTACATTATAACTATTTCAATGATACAAAGCAAAAGGTAAAAGGTTAACATACATGAAACGCGAACACGACGCATCCAAAATATAAAAATTTTCACAATGCGAACATCTGAGAAAAGCATTCTGTTGGCATTCCACTTTAGAAAACGATTTTTTTTGTCGGTTTCTCTTGGGGAAGCAAAATTCCATTGGCGTTGAAATCTTCCTAGTTTCGAGTTTAAATATCCAGCCATATACCATGAGTGTTGAAGAAAATTTTGAAATTTCGGTACCTTGAACTAGCGATCAAAAAAACCAAAAGCCGAACCCCGGTCTTACTACCGAGAGGCCGTTTTTTGATTGGTTTTTGATTGGTTTTTGATTGGATAAGCCGTTTTTTTTAGAAAACACGTTACCAAAAAAACGATCGTTTATAACTTGCCAACCTAATATAATTGATTATGCAAACTGTGCACAAATCAAAAATAAGAAAATGCTTATGAGAAAAAGATTTTGCGAAGACATTGTTATCGTTTAACGGGGACATGAATCTAACATAAGGGCAGAAGAGAGCGATTCCATGACATCAATTAAATATCAAAATGTCAAAGGATGGCTCTCTTCGGCCACTCACATTGTTGAATGAGGGTTAGATGAAGTTTTAAAGATTTTAAAGAAAATAGGAACATTGAGAAGAAATAGCAAACAAAGCAAACAAAGCTTACTTTATTTGGTAGACATTTACAAGTATTTTACTTTTAAAGTAGCACAATAAACTGTTTTCAAATGTTTTCAAAAAAACTATTAACCTTGAAAGTCGAAAAAGTCGACTCTAGTCAATTTGCACAATATGTAGAAGACGACCCAAGAACTGTAGATGCTGGGAATTGGAAGGTAGAGAAGGACTCTCGTGTCGGAGAGCTGAGTGGATCGGGGGGAAAGGGTAAGGGTTGAAGGGAGGAGACTGTAACCGGACCCCCATCTCACTCCCTTCTAGACCACCATTCACAACTCTCATCCATACAACCCCATCTCTCCTCACACAGCGACGAACAAAGTGCTCTCAGCTAGACACTGTAGCTTTCTCTGCACCTCGATCAATACGGGTTGTAGATTTGACTCAACCCGGTAGATTCTTTTCTTAAGGTTACCTCGATAAAGTCACTTTATTAGTTTGATCGTTGTTATAAAACTTGACTAGAAAGCAAAGGGGTTTTTTTCTGGAAGGGTGTCAAACGTGTTACCCATGTAGGTTCGACTCCGGCTTTGGATTTCCAAGCTGTTCGCACAAATATTTGGTGTATTGGTTAGCCTTGCTGTTACCAAAAAGTCAAACGTGTTACCCATGTGGGTTCGACTCTGGCTTTGGATTTCCAAGCTGTAGAGTCGGATCGTTATAATCTGCTAGAGCTTTCTAAGCATACTGTAACACTTTTCAAGTGCATGGCACCAAAAATCAAGTATTATACAATATGAGGATGAGCTTCAACTTTATTTTTGCTATAAACCCCATTGAGGAGTCCACAAAAGATCATTCATATTCACAAAAGAAGTGAAGTTGCATTTTTACAAATATTCAATAGGTGATTGACATTTTTATACAATGATCGCTGTGAATACTAATAACGTTGTGAATACTCGTTGTGAATACTAACTTGAGAAAAGAATTCAGAATAGTCATCAAGTCAGTCCCAAAAAATCGATGCAATAGTTGCAAGTTCTCGAGAGGAAAAAAAAAGTGTTGGTGAATTTGTGTGGGTGTTTGGAGGTGGTTGGGGAGGAGTGGAAGTGGTCGAGAATCATCTTTTATGTGTCCGATCGGGGAAAAGGGGAGTGCCGATTGGACGATCGTGGGGCGGAGTCACATCCCTTTCATTCCCTTTCATTCCCTTTCATTCCCTTTTCCCTTTACCACAGTCTCTTCATGCTCTTTTATATCCACTATCAGATCTAATTTTGTACAAAATTTGTCAAAGATTGAGCAAAAAGTTTTTAACAAATCTATGCCCGGAAACTCTTTGCAACAGAAGATTCGATAGAGTAATTCGATAGAGCAATTCGATAGAGCTCTATCAGATCGAAGCTTTTTTTTTTCTTCTTTTGTATCGTTGAATGGAAGCCAATTTCCGAGACGTTGATTGGCTTCGATTTTCGCGAAAACTGGAAACTAGATAGCAAAATGTATAATTTCTTTTTTTCTATAGTTTTATTAGTTTTGTTAACATAGTTGTACTTTACAAAAGTCATGATATCGATTAAGAAAATCTCATTTAACTGAAAAACTTTGTCTTTTCTACTGAAATTGAGAAATTGAGCTTCTAACAAATTGAGAACCTACAGAAATTGAGCTTCTAACAGCTTCTGACAAAGTTTAAACTACAAAAAAACTCGTGACACTTGAAAACATTCAACTAGAATCTTTGTGGGCATTGATGAATATAGATTTCGACTTCTTTTCACCTCGATGACAAGTTGGATAAACTTTTCGTGCCTCAATCCCTGTGGCCTTCCCACTGAATCTCTTCATTGATGGTCGATGGTATGCGGCTGTCAATTTGCAGTTATCCAAGCGCAGATAAACATCTCTTTTTGCTCCGACTCGCCTCTCTTCCCCCCCCGATCGACCCTAATTTGACTCGTCCGTTTTGTCGCCCCCTTTTCATATAACACTCAACCATCCATCTTGACGCCTGTCCACGCCTTGTACTGTTATCTTTTAAGATTCTTGTAAAAGTGCGACTCAAGGTCTTGTAAGACCTACATCATGCAAGAATAGCAAGAACAATACACTGAACAGTCTTTCAAAAGCTGTAGAGAAAAAAGAGAATGAGGAGCACTTGTCCAAGGGGTAGTCTGTTTGCATGGGGGTAGGTGTGAAAGTGCATAGCCTCAGATACAATAGGGTGTTGACCCCACAGTACAAACACTCGCGAGCCTCTTTTGCTTTTCTTTTCTCGATAAAACATTGGAATATTGAGTGATGGGATGGGGGGTTTGGAAAGGTTAGAGTTGTTGGAAAGGTTTGTTAGTGGGTATTGGAGGTTAGAGTTGTTGGAAAGGTTTGTTAGTGGGTATTGGAGAGAGAGAGTTGAGAGAAAGGATTCAATGTCGTTCTTCGTTTATCGAATATTCATCGAATTTAATGAAATTGTCTTGAATCAGTCATTGATTTTCTTTGAGTTGATTCAATCGATAAACCGGTTCCATTGAAATACAATAGGGGAACCCTGTTATGGTATGTGGGGATAATTGAAAGGGAGCCGCAAATAGACGACAAAATGAAGGTAGAGGAGAGCAATTAGGCAAAGGTGACAAAATGGAATGAACAAGAGAATGGTTTCGTATTGTCGATGGGAAGAATGGTATCCATTTACCTCACAAAATTTGAATTAACTCTTCGAATAGCTTTATGGAAACAAGTATCATTTAAATATCATAAATTTATGAAACTGTTTATTAGAGCTTTTCGTTTTCAGTTTGATTTCAAGTGTACAACAAAAACTTGAACTTGATCACTTCAACGGCTGCTTTTTCAAGATTTCTAGACCAAAAGGTAAAGCTTAGAAGGCTCTTAGAAGCTTAGAAGCCTGAATTGATCAAATCTCATCCCATTGTACATCTATTAACAATCTAATAGATCTAATAGATCTAACAGATGTATGAATTGAAAACTGCTCAGCCAAAGATGACTAAACGATATCGATTCAGCTATACAAGCATAAAACGAATCCCGATCTCATCTCACAATCTCTATCTTCTTCCGGAGCAAGAGCTGGTCGGATAGGGGAGTGGCTCGTGGAAAAGGAAAAAAGAGAGGTAGGAAAAGGAGAGTCCCCTAATGGGCTTATCTCTGTGCAGTCGTCTTGATTCTCCATTCTCTAAAAATGAACCCATTCAAGCGCGCCTAATGTAATGCGGGCAAGGAGTGTGAAAGTGGTCGCGTTCAAAATCGTTTTGCATTTATTTTTTTTTTGAATTAAAAACAAAACAGAAAAAAAAGAATCAAGGATGTTTTGTTGAATGAAGCTTTAAAACAAAATCTGCATGAGCATTTAAAATCTTTTTCTTTTGCATTCACAAAAAAAATCAATGTATACAATCGCGTTGCTCATTTCGAAATCTTCCAGCCAACTCGAGAATCCCAGCATTATATGTTTTTGTCGGCGTCTTCCCCGATGAGACGTATTTATCCGGGATTCCAATCGTGAATTTGCGTTGACATGGCTAAATTTACCGATCAAAAAGTTGCCCCACACACTTAAAGCTCAATTTTTCAACTAAAACCCAGATCGTAATTAGATTTACTATATAGAGTGTTCAAAAAAAAGCCAGTTTCCCTTAATTTTCCAAAAAATCTCTAGTGGCTCCTGGTAGTCGTTGTGGTGTCAAATTGAATATTTTAGGCTTGAAACCTTTTGCTATTTTTTCACTTTTTCCCGATTTCATGACTTCCAATATATGAAATTTCTGAGCCACCATTTGGGTCATTACCATGAGATTTTTTTCATGAAATTAAAACTTTATACTGACATCGAGGTGCATAATAAACTAGAGTGTGTAATAAAGTTTAATAAATAAAAGTTTAATAAATAAAAGTTTAATAAATAAAAGTTTAATAAACTAGAGTGTGTAATAAGCGGATGGAAAGAAAGCTGATGTAATCCGGGCCGCCTATGATGCTATGGAAATCGGAATCCTCATGCTTCGCCAAGGAACGAAGAATATGGACATCACTGAAGCTGATAAGGACATCACTGATAAGGTCAACTTTATTTTGTTGAATAACCACCGTTTTGTTTACAGACAGCTTCCGCATATGGAGTGAAGCCGATCGAAAATATGATCTCTCACTCACTTGAACGAAACAAGATTGATGGCGAGAAGATGATAATAAATAATAAATAAAAGTTTAATAAACTAGAATCTGTAATAAAGTGGAATAAATAAAAGTTTAATAAATAAAAGTTTAATAAACTAGAGTGTTTTCCTCTCAAGTAATAGTGCAAAATTGTAAACAACATTTGACTGAATATTCTTAAAAATAAGGATAAATGATTTTGTTTTGCAAATATTCATTCAAGTTATGTTTCCTATTTTGCAGTATTACTTGAAAGGAACACACTTTATAATAAAAACTCTTAGGATAACTACAAATTTAAACCATCGACTATAATTGTTCAGCGTTTCCTGGGAAAAAAAAACGGGGCCCTTCTTTAAAATCTCTTATCTACGATAGATTAAAAGGTAGATTTCATAAAGTTTTTGGTTAAAAATCTTAGTTTATATATTAACACAAATATGACACCAAAATGTCAGTAGAAAGTTTTAATTTCATGGAAAAAATCTCATGGTAATGGCCCAAATGGTGGCTCGGAAATTTCATATATTGGGAGCCATGAAATCGGGAAAAAGTGAAAAAATAGCAAAAGGTTTCAAGCTTAAAATACTCAATTTGACACCGCAACGACCACCAGGAGCCATTAGAGATTTTTTAAAAATTAAGGGAACTGGCTTTTTTTTTCAATATATATAGTATTTTGAAGCTGACATTTTGGAGAGCATTTCTACACCTAAACCATCTTGATCAGAGCCATCTAGCTCTTCAAAAGAAACATTGCAATGCGCTCGAGGGAAACTGTTATGGCGCTGGCGTCGGGTTGAAGCGTCGAAGTTTTAAAGGGTGGTAAAACTACCGTATCTCTCCTAATTGAGCTGTCAACTTTGAATCTGTTTTCAGTTGAAAAACCCATAAAAAAAAAACCATTTTAAATTGAGACTTTTCTTTTAACTAAGAGTTCAATTGTTATTTTAAAAGAAATAAAAATCTTTCATCAATAATAAAAACGTAAAATATTCTTTAAAAACTTGTTATTCGAAAACATGCGAAACTGTTGTCTCATGGATGTCTCAAAGATGTCTCATGGACGGTTTTTCAGCTTGAAAATACTATAAATAGTGCAAATTTTGTTTTAGCTTAGAAAATCAATCATTCAGAGGTGTGTAAAAACTTTTTGATCACTTTATAGTGAAATTGTTTATCAAAAAACGTTAAGGTTATTGGGTTTTCAACTTCATGGATGACATGACTGGATTTCAGCGGAAATCTGAAGCTTTTGCTATAAAGAAACTAGCTTGTACAATGTTTTGATACCATTCCACGATTACCGTATTTCTTCGAATAGAAGACCGGGTAAAGAGTATGATCGCGTACTCCTGCGTAGCAGCCCTTTTTAAAATTTCTTTTCTGCATAAAAGCTTTCAATCAAGTGCTATAGAGCTGGAAAATGACTCAAAAATACCACATGAGTTAACAGATTTTTGAGTCATTTTCCAGCTCTATGCATTGGGCTTTTTGCAGGAAATTTTAGGGGCTCGCAGGAGTACGGACATCTCCCGGTCTTCTATTCGAAGAAATACCGTAACCTTTTGTCGAGAGACGAGCCGAACGTTTTAACAAATAACTCTTGCTTTCTAAAGCGTGGATACAAGCTTTCAAGGTTTAGAAAATAAGAGCTGTTTGCTGAAACGTGGGTTGACTCGTTTTCTATAAAAGACCCATCACACCTACCGTAAATACTGTAAAAGTACCCCACCCTCCCTCGTATCGCAAAGCTTTCTAGTATTTCATTTTTTCAAAGCGTACAATGTTTGATACCATTCCACGATTACCGTATTTCTTCGAATAGAAGACCGGGTAAAGAGTATGATCGCGTACTCCTGCGTAGCAGCCCTTTTTAAAATTTCTTTTCTGCATAAAAGCTTTCAATCAAGTGCTATAGGGCTGGAAAATGGCTCAAAAATCTGTTAGCTCATGTGGTATTTTTGAGTCATTTTCCAGCCCTATAGCACTTCATTGAAAGCTTTTATGCAGAAAAGAAATTTAAAAAGGGCTGCTACGCAGGAGTACGCGATCATACTCTTTACCCGGTCTTCTATTCGAAGAAATACGGTATATATCAAGATTAAATCTAACATTAAACCTTTGCTCCATCATTGCAATCATGATAAATATTGATTTTTGGATCAATTGTCGTGATTTCAGCGGTGTGTCCAGAGACGATAAACTCTCCTTTGAAATCCGTCTTTGTTGAGCCGAGAAAATCATCAGAATCAAGGCCTAGAAACAAAAAAACTCTTGTATTTATTGAAAAAGTCATATAAAATATTAAAGGTTTCTGTATTTAAATGAAAAAAGTCACCTCGATCATCATCGAAGAGTTTCACAAGAACACCACTCGCCGGTTTCCCGTCACATGTCAATGCTCCTCTATAATTTATCATTTATCACAAGATAACAGATTTAAAAAAATTATATTAGATCTTAGATATTATAATTTTTATAATATTGAAAAGCTTAATAGATTGAGAGTAAAAATGACTTGACAGCAATTGATTGAGTTCGTCCAATCGTACCGCCTATAAACTTTTGCTTTTCTCTAGAGATTCACTTTTCATTCACTCACCAAAAGCTCCATATGCAACAGTAATAAAACAAATAAAAACGAAATGTTTAACTGAAAACATCGTTTGATATGTGATCATCATTTGCTCTTTCTCATTTCAGGCTCATTGTTTACAATTTCTTTTCCATTTCCATCATGATACAAGTCGAAAAGCTTACCAAAAAAAAAGCTCGACTTGATTTCGAAACTATATCTATGTGAAAGTTTATGACGAAATGTTTCTGTCTTAACTTTGTCGCTAAATTTGGACACGTTCAGTCTTTTTTTGTTGGGAATAAGTAAGAGAAAAGCTACTATTCGCTTAGTGAGAGTGAAGCGGCTCGAGAAAATAAGCGTCTGTGGAAGGGGAATGGGAGAACATGACTTCCGGACCACCTTCAACTGGATGAAGAGAAGGAGAAGAAGGAGGAGAAGGAGAAGGAGGAGGAGGAGGAGGAGGAGGAGGAGGAGAAGGAGGAGGAGGAGCAGGAGAAGGAGAAGGAGAAGGCCAACGGGGAATAGACCGCCCTCTAGACGAGAGATACCAACCCATACACACAAATTATCTTCAGCCTACTCGAACACTTTTTTGTTTTAGCAGCTGTTTTTTTGCTAGTTTTCCCTTTTACTCAAGCTTCAAATGTTATCTTTATAAACTTTACTTCTGTGTCTTAACTTTGTGGCTAAATTTGGACACGTTCAGTCTTTTTTGATGGGAATAAGTAAGAGAAAAGCTCACTATTCGTGAGTGTTACTGACTCATTCGGTTCAAGCAATCTTTAGAATCAAAACTTTTCAGTACCCAGTACCAATTTTAACCTTTGTTTAATGTTTAAAAGAACTCACCTTAGCTTATCTTACTTTTAAACGAGTTTAAAAGTTTTTTAGCCTTGAGGAGTCTTGGAGTCTTGGAGTTGTGTGGGTTACACTCTTGCAAACCACTTTCGATCAAGACATTTACAAGACAGACAAGACATTTATCCAAAAGAAAATCCTCATTTGATTCTTTTTATTAGCATAGTGCATTGCATGGAGATTGATCTCTTTTCGCTCAAGAAATTCCTAAATTCCTTTTTTGAATATTTCGTTTCAATAATTTATCAAAAACTAACCATAAGAAATCCATGGCTGCTTATGTTTTCTAATTCTAATTGTTGTAAAGTATTGATTTGTGATAGTTTATCCTCCACAGATAACGCATTCTTCGGGTCAATCAGAGCAGAAAAACTGAATTTGTATGTTACGTCCGTTGTTGGATTTTGTCCGATTCAGAACCGGACGTCAGTTTTTGAATCTTCCAGCCTACATTTTGACGAATTTTGTTTTTTTTTAAATGATCTATGATTTTTGCTAGTTTTAAAAGATGTTTATCAATGTTTGATTACCAACGTCCACAGAATTAACTCTAAAGACTTCCCAACTTCCCCCCTATGCCGATCAATCGAAATCTAGCCATGGGAAAGCTCAAAACGCAACCCTTTTTCTCATGTTCCCAAAAATATTTCACTTTTTAAAGCACTATAGCCAATTTTGAGGGTTTCGAGTCTTTGGATGGGGGCAATTGGCAGGCTCATAGGCCCCTTCTTCACCTCTTCCACGACTCCTTTCCTTTCTCACCTTTCCTTTCTATGTGGGTGCCCCATGTGCCATCGTTACTTTTCCGGTCGCCCTCAACAAACCACCCTTCCTTTCCTTCACAACTTCTCACCTAGAGCCACTCTTTCAAAAAAGTATACAAAATATCAAGATTTAAGCATCTCTTTTCATTCTCAAAAAAAGGAATACTCCTTGGGTGGTCTTTTTGACAAAATACTGGAATTTGAAAGTGCTGAAATGGAAATGGAAATGGAAATGGAAATGAATTTGATTTGATTTGATAAAAGATTTGATAAGAAAGTTAAACTAAAGCAATCTAACAATCGAAAAACTTACTAGTTTAAGATTATCATTCAGCGAACAACTAAAAGCTATCTGCAAGACTAGGTAGACTTAAAAATGATCATCAACATCATAAGAATGACTCACACAACAAAAAAGTTTTCCCTATGTTACCCAGAAACCAGAACATCAACACCAGTACTTATTGCCAAACTCTTTCAAGTTTATTCAAGCGTTATAGTTTTTTTTTTGCAAAACCTCTTCATCCAACATCCGATTTCCATAGTTTCAGTGAAAAGAAAGATTGAATCGGGCCAGGTGATGCACGAGCGAATCGAGCGAGTCTTCAATGAGTGTCTGCCACAGAGATGAGCATCTTCTCCGTGTTCTTCCTTTTTCTTCTCTTACCCCATCTCGTCTATGTGCAATTTTTAAGCACTAGAAGTTGGTGTTCAGTTTCTAGATTACAACTATTACCCACAGAAGTTGGTGCTCAGTTTCTAGATTATAACTATTACCCACAGAAGTTGGCGTTCAGTTTCTAGACTATTACCCACAGAAGTTGGTGTTCAGTTTCTAGATTACAACTATTACCCACAGAAGTTGGTGTTCAGTTTCTAGATAACCCACAGATTGGTTCACAGATTATACTATACCCACAGAAGTTGGTGTTCAGTTCTGTTCAACTATCCCACAGAAGTTGGTGTCGTTTGAAACTATTACCCACATTTGTTTTGTTATCTTTAGATAAAGAATATACCATTAGATCTGAAAGTTTTCTTGAAAAGAAATTATTTTTTTCTTTTGATTTTAGCGTTGGGACTTCGTGTACCGGGTTTGTGTCCAGCCGGTTGCTTTGACTGTGGCTTTGGAAGACGATGCGTTTCGATCACCGCTTTTCATGATGGTCGACCGGATTGCCCGGATGGAAGTGATGAATGTATGCAAAACGATCGATATTAAAAAAAAAAACAAAATTTCTAGGGTGTCTACCCGGCTTCATCAAATGTGGATCGTATTGTGTGGAGCCGAAATACTTGAGCGCTTGTCTTTTCAATCCACGATGTGACGGAAAACAAAATCAACCGGCTTTCTGCGCACAATCAAGTTCAAATCAAATGTTTTTTTTTCAATTTTCAAATACAATTTTAGAGGAAAAGCTGTGCCGAGAGAAGAACAAATTCCCTTGTAAATCTTATGGTGAATGCGTTCCGTGGTCATGGGTTCGTGATGGAAAAGCACAATGTATTGATGGATCCGATGAAAATGGTTACTGTTTTATGGATCTTTAACTTCTTTAACTATACTTTCAAAAGTATACCCCCTTAAACTCTTGAATATCTTTTAATTTTGTGGGAAAAATCAAAAAAATCGGGCAGCTATGAAAGCAATAAAGCCCACCTCTTTTTCTGCGTAGAATTTTATATTTTCCTGCCTTTGCCTTTGCTTTTGTTGTCGTAGATTGTGCGTAGCTGCTCCGTTTTGTTTCGAATTCTCCACGAAACTTGGAGATATTCAGCTGAGTGGACAAGGGAACACTTTGAAAGTATTGGGTTAGTGGGTATAGGACTTGACACGTTTTTTCAAATGAAAATTTTTCTTCTATTAACAACTAAATCATGCGAAATATTTTCCATTATTTTCTATGATTTTTGCCGATTTTACTGGCAAAAGACGAATGCCTCTCTCGTAGAAAAGCTTCGGTTTTGACGTAAATCAATTTGTCAGTCATTTTTTGACCTCTTCTTCGACATCAAAGTGTTTGTTTGCCAAATCATTGAACAGATAACGACGCATATTAAATCTCGCACAATAGGCGTTCGCCCACAAAGGTGTCTGGCTAGCCATTTCCATCCGTGGTGATCTCGATGACGAGATCGTCACGACAGGGACCTTCTCCGAAAGTTGACAGTTAGAATTCAACCCTTATCACAATACAGAATAAAAAAGATTTGTGCTCGTATCGAGAAAGATAAGCGGCACTGATTTCTGACACGTTGTCATTTCTGGTTGATAACGACACATTGTCATTTCTGGTTGACAACGACACGTTGTCATTTCATTCCTTTAAATTATGTAGAACTCAAATCCGTTTAAAACCCAGTCAATTTTCCGGTATTATTGTTTAATTCACTGATAACTCTTCTGCTATTTCGCGAAAAGAAAGATTTAATTTGAAACCAAAAACGTGCCAAATCATATCTCCATCAACCCAATATAATCTTTAACAATGAATTTAGATGCCGATTACATATCAGTATTGGAAAGAGGATGGAAAGCACATCTGGATAAAGTTCATCAAGGATTTGGCAATGACACAAATCCTTTGCCAACCGGCTACCCTCTCCCGCCAATCCCACCCGGAAATGAGCTGGAACCTTTTCACCCACTTTCTCCTATTCTCCCGGAAATCCCTGTCGGAGCCACCACCCTAAATAGTTCTGATCCTACGCATATTTCCGTGAATCCACAACCGAAAGACAAAGGCGGTAGCTGGCAAGGTAATGGCGTTACGCCGATTCATCCACAGATTGGCCGCCCATCCACCGAGTCGCCGGTAATCTTTATTCCTGGACGATGGAGTAATCGACCCCCAACAGCACCCACTCAAGTCACTCATTATCCCGGAGAACCGGCAATCGTTCATCCAACCTTGATTCCTTTTGATTACACTCCTTCTCAAATTCAACCTCAACCCGATTTCGGTCAAAGTCCGTTTGTTTCTCCTCCTGCTGTTCCTTTAAGTCAAACAAGAAGTTCTTGGAGTCAAAAACCGTGGATTTGGCCACCGCCATATGGTTTTACTCATTCTACACAAACTCTGATGACAACAACCACCTCCACAACGCCTTTATCTGTTGGAATTACTGTGATCAACCCAGTTATCACCACTATAAACATTCATGGGCATCATGGCGGAAGAATTTTGACAACATCGACTACAACTACAACTACCACTACTAGAAGTGATGAACAAATTACTGATGAAGGATTTGTGAATGATACAACGATATCAAGCACGATTCAGGCTGAGACTAGCACTGCAGTCAATATGATAATTCCTTTGGAAACAATGACAATTGATAGTGTCATAGATGAATCAATACTTCGTTGTGAAAAGGCTTTTAAAGAAGAAGTTGAAGAAGGAGTCAAAAATGAAGAGGTTTTGTGTAAATGCCCTCCTGGACAAATGGCTGATGCTCAAGGGAAATGCAATGGTAGATGCAAAATCAACGAAATGAAGCTATAAAGAGATTTTCTAGATTCTTCAATCTCAACAGTGATCGTAAACAAAATGAATCCACCATGCAATGCTAGCACTTGGGATCGTTTCGATCAAACGAATCTTGGACAATTCATTTCATTAAAGGTTTAAAGAAAAAGAAAGATTGTAAATACTTCTTTTATAAAATAAAAGAAATATTTACAATCTTTCTAATTAAAAGATTGTAAATACTTCTTTTATTATATAAAATAAAAGAAATATTTACAATTGAAAGTTACATTTTTTTAAAAAGTTAATAATCAAAGTAGATTAATAAAATAAAACCAATTAATAAAACAAATTCAAATTTTTAGTTGAAACGATTAGAGAACGTGAGTGGGGTTTGTGTGGTGGAGGCGATTCCCGATGGGCAAGCTCTCGTGAGAATCATTTGTCAACCGTGGTGTAACTTGGAGCTTGTGGTTGGGGAATAAAGCATTAAAAAAATGATCCTAATCTTTAGAATTTGGCACTATTAAAAGAGGCAAATATTTCGACTCCGTTTGACTCGGAAAACTCGTTGGGAGAGATTCGAAAGAGTCGGCTTCAGATAAGCGGTTAGTCGATCGAATATTGGGTTGGTGAATTGAAAACTGCCGGACTTTGAACTAAAATTTATTCGACATAAAACCATGAATTCATTCCAAATAATTTCCATTATTATTGACGACTTCTGCCCATTTTACAGGCAATTTGCGGATTCCTCTTTCGTAGTAGGATTTTGTTTTGATTTTGGTTTGTGTGTGAGACAAGTGTGAGACTCAAAAATGGAGGACTGGAGATATCCCAGTTTGAGCACTTTCTTCAACAGAAACCCATTTTGGTGTCAATAAAAAAGTTGTAGAGAATCAAAAAATGAGGCTTATAGCCAAATTTCCAAAAAGATACACTTAGTAGTTTCGCTTAAAATGCAAGTTTTGTGAAAGTTTCGTAAATTTGGCATTTCTTGAAAACCAGTTTTTGAATCGTTCTGAAAATTTGGATATAAGCTTGATTTTTGATTCTCTACAACTTTTCCATTGACACCAAAATGGGTTTCTTTTGAAAAAAAGTGCTCAAACTGTGGCAATAGTCGGCAGTTTTCAATTCACCAACCCAATAGCAACAAATTCGAAAAGCAACAAATTTTTAGACTTATCCACAAAAATTTGTGATGATCCGCGACTAAATGATTGCCATGAGAATGCAAAATGTGAACCAATTCGTCTTTCTTACAGGTGATCTCAGACTTTGAAGGTGATATCATACAAATCGAAATAGCTACCGTGAATACTGTAATAGTATCCCACCCCCATAATGACGGTGCGGAGTGTTGCGTAGTCTAGCTTTGAACGAGTTTTTCTCGGCACTGGTTTATGCTACAATGCGCGCTTAGGTATCAAAAAATAGCTGAAATACAGGGCTATTTTTTGATACCAAAGACGCATTTTTTGAAAGTACGGGCGCTTTGAAAAAAATGAAATACTAGAAAGCTTTTGCGATTACGAGGGAGGGTGGGGTACTTTTACAGTATTTACGGTAGGTGTGCATGGGTCTTTTATAGAAAACGAGTCAATCCCACGTTTCAGCAAACAGCTCTTATTTTCTAAACCTTGAAAGCTTGTATCCACGCTTTAGAAAGCAAGAGTTATTTGTTAAAACGTTCGGCTCGTCTCTCGACAAAAAGGTTACGGTATTTCTTCGAATAGAAGACCGGGTAAAGAGTATGATCGCGTACTCGTGCGTAGCAGCCCTTTTTAAAATTTCTTTTCTACATAAAAGCTTTCAATCAAGTGCTATAGAGCTGAAAAATGGCTCAAAAATCTGTTAGCTCATGTGGTATTTTTGAGTCATTTTCCAGCTCTATAACACTTCATTGAAAGCTTTTATGCAGAAAAGAAATTTTAAAAAGGGCTGCTACGCAGGAGTACGCGATCATACTCTTTACCCGGTCTTCTATTCGAAGAAATACGATATGTCTATTGCTAGGTGTACTTGCAAAGAGGGAACCAATGACACAGAGCCGACTCGAGCAGGCAGAAATTGCTGGGGAATTCCCGATGAAGACAAGTTTGTCGGCCAATAATTATACGAATCAAAGTTCTTCCAGTTGCATCTTATTGTTTAATGTATGCCTCGTTTTTTGGGCTTTATGTTTAATCGGTGCCGTTTTTCTTCTTCCACTTCTTTACATGTGTTTCTCGGGTCTTCTCAAACGATGGCGGAAAAGGAAACGCAAAATTTCTCCAAATGTTGCGTTTAATACGGTTTATTTATTTAAGCTTTTAATAATAGGCGTATTTTTTTTTTCAGAAACCAACTGTGATCACTATCGATAACTTTGAACAAACGAACACGGCTCGTCTTTTGAGGCAAACGCTTGGACCAAGAGCTGCTGGTTTTGATTTTGAGTCAACACTGTAGAGCACAATGTTTTAGGGGTTTTGGCGAGTGGTCGAGCTCTTCAAAATATGCAACTGAAATCAATCTTGAAACCAAGTGATAGTGGAATCATTCCCCTATCGGCGATGGAAGACGTTGAAACCGAAATCGAACCGAATACACAGCCACCAACAGGTTTCAATTAGCTGTCTGAATTGTTTACTTAAAGTGAAGAAAGAAAAATTAGATTTCCGGAGAAGGGATTGACAATGACAATGACAATGACCTCGACCTAGATCTTGACGTTTTGCTTTCGGGGCAAGTGTTCTAACCATTGAGCTATCCGGTACCTTAACCTGCCAAGAGAAAGAAGGAAACACAAGGGGAAGAAAAAAAGAAAGAAAGCAATTGCTAGAGTTTGCTATTTCCTTTCTCTTCCACCTTGTATTCTCTCTTTCTTTTCTCATGACCGGATACCGGATGGCTGGGTTAGAGGGGTTAGAGTGGTTAGAGCATCTGCCTGGAAGGCGAAAAGGTTTGGGTCGAGAGTTCAACCCTCTCTGTGGGAATTTTCCTTTGCCATTCCTTTATCATGAAAACTTTTTGAGGTGCATCAACAACTCTTCCATCACCCGCCGACAACTCCCCACAAGCCACTGAACCCCCATCAGCTAGAGCTTCATCGGCACCACCACCAAAAGAAGAACCAGTAAAATACTAGCTATAAGCTAGAGTACTGTAAAATTTCAGGCAATAGAGGAAGAAAGGCGATCTCTTCCGAAAAGTGGCTCTTCTCCAAGACTCGCTGAACTAGCCTCTAGTCCGCCATTGATGGTAGAACCTAATAGGTTCATGCATAAGTCTTTTCGTTTTTTTCGTACTTCTGTTAAAAAGTAACAAATTCACCAATTAATCTATAGTTTGCTCTATAAAAAAAGTGTTTTTTTGTTCAATTTGCATCTTTTTAAATGAATTTCGGTTCACTTTCAAGCAAATTCGAGAGTGAAAAACGCCTTTTTCGTAAAAATCTATAAAAAACTCTACGGAAAAATTGGCTCAATGAATTTCTCTGAAATTTTGGCGAAATATCAAACGTTTTTTTCTCTATCTTTTATCTATTGACACGAAGATAGGTTTTCTTTAGCTAAGGTGTCTAAACCGCATCATCGAGTTAGCCCTTTTTGACTACCCGACTTCATACTCTCAAGAAAATCCAGGCATTAAATATTTTTAAACCCGTTTTAATGTTATTTTGCAGAAAAATAATTGCTTTTTCTAATGAAATCAACCGTAGTTTAATTGGTGCATTTGTTGGCTTGAAACGGCAGACGAAAAGGAACAAAAACACTTATGCATCAACCTAATAATTGAGCTATTGAGAAATCACAAACCATTTCAGCGTTCTCAATCTGTTGTGCACCAACGAGTTGGCTCAGCTCAAAGTGCAGGTGCTGTTGTAGCGGGCGCGGTTGTCGCCACTGCTGTTGCCAAAGCTCAAGCTCAAACAGCTCCCGCGTCACCGGTTTTCTCTATTCGGGTTTTTCTGAAATCTAATCTGAGAATATGATGAGATTCCCAGGTGCCAGCAGCCAGCAAAACTGCTCCACCAACACCTAAAATGAAAGAAGATCCGCCATCATTTCCTCCACTTTCTCTTTCGAGTTCGATGATCGATCTACAACGACAAGATTTGGTTTGACAATCGTTTGAAAGTCAATGGGCTTCTTGATTTAGATATCATCTCCAGCTCCATCGCTTGCATCAAGAGCTTCTCGTCATGGACAACCAACTATCTGGGAAACTTATCGAGTTCTTGGTGATCAGTATGCTAAACCAGAATCTGGTAAGCGTACGTCAAACGGTTTTCTGTACGAGTTTTTCAGCAAGACCTGAATCTTCCGATTCGTTAGACAAGCTGATTAAAGACAGATATCCAACACCACCAGAAGAAGATCTGCTAAAGACAGGTTTAATAGAAAATAAACAATAATTCTAGTAGTTTTTCAGTAACAGAGGAAATTGTTGAACCGATTGCTGCTTTGCCGTCAAGTTCTCTTCCACAAGCGGCAACAAGTCAAGCCGAGAAATTGGCTGAAATGCTTGGGGTTTCCGTGAGTGAAGGAGCTGAAGCTGTTGTCAACAAAGAAGACGAATTATCAACAGCACAAGTTGAAGCAACTCCGCCTACTACTGAGCCAAAAATTGATGAATTGGCTACACAAGTATGAAATCTATACAGAATTTCTATTCAAAGATTTCAGGAAGAAACGAGTGTCGATGAAGCGGCTTTGCTTGCTCTTTCAGCACAAGGAGGAGTGATTGGGGTTTAATGAATGGAATGCTTTTAAATTGATGATATTAATTTCAGATACCAAATAGTACAAAATCTCCATCGAAAATTGAAAACATGAAAACGGAAAGAGCACCAATAGAAGAATTGAGTCTTTCTGAAAAGGTCACAAAAAATTTTTTTTTGTTTAATTCTTGAAAAAACAAAATTTATAGTCGTCGCCAACTTCCGATTTATCACCTGAAGTGAAAAAGGTTTTTAGAAATACAATTGTAGATATTGTCGTTCGTGTAGTTTCATCTACTGTAGATACTGTAGTTCTGGGTGTTTCTTGAATAGAATACCATAGATACTGTAGTAGAATAGAATACTATAGATACTATAGATACTGTAGATACTGTAGATATTGTCGTTAATATAGTTTCATCTACTATAGATACTGTAGTTCAGGGTGTTTCTTGAATAGAATACTATAGATACTGTAATTAGATATTGTAGTAGAATAGAATACTATAGATACTGTAGATACAATACTATAGATACTGTAGATACTATAGATACTGTAGATATTGTCGTTAATCTAGTTTCATCTACTGTAGATCTACTTTGTTTTTTTAGGGACCAACATTCACTCGAAAACGACTAGAAGAGTTGAGAAAGGAACGATCAAGATTGCCTATTAAGAAAGAGATCTTTATACCAAAAGGAATACCGCATAGAAAAGTTTGATTTCATTGAGAGTATTTACTTTTAGTTGTTTTAGCCAGCATTCACAATGACTTCAACGAGATCTCAGTTACCTCAGATTTCTTCAAATTTAAATGAAATCTATTCACAAAGACAGCCAAGACGAGTGCTTTATCAAGAGACAAGTACAGATGAAGGAAGTGATATGGAGGTATAATATTTTTGAACAAAAACATTCAACAAAATCTTTTTGAGGCAGCAATTAATCGATTTGAGACAGCACTTCAGAATAGAGGTACTGTAGATACTGTAGAAACGGTAGATACTGTGGATATTGTCGTTAATATAGTTTCATCTACTGTAGATACTGTAGCTCAAGGTGTTCCTTGAATAAAATACTATAGATACTGTAGTAGAATAGAATACTACAGATATTGGGTTGGTGGAAAAGTCCTTTCGGATTTTTTGGGAGAGTACCTTAAATTTGTCCAATTTTGACGTTTTATAGCTCATCCTAAAGCTGAATTCAAGACGGATCGATTGGTAAAAACTGTGTCTAGGGGTTATTTTTGACGCTGATCACGAAACACATGTTTTTAGCCTAGGTTTCTGCACGGAAAACTAACAAAACGTGAAAACAGCCATTTTTTTTGGCTCTGCCGCCCTTTACTAAAATAGCTGTAAAAACTTTTAGAAAAGAGATATCTCAAAACGGTTTTTACCAATCGATCCGTCTTGAATTCAGCTTTAAGATGAGCTATAAAACGTCAAAATTGGACAAATTTAAGTTACTCTCCCAAAAAATCCGAAAGGACTTTTCCACCAACCCAATACTATAGATACAATACTGTAGATACTGTAGATATTGTCGTTAATGTAGTTTCGTATACTGTAGATATTGTGGATGTTGTCGTTAATATAGTTTCATCTACTTTAGATACTGTAGTTCAGGGTGTTTCTTGAATAGAATACTATAGATACTATAGATACAATACTAGAGGTACAGTAGATATTGTCGTTAATGTAGTTCCGTATACTGTAGATACTGTAGTTCAGGGTGTTTCTTGGATAGAAAGCTTTTCAAGAGGAGAAATTTCTAGGGCTTGAAGTGCCTAAGCAAAGAAAAGGACGACGGCGATCTCCCGAACGACAACTTTCTTCAATTTCTGAAAAAAGTGCTGAAATAGCTGCTGATGAGGTCTTTAAAACAACAAGGAATTGAATTGAACCCTTTCAGACTCTCCGATCACCCAATTTTCCCATATCCGCTCCAACAACGATGAGAGAAACGAAATTCATGCACCCATCCACTCTACTGAAATCACCGCTTTCCAAAAGGGTAAGCTAAACATATGAAATGTTTTACTGAGTTTTACAAGCTTTTGTTTTTCAGAGAACTCAACTCCGGGCTCCTCAAGGATACTCGTCTGATGTGGATATTCCAATGGACAGTAATCGATCCAGTCAAAATCGTAAGTAATTACTAACAATGAAAGGCTTTATTACAGTATTTTAATAAAGTATTTTTTCATATAAAATTTAGAACTTTCTTCTAAAAAATCTTCTAAACGATTGGTAGATCCACCGGAAATCCGTAAACGAGGAGATCGAAGCCGAATCAAACCGATCAAAATGCCGCCAAACTTGGCAATTAAAGGTTCGTGTTTTTTTTTTAAAAATTCACTTACATGTAAATTTAGTAACACATGAAAAAGAAGTTTCAAATCCACATTTCTTGCCATCAACGATTTCGAAAGAAAATCGCGAAATGGAACCAGAAAAGGAGAGGAGTATGCACTCGTGAGTTTTATTAGTTTTGTCGAATTAGAACTAGCATCAAGAAAAGAAACCATTACAACATTTTACAATCTTTCTTTTCATTAAACTTTATTGTTAAGCAAGATTAAAGTTTATTGTTAAGCAAGAAAAATTCCCAAACTCCGAGACTCGTAACGGAATTTGGAAGTTCAACTTTGACGCAAATTTTCTCGATTTTCTTAAATACAAATACAAAACAAATTCTACTTTTCTTTAGTCAAATTTAATGAGGTTTCTTTTAAAAGCAATTACGAGTCGATTCAATTTCCATATCTCGAGTTATAGACCGTTCAAGTTGATTAACTTGATCTTGATCAACTTGATCAACTTGATCAAATCAAATCAAATTTAGATTGAGCACCCATTTCCGCGAAACTACAACAACAAAGCCATTGCACGGGATTCTAATCAACAAACGTGTAAATAAATAAATAAATAAATTAATTAAATAAATAAATAAATAAAATAAATAAAATAAATAAAATAAATAAAATAAATAAATAAATAAATAAATAAATAAAACAATAAATAAAACAATAAATAAATAGATTTCATTTTCTAATAAACAATTACTAATTAATATTTCAAAAAAGGGATCTTTAAAATTAAAGTTTCACATTTAGAAACATCGTAATGGTGGTACTGTATCTGCCAGAGAGTGTAGCACTGGATGTCAATGGTGTCATCACGGAGAAAGTGATTCAAGTGCTTATTTCATGCCTGGAATGAGGTAAGGAAAAGAAAAGGATTCAATTGTATTTATATTTTCAATCTTCAATCATATCAATTCAATCTCAAATCATATCATTCAGATCACGAAGAGATCCAGGCTACTACTCAGCCCGAAATCACTCGATTTCCCCAGCAAGATCGATGAGGTAAATGAGGCTTTAGATCTATTAGATCGATGATTGATTGATTGATAAATAGAATAAATAGAACTCAATCTTTAGATCTATTAGATAAGCTATTAGATCTATTAGATAAAGATATAGGTTATAAACTATTTTTAAAATAAATCAAAACTCCAGCAATGTTCGCAACTCTCACATCGATCTCTCACCATATTTCGATCTAGAGAAAGACTCAAAAAAGCCTCATAAAGAGGGTCTCTGGTGGGGACATGCTCACGCATAAACTTTTATTATTTTTTCTTTATTTTTAGTTTCCTTTTCAGTTTCAGCTCAACCATTGCATTTCTTTTCCCTGTCTTTCCATTTATTTTTGTCTTTCTCTTCCTTTAGTCCTGATTTTCCCCCTTTGTTACCTATAGTTTCCCCCACTTTAATCCACAGTTTCCCCACTTTAATCCACAGTTTCCCCTCTTTAATCCACAGCTTTCCCCACTTTAATCCACAGTTTCCCCTCTTTGATCCATAGTTTCCCCCCTTTGTTACCTATAGTTTCCCCTCTTTAATCCACAGCTTTCCCCCACTTTAATCCACAGCTTTCCCCTCTTTGATCTCTTATGGGTATCTTGTTTCTAGAGAAATTCTTTATATATTTCATATTTCAATGACTTTGTTATAATTAGTTTTTTCTTTTTTTTGGAAATAAACGTTTTTCATCGGAACTCGAGTCAATATTTGAGATCAACAACGAATTTGCGCCTGAAAATTTGCTCATGTAAATTCGCGAATTTGAAAAGCATTTTGATTTCAATTATTTATTGTGATTCAAACAAGGAATTGAAATTATTGTAATTCAAAAGAAAAGTAGCTATGATTTCTATTTCCGAACTTCTACCCCAACCAAAAAAGTCGACAGCTAGACGAGCGAGTGAATGGATCGTTCGCATTGGTAACCTTTTTTTCATAGCAGAAAAATATCGTAGCTTTGACAGAGTTCTTAGTTCATTTCTAACAACAACTGAATAAGGATTATAATCAATTTAAAGATTATTTATGACTGAGATAAAAACTGAGATAATTTTTCCTTTCTCACAAGCTCATTTGCAGCCACTCCACTCCTTCTGATCCTTGGCTATGCAGCCGCTTTCCTTTTACTGATCAATCCCGAGTTTCGATTGAATTCTCTTCAAAAATCATCTCAAAAAGAAAATATCGACTATTTGGTTTTAAATTTCTTTAAATTTCTTTAATTTTACAAACTCTATTTAGCGTCAATTCTACTCAATGCGAAAAAACGAAAGCATTTGTGGGATGAGTGTCTTTCGAGAGTTACTCTTTATCAACAACGATGTTAACAACGATGTCAACAACGATGTCAACAACGATGTCAACAACGATGTCAACAACGATGTCAACAACGATGTCAACAACGATGAGTACAGTCAAGCTGTTTGTTTATTTACATATTTAAAATTTATGTAACTTGAAAGCTTATAAAAGTTTTCTTATAAGAGTTTTAGGTGTCTCGAATTACAAAAAGTTCAACAAGGAAATTTACGACGCCATTTGATCGAATTCTTCCGTTGACACCAATCAGTGAAGAAGATTTGCAAAAGAAGAGAGAAATGGAAACGAAAGAAACGAAAGAAACGAAAGAAACGAAAGAAACGAAAGAAATGAATGAAATGAATGAAAGCCAATAAAATAATAAAGTAAGAGTAATAAATTATAATTTTATTTGAATGAATCAAGCAACCGAGTATCGACCTCCGCGCTTACCACCTCCGCCCGCTGAAATTCCGCTTCTAAAAGTTTTCCTATTCGATTTACTATAAATTTGATTACTATTTGATTTTCTATAAATTCTCCTATGTATAGTACGTTTTTATTCCACAAAACTTCAAAATTCAAGCAGTACATCATTTAGCTGTAGTTCGAACTAGAGCAGATCAAAACTTATGCCCGCCGGGACTCGAACCCCCGACCCTCAACTTACCAGACCCCGGTGCTAACCATTACACCACAAGGCACTCGACCACCCTTACTCCAGAGGGACTTAAGACTCCAGAGGGACGTCATTTAGTCAGTTTTTAAATCATTTAAAGCAATACTTGTGAACAGAATTAGATTCTTATGCAAATTTCAAATACGAACCGATTAATGAGCTCTGAGATTGGCTGAGCTTCGTGCTCGTCATCGCTTTTTTTAACTGGGAATTTTCTCATATAGAGCAAGCAAAGACGAGCGGCCATGAATAGAACGAAAATCGCTGCCGCTGCCAATGCTGCCACCACCCAGCCTTCTCTAAAGCGACTTTTTTTTTCAGTATTTCATTCGAAATATGATAAATAGCCCCTTAAATGATCAATTCTTTTCTTAAACTCACGCAGCTTCTGGATCTTCAACAAGTGCATCTCTTCCATTCTTCAACGTGCTCGCCAAAGTGTTCGTTGAGCCAAGTGGGAGCACTCCGGTCTTCGTAATCGTTGATGGACCGGCTTGGTGGCTGCTTGGCATTTGGATTCTATTTTTTAAATACTTTATTAAGAAGATAAGAAAGATAAGAAAGAAAATTTACATATAATACCACTCGAAAAGATGGAAACAAAATATTGACAAAACAATATTTAAAAGGAAACAAGTTGAGAGCTTTATGACTTAAACAAATCGAACGAATCACGAACGAACAAACAAAAAAACGAATCACTTTGAATGAATATTTGAAATAAAGGATATAAAATTCTTGAAATAATCGCCCTATTCGATCAAATGAAAGAAGGGAAATAGGAGCTGAGAAATTCCATTTTCCCCCCTATCTTCTTCACATTTTCGAGAACTGCAAATGCAATTTCTTCGAGATCGACCTATTTTCTATTTTTTGAGAAAAATAAATCTAGTAAATATTCTTGAAATAAACAAATGAATACTTTAGATTGGGTTTAGCCTCTTAGTATTTATAAATAATGTTGCCAAAAAATGATCACCAGTGAATCTTCAGGAAATTTTCCTCAAACCAACGAAGCCAATATCCACCCATTTCCCCCCTTTTCTCGTTTACTTAATTGAAGCACTTTTCTTTAGCCATTTTTTCATTAGAATCAAAATAGTTTTCGGGTTTTTCAAGGAAAAAATTCATTGAAAAATGAGTTGGAAATGAAATTGGCTGGATTCAGGGCTGGATTCAGGGTTGGTTCAGGGCTGGATCCAGAGCTGGTTCAGGGCTGGATTCAGGGCTGGTTCAGGGTTGGATCCAGAGCTGGTTCAGGGCTGGATTCAGGGCTGGTTCAGGGTTGGATCCAGAGCTGGGTCCAGGGCTGGATCCAGAGCTGGGTCCAGGGCTGGATCCAGAGCTGGGTCCAGGTCCCAGCCAGTTTTTTGTCAAGTATATTAACAAAAAACTGGCTTGTCTTTGATATCCGAAATACAGATCTAGACTGAATATCTTTTAAAATCAGGTTGAAAGATTTTCCTTTATACTTTAGTATAATCTATTGGATTATACAAATCTCCGGATGGCTTTAGAATAAGAGTTAAGAATCGCTCAAGATCAAGATTCAGAAGTTGTTCTCTTGAAAAACTTCATTGATCAAGATAGAAATCAAGTGATACATCTTGTAGTGATCAAATGTTTGTGTAAAAACAGAATCATGAAGGTAAACGCTTTGTCGAAGCGAGGGAGGATCTCGAGGAGAACCCAGGGTTGTCATGAGGGAGAAAAAGGTTGACTGAGGTCCTCCTCGTGTCCCTAATTCTCGTGAGAGTCTCCTCCTTCTCCCCTTTCTTTCCCCATCTTTCTCTTTCCCATCTCTTTCCCAAAATTTCAACAACTTCTACTCGAGAAATCCCGATTTCCGGATTTTTGATCACAAAAAAAGTTTCACAAGTTTATTCTCAAGAAAATGAGATCAAGAGTTTCGTTTAAAATAGTCGTTTTCCTTGCTCAAGTGAGTGTCGAATGAGGCTCATCTAAAGAGATGATCTAAGATAAATGGATTATCTTTTACTGCTGTTGATCCATCACGAATCATAGCTGAGATTCGATCGATGAGACTCCACGAGACATCATATCGATCATTGACTCTCATTGGACCGAAAGCCTCTCGACGATCAACTCTATAGAGTGAAATGATTATTTCAAAAGGTTGCATTAGCTTTTTTTTGCTTTTTAAGTTCATTAAAGCAAAACATTCTTGTATCAAGTCTTAATTATTTTAGCTTAAGACTACTTACAGTATTTCTTCGGATAGAAGGCCGGGTAAAGAGTATCATCGCGTACTCCTGCGTAGCAGCCCTTTTTAAAATTTCTTTTTAAAATTTTCTTTTTTTTAAAAATTTTATCTAAAAATCTGTTAGCTCATGTGGTATTTTTGAGTCATTTTCCAGCCCTATAGCACTTGATTGAAAGCTTTTATGCAGAAAAGAAATTTTAAAAAGGGCTGCTACGCAGGAGTACGCGATCATACTCTTTACCCGGTCTTCTATTCGAAGAAATACGGTATTTAATTTGCTTTTATGTAGAACAAAAATGAATACATTGACAAATGACAAAAAAACGATAAATATTAATCAAATTTTAACGATTTACCGTATTTTCTCTAATAGTAGTGCACCCCGGCAAGCCGATTTGATGCCTATTTTACGGTTTCCAAGCTTTCCCAGAAGCTCAACACTAGATCTCATCGTCAGCTACATTTTCCGAACCCACATCGATAGGTTCTGATAAGCGCTTCTGGAGATTTCGAGCAATTTAGGCGACGCTCAGGATGCTCTACTATTAGAGAAAATACGGTAACTTTTAAAAAAAAAGCAAAAGACAACTTCGCAGAATGTAGCTTAATTCGTTGATGCCGAACAGGCCGAAAAGGTATTTCCAATTCGGAAATTCTTTGATCACTTCCTACATTCGATTCGCTGTCCGATGAAAGCACTGTGAACACTTTCGACAAATCATTCCTCTACAACAAATATGTCATTTAGTCCTTTTTATTTCTCAAAATTTTATTAAAAAACATGCAAAGATAAAGACAGAAAGTGAAAGCACATGCCAAAGCAGCCAATTTTAACCAAGAATCCTAGCCGCTTCACCACCAGCAAGAATATCAAATAATTTACTTCTTTTATCTGGATATAAAGGATTATAGAAAGGATCTTGGAGTTTAAATGGTGAATTAAAAGCAGGTGGAGCTTCAATAGGTTTTGATTGTGCTAGCGGCACTCGCAAGTCAGGAATCGGTTTCTTTGTCGTAAACAAACCCATCAACGGATTTGGAGTAAACGGGTTACTCAAATTTATTGGTTTATTTAACTCTTCTAGAATCAGATTTGGTTTTAATGGGTTGAGGAGATCAAGAATCGGAGAATCAGTGGGTTTTATGCTGAGGGGAGCAAGGGGAGATGGTGGTGGATGGATGGTGGGCAGTGCAGGAACCTCGAGCAACTTTTGTAAACCCTTTGGACTTAGGAAATCGGGAATCGGTTGCATTTGGAAAGCGTCAGGCAAACGGAAATCGGATTGGCGTTTGAAGCGATTTAAATGCTTTTTGTTTGGGTTAAACAACTCAAAGAGGTGATCGAAAACCTCGGGTTCAAAAAGTTTCTGTGGAGATCGTCGAATCTCGGGTTTCTTTGTGGTGGTGGCGGCGGTGAATGCCGGTAAAAACATTCCAAGAGATCTAAATTTATATTTTATCTACTAGAGCAGTGTCCGTTGGTCTAGCTTTTTCTCAGCTTTCTTTGAGGCAAAAAAAGGTGAAATTTTCTTCAAAGTAAAACATAATATAGTATAGTATAATATAATATAATATAATCTACATTTAAAATTTAAAAAATTAAATATCTTAAGACACTACGGGGAGTCGAACCCGGGCCATGTGGGCTCTAGACGAGCGCGCTCCTAATTGCACTACAACGACCAAAAAAAGGCCCCCCCCAAAACGTTTGATTAATAACCTCCCACCTTTCAAGCAAAGATTTTGGTGATGTGGTGGTTGGTGGAGGGGTTGTTGTAGTCGTGGGAATCAAAGTGATTCCTGCCATTTCCTAGACACTTTTCTTTCAGTGTTTTCTTTTTCAAATCAAACTTTCGATATTGAGTCGAACTGTCTTTGCCAGGGTTCCCAATATGGTTGCAATAGCTGTTGCATCAATGATGGAGCCGGAGTGGTCGTCGTTGTTGGTCTTTGCAATTTCTCGAATAAATCAAAAAGTCCCTAAACATTGCTAGAGTCAAATTTGAAGCTGAACTCACTTTCGAGTTTGAAAACGGTGAGTCATCTTTTGCCTTTTCAATCTATAAACTTCAATGATTTAAATGAAAATGAAAAAGAGGATTCTTAGGAAATCGGGAATCGGTTGCATTTGGAAAGCGTCAGGCAAACGGAAATCGGAGCTCAGCAATAACTGATCACTTTATGAGTGAGCTTTTTGGATTTTTGGATTTGATTCGAAAAAGATATTTCAAAAAATATTTCACCTTATCAGCATAGGCTTTAGCTTTTGAATTCTCTTGCATTATGTCGAACATTTGAACAAAAGGACTCATGATTGGACTCAAAATAGCTCTCGCGTCGACATCATTCACTTCTAATATTATAAATAGTATAAACTCAAGTGTTTTCTCCTAAAATTCTTATGCAGTTTTTAAAAATCTTATAAAATTTAAGAGAAACTATTTGTAGAATCAAAAAAAAAATGCCAAGAAAATGCTCTCAAAGTCACCATTTCCTTTCGGTATTCCATCATAAGAAGCAAATTGAATATTATCAAGAACTCCTTTTTGATTTGATTGAGCAGCTGAAAAATTCTCGTCAATTTTGCTCTTAAAAGAAAACAAACCAAAAAATGGTTGAGTTTCTTGTTGACAAGCGGCAAGGGTAAAAACGAAGGGAATAAGAAGGAGAAACATAGAAAATCAACTGGATTTGTGAGAAATCTGTTGGATTTGAGGAATCTGTTATTGAGATTGGGATATAATTGAAGGAATGATTATTGAATGAAAGCCAGTCTGTCAATGTCTTTGAAAGAAAGAGCCGGAAAGCAAGGGAGAGGAAAGGAAGAGCTGCTGACCGGTCCTCCTTTCCCCCATCTTTATCCTCTTCTCATCATCATAATCCTTTTCATATCTCATAAAAAATAGACCGTGTGAATTTGCACTTTTTCTTGTCTTTGATTTCTGGAAAACTAACGTGTGACACAAGAAAAAAAGAAAGATTTATTTTTGATTTATTTTAGATTTATTTTAGATCCATTTCGACAATATGTGTGAAGTTTGATCAACAATTCCCAGTGGCTAAAAAGAGATATTTCTTATTCTTATTTCTAAAACCTGAGATAAAGCTTTGTTCTAACAAATTTCAGCTATAACAGCTAAATCTTGAACTTGTGTTCTCGGAATTTCAACCTTTAGTCTTTCAGGATCTGGATCTTGAACTCAGCAATTAGCCTATAAGACTAATCACTTGTTTGCACAAATTTCTCTCGAAACTTTCAACTCACCAGCTAGATCGATGCCCGGTGTGAAAGCATAGGCGGTGAGCGGAGCAAAACCGTAAACAGTCACAGCGAAAAGAGTCCCAGCTTGCCCATCGGATCTCACGATATGATTCCCGGATTTCACCGGCCAATCCGCCACATAGCTATTCGATTTGCCTTGTCTGAAAGTAAAAAGAAAGAGTTTAGATGTAAATAATGGCTTCATGAAATGGCATGAAAGCCATTATGGCTTCATGAAATGACCTCTGAAAAAACAGTGGATCAATTTCCCAGTCATCGACCCAAATCTTTCCCGTCTTCAGTAAATCGGTTTGAATTCGAATGTAATGTGTGGAGAAAGTACGATCGGTGAGTCCCGTTTGAACCTAAAAGTTTGAAAGTTTAATTTCAATCTTTACTTTTGCACAAACCATGATCCTTGATTCATTAGTGAATTGGGAAATGGCGGGAATATGTGCCATAAAAGGACTACCCATCCTATCAGATCTCATCGAGCCAACCTGTAATCATTTTTCTTTTGTCTACAAGCAATTATAGCTACTTCTGAGAGTCAAGCTACTTCTGAGAGTTCAGCTCAGCGAGAACTCAATGAATCTGTTTGAAATTTTGAAATTTGGAGATGATTTTCGAGTATCTCTCCTGTGGCCAAGTCAATTTTCTAACTGATTGATGATTCTAGAATCTTTATATGACCTTACAAAGTTGAGAGTCTAGCCAAAGACCCAATTTAGAATTTTTGAGAGCCGTTTTTGCAGTTATTTAATGAATATGTATGCGATAAATTCACCACTGGTAGCCCCAGTCGGTATTTAAAAAAAAAAAAAAAATATGATCATGTTTAAGATGAAAAAAAAAGATCAAAAATCTCATAGAAATTCGATTTTCTGTCGTTGAATTTTATTAGGCTTCCTAAAAAAATGTGTTTAGGACCATAAATTAGGTTTTCGCCAAGTACACCGATCAAAAATTCTAAATTGGGTTTTTAGCTAGACTCTAAACTTTTTAAGGTTATATAAAGATTCTAGAAACATCAATCAGTTAGAAAATCGGTTTACAAGGGAATGGTCTCAGCTAAAAGTTCGGAATCGACTGAAAACACAGTGCATAACATAGAATCGGCAATAGCGAACAAAAATCCGCAAAAATTAGCCGCTAATAGCCACGGAAAGGCAAGGATCGGGACTCGAAACTGATTACTTTATAAGGCTTCTCTTGCTGCCGGCCCGAGATGAGCTCGTAGGTTAGTGGATAAAGGTTTAAGTCTGTGAAACTCCGGTCCTAGTTTTGCCCTCGGGTTCAATACCGCCCACATGCGCAGATTTTTTTGTTTCTTTGTTCTTTTTGCCTGGGTGTTTGCTTTAGAAACGAAATAGTTCCAAAAACCAAAAAAAAAACCTTTTTTCATGCCGGCGGAATTGAACCCGAGAGCAAAAATAGGACTGCTGTTGTACTGACCTAACCCTTTATCGACTAAGCCACGAGCTGACTGCTTGTCAGCAGCCAGAGAAGCCTTAGAAAGGAATCAGTTTCGAGTCCCGATTTTGCATGCGAGATTCCTCGCGTTTCCGTGGCTATTAGCGACTAATTTTTGCGGGTTTTTGTTCGCTATTGCCGATTCTATGTTATGCACTGTGTTTCCAGTCGATTCCGAACTTTGAGCTGAGACCATTCCCTTATCAGCTACAGAAGACATACTCAAAAATGATCTCCAAAAATTTGAAACGGATTGATTGAGTTCTCGCTGAGTGAGTCGCTATAATTGGCGATCACTCTACAAACCGCAATAGCATAAGCGGGCTTGTCGAAAGTGATCATCAACGATCCGTCCACTCTCAGTAAAACGTATTCCGTGGCGTCCATATATTGCCACGGATCTCCGTCAAGTGAAATTGTTGTTCGATTTTGCTAGAAGTGTTTCAGAATACGATTTACCAGAAAAACGAACTGCCGCAAAACACATCACTTCTCCTTCATCTTCAGCGAGAAATTGCGTGTACGGGAAAGCCGTTCCCGAATCGCTTAGTGGGAATAGCATTACCGCCTAAATTTCAGGGCCTAAATCAATCATTTGAGATTGGCCTCTATCTCAAAAGAGAACAAGATTATAAAGCTTTTAAAAACAAAAAAATTAAAAATTCCTTCCCATGCCGGGAATCGAACCCGGGCCGCGTGGGTGAAAGCCACGAATCCTAACCACTAGACCACATGGGACCTGGTAAAACGGACTAAAAGTGGTGCTATCAAGAGAGTGACAAGTGTGAAATCAAAGCTTGCTCTTTGGGATATTCAATCAGAATGCTAGCCTAATTTAGTGTTCAGGAAATCTTTTTATAAATAAATAAAGTTATCAAATACTTTTAGAAATAAATAAATTTATCAGATATAAATATAAATTTATAAAAATGATTTATCAAACCTCATGATTGCATATATCTTGATTGTAATATCCATATCCACACACGGCTCCAGCAACAACAGCTGAAAACAAACAAAATTTCTCATTTTATACTTATCTTTATAAAGAATTTATTTACTAACATTCTGTTCAACAATTTTCCTTAAATATCTTGACTTTTGAAATAATGCGATCTCGAGAAAGCGCTACTTTTTTAAATCAAAAAAAATTTGATCATTCACTGAGTTTGCCTTTTCGTTTTGCCCTTTTCGATAACCTTTTTTTTGCAAGAGTAGCTCAGGAAAAAAATTGATACCAAGATCAAAAAAATTTCATGGATTGGATGACTTTTTAAAAGGAGAGAAAAGAGGTGGATGTCAAGGGTTAGACAGTCACAAATCAGTGACAGAGAGCTGCCAATGTTGTCTCCTTTTTTTTTTTGATCAAAATGAGAATGAGAGAGCAAAATGTTCCCGGCGAAACATTCCATAGTGAAAAATAGATTTCGGGTTTTTCCTTGTCAAGATTTTAGCTGGGATCTCTCTGCTCTCTGTCAAGATCTCTCTGCCGAAGTTAGACTGATCTTACGCTAATCACCGACAATAAATCACTGTTCTTTCCTTTGAACAGAAAAAAAAACAAATGAAATTTAATTGGTGTTTGCTTTGGTTGCTTTGGTTTGAGTTTTAAGTGCTAACCAGTTGGAGCTGAAGTGATGATTCGATAGTTGGACATGGGGTAAATATTCGACGAGAAAGTGAGCACCTCACCGGTTTGTAGAGTGAAATTGATAGGTGCCAGTGGGGGATAGATGGCTACCTAGAGAGTTTTGTGCCACTTTACAATAAAAAGATGAATAGAAAATGTTAAAGATGAGGGTTTTGTTCAATTCTTATACAAGATTCGAAAATTTGAACCCCACCAAAGTGTTATCTTGAGTGGCGACGATTGACCAAATGCTGGTCGAGTTGTGTCCTCTCCAGATCGATTCGTCGCCAACCGAATGATATTGGTTACCCAATGTGCAAGCCTGAATATCTTTTTTAATCATCTTTTTATCATCTTTTTATCATCTTATCATCTTTATCATCTTTTTCACATCATAAGCTATTTACAGTACCGGATAAATCACATAATCGTCTTCAGAAAACCCGTTTGATCGAGCATTCTTTACCACTAACGATACCTGAAATTTCTGCCTAAAAGCTGAAGTATCTGAGCTTACCCTAGCGTTTTTTGATTTCATTGTAATACTCTTATTTGAAGGCACAATATAATTCGCTTGCAAGTTTCGGTAATTTGTTTGAATCTCAGTTGGAAGCATATACTGGAAGCAATTTGCATTCATTTCTCGATCACAAATCACAAACGCTATAAATCCCAGCAGCGGGTACAGTGAATTGATTGTTTGGTAAAGTCATGAATGGTGAGGTAATCGTGATATCGGCTGCGATTCTAAATTCGGGATTTTCAATGATTTCGAAACTGATGTCAAATCAAACGTTTGATCATAGTTGGTGATGATTAGAGTAATATTTTCGGTGTAACTTTTCTCCTCATCATCCAAATGAGAGTTGATCACGGCAAAGACAAAAGTTTGGCCGGAAACGAAAGCGTGAACAGTTTTATGGATTGGATCTCTTGATTGAGTTGATTTTGCTAGATTTCCTGAAAGTTAGCCTATTGTAAAGTCAAAAATCAAGACTGACTTTTGCCAAAGGTTCAACTATCTTAAAGTCCAACAATCTTAAAAGCCTAGATTATGTTAATAAGACTCAATCTGTTACTCAATCTGTTACTCTCTGCTAGCTTCTTGTCCTGTTAAAAGTTAAAGTCAAACAAAAGTCAAACAAAAGTCTAAATTCTTCTTTACAAAAGTCTAAATAGTAAGGAATGACCTTTGTGAGAAGAAATTATTCGAAAAGTGACCGATGAAGCGATGAAAAATGAGAGAAAAACGAAAAGCACTGTTCCATTGACCATTTGAAAATCTTCTGAGCAAAGAATTCAACTGTGATTTCCCTCCAATGATTCCCCCCAATGATTCCCCTTTTTTCCAATCTCTTTTTTTAAGTAGCTGACTTTTATTTATTATTTTATGCGTTTTGTGATAAGTGGCTCCGAAATAAAGCAATTATGTAGTGTCTTTGAAGTCAAAAAAAAAAAAAACGATTTCACTCTACTATTTTTTTTTGAGGGTAAATAAACGAGAGACAATCAAATTTCAATTTCTTCATGCAAAAATTTATTCAAACAACTCCCTGAGCACAAGGTTTTTATATACAAAAAAAAACAGTGATTTCATTTCCTTTTTCTTATGAGATCGTTTTCTTCGTTTCGTTCATCGTTTTCCATAACTTCTATAGTTGTTTTGGTATTGTTGCATAATTGCAATATAGATAGTTTCGAGTATAACTTTTCTCCTCATCATCCAAATGAGAGTTGATCAAAGGCAAAGGCAAAAGTTTGGCCGGAAACGAAAGTGTGAACAGTTTTATGGATTGGATCTCTTGATTGGGTTGATTTTGCTAGATAGTTCCTGAAAGTTAGCCTATTGTAAAGTCAAAAATCAGGACTGACTTTTGCCAAAGGTTCAACTACAATCTTAAAAGCCTAGATTCTGTTAATAAGACTCAACTACAATCTTAAAAGCCTAGATTCTGTTAATAAGACTCAACTACAATCTTAAAAGCCTAGATTCTGTTACTCAATGCTAGCTTCTTGTCCTGTTAAAAGTTAAATTCAAACAAAAGTCGAAATTCTTCTTTACAAAAGTGGCTCCGAAATAAAGCAATTAAGTATAGTATAGTATATATACTTTATCCGACAAGGAAAAGTGACAATGCAAACAGATTGAACAGCGTAGACGAAGAAAGATAATTGATATACAAACACAACTACAATTAGACACGTGTATATATGACATTAAAAACTAATTTAAAATTGACAGAGCTACAAGATCGAGCTTATATATTGAGGATTTAAAATAGTTCAGAGAATTATGTGGTGTCTTTGAGGTGAAAAAGAAACGATTTCACTCTACTATTTTTTTTTTTGAGGGTAAATAAACGAGAGACAATCAAATTTCAATTTATTTATGCAAAAATTTATTCAAACAACTCCCTGAGCACAAGGCTTTTATATACAAAAAAAAAACATTGATTTCATTTCGTTTTTCTTATGAGATCGTTTTCTTCGTTCATCGTTTTCCATAACTTCTATAGTTGTTTTGGTATTGTTGCTGTCGATATAGATAGTTTCGAGCATAATTTTGTTGTTGTTGCTGTCCATAGTAGGCACTAGAAAAAGAAAACGATATCGTAGAAAGCTTTAAATTTTCCCCGAAATACCTATTTAACGAGTGCTTATTCAGTAAAGATAAGAAAAGACAAATGAATAAAATGGGCGAGCCCATCAATTTTGATTACAGACTTTTAGAAATATTTGAGAAAAACTAACCGATTACTATAATCGTTGGTAATCGAGTTTTGAGAGATTTGTTGATAGTAGTTCTTATCGTTGTTATAGTAAGTAGGTCGATAGTTCGAATAGGCGCTATTGTAGTTGTAATTGTTGTTGTAGTTGTTGTTGTAGTTGTTGTTGTATTGATAGTTTTGCTGGTAGTTTCCATAGCCGTATTGCACCGAATTTTGTTGATAGTTGTTCCATTGGTTGTAGCGGATGTTGGGAATTCCCGAGAAGATCGGATCATCTGAAACATTTTTGCCTTTTCTTTTTGTAAATCTGTTCAAGTAGTCACTGCAACTAGAGTTTGCCATTGTACATATTCTATAGACCTACAGTACTCAATACAGTATGCTAGAACGACGATACTATAGAACTATAGAACTAAAGAACTATAGAACTAAAGAACTATAGAACTATAGAACTATAGGACTATAGAACTAAAGAACTATAGAACTATAGAACTATAGAACTATAGAACTATAGAACTAGAGAACTATAGTATTACAGTACTCATAGCATTTAACTTTACTCTAAAACAATACCCACTTTGACTACATGTCCTTCCACCGCAAGCCAAGAACAAACCAGGAAAGAGTTCACTGAAAATTTTACTTATGGTTGATTTTTTTTAGTTCAGATAAATTTTAGTTCTCTAGACGAATTCTAAACAGTAAATGGTTGATTATATTCGAATTTTAAAAATATTCAGCCATTGTACTGCATTAACTTAAATCTTTCTACATTTTAAAGAATCTTAATGATTATCCTAAGAGCCTTGCTACAGATTAGAGGATCTTAAGAATATTGATTGAATTGATTATCTTAAGAATCTTACTATATTAGAACTTTATTGCATCGAGATCTTACTATCATCCCGAAACTTACATAGATCCACCGAAAACCCGTTGCATAGGCAAAAGGGTGAGAAGAAGGGGAAGAAAAAAGTGTCGCATCATCGCGAAAAAACACGATCCACCCATTGCACAGCTATTTGTTGGGGAATGTATCGGGTGAAACTTTTTGATCTATCCCCAATTTAACCCCAGCTCTTTCCGCCCCCTTTTTTCTCCCATTTCTAATGATTGATTTCGTTTTCTCGATTCGAAATAACAAAATTTAGGTTTAAGAATTTTCAAATTCACATCAAATCTAGTTTACAGGTTTATAATTTATGACTTTATTGATAAGTCCAAAGCCAAGTAACACATCGAAATTTTTCCTTTATTACTTACCGTAAATACTGTAATAGTACCCCACTCCCCTCGTACAGTCGCGTAGTCGCAAAAGTTTTTTTAGTATTTCATTTTTTTCAAAGCGCCCGTACTTTCAAAAAATACGTCTTTGGTATCAAAAAATAGCTGAAATTCAGGGCTATTTTTTGATACCTAAGCGCGCATTGGAGCATAAACCAGTGTCGAGAAAAACTCGTTCAAAGCTAGACTACGCAACACTCCGCACCGTCATTATGGGGGTGGGGGCACTATTACAGTATTGACGGTAAGTCATTCCAGTCGGCAAATCAAATCCCAACTTCTTTTGATCTCTCATTCATAAATTTATGATTTTTTTTAAAGTTTAAAAGTATTTGCCGTAAATACTGTAATAGTACCCCACCCCCATAATGACGGTGCGGAGCGTTGCGTAGTCTAGTTTTGAACGAGTTTTTCTCGACACTGGTTTATGCTACAATGCGCGCTTAGGTATCAAAAAATAGCCCTGAATTTCAGCTATTTTTTTCATACCAAAGACGCTTTTTTGGTACCAAAGATAATGACGGTGCGGAGTGTTGCGTAGGCTAGCTTTGGACGCGTTTTTCTCGACACTGGTTTATGCTACAATGCGTGCTTAGGTATCAAAAAATAGCTGAAATCCAAGGCTATTTTTTGATACCAAAGACGCATTTTTTGAAAGTACGAGTGCTTTGCAAAAAATGAAATACTAAAAAACTTTTGCGACTATCCGACTGTACGAAGGGGTGGGGTACTATTACAGTATTTATGGTAAGTTAAAATATGTATATCAAAATATCAAAAACGACTTTGTTAATAAAGTTTTTAAAATTTAAAACCCAATATTTATGAAAAAGCTTTGTGATTAAGTCAAATTTTTAAGTTTACAGGTTTATAATTATAATTTGATTGATAAAGCCAAGCATTTGATTCAAAGCCAAGCAACACATCAAAATTCCCTTTATTACTTAAGTTATTCCAGTCGGCAAATCAAATTCTTCTTTTGATTCTCATTATCCGTGAGATGAGAAGGAAAAGCGTGTCTGTGCGTGTTGTTTGATCTCTTCATTCTTCTCTTCATTTCATTCAATTCATCCGAACTTCACCCATCGTTTATGCACTGACACGCTATGTTCTACTCATCTAGCAAAACAAGTAACCTACACAAATGATCTTAAATCTCTAGAACAAAAAATTCTTTTCAGATAAACATGCATGTCAAGGATTTCTATATTGGTGAGTTGTTTTTGCGCAAATTTACAACTCGTTTTTCTATTAGCAAAGCAAAACTTACTTTCTACTTACTTATTTTTACTTACTGCTTACTTTTTTCAAAGTTGATATCATAACGTAGGCGTATTGGAAGATTTTGAACGAATTCCCCAAAGAATTCTGGTCGTCCAGAGTCCAGATAATAACCCAGAAATTTATTTGTGTGATGTTTGAAAAGAGTTTTTTTTTTGAAGCATTGGTCCTTGTCAAGTGAATCGAAAGTCTCTCAGCTTTTTTTTTGCCTTTTTAAAAAGTACCCCCACTTCATTCGAGTCATTATTGAGGCCACTGAAAAAAAAGGAAAAATTGCTGAACTGCCTGCCTTGAACGCCTAAAAATTTTATTGGAATTGCTCGAATAATTTTCATTCAAATACAGGTAGATTTTTAAATGAATTTCTGTTCGAATTTGGCTACTTTGAAACGTCCAACTGTAATTAAAGTTAGAATTATCTAACTTATCTAACTTATCAAACTTTATTTCCATTTTAAATTTTGCGTAGGTTTTTTCTTCAACTTATTTCTGTTTTCTTTTGTGTTTGGAATGTTCGGAGATGGCTCGTTTTAGATGTTGGCATTCATCGTTGACAAAAAAGAAAAAGGAAAAAAAAAAAAGAATAAAAAAAGGAGATTTGTCGTGAGCTTGATGTGGTCCCTCGGGGGTGGATTGAGAAGAGAATTCAAGAAGAAATGAAGGAAAAGGGTGAACACGTTGACTGGGGGATGAGATGGGTGGAAGAGTCACAGGAGTTTTCCTCAAAAATTGTCCGAATCTTCACGGATCCACTTTCTATGCACTGACATACGTCTATTGTTTCCTTTCCATCCATCTAGATCTAATCATTTTTATTTCTTTTCAAAAATGATCGCACGATGAACTTCAGCAGGTAAAATTCTTGTTCTTTCCTAGGTATCAAGTGAGCTTTGACTCGTCCAGAGAGCCGCAGCTAACTTAAGACGCTCTGAAGTAAGGGAAATCAGGTGCCTTGTAGTGTAATGGTTAGCACGGTTGGCGGGTGGTCGAAAGGGAGGTTTGGGGGGAGGGTTCGAGTCCCAGCGGTGCAAAGTTTTTTGATTTACCCTATTTTCAACTGTTAATTGATATTTTTTGGTTTATCAGGTTGAAATTAATTTCTTAAAAAGCTATTGAAACAGCTAAAAACTAGCTGAATAACTTCTAAAATCTACACTGAACAATTTCCATATTAAGGCAAGAAAACAAAGACAAGAAACTACGAAATTACCAGTTGCTTACCAGTTGCTACCAAATAATTCTCTGCCTCAATTTCATAAAAGCCTAGATCAGTCCAGTTTTTTTTGCAAAGACAAGGAACAAAGGCATCAAGCCATTTCTTTTCTTTTATAAAAAAAGGCTTTTTTTTTATTTAGCCGGAAACTAAAGGGTTCACATTGTTTTGCGGGGTCAATTTTCGCAAGTAGTCGAGCAACATTTCGACTTTTTTTTTATGCCTCGACGAAAAGGCGTTCCTCTTTAAACCCCCAAAAATTAATTAAAACTCTCATTCGAAAACAAGGTTCAATTTCAAAATTGTTTTTGAGAAACTTTGACAATTTGATTAAGCTTCAAGTTGAGACTAAAGCAATAATCGGTCAGGCTGATCGGTCAGGCTGATAAAGTTCTAGGTAAGTTTGACCAGTTAACATAAATACCGTGACCGATTTCACTTACAAAATCTAGCTCTAACTGCAGTTTACGCAAGCAATTGTATCTAGAGAAACATCAAAATTTTAACGTATCTCACGTGGTATCCAATTAGTGAGTTTTCTTGGGAGAAAGCGGGGTAGAAGATGGGGGATTTTTACCCCTCTCATCTCACCAATTTACAAAATACTCCTCTTGGGCACATATGGCTACTTTTTCTTTCTATCTATTTCATCTTTAGTTTAAATATAAATCAATTTAAATTTTAAACAACAATTTGACCTATACTTTGGTTTCTTTTTATCTAAAAAAAGATAGAAAAGTTTTTTAATAGATATCTAAAGATAAAAAAGCTTTTTAATAGATATCTATAGATAGAAAAGATTTTTTGATAGATATCTATAGATAGAAAAGCCTTTTTAATAGATATCTAAAGATAGAAAAGCTTTTTAATAGAGATCTATAGATAGAAAAGCTTTTTAATAGATATCTAAAGATAGAAAAGCTTTTTATTAGATATCTATAGATAGAAAAGATTTTTTGATAGATATCTATAGATAAAAAAGCTTTTTAATAGATAACTAAAGATAGAAAAGCTTTTTATTAGATATCTATAGATAGAAAAGCTTTTTAATAGATATCTAAAGATAAAAAAGCTTTTTAATAGATATCTACAGCTAGAAAAGCCTTTTTAATAGATATCTAAAGATAGAAAAGCTTTTTAATAGAGATCTATAGATAGAAAAGCTTTTTGATAGATATCTAAAGATAAAAGCTTTTTAATAGATATCTACAGCTAGAAAAGCCTTTTTAATAGATATCTAAAGATAGAAAAGCTTTTTAATAGAGATCTATAGATAGAAAAGCTTTTTGATAGATATCTATAGATAAAAAAGCTTTTTAATAGATAACTAAAGATAGAAAAGCTTTTTATTAGATATCTATAGATAGAAAAGCTTTTTAAGAGATATCTATAGATAGATCTATAAATATCTATAGATATCTATAATCTTTAGATCTCTATTAAAAAGCTTTTCCATCTTTAGATATCTATTAAAAAGCCCGAGTACAATATTCTAAATAAAATTATCGACAAATTGAGTGTAAAACCCTTTGTAAAGATTCTAGAATAGAAATTCAACTTCTTTTGTATAATTAGCAAGCTTTAGACTTAATTGATCTTTAAATATCTATAATTTTATTTAGAAGATTCTACTCTGACTTTTTTTTACAGTGTTTAAAAAGCTTTTCTCAGACTTTTCTTCATTTATATAGGTTCATATTGCTTCTTTCTAGTTCTAATAATATATTCATTAAAAGAAAATCTTTGCGTGACCTCTTTTTTAAAGAAAAACTCAAGCAGAAAAACTCGAAATTTCTTTTCATAAAAAACCTTCTGAAAACTAATTTTCGAATCTCTAATTGCTTTTGATTATAAAGAGCTTTAAAATAACATTAAAAGACTTTAAAAAGCATTTTTTTACCCTTCAAATCTCTTCACTTAGTGCTTTCGTTGAACGTTTTCATTTTAAGCATCATTTTAAGCATCATTTTAACCATCATTTTAAGCATCATTTTAAGCATCATTTTAACCATCATTTTAAGCATCATTTTCAGTAGAGCGTGTTCCTCTCGAGTAATACGTTTTCTAAAGGGCACCTATTTGAGAAAAGTACCACAGACAAACCGTTAGTTTACATTCGATTAGCCCGTTTTTGGTATCATTGACTGAGAATTGTGATTCCTCATTGAATGATACCAAAATTGGACGAATTAAATGTAAACTAACGGTTTGACTACGGTACTTTTCTCAAACAAATGCATTCTAAAAAACGCATTACTCTAGAGGAATACACTCTAATTTTAAGCATCATTTTAACCATCATTTTAACCATCATTTTAAGCATCATTTTAAGCATCATTTTAAAACCATTCTTTTAACCATCATTTTAACCATCATTTTAAGCATCAATTTCCTTTCCTTTGTGCCATCATTATATACTCACTGGTAAACATGAATCAACGAGAAAACCACAAATATACAGGTGAATTTTCGTATTTAATCTTTACTATCTTAATCTTTACTCAAAAAAGAAAACATTACACTTTGCAATTACGAGCCATTAAATAGGTCAAAGATGAAAAAAAAGACCAATGTTAAAGCTAAAGGAAAGAAAAAAAGAGAGAGACTCACAAAAACCATAACCTGCAATATTTATGTTTGTAGAGAAAGGAGAAAAGAGAAAGAGGAAGTAATCTAGACGATTGCAAGAGAAGAAGTCGATACTTTAAAGAAGAGAACGAAGCGAATGAAATCGGCCTATAAAGTCCAGCCCTTTGCTAGCAGTACACTCATATTTTGTGCTTCTGGTTTTCAGTAATCCGCTTTCTTCTTCGTTATGACCCATCTCAGCAATGGGAAAACGAAAAAACACGAAAAAGGTGAACCCAACAAAAAAAGGGATTAAAAACCCTCGCTCATTCATCTGAGTGCGACTTTTTGGGGGAAGGTTTTCGGGAATTGCCGCCTTGTCTCCTGGAATACTTGAACGTGGAAAGTCGTCTCCTTTTTTCTTCTACTATTAGTGGCTTTTTTTTTTCGTGAGATTACTTCAAAAATCCCGCACAAAATCCCCGCAAACGATCTCGAAATCTCGGATTTCTTGAAGTGTACTTGAAAGAGTAACCTTTCGAGTATTCAACCACTTCCTCGAGAATTCCCCGCAAAAATGATGACTCGTTCCTTGCAATCCCACAATCATGAGTGTAAGCTCGAGCTATTTTACTATTCAGAAATTCGATTTTCTTAATAATTTTCGATATTTTAGATTCAAAAATGTACAAAGTCGGTGGTGAAAAAGGGAAAAAGCGGCATAAAGAGTGCAAAGATTGCAACAATTGCAAGGATTGCACAGCGGTCAGTTTTTTTTTTATATTACAAGCCTAGAGACAAGCTTTTAAGCTCATTTAAGCAGAGCTAGTTATTCAAAGAGCTATTCAAAAAGCTATTCAAAAAGCTTTCCACTTCTTCAAGTTATATCAAGATTGGCAAACTTGAAATTTTGGACACTTTTTCGTATTTCCCAGAAAACTTATTTAATACACCAATTGAAAAAGACTTCTCGAAATAAAATTTTTATATTATCTAATGTTTAAAACACGCTTAAGCCAATTTGAGCAGAAATTCAAGTTTTTTTTTAGTCATTTTAAAGTTTATTAGCAACATAACACAGTATTGACAATTGACATTCGATTGGCAACTTGAAAGTTGGTACACTTTTACGTATTTCCCATAAAACTTATTTAATATCCCAATTGAATTATACTTCTCTAAATAAAAGTTATATATTATCTATTTTAAGACACGCTTAAGCTAATTTGAGCAACTTTTGAAACGAATTCGAGCAGAAATTCAAGTTTTTCTGAAAATTCTTTCAAATAGACATATAACTAAAGCAATTCGACAAATCGAGCTGAGAATTTGGCTATATGCCTAACTTTTTGTGCTCTATCTTTTCTCCATTAACATCAAAATAGGTTTATGTGAAAGAAAGTGCTCAAATCGCTTCATCAAGTGTTCATCATTTTTGGTTCCTCAACTTCTTGCCCCCTAGAAATCTAAAAAAACGAAACTTTTCTAAATCTGTTAAAAGCTTTTTTTAGAGAACAAATGAGCCTTTTTATTGGTGAAAATTGAATGAATTGAATGATGAATTGGTGCACTAGTTATCTCTAAAAAGTGCAATGAACTAGTTAAATTTCAGATATGCTTAAGCAAATTTGAGTAGCTTTTGTAAACGAATTTCAGTAGAAATTCAAATTTTTCTGAAAATTCTTCAAATAGACATATAACTAAAGCAATTCGACAAATCGAGCTGAGAATTCGGCTATATACCTAACTTTTTGTGCTCTATCTTTTCTCCATTAACATCAAAATAGGTTTATTTGGAAGAAAGTGCTCAAATCGCTTCATCAAGTGTTCATCATTTTTGGTTTCTCAACTTCTTGCCCCCTAGAAACCTATAAAACCGAAGCCCTTTTAAATCTATTAAAAGCCTATTTTAGAGAATAAATGGGCTTTTTTTATTGATAAAAACTGTAGATAAATTAGTGCAATAGTTATTTCTAAAAAGTGCAATAAATAAGTATACAAACTTCCAAGTTGCCAATCTAATAAAAAAAACAAGTGAAAAAGCAGTTTGAAACTTTGCTATTTCACTATTCTTCAGCCATTTGAGAAGAGGAAAAGAGCTTTAAAAGAGAATTCATTGAGAAATCGACTTGAGTCGAAATTAGACGCTCATGCGCTTTTTTGTATCACTTTGCAAATCCTCATTCATTTTCCCACCGCCCATCTTTTCTCATTTGAAAGATAAAACTCTATAAATCAGTCATCAAAAATCAAGATATAGTAAAAGTTTATCGATTTATAAATTATATTTTTTTTTCAATTCAAAAAACCTCCTTGCATTTTATTTTATATAACTTCTTGACTTTTCCTCCTATTTTGAAATCCTTTTTTTTTTCGATGAGACAGAGAAATGGAAATGAGTCTGGGCGGTCTTCAATCTCAAATTTCCCATTGATGATGTCCTAGTGTAGAACTAAAGAGTTAAATCGAATCCTTCTCTATGTTTCTACGTTCAAAATTCAAATTTCCAACACTTTGCTAAATGCTGATAAATGAATGTTTTCTCAACATGGTTCATCGATCATGACACTGGACCGCCCAGAGATTTTCGTTTCTATGTCCCGCCGCGGCGAATCGCGAAAAACCCTCAAAAAGTGTTTTTTTCAATAAATAGATGCCGGTTATGGAAAGAATTGAGGCTTTGAATGTGTTCCGAATGAACAGACTCAACGGGAGAATGGTTGCTTTTTTTTGTAGAGATCAAAGCTAGCTATAGTTTAAATATTTGCAATTTATTTTAAGCTAAATTAACAGATTTCAAACAAAGAAAAAACTGGTTTAATAACGATTTGAAGAATTAATTTTAGGAAAAAATTGAGGAGACTGGTGTCAAACAGATCGCGGTCGTTGTTGAAGAGGATGACGAGGAAAGGTGAGTCGAAAAAAAAGTGCAGAAAAAGGAAAATAATGGCTAGTATGCTATAACTAATAATAAAAAAGTCTAGAAAAAGGCTTGAGCGCAAAAAACGCACCCAAGAAGATATGGTGAACGATTTTGTGAAAATCCTCGAGCAAATGAGTAAGTTTTTCCAGAGTTTTATCATTTTTTTTTTGGTTTTATTTATAATTCTATTCATATTTTGTGTTAAAGCAATATATTCTTTTCAGTGAAACCAAGACAAGCCGTGTTGTCATTAGTGTCAGGCGCGGCGGGGATCGCCTCGGTCGGTGTGTCGCTCATTCACTGGAATGATCTACCACCAGAAGCTGAACTCGGCCGCCAACTAATGCATATTCTTTTTGCATACGGTAACTTATTATTATAAATCATAGATCAAAACCAGAGTTGCGCAAAATAAAGAAGTGAAGGAATTGGCAAGAGAAAGTAGATTTCCGAAGAGGGAATTGAACTCTTGACCTTCTGCTTACCGGCCAACTCTAACCACTAAGCTATCTGGTACTTTAACTCGCCAAAGAAAAAAAGGAAAGATAAGAGGGAAAAAGAAAGGAAGAAAGCAATTGCTAGAGTACTTTCAGAAAGAGGGACCTTGTATTTCCTCTTTCTTCTCTAACAAAGAAATGTCGGATAGCTCGGTGGTTAGAGCATCTGCCTGGAAAACAACATGGTCGGGGTGGAGGGTTCGATCCCTCCCCGAAAACTTTTCATTTCTTTTCATGCCATTCCTTTTCTTTGCCAAGAGAAAGAAGGAAAGCTAAAGGGAAAGGAAGAAAGCTTGTAACAATTGTAACATTCTTGATCAAAACTAAACTTACTTCTTCAGGGGTTCTACAAATCGTTCTTGCAACGGCTTTCTTTGTCACGTGTATGCAAACTTCAATAGCTGTGAGCAAGGTTTTTTGTTTTTTAGTGACTAAATTTCAAAACACAATCGTTTTCAGGGTGTAAAAGATGCCGTTCAAATAGTCATCGGTTTGATAGTGGCTCTTGTCTATCTTCTAGTCGCACTCGTCTCATTGGCGGTCGGGGTTGTTGGTAGGTTGTGAAATCAATTTCTAATCAACTTAAACTTATAAGCTAGAAGGACTAAAGTTGAAAAAAAAAACCCCCGAGTTTCCAGGTTTCTACAAAACGATCTCAATGCTTAGCGGTGTTGTCTACGATTCGCCGCACGATCTTTTCTTTTGCCCGAAACCCCTTTTCTATACTTCGATTTTCGTTTTCGTTCTTCACATCATCATGATTGTGTTCAAATGTTGTTGTTGTAAATGATAGGTGTGTACCTACCGTAAATACTGTAATAGTACCGCACCCCCATAATGACGGTGCGGAGTGTTGCGTAGTCTACACTGGTGGTCATATGTATTAGTACCCTCTTGCAAAAAATTTTCTCTCAACGATTGCCCCCCTTAAAAGGCTGCCAAATTCAAAGTGCTAAAAAGCATTTTTTGCTAATAAGCTCTAGTCTCTAAAACCACAAAAAAATTGATTCGAAATGTTTATTATCTTTTTAAAAAATAGCAAGGACGGAAAAGACACCTCAAAAATGGTGGACAAAAGTATTGATACCTTGCAAAAACAACAGTAAATTTCATAGACTATTGGCCCTCCTTTGGCTTGAATGACTTTTTCTATCCGTCTGGGCATCGAGTCGACCAAATTGTGCAAAACTGATGATCCAATTTGATTCCATACAAGACGTAGATAGAGCCAAAGCTCGACTTTGCAGAAAAGTGTTTCTCCTTCAATTTCGCTTTCACAATCGACCATAGATTCTCGATAACGTTCAAATCTGGTGAAAAGGGAGGTGCTTTAATCAAAGAAACACCATTAATCGCAAACCAGCCCGGAAATCGTACCCGTCCTCCATTCGAGAGTCTTCCGACAGGTCCCATCATAAGTTTGCTTGTGTGAACTGGCGAGTTGTCCTGGTAGTACAACCATCCTTGAGGTTTTGTTTTGCTCGCAAATGGAAGTAAACGTTGCTCAAGTGTTCCCATGTATCGCTGAGACTTCATGGTTGAATTGATCATCTCAAGTGGACCGACCACATTTCTTGTCATCGCTCCTGGAAGTTGACAGTTATACGAAGAAAACTATAGAAATTCATACCCCAGCCCATAATATTTCCACCCCCAAATCGAACCGTGGGTTTGATGTACTTGAGTAATAGCCGCTTTCCAATCGGTCGCCTGATCAATGGAGGTCCATCCGACTGATAGGGATTAACTTTTGTCTCATCAGAGAAAATTACTCGACTCCAATCGTCACTCGTCCAACTTTGGTACCTCCGAGCAAAGGCTAAACGAAGTTTCCTAATCCGAGGAGTCATATGTGGCTTCTTTATTGGTCGTCTAGCGTACAACTTTGCTTTGATGAGTCGCCTCCTCACGGTCCTTGCTGAGATATATTTGCTGAATTGTGATTTATACAGGCGGCTTCCGTCGGTCGAGGTGAGACTTGGGTTCTTTTTGAATTCCCCTATGATCGATCGATTCTCGGCAGTTATTGTTGATGGATGTCGACCAGATTTTGCAGCTCTGTGTAGAGAACCGATAGTCTTTGATTGTTTAAAAAGTCGTTTCACAGTGCTCTCGCTGCATCCAAATTGTTCAGCCAAATCTGCTGTTTTCATTCCATTTCTTCGACCTTCAATGATCTTTTCTTTGATTGGGGTCGGTAGATACGGCATCTAAAATTAAATATTTTAAAAAGTCATCAAAACATGAATGTAAACAAGAAAAAAAATAAAGGAAAAGCTAAGGTGTCAATACTTTTGTCCACCATTTTTGAGGTGTCTTTTCCGTCCTTGCTTTTTTTTAAAAAGATAATAAACATTTCGAATCAATTTTTTTGTGGTTTTAGAGACTAGAGCTTATTAGCAAAAAATGCTTTTTAGCACTTTGAATTTGGCAGCCTTTTAAGGGGGGCAATCGTTGAGAGAAAATTTTTTGCAAGAGGGTACTAATACATATGACCACCAGTGTAGCTTTGAACGAGTTTTTCTCGACACTGGTTTATGCTACAATAGCAATACAATTATCAAAAAATAGCCCTGAATTTCAGCTATTTTTTGATACCAAAGACGCTTTTTTTGAAAGTATAGGCGCTTTGAAAAAAATGAACTACTAAAAAACTTTTGCGACTACGCGACTGTACGAGGAGGGTGGGGTATTATTACAGTTTTTACGGTATCATTTACAACAACAACATTTACAACAACAACATTTACAACAACAACATTTACAACAACAACATTTACAACAACAACATTTACAACAACAACATTTACAACAACAACATTTACAACAACAACATTTGAACACAATTTCTAAGCGTGGATAAGCACGTACACTAATGGACAATGAAATATCATATTTGAAAGAAAGATCATCACTTTCGCGCGTCTGTAACTCCCTTATCTTTACCGTATTTCTAAATATTAATATTACTATTGTGTAGCCATTGAAAAGAGCTTTCAAAAAATGTAGTGCTTTGAAATGCTTTCAAAAATATAACACTAATAGTTTAAACTCAAAGACAATGGAGTTACAGACGCGCGAAAGTGACGATCGTTTTTCAAATATCATATTTCATTGTCCAGTACTATAAATCTAAAAAAAAGGCTTTAAAAAAGGCATTAATGCAAACGCAAATCCTTTTTTTTCAGTACAATTCGTTTCTCATTGAATATTTTCATGTGTGATAATAGAGTCTCTTTTTGTGAAAAGTTTCCTTTTTTTTCTCCCGTTGCTTCGAGGCATGATTTTTGTGCGCATTTTTAAGGTGATTGACGAATTTTTGACAACCTATTTTCTTTCAACATTCAACCCACCATTTTCAAAGGATTTTCATTTTTTTTCTCGATCTCTAGATCTTTTTCTGTTAATGAATAGCGCTTTAATCAAATTTTAACATATTCAAAACGTGGTATTTTACGATAAATTATTCACTCATTGAATATTTAGCTAAAGAAACTCATACAACTTTAGAATAATTACGATAACGGTTTAAAAAAACTGGCTACTGGTTTTACAATTTTTTGTGTATGACTTAGAATTGTTTGTTTTTTTTTAATTTAAACTTTAGCCAGACAAACAAAAAAATGGGCACAGATGATTCGGCAAAGTATTTGGAGAAGATTCCTTATAAATGTGTCTTTGTGTCATCGTCGATGAAATTAGCCGACAATCCGGCAAGCCAACTAAGCGAATCGGGTGATGGATGGGTATCGAAAAGGTCGGTGCCTAAGTAGAGAATTGGGTACAATAGTGAGTAGAGAATTGGGTACAATTCGGTTAGCTAGGCGATCATGTGGCTGAAAAAACATTGAATCTAACATCAAATCTAACATCAAATCTAACATCAAACTAATTAGCATATAAGAATTCGAAAGATCGCGAAAGTGAGTAAAAATTTGGTGGCGAAAATCTAATTTCTCAACCAAATTTCCCATTAAGAATGCCATAAATGCAAATTTGCTTTCGTTAAGTTTTCATAAATGCAAATGTACCACGGGTTTTGTTTCTTTGATCGCTTGGCTAGCCGAGTTCTGCCCAATTCTCTACTTACTATTAGGCAACGACCTTTTCGATACCCATTGCTTTTTGAAATTGAGTTTGTTTTTAATATTTAGGATTGAATATTTAGTATTTAATATTTAAGATTGAATATTTAAGATTGAATATTTAGGATTGAATATTTAGGATTTAATATTTAAGATTTAATATTTAGTATTTAATATTTAGGATTGAATATTGAGGATTGAATATTTAGTATTTATCACTATACGCTTAAAGTAAACAAAATTTGAGCTCACTCCAATACATTCTAGAGACGCAGTCGACAGCGAGGTCATTCTTGACGCGGGCCCGGGAATGCGAATCCGAAAAATTGCTGTCACACCGAATCCACAATATTTACGTGAGAAAATCTAATTCTAAAAGTGAATCTCAAAATCAAAATAGCGTCAATTATCTCTGTGTTTGGGTCAAAATCAGCTGAAAAAATGGCCTCAAAATATACGCTGCTTGGTGAGAAAAGCAGAAAAAAAAGATACGGAATTACTCTTGCAGGAAAAATCGCGAACTCCGGCGATCGTATGGTGAATGATTTCACAAATGTGCAACGAATCTATTGTGATACTGAGCAAAGGTGGGAAGATTTCAATTTTCAAAGAAAAACAAGTTTTGGATGGATTCTTTTACGGATCGATCATGCGGCTGATCATGTCGTTTCGAATGAAGAGAAAAGAGTTGGACTGAAGACTGTTTTGGTGAGGGGTTACGGTAGGAAGAAAGTTCAGTGCAAGTAGATTTATGGATATCAAATCAATGGTGAACCATTGCCGAAGGAACCAGTGAAACCACCGCGTCCGAGTACCGCCGAGAGAGCGGCAAGCCGAGCCGAGCGAAGGTTTGCAAAATTGAGTACAATTTCATTAATTAAACCCGAATTCCAAATGGACTTAATAAAATAAATAAAATGAATATCTTCAATCGATTCGCCGACCCGAAAACCCCCGGGTACAAATTTACAGCTGAATATCTTTAATGCAAAAGAAAAATCCCTGCGTAAAATTTTGGGTGTTCTTTGTGCGACCGCATAATCGCTGTTCATCTGGCAAACCTGGTTGGCATAAGGGGCCTTCCTTTTGGAATCGACGACATATTGCTTTTCAGAAAATCGAGTCGTCGAAGACGTGAGTTGGAGAGCGATGGTGATGATGATGGATCTGGGGTAAGCTTACGAAAAATTCAAACCTATATCAAAGAGTTTAGGGCGGTTATTGTGGACAATGTGGAAAAGAGCAGCAAGGCTCTGATCGATATTGTCGCGTTTGTGGATCCAAGCTTTGAGAAATTGCCTTTATTGTTAATGAATAAAAGTTGGAAATGGAATGAAATCGAAACATTTTGTGAACCGTGAACAAAAAACAAAAAGAAATCTCTTCAAATCGAATCCAATGCTTGACAAGCGGCTCCATAAGCAGCAGAAACGTTTTTTGAGCCGTTGATCCGAGTGAATTTTTCCTTAATGAAAGCTTCAATGTGTGTGAGAAAACGAGGCTCAGAAGCGGAGCCAGTCTGAAAGAATTTCAAGGATTCTTTGATTGATTATTAGTTAGATTGATTATAGTTATGAATACCGTATTTCTTCGAATAGAAGACCGGGTAAAGAGTATGATCGCGTACTCCTGCGTAGCAGTCCTTTTTAAAATTTCTTTTCTGCATAAAAGCTTTCAAACAAGTGCTATAGAGCTGGAAAATGACTCAAAAATACCACATGAGCTAACAGATTTTTGAGTCATTTTCCAGCTCTATAGCACTTGATTGAAAGCTTTTATGCAGAAAAGAAATTTTAAAAAGGACTGCTACGCAGGAGTACGCGATGATACTCTTTGCGCGGTCTTCTATTCGAAGAAATACGGTAGTTATTCACCAACCAAACATAGAGCTTTAACTCCAAGAGATTCAAGCAAAGAAACGGGCATTAAAGTGAATAAAGTTTCAATGATACCACGATGCAACGAAGCTAGGATCTGAAAGGTTTCATTTAGATTTAGAAATGACAAATCTCGAATCAACTTGATCAAAAGTTTCCATTCCATTTAGTCCAGTGATCTCAGCTGCCATCATTTCGGGAACCCCTCGTTCTCCATGAAAAGTTGGACGAAAGTGAACGCTTGTCTAAGAGCACAGTTTGCATTCAATTTCTTATTTAAATTAACTTTTACTGTTGCCATTTGATTTGCTTTTTCTATAATTGAAGAAATATCAATATCAACAGTATTTCCAGCATTAAATCCTTTTGCCCAATCGGCTACCATCTAAATCAAAAAACTCTTAACTCAAACTCGATTTCAAACGCTTAAGAAAGTGTTCAGCGACGTTCCACCATTCAATCCAGCAGCAAGAAGCAATTTGCGATCTTTGTTAAATGGATCAACGCTAAATGGATCAACGCTTTTTCTTACTAATTCTTGAAAAATGTTTTACCGAAGGTATTCAAATTCTTTAGACGGTCGATAGTCATTCGGCACTAAGCAACAAATCTGTGCAGCTGTTCCAATATTTAAAACTAAAATTGTTTCAGTACAAGTGCAATATTTCAAACTAAACCAGCTGTATGATCTTTGATGAATGGGTAAATGGCTGTTTGCAAATCGCCAAAAGGTACCAAGACTTTGGCATTGCTAAACGATCCTTTTGGCACAGTTTTGGTTAAAAAAGTTCCATCAAGAACAATTTGAGGCATTTTCACGGAAAATTGATTCTTCTAAAGAACTCGTTTCTTAATTCTAAAACTAATAAATAAACAGTCAACTCTCTCTAGAACGGAAAACTCTATATAACGGAATGCGATTTTAGTCCTGGTTGACGCTAAGTTATATAAAATGGTACTCTATACTCTAAATTGGCTCTTTTTTGACGAAGGATCAATGGCCTGCAAACAGCCCGGATCTCAATCCGTTGGACTTTTCGGTTTGGGGTTTTATGGAAGAACAATTGAGAAATAGGAAAATCACCAATTTGAATGATTTACGTCGAGAATTGATCAAAATCTGGAACGACTTAGATGCAAATTATCTCCGCCGCACCGTCGATTCTGTAAAGAAGCGAATTGAAGCCTGTATCAAAGCGGATGGAGGCCACTTCGAAAATTTCTTGTGATTATTAAATGCTTTTGTTACAACTATTATATAAATAAATATTTTTACATTTTCTTTGAAAGAATATTAAATTATGGCGTTTTCTTTGGCGCACGTAATTTTCAGCCACCCTGTATAACGGAAAGCTCTAGATAACGGAAACATTTTTTGGTCTTTTCCATTCCGTTATAGAGAGAGTCGACTGTAAAACTGATTTTTACTGGAATTGTCCACTCGCCATCTCTAGCACATCCCCAACTGTTCGCATTCTGTGCACCAATCAAAACAAAAGAAGATCGAGTTAGGAGTGTTGCAAAAAGATCCATAATAGTGCCACAAGAGTTCCATTTTGCGTCAAGCAAACGATTTTCTTGTAAATACGATAAAGTAGCGCATCCATATCCCGGAAATACAGTGATTGGACCGTAGCTAAAAGAGGATTTGCTTTATGTAGCTTTACGTAGCTTTAGCCTTTTCTATTCTTTTCTTTACCTTGTCAACTTCTCGAGTATCCTCTCGGAACACTTTGGAAATTGCCAAGTGTACAATTTTGAGCAATTCAAATCTCCTAAAAAAAACTTTTCTTTAGCTGTTTTCCCGTTTGTGAACCTTTCTCTAAAGCATCACTCTCCCAAAATACAATCCCGTGCATTTGTCCAGCGATCGCAATTTTGCTAATATTTTCTCCACACTAAACTTTCAATAAAAGTTTAGCTTTTTGAAATACAGCTTTTTGTGCTTCATCGATCATCGCTAAGCCAATTTTCATTGTTAATTGCGCATCTTGAATGCCGAGCTCTGACTCAGCTTCATGTCGCTTTTGATTTTCGTATATGATTCTAGAATTTTTTGGTGACTTTTTTTGTTGTTGCTTACAATGCTTTATTCAAATGATTAGTGAAACAAACTTTTTCGTTTGATCCAACACGCAAACTTTCAACGATGTTGTACCAAAATCAATACCAATTACAGACATTTTCCCTGAAAATACTATCAAAGAAAAATGTTGACCTTTCAAACTAGCGATCAAAAATCAAAAAAAAAATCACTCCATCATCTCTGTCTTTTCGGCTTGCAAGAATTGATTAAAAAATTTATTTTATAATGAGATTTGAAATAACAACAGATTTGAACAACCTTTAAGATGAAAATCACAACCTAAAAAAAAGTTTTAAGTGAATTGCACAATAGATGAAAAACTAGAAATAGAAAAAATGATTAACAAAAGTAAAAAAAAAAAAGATCTAAAAAAAAGATCTAAAAAAGATCTAAAAAAAGATCTAAAAAAGATCTAAAAAAACTTTAGATCTCAAGAAATGTGAAAATATTTATGATTTTTCTGAATGAAGCTCTTCAATTGATCCATCGGAATGTGCAAAAAATACCCCATTCACACAATTAAAGAAGAGTCCGGTATCAACAACGCCTAAATGTTTTTAGATGATCAAAATTCATTCAAAAAATTTTTTTTACCTGGAATCAGTGAAAGATCCTTGTGAATGGTTGTCCAATCGTACTCTCTATCTTTAGGGAATTCCTGAAATGAAATAACTTTTGAAACAAATAGCCAACAACAAACTGTTTCTATTTTAATTTTAGAATTTAGCTTTGATTTTTTTAACTTGAAACAGTTAGGACTGCGTTCTTTGTTTGTGTTTTTGCAGAAAAATAGCACAACTTGACGATCAGCCTGTTTCTCTTTTGTTAAGAATGAAAGTAAATCAGTGAGGTGTTAAATAATTAATAAAATTCAAGTTTAAAAAATTATCTCAACTAATTCCTGAAATTGAATAACTTTTAAAATAAATAGCCAACAAAACTGTTTCTATTTTAATTTTAGAATTTAGCTTTGACTTTTTTAACTTGAAACAGTTAGGACTGCGTTCTTTGTTTGTGTTTTTGCAGAAAAATAGCACGACTTGGCGATCAGCCTGTTTCTCTTTTGTTAAGAATGAAAGTAAATCAGTGAGGGGATTTTAAAAAAAGTGTTATATGATTAATGAAATTAAAGTTTAAAGTTTAAAAAATGATCTCAACTAACCCAATCAATAATATAACAGTTATTGTCTGTGATCACCGGTCCAACTCGTTTCATCGCCATTCGAAGTCGAAAATCTCCACCGAATTTCTCAGGTAACGTTTGAAGAAGCGGTTGAACACCGAATGGAAGAACCTAATGAAGAATTGGAAATAGATTTGATGAAATTTCAAACCTCAATCGGAATACTTGAATAATTTTCCCCGAGAGCTCGTGATTTCTTTGAAGAATCGGCAATAACCTGAAAAAATGAATTATAAATTATTGAAAATAGAAACACAAACATAGAAACTTTTCGAAGCACTTTGAACAATCTTTTCTTGTACAAGACATCCACCTCCGCCTTTGATCAATGTGAAATTTGCATCAACCTGAAAATTAGTTACCGTAAATACTCTAATAGAACGCCATTTCCTCGTCCAGTCTAATTCTTCTTCTTCAATTTTGTCTCAGCTCCTAGATTTCTCAACTACTTTTAGTATCAAAAAATACTAGATTTCAAGAGCTATCATTTGACCCCCAAACGCATACTGTAGCATAAATCAGCACCGAGAATGAGACGTTTAAAGTTAGCCTACGCCACTGTACGCCCGGAAATGACGTTTAGAGTATTTAGAGTATAAGCTAAATGTCAAGCTCTTTTTACCTCATCAGCACCATCAATGCAAATATCCAATTCCGGTGTTGCGTCTAGATCAGACACTGGCAATCCAGCGTTTAAAAGCCATCTAAAAATTGAGTTCAAAAAGTGTTTAAATTGGTTTAATTCAATTAACCTCTTTGTCATAAACGATGTCGGTACACAGATCAATCCAGGAAGATGATTTGCTTTGAAAGCACCCTCGAGAAAATCGACAAGATATCTAGAATGTTAAAAGAAAAATTCTGAAAGCTGAAAAGCTTTTATTTCTTACTTAACAGTCGATCCAGATCCAACACCAAGTCGACAGCCGGGTTTCACGAGTTTTTCACCGGCCGTAAAAGCGGCAACATGTTTCGCTTGTTCCAGTGGTGAGCGTTGCTCGGAAGTGGCTGACTTGGGCATCTAAATATGCATTTGATTCGATCAATTTCAGTTTTAACAAATGTTATTTTAAAACTCAAATTCTAGAAGCAAGTTGTTAGTGGAAAACCTACGGAAACCATGGTGCGACTGATTAAGGAAAGAGTTGCAGAGTTAGGCAAATTTCTGACCATTCAACAATGTTTATTGAAATGATGAGAAGAAAAGAGCTAAAAGAGAGACTTTGATGGAATAATTGCTGTCAAATTCGAGGAATCCGGGAGCTAGATGGAAAGTGGGATGTTTTGAAAGGAAAAAGAGGATGATCTTAACCCTATCTCAGATTGATAAACATAAAGACGATCAAATTTTGCTCATAAAGTTTGGCTGGCTTTTGATGAGCTTAAAAATAGTTTGGGAAGATTGAGCTAATAGAAAAATATCTTATACAATCGTATAGAGAAGTGAAAAAGCTGTCCTATCTTTTTGAAATAACACCCTTATCTCCGGCGGATCTTCATAAACACCAGCAAGAATTTCTCTACCATTTTTTCTTTCAAAACATTTGATGCTGATAAAACTGGTTTAATAAAATAAAAAATTGATACATCAACTTTTATTAATCACCTAATTTCTAAATGAAACAACAAAATAAAAAATAATCTATGGCATGAGAATTTTCACAAACCTAATAACAACATTCAGAGAGTTGCTTTTTTTCTTTCTACAATGAATGTAAAAAGTTTAGATAAAAAGATAAAAACATTTGAATATACAAAAGATATTTGATTAGGAATTTTAGAAAAACAATTAACAAAAGGTTCCTAGGAAAACTGAGAATACTAAAAAGGCAGTTGAGTTCTAAAATTTCAAAAATGCACGGAGATCTCGCCAAAAAAAAAACTAGCGAATCCGTTTTGAAATACCCGAATCGTTGTGAAGATATTCGAGCTATCAAAAATGAAAAACAAGAGGTTTAATGAAAAAGGCAATTTCTTTGTGTATTTCATCTCGCCAAAAGCCAAAAAGTCTAACTAAAAAAGCAAAGCTTTGAGCAAAAAACGTAACAAAAATGTGGGAATGTAGAGAAATACCTAAAAATCTCATTAGAATCAGACAATGAGCAAGAGGACGAGAGTGATATCATCGGGTTTTCCTCCGGGATAGTTGTAGCCTTGAGCGAGCGCCTTTTTCGAGAATGGAGACTGCGTACGTGAGTCGAAAGCCAACCTTCTTGCTGTTAGAGCCAAACTGTTGCAAACCTGGAATTCTTTTGAATAGAATATATTTATTTGGATAACAATGTGAAAATTGACTAATATCTTCTTATATTATATCTAATTTCTAGATCTACTATAGTTGACGAAGAAATTTTTGGCTTACCTTCGAGATCTCAGCAGGCCCACTTAGCAGCCGGAGTTGCTCAATCACTGTCTGTTCAGGCACATTATCCCAAAGACCATCCGTTGCGAGTACAATTATGTCACCTTTCTAAATTGGAATGAATTAAAGTTTTAGTAGATTTCTATTTTGTTCTAGGGCGTTCAGTTGCAAAGCGGAGGCTCTCGGGTTCGAGTCTGTCTTTGAAATACTTTTTTTTGCAAAGTTGACTCACCTGCAATTCAATCGTCGCTTCTTCCGCTTTATCCGGTGTGTCACCAAACGCTCCCTCGTATCCTGAAACTTGTAGAGTTTATCATTTAAACAAATAAATATTATTTAATTCCAATGTCTTAATTATTACTCACCATCTGGTAGTAAAGAAAGTTGAAATGGAGCGTTGAAGTAGTGGACTTGCTCGGTGCTTCTTGCCAAGACCTAAACTTATTCGTTTAAGTTTTCAAAATAGTTTAAGATGTTTTAGTGTTTTAATGATAATTGACAAACCTTTCCCCCGCGCACAACGATAAACCCCGAGTCACCCAAGTTTGCACTATAAAGTGTGTGCTGATGAACGATGAGGATACAAGCTGTTGATGAGCCAATTGGACGCGGTGGATCACTCATTGCAATAAACGCCCTATCGAGGATCTTTTTCGGCTCCGACGGTTCAAATTCTCCCTAAAATAATTTTTTTTTATTTCTTTTAGCTTTCACAAACCTTTTCCACAACTTTTTCACATTCACGCATCAATTTCGAGGAGAACTTTGATGGATCAATTCCGTATTTTCGCCAACCGCCAACTCCATCAGCGACTCCTGAAAATTTAGCTTTTAATTTGATTAGCAAAGGTTTTAATTCGATAACAAAAAAAAATTGTAGCTCTTATACTTGATCAAGTTTTCTAATAGGTTTTTAGTTCTAATAGGTTCACTCACCAACAACACAGGTATTTTTATGTGTAGAAACGAAGCACGCATCTTCACCGTAAATCCCTTGTTCCAGCACCTAAACGTGACTTATAATTTTAAAAAATTATTCTAAATCACAAATCAAATTTACTCTCACCTTGCTCGGACCGCCTTTCATTGTTTTCGCAAATCCGCATTGTGACGCATGAACGCCTGCGAGTGGAGTTGGGACTTCGGATTGAGTTTCGTGTTGAACTTTCACTGTCGCTTGTTCTTTACAAGCTGCTAAAAGTTTAATTCCATTATGATTATTAATTTCAGTGATAACTCTAGCCAAACTTTTTAAACAATAAATGAATTTTTGTATAAACAATCTTTGTCAATTCTTTGAACTTCAGAAACCTCTCGCTTTAAAAATCGAACGTTATGAAATTATACTTTATTTAACTGTAATCTTACTCGTTGTGAAGTGTCGAGCACCCTGGCATGATGATGGTGTTTCTGTGCAAGTGGCCGAGGCAAAATCAACAGCTCCCGCAGAAAAAACGGCTCTCACCGCCAGTCGACCCGCCGCCAGCATACTGCTTCGCCCACCACCTAGCATCTTCTAAACAAAGTTTTGAAATTAGTTTACAAAAAACAAAGTTCAACGATCAGTAAGCCATAAAATTAGGAAATCGATTAAAGAACTCCCAGCTGTTTGATAGCCGCACGACACGTGACGCATCGGCACGTGGTGTGAAATAGAGGAAAAGAGAAAGGAAAGAAGGACCCAATCACAAACACATACAAAAAAAGACTCATTGGGAGGTGGATTGGGGAATTGGGAGATCAACATCTTAACAATTACAGATAAACAAACATCAATTGAAAAATAGAAGCGCATGCGCTTCTATTTTTCAATCATTTCACAAAATTGCTTCTATTGGAGGCTGCGCTTCTATTTTTCAATGACTCAAAAATTGATGAAGTAGTTCGTAGAAAGAAAACCTTTAGGTAACAACCAATTAAAAACAATTCAATTATCAAAAAAAGCATTATTCTCGATTTCATTACCGTTAATGCAAGAAAATGCAAGAAAAGTTACTGATTAAGCAATAATGATAATAATAATCCAAGAAAGATTCTTTGCTAGATGATTGAAAACTAAAATATAAAACGTCAAAATGTTTAAAGTTGCGGGAATTTTATGGCATCAATTATCTTAAGCTCGACGGAATTTAAATACCTACCGTAAATACTGTAATAGTACCCCTCGTACAGTCGCGTAGTCGCAAAAGTTTTTTAGTATTTCATTTTTTTTCAAAGCGCCCGTACTTTCAAAAAATGCGTCTTTGGTATCAAAAAATAGCTGAAATTCAGGGCTATTTCTTAATACCTAAGCGCGCATTGTAGCATAAACCAGTGTCGAGAAACACTCGTTCAAAGCTATACTACGCAACACTTCGCACCGTCATTATGGGGGTGGGGTACTATTACAGTATTTACGGTAGTCTAATTTATAAATTCGATCCAAATAAGCTACCAAATAATGGCAAGAAAAAACATCAAAATTGCCACTGCTTATGCAAAACAAATGATAAAGAATGCAATTTTTCTCAAGGAAATGCTTTATATATCCTTCAAGGCTCAAAATTCGATATTCACTCTGCTAAGCTGAATATCGATTATTGCTTTTATCGGAGGTTTTCCCAAATTCTTTCTTGTCTTTCTCGTAAGAATAGTTCGAGAGTAGTTTTGAGTTTTTCTTATCCTTGAAAACATAAGCTAAACCTAGATTATGTATTTAGAGCATTTCAAATTAAAATTCTTCTTGAAAATTTTACAATTTCACTTGCCGAATCGAATTTGACTTTAACCAAAAGCACACTTTGATTGAAATTGATTTCAAAGCCCCGCACTTCACACTTTTTTTGCGCCATCATTTCAGTCTTTCTCTCTGTTTTCCCCCACGTTTGGCATCATGTTAATTTTTCTATCGAAGTAGGCCTCTTCACAAAGAGTCATTGTTAGAAGGACAAAGATTCGATGGACAAAAAAATAAGCAAAAAACGGCAATCGGGTGTTTATTGAAAAATTTTTTTTGCTTAAATTGAATAAAGCCTAGATTTTATTGCATTACATTGATTGATTTGAATCTATAAACTTTTCCGATGAAAACGAACGATGCTCATGGTTTTACCTGTTGTGGTTATGCATTATTGATAGCTTTATTCGTGAGTGTCATCAGTATTTTCGTTATTGTCTCGATTAACGGATTCAACGGCACAATTCCAAGTCTTATTGCAGCGAAATACATCATGTACTTTATAAAATCCACCATTTTCAAATACATTTTGCGTAGATTGAGTACGAAAACAGAAACATCTGCGAGTCTGCGACCGGCCAGCATACGACACGATAGCTATTGTGTGCAGATTGTATGTTTAGCACAAATTTTTCGATAATAAAACAAGTTTAGAGTGTGGCTGGGATTAGCTTCACTAGCATTCCCAAGAATATGTCTACTATGACTAAATTGATTCTCTGTGATTTACTCAATCTTTTTAATAAAGGAAGAAAACGGTGTGTTGAATAGACTTGCTTATCGTTTTTATCGATACAAATATCATGCTCATTTTTGAATGTTCAGATCTCAGTTGTGTGAGTTGGCAATCAAAAGCTGACATTCTTGCCTTTTCAATGAAACAATTTGCAGATTGATACAGTACTGGACAATGAAATATGATATTTGAAAAAAGATCGTCACTTTCGCGCCGCCCGTAACCCCCTTGTCTTTGAGTTTAAACTATTAGTGTTATACATTTTCTGAAAGCTCTTTTCAAGGGCTACACAGATTTCTTGACGAGATTTCTTCACTCATCTAGTTACTAGGTTTTCTCGACGAAACAAATTACCCACTCGAATCCTTTTGAATGATTCTTTGTCAACTTAAAGATTGTTCAGTATTGTCAACTCATTGTAAATTCATTCATTTCAGAATACTGTACACTTGAATATCTTTATCTTTAAACAATCTTCTTGACGAGATTTCTTCACTCATCTAGTTACTACAGTACTGGACAATGAAATATGATATTTGAAAAAAGATCGTCACTTTCGCGCCGTCTGTAACTCCCTTGTCTTTGAGTTTAAACTATTAGTGTTATACATTTTCTGAAAGCTCTTTTCAAGGGCTACACAATGGTAATATTAATATTTAGAAATACGGTAAAGATAAGGGAGTTACAGACGCGCGAAAGTGACGATCTTTTTTTCAAATATGATATTTCATTGTCCAGTAGTGTAGCTGTTCTAGAAACCGAGATCTAAGCGGTCAAAAATAAACTTGCCGTTTGTATCGTTTGTAGCGATAATATCGATAAGCAAGACTAGTGTTGAAAAGAAAGTGATATGAGGAAAGAGCTTTAGTAATCAGAACTGTTCACATCTTTCGTATCCAAGTGTTAGTGAAAGACGATGGGAACCAACAGAAAGACGCAGTTTTCTCATTGTTCGCGATCCGATTGATCGTTTCACTTCAATGTTTGGGCATATTTGCTTGTAAGTTTCGTGGAATGATTGATTGGATATTTTCGACAGATCCTATCGACCGATTCCGGTAGATTTTATGAATAAGTTTGCATTGTTTAGAAGAGCTGAAGAATGCGGAAGTGATGGTCAGTCAGTGCATGCAATGGCTAAAAACATTTACTTGATGCTCACGGAAGGCCAGCACCCACCAGGCGCCACGAATTTTCATCATCTCAAGCACCATTTTGAACCTCATACTTGGCAATTCATAAAAAGAACTTTACTTTTATAATTTGGATTTAGGTTTTGTGATGTTGCTAAGCATATTGATGACTATTTCGTGATTCATTACTCTCACAATATCGATGAAAACGTTGGACAGTTCAAGAAACTCTTTGAAATAAGTGGAGTTCCGGAAACTTATGCAGATCAGGTAGACAGAACAGAGAAAAAAAAGACTGTTTTATTGGGTTGGTGAATTGAAAACTGCCGGACTTTGAACTAAAATTTATTCGACATAAAACCATGAATTCATTCCAAATAATTTCCATTATTATTGACGAGTTCTGCCCATTTTACAGGCAATTTGCGGATTCCTCTTTCGTAGTAGGATTTTGGTTTGATTTTGGTTTGTGTGTGAGACAAGTGTGAGACTCAAAAATGGAGGACTGGAGATGTCACAGTTTGAGCACTTTCTTCAAAAGAAACCCATTTTGGTGTCAATAGAAAAGTTGTAGAGAATCAAAAATGAGGCTTATAGCCAAATTTCCAAAAAGATACACTTAGTAGTTTCGCTTAAAATGCAAGTTTTGTGAAAATTCGTAAATTTCGCATTTCTTGAAAACCAGTTTTTGAATCGTTCTGAAAATTCGGATATAACCTTGATTTTTGATTCTCTACAACTTTTCCATTGACACCAAAATGGGTTTCTTTTGAAGAAAGTGCTCAAACTGTGACATATGACAATAGCCGGCAGTTTTCATTTCACCAACCCAATAGCTTTGTGCTCAAGTGTAAACTTCTGTAAGTGTAACTCAATTCTGAATATTATAGACTTTAAAACGAATGCAAACTGAATCAACTCATTCTGATCGAAATGATACTATGTACGAGATGATGTTAGATGAGATCTACTCGAATCAAGAAACTCTTTCCTATATTGTAGCCTCTTATTACTATGATTACAAGCTACTAAAGATACCATTCCCTAAAGGTTACAAGTTAAATTTGGCAAAAGAATAGCTAGTCGTTTCAATTGATTAGAAAAAATCGAATAAAATCCGTTGCTCGAAAAACTACCAAAGAACATACATCAATCACTCAAAGCACACACTACCACTACAAGAGATTTGCATTTTTACATCACCATCTACCCAGTTCATATAAAAAAGACTCCAAACTTTTCGGCAAAGGTCAACACTTTATATGATGGCTACAATTGAAGAAAATTCTCAGTCTAATGATATTGAAAAAGCTGAAATTGTCAAATGTGATTCAGGTAAAAGGCGAAGATCTGACCTTAGATTCAATGTTTTAGGGGATTTCGCTTCACCAGCTTCTACTACCGCCGAGCTTGTGTCTTCTCAACGTTTCGCATGCTTTGGCCGTACAAGACTTTTAATCTTAATCCTTGCTACATTTTATCTATCCACCTTACAGTCAAGGTTTTTGTTTTCTAGAGGATTTTCTAAAAATAGCATCTAGTGTTATCGCGTACAATGCGACTTTCGTTGTGATGATGGATATCACTTCATCTCCACTTTACCATGGGAATCTCACCTTTCAAGAAATTGAGCAAGTTAGTGATAAGTTTCTCGAAAATTTTTCTCAATCGGGTTCAAGTCTGGGCTGCAAACGGGCCAAGCGACAGTGCCGATTTTGTGCACTGTCAGCCAATCTCTTGTGGAGCAACTTGCATGAATACTCGCGTTATCGTGCATAAAAGTAAATTTATTGCCCGGATTGTTGTTCAGATAGACGGCTAGATGCTTGTCCAACACTTGTTGATAGCAAGCGATGTTATCCGGGTCAAAATAAACTCTAAGCCGACCAGTTCACCGTCTCGAAAGGCTCCCCATACCATACATGATCTCGAAAGGCTCCCCATACCATACATGATCTCGAAAGGCTCCCCATACCGTACATGATCTCGAAAGGCTCCCCATACCATAATTTTTCATCAAAATTTAGATTGATTGGGCTTCGTCAGATCTCTCGATGAGTGATCGCCGATTTAGATATGATATGTTACAAAAGGGGCTTTCGTTTGCAGGTGATTCTAGAGATCTATCGATGTTATAACTAATAGAACGGCCTATAGGAGCGTTGCGTAGTCTACTAAGTTTACTCTCAGACAAACACTCATATCTCGACATCAGTACGCTTGTTTCTGCGTGCTTGGAGTGTCAAATTAAAGTAGAGAGGATGGGTGACTTTTTGAGATATAACACATATTTTTAGCATTAACCAACGCTTAGAAAAACATGATTGAAAAGTGGCAAAAAAAGAGCCGATTTAGACTACGCGACTCTCCTATAGGAGGCCGTTTTATTAGAGTTTTTACCGTATTCTATGTTGTTATAGGAGCCTATGGTGGAGCGCTGATTGGCACTCAACCGCTTACCCTGATAACTGTTCGGTATGGAGCACATAAGGTATCGCAAAATTTGAGTCGTTTTTCAAAACTAATCACCAATCATTTCTCTAGGTGATGACGATCATCGGCATTTTGGCCACTGTCTCCGTTGCATTGACTCCGATTTGTGTGTCTACCTCTTTCTGGCTTTTCGTCGTTGTTCGTGTGGTGGCGGTAAGTTGAATGACTTATGCCCTTTAAGGCTTTCTTTCTTCTTAAATTAGATGAGAATCTCTAACAATCTCTAACAATCAACATTTAAACCAATATATCCAGGAAAACGATTCATTTCAGGGTCTTTCTCTCTCAAATCTTTTCCCAGTCGCCGCCATGATCGTCAATCAATGGGCCTCTAATCTGGGTTAGTTGAATGGGTTCTTTTCCAATATCGGGGGAGCGGGAGGATTATCGGGGAGCGAAAGGAAAATCGGGGGAGCAAATCGGGGGAGCAAATCGGGGGAGCAAATTTTGGCAGCGCTACATATGTCCTATATTATACAAACTACCGCCATAAAATCCGCGAATTACCCGTTATTCTCACAACCTTTATATTAGATCACAAAAGTGACTTAAATATCTAACACCCAGCGAAATAGATCTTTTCCCTTTGAGCGGACTTTCATCGATTCGCCACAATTGCAAATCCACGACTGGATGACTCCTTTGGTGACGAAATAATCGATTGCCGTCGATTCCTTCAACGCACAAATATCGGAGAAGGCGCATCGTCGTTAAAGTTTGAAAAAAAAAACGTTGCAGTTAAAATACAGTTCCGGAAATGCATTTTTCGAGGGGGGGAAAATTTGCTCCCCCCGATTTTCCTTTCGCTCCCCCGATATTGGAAAAGTACCGTTGAATGAAATGCTGATTTGATTATTTGCTGATTATTTGCAAAACTATTTATTTTCAGAAAAGGGACTTTTCGTTGCAGTCCTTTCTGGATATGTCGAACTTTCGCCACTCATCACTATGCCTCTCGCTGGAATTGTGGCCACTGGAGGTTTGTGGATTAAAACTGACAAGGAAAGTCCCAATCTTTTAGTAAGCTGGCCAGCTGTTTTCTATTTCCACGCGATTCTTTCTGGTCTTTTCACTACTCTATGGGTGTTTTTCTACAGGTTGATGATAAACAATGAAAAAGAAATGCAAGGTTTTTTTCAGAGATCAACCAAAAAGTCATCCATTTGTTGGTAAAGATGAATATGCAAAAGTCTCCGAAGGTAAACCAGCTGATCTTCAAGGAAAATCAGCAGAGGTTTAATCGAATTTGATTAAGTAAACATCGTAATTCCTCTTTAGGTCCCAATTGTTCGCATTCTCAAAAGCATCGTCATTTGGGCTGTATGGATCGCTGTCATTGGGAATTTCTTTGTGATTCAATTTAGGTCAAGAAGAGAAAAAGGCTCTTAAACTCCAAAATTTCAGTATTACTTTTGCTCCAATGTATCTAGCATATGTGCTTCAATATTCGGCACTCGAGTCTGGCTTCATCACCATGATTCCCCTTTTCCTATTGGTTTGCAAATTTGTACTTTATTTTTACTCGAAATGTTTAGCTTTTAATTAAATTCATCACGGGTATCATTTCGGATCGAATGAAATCAATTTCTGAGGTAAAAAGGGAAGATCTTTCATTGGGATTGAACCCTCGACCTCTCGACTAAGATACCGAGCTCTTAGCCAGTAGGCCATTGAAGAGGAGGAGCACGGCGGAAAGGAACGTGACAATAACTGGCAGAGGAGGTGCATAAGAATAACTTCTTACATCGTGGGTGGCCTTCCTCCGCCATGGTCGACTGGTTAGGAGCCCTGTATCTTAGTCGGGAGGTCAAGGGTTCAATCCCGGCTAGCTTATTTTTTTCAGCTATATGGGTTTTTCTTTTCTAGATTTAGGGCTGCTTGTGTATTGTTTGTACCGGATTATTTGTATTTAAAAAAAACTATATTTTAGGTGGGCAAGATGCGGTTGTTCTCATCATTGTCTCTTCTTGGATCGGGCATCTTTTTCATACTCGTTTCTTACTTTCCACCTGGTTACCACATTGGTGATGTTGTTCTGATTGGTAAACTTGATTTCGTCATTCATAAACTTTTCAACTTTATAGTGATCCCTGTGGCTTTGCTTGGTTTTCAATCTGGTGGTTATCCGAAATGCATTGTGATGGTGGCCAGGCAGCACTCCGCTTGGGTCATGTCGATTGTACAGGTGATTTAAAGGAAATTTAAAGGCTTAAAGGTTGTTGAAAGAACTCTTATCGACGAGTTTTCTAGATGTTGGCAGTGAGCACACTAATCGTTGGCTCTTTCGTAGTGCCTGCAATGACCAGAGAGAACACTTTTGAACAATGGAGAAATGTTTTCACTCTTTATGCGGCACTCATGGTTCGTCATCAAAACATTATACAAATATTGTTTACTCTTTCGATAGGCTTCATAACATTTCAGGTTTTATGTAACACGATTTTTGTTTGTTTTGCAAGAGCCGATCCTTGTAAGTGGACATTTGATGTGGCGATTGGGCAAGATCAGGTAATTGTAAATCGGAAAATTGGAAGATAGCTTTAAATTTTAAAAAAGTCTCAAAATATAATATATCAGGCGGGTTTTTTTTGGATGTTTTGGGGAAGAACAGTTTTTGTCACCATGACGCAGTGGATAGCGCGCCGGTCTATCGCCCATACGATCCGGGTTCGATCCCCGCATACCACTTCAATTTTGCTTTTTAAAAAATCCAAAAGCACGTTGCACACATTGAATTCCCCATTCAACGGAGCAAAGTTCATTGCAAACGGTCCTCTAGGAGCTGAGGAGTAGCGCACAGACAGACAGATAGACAGATGGACGGACAGACAGATAGACAGACAGACGGACGGACAGACAGATAGACAGAGGTCTTAGTCCCTTTATATATAGTAGATGGTGCCATTTAAAATATAATTAAAAAACGGCACTGCGGGGGTCGAACCCGTGGTGCCGGGCCGTCGTCTGCAGACCAGCGCGCTTCCGACTGCGCCACGGCGACAATGAAAAGGCTCAGGTGCGAGCTGTCGAAGAGGCGGAGCGAGAGGTGCGACGAATGTGTTCTGAAGAGATCTTGCCGAATCAACCGCCAATCAACGACCATCAAAATCAAGCCACCAAACGTAAATCTAGCCAAGAAAACTCAATTTCTAACGTCTAAACTTTGTAAATATTTACTTACCCCAACTAACCGATTATTTTTTCGTTTTCTATTAACCCACTAACGATAGGTTTCCAGTTGATCTCATCTATTTCCTTTTTTTTCAATCAATATCGAATAAAAGACTTTTTCAATGCTGATATTGCCAATTGGCCGAGCAACCGGCGATATTATAAAATTTAGGGAAACTTTCACGAAGAGGATCATAAATTTTTGCGGTTTGCGCGCAAGGTCGCTCAAGGAACCGTTTTTTTTTTCGTTTTTGGATTTCGATCACACCACGTGATATGATCGGGAAACTTTTATCTCTCGATAAATTCTAAACAAATATAATTTTGAACATATATTTTGTCGAAAAGTACATGTTTAGCTGTTTGGTTTGGTCTTTAAAAGAAACATTGATCGTTTATTGAGATCAAGTCTCTTTTTAGTAAAGAAAAAAAGAGATAGAATCGGGTAACTTGAAAATGTTCTAGAATTTGGAATAAAGCTATCTTTATCTATTAGATTGTCAGGTTTTGAATGCGATTTTTTCCAAGAGAACGAAGCTATTGAAATTAGTTCGGTTTGTACCATAAGAAAAGTTAATCTTTGATATAAATTAGACTTTTCAACGTTTATGAAAACCTTTTTATTTTAGGGATTTTTCCGGGGCGCAAAAAGAAGTACCGTATTTTCTCTAATAGTAGTGCACCCTGATCGTCGTCTAAATTCCTCGAAATCTCGAGAACCGCTTATCAGAACCTATCGATGTGGGTTCGGAAAATGTAGCTGACGATGAGATCTAGTGGAGGGATTAAAGTGTTGAGCTTCTGGGAAAAATTGGAAACCGTAAAATAGGCATCAACTCGGCTCGGTGTTGATGGCATCAACGCGGCTCGGTGTTAGAATATTAGAGAAACTATTAGAGAAAAAGAAAACTACTATTAGAGAAAATATGGTAGTTAGAATCATTAAAAATCGAAACTCGGCGACAACTAACTTTTTTGTCGATTTGGAATGTTTTTACTCGAACTTTTGAACAACGCTTTTTGCATATTTCAGCAAATTTTCCGCCAAATTCATTCAGCCGTTTTTTCAGAATGTTTGTTTGAAGAATGTATTTTAAATGTTTGCTCATTTGAGAGAATTTACGAAAAAATTTGAAACATTTAGAAAAAACGACTGGATGGATTTGGATGAAAATTTGATTGAAAATGTATGCTTTTTTTTTTTTTTTTTATATTCTTTTTTCTTCAAATACAATTTTTTTTTTTTTTTTTTTTTTTCTTTTTTCTTCTTTTTTTTTTCCTTCTTTAAAGTTAAAAAGTTAAAATTTTACCCCCCCGGATCTTAATTTTCCGCACATGTATAAACGCTTGGTCTTTTCTTTGAGCAAAAAATTAATGCTAATTTTCTATTGAAAAAGTTGCCAACTGAACGATTTTTAACGATTCTGACTACTTGCCTTTGCGCCCCCGGAAAAATCCCCAAAACAGAAGCTTTTTAAAATCGCTGAAAAGCCCAATGTGGAACACAGATTTACCTTTCTAATGGTACAAATCGGACTAATTTTAATAGCTTGGAATAGCTGTTCTCTTGGAAAAAAATATTGCGAAAAATTCGCATTCAAAACCTAATAATAGAGTTCCACTTTTTTTTTTGCTTCTCACTGTAGACGATTTTTGAAGAGCTGAACGATCTTTGAGGTACAAGGCAAAGAGAAAATTTTCATCGTTTTTCAGATAAGAGCTATTTCGACCTTTAAAGATTTTCGCAGGCAATGATTGCCGATAAATGGGGTAGCTTTGAAAGAAGAGACTTGTGCAACCAAAGGAGCGACTATCAATTTCGTCGACGCCGAGAAAAGGAGAATTTGAGAAAATATTGAAAAAAAGAAAAATACGATGTGTGTTCGCATCTCAGACTGGCCTTTTAAAAGTGATGAGTCTTGAGTCTTGTCCTCTTTTTTTTGGAGTGATCGCCTAGGGCATCAATCCTTTTTCATTTCTTATTAGAGTGTGTTCCTTTCAAGAAATAGTGTAAAATCGGAAACGGGTGCGTTTGAAATCAACTGAATATCTTGCAAATTGTAGAAGATATTCAAGATCTTCAGTTGATTTCTACCCTTTCATATTGCACGATATTTCTTGAGAGGAACACACTCTATTTCTTGTCATTGCCTTCTTTAAAAAACAATTTTATCTATAGTAGACAATTCATGATTTCCTATTTGTTTTTGTTTGTTCTTTAGTTCTTTTCATCAATGTTTTCTTCTAGATCACAATAAACCAAGAGCTATTGTCATTGAAACCCAGAGATTTCGATTTCATCATCCCTTTCTTTACTTTTTCTTTCCTTTTAGCTCATTTCAAAAATTTCAAAGAGAGAGAGAGAGAAACAGTGATGATAGCGGTGATGATAGCGGTGTGTGGTGGTTGATATGGGTGATCATCTGTGCACCGGTTCTTTTTCTCTCAAGCAAAATTGAAATCAACTCCAATTTCGTTTCTTGAAAAAAATAGGAATGATAGAAAAGAAAGTGTTGGGGAGGGGGGGGTGGAGTCTCGTCGACGAAATGCCCACCACAGTCTTCATCTTATTAGGCGGCAAACAACAGGAGGAGATGAGCAAAAGCAAAAACGGAGAGCCTTTCCTTGTCACGTGGTGGTTGATGATGATCATGCTTCAAAAATCTCTTTCTTTCACTCATTTTTCGAATGTTTTTCGATAAAGATCTTTAATAAATAGCGTCATGGTCTACAAAAGGAGCAGTCACTCTTGTTTTGATCATTAGATCTTTAAAATCTGGTTTGTTAGATCTTTAAAAATCATCCTCTTTTCTGTCCTAATTTTTCTCTAATTCTAATTCTACTTATCTCTAATTTTCTTCTAATCATCTTCTAATCAATCAATTTAGAAATTGTTCTCATAATTTGCTTTTGGGGGATTCTTTGATGATAATTGCATTTGATTGTTTCCATGTGATCACAGCTGTCCTTTAAAAATCGTTCACAGAACTTTATCGTTAGTTTTTTATTGCTCTTCGTTCAAAACTTTGAGTTATCTTGCAAAAATCTTGGGAAAAGTTTTTTGGCAGCTGACATTTCTCTGTTGACTCTACGAATTCACAGCTGACCCCGTTAAAGTCGCAAAAACGAACACATCAACAAGAGAAACTTTAAAGACTTTTCCAATCCATATGACTCGAGGAAAACGTGCAATGACATCAGAAAAAGTTTTCTTTAATTAGAATTTATTTTCTTCTTCAAATTTTCTACTTTATTCTCTTTGAGTCTTTTTTTGAATCTTGCATCTTTTTCGAATCAAGAATGTTCTCCTAGACACGTCCACTTCTCTTATCATTTTAGCAGAAAGAAAGTGAGATCAAAAGAATTCTTTGTTGGTCTCAGCTAATTTAGTGTCTCTTTTGCATTCTGCTTTACTTTACAATTTTTGTTTAGAAATCTTTTTTAGAAAAATTTAGAAAACTTTCCTGAAATGCTTTCTTGCCTACGTCAATCTGTGCGCTACGCCGCTCAAACAGCTCGAGCTCCATCAACTTCCACAGCAGGTACATTGTTACAGTTGAAAAATTTCTAGCACAATATTCAGCCTCCATTTCTTCTGAAGATATTTTTGCTCGTGAAAAGCTTTATGGATGTCACAACTATAAACCGGTGCCTGTTGCGTTGTCAAGAGGAGAAGGTATCCTGTAATCTGTAATCAAGAGTTAATAAAATGCAAATTTTTTTTAGGAGTTTATGTTTGGGATGTTGAGGGACGACGATATTATGACTTTCTCTCAGCTTATTCAGCTGTAAATCAAGGACATTGTCACCCAAAATTAGTCGAAGTATAACAATGAAAAATTAATATTTAAAAAAAAAGATATTCAGGTAATGCGAGAGCAATGTGGCGTTCTCACTTTGACTTCGCGCGCTTTCTATAATGATGCTTTGGGAGAATACGAGGAGTTTATCACAAAACTCTTTGGTTACGATAAAGTTTTGCCAATGAATAGTGGTGAGTGAAAAAACTTATTTCCTTTTCGTTTTATCTGATCATAAACATTTCCAGGTGTTGAGGCCTGTGACTCGGCAGTGAAATTGGCTCGTCGCTGGGCTTACGATGTAAAAGGAGTCCCGGATAACAAAGCTAAAGTAAAAAAATGCATGAAATTCAATAATATTGAAGAAAAAAACAGGTTGTCTTCGCCAAAGACAATTTCTGGGGGCGCTCAATTGCCGCGATCTCTGCATCAAATGATCCGGACTCATTCGCTGGTTTTGGACCATATGTGCCAGGTTTTGAGACTGTACCATACAATGATGTGGCTGCTGTTGAGGTTTAAAAATGATACCAACAATAGATCGATTTTATTTCTAGAAAGCAATTTCTGATCCAAATACGGCTGCATTTATGGTAGAGCCGATTCAAGGAGAGGCCGGAGTCGTCCTACCCGATGCTGGATATCTTCGGGTTTAAACCAAAAATTGATCATAAAATGTTACAGCTAACTTTTAGAAAGTCTCGGAAATCTGTAAAAAGCATAATGTTTTATTCATAGCTGATGAAGTTCAAACGGGTCTTGGACGAACAGGAAAGTGAGTCGCTAGAAGGGAAACAAAAGGCTAAAGTACAAAATTTTAGATTATTAGCTCACTATCATGATGAAGTTCGTCCCGATATTGTGATCTTGGGAAAAGCCCTTTCTGGTGGAATGTATCCAGTAAAATATCGAAGAGTTTCGAAGAAAGATTCCCAATTTTTAGGTGTCAGCTGTCTTGTGTGATGATCCGATCATGATGAATATCAAGCCTGGTCAGCATGGTTCCACTTATGGTGGTAATCCATTGGCGGCTAAACTTGGAAAAGCTGCTCTTGAAGTACAATTGTTAAATGAGAGTCAATGAATGAAAAAAATCTAGGTGATTATCGAGGAAGGATTATGTGAGAATTCAGCAGTGATGGGTGATTTATTGATGGAGAGACTTCGACGACTTCCAACAAATGTCGTGAGCCGTGTAAGAGGAAGAGGACTCTTCTGTGCTATTGTTATTAACAAAAGTATGTCAAAAGTAAATTTTTGATTAAAGAAATGTTTTTGCAGAATACGATGCTTGGAAAGTTTGTCTACGATTGAAAGAGAATGGACTTTTAGCCAAGGTAAGTGAAAGAAGGAAAACGATGAAACTGAACATTTCAGAATACCCATGGTGATATCATTCGCTTCGCTCCACCATTGATTATGAACCGTGAACAGGTAGATTTTAAGTGTTGATGCTTTGAAAAGGATTATTTCAGATCGAAGAAGCTGCCAACATCATCGAGAGAACCATCTCAGAAATAGCCAATTAAACAATTAATTGTATTTATTTTCTTTATTCTTACCTGAAAATTACAAATAAAACTTGAACTAAAGAATTTAAACATTCAAACAAAGCAGAAATTCTCATGCTCGAGAAATTCTGAAAAGTGCGCTACAGTCGATTCTTTTTATATTCGCAAAAGAAATTTGCATTACTGTCCAAATTAATTTGAATTGCTGTCTGGCGAGCTAATTAGCAATTACCGTAAATACTGTAATAGTACCCCACCCGCATAATGACGGTGCGGAGTGTTGCGTAGTCTAGCTTTGAACGAGTTTTTCTCGACACTAGTTTATGCTACAATGTGCGCTTAGGTATCAAAAAATAGCTGAAATGCAGGGCTATTTTTTGATACCAAAGACACATTTTTTGAAAGTACAGGCGCTTTGAAAAAAATGAAATACTAAAAAACTTTTGCGACTACGCGACTGTACGAGGGGGGTGGGGTACTATTACAGTATTTACGGTAGTAAATGTAGCGCACGTCATCATGCTGCGATTTTTATAAACTTTACTTTTTCATCCTACACGGACCATAATTTTGCACCCTTAAGTGGCATGCTGTGTGTAAAGCAGGTGCAAAAGCATTGAACATGAAGAAGTGCTAGAATAGTGTTTTACAATTAACCAATGCACTAACCGGCGATCCTTACCGTACTTGAATCGTTTTCCCATTCTTTAGTGAGAGCTAATCGTGAAAAAGAAGGCAAAAGTTTAGTTTTTGATAAAAACCGTGTCGTTATATTTATGTTTTTGTGTTTTTTTTATAAACTATGAGTTTTCATCAAATTTCAAATTAGGTTCGGCGGTGTTCACACGGTGAAAATGGCCTTGCGAAATCTCGTGACTACAGGTTCATTTTACATTAGTTCACTGACCGTTTGCAATTTTAGGCGGCACATGTCTTCGCAATACGATTTTCAGAAGGTAAATCTTACAATTTGTTCTTAAGTTGGCAATTTAAACTTTAAGTTATTTTATATGTTTCATGTCATTGCTTTAGATGTTTATCATTGACGCCACGAACTTTGGGAGGAGGTCATCATCATCCACCGATCCCCGAGCCCTATGTGCCCAAACCAAGGGATACCTCTGAACGTGATTGGTTAGGACGGCGAAAGGTATTTACTGACGCATGTTTCTAGCTTATTTAAGCTTCTCCATTTCAAATTCTTTTTTAGCTGCCTCGACTTTCGAAGGATTCACACGATCACACGATGGACGACTACCAATCCTATATTGGTGGTGCAGTATTTGTTCTTCTTACACTGGGAGCAGTGGTTAGTTTTTAGTAGCAACTTAATAAGCTATAAACTTGAACCTAAACTTTTGGTATGATCAGGCAGATGACCTATCAAAACGAAGGTTTATCTAGTTTCTTATAAACTATTCACTTTCTTTGTCTAGGCTTTCTACACGGATGTCTTTGGAATGAACATCAAGAAAAACTTCAAGCATGCTCACCATAAAGAAGCAATAACTGCAAAACACGTTAGTTTATCTTTTTTTAATTTGTTATGTACATTAAAGCCGAAAGGGAGTTTTCAAACTAGTTTACTTATCTGACTGCAATAGTTATCATCTTATTATTTTAGACGGAATCAACTCACTCGCATTCGGAAGAGTCCGAGAAGCCAAAACCAAAGCCAGCACCGCCAGTTGTTCAAGAGAAACCTGCTGAAAAGAAGGCTCCGGAAGCTACAGACAAGGTAGTTGAAGTTGCCGGGTCTTCAAAGGAAAAGGCCCATGATGCTGCCCAAGAATCAAAAACTACCGAAGCTGCTGCTCAGAATAGCGATTCTCAAACGGAAAGCTCTAATGAGGCTAAGGAAGACACTCCCACCGCCGATGAACAGAAAAACAACGAGTCCGCGCCAGAAGCCAAGCACGATGATTCCCAAAAACCCCCTTGTCATGATAAACCCGCTGACCCCAAACCTGAATCGAGTAACTCTGAGTCCACCTAAATTTCTATCTGTTTCTGAGATAACTTTCAGTCATTCTAGTGCCTTTTCACTTGCGATCCTAGAAGTGCCTTTAAATTTTTGTTTGTATTAACTTTGAAGGGTTTACTTTATAAAAATAAAACCCTCGCACATTTAGAGCCATTTTACAAAAACATTTTGTTGCAACCAAAATCTTTTGATTTTAGTAAAATGGCTCTTAAAAATTAATTCAATGTATGTTTGATATTCACTATTTTTATCTAGCTAGTTTAGGCAGTTTACCTAGGTAAAGAAAGTAGTGAAGTTAATACCCAGGGGTATCGTTTTTTGCCCGGTTTTTCTTTCAAAATTCTAGATGTGAGTTTGCGTGCGTTGCTCATCTTCTTTGATATATAAAATATAGCGTTTAGCACAATTTGTTTGTTAATAGGAGCATTTTTCAATTGTAATCGTGCTTGTGAAATAAAAGTTTTTGGTTTTTATTTGATGGCAACGCACGTATACTCCAACAAAAACAATGAAAATAGTAATGCAAAGTTAAAATGCTAAAAAATTCTGACGTTGTCGAAACTTGTCACTTTATTTAAATTTTTAGATACCGGACTTCATTCCGTATCTTCTGGTTGGTTCTGGAGCTGCTTCTTACTATGCTTCTTTGTCAATTCGAGCTAGAGATGCAGAAGCTAAAGTAAACTACAACATCTATTTTACAGTTTCTCTATTTTTAGGTTCTAATAATTGGCGAAGAAGCTGAACTTCCTTACAACAAACCCCCTTTATCAAAGGAACTTTGGTGGTTTGTTTTAATTCATGTTTTTCGTAGAGTTTCCCCGTTTAGGTACCCCGAGAATCAAGGACAGAATTCACTCTCGTACAAGGGTCCGAATGGAAAAGTCAAAGATGTTTTCTTTGAAACGCAGGTTTAAGTTTTTGTTAAAAAAAAGTGTAACGGTTTTTTTCATTTTAGGGCTTCTTTGTTCCTCCCAACGAAATTTCGAGTGCAAAGCATGGTGGAGTGTCGATTGTGACGAATGCAAAGGTCTATTTCAAGCTTCATTTTCTGTTACACTTCAAATTACAGGTGAAAAAGATTGATGCCAAAGCAAGGTTAGTACATTTGGAAGACGGAAGAAGTATACGTTATGGAAAATGCCTTCTTGCTACCGGTTTGTTTATTAGATGTAATAATTATGTAATATCATATAATATTAAGGTGGCCATCCTCGGCGGTTATCAGTTTTTGAACCTTTCGAGAAGTCAGGAAATGTACTGTATTTAAGAAATGTATGTTGGTTTCTAAATGCAATTACTTAATTGAATCCAGGTGAATGATTATTATCGATTAACGGATGCTTGCTCTCATAATGGTACAATTTCCATAGTAGGTGGGCATTTTGAACAACTAGCATTTACCGATTCGGTGCTTAATTTTAGGAGGTGGTTTTCTTGGTTCAGAACTTGCATACTCCATCAAAAAGCGATTTCCCGAAACGAGAGTTGTGCAGGTTTTTACAAGCATTGTGAGTTGAAAATAATTTAAATTTAGATTATCAAAGAAGCTGGCCCACTCGCCAATATTTTGCCACTTTTCCTTTCTACGCATACACGCGGAGGTTTGGAAAGAGCTGGTGTTGAGGTGCGGACGGAATCATCTGTGTCTGGTGTATCAAAATCGGAAGCTGGCTTGGTTTGATTCATTATATAAAAAAATCAAAAATTTCGATTTTAGCTTCATTTGACACTTTCCGACGGAACATCCGTTGCCTCAAACTATGTGGTTGTCGCGGTTGGAATTGAGCCTAATGTGGAAATTGAAATTGGAGACGAGATTAAAGTTTGATCAAAAATATTAATATCGATGAATTGTGTTTAGAAAGACACGGAACATGGAGGCTTTCGAGCTGATGCAAAACTTTTGGTTGCACCGTCAGTTTGGTGTGCCGGAGATTCGTGTGCGTATGATACAGGAATACTTGGACGAAAACGGGTAATTATTTGTTCCTGAGTACAGTTATATTTTTGATTTTATTCTAGATAGAACATTGGGAAAATGCACAGATTACTGGTCGTCTTGCTGGCGAAAATATGACTGATGGAAACAAAAGCTTTTGGTTTGGTTCTTTTCTCAGTTTTACTATTTTAATATTTCAGGTATCAGTCCTCTTATTTTTCAAAAATTGGACCTGAAATGTTCATTAATGCCGTTGGAAATACGGATTCAAAACTGCACACCGTGTCCGTATTTGCAGAACAGGTTAGTTATGCATCATTTAGATGCTTTGGAAATCTATACGTCCTTGAGAAACCGCGTTAAAGGTCATACAAATTTAGGAAACACCAAGTTCAAATCAATACCAAAAAGGTGTCGTATTTTATGAAAATAAGGGAGAAGTAAGCGGAGATTTTTTAGCATTGAATTATATTCTAGTTTAGATTGTTGGATGTTTGTTAATCAATGTTTTTGGAGCAGGCCTAGATGTTGCGAGAAGATTAATTGATGAGCGGCGATCGGTAGGAATTTATTGATTTCTACAAAATGTTAAAATTTATTTTTAGGTCGGAGAAGCCAAAGAATTAGCAAAACTTTTTTCATTATGGGATATAGAGCGGGAAGAAGAAAAAGAAAATGCAAAGTCGAAATCTAGTTAGAACTTTTCTATGGTTGGTTTAGTTAGACTAGGAATTTTTATATGATTTTTGTGATATTGTCGGTTTTTATGATTAGAGAAATTACCATCGATATCTTACATTTGTTGATGTTACGGTTTACCCTTGCTCATTGGTCTCAGTAATACAAAAATTTGCACAAGCCAAGATGTTTTCGTTTTTCTGTTGTTTGTTTCATCGAATCGATTGCACTTTTTCAAATTGAAACACTTTGAATAAATTTTCTGAATCAAACTTTCTACTGCTTGTTAAAAGTAGCTTAATACAGCAAATATCGGACAGTGGTGCACATTAAAATTTATTTTATTTTTAGCGAACGTGTTCCATGGCTCTTTGGCATACATCGGCCGTAGATCGATCGTTTCAACGATTGCAAGTTGAGGCGAACCCGAGTGTTTCCTACTTACATCATCCGTCTGGGGTTACTGTATTGTCTTTAAACACGGATTTTCATGTCAGGCTGATTTTATAGTTTTTCCCAATTCAAACTTTTTAGACTTTACCTTCTCCAGTTATGCAAGTTGATTTTGGCGTTGGAAAAAAGTCATCAATCGAAAGGGGTGGTCAAGCAGTTATAGGAAAAAGTAAAAAGGTATCTTGAAAAAGTCTGTATTTTTTTATTAAAAATTTTATTTAGGGTGCATTATTGGTTCAAAAAGAGACCAAATTGTGTATTGTTCGATGTGAAGATGGTTCAGAAATCGTTGTGCGAGCCGGTGTGAAAGGAACACTGTTAGAAGTAGGCTTTCATTTTAAAAATGAAACAAGACGTAACTTTCATAGTTAAATTATTAAAATATTTAGGTGAATGATCGTTTAAAAATGACGCCTGATCTGATACGAACGGCTTCAGAGAACCAGGGCTACATAGCAATCATTACATATGGGGTAAATATTGATCCATACTATATATAATTCTGAAATCTGCGTCTGTCACCTTTTTTCCGAGAAGGGAGAACTCACCATCCCTGACGGCAACAAAAAGAGAATGAAAAATTTACGTTTTCCTTTACCATAACCGCTAGTTCAAATGCAAATGGTATTCGAGTCAGAATGTATATGCTAATTTTGGTCGAGTATAGGCCGTTTGCTTTGTTCTTATGAGGTTTGGGGGACATACCGTAAATACTGTAATTGGACCCCATGGGGTACTATATTTTCCCTCCCCCTCTAGGGTGGGGTACTATTAGAGGGTGGGGCACTATTTTACACCACTATTCAAGTTACCAAATCAGGATACATTCAAATAATTTTCAAATAATCATTACAGTATTTACGGTATGTAAATTACAGGGGTTAGGGGTCGGTTCGGATAGCCTTTTGAAGGAACCCGACTATGCGCCGATCCCAACTTCTAGCAAGTGAAGCCCGCCGTAAGGCGGGCTTGTTTTGTCTAATTGGGTACTGTAATCTCAATTTCAAATTGATATCTTATGTTTTAGGGCGGCAAACGACGCTTAGCTACAGATGGAGATGTATTTATTGTGCCGAAAAAACGCGTCTACTTGAAAGCACTTGATGTAAAAGAAGAAAAGGAAGATGCAAAACAAGAAGATACAAAACCAGAAAATGTAAAGGTGGAAGAACCAACTCAATAAATAAAAAAAGTTATAAATCCTATAGCTCTATTAGATATAAGTTAGTTTCTCTTATTGTATCCGGGTTTTTCTTTTCAAAACTGTTCATTAATTTTTGCCCTCCTAAGAAATCAGCTGACTTTCTCTTTCCCTTGAAATCTTTATTTATTTTTGTGTGCGTGTGGAAATCCGTAATGTCAACACAGGTCTTCTATCTTTTACCTAGGCAACTAATCATTCTGCTTCCATTTATTGATCACATTTTTTGTTTTTGAGCCGAAAATGAATTGTTATATTATAATAAAGCACCTCACTAAAGCACATGACACTATAATATGACTCAATTTTGAACAGTAGACTTTTTAGACTCCTAATTTTGAACTTAATTTTCATTTAAACGCATTGATTTTGTAAAGTTTGATAGAGCTCAATTAGGAGGATAGCTACTTTAAGGGTTTTGTCTTCATATCAAAGTTTAACCTCTTTACCGTTTTTTGCATATCGTAGTTTGGTCAAAAGAATTTTTTAACAACAGGATTTAGGAATGGGTGTGATCAAGGTGAAACCTGTGAGTGACAAGTGAGAAATTTAGAGCCTCTTTAGGGTTGGGTTCTTCTCACTGAAAAGATGGGTACCTCTCTGAATGGGGGAAAGAGCGAAGAGACTGCACCGCGACGCATCAGTCACTGCGTTGCTTGCTCAGTCTCTCGTTGATGCCTTTTCTCCTCCCCAAATCTCTTTCTCGAATAGGCTTGCTCGAGCTTGAACCCCTTCCTCTTCTCGAGCTTTTCTTCTTTTTCCCTTTGCAGTCCTTCGATTGCCCCCCTTCCCATTCCGCTCCTCCCCTAATATCACTTCTTATGTATGAATCATCTTTCTCATCCCTCGACTTATTTTTAGATTCTCTCCAAATTTTGAAACTTGTTTTTAAAACTTTAAGTCAAAAAATTGTATTGCAATTCGAAAACTCTACATTTTTCTCGCTTGAGCTTTACTAAATTCCCTTTAAGGATGAATTTATTACAATGGCATGGTCCTGCAGTAAAAAAGCTTCTCGGCTGGAAACAAGGTGTGTGTTTTTTTTGTTCGATCACTAATCAATTGCTAAACTCGGCGAATTTCAGGAGACGAAGAAGAGAAATGGGCCGAGCGAGCGATCGACTCTTTGGTGAAAAAGTTAAAGAAAAAGAAAAAAGGAGATGGCGAGGGAACGGTTGAAGATCTTGAATGGGTAGAGAATTATACAAAAAAAACAATTGATCTTTATATTCAAAATTCTCAAGGCATTAGCGAATCCATCGTCTACAAGTCGATGCGTGACGATTCCGAGAAGTCTTGATGGCCGTTTACAGGTTTGTAATAAAAAGAATCTCAAAATTTTTTTTCAACAAAACTTTCAACTTTTTTCCGCTTTCTTTCCATTCCATTTTCTCAATGCAATAACGATTTAATTTATAAAGTGCAAACTATTTTTTTTTTTTCTCTGAAATCAGCTGATGGCATAGCTGGCGAGAACTCGTAATTTTACCATCATTTGTTGCGAAAAGCGAAAAGCGCCCCTGCCTATCTGTTGTCTCTTTCTGAAGTGATTGCGAATCGGAAGTCGTTTCACTTCTTCCGTTCACTTTGTGATAAGCCATTTTACGCCTATTCATAGCTCTTTCCAACTCATTCTACTATTTTCACAAATGATCTCATTTCCGGCCCACAAAACACAAAACACTAAACTCTTCAAATAATCTTATGCTAGAAAACAATTGATGAGCAAAGAGAAACTTTTCAGGTTTCTCATAAAAAGGGCTTACCACATGTGATTTATTGCAAAGTTTGGCGATGGCCCGATCTGCACAGCCACCAGGTAGAGGAAAAATCGCAAACAAAAGCCCACCAGCTTTCCAGGAGCTCAGAGCTGCACCCGAGTGCCAGTACCCGTTCGAGGGACAACGCACACACATTTGCATCAATCCCTACCATTATCATCGGGTCGAAACGACGCCTAGGGTTTGTGCAACTACATCTCCGAAAGCTGACTTCATCTCCGTTTCCAGGTGCTCTCATCCTCATCATCATCTGCTTCCCAATCGCCTCCACTCAACCAATTCCATTTCAGCCATCCACCCATTGATGTGCCCGGCTCGTCGAGCTCCTATCAAACTCCCTCACCACCAAATTATCAAGTACGTATTCAGTAAAGATGAGCAGTCTCATCTCTAGATTAAGAGCTCAGCCTCATCAAGATGTTCTGTGTCACCTCCATATCCCGGACTTTATGGACCATCGCCCCAGGTTTTTCTGGAAAGCTTTTGTGGAAAAACATCGATTATAGATGACTTACTCAAACGGTGGTTCTCCTGTGGGTTTCCTGGCGCATAGTCCCGCACTTTCCGGTTTGAAAGCCCCAAGTTCTAGAGAAACGAAATTCAGATGACGATGAGTGTCGGCCGACAATTTCCCCTCTCGAGAACCTCTGGCCACCGCCGCCTTTCTGGGCAACGATCAACTACTACGAGTTAAATACCCGAGTCGGAGAACAGTTTCGGGTGGGCGGTTTTTTTTTTTGAAAGCCTGAAAGCTTATTTCGATTCCAGGTGTATCACCCAGAGATCACCGTAGACGGTTTCACCGATCCCTCGCAAGACGATCGCATTTGTCTTGGTTTACTCACAAATGTCAATCGAAATACCACTATAGAGAATACACGAAAACATATCGGAAAAGGTTTAGAATTTTAAAAAAAAACCGAAATAATAAAAGCACTTCAGGAATTCGGCTCACCTATTCGAGTGATACGAATCTCAGTGTCACGAACTACTCGACGTCAGCAATCTTTGTGCAATCACGTCTTTGTAACTGGAAAATGAATTTGGTAGAGAGGAAAAGTGAGCCAACAAAAAGCAATTTTTCTTTTCAGCGTCCACAAGCCGTACTCCGGGTTCCACCCACGGTGAGCACAGTGATTTTCGATAAGCAAATTTTTGCCTCAATGCTCCACAATGCCCGTCAGGGTGGCTATGAAAATCTCTACGATTTACAGAAAATGTGCTTTATTCGGATATCGTTTGTCAAGGTTAGTTAGAAGCCTAGAATACCACTTGAACAAAACAAAATCAAGGGTTGGGGAGAGGATTACCCGAGACAGGACATCACTTCAACACCATGCTGGATCGAGCTTACCATGCATACTCCGCTTGCGGTTGGTGGAAAAATGTTTGATCGATTAAAAAGGCATTTTAGTGGATTGATCAATACCTCCAGACTGCCGGGAAGCCGAATGCCAAAGTGACATCATTTTCTTGAGTTAGATCATATCTTTTCGTTTCAAATTAAACATGTTATACGGTAAGGGGAATAAGACGGGCTTGTCGATGAACTTCTTTGCTTCCTTTGCTCAGCTTACTTTTCGCATCGACAGAGATTTTCAATCATGCATTTTATTTCAAAACCATCACGGTTTCGGGAAACGAGTATTCAATTTTGGTACCCATCTAACCCTAGGTTTTTCGCTTATTTTCGTGACACCCCTAGGCTATCAAATTTGTAACTTTTTTTTGAGAGATCCCTGCGCGGTTTATTGTTTAGGTTGAACATGTCCCCTTAACTTCTATCATGACATATTTATCTCATTGTCTTACGTTGTATAAATACAAGTTTGAATCCAGTTATTAAAACAACAACGCCACAACACCAAAAACGAATTATTAACATGTATGCATAATTTGACATTAACATGTATACATAGTTTGACAAAATATTAGTTATTAGTTTAGTTATTAGCAAAATACAGCTACAGGGTTATTCACAGTTAAAGTTATTAATAACAATACATGTATTTTGGTTTCGGAGAAGGCAGCGCCTGAGGATACCTCATTTCTTCCTGATCGTCCATTTTGATCTCTGTTCCAAGTGGTGGGGTGGAAGAAGCAAACTCCCATTCGCAAACTAAATAAGACAATATGGGATTTGAATTGAGAGTTTCTTTAGAGTAAAAATCTAACGTTCAACGCATAAAAACTACTCACCAATAACACTATGCGCGTGCTCGTCTGGATGCGGACAATCACTTGCGTGTGGAAGACTAACTCGGTAGCAGACACCAGTTTGACTCTAAAATGAAAGTCAAATATAAGCAACTGATGAACTTTACTTGAAGAAGATACACAGGAACGTTAGTTGTAGAAGGTAAGGGCATCAAATTGTGAGTCTGAAAATATATTTAAACAACTGAGAATAGAACAATAAAGTATTTCCGCGTATATTTACCTCAATGAGTCCTGGGCGATTCAGGCAATACCCATGTGTCGCATGGAAACTGCGCTCAATAACGCGATATGGCAAAATGTCCTCTTCAATGAGCTAAAAACAATAATTTATACTAAAATAAAACTTTTGAAACCATCAGGAAATGCTCGATACATGGCGTGTAGACATGATCCATTCGTACTTTCTCCAAGTGCAGATGTTCAACGGTCATCTCTTTCTCAAAACGTCCTTCAATCCAAACGAACGAGGCCTTTTTGAACTAATTATCAAGTAAATTAGATTAGGATCAAATATTGTCTATACCAATTCTTGGTTCAGCTTTTCAAGAAAGCGGCCGGAGAATGGAAGCTTGTCTGCAGGATTCTGCCGAATCCAGACCTAAAATGTGTGATAACGTTGTTAAATAAAAACTACGGACTGTTTCCGCATGTTGAACTGAAGTTCCAAGTATGTCAGCATGTTGGATTAATGAGTCGGTGACGCTAAGCAAAAGTTCTAGGCGTTCAACTTTTTGGTCCAGGAAGTACGGTTCAAAGATCCAAGTGTCACCATACAGCTAAACAAAAGATTCAAAACTTTTCCAAAACGAATTGATCACTCACGAAATTGGAAATGACAAGATTTTTGATCGACTTGACGGATTGCAAATAACTTTTGGCAAATCGATCATGAACCCCTTTCCAGTAGCACTTGTTACGAGCCAATCTAAAATGATTGACCACTCAAAAAGAAATAATACATGCCTAGTGAATGGAAGGTTTTCGCTGTTGGGGAAAATGTTTGTATGCATAGATCCAACTGAGTGATAGAAACCCTGAATTGAAAAGATAAAATAACCGAATGCAATTGTACCTTTTCCGAAATCAAAAAGACATCGGCATGATGGTTGAGGAGACCTCGGCTTGTGATCAAATTCTTTGCTACACGACAAGTACGAAAAGCTTTTGCTCTAAAGTTGAAAATTATTATTGAAACCAAATCAAGGACCACTCACCTATCATTCCCATTCAACTTTGCAAAAATCAAATCCGCGAGGTGGGGTGGAAGTGCTCCAATACTCGTTGGCTCGTTCTTCCTAAAAGAAAATGTTTCAATTGCTATTCATCCTTAAATATTTCACTATTCAGTGGAAAAACACGTACTTGTGACATTTCATGGAACCAAATAGTGTGTTTTCGCCTTGTAAACTCGTTCTTCCAACGGAATGCCTAAACTGGAAACGATTACAAAATGACATACAACAAAACCTAGACATTTGTGTTTTGTTTGACTGGAAGCGAGAAGATCTTCGAGTGGGCGGATTGCTGACATTAGTTGTGCCTTGATGCGGGAATGGCCAATAGTTAGTTGGATGCGCCACGATGCCTCGTTGATTCACATAATATCGTTCAAACACTTGGGCCGAGCTGGGGGACTAAAACAAAAAAGATACAAAGGCGATTTGTTGTTGATACGTTGTTAAAACTAAAAGCAACGAACCTGATAGAATGGGGGCTCCATTGGTGGGTAATCCATGTAGTAAACATTATTCCAATGATGTGACATTCTAAAAAATAAAATTAGTAAATGTGAAAGTTGCGTGGAAAATGAGAAATGACAAATAAAAAATTGAAACGAAATTTTGGGGCAGGCTAATTTCCGCAACGGTGTCCTTTGCGCAACTCGCCATAATTTTCTTCTAAGTGGGCCAATCCCTATGATTTTTGATGTCATTTTGTTGCACTTATTGAGATCTACAAAATGACACCAAAGTCATAAAGATTCGCCCGCTTTGAAGAAAGTTATGGCGAGTTGCGCAAAAAAATTGGGGGAAATTAGCCTACCCCGAAATTTTTCTTTAGCTGAATAACTGAATCGTAAAGTGTTTTCTTTATATCCTTTAAAAAAGATATTCAGTGGAGAGTAACAATTGTGATTAATGATTGATAAAGAATTCGGAATTTCCCCTTCGAATTTGTCAAGTGCAGCTGACACAATAGCCGTGTGAAGATCCATTTAATTGCCCTCAAATTGGGAAAATACAACAATGGTTGATATCATTCCACAGTTTGTTCCAATTCTAACTATAAGCAAAGAACTACCTAAATCAAGGGTAATACATACCGTAATACCTGTAATAGTAGCGCCGCCCATAATGACGGTCGGAGCGTCGCGTAGTCTAACTTTAAACGCATTTTTCTCGCCACCCGTTTATGCTACAGTGTGCGCTTAAGTATCAAGTGAAAGCTAAAATTCAGCGCTATTTTTTGATACCAAACGTGCATTTTTAGAAATTATGGGCGCTTAGAAAAAAAAACTATTTAGTAAAAATTTTTGCGACGATGCGACTGTACGGGAAAGGGGTGTTACTATTACAGGTATTACGGAAATTTACCGATCTCTCACTAAAAATTCCCAGCAGAACTCCGAAATTTGACTCTTTTTCATGTAAATATCAGTGTGAAACTGCTTTTCTTAAAAACTAACAAGCATCTCAGAAATTCTGTACTCTTTCATGGATCATTACCAAAAAGAATCAATCGAATCAAATTGTCTACTCCACGAACAATGCATTTGTATTCGGAATCGGATGATGAATCTGTCAGCAATACACATCTCTTTTTATCTTTGAGATGCCAAAAACATTGAACTGAGAATGGTGATAAATCATGAAATATTACAACCTCGTATACATTTCGAGTGTCCCCCTCTCCGAATTTTCAATTTTTGGTGCCTTTCTCAAAAACTAGTGGATGGTTCTGGGAGTTCAAAATATCATTCAATAGCAAATATTTTTTTACGCATCTTTTGATGTATAGGGGGAAAATTGGGGAAAATTGGGGAAAATTTGGGGGAAAATTATTAGGTGACGAGAAAATCTACAAAGTGTAAAGGGGGAGATTACTTCCCCTAAAGTGTCCCCCTAGGTTACAATTGAAATATTCTGAGCAACCCATTCTACAATTGAAAGCCATAAAACTACAATTGTATGCGCGTATTTTACAAAAAAAAAAGTAACAGAAAAACCCACATGAAACCAAGATCTAAAGTTAAGAAGGAAAAAAGGGGGACACTTTTGAAAGTGTCCCTTTTTTTTCTTCCCACCCCCATATCTCGACTCCCATTTAATATTTTTAATTACTTTTTTTTTGCAAAATACGCACGGATAACTTTAATTTTACCGCTTTTTCTTGCCATATTCGTTCGCAATAAAAATCCCAGCATATTCAACTGTACACAAATGTATACAACTTCGACAGTTTTGTTTTATTAGAGAAAATCCTTTGATTCACAATCTTTTTGGCTCCACTCAAGCTTTTTCTTTTTCAGCCAGGCATTTTTCTTGAAATATTCATCTCTGTGAGACACTCAAATTACATTTGGAAAGCTATCTCACCTCTATACATCTTTCTTCATTTAGAAATCTTTCCAATATTTCGCCAAACTTTAAAGCTGTAAATTACTTACATCTTTACTTGAATATTAAAGATTTCTTGGGAACTATGGTTGAATTTCACCTCGAAATCTTCAGCGATGAAAAGAAATAGAACTTGGATGGCCCTGAGAAAGTAACTTTCTACTGACACGATCTTCGCAAGGAAACACTTCTTCACACCACCAGAAACTTCGGAGGCGGATGCATCATGACGTGGGCCACAACGGCGCGAAATAAGGCAAAAAAACATTTTTCTGGTAAAAATTCAAGTTTGACATACCATTCGACGTAAAAAAATTGCGCTGATTCCGAATCTGAAACTTTTTTAAAAATCGGTTCGACAGTTTTTCTTAAAAATGAGATTTACCCAAAAATCCCATTATGGATTTTCTAAAAAGCACTCGAAAACACGTATTTCAGGATGGATCAAAAATCCCCGGCGAATTTTTAAAGATATTTTCTTTCTGGTCATTTTAAGACCAAAAACGTTCAAAAGCGTTGATTTTGAGGTCAGATAAATCGTTTTTAAAATCGCAATGGATAACCTACCGTAACCCGCGCACAATAGCTTAAGGGTCGAATTCTAAAATGCAATTGCGTTTGAATTTTTTGAACTTTGTTTCTTTTTTTCATTAACACTATTTCTCTGCATTTTCGTCGTTTCTCATCCAAAGCAACAAAAGTTTTTTAAGCTATACCGAAAACTTAAAAAGGGAAATATGAAAAAGAATAAATCTAAAATAGTAAAATGGACAAAACTCTTGAAAATAAAGCTATATAAAAGTATAAAAAGTATACAAAGATGGCAAGCAATATCAGAATATTGAACAACTGAAAAGGGGTATTTGTAAGGCTTGGAACAACCTCGATCAAAAGTTAATTGATACGCTTTATGATAAAATCTCTGATCGTCTTTTTAATGTAATTCAAGCTAATTGTGATCAAACTCGCTATTGATGATGATTTGTTGCAGTTTTAGCCAATAAAATGTTGTTATTTTCATTTTTCTGACAAGTATCTATACTTTTGGGACAAACCAGTAAAATGAATTTTTCTCCAAAAATCAACATTTTTTATGCATGTTTACATCTTTTTTCTTTTGTTTTGAAAGGTATTCTTTTTATCTGAATAGATTTCAGAGCCTATAAATTTGATTTTTCTATTCAAATTGCAATTTTTAACAGATATCTATACTTATGGGACAGAGAGTAGATCCAGAGCCAGCAATCGACCCTTGACTCCAATATGGACAGAACTTTCAAAAACGAACGTGCAATTGATTTTTCATGACTCCGATCATTACTACCAGACATTTACTGAAATTGAAGAAACGTTAAGAAACAAAAAAATTTTTTCCAGTTCTCGAAACCTCTGTCGAAGCAAAAGTGATGGATTTCTTTTGCTCTCCAAATTTTCAACGTTCATCAATTTATCTTAGTTTAACTACATATAGTTTTATTAGAAAGCCACTAAGCGCGACATCGATTAAAAATCGTATTTTAAAAGTTTGATTGGTGATAAAACGATTGTGTACATGTAAACAAACGAAGAACATGCTAGAATTTGGGAGTGAGCCGCCACAATCAGTTATGGGAAAACAACTTGACACATGTATTTATTTTATTGTGAAAGTTATTTTTGAGAAGTGTCTTTCGCTGATACTTTTTTGAAAATTTACAGTTAATTTTTTGATAATTTCTTGTCTCCAAATATATCAAAAGACTATAGCTTTAACGCGTTCTAGTAAACCAACGGTGGCGGCCCAAAGAATATAAAATGCGCTGTATTTGAATTTGACTAAAATGAACAAAACGCTTTACCAACAATATATTTTTACAAAACAAATAATAGTTAAAGCAAGCACAAGCTTTAGGAAAATAACAAAGAAAGCGCTAGATGTTTTATACCTAGTAATCCAAAAATTTTTGATACAATCATAATACCAGTAATTGAGATGATTTTACGCGTAATGAATCACAACCGTAGTCTATAAACGTTGAAACCCATAGTGATTGGTATAATTTTAAAGTGGCTATCTAGTTGCTCTCTTTCTGGACCTTTCTTAGGCCTGCGCTCCGAAAGCCTGAAATCAAAGGTTGAAAAAAAAATCAGAATAATTACCAAATGCTCGAATATTGGTCAAAACAGTTTGTCTAGAAGTCGGAGTCTTCTGGACATTTTCATCCGCCTTAAAAAAATTTCAATTGTAGAAAATTTGGGTTTCCCACTATTTTGTTCTCGACGTCATTGATTTGACTAGCAATTCCAACAGACCGATATTTTCTTTTGGGTGGCTCTAAACAATATAAATTACTTAAAATGACATAAATGTTAAAACTTACCATATATCTTGCCACCGGCTAAGCCAAAATCTTTCTTGAAGGGATTTTCAGGCAATCTATAAGGGTTTTCAATTAAAGAAAATCACGATTTTACGAAACTAACCGTGACAAATTTGCAATTGATTGAGCCGAGCTGGTAATCTCTTTGGTTCTGGTAATAACTACATCAGAAACCACCAAAGAATCGCCATGAACATTGTTTTCTAAAATCAAATATTTAAAAACACAAAAAATACTCCAACCAATTGTATCCGTCAAAGATTCAGGGTCGGAAAACAAATCACACGAGTCTTTGGTGTCGGAGTTATCATCTCTTTCATCTGCACTGTACTTGCGTTTCCTATCTAAAAATAATCTAGTTAGGTATATACGAAATTAAAAAACCTGGCGATTGTGAACTGCCCGATTGTTGAGTAAAAGGCGAATTCTAAATGTTATCAAATACACATATTTTCAATTTATCAATTTTTACCTGAGAACTAGAGGTTAAAGGTTGTGATGAGTACAATCTTAACATATCATCAACTGTCCAATTCAAGGTAGCTTCATTTCGCAAACTGGGTTTAAAAAAATGACTCTCCAAACATTAAATTCATACCGACGTGTGACAGTGGACTTTTTCGCTGTAGCGCTGATTTGAATAGAACCGTTACAAGTTGTAGTAGCTTGAACTTTTGGCGTCATCACCCGTTTATTTTCAGCAAAGTCGAACTAAATGTAGAAAATAATATTAAGTTATAGTTTTTAAAAGTATATAAAAACACCTGAATGGCATTATTGTTCGGCTGCTTGCGTTTCTCCAATTTGTTCTCGTGTCTGATAATTGTGCCAAGTGATTTGTACTGATCATTCCAAACAGACCAATGTGGAGGCTAAATCAGATCAAGTTTCATTTTATCGAGAGTACTAATGAGAGCCGACTTTAAACTTACTTGCTCCGACAAGAGAAAAACATCTTCCAAAACACCTTTGCAATCAATATGGTTCCCAAGAGCCAAACGAACAGAGGATTTTGGATTAACCACCTACTAAATGTTGTAATCGAAAACGATCAATACTTACTTCTCCAGCATACGTATGTATTGGTGAATCATCAGCCATTATATTAAAATTTTCATTGTTTTCGGAATTAATCGGATAGGGAGTGAGTGGCTGCTGAGTACGGGAAATCGGATCAAAAATCACCTAAATCAAATAAATCATAAATCTTGTCAGAGGATCACAAATTGACAGACCTGATGAAGAAAAGTATTTTCAGCCTTAATAAACTCTTCAACAAATTCATCGCTAACACGCAGTTTTGGCATCCTGAGAGTGGTGGGAATTTTTTTCAACATCTAAAAATATGGATTCTTCTAAAAAATGAAACAGCACTTACTAAACGAGGATTAGTTTGAGATGTTTTCGTCAAGAAAGTCAAAGCCTTGTTAATTCCAACACCCGGTAGACCAGCCTAAAATTAATTAGAAACTTAACAGTAGTACTGTCAACCTGGAGATAATCGCAACCAGCTAGAATACAAACTCGGCGAAACTTTTCAAACGTGAATTTGAAAGCTGTTGGGAAACAATCTTCCAAACAAGATCGATCGTAGATCAAGCATGAACCGGAAGCGTGCTCCCATTTAAAGAATATCTAAAAATATCACTAAAGAATATCTAAACTTATCTTCAAAAGTTCAAAAATTCACACCTTTTCACATCCAAATACAATCAGATCCGAGTCTTGTGTGATAACAGCGTCGACTAAGCCTTCTCGAGACAAATAAGCTAGCTCTGCATCAGCCTCATATGGAGCCACAATGATATCGACATTTCGATACGAACGAAAAAACTAAATCAGTAAATTATCCAGAAAGTTTCTTTTTCTTAAACTACCTTAACTGTGCTCTCCACTACTTCTCGGGTGATATGAGTTGCGCGCTTAAACTTTTCGCTAGCCTCATCCACTTTTCCTTGGCTTAGCAATGCATGCCCTGGATTAAAAATAAAATATAATCAGGAGCTTTATGCAAGCTTAACCTTGTGATAAATTTTCTTCCCTTCTTGCTTGTCTTTCTGCATTTGTATCCTAAAATTTCACTTGAGTGTTTAAAAAGAAAAAAATTGCCTTCTTGGCTGGCAATCGTCGCCCATCAAATACCATAACCACGTGGCATTTTTGGTCTAGTAGAGTTTTAATATACTTGCGTACATAGTAGATATAACTTAAGACAATAAAACGTATATGGATAGATTACTTTTCACCTACAAATTGGTTTCTTCACCAGTTGCGACTTGATCCATACAGCCAAACATGCCGCGATGAAGCAGGCAGCTCGCATCGACTGCGACAGATAAACCCGCCAACTCATTAATATTTCCCTAAATGAATTGTTCCAAAATCGAAACCAAAAAAATACATCACGACAAGCCTTCTTCACAAATGGCAGCAGACCCGAAATTCCCATCCGTCTCACCGCTCTAAAATAACAAATCAGTTGACTAAATTCCTGATTTCCCACAAATAATAGGTATTTTATTTTCATTGCCAAGGCAAGTTAGGGCATCAAAATCCCAACAATGTGTTCTGATGTAAAGAAAAATAAAAGCTTTATTATCCAAACAACTAGAGAAACTACAACAATCAAAAAGAAATAAAAATATGATTATGTCCATGTCCTAGTGGTATCGACATAATCTCCATCTGGAGGGTCGTAATTTTTGACTGGAGATGTTAGAGCAGGCCCGTCAATAATGTGAGGCAAATTACTAAAAACTTCAGCATAAAAATTAGCTTCAACAGATTACCCGAGATCATTCTTGACGGCTTCCTCATAAAGGTGCGGACTCAAGGTTTTCAATTCTGCCAAAGCTTTCTTTTGCATGTAGAGCGCTTGGCGAATCCATTGATCATCGTGTCTCATTTGAGTGTTACGTGATCGACAATATTCCTAAAGCAATAACTTTTAGCTGATAAAAAATAAAAAACTTAGTAACCTTTGTTTCTCCAAATCTTAAAACGAAACTATTTTTACTCACTTTTGCGATCAATGTTCGTTCATCGGCTTGCTGTTCAGTAAGGGTCACTTGCTTGCGAGTTCTTTCACTAAAATAAAACAAATAACAAAAAAATGTTAAGCATACTTACTGAATATTTTTGGCGGATTTGATGTCGAGAGCAATTTCATCTACGGGTTTCACCTTCTTGCTGTGTTTTTGCATCTCTCGAATTTCCCTCTCAAGCTTTTTTCGTTTACGAATTTCTCGCACTTTTGCAATCTAGAAAAAACTAGTTTGAACCTATAAACTTTTAATTAAACCTCTGGATCGATTTTCTTTTGTCGCTTCATGAAAACAGAAGAACAGGCAGCTGATGTATGGAAACCATTTTCTAGACTTCTTTGGCCAATTACCCGTATACTGCTCGCCAGAGACTTTAGGTGAAACATCTGAAAAAAATTAAATTGATTAAGCAAAAAGTATGCGAAAATTAGTAAAATGTCGGAAAAAATTTGGAGTTCTGTTGGGCAAATGTTTATTTGAGCGGCTTTTTGGCTGAATATCTTAAATTAAAAAAATTGTAATGACTTTAAATCTTGCGAAGAAACCCGAAAAAAGAAATAATACAAATTTTCAAATTCAAATTTTGCCTTGACAGTCTAGTTTAGCCAAAGCACATTCTTTTTTGATTAGAGTTAGTCCCAGGTTGTGGTTTTAAAGTTTTACCTAGACAAATTCCCTTCCAAAGAGTACACCTCTATACTATTTGCACTCTCACCGTTTTTATCTTTTCTCAATGAAGTAGCAAAAAGCAAAAGAAAAGACGAAAAACAACACGAAATATGAGTCTGGATTTGTTTATGTTTTTTTTATGTTTATGTTATGTTTTTTGTTTATAGATTTCAATAAAACACTTGTTTAACTAATTTCTTTTTTTCGCGTGTACTCATACATAAAAATTCTATTAGAATTCGTAATACAGTCACTTTTTTCATAATTCTTTTGCCCTCGGGCTTTATATTTAAAGTCTTACCGTCACAGTTTCGCCGAAAAAAAGATCAAATTTTTTCTAAATGTATATATTCTCACAAAAAATCCTCATATAATTGTTCAAATTTCTCATCCACAATTCCGCAAAGAGCCCTTTAAAATTGATTCTTTTAAAATGATAAAATTGCCACAATTCTCATCAAAATCCGAATCAAAACAGCTTCAGAAATATTGCACAATTTGCCGCTAGTCACCTTACAACAAATTCCTCATAATTCTTATTCACTAAAATCTCAATTATCGGATTTCTCTGAGCAAGAATCATTTGTGCTAAATCTTGCAAGATGAAGACAAAACTAGATGTTAGGAGACGTGCCGTTTTTTCGTTTGTATGGGAATTTGTCTGGTGTCGGCGGGCGCTGTCTGGTCGCATTCTTTCGCCCGCGCCTCCTCGAAACCCACTTTGCAAAGAAAAAAAGAAAAGGAAACGGGATGTCCTCAATCATTGTCTCTCTTTCTTCCGAAACTATTCGATTTCAATAACCAAATCTATTCATAAACGCCGTGAAATAAAATCGATACCAAGCTCATTGAACCCCATTGTTTCATTGTCCGAATAAAGCGAAAGTTATAAGTTTTGAGCGTTTTTGCCTAACTTGTATGAAAATCAAGTCTCATAGAGAGCTATAATAGAGGAAAAACTCGAGCGCTAGTCTCATTCTCGGGTTTTGACAGAGTGAGCGTTCGTTATTGAGGTCTATGTGGATGGTGTCTGTCTCTTTTTGCTCTGTCTCTTTTCATCCAAAAGAGAGAATGGTGGCAGAGAGGTGTTGCCTGTCTCGGTTCTCTTTTTTCCCTCTTTTCCATGGTGATATTTCTCGATTTCTCCATTCATCTGACACTCTCTCCGCACTCCCCCCAAACCTCCATCGATCCTCTCGCGCAGCTACCGCTCTATGCTCGTCTCTCTTTTTGGTCTAAAACCATTAAATAGATTTTTTTTGTCTTAAACCCTTTTGATTCTTATTTTAGACATATAGCTTTATTAATCGATTCTTTTCAAGCAAATTTTGTGCAAACAAAAAGGCTCACATTTTTGAAAGTGTGAATCAATCATGTTTACTTTCATAAGCGCTCTTGTTCAGGAACATTTTCATATTTTCACATTTTCACACTTTCAATTGTTTTCTACTAACATTGCAAAAATAAGTGTGATGTTTGTGTGATGATTCTAATGTGAAGATGCAAGCAACACAAACCTTCGCTTTTCTAGAAAGCGATAAGGCCAGAAGTTTTTTTTTTGCAAGAAATATTGATTTTCATTCCACAACATCTGCGAATGCAATCGCTCATAATTAACAAAAAGCACTCAATAATTGTTTCCATATTGAGAAATTGATTGATTATTTTGATCATACAGTGTTTCTTATCTTGAAATTGTCTTGCCGAAAAAATTCTGCCGCTCAATTATTGTCAGGGCCAATTGTTTTTCAAGTTCATTTCATTCACCAAAAAAGCTTTAGGGGATTTAAACCTATCGCTTTTTTTTCTTCTTCAACAAGTGTGCTTATTCGACGGTTCGAAAGGTATCTAATTTTTCAAATTCTTTTATAATCTCTCAATTTCTCTTTTAGAATGAGTTACGGAGGTCAGCCGGGCGATCAATATGCAATGATGAGAACCGGTGCACCAAATCAGCAGCCACAACCCGGAATGCAACAAAGAATGGTTAGTCAGATGTTTGTCAGCCAAAAGATAGGATTGGTCAGCCGCTATGGTCGACTAGTTAGGAGCTTTATATCTTAGTCGGGAGGTCAAGGGTTCATCGGCTAGATTATTGATTCTTTTTCTTATATATATGGGTTTCCTAGATTTAAGGCTTAGGGGGTTGTGCTTGTGTATTCTTTTGTACCATATTGTATTTGTATTTGTATTTGTACAAAAAGTACAAAAGTACAAAAGTATTCGATTTGGTTACAAATCGATCTCCAATCGAAAAAGTCGACGAAAATTTGCAGATGATGGGAGGCGCTCCGGGTGGAGTCCAAATGATACAACCTCAAAGAGCGGCTGGACCACAAACGGCCATGTATGGACCAAATCCCAACATGATTCCGCCACAAAATTTGCAGATGCAGCAACAAGGTTTGAAATATTTAAAATAAAATCATAAGAACTGAAAGCTTGAATTTATTATACTAAAACATTTTAGGATATCACATGCAACAGCAACAACGCATTCCAATCAATGCGATGTAAGCTTTAGACAGTAACTAATCAAGCCAAGTATGCCATTAAATGCAATAAAAAATTTTCTCCAGGGTCAGCCATCTCCCACCCCATCAACAACAAGAAGTAGCTACAATTGCCGATCCTCAGCAGAGAATGGCGCGCATTCAGCAATACTTCGTAAGTTTGTAGCTTTCAAACTTTTACTTTAAAAGACAGTTTACTTTTAATGTTTCAAATTTTAGCAACAACTACAACGACAACGAATGCAACAACAACAACAACAACAGATGGTGATGCAGCGCCCAATGCAGCCTGGCCCTGGTCAAGGTAAAAATTGCTTCTAATTCTCAATCAGTATTCACTATTATACATTTAATGCTAAAGTTTTGAAACAGAAATTCTAGCACACGGGAATATGATGAGACCAGTGGCGCCGATGTATCCAAATGGAATGCCTCAACAACCAGCAGCGCAAATGCCTCCGATGGTGTCCGGTCAACCCCCAATCCAGCATCAAACGATGATGCAGTGAGTGAAATGACTTAAATATAGAGATCTCAAGCGCATAGTTGAATAAAAATCCTCTTAACAGTTTACAGATATTGTACATCAAGAAAGTTTCCCTTTTAGAAGGATCCCTTCTTCATCGTCAATGATGGGTTCCTCTCCAATGTCAATGGGACAAGGATCGGTGCCTGGAATGAGCGGCGGAACGCCAAACATGCAACCCGGCACTCCGCAGCAACAACAAATGCAGCAAGTTGGCCCTAACACAGCTGTTCCCTCGCCAAAGGTTTGTTCATAAAAACAGTATTCAATCAACTCACCTAAACCCAAATTTAGGTGGCTTCTTTGCAAGCAGGTCAGATGGGAGTGAATGCCACCTCACCGGCGACGCAAATTATTGGACAAAGCCCTGTTGCCAGTTCTCAACCAAAAACCCCTGCACAAGGTGGTTAAAACCCCTGTCTGTCTGTCTGTCTGTCTGTCTGTCTGTGCGCACTACTCCTTTGCGCCCAGTGAGCCGTTTCAAATGATTTATATTTAGTTTGGCTTAGAATTTCATATAGTTGTGCAAAATGTTTTAAAATTTTTAAAAACCAAAAGTGCCGACGCGGGCGGGAGTTGAACCTAGGTCGTGTGGGCTAGAGACAATGCTCGCACTGCGCCATCTACTGGCCGAGTGGTTAACGCGTGGTTCAAATGAACGGAAGAGAGGTCGCGGGTTTGCCTCCTCTCGCCGCCAATTCTTTTGTTTTTCTGATAAAATGAATAAATGAAAACTTTTAGGACAACCACCTACGAACACTCCAGGATCGACGGGAACAACGGGAAATCCGGGATCCCAACAACAGGCAATGAATGAGGAGGAGAACCGAATCTACAAGGAAAGAATCAATGTAATTAGAAAGATAAAGTGAATCAGAAAGAATCATTAATTGTATAGGAAATGAATCGAAAATATCGTGACAGCTTGATGAGGATTCTCGATCGGGCAAAACTCGACAGAGAACAACCGCCAGCTGGTACCGAGAAATTCGCCGAAATTTTGGATGAGAAAAGGTTGAATGAAAAGAGATAACTGATCAACAATGTTTGCAGAGTGGTGAGCCTTGATTTTCTCGATCGCTTGAGCTCAGGAATGCAAAAGTTGATTGAAAGGAACAATCCCATCAACTTCATTATGGATGCTATCAAGTGAGAAACGGGGATTTTAAAAGTGTAAGGCTTTTATTTAGACAACGTTGTCAAGCAGAAGGATCTCCGTCAACATCCGGAGAGTTGAGTGAAGAGACAAAAAGACTCATCGATAATCTCATCGATCCATGGGCACCAGTGAAACATTTGAGAATCAGGTAACCTTTGAGAAAGATTTGAGTTAACATTTGAGAATCTGGATCTTGGATCAAGTCAAGCACATACCGTAATCACATACTGTAATAGTACCCCATCCCCCTCGTACAGTCGCGTAGTCGCAAAAGTTTAGTTTTTAGTATTTCATTTTTTTCAAAGCGCCCGTACTTTCAAAAAATGCGTCTTTGGTATCAAAAAATAGCCCTGAATCTCAGCTATTTTTTGATACCTAAGCGCGCATTGTAGCATAAACCAGTGTCGAGAAAAACTCGTTTAAAGCTAGACTACGCAACACTCCGCACCGTCATTATGGGGGTGGGGTACTATTACAGCATTTACGGTAAGAAAAGTTTATCACCATTTTGATAGTATTTTACATTGTAGGGTGCCTGATCATGTTCGAGCTATTTACAAAAAAGATGCTCAACCAAGCAAGAAGCGAAAAGCTGATGATGACAGTGAGCCAGTGGAAGTCAAGCGACAACGGTAAATATCAATGATATTTGAAAACTTTCCAAAATTTAGCCCTAATTCTGAAAGCGACTCCACTGAGCAGAAGATGACTCCATCCAGCCAAAACCAATCGATGAAAGTTTTCCCGATGCCTTCCTACAATTCAGTTTACCAAGAAAACGCTGGATCGGTAAATTTAGAAAAATCTTTTTTTATACAATTTCATTCAGGTTCCTTGTTTATTTGACCTGGGGAAAAGGTGGAAATTACCTGAGGAAGCAATGAGAGAACTCTCGGCAACGGGTGCTCGATGGGCTGTCGATAAGCGACCACCATGCAAAGAAACACCCGATGTGCAACTCTGTATTGAAAGTGAAGAGGTTTGTATTGTAGTATCTAAGAGCTGAACAAATTACTTTCACAATCAAACTCAAATCAAATTACTTTCAGCTCCTCACATGCCCACTCCGAGTTCTTCTACCTGTCGGCTATCCATCTATCGCTCCACAAGTCCTCTTTGCCGAGTCTTTCCCTCCATCTGTCACACTCTCCGCAAGTCTTGAGACATTTTTCCGTCGTCGATTAGCTCTTCAAAGTGACAAGTGAGTTAAATTTGATTTATTATTGTAGAAAATCATTTCCAGAAGTCTGACGTCGCTCATTTTATCGTGGAGGGCAGCCTGTGAGCAACAAGTTGCCGCGAATCGTACCCCATCAATTGGCTCAGTCTCTTACCCAGTCCCACCCAAACAACTTGTAGCATAAAGAACTCATAAATTCATAGAAACCCTACCCATCTGGCATCCTAAAAATCTCTCATTCATTTGCCAGATGCCTTGCGTTTCCAATTCAAAATATCCCAAATCGATTCCTGTGAAAACATTCGGTGCCTTTTCGATTCAATCTTCGATTTTCAACCCTCATGTACATATCGCTTTTTTTTTCGAATTGCACAAAGCTAAGCTATCAGGCAATAGTTTCATAGTCAATTTCTATCAAGCAGCAATTCTTTCAAAATACTTTTCTTTTTTCCCTTTTCCCTATCGTGCCTTTCTAGATGCTAGTGTAAGAGAAATTTTTAGAGCAAAAAAAAAGTGCCAATGTTTTTTTCTTTCTTCAATTATTTATTCAATGCTTCACTTCTCTTTTCACCCAGTGACTCCAACTTCAACGCAAAAAAAAAAAACTAAAAGCAAAATCACAAAAATACGTGTATTTTAGAAAGAATTTAAAGAGAATAACAGCTTTTGAAAGAAAAAAAAATTGAAAATATTTAATGCTGTTATATAAAGCTGTCATTTAAAGCTGTTATTTAAAGCTGTCATTTAAAGCTGTTATTCTTTTTTTTTTCTTAGTTTCTTAGTTGGCTTAGAAAAATCTCCAAAAATCCCTAAAAAAACAAGGTATTATTTGATAGCTGTTATATAAAAAAAATTAGTTTTTATCATTTGTTATTTGTTCTTTTTTTAAAAAAATGAATAGATTTCTAACTAAAAAATTTTGTGATTTTTGATTACTGGTCGTCGACGTCGTCAAATTCGAAAGAAAGCCCTAACTTTCGTAGTCTCAAAAATTTATAGGAACACTTTTTGATCGACTTTTCCGTTAGTTTACCACAGTATCTTTGTGTTATTTTACAGAATATACCAGCGGAAAACGTTGTTCACTCACTTTGTTCGCGTTTTTCGCTGGCGACGCACTTTCTTTCTTTCAAATGATTGAAACTATTGTAACTCATGTTAAGCCCCGCGGCTCTTTTTAAAAATTGACCTAAAAGTCAGATTCCGCATAGCTGAAAACCCCGAGGAGGTAAATATTGCGCGCAAAAGCTGAATACTTTGCCTTTTAACCGATAGAGCAAACGTAATTACGGAGTGTCGCGTTTGCGCACAGACAGACAGACAGACAAACAGACAGACAGACAAACAGACAGACAAACGTCTCTTCTGCTTTATATATAGTAGATAAATTGCATGGTTAGTTAAATAGTAATATATTGAGGCTAGATTACTATAGCTTCACTCTACTTTAGTGAGTGAATATATTACTCGAGAGGACCCCACTATTTTTTCAACCCCCCTCCAGACGACCCCACTATTAGAGAGGACCCCACTATTAGAGAGGACCCCACTAATAGAGTAAATACGGTATTTAACTAAGCAAGTTTGTGGTAAGCTAACGAAAAAGTGCGAAAGCTTTTTGTTTCAAAATTCCAAGAAAAAAAAATGGAATTGTAAATCTAAACTTTCTTCATTCATTTCTTCATTCGTTTCCCCGATTCTAAATCTATCCCATAAATTCTATCATTTAAAGAAAAGCGATTCAAGTTTTTCGTTTCAAAGAAAAGAAAAATCCGTTTTTAGAAATATCATTCAAAACAAATTTACTTCAAAACTTTGTGGTATTGTTTTTTGAATTTTCATCTTTTTATAGCGTTTTTTCGGTATTGAAAGCGGTTTTTTTTCTTTAAAAAACAAATCCCATAAAAGAAAAACCCTTATTGTTAAATGCCTTTACCCTATTTTAGAGGTTTCTTTTTATGTTTTTATCTACTGTAACCTTATCTGATTATATATATGTTGTGTCCGATTTAGATTTCCGTCCGATTTAGATTCAATCTAGATCGGACGTCCGATTTAGATTACAGTCTATATCGGGCGTCCGATTTAGATTCAATCTAAAACTTATATAGATTGAACAATAATATAAACATGCTTAATATTATGTTCTTAAGCGTTTTCTGTAGTTTTCTGCACTTTTCAAAGGTCTGTTACTGTCTTGCTGTCTGTTACTGTCAAAACCTAAAATGAAGTACTTAAAATAGGAAAAATTTGTGATTAAGGCAAATTTTATCATATCTATGTCTATTCAATCTATATAGGATTTAGATTGAATCTAAATCGGACGTCCGATATAGACTGTAATCTAAATCGGACGTCCGATTTAAATTCAATCTAAATCGGACGGAAATCTAAATAGGACACAACATATATATATCTATGAAAAGTTCATTTTTCATTTCAGCCTATCCCTCTCCCCAAATAAAATACTTTATCTATTCGCGACTATACTCTTTTTGTTCTTGAAAACTTATGTTTCTTTTTTATTTGTTATGATTCAATCTCTTTACGGTTATCCAGGACAAAGCCACATTTGTGCCCCTGTAAACATTTATTTTTGATCATTCTTTTTGGTCTTTTTCTTTCTTAATCTCTTTTTTTACGATAATATCTTTCATCGTGTTGAGTTTCAATAAAATGTTGATTGAAAAAGATTTATTTATAAAGAAACATCACAAATATTTTAGCCCGTAGTTTTAGAGAGTAAGCTTTGAAGAATGCTTTAAAGAATGCTTTGAAGGATGCTCTGAAGAATGCTTTGAAGGATCCATTTTAAGATCAATTCTTCGAGATGATTATGAAATCATTTATTAGAAATCTTCTCGAATCGGTGATTTAACAGATCGTTTCAGCGATTGTTTAATCTCAACCAATCTCATCGCAATCACATTTGTTCCCGAGCTGAGATTCATGTAGTCATGTTTACGCTGTGACCACTCTGCTTCATCCTCGTTTCCCAATAATGCTGAAAGATCAAGTTCTGCATGATATCTAATAGTAATTGATTCTGTTCAGATTCTGTTATAACTATTAAAACTCATAACTAAATTTAACACTTACCGTATTCTCTCTAATAGTAGTGCACCCTGAGCGTTGTCTAAATTGCTCGAAATCTCGAAAAGCACTTATCAGAACCTATCGATGTGGGGTCGGAAAATGTAGCTGACGATGAGATCTAGTGGGGGATTTGAGTGTTTGAGGTTCTGCGAAAACTTAGAAACCGTAAAATAGTCATCAACTCGGCTCGGCGGGGTGCACTACTATTAGAGAGAATACGGTATTTAACGAAAAAGGTCTCACTTCTCACCCTTGTATCGGCAGCTTTATAATCAAAAGCTTAACTTAAAAAGATTAGAATTATACTTTTAAAGTGTCTCCCTTGCCCACTCAGCTGAATATCTTTTAATTTTTTGGTGAATTTAAAAGGGGCAGCTACGAAAAATCTACGCAGAAAAAGGGGCGAGATTTGAGAGCTGGTCAAAACAGCGTCAAATAGCCCCTTTGCAGTTAAGTTTTTATGTGTTTCTTATTCTTATTGGATGCAGAATAAAAGCATCTACATTTTGAATACTTTTGGATCACTTAAAACAGAATTGGTGTCGAGAAAAGCTCAGTTAACCTTTTTTTTGAGCTCTTTTTTGTTTTTTGGCATTTTCTTATCCCAATTTTGTTCTAAACGACTCGAAAAAATTCAACAAATAGCTAATTTTTTTTTCTACATTTAATGAAAATAAGAAACACAAATAAACTTACCGTAAATACGGTAATAGTGCCCCACCCGCATAATGACGGTGCGGAGTGTTGCGTAGTCTAGCTTTGAATGAGTTTTTCTCGAACTGAGCTATACTATAGATTGATTAGATTCGATATAAAAGCTTTAAATGTGCTTTTTAGCTATTCGATTAGCTAAGATAAGTTCCCTGAGCTCTCTTAGAGTTAACATACACACTTTTCAAAAGCTTTAAAACAACTGTTTCTTACCGTAAATACTGTAATAGTGTCCCACCCGCATAATGACGGTGCGGAGTGTTGCGTAGTCTAGCTTTGAACGAGTTTTTCTCGACACTGGTTTATGCTACAATGCGCGTTTATGTATCAAAAAATAGCCCTCAATTTCAGCTATTTTTTTGAAAGTACAGGCGCTTTGAAAAAATGAAATACTAAAAAACATTTGCGACTACGCGACTGTACGAGGTGGGTGGGGTACTATTACAGTATTTACGGTAATTGCAAACGCATTATTTTTGACTGTTTGTACACGGCGTTTGTTTTGATCAGCTCTTCGTAGCTTTCATAGTCGCTCCATTTGTTTGAATTTTCCCACAAAATTAAAAGATATTCAACTAGAACTTTGAAAGTAATGCGAATGCAATAAGACTATTTCTCTACCTTTCAACTATAATTTTGTTGTTTAACCCACTTAGCTCTGGTATCAATTCTTTCTCTTTCCATGTCTTCAATAAACGAAGCAATCCATCATGCAAATCATTCATCGAAATGTCGACAACGTTCGATCGTTTAAGCACATATTCTAGTAGAAGTGGAAATGACTGAAATTTGATTTGATTTGATTTTGATTTTGATTTGATTCTGATTTGATTCTGATTTTGATTTGATTTTGATTTAATTTGTTTCTTCTTTTTCTTCCTTACCGTCTTGCAAAAGATTTTCCCAAGTTCGGGCATATCGCGACAACTATTAACAACAAACGAAGTATGCGACAAAAGATAATGCCCACAAATCCGAGCCATTCGAGGGCCTAAATTTTCATATTTTAGTTTATAACTTAAATTACCATATATTTCGTTTAGTATGTTTTCTTGTATCGGTCCAAAGGTCAAAAACATAACACAAAAGTCGGCTGAATAGGTGGTCATCGGTAAGAGGAATTGCTCCATCTGGCCCTGAAAATATTATATTTTAAAAAAGAATAAACAAAGTCTTAAACAAAGTCAAACAAAGTCTACTGTATAGTTCTATTGTCGTATAATTCTAAAGTTTTTTTTCACCAACTTCTTCATCGTCGATTTCGTGTTTAATGTAGTGAAGGCAGAGTCGATCGATCAAATCTTTCCCATATGTTATCGTATTGTTATTCTGTAAGTAAATTCGAGTTTTAAAGATTTTTAAGAACATTAAAAGCTTTATTTTAATCTATTTTAATCTATTTTAATCGAATTTCTTCTCAGCTTTCTCACTCGAGTCATCCATTGAGCGATTTGGACAAAGATCGCCCCAGCTGGATAAAGGAGAGCATACGAGGCGATATCGAATAAAAACTGAAAAGTGAAAAGCTAAAATGAATTTGGAACCTAAAAAGCAATATTATTTTGATACTAAATGCTATTTAAAGTCTAAATTTAATTGTATGAATTGTATGAATCTAATTCTCGGACCCGAATCCTCGTCTCGTGTCTTGGCAACTCCGGCTCTCCCTCATGCCCGAAAAAGATCGTCTCGAAAAAAAGCATCTTATGTGGATCGTCTTTCTAAACTTTTTTATTATTAAATCTATATACTTTACCGTTATACCTCTCAAATCTACTTTTTACTATGGTAATCTAGAAGTGAAATCTTGTGGACGTTTACAAGGATCATTCATTCAAGGTTTACATACAAGGATTAATGGCTCTAACGTTTGATGATGTGAAAGCCTTTCATTGAATTCAAATGAAAGCCTTTCATTTCTTGGTGTATGAAGGGCTAAATTTAATACCAACGCGATCTAATATCATTTGACAGGTATGAGAGTTTTTATTGGATGTTCAAAATTTTATTTTATCTCTCTACACCTTTTTTCAAGATATCGATCACGTTGCTCGTTCAATATCGTATCGTTATCGTTATCGTATCGTTACGATATCGTTCTACCTCTACATGTTCTATGTTATGTTTTGTTCTATTTTCTATTCTATGTTCTATTCTGTTCTATTTTCTATTCTATGTTCTATTCTGTTCTATTTGCTATTATATGTTCTATTCTGTTCTATTTTCTATTCTATGTTCTACCTCTACATCCTATTGAAATCTGGAACTCATTTGACTCAATATTACAAAATGCGAATTTCGAATTCTTCGCCGGAATCCTATCATACAAAGCTCAAGGTTAGTGCTTATTGTGGGTTTTTCTATTTGTCTTAATTCAGGACATTACTACTAACTCTTCGGCTCAATATCTTTCCACAAAACTGCGCCACAAAACGCCACAACGGTAAAGTACCCACATTTATTGTCAATATTAAATTCTTATCATTATTTCTTATTATTATCGTCTCTTTTTTCATCTTACCTTGAAATAATCTAAAATATAGCGCATCAAGATCAACTTTTTGAATGGATCCATCCGCGAATAGCCACTTTTCGTGATTTCGAAGATTTTCTCGTCGATGTATGGCTGAAAAATGGCATTTTATCATATCATTGCATTTCATAAACATTCTTTAGCTAAACAAACTTGCAAATCAATTTTGTTAGCCGGCATTCGTCCACGCGTCGGTTTCATTTGTTTCTGCACTTGGATTAGAGCCTCCTGAGAGGTTTGATTGATTACATAACTGCTAAGGCCGAATAATTAGATAATTCTTAATCTAAGCAATAGAATTCTTACATATACATGATGGCTATAGTATGAAGCCATTGGATCAGAAGATGACGCGTCGACCACTCCATAGTCGGGAATGGGAATCACTGGCACTCCGCGGGGTTGTCCACGCCGTGACATAGCTGAGAAATGATTCGATAAAGTAAACAATTCGATAGATAAATAAGTTGAACACAAATAACTTTAATAAAAAATAACTAACAAATAACACAAATAACTATTTATGTACTTTTATACTATAAGTTAGCGTCTCAAGGCTCTCAAGTCTCTCAAGCCTCTCAAGTAAAACCACCAAATCAACAGAAATCATAAAAAATAATAAATGAAAAGCCATAAGGACTAGATTTAATTTAAAGCCATACAAAAATCCTCTTAATTTTTAGACGATTTCATAAACATTATTCAAATGCGGGGGAAATTTTTTCCTTTTTTCCTCGTCTTTTCCCTCTCATTTTCCCCTCTTTTCCCCCGCGGCCGATGGGCTGCATTCTAAATTGCATCTCGAACAATGCGCAAATCGATGTTGAACTAAAATTCTACTTCATTCCTTTCTATCACCTGTTTTGTTAAGAAATTATTTTAGTAAAATAGTTTTTAGAAAACGATTCCCAACGTTCGATCGTCGCAAATTTCGGTCCAATTCTTATGGTGAGTGTTTTGCAAGGGATTAATTCGCAACTTTATGCAAACTACAATTTTATATCTTTTAGCAAAATGAAACTTTATGCATTAGCTTAATATTTGAAAAAACTTGTAAATCTAGGGAGCGAACGCGTCATCGCAGCTCGAGAAAGAAATCAACTCCGACAATTTCGCCAACGAGCACTACTATGGATTAGTAAATGTAAGTTTCTTTCAAAAGTTTTAACTAAAGATTTTAAAATAATATATCTAGTTTTTTTTTTGATGATACTACTATATTATTTAAATTGATTTATATAGTTAAATATTAAAATTTTTGTTTTTTTTTAGTTTGGGAACACATGTTACTGCAACTCGGTGATCCAGGCGCTCTATTTTTGTCAGCCGTTTCGGGAAAAAGTCCTTCAATATAAACAACAACTCAAGAAATCAGGTAGATTTAGAAATCTAGGAGTTTTTACCTCAAAATTTTAGGCAATCCAAAAGAAAACCTGTTAACATGCTTGGCGGATCTCTTTCACAATATCGCCACTCAAAAGCGACGAGTTGGCACGATTGCCCCGAAACGATTCATCACCAAATTGAAGAAAGAAAATGGTTTGTTTTAAAAAACATAGTAGATAACTTTTTAAAATTTAGAGCTCTTTGACAATTATATGCAACAAGATGCACACGAGTTTTTGAATTATTTGCTGAACACGATCTCGGAGACGTTGATTGATGAGAAAAAGGAGCGGCCGCCTGCTGTAAAGAATGGGACACTCAGAAAGGTTTGAAGTTTAAAAAAACTAACTATCGCATTAGATTATATCTTTGTATCTTTCGATAAACGTATTGCGGTTAGATTTATAATTATAATTTTGCAGAGCCACCCACCGCCGACATCAGTCCAAGAAACCCGAGAAAGAACAAGAAGTGACTCTCAGCCAGGGTAAGTCAAGGAAAAAGTATTAAAAAGTTTAAGGCATATGAAAATCAAAAGATTTCTAACAGTATTTTTACTTAACCTCAAATTCTGACAATTTTCGATAAACGTTTTCCCCAAACAAATCAATATGTTCTGGTAATTCGAAATTCTAAATCTATTATTACAGATTTGAGTAATCGTTATAGATTTTGAAAAGATTATAGATAAGAAATTATAGATTATAGATTTGTTTACTTATATTGTTTTATAACAAATCGATAAACAAATCAATTATAAATATTATAGATTACTATAGATAATAAATTTGTTTTAGTTGTTCGCGTGTCTCCGAATCGACTTGGGTGCAAGATATTTTCCAGGGAACTCTCACGAATGAAACCCGTTGTCTCAACTGTGAATCGGTAAGAATGTTTAAATTTTACGCAAATTTCCTTAACTCTTCTTCCAGGTTTCAAGTAAAGACGAGGATTTTCTCGATCTTTCGGTGGATGTCGAGCAGAATGCCTCAATCACGCACTGTCTACGTGTTTTCAGTAATGTTCGTTTAAAAATTGAACTATTGTAGTAAAATTTTGTAAATGTTTAGACGGAAACTCTATGCGCTGATCAAAAATATTATTGTGAAACGTGTTGCTCTCATCAGGAAGCACAAAAACGGATGAGAATCAAAAAGTTACCGCGAATGCTAGCCCTTCATCTTAAACGGTACTTTTTCAAATAATTTCGAAACTTTTAGTATGATGTTTTAGATTTAAATACGTCGATCAGCTGAGTCGAAACACAAAATTGTCCTACCGGGTTCTTTTCCCGCTCGAGTTGCGGCTCTTCAATGTGGTGAGTGAAAAATGATAACGACCCATAAGCTGTCAAGAAAATACAAGATGCGGCAGATTTTTGCAACCAATATTTTTTTTAAGGATAGAAACCGATAAAAGAGAAATCAAATTTAAAACTTTAACAATTGATTTTTAAACATTTATTAAACAAGAAAAATCTCTATGTGACATTTGGGGAAATGTCATCCACTGTGACCAAATGGTAAGCGGGATCGAGTTTATCGAGCTTTTCGAAGAGATTTCTTAGCCGAATCAATGCTGAAATGCGGTTTTGAGCACGTTTTTTGCTTCAAGAACGTTCCAAACACTGAAATCTATAGGATTAACCTCGGGGACTTGAGAGTGGTCACTAAGGTGGCCGGGAAAATGCTGTCCTGAACCACTCGAGCCTTGTGGGCATAAGCATCATTCTGCATAAAACACCAAATCCTGTGGTCAAAGTGATTTTTGGCTCACGGAAAGAAGATCCTTCTTAAGTACATGGTTGGAATTAACATGCCCTGAAGTGTTTGCAATAATCTTGCCGCACAGCCCTAGAAACATTTAGGCTAAGATTTTCTTTATGAATTTTTGGTGGGAAGATAAAAGTTTGAAGTGGCTATTTTTTTCTGGGCACTGTGAAATTGAAGGAAAATGTTTAGAGTGACGATGCGGTGAATGGGGATCGGCTGTATGATTTGTGCGCGGTGGTGGTGCATTGTGGAGCGACGCCAAACCGAGGACACTACATCACCGTTGTGAAAAGTCACAACTTCTGGCTTCTCTTCGATGATGACATTGTCGATGTAAGAGATTTTGATGAATGAACAAGTTTATCCTTTCTATATTTTACGAATAGTAAGGGCAACTTTATTTGCAATGAGTTACGTAAAAAACGAATAGAAGAAGCTATAAGAATTCTTGATTTTAAGCCAATTTAGTACCATGGAAGTGCCAGCTTGGCTTATTAAGCTAGCTTTTGACAATTTTAAAATCTCATTCTTTAAATTTTACAACCATTACCTATTTTACATTATGTACACTACTAAATCTACTGATTATATTTTTTTAGAAAATTGATGTCTCAGCTATTGAAGATTTCTTTGGTCTCTCTGAAGGCGGTATCCAGAAGAACTCCGACTCAGCTTATATTCTTTTCTATCAGGTTTGTATATCGTAAATACTCTAATAGAACGCCATCTCCTCGTACAATCGCGTAGTCTAATTTCTTTTTAGAAAATAATTTTTTTTCTCAGCTTCTAGATTTTTCCCAACTATACTTTTGGTATCAAAAAGGTACTAATGCACTTATGGGGGCCCACTTTTTTTTTGCTCGAAAACTACTTTATTAGAGGTTTTTGACTGCGCCGATTCCAAATTTGGAGAAAATTTTTATAGGTTTTTAATTAAATTTTGGTTCTTCTCATAAAGGCAATGTACTTAAACGCTCAATCTGCTTAAACTTGTAAGCTTAGGAGTGTTGAAACTGCTTCAACGTGTTATAACTTGTTAAAGCCTCACCGCTTTGCTAGAAATCGTATAAATTCTTCGGAAAACACTTAAAATCCTCTCTCTTCTCGCGGAGGTGGCGATAAATCAATTGCAAGGAATCACCCTCCTCGAATTAAGCCAGAAGCTTTTGTTGTCAGACGACGATTTTGAGGATTGGCTAGCCGATTTAGGCCTTTTGTTTAAAAAGCGAATTATCGTCGTTATTTTAGATTTCAAAGTCTAGTTGTCGTTGTTACTTGGCATTTTAATCTAGTTATCACTTTACTAGTTCAGTTACTTTACAAATTCTAGTTATCTTTGTTACTTGAGATTTTAATGAAGTCAATTTTATAATTAGAGGGCTGCTGTACGTGAAAAATGAAAAACTTGGATAGCGCCAATGTAAGTAGACATCCTCGTTTATTTTAAAAATTCTAGGAGTTCAATTAAAAATCTATAAAAAATTTCTACAAATTTGGAATCAGCGCAGTCAAAAACCTCTAATAAAGTGGTTTTCGAGCAAAAAAGTGGCCCCCATAAGTGCATTACTACCTCAAAAAATACTAGATTTCAAGGGCTATCATTTGACACCCAAGCTCACACTGTAGCATAAAGCAGCGCCGAGAACGGAACGTTTAAAGTTAGACTACGCGACTGTACGGTCATTATGGGGGGGGGACGTTCTATTAGAGTATTTACGGTAAGTAAACAAATTTATTATCTATAGTAATCTTTTCAAAATCTATAACGACTACTTATCCGTGATAATAGATTTAGAATTTTAAATTGCCAGAACATTAACACATCCTTTTTTTCAGGCTCGAGATGGTCCGACTATTGACACCGCACGGGTCACACCTAATCATATGTCAATATAAAACAAAAACCCTAATCAAACAAAACTAATTCCCATTTTGTTTCATATTCTAGTCAAAAAAAAACTCCTTGTTTTCTCTTTGTTTATTTTTTATTTTCATTTGTGACCGGTAGATCGTTTTGCCTTTCTCAATCTCTCTCGAAATGACAACAATTTTATGTCAAACTAACAACATTGTGATAAAAAAAAAGATTACGATAGACTTGTGTGAGCTTTATAGAAAGCCGTACAAGTTATCGTATCTTTACTTTCTCTACACAAGACATTGCCCTCAACACAAATTTCTCTCTCACTGTGCTCATCGTTTTTTTTTCTTCTTCTTTCATGTCCGTAAATTTTTCAATTTTTTTGAAAGTATTTGAGATTTCTTTGACATTATTATTCTTTGCATAGAATAGATCTATAGCTTAAGCAAATTTTCTTTCTTTCTTTCTTTTTTTTTCGTTTCGTTTCTGGGATTCTTGCCTAGACCCCATTCATCCCATTCGTCTGGTGCCTAGTTAATGTTTTGTATATAAAATTTATTCGTGTAGCTTTAAATAAATGACATGAATCGAAAAAAAAGCACTGAAATTCACCTCCATAAACTGTTTTACCTCTTTACAATATTTTAAAGTTTCCTGGTTTTAGCAGCAAAAAAAAAACTCGAGTAACTATTCTAAAAACGGGCCTCAATCAGCAAGTGTTTCAAGCAAAAGGCTAAAAATTTCACACTGAAAAGATGTTGCCATTTGTTAACGATTTAGAAGGAGAAAGGGGTGAGGGACAGGGGAACGCGCAGAAAAATGGGCGGGGCTATCGATTCAGCGTGGCATATCGATGTGTGGAAGGAAAGGGAAAGAAAAGAGAGCAGACCTCGGGGAGGCTACGCGTAAACACGAGGCACAGCCATCGGACACACCACCACGAAGAGACGAGGTTATGCCCCGGCTGTCAGCTGAGTCCCCTTCTTTTTTGTGAAAGACTGACTCATTTCTACTCAATATACCCGTTTTTTTTCTCTCTTTTTTTTTCAACAAAACATTTGCCCTTTGAGGACTTTTTCTCTTCTCTCCTCTATTTTACTGTTTTCATTGTATTTTCTCTTCGCTTTTTTGTAGACATTTCAAAATAAGCCTCCTATTTCGATTAAAGATTTTGTTTATTGTTTACCTTGTGGCTAAACTTTAAAACTAGTTTCTATTGCTTTCAATGGATATTCAATGGATTTATTTTACTGTTAACTGCTTCTAACTAAAAGACTAACTTCTAACTTTCTTCTAAGTTCTTTTTTATCTATTTTTTATGAGATAAAGTGGTAAAAAAAATGGCTTAAAATTATTGATAAATCAATAAACGGTCTCCAAAAAGGGAATATGTCCCGAAATTGTCTCGCGATGGGAAATGAGGCAGGCGGAAGAAGAGCTGAAGGGGAAAGGGAGCAGAAGAAGGCCCGTTTGACGTGTTGTATTTGCTCTTTTTTTGAACAGCGCCTTTCCAAAAATTGAACCCCATCCGACACTAGCAACAAATAATTGCGAAATATTTTTTTTTTGCCTTTGTATCCCATTTTTCTTAAACATTCTTAAACACGATATTTCCTGTGGTTTCTGGTTTCAAGCAAAAGATGTTATCTAGTGGTTGGTGAATCGATAAGTCGAAGGATTTTCAAGAATATTGAGGATAAGAAAATGTTCGAATCATTGAATTGGATTCGTATTGGAAACAAGCGGCTGTTGAAAAAGGATTCTTTTGAAAGGGTTCTTGTCAGACTATTTTCAGAAAATGATAGAATATCACTAAACTAGTAGTAAAGAAAAACTAATAGTAAAGACTTAGGGTACAATTGTTCTAGCAAAAAAGTTCTGGATCCTATTTTATTCAAAAAAAGTGTGGGGAAAAGCGGTTTTGCGGAAAACTAGAAGTAGAGTTGAAGTGGTAGGTATGGGAGGAAAAAGGAGGTTGAACAGTAGAAGAGAATGAAAGAGAATAGAAGATATGAGAATGGAATGAGTGCGGGGAATGGGAAGGGAATAGAGGAGAGGGGAGAGACTCGCCAAAGATACCGCCGATCGGTGTGTGTTGAGACTGTTGCTGCCCTCCAGCCCCCTCCCCCATTCCCCCATCCCGCCCGTGTGTCCCTTTCCGTCTCTTCTCACCTCTCAATATTCTCACCCAATTCTTTTTACCCCTATTACCCCTTCTTTTTCTTATCTCCGCCCATCTTCTTCAAAAATATGAATCGACCGCCTCTCCCCTTTTTAAGCTCTATTTAGCATGCCAATTATTTACGCAATTCTAGAAGAATGAGGTGACTTTTTGTAAAGTTTTTTCCCGCCTTCTTTTCAATCATTTCAATGAAACTGATTTTTGAGTAAAAATTCTATTTAGAAGCACAAGCGATCACGAGCCGTATGATGCGTATCGACGAGTAGAAGTCACTGCACTTTCTCGTTTACAACATATGCTTAATCAGGTGGGCTTTACAACTGTTGATAGTTTCATTTCATTGTTGATAGTTTGTTGATTCAATCATTATTTATCATCGTGATTTAGTTAGGCGTTGACGAGAAGCACAGAAAAATGGAGGACTCAACGACGAGCAGTGAGGTGAGCTTTTGTTACGCAAATTATCTTTTTTTTCCTTGATCCTTTTGTTGTTGAGAAAACAGTTACATCATAAAATTTTCGCGGATTTTCTAGTGAGAGAAAGAAAGAAAGAAAGAAAGAAAGAAAGAAAGAAAGAAAGAAAGAAAGAAAGAAAGAAAGAAAGAAAGAAAGTAAGAATGAAAGAAAGAAAGTGAGATCATTGCAATAATGAAAAAATTGTACATGTTTGAAATGAAAAAGAGCATTCTTTCAAAAGAGAAAAAGGGTTATTTCTCTCAGCGGCTCGTTTAGGTAAACCTTTTTGAGAGAGAAAAAAGAAGTTGGGAGGTGAGAGAAGAGACTGGGTGAAAAACTGGGGAAAAGGAAGGGTGGGAGACCGGTGCGAGACTGGGAGAAGGGGCTTGGAGAGCCCGCTTTCAACTCCCCGTTTCTCTTACTATTAGTCACCCACAAACACAACTATCACTACAGTTTTCTCAATATTTTCTTCACCATTCGATTCGATCTTTGTATTCCCCTATCCCAAGCTCCTCTCTGACATTTTCGCTTGGCTTTTTCGCGAAAGACGACAAAATTCTGTGCTATTCGATCGTTTTTACAAAATGCCAGTTGTTTATTCGATGGAGAGTATAGCTGGTTGATTGAATTTGAATCATTTGATTAATTTGATTGAATTTGATTAATTTGATTAATTTGATTGAAATGAGCTCTCATCTGCCGTTACGGCGTTCACTACCTGCACCACCTGTCACACGGCGAGTCTCCGCTCATAAAGTAGCGTCATTTTTACGTAATAAATTCTAGAAGAAACTTAATAGATACCCTTGGCTTTTATGAATTAACCTTTAGCTATAAACCTTTAGCTTTTATATATAAACATTATTGATCTTTTTAAAGACGAAAGTTAGATCTAGTAAAAGTAAACTTTTAGCGATTGTACTCTAACTTTATAACGGTGAAAAGATCACTTAAACTTAGCCATCTTATTGGCAATTATTGCTAAATTTACTGCTTGAATCGATATTTTTTTTTTGGAAATCGAGACTTTTTGGTGAAATCTTGTTAACGCGAGCTTGTTCCCCCTTTCTGTAAACGCTCAATGCTTTTCTGATGTCGGATTTCTGTTTGCGGAGAGGAAAAATGGGCTCTCTTTTCCCTTTTTCATTCACTTCAACTTAATCTCTAAGCAAATGAAACTGATAAACAATTATTACAATCAAATACTAGCTTGATTTGAAGAGATAAGAGATAAGAGATCAGTTACGAGATTGCCACTAGCAATCACGTGATCGTGAAGAAATATAAATCATAATTAGTCAAAATCGATGACTTATTCACAGTAAATGTTTTATTTGCAAAAAGGAAAAGTAAATGTAAACTTGTAAATTTGTAAAAGTATTGTTTTTAGATCGTTTACGGCGGAGGAAGTCCGTTGGCTGAGGCGAATGATGCATCAAGGCCGATGAGTGATAAAGTACAAGCAATGGCTGCATCGATTTATCGGTTTGTTTAGAAAAAATATTTGTATATTGTTTTTTTTACTAATAATCCTAATACTTATCTCTCAATTTTCTAGTGAATTCGAGCAAATGATTAAAAAGTTTGGCGAGGATAGCGTGAAAACATTGATGCCGTTAGTGGTGAACGTGCTCGAGAATCTTGATTTATCATTTCTCGAGAAAGAAGAGATGTCCGTTGATTATGAAATGTTGAAAGGTTAAAGAAAGATCTTAAAAATGAGGATAAATTCATTTTTTAGAAGACAATGAGCAATTGGTGACTCAATATGAACGCGAGAGGCAGCAACGAAAGCAACAAGATCAGGTGAATGATTGAGAAAATTCGCAAATTGAGTAAACTGTTTTGGAAGAAAATTTTCGCAAATATTTTTAGAAATACATGGAAATCGAGGACTCGATGATTGGACAACAGAAAGAATTGGAGGGAAAAATCGCATCACTTGAGAGTATCATGCGAATGCTTGAGCTTAAAGCAAAGAACGCTGCTGATCATTGTAAGTTTTCTTTATCTTTAGATAAACTTTATCATTAGATAAACTTCATCATTCAAAAGATTTATCGTTTTATAATAGATATAAAGATTAATTCTAGATAAAAAGATCTTATAATTCAAAAATCGAAATAAATCCCTTTCAGCAAATCGGTTGGAGGAACGAGAAGCCGACCAGAAAGCTGACTTCGATCGACTCCACGAGAGGTTTGTTGCTGACAAGGGAACGTTTCAAAGAGGGTTTGAGACTTTTAAACGGCGATGAGGCGCAAACGCCTATCGGACATGACGAATCCAATGCTGTATTTAGTTTTTACCCACGGGCCCTGGTTCTCGAGAAAAGCGCATGCAAAGTTTCGGCCATTTTCGGCAAACTCTCACTTCATCTATAAGAGGGTGCCAAGGCGAAAGGAAGAAAAGCAGCGGCCGTCTAGGGGGTAGTGCGCTAGGCTATGAAGCTAGCGCAGTTTTTGCTCCCGGGTTCGATTCGATTCGATTCATCTTGCCGCCCTACTTTTTGCTGTTTGCCTGCTTTTGCTTACTGTTTGCTTCCAGGGTTTTTAAAGCCTTTTTTGCTATTTATGAATAAATAGCAAAAAAAGGCTTTAAAAAACCTGAAAGCAAACAGTTTAGGAACTCCAAAAAATGTTTTGTGGAAGTTTTACAAAAAAGCAAAAAGTAGGGCGGCAAGAGGAATGGAAGCCGGGAGCAAAAACTGCACCAGTTTGCTAGCCTAACGCACTATCCTCTAGACCGCCGCTGCTTTTGTTGTGTTCGGCCTGCCACCGTCTTATAGCTGAGGTGAGAGTTTTCCGAAAATGGCCGAAACTTTGCATGCGCTTTTCTCGAAAGCCAGGGCCCGTGGACAAAAATTAAACACAGCATCGGATTTAGAGTGCGTTCTTCTCAAGTAATAGTGTAAAATAGAAAACAACATTGACTGAATATTTTTAAAAATAACGATAAATGCATTTGTTTTAAAAATATTCAGTCAAGTTATGTTTTCTATTTTGCACTATTACTTGAGAGGAACACACTCTAATCGGATTCGTCATGTCCGATGGCATCTCATCGCCGTTTAAAAGTCGCACACCCTCTTTGAAAAAGGAAAGCTCCCTTATGAGAAAATTTAAAAGAAAAAAGAAAAAGAAAAAAGAAAACGGGGTAGGCTAGTTTCCTCAACTTTTTTTGCGCAACAGGGTCATTTGCGCAACTGGGTCGTTTGCGCCACTCGTCATAACTTTCTTCTAAGTGAACCAATCTTTATGATTTTGGTCTCATTTTGTTGCACTTATTGAGATTTACAAAATGAGACCAAAATCATAAAGATTGGTTCACTTAGAAGAAAGTTATGACCAGTGGCGCAAACGACCCAGTTGCGCAAATGACCCTGTTGTGCAAAAAAAGTTGCGGAAACTAGACTACCCCAAGAAAACTTAATAATCGTTCAATGTAATAACTTTTTCTAGATATAATGTGTTGCTGAGGACGCATATCGATCATATGGAACGAACGAAATATCTTCTCGGAAACGATAAATTTGAGATGATGCAGAATATGCCATTGCCCAATCAAGCCGTCAGATCCAAGTAAATACTTTAAACGAATTTGATTTTGTTTTTAATCTTTTTAAAATTTAAACATCTTTATCCAATCTAGTTATTCGACAAGGCATACTCTTTAAGATCGATTTGTCAGTGAATAACCTGACAATGGCCAAGCACTAGACCTTAAAACTGTGAAATCCATCAATATTTTCTCTTTTACACTAACTTTTGCATAATCTTTTCGATTTCGCACTTATAATCTATCAATGAATTACCGTATTTATTCTAATCGAAGTTTGCAGACGGAATTTAGACGATTTTAGACGAAATATTTCATTTTTTTCGTACTTTTCAACTCTAGACTCTAGAATAGCAAAATGTTTAACTTTTTAAGTCTTTAAATAGTTATAGATTAAAAAAAAAGCTTAATGATGTTGAAAACTGGATGAAAATCCAATAAAAAAACGATTTTTAAGCTCTTGGGTATGTAGCTAGGACACGAAAAAGAATTTTAAAGAGATATTGAAGAAAAAAAATAGAAGAGTCGGCTTTTTTATTAGAATGTTGTTTTATTAGAACGGTCGTTTATGTTAGTTAGTTTATGCTTTCATTAGTTCCAGGATGGGAATGGGCATGGCTGCCTCGGTGGATGCCTCATCGATTCGCGGTGTTTCCGATTTGATCTCGGCGGCGATGACGCACTCGATTTCTCATGATGTAAATCTCGCGAATCACATCTCGAATGAGGGTTCGTCTTAAGTTTTAAGAAAAAAAGAAAATCAAAATTCAACTTCGAAAGCCCGGGTTTTTCTCATTTACAGGTCACTCTCGCACACCACCAGGTAACGTTGCATCCCTGACAAAAGGACGCCTTTGTCTTGGCGTAGTGATTCCCATTATGACTTTAAAAAGCCTTTAAAAAACCTTTAAAAAGAAAAAAAGTAAAATGAAGTTTCTTCCCCAAAAAGTTGTATTGTGAATTAGAGAAAAACAATAATTCTCTTAGCATGGCTGAAATGAGATAAAAACTGCGAGAGTGGTTGATTCTTTGATCGGCTGCCTTTCTTTTTTTAAGCATGAACGGCTTTCGAAAAAGCGATTGCATGAAAGCGTTTTTTAAAAAAATTTCTTTTCTTTTTCTCTAGATAAATCTTTAAAAATTGAAATTTCAGTGGATTATCAAGAAGAATTTGGACAAAGTTTGGATGTGGAAACACCACGAGAAGGAGCTGAGAGCGGACGATCGGTAAGACTTTTTTTTTCAATGAATTAATTACTTAGAAATCAAAAGCTTTTGCTAAAAATGACTCTAAACTTATCTATAACTTATTTAAAGTTTTGAAAAATGAAAAGAAATCGTTAAAATACTCTTTAAACTTGAAAATTCCAGGTCCAACAGGAGCTCGAGCCGAGCGAGGAGCCGAACGAAGAGATGAGAACGTCTTTGTAAGTTTATCCCCTAAAATATGTTATACGTCGTAGCCAATTATGAATTTCAGCCGATTATGAATGAGTGGGTCTAGGAGCGTCCAACCATCAAGTATTTGGTATCATTCAACGCAGAATCGTTAATAATTATGTTAAATTTTTAAAATTAGAAAGATTGGATAAAAAGAAAAAAATTATGGGGCCTCAAAGTTTCCTCTTGAACAAACAGTTTTTTGCTCTAATTTTTTTTCTTTTTATCCAAATCTTTCTAATTTTAAAAATTTAACATAATTATTAATGATTCTGCGTTGAATGATACCAAATACTTGATGGTTGGACGCTCCTAGACCCACTCATTCATAATCGGCTGAAATTCATAATCGGCTACGGGGGTCCCGCCGATTTTGAATGAAACGTTGTAGCGCCGGTAATTTTTAACCTAAACTCACAAATTTGGTACCAATCAATGCAGAATTGAATTCGCTACAGGATGATATAATATTGTCCTCATACATTAAAGGGTTGCTCTACTAGAAAGATTTACCAAAAAATTTCATTCATAATCGGCTACGACATATATAATATAAGCAAGAATTCAATAGAAAATAGAATTATAGACTAAATATCATAAATATCGTAAATATCGTAAATCTCGTAATTTCCAGACATAATCCGGCAATGGTTCACGAAACGGAGCCCGAAGACGCGCTGGGAGCCGATCTTACCGGTAAATTTCTTAAAACATTTCAAACTCTAGATAGAAAAATCACTCATTTTGTTCTTTTTTATGAGTTTTTTTTTGTTTCTTTTACTCATTAAACTAACGGGACTACAGGGAATCTGGTCGATCCGGCTGAATTCGCATCTGCCGGTAATTTAGCCGTTGTTGTCTCTCTTTTTTCTTTCACTCAAATAGTTATATTAAATTTTCGTTTGTCAATTGCGTTTCGTTTTTTTTTTATTTTGAAATAATTTTATTTAACTGCATGAAATAGACAAGGAATTTCGTTTTCATTCTATTTCGTTTTGCACGAAAGTTTTTCGTTTTCAAACAAAAAAAATCCATGATTTTTGAGTATGCTGACGCTGTGTTGCTTTCTAAATAGTGTTCTAGAAAAAAAAAGCTATTGTATTTTGTTTTAGATGATGAGATTACATAGAAAATGCTTCGATTTTAGACGATTAGATTACATAGAAAATTCTTTAGTAAAGAGAAAGCTAGAGAAAATTGATAAAATTGAAAATTGATAACTAATAAAACTCAAAAATCATGTAAAAACCTAAGCCTTTATTAACTAGTGAATTTTGTTGTGTTGTGCAGACGAGAACGAGATGATGAGAAGAAAACGCGAGCTGAGCGATGGAGACACCGAAAGTCGAACAAGTGGTTTCTTTGGGGAAAGTGGAGACGATGTAGCAGGTAGTCAGAAGGGTTTTAGATGATGAGATTACAGCAAAAAAAATTCGTCACCAGCTACTAGACTTGCCTAGCGATAGCTTAGTGGATAATAGAAAACAAATTCTTGCTTCTATTTTGCATTAACCTTATCGACGAGCAAGTCTACTCTCATTTTATCCCCACTATCTTGCACTCATTAGCACCGTATTTCTTTTGCAGCACTTGTGAGAAACACCCTGCTTGACTTTTACTGTCGTTTTGTTGATTTAGTTTTTTTTCTGAAAGTATTTTAAATTTTAAATTTTAAATTTTAGTAAACGACACTTTTATTGGTGAGTTTTTCATGTAGTGGTGCTGAGCATAGATTTGAGTCGATTTTGAATCGTCAAGAAAGTAGCCGACAAGGGAATGATCCGAACTGGTCGGACGATTACGCTACGAGATGCAAACGCCTATCGAGCATGGCAAACACGATACTCGATTTATTTTTTTACCCATTCGCAATGGTTCACAAGAAAAACGCTTGCAAATTTTGGGCGCCTACTCGGCGAAACCGAAACAGAGTTAAAAAAACAAAAGTGAGTTTCAGAGCCCGCATACTTACCTCTACACCATTTGGTGAAAGTTAAAGGAAAGCAAAAGAACTGATATGTCCTCGAGGCATCCAAATTTTGCAAGTGTTTTTCTTGTGAATGGGCAAAAAAATAAATAGAGGATCGTGTACCCCCTGCTCGGCAGGCGTTTGCATCACAACGGTGTAGGGAAATCGTGTGGCCAGCAGGGATGTCCGGATCCGGATCTCTACGCAAGAATACAAAGAACAAAAAGATAAGTACGCGGTAGTACTATGAATTGTCTATTGGAGGTCGCGTAGTCGTCTTTTCGTTCTTTGTATGTTTGTGTAGAGGTCCGGATCCGGAAATCCCTGGTGGTCAGTTCAAACCATTCCTTTGTAAGAATCTTAAAAAGCAAAAGTCTTGTGAAAGCATGAAAAGTGATAAGTGTTGCTATGAGATTGCAAAAAAAGAGTTTCATATAAAGATTGATTCTTTAGGGATGGGAAGAGAAGTCGAGAATTTGATCAAGGAGAACACAGAGCTGCTTGATATGAAAAATGCATTGAATATCGTGAAGAATGACTTGATTTTACGAGTTGATGAGTTAACGAGGTGATTGAAGTGCAAAGAGGTTTAGCATGATAATGTTTTTAGTGAACAAGAAATCCTCCGAGAAGAGGTGCGCAGTCTTGAGATGGTGCGAGCGAAAATGAGTGAACAATTGCAACAAGTCGAGGCTGAGCTCAAGGAAACGAAGAGGAAATTCGCTGAAAGGGAAAGCGAAAATGAAGAGGTTTGGAATGAATGAATGAAGAAGATAGAGTCGATTTTAGGGCTAAAAGTGTTTATCAAACCAGATAGCCGAATAGAATTCGTTAAAAGAGAAACAAAAAAAATTGTAGGAACTAATCCCACTGGCTCAGCGCAAACGTTTCACCCGTTCCGAGATGCAACGGGTGCTCATTGATCGCAATATGTACAAGGAGAAATTGATGGAATTGGAGGAGTCACTCAAATGGTCCGAGCTGCAGCGTGCAAAGAAACTCCAACAGCAACCGGCCGCTAAACAAAGCAAAGGCGGGATTTGGGATTTGTAAGTTATCTTAGCACTTGCGTCCATTGTACCTGATGACCGACTGGCTAAAAACCTTGTCTCTTAGTCGGGAGGTCGGTTCGATCCCGCGAACTCGTTTTTGGCTCTTATATCGATTTTTTTCGCTACATTTAGGGCTTAGGGTTTTACTTTTGTATTGTTTGTATCACATTATTCGTGTAAATGAATGTACTTGTTCACTTTTATCATCAATCTTCTAGCTTCTCCGGTCTCTTTGGCGATTCTCCATCACCAACATCTGGTCGGCAACGTCAACGAGTCGATGACTCGATCAATAGACGCCATAAGATGACCAAAAGCGTCGAGTTTCTGGATGCTGATGCGTGAGTTGATTGAAAAAAACTTTGTTGATTGAAATTTGACTACTTGAGAATATTTCTCAATTCTAGAATCTCTGAGCGAAGAGCGGCTGAGCGACGAGCTCAATACAAGCTGGTGAGAGAACACGTGAAAAGAGATGGTGCTGGAAGGCTTCAGGTATGCAAATACAATATAAAACAACAAAGAAAACCCTTTAGGCTTATGGATGGGCAATCCCATCGACTCTCGATAACACCCCATCAACTCAAGTGCCAGTGCCGGTTTGTTGTCGACCAGTCATGGAGCATTTGCCACAACTGAAGGTGAGAAGTTGCAAGAAATTTTATGCTATTTTTATTTAGGTTTGGTGTGCTACGGGAGTCATTCTCAGAGGTGGCCGTTTACCGAATGGAACTTATATCGGAGGTAGTAAGAAAAAGAAAACACTAGGTCCATTAAATTCTAGATGAACCAGTCTTTGTTGGGTTAACGAAACGAATGCCTCCTCGTGATGGACATCCAACAGACAGTGATCATTTGGAACAAGAGATTGAGGTACAGTACTGGACAATGAAATATCATATTTGAAAAACGATCGTCACTTTCGCGCGTCTGTAATGTCTGCTGATCTATGCCCCATACGGATCCGGAGTCGACCTCCGCGTGCGACTCGAATTGTGCTTTTAAAAAAATCCAGAAGCACTTTGCACAACTACAGCACTCGACAATGAAATATGATATTTGAAAAACGATCGTCACTTTCGCGCGTCTGTAACTCCATTGTCTTTGAGTTTAAACTATTAGTGTTATACATTTTCTGAAAGCTCTTTTCAAGGGCTACACAATGGTAATATTAATATTTAGAAATACGGTAAAGACAAGGGAGTTACAGACGCGCGAAAGTGATGATCTTTTTTCAAATATGATATTTCATTGTTCAGTAGTGTAGATATCAAGATATCAAGATTATCAAGATCTAACCTCTTTCCAGAGATCTCGAGCTTTGGAAGCAAGAGATCGTGAGCTTTCCGAGTGGGAGCCAACAAGTCTCATTTGGGTGGCTTCTTCAAATCAGGTACGGATACATTTTATTTACGTGTAACTATTTGACACTCACTATTAGCATTGTACTTGAAAGAGAGCTTAAATCATTCTTGAGAGCATATTCTTGAGCTTAAACCAGATCACAGTCACAGATCACAGCTTAAACCATTCTTGAGCACAAAAAAAAATCATAGATCTCCAAGTCAACTAAAGCAACAACTGCTTTAGGGCCGATCGCAAGTGGCAATCGTTGACGCGAACAACCCGAACAACATCATCGATCAGTTTCCCGCTTGTGATTCCCATCTTCTCTGTATGACTAGCGTTGCTGGAGTTCTCGAATCTGATCCATGGTGTGATGAGCCGGCTGCAAAAAAGTTCCTTCGTGGAGGCGGTTATCTAAAAGAAGTAATAGCTTTCGAAAATTTCGATTCTATTGTGAGTTTAGATTCCTGAAGGAATGGATCATGCTGATTTGGGATCGGTTTCATGGGTGGAAATGAGAAAGTAAAAGAAAATTGAACTCAAATCGAAATCTTTAAGCTCTTTTTCCAGACTTGAAGAATCGGATGATCATGTGGAAACATTGTGCAGCAATGAGCAGAAACCGAGTCCACAACGAGTGCGAGATTGTAAGAAAGACTTCAATAAAAAATATCAAAGGGCTTTTTGTTTAGTTAGCATTTGTGAGCAAACAGCTGTGCCCGGACCATCGGAAGCAAAAGGTGAGTGGAAAATATGAAATAAAAATGAGTGACGAAATGCTTGGAGGTGGTAAGCGTAAGAGTCGAGTAGAAGAGGCGGTGGAGGCGCGCGAGAGGACAACCGCGCGACCTCTCGAGAAGGGTCTACCCCCAGGTCTGCCTATTGTGTTGTGTTCATTCAATCTTTTCTTTTTCTTTGAATAGTTTAAGACTAAGCTAGTTTATGGAACAAACTTGGAAATTCCGAAGAAAGAAAGTTTGATCAAGTTTGGTCGGCCAGCTAGAACAGTACTGAAAATCTCTTTTCCCTTACTCTTTCCTTGTATACCCTCTTTTTTCTCTAGTGAAAGAGATACAGGATAGCTCAGTGGTTAGAGCGTCTGGCTAGAAAGCAGAAGGGTCAAGCTGGTCTAGGGTTCAATCCCTCTCGCGACATTTTTCTTTTCCATTCAACATCGACAATTTTTTGACTTTTCTTTCTCTTCTCTTTTGACTTTTCTTTTACATAAACAATTTTTGCGATAAATTTGACATTCACTCATAATCCTAGCTTTTTGTGATGGTGATGGGCTAATTTGCACCGTTTTTTCTCGTTTTTTGTTTCTTTTTTTTTAAATCTGGGGCTATCAATCAAAACTTATTAAAGAAATTCTAGCGAAAGAAAAACCGAAAATGATGCAGCAATTGTTTTGGTGCTTTGGTTATAGTAAGAAAAAGCGTTGAAACGATTTCATCAAAAATTCTACGATTTTTTTTTGTATGCCTTTTCGCACCTGTCCATCCTTTTTTTTCTTTTACAGCTGAAGCTAAAAGTTGTACAATGAGATGATGAATTTGAAATTGAAAACTTCATGAAAAGCTCCAGATTTATGGCCCACACGAAATGCTTTTTCGATTTATTTGGGCACCTTTTCTTTTAAGAGATTTCTTCAACTTTTCAGATGAGCCAATCTCGCCACGGGGATCCCTTCCAACTCACATTCGTGCCTCACTTGCTCGATATGAACAGGTATTTTACATTTTACGAATTATGTGCGAAGATTTCGTAAAGCTCTCTTATTCTACTACAGTACACTTAAAACACAGTGCATCTAAGATTACAAGCCTGCTACAAGTAGATCGACTATTGGGTTGGCTAATGTCACTTTTCCGTTTTTAACAAAAGGGGGTGGGACAAATGCGACCTTTTTTTTGCGCACCTGGACATTTGCGCACCTTTTTTTTTGCTCGAAAAGGCCTTAGGAAAGGTCGTAGAGCTTCAAAAATGTTTTCATAGAAGGGAATCGTATGCGTAGATTCCGAATTTCGACAAATCAGACCTCGCTGACACGTCAAATTTGGGCTAAAAGGCAAAAACTACGCAACTTAACGCTTTTCCGCAGTTTTTGCCTTTTAGCCCAAATTTGACGTGTCAGCGAGGTCTGATTTGTCGAAATTCGGAATCTACGCATACGATTCCCTTAAATGGAAATATTTTCGAAGCTCTACGGCCTTGCCTAAGGCCTTTTCCAGCAAAAAAAAGGTGAGCAAATGTCCAGGTGCGCAAAAAAAGATCGCATTTGTCCCACCCCCTAACAAAACAAACAAAACACAAACTTTTCTGTTTCTGTTTTAGCCAAAAAAAAGAGATGTAAATAGTCTAAGAATGCACCTCATTTGGGTATTCTCACTTATTATTGGAAATATTCTTTAACTTTTGATCTTTTAAGATTAATAAAAATGTTTAAAGTTAAAGTAGAAAATCTAAAAGCATACTCCAATCACAATCAACAATTGATCAATCAATAACTGATCAATCAACAATTGACCAATTATCAAGCTGCAAAAAAACTACTCACTTTAACGGAAAGGAAAGCGTCAACCTAATAAAATGCTACTTTGGTCGAGACTTTACAGTAAATTATTTATTTCTCAGGTTGCTTCTCATCCGGACACGAAAATGCCAACAATTTGGATGGGCAGTCAAAATCAGTAGTGAGTTTTCGAAGGAAAGCTTTTAGACGCAAAGTTTCAGCATTTACATCCACAGTGCGGTGACTGCTTGGAGACAATGTTTGAGAAGAATCAAGTTGCCAGATGCCGTGCTAGCAATCACGTAAGAAAAACAGCAACAATACAAAGTGATGTCTCAATTTAGCTATGCAAAAGGACGAGTCTTCGCCGCGCTCGCAAACGGCACTGTTGTCGTCTTTCATCGGAATAAACGTATCTCCATAAAATGTTTCTTTTTCAAAAGATTATTTAGAAGGAATTTGGTCAAGTGAAGGTTATCATTGTGTCCGTCTTGGTCCTCCATCAGCTTCCGTACGTGCACTTGAGGTAGTCGGCTCGACTATTTGGGCTGCTTACAAGAATTGTGTCATTGTTATTGATGTCGATACTTTACATGTGCTGGTAAGAGGATTTTAAAAGATTTATTTATTTGATAAAAAAATAGAAAGTGTTTGCCGCACATCCACGAAAAGATTCGCAAGTGAGAGCTTTGCAATGGGTGGGAGCTGGAGTTTGGGCCAGTATTCGGCTTGATTCGACGCTCAGGTTTGAAAGCAAAAGAATTTCGATTGGATAAAGTATAGAAGGGAAAACGACACTAAGCAACAAACTCAACAAATCTCAATACCTTAACTATCAAAATAAATAATTTTCAGACTTTACCATGCGTACACCTATGATCATCTACAAGATGTTGACATTGAGCCGTATGTGACAAAGATGCTCGGTAAGGGATCCGGGGATTTCCTTCTTTCTTTCTTTCTTTCTTACTTTCTTTCTTCTTCTCCTTGTTCTTCCTTCTTCCTTCTTCCTTTCCTCTTTTCTTCTCCCCCCTTGTCTTTCCTTTTTGCCTTCTTCCTTTCCTCTTTTCTTCTTCCCGTTTGTCTTTCTCTCTTTCTCTAGCAAGTTAAGGTAACAAATAGCTTACTGGCTAGAGCAATTGCTTGGAAAGATTGTTAAGCAAAAGATCGAGGGTTCAATCCCCTCTCCGGAAATCTACTTTTTCTTGCCAATTCTTTCACCTCTTTATTCCTTCCAGGGCCATCAAAACTCGACTACTCCTACATGCGTACCACATCACTTTTGGTTTCAAATCGCCGTTTATGGATTGGAACAGGCACCGGTGTTGTCATCAGTGTTCCACTATCTGCAAGTAAAAATTGAAAATTTTACATAAAGCTTTGGAAAAAAAAAACTTTCAGCTTTGGATGAAAAGATGAAAGGCATTGGGGGAGCTGATTTGACTGCTGGTGCAAAGGGAGGCCCTGGTGGACTTGTTCGAGTCTACAAGAATGCAGATCTCCCTGATTCAGCTAAGGAAAAGGTTTCGAGTTTTGTTTTCATTTAAAATAAAAAAGGTATTGCAAAGATAACTTTATTTTAAAGTTTCAATAATCAATCTATTTTAGAAGGGAGAGCTTTTCATCCCGTATTGCAATATAATCAATCTGTTTTAGAACGGAGAACTTTTCATCCCGTATTGCAATATAATCAATCTGTTTTAGAACGGAGAACTTTTCATCCCGTATTGCAATCTGTCGAACGCTCAACTCTCATTCCATGGTCATAAAGATTCGGTTAAATTCTTCATTTCTGTCCCTGGTAATGTGAAAATGAAAAAACAAAATAATAAAAGCTATTCAGGAGAAGATAAAGTGCAACAAGCACAAGGAGAAGAGGAAGAAAACGAAGGACATTTGCGAAGGATGCTTGTGATTTCGGGTGGCGATGGATATATCGATTTTCGAATTGGTAAGCTTACTAGAAACATTTAAGATTTAAAGATGCAAATGTATAAATGAATTCGAATGAATAAAGAACGTGAGTTCCAGGAGATGAAGAGGAGGGACCCCAAGAGAAGCCGACAAAAGATGGCGAGACGGGGATCCGAGTCCGTGACATGAGTCATCTAATCATTTGGGAACTCGATGCCGAGCTACCTGTTCTTGGCACTTAAGAACCCTTCATTAAATACATTAATCTCGATTTCTTTAGCATTTTTTAAAAAAAAAAACCAGCTCTCTCCACTCGTTACGGGTCTAAAATCTCCCCCCAATTTGAGTGCAAACGTGTTTCTGTTTTTGACATTGATTTTAGACTTTTCGAACACTTGCTTGCCTGATTAGTACGATTTTTGCTTTAGTTTTTGCTTTAGTTCATATTCATTTGATCATTTCATAAGAATCTCTCATAATTTAGCCTTTTTCTTATAAGATTTCTTATAAGATTAGTATTATTTATGAGTCAGGGTTATTTCTCAATCATTATTTGTCTTTTTGCTTTTCCGATAATCTACCGTAAATACTGTAATAGTACCCCACCGCCCTCGTACAGTCGCGTAGTCGCAAAAGTTTTTTAGTATTTCATTTTTTTCAAAGCGCCTGTGCTTTCAAAAAATGCGTCTTTGGTATCAAAAAATAGCTGAAATTCAGGGCTATTTTTTGATACCTAAGCGCGCATTGTAGCATAAACCAGTGTTGCGAAAAACTCGTTTAAAGCTAGACTACGCAACACTCCGCACCGTCATTATGCGGGTGGGGTACTATTACAGTATTTACGATAAGTTTATTTGTGTTTCTTATTTTCATTGAATGGGCGACTATGAAAGCTTCGAAGAGCTGATCAAAACAAACGCCGTGTACAAACAGTCAAAAATAATGCGTTTGCAATTACCGTAAGTACTGTAATAGTACCCCACCCCGCTCGTACAGTCGCGTAGTCGCAAAAGTTTTTTAGTATTTCATTTTTTTCAAAGCGCCTGTGCTTTCAAAAAATGCGTCTTTGGTATCAAAAAATAGCTGAAATTGAGGGCTATTTTTTTGATACATAAACGCGCATTGTAGCATAAACCAGTGTCGAGAAAAACTCATTCAAAGCTAGACTACGCAACACTCCGCACCGTCATTATGCGGGTGGGACACTATTACAGTATTTAGGTTAAGTTTATTTGTGCTTCTTTTTCAAGAAATCTGAAATTAAACAAGTTTTTAAAAATACTTGAATCTTTTTTTTGAATCTGTTTACACTACAGAGATTCGTGTGTGATTTCTTTTCCTAGTCAGATTTGTTTTCTGATCATTTGCGTCATTTTTTAATTCGCTTTTTAATTGTGCGAATAAATTTTCAAGTAAATACAAGTTTTCAAAAATTGCATTTTTCATGCAATGAGTTGTTTAAGAGATGTTTAAGAGATGTTTCCAGTAAAAAATTCCAGTAAAATGATAATTTCCTATAGATGCCCTTCAAAGTGGAACACTGCACAAAAGCAAAAGAATTTTTCGTCTTATTGAGTGAGTATTTGAAAGATGGAAAAGATTGTAGCTGAAGATTTGTTTGTTTTCTTCAGACAACTCTCGATCAGTTCTTCAATATGCCGAGTTATCAAATAAAGTGATCGACTTTTACCATACTGAGGTGCCACCCGAGCAACAAGGCCAAGGAATCGCTAAAGATCTTGTCAAGGTTAAGTGCTCACAGGAAAACATAGCTTTGTAAAGTTTACTGCTTTTGAATAGTGTATTTTCTAAAGATTTTGGGACATTTGATACGCGCCCCGTCTCCGTTTCCATTGACAATCCAACTTTGAGCTTTATCTTGGTGTTGGGCTGTTCAATTTAAATAGTTTTTATACCAATCGACAGAGAAAGACTTGGCGCATCTAATGATACCAAGAATATTTAAATTGATCACCCCAACACCAAGATATTTGAGCTTAAAGTTGGGTTGATAATAAGAAAAGAAGCGTCGCGCGTATAAAAGGTCCATCGCTCCGCCCCTTTTCCCATTAGCAATCCAACTTTAAGCTCAAATATCTTGGTGTTGGGCTGTTCAATTTAAATAGTTTTTATACCAATCGACAGAGAAAGACCTGGCGCATCTAATGATACCAAGAGTATTTAAATTCGACAGCCAAACACCAAGAAATTTGAGCTCAAAGTTGAATTGCTAATGGGAAAAGGGACGGGGTGAAATTTTCGATAACCTTTTTCTAAAACCCTCCAATTTTCTAGAGCTACCGTAATCTTGTCCCAGTTTTTTGTCTATTTTTGCAAGGATTCAAAAATTATATTAAAAAATATAGAAAACTGATAGATTAGAGAAAAGCTAGAGAAAAGATTACAGTAATCGAGCAAAGGCATACGTTTTAGAAAGCAATTTAATAATAATTAGTGAATATTTAGGAAGGTTTAACCTACGCCAAGCAAAATGAGTTTACGGTAATCGATTTTGCAAGTGTTAATTGAAATTTTTGATCACCAGGTTCGTCCAACTTGTTGGTATGTGGCAAAGTACATCAATCAGAATGGATCCGAGGGAGCTCAAGTGGAAAAAAGTTGAGAAAAGTTGAGTTTCTTTTTGAAAATTTATGGGTTTGCAGAAAATCTATAGAGTGAATTTCTGTTATTTCTTTAGATTCATTATCTCTAGCTTATATTGTGCTTTATTTGTCTAAATCTTTTCCACGTACTCTATAAGATCTCTTTGTGTCGATAAATCGATTTTCGAGTCTATATTCTACCATTGAACTACCAGCGACGGAAAATATAGCAAATATGTAATTACCGTATTCGCTCTAATAGTAGTGCACCGCGCTGAGCCGAGTTGATGCCTATTTTACAGTTTCTAAGCTTTCACAGAAGCTCAACACTCTAATCCCCCACAAGATCTCATCGTCAGCTACATTTTCTGACCTCACATCGATAGGTTCTGATAAGCGGTTCTCGAGATTTCGAGGAATTTAAGCAACGCTCAGGGTGCACTAATATTAGAGAAAATACGGTATTTGGCTATTTGGTTATTTGGTTGAATTCCTCAATCAGTATCAAGATGACTTTCTGAGGGTGGAGATTTTTTCAAAAGGGATTATTTTCTAATATCTGAAATGTGCAAGATGTGAGTGTCAATATCGTATTTTCCGCGCCGAGTTGATGCCTATTTTACAGTTTCTAAGCTTTCCCAGAAGCTCAACACTTTAACCCCCCACAAGATCACATCGTCAGCTACATTTTCCGACCCCACATCGATGGGTTCTGATAAGCGCTTTTCGAGATTTCGAGGAATTTAGGCAACGCTCAGGGTGCATTAATATTAGAGAAAATACGGTATTCGCATTTTTCACATAGTGCACAGGCTAGGAATTAAAATTCTTCTTTTCCTCAATGGTTGTCTATAAAAATATAGTGTTTTGAAAGAAATGTTCGCATTTAATAAAACATTTATTTAAAAGAAACGCCAAAAAGTGTAAAAAGAAGTAAAAAGAACAAATTTTTCTTCACTGCGTAATATGCACAAAACTTTTTGAACTCTTGAAACAGAAATAGAAGTTTTTCGAAATAGAAAAAAGCTATAGAATTCTCGAGAATTTAGCCGGTAGCCGATGCACATATAAGTTATGCCGAAAAAGAAAAAAAAGAAAAAACACAACACATTTCACACAAACACAAACAAATCCGGGACAAGGAAGCGCTCTAAAAGCTGGCCTTTTTGAGCGTATCACTAAGTTTGCAAAAGAAATAGATTCTATAAGAAAAAGAAAAGAGATTTGGCTTTTCTAGATAAATTATGCAAAAAAAAGGGAATAGGAAAAATTGTATGGCATTTGAATGTTCACAAGAATAAGAATGGTTCACAAGAATAAGAATGGTTCACAAATAAACAAGGGAACTTTTCTCTTGAGCCAAAGAGAGGAGGGAAAGCCTGTAAACCTTTGGACATAAAAAAAATTCGAGGATTTGGTCAAGAAATTTGAAATGAAAGGAAATATGGGGAAAGTTTTCTTTGTTAGAATTTTCAATATTTCAAAGAAAGAAGAAAAAGAAGAAGAAGAAGAGAAAATCGAGAAAAAGGACGAGGATTTGCTGGAATTCTGTGGACTGGAATTCTTGAAGGACTTTAACTCTAAAAGAACAACTTTTTCAGCTTTTATCTTTGTTCTAATGATCTTTGTTCTTTGATCTTTGTTCTTTGATCTTTGTTCTAATGATTTTTTTTAAATTTCAAATGGATTGAACCTCTTTTACTGAAAAGTTCAAGAGTTAAAGTCTAATTCAAGTTTAATTAAAGTCTAATTAAAGTCTAATTAAAGTTTAATTAAAGTCTAATTAAAGTCTAATTAAAGTTTAATTAAAGTCTAATTAAAGTTTAATTTAAGTCTAATTTAAGTCAAGTTTAACGCAAAAATCAATAAAATCAATAAAATCAATAAAATCAATAAAAGAAAACGAAAAAATCTAAATCGAAATACCATTTGTTTGCGGGAATTTCATAAAAATGAGATTTCTTGGAGGGGGAAAAATCAAGAAATTTTGTAAAGAAAAATGAATAAAAAAATGAATAGAAAAAATGAATAGAAAAATGAAAGGAAAAGGCACGCATAAACGTTGATGAAATTTATTGCCGGATTGAAAAAAAATTAACTAAATATATCTCTATATCTAATTTTGAAATTTTAAACGGGAATTTCACATCACAGTTGCTTCGGTAAACGTTGATCAAAGTTTCGAAAAACTTAGAGCTCTTTTTTTGTTTGTTTTCTTTTCAGAGATTATGCCCGAGATTCAGGGGAAAATTTTTTTAAAATCACAGAAGATTTTTTCGAAAAGCAAAGCTGAGATTTCTATAGCGGTTGAAGAACAACCGCGTTTTTCATCTCGGGAGCATAGGATGGCGGAAGAAATGGATCACCGTTTTGCTCGTCCATGTAATACTAAAAAAGAAAAACTTGTTTTTTTTTTGTTGCTTCATTTTTAAGCTTTAAGCTCTATCTCTCTGAATTCGGTTCTTTTTCTCTCTAAATTTGGGTCCTTATCTATACAAATTTGGTTCCTTATCTCTCTAAATTTGGTTCTACCTTTGTGTAAAAATCATTTGGATGTCCAACATACGGGTGCAACATTCCATAGGCGTCCATCGGCAACAACATCGGTTGGGTGGACAGTGATAGAGGAGCCGGGCTCGCTTCGGATGACATTGAAATCTAAAAACGAGAAATATTATTGAATACAATGATCTCTGAAGTTTGCCAAGTCTGATTCTCTCAAATCTTGTAAAGTTACAGTGTAGAAAAGGGAAGAAAGAGCCGATTTTTCATCATTTTTCAACATTTTTTCTAAGGGCTCATTAATGATAAAAATTTGTTTTATATCTCAAAAAATTACCTATCTTCTCTGCTTTAATTTGATACCAAAGCTCACAGAAAAAAAAACGTAATGTTGTCGAGATCTGGACGGTTTTTTTTGAGTGTAAACTTGCTCGTCCATGTAACTGACATGGACGAGCAAACATGACTACCCGATACCCTATAGAAGCTCTTCTATTAGAATATTTACAATACTTATTTCTCTAGTTCACTTGGTTGACCCAAGAAACACCTGATGAATGGGCGGGGCATTGGGCGAAGGCTCATTGGTGGCAGTGGGTGTTGTTGGGGGCGGGGCTGATGAGCTTCCATCGGATTTGGCGCCACCTTGGGGAACGGCACCCGATGTGGGTGGTGAGGGAGTGGGAGGCATCGGCGATGAGATCGGTGGTAGGTGTTGACCCTAGAATAATAGAATAATGCTCAAGTTCAACATTAGCACTAGTTGCTCTTGGCATAAGTTGCTCTAAGCTAGTTCAAAAGTCTATTGAAAGGGCTATTGAAAGGTAGGTAAAGGCTGCGGGAATGCTAAGTTCGAAAATTCTGTAGAAAGTTTCTATATTGTAAATGTTTTAAAAGAACGCCATCTTCTCGTACCGTAGTTTAACTTCTTTTTAGAAAATCTTTCTTTTTGCTCAGCTTCTATATAAAAATCTGTTATCAATTATTATGTTTTTGGTTTTCAAAAATCTCAACTAGATTTCTAGGGCTATCATTTGTCACCCAAGCGCACACTGTAGCTTAAATCAGAGCGGAGAACGGTTAGACGGTTAAAGTTAGACTACGCGACTGTACGTCCATCATTTTGGGGCTACCATTCGAGTATTTACGGTAATAAATCCTTATCTTCAAACCAATTCTAGTCTAGTTTATGAAATTTTGGATTGAAAACAAACGAATAAAATAATGTAAATCATAATCTTTGAAAAATTACCGTTTGTATTGTGGAAACACTAGGTGAATACTTCATCAAATCGTTGATTGGGGCACAAGTTTGGAGAAGATTCTGCGATCCAGCGTGAGGATTTTGCGTGGGTAAACTGAGCGGAGGCATAGGAGCACCAGGCGGTATTCTCAACGGCATGCACATATCTAGAATTTTCTGTGTTTAAAAACATCGTTTATTGTTTTAATCAGTTGAAAAGACGCTTTTTGTATTACCGAATTGATGTGCCGGTGGTGCGGGCATGAGGATATGGCGGTGTTGCATGAGTTGAGCGGCGTGAAGCGGCATCGGCGCCCCGTACATCACCGCCGGCCGCTTCATGTCAAACGGCAATGGGGCGCCCGTCTCGTAACAACGCTTTTGAGCCTAGGAAATTACATTTAACACTTTGAAATAGTTTATGGTAGTTTGTCATTCCATTCACTTTGAGTTTTAGCTCTAAATTTCGTTATTTTCATTAGTATTTCCCTTCTTTTCTAATCTGTGTAAATTTTGCTGATCTACTTATTCATTTGCTGAATAAAGTATACCATATTTTCTCTAAAAGTGCACTGCACCAAGCCGTTATGTTTTTGGTACTAGATTTCAAGGGTTATCAGCTGATACCCAAGTGCACACTGTAGCTTAAACCAGAGCGAAGAACGGAACGTTTAAAGTTAGACTACGCGACTGTACGTCCATCATTTTGGGGCTGCCGTTCGAGTATGGTTGGCGACTATTTTACGGTTTCCAATTTTTCCCAGAAGCTCAACACTTTAATCCCCCACAAGATCTCATCGTCAGCTACATTTTCCGATCTCACATCGATAGGTTTTGATAAGTGCTTTTCGAGATTTCGAGGAATTTAGGCAACGCTCAGGGTGCACTAATATTAGAGAAAATACGGTATTCGGATTTTTCGTTAAATACCGTATTCTCTCTAATAGTAGTGTGCTCCGCCGAGCCGAGTTGATGACTATTTTACGGTTTTCAATTTTTCCCGAGAAGCTCAACACTCAAATCCCCCACAAGATCTCATCGTCAGCTACATTTTCCGACCCCACATCGATAGGTTTTGATAAGCGCTTTTCGAGATTTCGAGGAATTTAAGCGACGGGTGCACTAATATTAGAGAAAATACAATACATATATAAATCCAAAAGTTAATCTCATTTATTGTTTTATATTTTTTATGGTTTGTCATTTTTCTAGACTATCAAGTTATTCTTTATGGAATGGGACCAAGAAGCGGGATTTTATTCGATTCAAGTAATTGAAAAATCTCAAAGAAATTGGATCCATGGCGTCAATTGGGAGAAAGGAGAGAAAGAAGGGAAAGAAGGGAAATGTTTCTAAATGAGATTACGGTTACCCATGGATACAGTATGACTTGGAGTTGATGAAAGAAAGCAATTTGGACCATACAACTAGAATTATTGATTTTAAATGAAATTGATAATAGTAGAAAAAGGAAAAACTAGATTTTCTATGAAGAACACAGACAGATGTGTCATCAAGTTATGAAAAGACGAATTTGTTGTGTTTATGGATTAGCGGATTAGGAAGGACATCAATGCAACAATGCGATTAGGAAGGACTCATTCTTCTTCTAGAAAATTATAGGCTAAGAAAAGGAATTGATTGTCCATAAATAAAACTGACTATTTACGTAAGCTCAACTTCTTAAGCTAACCTGTCTTTGATGAAAATCATGCAAATGTTGTGGTGCAGCGACGGGCAACTCGATTGATGTCGCATTGTTGCAACGCTTTTTCGCACACATTGCACCCGTCATATAGCGATTCTCGAAAAAGCTGAAATGACTAGAATTTACTAGATAGAAATGGCTATGGATCACGCTGGGTCATTGATATTTTCATTAGAGTGTGTTCCTAGCGAGTAAATAATTACGCGAGTAAATTTGCATGAGTAATTGTCGAGTAATGCGTTTTCTAAACAGTACGCATGCGCGAAAAAAATATAAAAGCAATTTTTTGCGCAGGTTTTGGGGTAGGCTACTTTGCGCCAAATTTTTTGCTCAACTGGGTCGTTTGCGCAACACGCCGTAACTCTCTTCTAAGTGGGTCAATCTTTATGATTTTGGTGTCATTTTGTAGATCTCAATAAGTGCAACAAAATGAAATCAAAATCATCAAGATTGGCTTACTTAGAAGAAAGTTATGGCGAGTGGCGCAAACGACCCAGTTGCGCAAAGTAGCCTACCACCAGGTTTTTCAAAAAAATCATTGGAAGGGAATTTCCCACCAAATCAGTCAAACGGCTGAGTATCTTTAAAAATATCTTTAAAAAGTGTCTTATATAATGCGGGGCTCGTGATTTTAGCTTCATTTTTTTGCAATAATTTTTACTAAAAGTACGGTAATTTTTTCTCAAGTGTGCTTTTTAAAAAACGCATTACTCGCGAGGAACACACTCTAAAACAGAATCATAGCGTTTACTAGAATATTTTCTTCTCAAAAAAACCTACCGCTTATCGAGACAAACTAGGCAAATCTGACAGTCGGGCATTCGGCAATCTTCGCAATTGTTGCATCCGACTCGCGCTTTAAATGTGGGTGCATCACGCTGAAATTGTGGAATAGAGCTTTTTACTCAAAAAAAAAACACTTCCAAACCTGTAATCGATTCTCGAGCACTCGCAGACATCTCCTCTCAATACAAGACTGTTTCTTCACGCCAGGACCACCAAATTGTGGACTATCTTGACAGTATGTGCATTGACCACAAGGCTTGCATTGACAGCCTCGACAAACGCCACATCTACAGAAATCAGAAATCAAGAGTTTATCTTTTATCAAAATTTTAAAATATCACACTTTTATTGTTTTGAACGAGCAGAGTTATTGGTTTAAAACCAAAAGATGAATCCAATTGTGCAAGACAATTGTTTCAATATTGTTTTGAAGGGATCACCAAGATTTACCTCTGACTCCTGTTCATCGACGAGGTGATTGGCGCAGGCATATGCGGATGATGATGATGGTGGTGATGATGAGAGCCTTGTGCAAGTTGTGGATGTAAACCATGCGGCAATCCGTCCATCACTTGGAACTGGAAAAGTTTAGCTTTCAAAAAAATCGTTTTAATTAATATCTAAAGTTACATAAAAGTTAAAATTTAGATTAAAAATATCGAGTGTTATTTATTTTAATTTTAAAACACCAACCATCATCCCACCGACGGCACCATTCATCGTGCCGATTTCGTGGGCGAACGCCGTTGAGTGCCCGGTTTCAAAAATCGTGATCTAGAGAAATATCTATATATATAAAAGAACAAAAATAAATAGAAAACACGCGAAAAATCTCAAATCGAGAACACAAATATTTATGGAAAAACAATGGTGGCTTTTGTTGGGGTACAAAGACACAAAACGTTTGAATGGGGGGACCGCGATACCGATAAAATCGATGCACACAAATTGCCGGCCAGTAGCCTATTCCTTTTTTTTTGTCGCTCCTGCCTGCCTCCTTTTTAGTTACCTTGTCGAAATTTTCACCCATAAAACTGAGAGACGATGCTGGGACGCCCGGTCAAGGCAACCTTTCTCATCACTGAGACTTTTGAGAGAAATTTTGAGCTTTTTACGTCTTGATCTTTTCTTGAATCTGGAAATGATTGTCTTTTTTATGATGTCATGATGATGTTGGGTCATTAAGTTCGGGTAGAAGTTGGACACGCCGACATTGGTTGTGGCATTGGTCAGTGCTTGGATTCGAACCAGCGATCTGGATTACTGGATGAACGCTCTATCAATGAGCTAGACTGACATGGATCCCATTGTGGCCAGGATAGTGGCCAGGATAGGCCATTGTGGCCAGGATAGGGTCAGGCCAGGTCTTGTGCCTTGACTGTATGAAAAGAAAAGGGGATTGTTGGTGAGAGAATTGTTTAACCAAGGAATCCAGACAAGATATACTTATTGAACATTGCTATAAGGCTTTTAAAACTTAAAAATATATTAAGCTAGCTAGCAGTAAAGAAGTAAAATAGATTAAGCTAGCGTTAAAAATTCTAGCATTGAAAGTAAGAACGGGAAAGAGTTCAGCTTTCATTTTCACAACATTTTTCAAAAGGATTCAAATACAGTAATCAATCTCAAATCAAAAGCTTTAGACAACAAGTTGAAGACAAAAATGAAACAGGAAATGAAAGATATTGAGAGATTGGGGTTGGATTGGGTGGAGCCAATGAGCCGAGAGGCTGACTCCACCTCAACACATTACATGGCTAATGGGTGAGTTGGGGTATAGCAAATGAAATGTTTAGAGGGCTAGTAATAATCACTTGACTCCCGCTCAAATCGAATTCACCTATCCAATTGGAAAGTGTTACCAAGCATCGACTTTTCGAACCAATTCGGCTTTCCATTTTTAATTGAGTTTTTATTTATGTAGTGAGAGAAATTTCCAGGAATTTCCTGGTAAATAAGAAAAAAGAAATCTTTCTCGTAACTTAAAATTAAACTTTAAAAAAAAAATTGTAGACTATTAGATTATTATGGATCTGGATTATTAGATTTAGGTCAAGGTCTGCTCTGCATCTTCTCAAGAAAACATTGGCAAAACAAAACAAACAAAAACAAATTCTGTACCTTTTGGACAGATTTGCTTCCTTTTGGAAGCAAATCTGTAGAGAAAAGGAACCAAATCTGTACCTAAAAGGAACCGAATCTGGAGAGAAAAGGAACCAAATCTGTAGAGGAAAGGAACCAAATCTGTAGAGAAAAGGAACCAAATCTGTAGAGAAAAGGAACCAAATCTGTAGAGGAAAGGAACCAAATCTGTACCTAAAATGAACCAAATCTGTAGTGAAAAGAAAACAAATGTAATAGCATAAGGAGATTCTAGATTTATGTGCTAATCATCGACGAAACAAACGGAAAACAAAGGACTTTTTACTTCAAAGGGCAACTCTATTGGTGCCTCTTCAGCAGATTGAACATTCAAATATACGATACAACTGGTACGATTGCCTCTCTCTTTTTTCCGTCATCTTCAGCTTTCTTTCTTTTTTTGGATTGGTGAGAAGAATGGGAAGAAAGGAGAAGAATCGCACCGTTGAGTCAGCCCATCCACCCCCCAAAAAAGGACACCGTCTAGCACGGCCATCCTCTATGTCCACTGAGTCAACGCGCTTCAGCTCTTTTAAGGGGAAAAGGGGCTCCTGCTCACAATTCTCCTATAAAAATGAAAATGAATTACGAATTATTCGCTTTCCCCCCCAAAACTAACATAATCGAATGGAATGTAGTGAACTGTGAAACAAAGAAGATGGGCCATTTGTGAGATTGGAGTGGTAGGAGAAATGGAGGGGGAAAAGGGGAATGGAAGGGAGGTGGAAAGAAGTGGGACAGATCTCTTGTCTAGATACCGATCTCTGAGCTGTGAGCTATTCGAGGTCGAATCATACACCCAAAATCTCTACGAAACCCTTTAACGATCCTTTCTTTTGTTTATCATAATGACTGGGAATTGTTGATTAATTTTAAAGAGTTGAAAAAGAATATAACAAAAATATTTTTGACTGAATAAGTAAAGGTTTAGGTTAGATTTGAGTGTGTGAGTGAAAGGATTTAGTAAGAGGAATGAAGGGGAATAGTAAGAGGTGAATGAGGGCCCATTGATGGCTGAGGAAAGTGTGTTATCGCCGGCTTGCCCATTGAATAAGATGAAATGAGTGAAGTGCGAGAAATGAAGTGAAAGAGGGGAAAGGGAAGGAGGAGGAGGAGGAAGAGGAGGAGGAAGAGGAGGAGGAAGAGGAGGAGGAAGAAGAGGAGGAGGAGATACGAAAAAGAAAGTGTATCTAATCTAGATGCAGACAAGATCATCAGATCATCTCTAACTTCTACAAGAAAAGCCAAATTGAGGGTGAATGACGGGTAAAAAGAAGAAAAACTCAAGATATAACGAGTAGCAGAGTCGGATGACCTTGAGAGATCAGTAGCCACCTCTAGAAACTAACAGAAAAGACTCTGTCCCCCCCCAAGTCGAGGCCGATTCATCGATTTGCCATCTACTTTTTGAAAGATCTTGTAAAACAAGATTTGAAAGAAATTTGATATGAATGAAGAAAAAAAAAGGATTAGAATGGTACCTTTGAAAAGGTACAAGAAACGAGGAAACAAAAATTCAAAAAATCTGACTGGGAGAGAAGGTAGGTAAAGGGTGGGAGAAGTGTAAAGCAACATGAATAATCAAAGCGAAATCGCCATGAATTTTCGATGAATATAGGAGAAAAGAAAAATGAGACTGTTGATTTAAAAAAAGTGGAAAAGATTTCAATGATTGAAGGTACGGATTCCGGAAGCCAAGCCTATCGGGAGTGAAGGGTGGATACAAAAGGAGATCTGTGTGGAGATGATATGTTTGCTGAGTCTCTTCTGATGGGGCACTCTATTCGAGATTCCTCCAGGCATTTAAACTGCACTCAAGAGAATCTATTGCTTCAGGACACTTTTTGAGAAGAAGCTCTTGTTTAAAGAAAGCAAACTTTAAGTTGATAAAATAAAATCGAACTTTTGTAGACTTTTGTAGACACTTAACTTGAGATGAGATGAAAAAAAAAAGATGAAATGAGAGTCTCTAGATTCCCACCATATGGTCATTTTTTCAATGAGTGATAGCTCGACAAAATGTTTCCAAAATGGCATTCACGAGAAGAGAAAAGGGAGAGAAAGTCGAGACAAATCGAAGGACGATATACAGTGTGGAATTTAGCGATTGTGAGCACAAATGGGTGAGAGAAAGAGACCTATGGGCACCCCCTTTTTCCTCATCTATCTTTTCTCTTTTCTTTTTTCTCTTTTCTTTTTTTTTCTTTCTTTTCAACCAAGGACATCGACTCAATAAGGTTTATGTGAGTGGGTTGGAGATAGAGAAAGAGTAAAAGAAAGATTAAAAGAGAGAGAGAGAAATGAGTATGGTTCGATCAGTTGAATGCTCTTCTCTATTCTCTCCCCAAATTGGCGGTCAGCTATAGCTCTATCGATTTACTCTTTCTCCTGAAATAATTCAGTGAAAACTTAGAGTAGACAAAAAGCTTTAGGAAAGGAGAAAAAAAGAGATGAAATTGAATGTTTTGAATACTAAAACTGAACTTATTCTAATATTGTATGATTAGCTGAATCTTTGGAAAAGAAAAAAAACAATCTCTGAAAACTTAGAGTAGACAAAAAGCTTTAGGAAAGGAAAAAAAGAGATGAAATTGAACGTTTTCAATGAAAATTTAGCTTTACCTTTAGCTTGAGAAATTGAGATTTTGTATTGACATTAGACTTTGGTAGAAAAATGAATGAAAACCTATATTTCAATATTTCAATGTTTCAATGCTTTTAAAGCTATAAACTAAAAATCGCTGTTTTTAATAGCAAATTCTTTTATTCATCATGTCAATAAGAAAAAAAGTGTGTCTGATCAGCTGGTAATAGAGAAATAAGTTGTAATCGATGTAACGAGTAGGTTGAAATGAGGCTCGGTATTGAGAGGATTGGGGCTTTATATTTCAATGTTTCAATGCTTGTGTCTGATCAGCTGGTAATAGAATCTTTGGTTTTTCATAGGCAAAATTTTTAACTAGAATCTAAAATATTTAATGTATTACTTGCTTGTTTTAAACCTAGTTTAAAACTAGGTTTAAACTTCGACTTTGCTAGAAAAATGAATGAAAAGCTATATTTCAATATTTCAATGTTTCAATGCTTTTAAAGCTATAAACTAAAAATCGCTGTTTTTAATATCAAATTCTTTTTTCATCATGTCAATAAGATTAGAGTCAAATCTTTGAATAACAATAAACAAAACAAAGAATAATATTTATCTAGAAAGATATTTATCTAGAATTTAGCCTAGAAAAAAAAGTGTGTATCTGATCAGCTGGTAATAGAGAAATAAGTTGTAATCGATGTAACGAGTAGGTTGAAATGAGGCTCGGTATTCAGAGGATTGGGGCTTTATTGTCAAAACCGGTTTTGGACCGTTGATGTTGTGGTAAAGAATATGGGTATATTGTGTCGACTTTATGAACAGCTTAGAGAGATTTGAACGAGGAATGAGAATGCTGAAGGCTAAGCTTAGAGTCTTTTTACAAGCAAAACCTAAATCCAAATAAGCCTAAGTCAAAGTCAAAAGATTTTTTTCATTATTGAATCTGGGAATGAGTATCGATGATTGTAATTTCTGAAAATCTTCTGAAAACAGAGAGAAAAGGGAGATGGTATTTGTTGAAAGGCTAACAACATTGACAATATTTTCTTTCATTTCTTTCATTGCTTCATTTCTTTCATTTCTTTCATTTCTTTCATTTCACTAACATTTCTTCTTCTCTAACTCAGTGCTTGCCTTGTGAAATGAAAAGAGAAAAGAGACGGTCAATCGAATGATCACTATTGTAAGATTTGTGAAAGAAAACTAGATTTAAAACAAGCAAGTAATACATTAAATATTTTAGATTCTAGTTCAAACTTTTGCCTATGAAAAATCAAAGATTCTATTACCAGCTGATC